AACAGTCTGTAAATCTTTCGTTAAAAGATGCTTGCTGAAATACATTAATAAATTATTTGCATGCTGTCTAGACAAGATAGATGCTAATACAGAAAGTAAATAGGTTTTAGAGCGTTTAATTTTCACAAATCCATTCATTATCGCGAGCTTTATGAGAAATAATAACGACCTGATATTTATGATTGAAAAAGAAACGCGTTAAATTTAATCGAAGAAATAATATCGCCGTCGTAATTTATCTTTAGTTGACACGAACTGCAGCTGCTTGAGCTGAGAATAATTATATTTCCATAAAATTGCATAGACACCAGTAAAATTGAAGCTAAAGTAAATCGATACTAGCGCAAATTAGTCTTATACATACAAAAAATTTCGCGATCTAAATTATGTATGCGTTCTGTATGCCAAAGTTATATATACGGGTATTAAGCGCACTTACTCACAAACACCCATGCATTATTATTAAGCGCTGAGCAAAGACAAAAATTCATGCAGCAATTTATCACCGAAACCTTTTATTTTAACATGTCGATATTTAAAAAATGTACGTAAAATCTTCTAATCTTCTGTTATGACAACAGTCCAGAAGAATCGAGTAAAACAAGGAATGTGTGAAGCTTTGGGCGATAATTATCATTTTACTAAAAATGCAAAAATTTCCGAGTTTTCATTTAATTTTGCCCACGCTTGTACCACATCCTATTCTCCAGGTTGAAGAGGATTAAATTTCAAATCCACTTCCATTGGCTTAAGGTTTTACTTTTAATGGATGTTGAGGATGCTGTGTCGCATATTGTATTTCTTCTAAGACAAAAATGTGACCGATTATAGAAACACGCAAACACCATCTTCGATCATGAAGAATTCTTTGTCAACGCATGACAGATAACAATGATAATTGATTTTAATTTTTTTTGATAAATATGCCGCACGGCTGAAATAGATAGATTTGTGCCACATGAGAATTTGAGTATTAATAACATGAAAATAGACAAAGGTTTTATTAGTAGAATACAAAATGAAGTTGAAAAAGTTTCAAACAAAGTTCACAACTTTTAATCTGAAAAGAAACAGTCGAATGCTTCAAAAGTGCCAAAAAAAACTTGATGAAAAACCTTAACAAATCTTGTTTGGAAACTATTTCAAATTTCTCATACATTCCTTCGGTCTATTTCATAAGGTGTGCACACGCGATGTAAAAATTTTTGCCGTTTGAGTGAGATATTATTCATTGCCGAATTTCTGCAAAATAAAAGAAAGGCAAAGGTATCCAAGAGTAACAGTTGTGAGATGAATGATAACCAACTATAACCATGTATCAATCTTTAAAAACAGGAAAATATATGCAGGAATTTTAACTCATAGATACTTTCACATGCATGAATGTACAACAATATACGCACGAACAGTAAAAACTTTGAAATGTTTACAATTAAAGTATAGACAAGACAAAGTCGACCTCGTAGGTATAACAGAAAACTATATTAACATGCAACATGAGAAGCTTTGCTTTTGGATGACCGTTCGTGCGCTAGTGTGTTTAACACATAATCCTGTCCGGGCATGTATTCGATTAAAGAATACTCGATTGCCACAATTACCCCCTAATGTGAACAATTTTCAATAAACAACTGCAGTGAAAGGCACAATACTTTCTACAAAGATATGCTGTATGCCAACTGACTACTGCAATAGGAATAAAAATCATTGTAGTTTTGATTTCTCCAGCTACCGTAATTGACTAATTATAGTTCAGACTAGATGGCATATATGAATATGTTATATAATTTGGAAAATCAGAGAAAATGAACGAACCTCTTGAAACATACAAAGTCGATGCCGTTCACATGTAATTACTTTGCAGTGCGCTACGACCAAAATGTTGTCGACCGAATCACAATAAAGAGGATATAAATTAATCGACCTGTTAGTTAACTATCTCTATAAATATTAACAAAATGCTTTTGAACCAATGCAAAAGCAATACGTGTTATGATTGCTCTTGCCAAATATGGGTAGCACATCCTTTTACTTATAGAATAATCCAAATAATCACATTCTTTTCAGTCTTAGGTAAGTGGGTGGGTTTTCAAACATTATATATTGTGTCATAGAAGTTTAAGGAAGCAACCATGTAAACTTGCTCCTATTCAGTAAGCACTGGAGTTTCACGTTGTATTCTCATATATCTCATGCTAGGTATGTATAAAGTAATAGGCATGTATGTAGTTTTTAACTTATTTTTGAACTTTTATTGCTCAATTCTGGTTAAACATGTTGGTGTCAAACACATATAGAAATCAATATCTTATTCAGCGATTAATCAAAATTACATCCGTCGTCGCTGATTTTTAAAACACAAGACAAGGCAATAGATATATATATATATATGATGGTTTCCCATTGTTATAGTTTATCACCACTTGTTCATGTACACTGAATACATTTTACATAAATGCTCACGTATGATTTTTATTTGATATTTATCAACCTGATCAGGAAATACTTTCATAATTTATTTAAAGATAAAAGTTATGAAAACCTAGCCATTAATAAAACACGAAACAAACCGAGGAACACATTGGCTATTCTTGTGTTTGATTCTAACTTTATTCAGGCAATATTTTAAAAATGAAAAAATCACAAAAAAGTTTACAAAACAGCTTATAAAGTTTGAATACTGAGTATATTATAGCTATGCACAGCACTTAATTTATGATAGATTGCGAATGTTTTCGTGCATGGTTTCAGCAGGTACAATTATAAATACATAGAGAAAACTTAGCGCGTCGGTGTAATCAAAATATTTCGTGTTGTGCGATGCATGCGAGGAAATGCGTTTTAAACACCAGAAACCAAGGCAGGTTATACAATCGAGTGTTAATGTTTCTTTAAGCAAAGCTAAACATATAATACAACGCAGCCTAAGATTACTGCTGGACTTTGGATTTTGTAACGTAATGGCAAATGCACTTGAAACAAGATACGACAATTTGAAAAAAATCACTGGATCTTGAAATGCTGAAGTATGCCGTAAAACTATACATGCATTCATGGTATTAAGAATTTCTTGTTCGCGCAAATAAATTATGTATATTGCAAGCAAATTGCAAATTTAAAAATATCATTTTGATATTCATAATCGGGAACTTTAGGGTATTCGGTAGAACGTTCGCGTAAATTAGGAGTGTTATGGGATATGTATGGATGGGTGGTTAAAATTGAAATATCGCTGTCGTTCAAATACTGGCGCAACACCGCTTTCAATATAAGTTCGCAGTAGGTTTTTGTAAAGGGGAAGAAAGGAAGTAAACGATACAGGAATATAAATACTAACCAGACTATTGTCTTATCCTTCACTAAAAATACATTAAGTACACGCTGTCATTACAACTCAACTACTCAAGTTGATCTTCAAACATTTTGACAGCTTTTTGAACAGTAAAAATACATAGATACTTTGCATTGTCAAATTTTCACATCTATTTGTCAGTTGACATTGTGCAAGGTTCTTTGGCGAAAGAAAATTTATACTTTCTGTAATATCATGAGGCTTTTACCCGGTAAATGATTTACGTATTTGAGTAAATAGGAAGAACCACAAGAGAAGTGCAAACAATGCATTTTTAGTTGATCGAACGATCCCTGGGTTTTGTAAGCCGGTTTTAAAAATATCCAAGACGTAAATGAATGCAATGTGCAATAAAGCACAAGTTAAGTGCTTGAAAACTTCATAAATTATGGCACAATGTAAACATGACAGTTAAAGTGCACTCTCGCATTCTCATGAGCTGCTAAAGCAACTGGCTGAAATACCGGCATACAAACATATGTTTTGCACATCTTTGACATTTTATAAAACAGGAGATGCCATAAATTGTCGTTTGAAATAAGTACGCCATATGAAACACGGCCATATATACTCAAAAAGTTTGAGTTGTTAAAAAAATTCAATAAGTACCTGAATATGCTTTAAGCAGAGATATGATAGCAAAAAAACTTGTTGAAGTATTTTATTGCATACAACAAGCATGCTGCGATGTTATGTTTTCAATACACAAACATTTCATTGTGGATAGCAAATAATTAAATATTCAAAAATGCATGGGAGTTAGATTGTGGATTTGGTATCTATATATACTACATTAACACTCTTCACTTTTCATAACATAGACTATTTTTTGGCGATAAATCTCAAAACCAATGAATGCACCGCGACAACTACTAATATATTACAATCATACGTACAAATGTATGCATACACAAAGAAAAAAAAGGAAAGTATACCTTGATCGTATTTCGTTGCTACAACACATAAGATCATATCGACTTGTTGTAACAGCTACGTAAGCTTTATTTTTGAAATATTTTTCATTTGGTTCGTCACAATGCTCAGCCTAACAACGAAGAAAAACGTCACGCATAGGCGCTCTCATCTGAAGTCTTGAAGTCACAAGACTTGCGGATGACTATAATTGAGAAAACGCTATCAACGAGAACCAAGGTCTCTTCAAACTATATGGTTAAAGACAGACTCAAAAACATATCGCATTACATATATGTAAAAAGATCATTTAGATCCCTGATTGACAACAACAACTATACGTTGATTTTAATTATTCACTAAATAAAAAGAATATTTCTGATTATTATGTCAAATTAAGTTAAGGTACAAAACCTCAGTTCGCACATCACTATAAAGACAAATGATGCGACAATATGTTATATTGTACATTTGAAACTGATTACAGTATATAATTTACAGTGTTACTTAAAATGTTTTATGTTCTTAACATATTCAGTTTGTACTTGGTATACATAAAATATAATCCTTTAGAAATGAGGCAGTACAGCTTTTTCAATTGAAAGTACTACTTTTACTACATCAGTATTATATCTATGTGCACATACGAAAACTTACTTATGCATAAACAATTGAACGATATGAAAACCTGAAGATTTCATGTGAATGTCAAACATGTTTCAAAGTGAAGAACGTAACTGCTGAATGAAATGAATTTTGTGTTTTCACAGAAGCATAACACGAGTTCCATTGAAAATACACAACACATTCAACTAGGCACATTCAAAGCAACCTTATGGTTATATTTAAATGTCAAATTTGCGAGTAATTGAAATGGAAAGAGCATGATTGTGTATGAAGCACACAAAATATGGCCGCACAACAATTAATATGACGCCAGGCCGAAAAGTTGTACGGTCAGATGCAATGTAAATTTTCAAGCGTCCGACAAGAATTTTATAATTCAATAAGACTCTGACGAATTTTTACTGTAATACGTAATCTTTTTTTTCCATAATGAAATAATGTTTGAATAACTTAGTGTTCTAACTTAAAGCGAGAGTCAAGAAGGCCAGGCATGAAACAAGCGCCATGTTGATTTCGCAGTTGAACTCGGTTTTCGAAAGGTTATTGCTGCAATATTCTCTCACATAATATATTTTTATAATCCCAAATATCTCGTTAAAGTGTTATAGAGAACAATACATTCAAACTAACACTATTTCTTTGATTATTTTTAAATACAAACGCACCGGCCGGCGTAGCACGACACAATATTGAAATGGAACCCCAGCGATTGTAAAGATCGCTGTTGTTGCAAATGGGTGAAGAATGCAGCAGAGCTTATAAAGCCCCTTAACATCACATGAATGCAGATTTAATAATGTACTGGAAGGATTTACTATTTCTCTTGTGATTTGTTTGGACCTTTAAAAAAGATTTACAGCTATACGTGTCGCGTCATCGAACACAACCCGAACAAATTTTCAACGATGTTCGTGCGTTTCAATAAACTTTGTCGCAAATGTTAAGATGTAAGGAAAATGTAAAGCAAAAAATGATCGTTGATATCCAATTGAGCTACTCGCTAAACAATGCATCATAAACTATGGGAAAAGAGACATAACAGTTAAGTTTGTGCAAGTAAGAATAAATACGCAAGCGGGAAATGTCAGCAAGCGACAATTTTGCTTCATCTTAAACTTCGGTGTGTAGGCAAAAATCAAAAAGAGCACAATAAACTATACAATTTCTTAAGCTTTACCTTACATATTATATACAAACCAAAACTTTTAAATACAACAAAAGTCCTTTTAGATATAAATCACGACTATTTTTCTAACTATAAAGTTCAATAGTCACTATTGATATACTGTATATACTCTCAACTAATCGACTAAATTATTATACAACAAACGAAGAACTGACACTAAAATGATTTCCCATAACATGGAATACATAAATCAACATACTTCTATCTCAAGATAGTTCTATAACCTTATATGCTTGCTATGACCAAAACCCACGAAATACAATCACGCTATAGCGTATACTATATATATATACAAAACATCGATGTATAACATACAATACACCGAAATTGTTACATGCGATTTAACGCCAAGATAGCAGTTAAAGTCACGGCACATCCAATAATCGTAATTTTAAAGTACAAAGATTTGTTCAAAGCGTCTTCGTTAAGTTTGTCCCCAATTTCAGCAAGTGTAAGCCCGATTTCGCTGATTGCGTTGGCGGCCATTAACTCATTCTCGTTTTCATCATCGTCTTTAGCTCTGAGCGTTTTATTGTTGTTTAACAAGTGTGTATTGCACATATTTATCATGCTAGTTGACTGGATATCACACGATTCCGTTCACAATCGCGAAAACAAGAGAGATATTACGCGCACTTCCAAATGAGCTACGTTTGTCCGATATTAATGTTTACGGTCAAACAAAAATAATGTTGAGGTACAGCGGCAAAATGATCTTCACTTTAGGCAAGCTTCGCTCCCTTTTGACACGGTTTCGAGCCAACAGTCTTTCAAAGGTAGAAATGAAATGTTAACCAGCACAGACCTCGTAGGCGACTGTTTCTTTACACGACGAGATGGTGTTATTGTGATTTCGCGTATATGTCAGTGGTCAGCAGTTACATCGCGAATACGCATGCCCGCACGATTGTCGAAAATTATATATTAGGAAATAATATATATTTTCCAAAAATACACATTAGAAGCGTCACACGCATGTTCGTCGCGATATGAGTGTACGAATATTACGTAAAATACATGTGTACAGAACATAAAGATGTCATTTATGCGCAATTAAATGAAAATGGCCTTGTATGTAATATTTTTCTTGTGACACCAACAAAGATAAGTTGACGAGCGTGCGTGTTTGGGCACGCAACAGCAAACAATAGCGTGATATGTCGAATCGACTGCAAAGCAATATACACAATTGAAATGCACTCACCGACGGCGTCGATGACAAAACCAATATCTAGAGTATCACAAACTGTCTTGGCTTTTTTACTCAGCGAAATACTACCCACGCTGGGTAATGTGGAAGAGGGGAAAGCAAAGACACTTTAACAAACACTGGTGGTTTCCCGACGAAAGGTCATTCCCCTCACCGTCTCCTAGACCATGTTGAATCATAATTATATTTTGTTATTCACATCGTCTTTGTCTGAAAAGAAAGTGAAAGGAAGCACTTCAAGTTCCTCGTTCACCGAACGAATAAAAAAATTAGAAATGCTCGGAAATTCAAGATAAAAACCATTGTTTGTCTTTTATTGAAAATCACAAATGTGGTAAAACAATTACTGACAATATTGCCCGTTCAATTACCATCTTCATTCACAAACAAACAAATCACAACAGTGCACAAAGTATTCGGAAACGAAATGTATTTCGTCATTATTGTACAATAATTCGTCATGTATAGAAATGATTGTGTGTATTAACAAAGCAATCATGTCATTTAAAAATATTATTTGTTTACTCTAGTTCGACATTAAACGCCGATTTAGTGCAGGTCAACTGCTGATAAAGGTTGCCTTAATGCATTGCAAAAACGCTGCACGAATTTAGTTCTCCTAAACCAAGGAGAACTACCAAAGCCGTTTATGTAAAAAACACAGCGCTTATCACGGATGAACTAGAGGTATTAAATGCGATTATAGAATTTCTCAACAGAATGTCTGTCAAATAATCAACGGGATTTCGTTGAATGGCTGAGCCTTTCAAAAACAGTTTTAGTTCGCTAGTTCGGGTGATTTTTGCACGCACGCATACAAACGAGAGGTTTGTGGAGAACTGTTTGTGGCTGCTACTTTCCACTTTACTTTAGTTGCGCGTGGCAAATGCTATTGAATAACGGACACACGAAATGTCTGCCAACTAAAATACGATCATGTAGTTATGAATTTCCTGTAGTAAGAATTATTAATTCCTGAACTCCTTTACCATCAATCATCACAGTAGAAGGTGACCTTGGCTTTATATATATATATATATATATAATATATCCCTCCGAATCTTGAAACAAAAGCCACGTAGAACAATACACGCTAATGAGCTTGCGCGATTCAATAACTGATACAAAAGCCAATGATCAGACGACATGTTTGAAATTATTGGTGGCTATATATAGCGGCATGGCATTAGATAGTGATTTTTTCAAACGTTTTAAAAAGATGATTAGCCATTTTTTCTTCAAGAAACTTTGTCAGTCTTGAATCAATGTTTAATTCTATTGCACATCTTAGGTTTTCGCATTTTAGGAGATTTTGCAGACAATCAAATAAATCATCTTACGGTGTATAGCCCGAGTGTCTTAGTTTCTACCGTAGGTTATATTCAATAAACTATGTATAATTATTTTTTTAGATCCATACAACGAAATGTTTTCTTGGCAACCACTAGAAAATGGATGATTATTATTCACGAAAGTATATTATACAGGGTTACAAAGGATCACTGTAGGATATGGAAACATTACCCATTGCGGTGTCCTGCTGTACATGATGAGATCATTTTGGATTCTGCACAATATATAAAGAGGGAATTTCGGGTGTGATACACAGTGAGATACCTAAGGTGCTCTACGGTACATGAAGCATACGGATAGATGATTTTACAGGAAATACATCGAAATACTCCTTAATGTGAACGCTTACAAAACCATAGACAAAGGAACCTTGTGTTTGGTAAGTTTTAAATAGAACTCACTACAGTTTGATGTATAGATCAATGAACATAAAATAACATACGCTGCTTGCGTTGATTTCAATACAGCGTATAGCTTAAGATACAAATAAATTCATATTAAGTAACCGCGTTTACCTAAAAATACCCAATGACAAAGCACATGTTCTGGTAGACAAGCCAGTTTTTCCACATGTATTTATAAGAAGCATTTTATGTATTACATCATGATGCACATATGAATATAAGTTCACTTTTATGCATTCATGAGAAAAAAAAACACGAAACGCAATGAATCCTTAGCGCCAGTACTCGCTTGTTATCATGTTCCAAGCATTACATATTCATCATATGACTTCAACTCTTGCATATTACCGTCAGGTTTGATGGGTTTGATTGAGCAAAATAAACAAATCATTAATTATGTATGCAAAATACACAGGATGCAAATGAACATGAACTAATACATGTACATGTAGCAGGTGAAATATTTCATAAAACGAGCAGGATAATTCATGAAAATATTTCAAGACACAATTCAATTCACCGTAATTTCCCACAAGTGTCCTTTTTTTTTGTCACGTTGAATTTTACATTAAAGATTACACGAACCTTTTTTCTCCATACAAAAGAAAGTAAAATTACGACAGGTCATTTGGATGTTAAACTTATTTTAATTACGTAAGTTCAAGATTCGTAATCTTAAGCACTTGACGATTCATGCTTCAAAATATGAATTTACGCCAGTTAAACAAAGTACGGGAAAGCACTTGGTTTACTTTTCACAAATAGCTGTTCATCGGTAGTGTTTGTAAAAACATTGTATAACGTTTACTTCAAACGGCACACGCGGCAAAAGCCACGTAATTAACACAATTAACAAAGAAAGTTTAAAATTTATGACGTTTAAAATTTAGTATTTAGTAACAAATTATAATGATCGTGCAGACTCAATATTGAAAAAAATTTCTTTCAATTTTATTATTCTGCCGAAAGATTGTTTAATAAAATTTTATATCAGTGAACGTTTGACTGTATTATGTATATAATCCTAATATCGGATCACGCATTTTTTCGTAACACATGTCAATCACACACTTGGGAACGAACATAAATTATTCAAAATTGCTCAGTTTGTCATGACATCATGCACACTATTTGATTTTCTACATTTGCTATATATTCGGGAAGGGGAATTATAATTATTCACGATGATTTTAAGTATTTTATAACAATATTAAGTCGAACTTGCACTATACATAACTTGCACGATACAGAACCGTAATAGTCTTTTTCTATTGTAATGGACGGACGTGTTAAACTGTTTAAATTAGTTTACAAGCAAAGTTTACAACAAGTTTGTTTTATTAATATGTGGTCGGATTCATGTGTCAACTTATACAACAATAATCTTTATTCGGCAAAATTACCACGTTGCGTAGTTTGTTTGAAAAATGAAAATCTTTATCAACTACCGTTGCCGTGGAAACAAACGAAACAAAATAAAAATTAGGAAAATAAACTGCTAACGTCATGAAAGTTGGAGTGAATACAAATTTTTATTTGAAATCAAATTTACTACAATACAAAATAAAAATTAGGAAAATAAACTGCTAACGTCATGAAAGTTGGAGTGAATACAAATTTTTATTTGAAATCAAATTTACTACAATACAAAATAAAAATTAGGAAAATAAACTGCTAACGTCATGAAAGTTGGAGTGAATACAAATTTTTATTTGAAATCAAATTTACTACAATAAAAGTTTATAAACGTCGTGGATTTCAGATCTTTATGACAAGTTTATTCGAATGATTGCGTGATACAGTATTTACCTAAAACTTTCGACAATGACGTAAGAATAAGTAAATTAAGAGCGGCGGTAAAGTGGAAATGAAATATTTTACTTTTAATTCACAAGCGAATCGACTTGTACATCTTTTGAGAGAAACTGTCAAAAACCGATTAAAAAAGCTCTATGCTCATCTGCTCTTAATTTATGTCAGATTAAAGAATATTGTGTTGCAATATATTCCAATTATGAAATTGCTTTTAATGAGATATATATTTTTGCAAAAATTTATGCGTCAGCAATTTTCATAAACACGCTGCTTTTCAAAGATACGCTTGTACATAACATCACACGTATGCGCGCCCAAGTATATACAGATAGCGCCTTTCAGTTCATTGTATTCAAATCAATCGTATGTTCGGTTGGCAAACGTTTACGTAGGAATCGGCACGACAGGTAATTAATCACGTATGGATTGAGCCAAGGTAATTGTCCAAATTCTTTAAATCATAAAGTCATTTACTAAAATAGAATGTCATTCTAATGGGGTGCATGCTGTCATGAAGTCAAGCGACAATAGGAACTACTAAATGAAACTGCAAAAACAGATTTTCTTTCTGTTCGATTCGAACGATATTTTCTTAACGGAAATTCATAACAAATAGCATAACTATATATTTTGAAATTCAAATCAGCACCTTGTACTTTATTGTGCCCGCTACCGTATATTTATCAATTTCTAATTTTTACACAAAGAATAACACATCCATATTACGTATTATACATTTCCACATTTATATATTCATGAACATACAAAGGAATGTCTTAAATCAGCCTAGCTTACGTGCATTTTGGGGCCCACAGACATGGATTTCACAGAACTTACAGCAAAACATGCTTTGATACGTATGTGTTAAAAAACATACAAACAACCAAAACCCGCGCATTAATCCTTTATGCTTTTAATCCAGGTACGATGCCAAGTTATAATCCCGCTGTCACGTTAAAACCTTGTTGAACAATAAGTTTTGTATTCAGTAGGTTATTTTTGCTCACATGTCTAAGCTTCATTAATGCTCTTTACATTATTCTGAGATTATAATGATGTTTTCTGATGGATTTAATAACGATGTCCACCGTGGTTGAAAGACCTCCAGATAAAAATCCCCCATCAAAAAAAAAAGAAAACGATAATCATATATCTTATGCAAAGCTTTTAATGATTTAGGTTAATGCATACTTCTACATATTTGGATATATATGTACCATTTATATGGAGAAAAACCTGCATCGCTGATCTTTGCTAAAGAAAGCACTGAGCACTTGTAATTACAATACAAATTTGTTCAATATTATTATAATAAATAAGATTATGATGAATAACGTCGTACCAAGCTGGGGGGTAAATAAGAACATGTTTTCTAAATCAATTTCGTCTAACAAAAGATTTTAATGTTAACTACAAGCAACCACAATTTCAACAAAATGAACAAAGAATTTTGAATTAGACTACTGACGCACGGATATAAATTGACTAACTCAACAGAGAGAGTTGTCATTTTCTACATTCGCTCGTAGACCACCGGGGTCCATTTAGAGAAGCTTGTAAAAAAATTGTTTTCTTTAGCCTTTCATGCACAGTCTCTGCCATACCCGCAGGGCCTCAAAGCCAAGCTAAAAGCTATTAAATACATGTCCAAGTTAAAGCTATTATTTTGATAGATCGCGATTTTAAGGATTTGAAAACGCTTCTTTAAAGTTCAGGATGTAATTTAACTAATATAATTATGAAGTGTTCTCGATCAAATTTAATGTAAAAACCGTTGAAAGAAAACGATTAATATTTGACATAAAGAAGCTACATGAATCAAAGAAGTCTTTGATGAAGTAATCATTTATGATTAGATTTATGAAAGGAAATCACGAAAACTTTCGTTTCAAAGCAGCATCATATCGCGATGTCACAGTTGCATGTTACAACATATACAGCACACAAAGCGTATAGTGCATGTTGCCTTATTTAATTGCTTTAATCTAAATGTTTTTCTTCGTGGTTCTAAAACAACGTATATGTATCCTAAACATCATAATGAATTTTCCCTTCCTTTACCATACAAATATTGCCAGTGGATATATGTTAAGTAATACATATCATTTTCGATAACAATTATATACTGACTTTATACAAATTTCCATTAATACTTAGGAATTTTACATCTGTTTTATCCCCTTCCGCAACATCTCAAACCAAACACCCCCATCAAACAAAAGAAATTTAATCCGTAAATTTTTCCCACCCCTTGAAACCGGTTATCATGCAGCTTGTGCTGACTTTTTAGACCGTTTCCGCCTATACGTCATATAACAATACAGGAAGAACGCTGATTACCTCAGTCATATAAAAGCGCCTCGTCCAACATAACAGATGTTTATTCAAGTCGGCGGCCGTCTACATACGACGCTAGAAATTTTGATCGCATAAACGTATTGCTTTGAGCGCATTGAAAAACTAAGGTATTTGTACTCATAAATATATATTTACTACTACGTACAAATTCGTCGAACTAAAATGTCGACTCTTCTTTATAAAGATATAAATTCTTTATGGGCTTTGATCTGTTAGAATTTAGAATTGTCTATATATGCGTCATAGCATTTACTTTCTCATATTAAAATAATCGCTTACCTGTTCGTGGGGTAATGTCAAGTGAGCGTACAAAAAGCTGCAACTCTCTTACACAACCAAAGCCTATAAAATAGTTTTATCAAATTAGCGCTTGCTCAGAGATGTTTTGATTGCAATTAACGTCATATAAATTAGATAATAGAAGTTTTAAAAAATTGATCGTTTACAAATATATACGCATATAGTAACTACAATATAATAATTGCAATATCAATAAAATGTATTCGATACAAATTGCAATTGCTTCATATTCTGATATTTAACGTAATTCACCGGATCCAATAATACGACCTTACAAGCATCGAGGCCAAGGGCAACTAGTCGATTAACTAACACATATATCCATATAAAGTTATATAAAACGTAAAACTTCATTACATACCACGATGGTAATATTAATTTAGGAAAAGTTAAAGTATCACAGGGTTGCTATTTCGAGTAGAGTCAGATGTGTTGTTGAAGAGCCAATTAAAATACTCGATAGTGAAGTAAATGTTTCTGGATTACATGTAAAAGTGTACAAACACTATTGTTTCCAAGGAACGTGAAATAGTATATTTTAAGTATGGATATGCAACATTTACAAATATCGTATATACATTTTACCGCGACTACAGTTCTTTCTACGCACGACACTGGAAATACAATTAATAGATTAACAACAGCTAGCTATCAAAGACAAAAACAACGTCATGCAGTCATCTCGATACGCGTTTCCCCCAAAATGTCAACAACACAGGTTCCTAATTGTGCTATGCTCACCGAGATATCCTGTTTCATTTAAAATTGTATTCTCACTGTTTGACATACGAATTATCGTCACTTGAATAACAATGGCATTATGCTATCAGGGTGACAATCAATGCCATAATTTATTGTCACCTCCAGGAAAGCTGGCACGAGCTGGTAAAAGCGACTCGCGGGAGACTTACTCAATGGAATGTCACACTTTATAAATAGAGCTCGGCTCATATATGGCGATTTTGTAATGGACATACACAATTACTTGTGCGTTTTATTGGCATTATTTTCTTTGTACGTATCTATTATTTATGCTATTATTAGCCCGCTATGAACCAAAACCGCAACGCATTCTTGTGTTTGCTAAACACGTAACTTTGAGGTACAGTTAACTTAGCACACAGAAAAGAAGCCAACTTCGCAACATATATTTTTACTTTGTTGTTGCGCTGTAGAGCATTTTCAAATGATGTGGAGCGAGCTACTTGATTAGGCAAGGCGTTTCAATGTCACGAAGTTTGACAAAGCCTGTAATTCATGTAAATTTGAAGCATTTTTTAATAACGCAAATCGCACTTGAAATCTCCCATTAGGGACAAAAAAATGGATCAACACAGTATATTTTATCAGCCAGTAGATCTTTGTCAGTTACAAATCGCACGACATGAGCGCGCTTTCAAGAATCGAAATCAATGAAGAGACCTCATGATAACATGTATCATACTTGTTGCCTTCAAAGACTTGATGACGCAGCAAATAGAAACAAAAAGTCTTGTCGCTTGCGTGGATGAGCATAATTGCGTTCAAACAAAATAAAGTTTCATAGATAAGTTCTTGGCGCCATATTAGGGTATTAATTGTCTTAGGAAACAGGCGTCGTCGATCCTTCCGTCCTTCACTTTAAAAAAACGTCGTTTTCTCATCGCGTGACTTCAACTTTCGATTTTATTAACGTTGGCTAACCTATACGAAAAATTTGATGACACGAATAGACGATAAGGCGCCCCCGTAGTTTGGCCTCACAGAAAACACCGCTACTGTGACGCTTAAGCTGAGCATATTGCCAACCCATATACAGTAGCTTTCGATCATTGTACGCACTGAAGAGCAATTCTTCGTCGTTAGCATCGCTAGGCTCAGGAAATTCAAGGTTAAATATACAAGTCGTTGTTTTTTGGCGGGAAATCGCGAAACGTCATCGCAAGGCATAATATTACAATAACGTCAACAGATCAAATTTAGTGCTCGCGACTTGTAACTGTCGCAGTAGGAAAAGCAGGTGGAGGTGTTTTATTCATTTGTTATGTTATTCGTTTGTAATTCCTAATGCCAAGTTTACTAAACGCAGCGATGGGATGGTTGTACAGTTTATAAACAGAAGTATTGTTAAAAAACAAGCATGGGCATGTTTGTCGACTGTCATTCGCAATATTCCATTGAACGTTTACAATGCAAACAAATGAAAACAGTTAACAAAGACAACGCAGTAATTATCCAGCTATTGTGTTGAAAAAAAATATTTTATGTTCGAATGTTTCGATTCGTATCCTCGCGCACAAACGACCGAGTTCTCGCAATACATAGCCGTATGTAGCGAAGCGACTCTTCGTCTACGCAAAAAACCACGTAATTTCGAGGCAAAATTATATGATTTTGATTGAAAACATCTTGATATTTATAATAATTAAAGTAGGCGGAGCACCAAATTTATGACCGCATTGTGTTATGACATGCAAACGCAGATATAAAAACCCCATATCGATCGAACACCATAGTGCGATTAAATCACGAGTGTTCTCGTATATAACATAGTATCATCTTCTTTTTTAATGCAGTTTCGCGACTAACGTGTTGGCAAGAAGTCGAGAAGCATTTGCATAGAAAAATTTCGATTGGAGTCACCACATTCATTGAAAGATACAGCAGTTCATTCTCGTGCATCGCGTGTAGCAATTTGTATGGTGTAAAGAGTGGTGTTGTGTGGTAATGGTACACCATTAACACAAGCAGTTCATCTGTGAGTTTGACAGCATTCAAAGGTACGCTATGATACAGTACCACAACTTCATATTAGTGAGAATTCAATCCGTTCAAAAATAACACAAGCAAGCGTAGGCGTACTATAAACATTAAGTGTTGGAGCCGGTTGCACGAAGCATACCAAACGCTTTCCGCCGAATTGCGAAGCTTTCAAGCAAGCGTTTGAAAAGATAATTATATTTCGTTCACGAAAATGAAACATCACGGTGTCGTCGAGTTGACGTTTTATCCTATAGATTATCCGGTTTAAAGTGTAGCTTTTTGCCTTTGAAAATATCTTTGAATCGATTGAAATATCATTATCCGTGTTTCGTCGATGATGTTGCTAATTAAAATGTAAAAAGTATTCCGGAGCCCATCTTGTAGTCATTTATATCTACTAGCATTCAAAATGTCAATGAGGCATTCAAAATGTCAAAGCAACTATCGAGTTGCTTTTTTGAAAATGCTGCCACATTTTCACGTAAATGTTTATTATTGAACGTAACGTGTCAATTGTTAAGTTGACATAAAGTACGACAAAAATTTCGCATATGTGGAAACGACAAAATTGACAAAAACTGCTGTATCACACATTAATACCTTACAGTAAAAATGGAAAATTCTAACCAGAATTAGGAAGAATTCTAAGATTTAAGAATTTCAATTTTGAGGATATTCGAAACTTTTTATTCTCAAGAATTGGACGTGCCTCTAGTGGACAGTAATTATGCTGACAAATAAATAAAACACACAATTGACGTACTTTAACACAACTACAATTTGGAGGGCATTAGGAACTTTGTGCTATTTGATAATAACTATAATGGTACATGCCTCAAGAGGACAGTAACTATGCTGCTAAATAATAAATAAACAACACACAATTGACGCGCTTTGACATGTTTAAAAAGTTACTCGGCATGCTCTATTCTTTGGAACAATATACTTAAGCAGTTTACGAACAATTGCGGTGGCCCTTGTTCCAATGAAAAGATACTGTGATAAAATACACATAATAAGGATAACAACAACGGCGTAATGATTGTTGAGGCGGAGCAAGAATAATTTTTATCGCCGGTCAATTTAGTTGTCTCTTCATGATATCTTTTGTCGTATCATTACAACTTCCTTCCACTAACACTTTTAGACATCGATCACAAAAAAGTCTTTTTTCCGGTTTTGAGTATGAATTAAAAAACTTTTATGAATGATCAAATTACAAAAATAGTTATTTTTATTGCTGTTTCTCGTTATTGAACAGAGTTCCATAAAATTCGTTTACACGAATGACGTCACTTGAAAGATTATACGAAAACCAGCATTTACTGCGCTAATTCTATTAGAATTAAAATTATATCATCCGATCGACAGTATATTTTTGATTTTGATGTTTCTTATTTTTTAATGTGCTTATTCTGTAGATAATAGCATTAAATAGATTTTATTACATAGAATGTATTAGGATGTGTAAAAATATCTCGTGTTTGCAATCATCTACAACTTCGAAACGAGTAGAGAATATTGAGAGAAATTTGCAACATCAACCATTAGGAATATTCATGCATTATATGTTCTTTTAATAACATTGGAGGCAAAGAAATTCTAATTATAAATCAATTAAAAGAAAGAAATTTGCAACATTAACCATTAAGAATATTCATGCATTATATGTTCTTTTAATAACATTGGAGGCAAAGAAATTATAATTATAAATCAATTAAAAAGACACAAAAGGTCGGAAAACGAATAGAATGTCATAAATCGTGACTTAATCAGCGACGACACTGTCTCCTGTTTTTTCTCAATATTGTATGACTCAACGTGAGCATTAAAGATCTTTTGTCGCCCCGTGGAGAGAGAAAGAAAACTTTTCATAAACAATTTACAATTTTAGTCACCGACACGTATCGGTTACTGAATGACACGGCAAAATCACCGAAAATAACTTTTAACTGGCAATTTAGATTACCAATAAAAAAACGAAATCTTTAATATATCCTTCATATGATGAATTTGACCATCAATAGATGTTTCCGACATTATATTGCACGGTCTTTGTTTCAAATGACTATACTCAAATAAAATTTGGGCAGCATATAGATCAGTGGGCATAATAATTGTATCTTTAACACGCGTCGGATATGCAAATGCGTTATATATTTAAACATGATTTATTTTTAAATTTGATATAGTCATTCGTACGCCTGGCTTGGCAACACTTCATTCAAAGACTCTCATCGGTCGACACGCTTGCTACTGAAGAGAGAGCAGTGTTTCGAGCTGATAATTTGCGGTCTGTTTCTATTGGTGCATGTTGGTTTTTCATACGCTCTTGAGAATTCAAAGCGGCGAAATGGCTGAGAACATGGATCCTAACCTGGCATATTTTGGTCATGAACTGGCTCGCATTGGCGATGTTATGAACACCCAACAAAACGGCGGGGGTGAACAAAATAACAATATCGAAGTTGAACAGATACTGCAATTGACCGGCTGTGCATCTATCAGTTGTTTTGCAGTATATCTGCTCTGCAGATTCATACAAAAGAAACTTCTTCGTAATGAATGAACATTGGCGATTTGATCGAGGACATTTGTACATGGATATTTCGGTGTTTCGCCGAATCTGTATATATATGTATACATTAATTAATGTGGATGGATAAAATTAAGGGAATTGTACATATTATAACGGTGAACTGTATTTTATTGAAAATATGCGATAAATGGTCACTTTTGCAAGGACTGAAGAAGAGCAACCGCTCGAAATGTTGAAGAATTACTCTCAAAAAGCTACATAACATGATTCTACAGACAGGCTTGGTTTCTTAACAAATGATTACTCTCCTTCAACGCAATCTTCACTAGGTGTCAGCTGTTAAAACATTTCAAAGGATAAAGAGGACGATTACGCGCAAGGATCAAAGCTAGACATTTCAATGACCAAATTTGGCGAGACTTGCAAATTTTAGCAGTGTTCAAACTTTGAACTGTTCGATAATTCATACGAAGGTGTCTTCACATTATTTAACAGCAATTCCAAGTACAAGGCAAACATCTTTGGGAAGTTTCAACACCAAATTTGGTAACGTTTCCCCTCGATGAACAAGCAATTGTCTTTTAAAATATTAATATTTAATGACAAAAAAAATTGCTTTGTAGACAATATTCATAATATTTCATCTGAGTCGATATCACCAAATATTACCCCACTTTGACAAGCTATTAACTGAATCGTGCTTTTCGTCCATCAACCTCCTAAATTTTCGGCCATTTTTGATGCAAATACAAACGCAAATTATGAAAACGTTAGCATTAGCGTCGTCAACGTTTGATCTTGAAATCAAAAGTCGAGCACCGAAAAGATCAAACACCAACACAATGACAATGAACGCTGTGTGAGCCTAGTTATAATATAGTCGTAACATTACTGATAACGTTGTAATATATAAACTTTTTTGTACATAATATTCTCCTTATGTATAGAGTTAGACTGCATATAGTATAAATGTATAAAGTAGAGAGAATTTTGTACATTATGAATATTAAATTTGTTAAGCGACTTGGAATATTAAAATTTCGGTGAAGCACATAAGAGAAGGACTTTAGTTATTGCAGCAAATGTTTGCTGCGTTTGTTAAAGTATGTTTCTGCGTAATATACAGAGAAATTCACTCAAAATGCGAAATTTCCTTTGTATGTAAATAATGAGTAATGTGTTTGTCAATGCACTATGCACACATACGTCAATATGAACAATGATAAATTAAAAGAAATACAAACAAAAAGTCACGATTGTAAAATGTAATATTTAAATTTATAACACGCAGCGCACGCATTCAATAATAAAACAGGGGATTCAAACTGGAACATAAAATTAAAAATCTCCGTGGTTTTCATTACACATTTTCAGAAACACGATCAATATAACTCTAGTCACAACAATACGTTTATAGCTTCAGCATCCATTCTTCTACATGAAAGCGATACGGGGAAAGAATTTTTTTTTAAAAAGTTAATAAGTGCTTCTCAATGTCAAACACATGAAAGATGATAAAGTTTCTTTGTGGAGACATAATGAATGTATATTGATTGTTATCATTTAAACACAAAAGTATATTATCTGGATACATCACTTCTAGCAAGTTAATATAATTAACGAGCTGCAAATGATCGAAGACAATGAAAAACTCTGATAAAATAACAATCAAGATATTACGTTGAAATGTTTAACTGTTCGTGTCCATTCACGTGATCGTTGCGTGATCGATAACACAAGTATATGTAACACGTATTTAAAAATCGGTCATGATATTTTTAATCATGAAACGAGATGAAGCTGCGAAAAAACAAAAATCGGACGAGCTTTAACAATTTTTATAACTGCTTTTATAATAATCTATTAGGGGGAATTACGTTAAGTGTTATCAAATATTAAATTGCGGCAGGAAAAACGTGTTGAGACCAATAGAGAAATTGAAAGATAAACAAAACCTCCTTCTAAATTCTACTTATAAAAAGGATACATCCCTCAAGTGACGCGATGCTTTTTCATTAATAGCCTTTGTCAGTAGACAGTGCTAGAACATCATCAGTACCCAGATTGTATAATACATCGACGATTATACACACAAATTTCTACTTTCTATAATGAGGGCGTTAAGGATCAAAAAATCGATGCAGTTTCACGATACATTACACACTTCGCTGAAGATATGCGTATAGAATTAAACTATTTCATGAGCCCGAATTCAAAAATACAGTTTATTGTTTTCTAATACTTTTAGCACATTTCTAGAATCATACTACATGTTGCTACGATAAATTCTTTCCTTTTTCCAATACAATACAACCACAAAACGACAATTTTAAAGCGGAAAAGCTGATTCACACGAAGGAAGATATCAATTAGTGGTGTACATTCATCTTCTCATCATGTTTTGTTTACTTACTTGATCTATAGCAATGCATATTAACTTTATCTAAATGTATTTCTCTTCGTTATTAACATAGGTTATCCCAGCCATGATCGCATCATCTCATACGGTCAGGTATTTTCAACAGTACTTTATTTTAAAAAAACCAACGACGTGTCTGAAGAACGTCTTTGTACGCAAGAATGGGGTCGAGGAACCTTCTAGAAACCACAAATGCTTTAAAAGTACAAATAAACATAGCGCCAAGTTTATTGTGCACGGCGTTAATGCGTTTGATGATTATACAATGAAATTTTAATTTGTCAAAACCAAACGATATTTATGCATGAGACAATATATTTCAGTAGGAGAGAAAAAATTATACCACCCACCCACATCACAAGGAAAAAATTTGACGTAAAAAAGAAACCGTTCATGAGATGCTGTGAGTCATGGGCTCTATCGCCGCTGGTGATTATTATATATATGTATAAAAAATGAAAAATCGCACGCAGTTCAAAATATATGACTAAAATGTTCGATGACGTTGAAAACAATTCTATAACATGCACGGGATAAAGAAAGCCTTGCCCATACACGTTTAGTCAATATTTACGTTATGCCAAAGATCTTTAAAATGTCATCCTTTAATCTAAGAAATAATACGGGAAGCGCATGCAATGACGTTATAAAATCAATTAACACGAAAACGTTGTTGTTTTATATACATCGTGTAGCGCGTTATTAAAGCCCCAGGAGTACTTGTGTTAGCGAAATATTACAAGAACATCATCGCTGTTTTAATGTAACAAAGGAAACTAAGAAACAAGAAGATAAACCGTCATTCTTGTAAGCAAGGGAATAAAATAGGAAATGTAAAATAATAAAACAGTTCCAACTAACGATATCATTGCTGAGTCATGACAAAACAAAAGCGCGCGTGTGTGTTAAAAATACACAGTGTTAAAGTCAAAAGAGATTTGTTTTAAAGAGCTTCTATTTGAATTGACCAGAAAATTCTATTTTTGTTTGTTTCGTACCCTGGAATAGGATATCGCGGGGGATGAAATTTTATACATATATATATAGAATGACTGAAAGACAGCCAAGTTTAGTGACGGCAATTTTATTGTTATTATATTGCCTTCGTGTAATATAACACGCTGTCACAACAACGAACTAAAATAAAGGTCAGTCAAACTACAACATGATCATACATCATTGTTTGCTCTTGTATTACGACAATAGTATTGATTAAAAAAATTTTGCTGTATACAGGTTGTTTTTAATCCTTGATAAAAAATCGATGTTCGTGAACCACGTGCAAACAGTCAACTAGTTGCATATGCATTTTTTCCAGATGTATTAACAAAACTTTCACAAAGTGGACACTTAGAGATATACATTGTCATTACCGACTTCTTGACATAGAATTTTAACAACAACGGCGCTGACCATCAATTGTATGTTGGTATAAGCTATGCACATAATGTTGAGTTGTATTTAAAAAAACATTTTGATGCAATTCCTCTTCCGATAAATGAAGATAATAAAACAGTGTTTCATATCAAAGAAGTTTTGAAATATAATTCGGTTATATTACCATGTGTGCACGATATCAAGCGATTTAATGCTTTACAGACATTTTATACGTAGCTAAACATATTATACACATTTCAAAAAGGTTTTAGAATAAAATCGATCGTCGATCATCATTACATATATGCATTTCTGAAACCTTTATAGTGTACCTGAAGGAAGAGAAACACTTTTATACTCACAGTAGTGTTAATAGTTTAATAAAGCATCAGTATAATCCATGGGCGAACACTGTTTGAAGTGTTAGTAATTTATCTACAATTGATGGCATAATCTATTGAATGAAGCAACGCCCATCATTATTTGCCATTTTTATCTGTTTATCCAAGCAGATTAAATATATATCCATGATTGCAAATATACATAATTATGTAAAAATATGGAAGAATTTCTAGAAAGCTCGTCCTGTCGTCGATAACTTAACTCTGTTTGAAATAGGGTAAACAAGAACATAGTACTTACTTGAGCAGCCAAAAACACAAGATTCATCAACTTTATAAAAAGACTGATAGAAACTTTCACTCATCTAATGAACATGCGTTTGCATCGGTTTAGCAATAACAAGCCTTGTGCTGCTTAATATGAATACCAGATGTAAGTTCTTCAAGGCTTGATGTCAGTTGTTCAAAGATTTCATGCGAGTTGTTCACAGGCTCTATGTTTAGTAGTCTACTGGCTTTATGTCAGTTATTCACTGACTTCATGTGAGTTATTCCAAGGCTTCATGTAAGTTCTTTCCTGGATTCACGTGAGTTCTTCACTGGCTTCACGTGAGTTCTTCTTAGGCTTCATGTGAAATCTTCACTGGCTTCACGTGAAATCTTTACTGGGCTCGTACGAGTAGTTCACAAGTTCTATTCACAGAAAATTTTTCCTAAACGCCTTTAATGTGTTATGTAAAATCCATAATGGTTTTTCTTAAATCAACACTCTCTATCCATGATTGGATTTAATTCCTCTTTTCCACTACAGTTATTCAACATGGGAATTACGCAATAAATTCCATGAAAAACAACAATGTTGGATTTTTTAAAAATTTTCCAATGATTGGAGATGTCTAATAGTTCAATCTTCGTTGTCCATTGATTTGACGCGGTTTCTGTTTATAATACGTTCCATAATAAGTTCAGCGCTACCAATTTACAACTAAACTTATATTATGCGGCGTGCTTGTCGGTTGATGAAGCGCAGAAGCGAACTTTACACAGACGCCATGACGTTACCATCTTGTGTTCAAAATCCATCTTGAGCACGTACAATTTACGCGCTCTCACCTTCGGCAAACTTCTTACAAACCGCAAGTTTGATAGGCCAACAAATTGATAAGAACAAGGACCTTTCTCGCTTGTTTCATTAACCAACTCTAAATTCAAGCACAATTTCCAGGGTAGATTTCGAATGCAATGAATGCAAAAGCCGAAAAAATGTCGGCCAAAACAAAAAAAGAGAGATGGAGGTGTCAGTGATGTTAGAATTACTGATTTGAACAACATTATGGCGGTTAAATACAATATCCCAATTTTATAGTGGAAACGCATAAACGTATTTAATCGATACATGCGATATAATTAGCATGTAATAAAGTAGCCGGTCTTCTCCATTAAACTGCATCAGACGGCAACGAACATATTACAAAAGTTAACCCACAAAGTCACAATTTCGTACATTTGCCCACTCTTTAAGACTTGAATTAGAGCAATTGGGGAAGTAATTTATGAGAATCTACACTCAAAGTTCCTGAATGTTTCCGCATCCATGAATATATTGATGAAGAAAATCATACAATGTCGTCAGTTGTAAAATTATCATTAGTAGAAACGGGACTGCGCTTTGAAGTTGCTGCACTATTAAAGAAAATGCGCTTTCGAAAGCACTTACATAATAACATTTGCTATACACATTGAAGGCCACACATTCGAAAGGGAAAAAAACAGCAAGGAAGGCACGTATCTAACTCCTAATATCGATAACTAAAACACCTGTAAAGTTAATAACGCACAGGAACAAGCACGCTACACAATGTTGTGTAAATAATAATTGGCTTTTTGGAAAAGAGAAAACAAAAATGAGAGTGTAAGGTATGCCGTCACGTAAATACCAACCAGAAAGTTCCAAGGACTTTGAGAAAAACCGATGGAAAATTGCGGAACCGTAAATCCACATTCGGGAAAGCTAGGATTTACGGTAGAAGGAAATGCAAAAGTGAAATGTGACAAAAAATACACATGTGGATGCCTCGAGCCAAACCAACCCAAATTGAATACGATTTATGTTTTAAGTTGCCGGATGACGCACAACCGCAGTGTGTTTGACGTCATTTCATCCAATAACGATTCGTGAAAACTGCAACTTTTATCTAGCGCATATACAGCTGGCACCGCCAATATTTGCGATCATTTTTCTCACTGCAATGACAAAACATTCACATACGCAATATTTGTTGCATTTCCAAGTGAACCGGACGCTCTAAAACGACCAATGACCCCTTTCGAAGACATTTCAGGCGTGCAAATAGTCTTGTGGATAGCCTTGTGTATGCGTGTTTCCTTTTCAAGCAAAGGTATTGTTTGCGAACTTTGCGCGTCAAACTGGGGCCATTTCCCTTTGACATTGACGTAGCAAATGTATAAGAATAGTGCACTCGGCATTTGGGTATCACTTGAAATCAACTATAAACACGAAACTTACAGCACTAAGAGAGGAAAGCTACTACGAAAGAAATTATTCGTTCTTTAAACAATAAAAGAACTTTAATCATAAGGTAAAGTAAAGTAATATTGGTATTTCTATTGCTTTCATAGGGATGTCAAGACAATTTCCTTTTTAAGTGATTGTTTTTCCCTCCAACGAACGCAAATAATGAAAATATGCAAATGAGAGAAATGGTTTTATTCATTCGAAGAAAAAATATGCGTCGCTTTGGTTTCCAATATATTCAAACCACATCACGACGTAGCCTGTAGCTATTTTATGCATCGCGAACTTGAGATGCTTTTGCCAAAATACGTGGGAGCTCGGTATAAAAATACATTTTGACTTCGTTAGCATAATATCGATGAATAAAAAACAAGGAATGTGAACTCCTCGCACAGCAAGTGAAGCCGTGTATGTGGGAGCTAACAATCAACTTTGATATTATCCTCGTGGAGTTATAACTTCAACATTTCACAACTTTGACTCAACTCGTGAAAATTGATTTTTTTTAATGCAATCGTGTTTTGCTTCAACAATGCATGTCGAACTGAATGGTGATAGCATTTGTTTGGATCTTAACATGTACAAAATCAATTTAGGAGAATGAACTGTTTTCAAGGAACAAACAATATTAAACAGCAAAAACGTGATGCAAACAGCGCATTGCCGTAATTATTACACGCCATTAAAAGATCGTCAAATTTACATAAATATATACGCAAGAGCTCGATCAATGATATTGAACTCAAACGCCATAGCGGTTATCTGTAAGCAGTTTGCAGAAGTGAATCTCTTTTCGATATTAAATAAAGCCGCATAATTACACATGTGACAAAACAAAAGTATGCGTGACCTGCTTGATGATTAATACCGCGTTCATTTCATTTCGACATGGGCGTTCCTATTATTAGCTTACTATAAGTACTGGCACTGAACCAGGAATGATAAACGGGAAATTTTAAGGTCACCCTTTCACGACAGTTTTAACATCTCCTCTTAGACATGAATCTGGGCGGCTCCAGCGTTAGGCAAAATATATTTTAGGGGAATAAAGCTCTATGATTGGTTAGATCTTATTCTTTGGACATTCAAAACCAATAGCACGGTCACAAAGTTTTTGGATTTAAAAAGTACTGGCTGTTATGTGATTTTGCCTAACCCTGGATATCCGCTACTGATTTCATCATTACCAGCATGTCGAGCACGAGGAAACGGCAGTTGTCCAACAATAGTGACGTAGGCATTTTCGCTTACCTTTTTAAAGTCGTGTAAAAAAGTTGACATTTGGCTTTATTATCTTTAGGTTGAGCTTCATTCCTGCAGAAAAAAGAAGATATAATACAACGTTGAAAACTAGTTTGATAACAGTATACAATAAAGCAACTATAATTGAGGAGGATTACAAATTTGAGGAAAAACTATAAAAAAAAACAAACGAAAAGCTCGTTGCATAGGAAGACACCGCATTAAAAGACAATCCCGCGAAAAAATGGAAGAACAACATGGAGAACAGAACATTGAAGAATTAACAGCACAACAACAACGTTTGGCAATCATTGCTAAGACACTGCAAACAATCGGAGATGATCTCGACAAAAACATCAGAACAAGAAAACATTTCAACTACGGTAGCTGGACAACTATAATAACTGCGGTGTTTGTCATTACCACGAACTGTTTTTCATCCAACGAATCTACAATTTCCGAGTATTTATGAAAAATGGTGCCAGCACGCTGACTGATAAAAGTGAATGAATGTAAAATCGTGAACTCGTACACTACATCAAAAATCCCATGCATTCACAATGAGTCTTAGCTTAATTTTATACGTATTTATAATATATAGTAACGTAACATATTTATGTGTGAAGATGTAAATAAAGCAAAAAACAATTCAAAATATGAATCGATCTATGCCTCAATGATAATAGAACAAGTTTTCACTCTGCTCTGCAAACCCAGCCCCCCTTGTGTCTTCCCTTTCCCTCTCCCCATAGAGCATGCTCTATTCTCATTTTATCTTGCTCTCCAACACCCCCATGCTTTCCCTTTCCATTGTCTAAATAAAACAAGATTTTACCTTGCTCTCAAACACCCCCTCCTATATTTCTAAATATAAATCCCTCCAACACCCATGCTTTCCCTTTCCATTATTTAAAATAAGATTTTACCTTGCTCTCCAACAACCCCCCTATGTCTTCCCTTTCTATTATCTAAATAAAACATATTTTTACCTTGCAATCCTACACCCCCCCGTCTCTCTCCATTTCATTGTCCTTACAGAACACATTTTTAGCATGTTCTCCACCCCATGCTCCCTTTCTCATTTTCATTATCATTTCTTATCATTTTGTGTTCATTACATTTTTATCACTACCCAACAAACATTCAAAGCATCAATAGTAATGAAACAGCTATAATGCATTCAATTTGCAAAGTGTGATTCACATTTTTTGTGTACTTTGCATCTACAAACGATTAAATAAGTTATAGAAAGGATTAAGTTCACATAACTTGCTGTTGAAAATGGAAAACCAAAATAGCTTTCTGATAAAAATGTGGCAAAACATGCAAACCATGGCCCTAAAAAATTCCTTGGTAATGCCGTCAATATGATACCAAAGAAAATGCTAGATAATTTTATGCACAACACAAATGAAGATTTGCATTGTAACAAAGTAAGGAAGTCAACTGTTTAATTATTCTACATGCTAACATAGCTACCATTTGCTAAATAATCATCTAAACATTCATTAGCCATAAACACCTTCCTAATCCTTAGGATACTTCATGCGTACAAGCAAATTGTGCTAATATCATGTCGAACATGATCAATCAACAAAAGACTGGGAACTACTATTTTACACTTTGATGAATGATGAAAATCACAAAGGCAAAAAAAGGCTTTAATTTTAATCAATGCAAAGATAAGAACTTGTTATCTTAAAGTATAATAACTCCGATATGCAACAATTTACACCCTGATAATGAACAAAAGATAATTCTGAATTTGAACAAAAGATAGTTTTGAAGCAGAACAAATGATAACTCTGAGAATGAACAATAGATGATTCTGAAATTGAATGAAAAATACCCAAGCTTGGAATTGAAGAAAACATCTCTGAAATTGAACAAAATATAACTCTGAGAATGAAAAACAGATAACTCTCAGAATACGAATAAAAAATAACTCTGCAATTGAAAAAAAGATAACTTCAACAATGAACAGAGGATATCTCTGAAATTGAACAAAATGTAACTCTAAGATTGAACATAACACAAATCTGGGACTTAACAATTAATATTACAAATATTTTTTTCGAATGTGCCAAAGGATTGGAACAAGAAGGAAACAAGAAGGCTCAGCCATAGAAAAATGGAATTTTGGTACATTGTCTTCAAGAAAGATAGGTAGCTATCACTTATATTTAAATGATGATGAGGTAATAATGATAATCAACAAAAAATGATATAAGAAAACACTTTGGCAAATTCTTTTTAACTGAGTTTGAAAATATTTGAGTAAATATAATATATATCTACAAATTTCACAAAAGGTTTTGTTTTTAAGTTTTCTGCACCACCTTTGTTGGTCTACAAATATCTGGACAAAGATGACATTGTCTCTCAGCTAAATTTTCAGCCAGTTTATCCTAACTTGATAAATTTAATATTTCTTTATTGCCATCAAACAATCTTCCTTTCAACATGTATTAACAAGAACGCCTATTTTAACTAACATAAATATAAACCTGAGTTTTCTAGCTAAAGTTATTTGCAATTATGTATGAGATGTAGGTCAATGAGCTAGCAACGAAAGGCAAGCAAATTGTAAATTTTCAGACAATATAGGAGAATACTTACTTGGAGATGCAAGGGGTTTTGCTTGCTTGTTGATTGATCACATGAAATATTACGGGAGACCTGTAAAGCAAAGTTTCAACGTCAGGATAATGTTGTGGACGATACGCCCAATTTCATTTTGGCTGTTGACCTGAAGACTTTCGATTAGTTTTCTGTTGAAATAACTGAACTAATAGCCATGAAAGTTTACCAAAAACATGCACAATGGAAAGAAAAAATTGTTAACCTTCATAAAAATTTCCTAAAAGCAGAAACGAAGGTCAAATAATAAAAAAAACAGCTAAAATTTGGACCATACGACGACCATGAGGCAATGGAGTTCAAATTGGAGTGGTATGTTGAAAATTTCAATTTTCAAATGTAACCTGAATGGCGGCAAACACCCGCCAATTGCTCGCAAAATAGATGATAAATAAAACAATCATAAATAAAACAATCTTTTTAGGCCGTATTCTGTATCAAGAAAATGTGCTAAAAAATGATTTCTAAATGCCGAAATTCATGACTACATAAAAATCACAGAAAACTACTTATTTTTACTGACTGAATATGATTTAAGTTGTTTGCATCTCTTGAAATTGCAATCTTTGGTGTTTCAGTACTCCAAAGTTTCATAATATTCGTTTAAAGTTTTACCTGTCGCGATCTTGTTTTATTTGTGAAACTGCTGACAATATAGCAAAAATTGCGGGTGCACTGTACATGATAGTAGTTGCTATCATGTAATATCATTTATGACCTATTATTATATTATATTATATTATATTACTAAGCATTCCATATTTTTATATTTTAACTTTAAAATCCATTTTGCAATGTCATTACTAATTAGGACATTATCTAGAAGCTTGCTTGCATGCTTGCTTGCATGCGCTAGAAGTTTGCTTACATGCGTAAACATATTTTAAAAACCCCAACCGCGTTGTTGTTATTGTGGTTAACTATATCTTGCTGTAACATACTGTATTGCGTATGGGATGTAGGTCACAAAACCACAATACTTCCCATTAGATATTATATATATATGAGTAGTTTACACCACTGAGAACAACCTACGAGAACAACCTACGAGCACAAGCTACGAGGAGATAAACTTAGGAGGCATAGCCTACCGAAGTAGGTTGACAAGCTATAATCTACCAGACAACTATCTTGGCTTTTGTGCCATAACTATCTTTTGGCTTTTGTGCCTTTAATCAATTTGGAAAACTATTGTGAGTCATTGTTGGACTCACGAACGCTCAAGAATAAAGACTTACGGTTGTACTCAGACAGAGGAGATAAGTTTACTCATACTTATTGATATTATTATTAAGACACTTATCTACTTTAATATTTACGCGTTGATTAATAAATTGTTTGATAAATATAACTGGTTCACACTATCTTTGTTGCGTGTGGAAATAGAACCAAAATTAATAGTTATTCTTTCGGGACCACGCACGTAACTTGCACAATGATCAAAACAACAAAAAGGCGAGCTTGCGGGGATGTGTAATCCATTTTAAAGGTGAAAATGGGCCATTGACTGATTTTACCGAGACATCTTTGAAAAAAGTTTTACATTGTCACGAGCTTTGGTTACTATACAATGGTGAGCAGAGAGACATCGCTGAAAAGAACAAAAATTTGATGAAAAAAATTCAGTCCATGAAAAGTCCTTTGGCTGAGTACCGTGGAGAGTTAAAGTACCATAGAAATTGCTATGGAAGATTTATAGCTAAACATATCATTTCAAATTAACTTAGAAAGATTGATCCTTAATCATTATTTAGCACCGTTCTTTTGAATATGAACCAGCAAATTTAGCGAATTTCACACAAAACAATAAGGCGGATATAGAAAATAAATGTCGAATTTTTGATGGCTCTAGCTCTCTTGATTGCAAGTTTTCGGAATGTAAACAGGCAGATTTATATTAAGTGAGTACATATCAGTACATCTATGTTGTTTTTACTTAGTCATGAATTTCTGCATCTCAACCTGAACAATAATCCACCATAGAATACGGCCTATTTTACAACTTGCTTTATTAATTTTTTCGATGTATCTTGTGTTTTTAGTGCTTTCACTTCTACTGAGAGCAAAAAATGAAGCGTAACTCGATCATTAATAACAAATGAAAGCGTAGCTATTTCTCGATCGTTGTAATGAAGTCGATAAAAATTCAATGACCCCGACGAGAATTGAACTCGCAACCTTCTGATCTGGAGTCAGACGCGCTACCATTGCGCCACGGAGTCATCTGGTTATTACAAACGTAAAAAACCTAAAAAAACCACAACAGTATAATTTTACTTTGCTGTCATTTTATCCAACTTTTTTCTTTCTTCGTAAAAATAGCAATAAAATTCCAAGTTAAAGACGGCGGAGCATTTTTTGACTTGTTGGTGGGCCTTTGAACGCGAAGCTAAACCCAGAGGATCTGGGACAAATTTTAATAATTGAAAATGGCTTCAACATTAGTTGGGAAGGGGTGTCTCAACGCTCCAACTTCGCGGTCCTTGACCTGACTCATGACATTATGAAGTGGATTGACGAATGCTATACCTTGCATTTAATTTATTTATATAGCTCTATTGAAAACGAAAAATATCTCAAATATATAGGTCTTTAAAACTCTCATATTTCTCTTTGCAGCTGATCAAAGAAAATCCTAGTGAAATTTGTTTTAATTGTTACGTTTGTGTAGGTCAGAAAAAAGGTGACAGAAATTATTTGTAAGGAACACAAGTGGTCCTTGAAACCAAGAAAAGGATTGATTAGAATTTTTGTCCACCAATACTCCAAATGTGATGATGAAAAAACCTCAATGGCAATAATCAAATGGGAAAATTAAGAAAATTTGAAATGTTTCGTAAAGTACAAAAACAACGTGCAGATTAATCTTTGTCGACCTATTTCAACACAAGAGGACAAGGATTACCTGTGTCTCAGTAGCTACAAATTCCCTCGTGAAGCTGTGAGACAGTCAGGTGAAAAGATTACTAAAAAATTGTGTAAACAAGCACCCTTAATCCGGTAAAGAATTACAAAATCGACAAATCCAAAAAACATGACAAAACTAAAATAGCTAGATGACCACTTGAGAAATCTTTCATCGTGAAGGATTTGTCTGAATCTTTCATCGCGAAGATTTGTCTTGACTAATTTTCATTCTTTCTCAAGTTTGCCTTAATCCTTGCACACGATGCTCTCGTGAACATGCACGTTTGTACGAAAAAGAGGTGTGAATTGGGCAACTGAAAGGATGTGAGCTTAAAACAGAAAAATTTTTGGTATTTTGATGTCACGAAATGTAGCCAAAAATATAGGCAACTTATTCCTTTTAAGAAGCATTGCTTGATGGATTCGTTAGACTAACGTCAGGTTCTTTAGCAAGTGCAGTTTTGTTTTTGACAAAGTTTACTATTAGTCATAGAATGTGTAGAGTTTGCAAATAAAAAGACTTACCGCGCACTACAGCACTCTACATAAAAACTTTGTGATCGTGATGTTCAATATCGTACGTGCAAGTAATTAGAGTTGTTTTTTTTAATGAGAAGTAAATTTATAGTTAATGAGACATTAATTCGTGCACATTTGAAAAGTTTACAAGCAGTTAAACAATTTTTCTTTTTGACTTCGTGTCAATGACGGTTTTAAATAGCTAAAGTATTTTTAATTTGTAATAGAACCTTGGATGGACGTGAAAACTTTTGCAATTTAAATTGAAACGTTTCCGGCAATTTTAATACTTAAATCATTTTCAAAACAATGAAAAGGTACGAAAGCTAAACGCTGCGTCAAAAGAGATAACAATTTAAACGTTGAAAAGTTTAGCACAATTTAAATGTATCAGTAAGATATTGCAATCGAAAAGTTTGAAGTAAACACTCGTCACGATTCAAACGTTTAAAAACGTATCAAAATTAATTGCTTATTAAAATTTCTTAATTTAAATGCTCAAAAAAAAAACACAAAGAACGTTTTGAATGACGTCATATAGCAAACACGACATGACGTAAAGACGTGAAAATGGTGTGATTTGGCCATGGAATGAGTGAGTCCAACTTCAGCAAGCTTCATGTTCAAGACCCAAAAGTCCTGACGGGAAGGAAAGGGTTGAAACCTAAACACTCTAGGATCCCCATCGTCATTTTATTCATCACTTGAATTTTCATGACGAAAGGTGGCGCGCGACGACCACGTGTCACACAATAACACGTGACACGCCACGCCATGGGAGACTGGAAAACACAAAATGAAAACCTTTCACGTATTTGTCCAATTGTTTGATTAATGAGCAAATATTGTCTGTAGAAGTCAATGTTTTTTCTTGATTACATAACGTTCACCATTCATTGCAAACAATATGTACTTTTTTGATCTTAAAATAGAGATCGCGTGACGCACAATGCGGGATCAGTTGACACATCAAGAATCAACGAATATTATTCAAAAGTGCTAATAGGGGTCGTGAGAACGTACTACGGGGAAATAATTTTAAATATTAACACGGTTTCATGAAGCAATAGTTATTCGCAGCTGGCGTACCTAATTCTTCAACGAAAAATTTCTTTAAATGTGCATTAAAATCACAAGACAGTCAAAGTGATTTATATACTGATAATGTAAACAAAATGTATGTCACTCTAAGCAAAACTTCCAATTTTAAGCATTTTCATGATCGCACTGTGTCGACAAAAGAAATGTCGACACAAGCTCTGAAGGCACTCTTGTCGATATTGATTATAAGAGCGAACTGTACAAGAACAAATATCATAATTTTCGTACGTTATAATCTCAGTAAGGTGTACGACCTAAAGATATTGTTCGTTTCCAAGCACGTTGACAGAAAACCAGTGACGCTTTATCGAGATCCATGTAGAAACAGGAAAACATTACATAGGCAAAAACGATGGAGGAGAAACACAAATAAGGTCATACACACCCCTTACGGCTGACTCCAATCATGCTGTGAGGATGGCTGTGAAAACGTCATTATAAAGAGTTGTTTGCCATAATATTCTATGTTCGAACAGTACTTTTTTCGTGATTTTTGAAGACAACTGATTGAGAATGGATATTAGTTGATATTGTACAGGTTTTACACTGGTGTCAGAAAAATCGGGATTTTACACATGTAAAAGAACGAGGGGGATAACTAACTCTACTGCAAAACTTTTTATGCAATTTCTTCCTGTGTGGTCTAACTTATAAACTTGGCAAATAAAATAACAAGACAAGTCAACTTATCCATTCCACAAAAACAAAAAGGAAATTTATGAGAGAAGCAACGCATAGGAAATTGTATTTCGGTTTTGTGGAAAGATTAATGACAAAACGTAACAGGCTACAAGCTAAAAAGTTTCCCCCGAAGATGCTGTCAATAAACACAGAAGCTTCCCTGCAAGAAAAACTGGGAATGCAAGCACGCACGCAGTAGCTCACAACTACACGAGAAAATTTAAGTCGAGATGTGAATTCTCAAAACTGTGATGATTATACGTAAAGCATTTTTGCGTATCTATCAAGAACGTACATTTTGAATAACACCTTCAGAGAGGCATGACTACAAATTTACGGAGTGAACTTTAACAGTGAGTCAATCAATTATGTAATAAAAAACATCGGAAAAGCAAACGCCTGCTGAGTCGAAAGACTTGACATAAGCTATTGCACTTTAAACTAATTCTTAAAGTCCACAATGAGTTAGCAAAACTGATAGGAAGACCACCAGTGCGACGAATTTTGAATGTCAGGAAGATATACATCACATCACAATGACGTTTGACTAAACTTTTGACTTTCATTTCATAACAAAAATGTAGAGCTAGTTAAAAATATATATAATATATCACGAGGCTAGCATCAATGTCCAAGAAACAATGATGTAAAAAATTGTAAAAAACGTCAAGCTTGTTTGTGTGCGAAACGCATTAGAAACAAAGCTAACAATAATCCGCATATGTTATCGTTTGTCTTAAATGCATTTGATACGTGAGAAACGATGGACGTTTAAAACAGGCCTCATATCAGCAGAAATTAAAATAATCGTTCAGCAGTAGGTAGCTGTTGAAACATCAACTCTACACATGTAAAGTTGGTCAATAAGACAATTATCACCAATAAGGCTACACACGCAGATAATTCGACGTGAAAGTATTTATTCGTGTAAGCTTAGCGCGCAGCAACACTGACAGCGTGGGCTAATCAAGACAAGCGTTACTAATAATAAGATTATAACCTTGGCCTTTTTAAATAACAATAGACTGTTTCGAATCTGACCGTTTTAGATGAAAACTGGTCACATTTCTCGCGGTAGTATGCGCAAACATACAGCACGAAAGTGTTATCTGTTTTATATCGACCAAGGAACAATGTAATTAAACAAGGAGTGTCCTCTTAAAATCATGCATTTTCAATGTGCTGAGGTATTTTAAGATGTTCGATCACGCTCGTGAGTGAAATAGCAAGAGGAGTCATATGAATGCCAAATGCTTGATAAGGCACGAGTTTTCAAAACAAACCCAAAAGAAAACACTGGAAAAAGATAATAATCAAGAGCGACTGTATACCATACCTTGAAAGCAACCACCACCAGCAAATTATCTTTCAAAAAATGGGACACCAAAAAATTTGAACACCAAAAAAAATATTGAAGCATTCCTTTTGCGACCGGCAAAGAGCAAAATAATGAGGATATCATTTCCAATCAGAGGAAAAATATTTCTACAAATTGACGCCAATGTAAACACGGGAAATGGAAACTTCGAATAGCACTTATGAAGTGCGAAACTTCAAAGATGCGCCTGTTCTATTTCTGTTTATATACGATGAACACGTTTAAGAAATATCGGTATTTCATTTGCGTCAAAAGGCTTGTTTTTTAACACTCACTACAATACACCCCATGGTTTCAGTTATAAAGACGAAACTCAAAAACCATACCCTGATATTTTAAAGCTAAGACCTATGTCGTAACAACAATAAACGTCAATTGATCACTCAAACTTAGGTTGAGTAACAAAGAATGTTCTTTGTTTTAGAACAAAGTCTTGCGATTAGATAACAAACACTTCAACAATTCCTCGTTCAAAATGACACGTGGACACTTCATGTCGCTCTAAATAGAATCACAAGACTTGGCGTCGACTTAAATCCTCGAATAACTTGTCGAAAGATATGGACAAAAATTGCATCGGCTTCCTCGAGTCAACGAAGAGTTTTGCGAAGGAGTACCAGAGGGACTGGCCCGATGTAAAAAGTGGCAGGGGAAAAAGTAAGCCTTATTTGATGAAAGGCGGGAAAAAGGACTTCCCCTAAACTCTTTTAATTAGCCAACCAATCAAAATACAGCTTGCCCAGAGCTTATATAACAGTGGTCAACTAGAGGAATACGGTCAAATGAAAACAATCTCTTCATGGTGGTTGAATATCGAAAACCGGTCCAAGTAATCAGCCATCAATTCGTCATATCTTTGCAACAGAAAAGGAAAGAGGAAAGTGATTAATCAAACGTATAAGGAATGTCGTTCTTTCGATACACGATTCTGTTGGAGAATACTTCGTCGGTGGGAGCGAAATTGAGAGAAATTGGTGATGCTTTGGAAATGGAACATAACGAACAAAACACACAACGAAGGCAAACGAGAAATCAAGGAATCGCAGTCGTCTGTCTTGGATTGATTCTCTTGAGTGCGATGCTTTGGAAACAGCGCAAGTGATTGCCATACGTGACTTATGGAAAAATAAGCATGAACGCGAGAAAAATATTGACAAAACAAGATGTATGTCATCCGACGAACAAATAAATGTAACGTATCAAGGGTGTTATAATTTTATGATGAATAATAATATACTCAATAGTTCAATGTCCATGGTGCGAAGTGCAGTTGATTTTGGTGGAATGAATCACGTCAACACTTCGTTAAGATGATTTCAAATGGGATAAGAAATATTTACAGCAAAGACTTTATATTTAATCTATACGGTTAGTGAGATTTGCACAAGTTAAGTCACGCTTTCGTAAGAGAGGTGTTGTAATAAAATCAAATTGGAACTCTTATAAACGTGTGATAAGACACGAACAGTGGTTTACTATAAACATGAATGTCCCGAAGCAATGGCAATTTTGCTTCTATGGTAAAACGAGAACGGTTTGGAGAAGAAATGCGCCATATTTTATGTTGCGTTGTATATAGGAGCGCAGAGGTACTGTTTTTATGCATGAAACTTGTGCTGCATTAAAATTGAAACACGATTGTAAATAGATGGATGGTCTGATATTTATAAATATATATATGTATAGTTGTAAATGGAAATCAAAATATCTTATAAGCGGAATAAATTAATGCAATCATTCAAGGCTATAGCAATATCTTTACTAAGATGCGAAGATGTATCGCACTTATAAAATGTGTACAATTTAACGTTGTTTTGAAATGTGAAGACGGATATTGGAATATCAGTGTGTTCAGTTGACTTTATTAAAGGGGTTATCAATGGCAGGTGTTAATGCACAAAGCACTAATTTGCATATACCTATTGTCCATTGTTGCTACATGACCATAGGGTGCAGTTGAATATTGTCAAATCATCAAATTCGTTCGTGATAAACGAATTTACCGGCTTCATAACCACTAGCAAGTAGCGACATGGCTCGCCTCCTGACTGCCAAGTAAAACACACCGTTACTAGGTACCCTCTCGCTTTGCATACAATCTACAAAAAAAATGAAAGAAAGCACAAAGGTTGCTTTGTGGGAAAAAAACAATTTGGTAATAACACAACATCGTCATGGTAATTGTATCTTATTGTATCGTAAATTTAGCCATGACTTTCAAATGATAATTACTGATGATCATTTGAGAAAGGTTCATGTTTTCAAATTAGCGTGTCCTTGCCAAGAATCTGAGACCTGCTTGAGCTGCAAACGTGGCAGGAAATCGGTAAGAGTTTGTAATATTCTAAATGTTCTAAGAATGATTTTCACGAAAAAAGGAAATAAAATATAATGGAATCGTTGAAGCGAATGACTCGATCGAACGAGGAAGATCTTTTACGTATTTTCCCAATAGAGCGCGTTGAAAATGCAAATTGTAAGCTAATCTCGTTCTAAATAAACAATTTTAAGTCAATAAAGTGGCAGTAAGTGAGTTATCTCAATTTTTTAAGGCAAATGTCAAAGTAGCGGGTACAAAAATCCTAAATCAACAAGCAATGAAGTTATCAAGATTAAATAAAAATATCATTTATTTATTTCACCACGAAACCAACGGATGTTTTATTTGTTTTACATTTAGCTACGACGATTGAAATTACTGAAGCATTAGAAAATACGTATTTTTTTAACATGATAATTTGGCGGTCCAATACAAAGGAATGTTTTGTCAATGACACAGTTGGCAACAGCCGATGATGGCAAGCGACATTCTTATGTAAATCCCAAGTAGCAAGCTAAACATAGTGTTTTACGAATGTATTTGTTTTGAAGGCTCGTGACAATGTACCTTGCAAGATATCTGACTTTCTCTCTTCAGGCATTCTGCTTCAATTCGTGTAAAATGTGAGCCGCCATTTTTCTTCTTCTGCGTTTTCTTGAGCATTTCTAAAAGGGAAAATTTTTTACGTAGAACAAAAACCCCTCATCCTCGTAATTAAAAATGAAAATTGCACATGACGGATTTTTTTGTCTGCTTGTTCTTTTATGCTGAGTTCTACTGCGGTGAACGCGTTGGAAACCTTCAACATCCGTACGCACGCTGCGTGTTACACACACGCATAAAGTTGCAAACGAGCCAAGATGTGCACATTAAACAAGGAACTATAACGTCTATAATTGTACGTATTTCGTTTTTGTACATTCTTGCACAATTATGAATTTATCAGCGAGCTCGCCCTCGCTCGCACGAAATTCGCCTTTTAATTTGATGCGTTGTGTGATCATCAAATCACATAATCAAATGAACAGATAAAATTAAGTAAATTTTCGGATAAGCATAAATTATTGGAAACTACAACGACGAAATAAACAAAAGCATAAACAACAAAACGCGGTTTGGTGTACAAAACAGACGAGCTAACTAAACAAATTTATAGGGAACAATATTTAACCAAAGCGATTCGTCAAATAATCGAACGCATCCCGAGAAAAATCAGAAAATTGCGACCTCAACGAACTTGGTATAAACAGAAACATAAAAAAACATGTTTTACAGATTATAAAACTAATGAAAAGAAAAACCAATACAAAATTAGAAACTTGACAGATAAATGTCAACCAATCGCAGATTTTCGTTCTTCTTTTCAATTGGTGTAATAAAGTCGTTCGTTTTGCACAAAAACATGTGTTTTTCAATATTTCTTTTCCTATCAATTCCCAGGCGAATATCATTAAATCGAAATGTCTAGAATTATTCTGTGTATTTAGAGCAATTTCGGCTTTGTTTAGATACTTATCGAGCGACGTAGGAAGTTAACTATAACACAGGGAGCAAAATAACCGCCAGGAAATTATAACAGGACAAGTAAATTAAGAACGCCAGGTAGGAAATTGTAAACAAAGTCCAAGCACTTAGAAAACATCTTGCTGAAAAAAATAATACAAGGACAATAGCCTTGCCATGTACATAAACTAAACATAACCAATTATTAGCGTTACAAAAATTTTCAAATTTTCAAAAATAGCTTTTCAATGAAGAGCCACCCACCGGCTGGCTTCGTTAAGAACATTAAAAAATTTCGTCGCCAAAATGGAACGTTCCCAAACGAATTCAGAATAGACATTGTAAACAAAGCCTCCAATTGGACTCTGGAATTTCAAATCTTTTTATACATTCAAAATTAACGTGAGAACTTGGCAGCAAACATTCGAAGGTGGCAACTGGCAAGGAATTTTGGAATATTAGAATAAAGTTCAGTTAATAAACAGAAGATAATGGTCTTAGAAACACGATTGCCATGTTTGTGGACATGGGGGAAGCTTCGTTCCAAAACCAGAGCTACGGTTCTAACTTCCTACCTTAAGTCTCCGACACAAATGTCGTTGCTAGAAAGCGTAAAAAGTAAAGAGCAGAGTGCGACAGACATAAGGAATGAAATAACAACCGAAGTCTAGAATTATTGGATGGCCAAAATTAAATGAACGCACAAAAATTGCGTAGTTGTTCCGAAAAACGTATAATATACATTTTCAGACGTTTCAGCCGCATACATTTACGATTAAGTATTTACTATCGTATGGAGATAGTAGAAAGTGTTTGAAAATTGCCCTGTTTTTCAGATGTCAATACATCAGGGACAGTGGAGCAGGGGACTGGGGGCTACAAGCACCTCAATATTTTCCACCTTAACTTACACGGTAAATGCAGAGGGCAAAAGAATCCTTTCTGCTATGCCCTCCCAACAAAAAAATTTACATACTTCATGGTCTCTGCACACCACCCCCCCCCCATAAAAAATATTCCGTGGTCTCTGCACCCCTCCCCCAATAAAAATATTCCGTGGTCTCTGCCACTTTGTATCAATGAGAATAGGCAATCGGGAGGGAGGGGTTGGTGACGAAGATTAACAACTGACGCCTTTTCCTTAAAACCATCGTAATCAAAACACTGAAATAAACATCATAACGTTGAGCGTACGGAACAGTTTAATATGACAGGAAAGTGCAAAAGTTTTAATATATTCTCTATAGACGGGACGATCCCGTATCTTTTGTTAAACTGTTAGCTAAAATACGGTTCAAAGGCTATACTCACGTTCGTAGGAACTTGAATAAAATGCGAAGAACTTGAAGATACACCTCTCTTCTTTTTCTTACACGATAGGGGATTTGGTCCTTTAGCTCGTTTACGTTTGCGTCTGATGATTTCAGGTTGTTTAAGTTCGCTGGATTTCAATTGTTCCAATGTTCCCATTTCACGATCTGTCGGTTCTATTCGAGCAGTCTGAACCTATTGCAATGAATTCAAATTATCATAAGTTTATTTGATCCTATTCGTTCTATTCTATTCTATTAGTTCTATTCGAGCAGTCTGAACCTATTTCGATGAATTCAAATTTTCATAGCTACATTACAATGCAACTGACCCAGATTTCTTTTCGCATAAAAACACATAATTTATAATTAAAACCATAACCACGGCTCGCGTAATTGTTTCTACATTGAATTTATCAAACGCATTAACCTAATTGGGCTCAGTTTTCGAGGCTCAACACAAAATAATGGCCGACATCAGTCCAGTCAAGACAACCGGTCAACTTCGTTTTAGCTCGGGTTGAAGTCGGTTTTTCGAACGATCTCTAATGCACATAATTTGCACTAAAAACGTAAAATAATTTCGAAGCAAATGATTTTCGTATTTGACTTTGTAACGTGCTTACGACAATGTCACAAATGTATCAGTCAGATGTTTTTTAAAATATTCTCAAATGGTAAAATGGCCAACACCCAAGTAGAAATTTAGCTGTCAATGGACGAATTAAACCATCTAAACAGAATACTTTGTGTATGATAACGGAATCAAAGTTTACTCCAAGTTCATCCATTATAATAAATACAAAAGCATACACAGGTTTTTCGGAACACAAACTGAATTCGTTCTGTTCTTTCGAACAAAGAAACGTGTTCACAATTTGCGAAATTTGAAACGAAGTCACAGCTAATTATGATTTGGAGTATTGTTTGACTGTTTGTTGATGTACGTAGCGCAAAGTGACAAATTTTCATATGTCTTGTACTTTGGCTTTTCACATACTTCGCGAGATTGACAAATTTTTCTTTCAAAAATATTTTATGGAATCGAAAAATCAACGTTGAATGAACAAGGCTGTGAATTGATAACGTAACTAAACCAAAATAAATGCCTTTTCTCCTTCCAAGCCTTTACCTCGGTTGCTCTTTTCTGACAGACAAATGATGGTCTTTCCATAACTATACAGTTATAGTTGATATATAATAATGGAACTCCTAAAGTAAAAAAACGTGTCTTGATCTTCCACGTGACTTGATGTATGTCACGTGACTAATTTGGGGTATCGATGATAAGTTATAAAATACTTGAATAACATTTAGACCAAGAACCTGCAGAATGAAATATTTTGCATTTTCTGGTGTAGGGTTTTTGCACATGGAAAGATGAGTAAAATTAATTTCATTTACGAATAAAGAAGGGTGAACAAAGAGCAAGGAAATCTATATGTCTGTTCTATCCAATCTCGTGAAGTGTCTAGTGAAAAGCTGGTTTGTTTTTGATGTTCGTAATTTTTTATTTAAGGGCTTTGGTGGAATTGGCAAAAGCTGTAGCATGTTTTCTGTAATTAGTGTTAATGTATGTTCCCTTGTATTTATAGTATGTTGTTGGCAAAGTTATACAAATAAATAAAACACAATTTGAAGAAGTATCTGTAAAATACAATTTTCTATGACCCATATATGACATCAATAATAGCAATGAAAACAGAGGGTGATCAACACAGGAGTGCACACCCTCTCTGAAAACAGGAGGTGATCAACACAGGAGTACACGCCCTCTCTGAAAACAGGAGGTGATCAACATAGGAGTGCACACCTTCTCTGAAAACAGGGGGTGATCAACACAGGAGTGCACACCCTCTCTGAAAACAGGAGGTGATCAACACAGGAGTGCACACCCTCTCTGACCACTTATAATTTGTTTGTTTGTTACTGAGAAGAAGTCATTGTACTTCACCATTTTAATGTGACATACCCCTTGAATAAAAAATCCTGAATCCACCTTTGACCTTATGTCTTAAACAGTCTGAGCATTTCAAACTAATGATACAATTAGAAACCAAGGCATTTAACCATTTTGTAATTTATGACATTCCATTATGTTTGAAGTCAGGGGGATCAACAGTGATCACAAAGATGTAAGTCTTTGAAGATTTGAACTCTTTACGTGAACTTTTGCTGTACTTACCACTCAGCAGTTTCATTTATCTTATGTTTTACAACAAAATATTAGGATCATGAAATATTAAAATCTTGTCAATTTTTAATTCAACCTTTGTGAAGAATACGTGGGAAATGATCGACAAAATATGCCATAATAGTGCCGAGTCCATAAACCCCTGCCCCATGCTTCCTACACCCATGCATTCCAAATTAATGAAATAAACTAAATTCATACTGACCAGGAATTTTTCTCAATGCATTTCGAAGTTCTTTATCTTGAGTGGCAATAAAATACCTCTTCTCGTTGTTTTCCCTAAATTTTGAATAATGTAGCAAACCTCATCCAACAATGAGATATAGCTTGAACATTTCTTGACCAGTCAGTAAAAATATTGTTGTCAATCAGGTGCCAGGCGGGAAACGGATTCCCAATATAAGGTTCAAGACTATGTTCAAAATTATTTGTTGGGCTCAAATATTTATTTTGAGAACAAGTCAACATATATTTTACACTGCCAGAAAGATCACGCAAGTTTGGCAATGAAGTGTGTTTCACTAGTTACAAGATAAATATTAGAGCCCAACAAATAATTTTAAACATAGTCATAAAATTTGTTTTATGAAATTTATTAAAAGAGTGACATTTCATCTTTACTCAAGACATCTTCAGACTAATTAGGAAGTTAACAAGAAGCTCTATATATATCTATATTCTTGTTAACTTCGTAATTAGTTTGAAGATGTCTTCAGTAAAGATGAAACGTCACTCTTTTAATAAATTTCATAAAACCAAATTGTTTATGACTATGTTTAAAATTATTTGTTGGGCTGTAATATTTATATTGAGTCAGTAAAAAGTTAAGCTTTCAGTGATGTTATTGAAAAAATATGCAGTGATTTAAGTTGGTTTTACTTCCGTGTTCTACAATACTCTTATAAGCAGAACTCGCATAATCGCGTGCCTGACGCATCCCAGGGCAGACAAAATTTGTGTTGGGCAACTAAAATCCTTTGACAAATGTCCCAACAGACAGCCACACTTACAAGTTTTAATACAAAAATTGTGATTTTGAAATTTCATCACACCTAAATAAATACTTGTCAGTCTTTCCTTGTTGTTCATTTCTTATCTCATTTTGTAGCATATACCATGGGCAAGTCAAAAAAAAGGTCTGGGGGAACCAATGTTTTCAGTGTTACCTGTCTAAAGACAACCAAATGTTTCAGAATTTTGCATGCCATGCTAATAAGTGCAGTTTTCAACAAAAGCAATACCTAGTCTTGTACTCAAGAGTAAGTGTAGGGTTTGGGTAAGGGATCAGTTTACCCAGTCTTGTACTCAAGAGTAAGTGAGGGTTTGGGTAAGGGATCAGTTTACCCAGTCTTGTACTCAAGAGTAAGTGTAGGGTTTGGGTAAGGGATCAGTTTACCCAGTGTTGTACTCAAGAGTAAGTGTAGGGTTTGGGTAAGGGATCATTTTACCCAGTCTTGTACTCAAGAGTAAGTGTAGGGTTTGGGTAAGGGTTCATTTTACCCAGTCTTGTACTCAAGAGTAAGTGTAGGGTTTGGGTAAGGGATCATTTTACCCAGCCTTGTACTCAAGAGTAAGTTTAGGGTTTGGGTAAGGGTTCATTTTTCCCAGTCTTGTACTCAAGAGTAAGTGTAGGGTTTGGGTAAGGGATCATTTTACCAAGTCTTGTACTCAAGAGTAAGTGTAAGGTTTGGGTAAGGGATCATTTTACCAAGTCTTGTACTCAAGAGTAAGTGTAGGGTTTGGGTATGGGATCAGTTTACCCAGTGTTGTACTCAAGAGTAAGAGTAGGGTTTGGGTAAGGGATCAGTTTACCCAGTGTTGTACTCAAGAGTAAGAGTAGGGTTTGGGTAAGGGATCAGTTTACCCAGTGTTGTACTCAAGAGTAAGTGTAGGGTTTGGGTAAGGGATCAGTTTACCCAGTGTTGTACTCAAGAGTAAGAGTAGGGTTTGGGTAAGGGATCAGTTTACCCAGTGTTGTACTCAAGAGTAAGTGTAGGGTTTGGGTAAGGGTTCATTTTACCCAGTCTTGTACTCAAGAGTAAGTGTAGGGTTTGGGTAAGGGTTCATTTTACCCAGTCTTGTACTCAAGAGTAAGTGTAGGGTTTGGGTAAGGGATCATTTTACCCAGTCTTGTACTCAAGAGTAAGTGTAGGGTTTGGGTAAGGGTTCATTTTCCCAGTCTTGTACTCAAGAGTAAGTGTAGGGTTTGGGTAAGGGATCATTTTACCAAGTCTTGTACTCAAGAGTAAGTGTAAGGTTTGGGTAAGGGATCATTTTACCAAGTCTTGTACTCAAGAGCAAGTGTAAGGTTTGGGTAAAGGATCATTTTTCCATATATGTGGAGAAGACTGGAGTATCAGAAGACTAAACTATTACCTTTTACTTTAGGTACTCAAATACTTCATGTATACATCATGAAACTTCATGTAGGTCACAACAACATCAACTATATTAACCTACTTTTAACATACCCACTAAATGAGTAACACACTCTGTTGCTGAAACATGCTGATCTTGATGACCACAGTTTCGGCTTTTAAATCTTTTAGCTATAACAAAAGCACCATAGAGCGATCCTCCAAGGTTTTGCAACTCGTTCACAACACAATCTGTTGTCACTGTGATTTTGTCAAGGTTTAAGTTCTTCTTAACTAGTATTTCCCCCACCTTTTGTATGAATTTGAACTCGAAATTTTGAGTGTTTTGTATGAGGAGTAGCAGCCAGGGGGCTTTAGTCATAATATTCTATTTCTATTATAAAACACAAATACATTTTCCGCAAGGATACATAGTTGAACATTGGCATCAAGGTACTTTGGTAACTGCTCCTTTATGTTGATTTTATTTAGCAATGCGGCTTGGCAAAAGGTCCCATCAACTAAAGAAATTTAAATCAATCAGCAATGAAATTAAACGATGTTTAACCTGCAGATATTATAGTTTTATGGCAACAGAGAAGGACGAAAGAAACAAAAAACACGCGCACTTACCTATTACCTGATACGGCTCAAAAATCCCGAAAGAATTCTTAAAAAACTTGATATACTTTTTAACCGTCTTTTGCCTTTTCACTTTCATGATTTCATAACGCGAAATGAAGACAACACGTGGAACTCAAAACGTGATCACGTAAGTCGCGTGACGGGTCACGCGCGTGGTCACGCACTTTAAGATTATTAAAATAGATACGCGTTGCGAAAAGCAACAATAAAGAAGAAAATGGTTAAGTGTACTTTCATCACACGATCAAGGCTTTAATTTGAACAAAGGGGAATTTCGAGATGCATTAAGTTTACGTTATGGATGGCGATTGAAAAATACCCTCAGCACTGCATTTGTGGAAAGGCTTTTGCAACCGATCACGCGATGATATGTCCTCATGGTGGTTTACCAATAGTGAGACATAATGAAGTTCGAGATATAAAAGCACAGTGGATGGCATAAGTTTGCTCGACAGTTGAGAAAGAGCCACAACTACAACCTCTTTCTGGGGAAGTGATATTACCTCGTACAGCCAATAGACAAGAAGAAGCGAGACTAGATATTCGTGCTAAAGGTTTTTGGTCTAGACAGCAAGATGCATTTTTTGATGTAAGGGTATTTCACCCAGACGCGTCGAGCTACCAAAACACCAATCTACCTGCACTCTATCGTCAGCATGAAATGACTAAGAAAAGGGAATATGGTGATCGAGTAAGAGAGATTGAATATGCTGCTTTTACACCACTGGTCTTTTCAACATCAGGTGGTATGGGGAAAGAGACCGCAATTGCTTATAAACGGCTAGCTGATCTGCTGGCACAAAAGAGAAAGCTGCAATATGGCATCACGCTAGCGTGGATGCGTTGTGAACTGTCTTTCGCACTGATTAGGTCCGCAATTACTGCGATACGAGGAAGTCGATCTGCCTCAACTCGCGAACACACTTTAAATATTGACCTAGGTTATTGGGAAAGTTGTCTTTACACCTGACTTTCCCTTTTCTTTTTTTTCTTTCTTTTTCTTTTTCAAGCTAGTAATTTGAAAACTATCATGGATATTTTAAACATTGATTTTAGTTAACTTTTTTATATTTGTATGCTGTAGTTATAAAAGTTGTACCATTTTTATCATTAAATAAATAAATCATAAAGAAGAAAATGTGGAGCGAGTTAACACAACAAACATTTAGATAAACTGTAGCTATTGATACAAACACAGTACTTAAAAATTTCATTTGTTTGTGTCAATTTTAAAGCTGAATTTTTTTACTTTCATCTCCATTGTACTTTGTGCCTTATCGCCGTAATTAACGACGTAGATTATCTCTGCAAATCCCTCACTGTCCACGTCGCGGACAAGGGTATTGGAAACAAGCTTCGGCCATAGAGTATCGCCTATAAAACACAATAATAGTTATACCTTATAAAAAAGCAGATATGGTTTTATTGGTTACACTGAAACATGAATTAATACAATCGATTAATCAAAAGTATTAAAATATATACATGCACTCGATCCTTGAAAGCTCAAAAACCAACCAAATTCTTGAAAGCTCAAAACTTGTCGAAATTTGTTTGTACTTTATTCGATAATAATTCCATCAGAAAACAGTTCTCGTTTCTTAATCGTTGGTTGAGAAATTTACCAAAAGTTTAAAGAGATTAAAAAGAAGAGCAGAAGCAAAAGTTTAGCGTGCTTAAAATAAGAACAGTTCAAACTTGTCAAAAATTCGTTTGTACTCTAGTTCGATAGCTACCACTACAGAAAGCATCTCTCATTTCTTAATCGTCAGTAGAAAAGTTTTCCATTCACAATATCGATTAAATAAATCAATTATTGCCAAACTGGAAATATATAAATTAACTTTACACGGCAACGATACCTCCAGTTTTTCCTTTGATGCCTTTCTCTTCTGACACAATGGAAAATGAATTCATTGGGCTGTTGGGAAATATTGCAATAAGCGCTAATTGAAATCCTTCCGATGACAAGGAATCGTGCTTTTGTTCTGCTGTGTTCATTTTCATTTGTTTTTCTGTTATTTTAAATACGGAAGTAGGAAACGCTTTGGTCGTTAATTTTAGCCTCGTCGCAAACTGCTTCTTTGTGTGTTTATTGTTGCTTTCTAGTTTTTGTCTGTCATGGTGATGTATTTGATGCGAGTATTGTTGTTCTTGTTTTTTTTTGCTGTGTTCTTGTTGATGTCTTTCATGTTTTTGTTGTTCTTGTTTTTTGCTGAGTTTTTGTTGATGTCTTTCATGTTTTTGTTGCTCTTGTTTTATGCTGTGTTCTTGTTGATGTCTTTCATGTTTTTGTTGTTCTTGAAGATGTTGTTGTTGTTGTTGTGGCGTCGCTTGTTTTTCATTGTGTTCACGTTGCTTTTTTTAACTTTGCTCTCTTGTCCTTCTTCCTCTTTATGATTTTCATTTTGCTGTTTTTTCATTTCTTTTTGATCCTGTTCACGTCGTTGTTGCTTCGCATTTTGCAATTGTCGCACTCCTTGCTGTTCTTGTTGTTGTCGGTTTACATTTTGCTGTTGTATCATGGCTTGTTGTTCTTGTTCTTCTTGCTGTTTCATTGCATGTTTTTGGTGTTGCTGTTGTTGCATTAAGTTTTGCTGTTGCTGCTTTACATGTTGTTTTTCTCGTTGTACTTGTTCTACATCTTGCAATTGTCTTATTCCTTGTTGTTCTTGTTGCTTCTGCTGTACATGTTGTCGTTGTTGAATTCCTAAAGGGTTTATTTTTGCCATTTCTTCTTTTCGTTGTCCTTCGTTGTTCTTTTCTTGCTCTTGCTGACCTAGTTCTAGTGCACGCAGTTCATTATTTTGTGATTGCTGATTTTGCTCTACCCTTTCTGTTGATAGTGAAGTAACATTCTTGTCAAAACGCGTCCATTTGTTTTTCGCGTTAAAATCTTTTCTTTTCCCCAAAGTTTCCTTCTTAATGTTTACATTTAACCCGACATCGGTAACATTTTCCTCAAAACTTGCAGGTTTTAGAACAGAAATACCGCGACTCAAAACTCTACCAAGTAAGGAACTGGAGGAGAGAGACGTTTTCTTGTTTTTAGAAGTATTTGATAATAGAGCTTTTAGAACTACACTGGAAATAGTTGTTTTTGTTGTGTTATAAGTATGAACAAAATCTCCGATGCTGTCACGGGTGTTTCCGATGGTACCATTGAAGGCTTTTTTTGCGGGTACTATTTCGACTTCACTAATATTTTTATCTTGAACATTTACTTCCAATATTTTTTTCCTTTCTTCACTATCTTCATACACAGAGCTTACATTTGCTTGGTCAACGTACGAAATGTTTAAAAGAGCGCTTTGATTCGATCCAATCGAGTCTTTCTTCACATGATCCATGGAATAGTTACCTTTAAATTCAGGACTTTGTAAAGACGTGTTTTCACTAAACCTGTGTGACAAATTTCGATCAAAATGACCATTTTTATTGAGATCATGTTCATCATTATCATTGATCTTAGTTTCGTTGGTCCAACCTCCACTTTTAATTAAATGAAGGGGGGAAAAGTCACTCGCTTTCTTGCTGCTCTCTAAACCGCTCACGTTCATACGTAGTGAGGGACTAACTTCTCGCTCAGTTTTTTCGAGAACTGCCGTTTTTTCCTTGCCTATGATGCTGATGTTCAATTCTTTTTCTCTCTTACGAAATTCACTCATCTTGCTGATATTGAAGACGATAAAATGATAAGGACTCTTTTGCCGATAGCTAACTTTTGCTGTTTTGCTTTCGCTGCTGGAATTCTGTTTATTTTGTTCGCCTCTTCTTTTACTCGGCTGCCTTTGCACAATATCCCTCATGGACTGTTTGTGAGTGTCGTTTGTAAGTATTGTTGTGCTGTTGCTGCTCTTTATCAATTTCTTGTCAATTTTCTCAGTTAAAAGTCGCATTTGACTGCTAATTGAACCGGTGTCCGTCGTCTCGTTAACTATGGGTCTCCAATCTTGATTCATACGGGTAGCAGACGTTGCAGAAATATCCTTGTAGCTTTCTGAACTCTCCTTGTCATTCAAAAAATTAGTTGGCGAAGCAAGTATGTCCTTCGTTGATTCATTGTGGACAGAGGTTCTGCTATTTAAAAAATTTATTAACGGTCCATGCAATTTTTGTGTACCTGGATATTTGACAGTGGACTGGAGAATAGCATCATTTGACAAGGTTTGTAGATTTGATGCAGCGCCAGGAACCTTAGTTGGTTCGAGTTTTTGAAGACTCGACACACTAAAAGTTGCTTCTCTTTCATTTTTTAAAATATCTTCAAGTACATTGTGAGTGTTTTTCTTGATTTCCAAAAGCGATTCAGATTTTTCGTTTGGCATAACACCATCTTTCTGGAGTAATTTTTTGCTGGAAAGGTTTCTCAAATCATTTGCAAAAGCCTTATCGATAAAGGAGTCGAACTCCTTAACAACCATCCGCGGAGGTGATGAGGTTTTTGAGCGTGACTTGATCGCATGTGGTGAGCGACGATGACGCGCATGCTCACTCACGTTCTGCTTTTTAAAAACATCGTCAAATGAAGTAGTTGCTACTTTCTTTGATTTGCTCGCTCTTGTAGGGAATATTTTTCTATATCTGCGATTATTTTGCTTCTCTATCCACAGATAAAAGACATCACTTTTATATCCAACACTCGCCGACAACGGTGTTGTGTTTTTCACAAGGCGCAGTTTACTGCTCCAAAGAATGTCGCCATTTTGACCGTCAAGAACCTGCACCAACGACTGGTTAAACATGGACAACAGAGAATCCTGGAGAATGACTAGAATATCCGGGACTTTGTCATCATTGAAATGTCCAATCACGGGTTGACTATACAAATGGAAAGGGAAACAAAGAAAAATTGCATAGGAAATAACACGAAACATTTAAAGCAACTTACTTTAGCATTTTTCTCGATCTGAAATCAATTTTCCACATCTTCTTGAGCTTCCCGCCATCCACCGCAGTCAACGAATGTCTATTTCCGGCCACAGTAACCAGCACAATATCTTGCACGGAATCCTCATTCAGATCTGTCACAACGGGCTCGTGCTTGGCCGATACAACATCAGAAACACCAACGCTCGTTGCTTCATCGAACAAATGCGGTGTCTCGCCATGTTTGCCGTCCAGAATTTTGCGATAAAGATCTTGAATGGAAATCACCTTGACGTGACCTTTGTCACCGACCATCAACACAAAAATCAAATGCTCTGATGTTTTTGAAGAATGAAACGAAACCCGCTTGATAAGATGGTTTTGAGGAATATTCAAACTACTACCGATTGGGTAGCCTGTACCACCTGATATAAGCTGCAAAATACCCGGATGTTTACAGGACATCTCGATGTTTTCGCGTTGACACGTTGCGTTGAAACGGTCATAGCTAAGTAGTATATCTCTTCCTTTATCACCGTCACAATCGTTGATGACAAGAAATACACTGGGTAATAGAGATCCAATTAAGATACGTGTCGACCAAATGATCTCGTTTTTGCTGGGATTAATCAACTGCAAACGGCCAAACGAGCTTAGTATAAGACAAGTCTCGAATCCTCCGTCATTTCGACATTCAATTAATCTCAAGACATCGGACGCATTGTACAACCATAATTTTTGCCCATTGTTTTCATGCATGCAAACAAGGCCCGACTCTCTTGCATTCTTATTAACTTTCATTCGTCTTTCATCGTTAAAACTGACAACTATTGCCCGAGTTTTATTGACAGGCAAAAGAAACCCTATTCCGGTATAATAACCGTCCAACGATACGGTCCAATTCTTGTGAAGATATCCTAAATTCCGCTTAACATTTTCTATCATATTGGCGACGTTACACGAAGAGTCTTCACATGGCACTGTGAAAGCAAACACAAATATAGTTAAGGTACAGATCATCAATGATATGACAAAACAGAAACGTCTTGAGTTCGATATGGTCTCTTGTTTATCTTCCAAGCTACGAGACGCAAATCTTACACTCCGCTTTGCTCGCTTTTCTTTCGTCGGTTCTACTTTCAAGGAATCCTTCGGCCTTGATTGATTGTTGCTAGCGCCTTCCTCATTTTCCCTCGACGTTTGCGGGCTCGACATATCCGTCGTATGCCTTAAATCACGCCATGTTTTTCGTTTGTCATAACTCCTTTTAAGTATGCTGTTTTTGTGGTCATTTAAAAGCTCTTCTTCCTCCTGTGAGGTATCTTCTTGTGGCAACGCTTTGTAGCCGCGGGGAGTGAACATATTAGTCTTGATCTTCTAAAATTGAATGATTTTTAGTGCAAAATCCCTAGCAAAGCGTTCATATTGGATTACTTAGTATTTTGTTGTTTTCGCCAGTTACTTTGAATTGTTATACAAAACATGTGAAATTAGAAACATGGAATTTACATGTATTGTGTAAATTTCTTTCAGTTTTTTTCACACTTAAGGAGAGTCCATAAAATATACAGTCCATTATCAGTCGATTTGAAAGTGATCATACGTAATGTTTTTGAATCTTATGTAGATAGCTATAAGAGTTCAGTTCAAATGACTTTAAAAATTTTTGAATAGTCGTTCTTCGTAATTTCCTTATACAGCAATCATATTTATTTCCTAAATTCGATCTCAAGTCAACCCATTATCATACTCTTTGCTTTCATGTACAAATAAAATCATCGAAAATGCCCAAAGAAGATTAGTCAAAATGAAGACAAAGATCATAAATCGGACAACAGCGAGCGCGTACGCAAAGATAATCGCAAAAGAAACCTCGTTAATTTATAATGATATCCAAGCAGGAGAGATTTTAATACACATTGCTTTCTCGGTAGGACTGCTTCAAAAAACAAAAATTTTCAGCTTTGCTTGCGTACTGCACGTAGGATTTTTTTTTAAATGGCAAAAACGGAAAAAACTCATGTTCCGTGCACGTTTTCAAAAAAATCATCATTTATCGTGATCTGCGTTCAAAAATACCGAATTAAGCAACGAGAAACATTTACCTCGAATTTTCTTTCATTCAAACCATTTTCAGCGGCTTTCAACAGTTTGGACAAACTATTTCATCACATTTCTCAGACCAGATGTTGCAATTTAACCTTTTGACGGCTGCTTTCGAGTGGGACACATCCTCTAAATTAAACATGAGAATAGAACACAAGTCTATTGTTGCACAGTAGCTATATACCGAATTAATTGAATATAAGAAATCTTCAAGACGACATTAAACAAACAGTACGTTTTCAAACTGACCTACTACGTCGGAAGAACCTTGAAGAATGCCAAAAAAAGATCTTGCACTGTGCCGACAAGTTTCAAATTTGACAATCGCTAGCCATGGTTGATAAAATTCGACCGCAAAATTGTCCCATCGCTTTGTATGAGCGCGAAAAGATAGAATTTGGGGTTCCACATAAATTGAAGTTCATAAGTTATTCATGCAACAAATTAAGGAAAAAATTTGAAAATAAATGGGGTAGATGTTGAAGTCATAATCATAGCCTAGATGTGCCGTTCTCGTTCGAACCATCCAATGGCGAGCAACTCTATATACTGCAGGTGTTCTGTATTTTTTATAGAGAATGAGCTGAACATTTAGAAGTCATTCAGTACGATTACATCTAATATTTGCAGGTGACGTTTTGAATGACTCTTAGCGCAATTTCATAGTCCACATCAATAAAAGTCACTTGATTGCTTGATGAGAAAATTCATGAAGTTTGGAATTGTGGAGTTACAGGAGCATCCCTTCATAGTTGACGCTTTAAATCAAATGTATCCGGTTCAGAAATAAATTCATATTTCAATGCGTAAGAGCCGAGCTTGCACATATTTATACTAATCATTCAGAACACATATTAAAAGCATAAAGCCACAATTTAAACTTCAAAACAAATACTACGAAGCACTGTTTCACAAATGCCAAAGTTTCTTTTTGATAATGTAACTAGATTTTAACAAGTCATTATCGAAATGACAACACAATCAGTGCATCGTGGACCGATCACTGAGGAATAAGATTCAAAAACCAGCTGCAGGCGCAACGCCAAAAGAGGCAAATGAGAACAACATTTCGTACTGATGGAACAAAAGTAGTACATAAAAATAAATACTGACTATTCTAACAACGAATCTAGACATTGAAAATTTATACATAAATCAAACAGAATATATAAATCATGTTTAGTGCAAAATTTACATTTCGATAATAAATTAAAACAAAATAAAAGAGATTCCGAAAACAGATGTCTCGTTTTCTTGATATTCAAGATGATACAAGAGTTTTAGACAACAGATTGTGTAATATTTTGTCTTTATTCCAAAGACATTGTCAGACTAGTCTTTTCAGAATCTGTTTTGTTTTGTTTTATTTAAAATTGTCTGCTTGACAATAAATTTGGTGTTGAAAGTTGCCCTCAAATTGCGAGGCAACCCGACGCGCTAGCCAATGAACAATTATTAAGTCCGTAAAACTATTAGCTATATGTCTATATATTTTCAATACATCTGCGGGAAATGTTATCTATAAGGGCCTCTCATGCAGAAACCAAGACGAGATCAACAACCATTCCCGTTCACCCACCCACCCACCTCACCCTTGTGGAAACCGCGTTTATTATGAGTACAAAAACGAGGCTGAGAGGTAGTGGGAATAGTTTTCAAAATTTTAGTTACATAATTCATGCAATGCAGGGCTTTCAAGTTGCATAAATCAACGCACGGACAGATCCAGCTGCGCGCTTCATATAAGCGCACGCGTTTTTCTACAGTCTCGTTTACATTGTATTGTTTTTGAAGGGTTTACGCGTTGTTGCCGTGGTGTAAACGGACTGTAAGTGTGGTCGCTTTACGTAAATATTTAAGTGTTCACTAGCTATAAAAGCGTTAGATTCACAAAGAAATTAATTATGCTATAATCAGTGCCATGATCCAAAGTCGACATAACACGAACAAACTTGCAACACCTGCGCCTTTGGTGTTCCAATTTAATTGTAACACTTGTACAGCAAAAACGATTGATAAATAATAAAAAAACATTTTTGATTGGCTAAGAATACAATTGCTTAATGAAAGACTGCAAAATTTCAGAGTTTTTTTGCTTAAAGAATCATAGGCCAACAGACTCTGCGCATGCATGAGCACATATTGACTCAAGCACCTGAGCTATTCAAAGTAAATCAATGTGCTTGAGTGCCATGTTTCTAGTACCAATCTCCTAATCCTCTCCGACTTATCTCATAACTGAAACTACTTCTGGGTGTACACATTGACGTGAACACTTAGAAAAACATAACACCAAGTCGATGGTAAATTCCATCAGAGGTCATCACAAAGGATGACCCTTTGTGTTACTTAGCTTTGAAGTTCTGATTAGCCCTGGTGACATTGAGAGTGGTGAGGCAAGATAAATCAATAAACAATTTAGTTTTATCTTTATATCAACTTAAAGTAGATATATTGTTTCTAGAATAAATTCTGTATACATTAAAAACTATCATATTACATATGTTCTTTTATGTAAAAATGTGTTTATCAGAAATATATTAATAAAAAATAATGCCATAACATGGCTCATTAACCTACGATTAGGTACTTGAAGTGGAACTGTCAATACAAAACAACAAATACCAGCAGAACAAACAATAAAACCTAACATGTTTTCAATAAAAATCTATAATCTATAAATCTAATAGAAATTTTCTTAAAATCTAAAGTACAAATAACTTTTTTCACTCATACACAATGTTGTGCAAAGAAATGCATCAATCTGATAGCAACTACTTCTTTTTTCCCTTTTTCTTCCCTTTCTTTTTTGTTTTACCGGTTGATCCCTGCCAACCAAACCCGCGCATGGCTAAGAACTGTGGTGCATTATGGGCTATATAGTAAGCATTCTCCATAGCTGGTTTGCTCATGAGGTCAATGTTGGTTTTAGGAGGGGATAAAGAGCGAGACCTTGATTTTTTTCGTTTACCTTTCTTTGAGCCTTTCTTCTTCGATGGACTAGTGCTCCTACCACTTTTTTTGGCAGGCACCTTCGCTGAGTGGGAAGGTTTCTTTTTATCCGGCTAGTAAAAAAAACTTGAATTACATTGTGCAATTCAAAAACTTTGGAGATTGGGGAACATAGAGGTCTGGATGTGCAGACATCCACAAAATTATCTTCTTGCCTGAGCATGTTTTCAAATCACGGAAACAACCTTTCACTCAACTGACATGATGCGGTTAAATGAAAACACAACAAGATATATAGTTTATGACAATAAGAATAATTAAATAGATCAACTTATGGGTGAAAATTTAGTAAGCATGTAGTACCCAACAACTTTTAACAGCTCTCAAAGCTCCTGCAACATATTATTTTTATCAATACCATCATACATCAAAAAACGTTTCCAAACATTTCTAAGATAACACAAAGCTAATTCTTACACAAATGAACTTGGCTATTTGATAACTAAATCATGAATGCATAAAGTAAATGGTTTGAACCCGGGGGATCGTTACATGTTTGTAAATGTAGATCGTCCAGTCAACAACAACAGTCAACAACAGCAAAAACAGTCCTTCTCAGGACTATACCAACCTGGACGATCTACATTTACAAACATGTCATGAATGCATAGCCACTCATTTCATTATTTCGAAACACCACTTCTACTCAAAAACAATATTTACAAAAGAAAAGATTAACTCCTACCATTTTTAAAGAGCTAATTCAATCATTCTCCAATGCCAAGAAAGATGCACTCAAGGTTCGATCTAGTCGACTAGTACATTAACGAGCAAGAACTTTTAATGAAGCGTTTCACGAATACAGTTTACTATGTGAGCGCACGATGGATAAGTACAACTTTCAAAACAAAACCAAGACAACGGCGGTAAACTTCTCTAATCTCTACAACAATGACAATGTCAACATTCAGCTCCCAGGACCATGATGATTTGTACGGGGAGGTCCGTTTGGATTAAATGTTGGTGGCTAGTGGCTACTTTGTTTAAGTGGCTACTTTGTTCAATTTTGTCACTTTTGTGCCATGACTGGGATATATTTCTTGAAAGTGCGCTCCATAAGCATAAATCACAAAAGTTTATGCCTAATTTCTGGGTAATTTCATATTTTAAGAGAATTTAGTTAGCACCCCTCCTGCTCTCCCCCCGTAAACTTATCCCTGATCAACAAAAATGTTCCTAACATTTATTAACAAGCAGAAATACTCTCTTAGCATTTGAATTGACTCATAACTCAGAAATACTCCCTTAGTATTTGAATTTGGAACCAAAAGAAAATATGGTGATGACTTGCAGTAAACTGACTAAAATCACCATCTTTGAAACCATATTAAAGTTCAGCATGAGTTAAAATCATTAAACATCTTCATCGCTAATTTTAAAGACTCTAATAAATCGAATAATCACAGTTATTATTATATAAAAAATAAATTATTGCATTAAAGTTTATATTGCGATAAAAAGTACTTCCTATTAAAGGCAAATTTAAAGTTTAAATTGTGATAAAAAATTGCATCTGATTTAAGTTAAAGCTTGTGAAAACTTCAGGGTAGTATTTTTTCAGTTGGAAAATCTTTGTTTGACTGTACAATAACGTACAAGAAAGTCCCCTTATTGTTTCACTATTTACTGAAATCAAACAATCATACAAGAAAGATGCAATGTTGTTTCTCTATTTAATAAAGTCGAACAATAATACAAGAAAGTCTCAATGCTGTTTCTCTATTTGTTAAAATCAAACAAAAACTAATAAACACAAATGCTTTACAACACATAGACAAACTACCATCAAACTAAGAGGAATAGGTGACAACCTCCACAGCCTGACTAGCACCAGGAACAGTGTTTTCACTACCTGAAGATTCAGCTAGTTGTGTTTGAATGTTTTGAGCAGAGTTTACGGTATGAAGATTTGTATGGGGTGCCATAGCAACCTGTGGCACGCTGGTCGTGATGTATTGTGTTTGACCATTACCCAGTTGGTTGTTTTGGATCTGCATCATGGCTGCCGCGGCATGAACTGGTATGGTCACCATGGTCGATGTATTCAAGGCAGAATTACCAACACTAGCTAAAGCTGAAGCTGTGTGTTCTGGTATCACTAGCTGCCCACCATCCGATAATGTTGCCTCAGCAAGGGTAGCAACTGCAGCTTGGGCAGCCGCCTCCCCCTGAGACATCTCACTGATACTTATTGAAACTGGAGCACCCTGAGTTGTTGCCGATACCTCAGAGAGGGTAGCAACTGCTTGAGTTGACTCAGCCTGGGTTGAGTTATCAGTATATGAACCAACAATAGCACCATTTGCATCTACTTGCACCAGTGAAAGGGTGCCATCAGCATTAGTTAGTGTATGCACAATTGGATGTGTACTTTGTACACCAGAGAAAGCATCAGCATCTTGAAAATCGGGTAGTAGGTCAGAACGGCCATGATATTCATAACAATTCTTTACAATCATTTTGAGAGCATTTGTCCAAGAAAGCTTTGCTTTCTGTTCTTCTGAGCGTGTATCGCTACGGACATTCTGCCATGGGATCTCCCCAGGCCACCAAGGAGGTTTAGTCGCATCCCTACCCCAACCAGGTTTTCCCCGACCAGTTGAATACTTCAACATCAATGGGATGAATGCTCTAAGTTGAGCTTGAGTCATCTTGTCCACTGGTGTTGGTATGCCATCAATATATAAAGGTGGCAACTCGTGTAGCCCTGTATTGTCTTGACTAGGCGTGGGTGTTTGTTGTGCTAAGGCTGCCTCGAGACTTTGCAAGATGTGAGGTTTAAGGCTTTTCACACAATTTTCCAGTGGTGCTGCCCCAAATACCTGAAATTATGAAAAACTATTGAAGGCATTTCAAAATCCATCATACAAAACACAAAGTCCCAAATATAAGATTACCTTGAATAATGGATTTGGTCGCCCAGGGCATGCACAAACAACAACAGCTTGCTGACCGACACGTGTTGCATACTCATCAACTGTTCCTTTCAGTTTTCGAAGCAACCTTGTTTGTTGACGTTTGCGGATAGAGGGATTTGTTTCAAAAGAATGCGGTCGTTTTCTCTTTCGGCCAGTTGCAACAGCTGCGGCAGCTGCAACACCAATTGGACCGGCCGCTGCAAGTTGATTGGTTACAACATCTGTTACAGAGGAATTCAAAAGATCTGAGTCATCGAATGTAGCCGATTCAGGTGATGATGGTTCTGACATTGTTGATGTATCCTGAGGGATATTCTGAAAATGATCTGCGGTTTCATGCATGGTGACTATTTCAGGAGAGTGCGAACCATCATGATGCATGCTAACCACATGACCAACATGTGCCATGTCGCCCTGAAATAAGAGTCATAACAAACAAATTAAGGTGATGAAAGATGCAACGTACGTGACTTTGTTTGCCACATATAACAATATAAAATAAAAAAAATTGGCCTGACGATTTTATAGATTTGCAAGCATTTATTTCTTCAACTGACGCAATTTATAACTAATACTGTCTCCTTGAAGTCTTTCTGACCGGTGAGACAATAAAATAGCAATGTTTTAAATAATCGTATGTCAATACACGTCATGGCTGCCGGACAGTGAATCGCATTAACAGTAAACAGTAGTAGTCTATACCAATTTCGACATACATCAAACGTTCATTCGCATCTTAATATCGCATTTTATATGTAACATATCCACATTAGTTGCCCAAACAATAATCTTACCATTTATTGTCAAAATCGAGAAAAAAATTAGTTTCGTTTCGACAAGATTCATCTTTACTTCGTAAAACTAAACCACCTGCACTTGCGATTATAAAGCGTTGTCTTGGCACGACTATATTTACAGCAAAATCAAGTAAGTAGTAATGGCTACATAAGTCACTTACTTCCAGTTTGTTGGGAAGACTTTATGTTTTCTGACTGTGCGCAGACAGCTCTAATTTCTTGAGTTGCGCGATGGCAAATTTGCTTTTCTTCTGCTCCGTGATTCCGAAAAGGCTTCACTACGCACGCCTTCTCGTGTTTCTCGTCGTTCTGTAAGAGGGTGTACAAGCCAGCCCCTTCAACAGGTAATCGTATTTCATTGGTAACATTAGTATGACAATTAGTATGCCACACGTCACAAGGAAATTAAAAATGACAGCAGGTGTTGAGAAAACATTCTTGTATTGAAAACAAATGACTTGACAACCTTCATTAAATTAATATAAAAGGAAGCAGACCCGAAGAAAATAGACATCTTGAAATTCAATATTTGAATTCAAAACAAGAGAGTAAAACTGGGTGTAAAATTTTGTGTCTGAATCGAAAATTTACACTCAATTTTACGTCTCATGTTTCAAATATTGAATTTTATGATGCCGTTATTCTTCGGAATCTGCTTCTTGTTCATATATTTTAATTGTCGTGGTTTTTGAATTATAGCAATTATCAAATATCATTAGGAAATTTTTTACATTACAGCACGCAACTAGTCTCACAAATTATACCTTATTTAAAAGTTCTAGGGTTTCATACACTATACAGTCCTTTGAGAACTGGTTAAACAGCGTATTTAATTGGCTCTTCGACAAACGCACTGAGAAAATTAGTCAGCATTGTAACCATGTTTACAGTGTCCATGCAACTATGACGCACTGAACATACTTCTGGCGTTAGATATATTTAAAGATGAACAAAACACATTATATAACTGCATTAATAGTTTACCAGTTTATCTGTAATTCACTGCAAAAGATGTAATTTATTGCACTTTAGAGAAGCTGTAATTCCACTACAAAGAAAAAGCTGCATCTCCCCTACAAAGAGTGCTCTGGCAAAGTAAATACTACAAATAAAATGACAGTGTAATACTAAAAGTGAAAAAGTGTAGAACTTACAGTGTAATACTAGAAGTGTAGTAAAAAAGTGTTAAACTGTAAAAGAGTAATACTAGGAGTAAATAATACAAGTTTAATTGCATAGTAAATATCGTAATCTGAATGCCTAAAAAGAAGTTAAATCCAAACAAGCTTCTTATCAATTCAAACATGGGGCAGTTGTCAGTAAACCGTTGAAGCATACAATCGGATTTTCACAATTGCATTTGTGTGCAATTCAAGAATTCAAAAGAATCCAAAGAATAAAAACGCAAAACGTACTTTTTTGGGGGTGAATATTTTCAAAGTTGGGCTCCGCAACAAGACTTTCTGTGGCGATAAAGAGTTACGAAGCAAGACCAAGGTGAACGGCGTTTTTGCCAAATATATCAAAGTATATTATTAGCGGCAATAATTGTCTTTAGAAAACTCAATCGTGCACGTTTTTTCAAATTCGGCACTCGAAAACATGTTACTATGCATACAAAGTAATGATCATTAAATTTTAATGAGAAAAAAAAACATTAAATTTTGTCTTTTAATTTGGAATACAAACATTGCAACGCCTTGAACAAACAATTACTTTGAAGAACTAAGATGTTCCAGACATGTTCAGGAAGCTTCATACGAAAATAAGATAGAAGTTTTGCCATTAGCAACTTATATTTCTGTCTAAAAAAGAAGTTTCAACTTCAAAATCGGTACAGCTTAGATTGATCACTCGTCCAAGACGCGACTGATATTATTTCCGAGGCTTGATTTTATCGCCCAGCTGTTACATAACATGCTATCGACTTACGACACATAAAGACCGAAAGATGCCTTCCCACGTGTTTTCGTTCTACTAGCTATGTAAATTTACGATCATCAATTAACATTATTCATCTGTTTAGAAAGCTATTGTTTTTGCAATGGGGAACAGAAAAATATTGATAGCAGAAGTACATTGGCTGGCGAGCTAAGCACTGGCTTCGATATTTGATTGTTGAAAACATGAAACGTGTATCCAGTAACTCGTATTCAATATAAGTGATCGCTGCGCATGCCTTGGAAGCAATCGTTTGATATTCAAATAGTGTTCTGGGATACTAACCCAGAGGCCCAACATTTAAATTTAAATAAAATCAAACCAACATACTTAGCACGGTAATATCTCAACGTTTTTTCAATCAAATTCTTTGAAACTGAAAAGTTAAAATTTTCTCATTTCAATGATCAAAAGTTTCAACCATTACAAACTCGTTTTTTACTGCACTTGATCTAACATAAACAAAAATATTTGGCCCCAAAACATGGACACTATTTTTTTACGACAAAACGAAATGGAAGGAAAACCATAAAATGTGGTGAAAAACCTTCCGACCGAAAACAAAATTTTTTGAAAGTTAAATTATGAACAAATTTTTAGAAATTTTGCATGTTTTGCAACAATTTGAAGTTTTAAGACCGATTTTGTTGATCCCGACGATCTTGAGCATGCGCAAAAGTGTTTTCCAGACATTCACAGACAAGTATCCTAGATTATCCTTAGGAGTGGCTTAAACGATCTTGATTACTCCTGTTACATAACAAATGAAATGTAGCTATGTCGAACCAAACGAAAACTTTAGTGTTTCAATTTTCTTGAGGTGTTAGACTGTCTTCGAAATGGGAAACCGGGAGAATTTGAAATAATAATTGCGTAAACACTTAAAGGTTTCTATGCTAGACTGTTATATAAAATAATGAAAAGACTATACATCCCTGAATACGATGAAATAGCTATTCTCAACCAACGAGAAAGTCGAGGAAACGTTGCAGATGGGTCTACAATTTTGAGGGTGGAGTAGCAGAAAGATGCAGGTACATGTTCATTTAGGTACAGATGGTGGTACATGATTGTTAGTTCTTCATTAAACAACAAGGTCCAACGTCTTTATTTTCCTATGTCGTGCTCTTTAATTCAACAGGCAACAAGTGGAATTTCTCACAACATTCACAATCCTTTGTCGCGAGTTCATATGCGATCATCTATAGTGCCAGGAATGCGCATGATCTCCTTGACTTGCTCTAGAAAAAAATCTAATATTTTCAAGAAACCATTCATTAATGAAAATCATATATACTGGGAACTCGAGTGAAAACAAGCCATTCTTATTCCTAAGGAGTTTGTGGGTTGAATGCATTCTTCTACGTGCTGGCATAAAAAGTAATATTTTGCCTAACCTAGTTGACTTATTGATAACTAAAAAACGTCCTATTTCCCATTTCAAAGACAGCCTTCGAACACGATAGTAGCGTAAAAAATACCGATTTTTTTGTTTAATCTTGCAAGCATTTTAGGTAGCCGAAAAACTTAGCTGTATTATGAAGACAAATGGATATCTTATAACGCTATTTAGCCCATAACTTTGAGCATTTTTCACGTCCGCCTATTTCACAATTTAGTGCATGCAAAATATGAATAGAACGAAAAATAACTTTCCGTAATCAACAATACAAGCGCATAGGTGCACACGACGCACGTTCGTTGAAAAGATTAATCCACAAGTACTTCCGGTTTGGAAATAAGTGGATTGCCTAACAAAACGGACCATGCAATTTCCTTTGTATTTAGCAGTCAAACACTTACTTGAAGACCATCGGGATCAACTTCTTAACAATATGAAGCAAGCATATATACATTTCAATAAACTATAACAATAAACCTGATTTTGCTTCCAAAACTTCCTTCAAGTATATCTCCATCGTTCAGATGATGTTTACACACCATGATGCCAACAATAAATCACTGTCACCATGTATTTTACCTCCACTATCCATACCTGTGTCGTCCGTTTTTCTGTACTTTATCCATTATCGATAATTGTTTTACTTTACAATGTACATGTAGACACCTTCCTTAACAGGTAGCACTTTCGAGAACCATCATTACGAACGTCCCGCCATAAAAATGTCCATAATAAAGTTTTTATCCATTCACGGCATACCGGTGATCTTGGCTACCATTCGCAGAGAATGCTCGCGCCATAGAAAATTTGTTGAAGAATTGATTCAATATGCATGACTGCAGGCCTCACATACAACATTGGGGCCCTTCAATGTTGTATGCATGAACAACAGGCATACAAGAAGAATCTCAACTACAGACAAATTATCCCATGTCTCAAGACGGTTGTTCCATTGGATGGACTCGTTCCAACCATTTTTTTCTATTAAAGAAGTATCAACAATTAACATCCTACAAACGCAAAGTAACCGCCAATAATCTGTACTTTTTACTGTACTTAAAACACGAGCGATCAAGTCCACTGATTATACATAAGCCATTTAAAAAACATACTTAATATGGCAATATAAGCCGTTAGAGTTTCATTGAAATGGTTAGTGTAAAAGTAAGAGCCGTTCGCTGAAATAAAGCTTTGCAAGACAACATTTTATAAGAACGATCAGTATCTTCCAGCACCATATCACATCAAGTGCTTACTTTAACTCAACGAAAATAGACAACTAAGTTACACCTACAAGCAACATATAGAGAAGATTATTAACGTAGTATATGATTATACAAGACGCGCATGACATTGTCGATGAAGCTAACACTCTCTGATGTATATCATGTTTAGTCAAATTTAGAATATGCGTACCATGTGAGAACTTTGTCTTTAGCTTCTCGCAACGAGCAAAGCTGTGTTATAAACACACAAAGATATGATCCACGATAGGATTCGCTTTCATTTCAACTCCACTTCGATAACGTATCTTGGAAAGAACTTTAACAACACTTCCTGTGAAGTTGAAGTCGGAATAATTTCCACACTAAAATAATCTTCTTCTTTTCGCCGAAGGACTGTACTGTTCACTGTAATGTTGGAGATGTGCAAGCATCTTTATACGTTTAAATTGTCGTAAATTTGCATGCATCAAAAAAGATTCTATTTTAATTGGCGCAATAGGAACATTAACTTGTTATGCAATGTTGGAAGAGCGTAAAGTAGACAATAGATAGAACAAAGAAATGCATTGTGGGAAACCAAGAGGACCAGAACAAAAAGCCCTCAGCTTTGCTTCCTTGCATCTTAGTGTAATATTCACTTCTTGGTTTGCAGGCTCATTAAAATGTACAAATGCATATTCTATTTTTGGTGGGTGTGTTGATGTGTATATGTGTGTGTGTGTGGGGGGGGGGTAGTTAGCTTGCTCAAATTTCTAATTCGAGGCAGCAATTTATCGTCAGATACAGGTTTTGCGTTTTAAACTAACTTGTTTAGTAATCAGACATCCAATCAAAGACTCTTAAAATGTCTTTGAGGTTGTCTCTTATCAAATTAACGATTTTCTAGTCAACTTGTTATGTATAAAACGAAAAATACGTGAACTTTACCTTAACAACACAAATATAATGTGAATGTCATTTCTACAACGAAGTGTCGTATGAACATGAAGGATCAAGCCAAGTGATCATACAAGCCATGTAAAAAGCACTTTTTCTTTGCCAATTTATCCAGTGAGAACTTTCTTTAAAAAATAGCTCATAAAAATTGCTTGCTAACATAAGGATTGTGACATATATTACATCACGAGTTTAAGTATGATTCGCAATGTCAGATAATAATTTAGCAAACAAGTCAGCTACAAAAGTAAATCATAACTGAGCTGCATCGCAGACTGTGCATGTAACAAATATACATTCTGCGATGCAGGCTATGTCATGTAGTGACGTACATAACGTATATCGAATGCTTGCTTCAACTCAACGAAAGTAGACAAAGTTTCTTACAAGTAACATATAGAGAAGACTGTTAACCCAATATTTGATTACACAAAACATGCAGTACATTCGTCAATAAACTGAAAATGCATTAATTAGTTTGATGTTTATCATCTAGTCAAATTTAGCATGTGTACCATGTTGGAACTTTGTCTTTAGCTCCTCTCATAGAGCAAACGCTGTAGTATAAACAGACAAATATAAGTTTCGCGTTAGTATTAGCTTTCAATTGAACTCCACTTCGATAAGTATCTTGAAACGAACTTTGACTACACTCTTTGTAAAGTCAAAACAGGAATAATTCTGTCTGTAATCATCTGATCTCTTCTCCAAAGAACTGTAGAGTTTGCTCAACTGTTAGACGTGTGCAAGCACTGAAACCAGGAGGATTGATCAGAAAACAAGCATTAAAACATTGTGTGTACCTTTTTGTCCACCTTTTTTGCCTTTCTTTATGACTATCTTTGTGTCCACCTTTTTTGCCTTTCTTTATGACTGTCTTTTTGTCCACCTTTTTTGCCTTTCTTTATGACTATCTTTGTGTCTAACTTTTCGCCTGTCGTTTTGTCTTCTTTTGTGTCTACTTTTTTGTCTACACCAGTTTCTATTTTTGTGTTTACCTTTGTGTTTACCTTTCTGTTTACTTTTGTGTCTACCTTTATGTTTACCTTTGTGTCTACCTTTATGTTTACCTTTGTGTCTACATTTGTGTCTTCCTTTATGTCTACCTTTATGTTTACCTTTATGTCTACCTTTATGTCTACCTTTATGTATACCTTTGTGTTTACATTTATGTTTGTTCACCTTTATGTTACCTTTATGTTTACCTTTATGTCTATTTATACCTTTGTGTTTACCTTTGTGTCTACCTTTATGTTTACCTTTATGTCTGCATTTGTGTCTTCCTTTATGTCTACCTTTGCGTCTACCTTTGTGTTAACCTTTATGTCTACCTTTGTGTCTACCTTTATGTATACCTTTGTGTTTACATTTATGCACCTTTGTTCACCTTTATGTTTACCTTTATGTCTACCTTTGTGTTTACATTTATGCCTACCTTTATGTCTACCTTTGTGTTTACCTTTATGTCTACCTTTGCGTCTACCTTTGTGTTAACCTTTATGTCTACCTTTGTGTCTACCTTTATGTATACCTTTGTGTTTACATTTATGCCTACCTTTGTGTCTACCTTTATGTTTACCTTTATGTCTACATTTGTGTCTTCCTTTATGTCTACCTTTATGTTTACCTTTATGTCTACCTTTGTGTTTACAGTTATGCCTACCTTTGTGTCTATCTTTCTCTACCTCTATGTCTACCTTTATGCCTACCTTTGTGTTTACCTTTTTGTCTACCTTTGTGTCTACATTTGAGTAATCTTTTGTCTAAATTTTTTGTCTACTTTCCTCTACTCAAACCATGTACTTGTGAATGAAAAACGAAGTCTCTGTCAACTTAGCTACTGGATCATCACAGGATTTTCAACTGTAGAAAAGTATCAAAATATCAGGATAAAAAGTTGATCACACGACTTTATCAAACATGATTTTATAGAGTGCATGACTACTCTTTTTTAATGTTATTCATGACGTCTGTTATAAAAACGACGATTTTTTGAAACGTTGCTAATAAAACGATTATTTCAAACGACTTTTTCCAACTTTTGACGTCTATAGAAAATGAAAAAATAGATAAGGACGATTCAAAATTTGCTTACCGATGTGTCCCAAGCATCTTGAACCCAGGTGGGATTGAACGAGCAAACGCCGCACTTATACTAAAGCTCAGGCCCACTCCGCCAGACATGTCAAGTGGTGTTGTTCGGATTTTATATTGTATATATTCTCGTTTGACCAGTCAGTCATGTAAGAAAAAAGCTGAATACCATCTTGTCCCCTCATGTATGACGAAGCACAAAAACTAACTCAAAGTGAGTTTTTGGCGTTAAAAGACGTAACGCTTAAGTTTTAAAATGAATCGAGACAATCTTACCGCTTTCCTAAATCTCAGCCATTTACCTAAACCGAACAACGGCTATTTCAAACTCTGGGTGACAGTGAGGTACGGTATTCACCGCGCTCCGTAAGCTAATGAATGTAGGATGTTCAATGATTTGCATTTTCAAGCTGGGATATACAAGAGAGGTGGCCCACTATAGTTATTCAAAAACTTAAACAAACGATATATTGTTTTATTTTAAAAGCTCCTCTACTAAATTTAACCAAATGAAATCGTTCTCATTTCAAATGAGTCAGCATAGTGCACAATTGGAACCATTTGATAAACTGATTAGTTATAATTGAGTATATAAATATGAACACCGCAGATAGCTGTAGCTTTTAATTTACTTAATTATCAAGAACAATGGCGAAAAATAACCGGAGGTTATGCCAGCCAGTGGTGGATCAAGCAGAGTATATCAGGGGGAGGAGGGCGCAGTGGATAAAACAGAGTATATCAGGGGGGAGGGCGCTTGGTGAGCAGCTAAACAAAGTCAAGCTCAAAGCTTCAAAAGAAACCAGCTTCTATAACTTTAATGGTGAGACATAACTGAACATCTTTCATTTTATTCATTGCATAAAAGCTAATTATAAGAATATTAAATTTTGGCACCAAATTTATCACTCCTGCGCCTTCCCCCCGGTTAATCCACCACTGGATTTCGAGTGAATTTAAACGAGAACACATCATATGTATGTCTCCTTTACATCGTTCAGTAAGTCCAATAAATATCCATCGTCTCCTTAGTTCAATACCATTTCACCATCGTCCACTTTTTTTTGTATGTATTGGTTGAATTTAATACCTATAACGATACATTAGTAGAAAATTTAATACCTATAACGATACATTAGAAGAAAAAAATAAACATTGTACACCGAATTTTGAAAAAGTAGGCATAGTCACATTGGTGATGGCGTTCATATATCGCAACAAATTCCTAAATATTTCTTCACAAAGTTTATTCAAAGTTTATTTTAACATAGAAACATTTCAGTATTCAAACGAACGCCCATATATTCAAATGCTCAAATATTTTCATATTTAAATTTCTATAATATTGAAACCCCAATATAGTCAACATTCGGCAGTAGGGGATCCATGGTTAAGAAGAAATTAAAGCTCATAATACCTTTTTTTACAATACAATTGCTTATGAATTTCCGAAGAATAAAATCAAATGAACAGATAAGCTTTTGTAATATATTTTGACTAAAGCTCGACCCCCCTCTCCCCATGGAACAAATAAACATTCTAACATTGATACATTCAAATAATGTCAAATTACTACGAGAAAAGCATTTATGTTTGTGGCAATGTTATATATACTCACAATATTTACGCATTCATAGGTTTAGCATAGTGATAGGCATTGAAATCATAAAAATACGTCTTTTGTTTGTACAACCTGTATATAGCCAAATTTAGTATTCCCTGTGTACAGCATAATTTAACATAGTCTACATTAAAATGCTATTCCAAAACAAGTAGAAATCGAGATTGACAAAAGAAATCAACCCATTCCAATAAACTTGTAACAGATCATACTTCATGTTTTATAATCGGAACGACAGTGGTTTCAAACTACATTCTTTTTTCCAACACTGGACGAAAAATATCGAGTTAAAACGTTATGTTGGGTTAAACAAGTAGTCAGTTGATTCAAAATCGTGACCAGAGATTTGCCAGGCGGAAAGCGAATTTTCAATATGAACATAATAGCCCAACATAAGAACCTTTTATCTATCTTTCGTATATTATTGTTGTGATGGCTTTCTTAAAAGTCTTATGATGGGCTATTATGTTCATATTGAAAATTCAGTTAGTTCATTCTTACCTATAATAATTCGGTTTATAAGGGCCAGATTTGGCAACACCTAAATATTTCGCCTGCTCGTCAGTCAATTCAGTAAGATGAGCGTCGAACGTCTGAAGATGAAGCAAAGCAACGTACTCATCTATAGGATGAAAAATAGGTAAAACATTTTAATAATTTATCAGGAGTTAATTACTCAAACTAATCAAGAATTCCACGACTTTTCATTACTAAAATTGCACACACCCATTTTCTTTGGAAGCAAATAAACATCTTGTTTGTAGCGGCCTGAAGGAGCCTTGTAGAGCTCAATTAAAGCAATGGCCTGCGTCGTTGTCGTAATGGAAACAACAAAAGATGGTACGCTGGAACAACTAAGGTTTACCAGGCGACCCTTGAGGATGAAAAGAGTAAAAATACCTTTATTTGTGCATAATTTTTGAACTTGTTGCGATTGAAAAATATCTAAGATTCAATGAACTTTATTTAAATTCGAGATGATTTTCTTTCTTGCAACATTCTACCGTTATCTTAGCATTGCAATGTTTTTCTCTATGTTTTAATTACGATAATACTGAAAGTAAAGCGTTTCAAACCACCCCCCCCCCACACACACACACTCCAAGAAAACGGCAGAGTGGACAAGAAATTTGATCAAAATTAACGCCATATAGCTAAGTTACAGTGAACATTATCATTTTACAACATGAAAAAACGAAGTCAAAATTCCAATGTAACGAATTTTCTTTAAACACTTCTTACAAAATACGAATTTAATCCCATCATTGGAAAAACCACATTCCGTTAATAATTCATATTTAATTAAAGTTTTAACAACAACACTAAATAAACAAACCTCAGCAAGCAAAACAATTCTCTTTTTGCTCGGCCAAATGATATGATCAACCTGGGGTCGAACTTTCTCCCAGATCAAATCCTCTGTCCTGAGACTCGCCTGTAAACAATACAAAACGGAATCTATAAATCCTAGACATCTAAATCTTTTAAATCACACGTCGTGATAATAGGATCAAAACTGGTGCTCCTAAGATCATATGGTAAAGAACTTCGCAAACAAAGCCCCCTATTTTGTTCTTACCGAAAGAGCCAATGAAATACTTTCCATAAATGATCCAATACACGCCCATAATCAAATAATCGCCTCGTATCTAATAAACGCCCTCCCTCCTAAAGCGTCGGTTTGTATCAGACGCTTCTTTCGAATAAACTCCCCAAAACTTTAATGGACGGAGCACAACAATACCATTATGATAATATCATTATAATAGTGGCTCGTCAATTGGTCTCACAAACCAAATATTTCGTCTTAATTTTGTTTTCACGGGTCAACTCTAAGGTAATAGAAATCAAACAAACGTCTCGCTTTATTGTACGCCACGTATTTATACACGAACCCACCCCTCCCCAAAAAAATCAAAAAACGATAGACTTTATCAAACGCACCGGGCGGTTATTGGATCATTTACAGTAGTTTATAAACATGTTGATGAGTTCATACTTGTCACGACAACACTGAAGATATTTGGTAAAAAATTCGTTAAACGAAAATCAAACTTTTTCTCAGTAAAGTTTAGACTTTTAAGGAAAGAGGAAAATTTAAAAAACAACGAGAGTTAACATACCACATCAATTTCCGTATTCGAATGACCCATATTACAAACTATACAACCATTTTTCAAACGGTCCATGTGGTCACGTGTGACCACGCCCTTATTACCTAGATACACGAAGAAAATTGAAAACTGAACCGCGTTTGAAATAGGAAAGTTCGAGAAAAAAGATCGGAAACCTGTGGCAGTTATCAGAATATCAATTTGACCTAAGACTTCTTCAATTCGAACAACTTTAAATCCATCCATACTAAAAAATAAAAGCACAAGTTCGTAACCACGTGTACTCAAATAAAAACTGGAATGGATACGTCTGGAGGGAATATCTTGATGGTTCTAAGATATAAAAACTTACGCTGCCTGCAGACCACAGATTGGATCAATTTCGGTGACGTTAACAACAGCCCCCAAGCCCTTTAAAGCTGCGCAACATCCTTTTCCGACCTATTTCAAGAAACGGTGAGTTAAGTTAGAACGTGTCAACAGAGCCCCACACATCAATATTACAAGATACCCACAGACGAACACTTGTTTCCTATCAAACACGAAGCCTTTACCTCACAATACCCACAGACCACCTGTTTCCCATCAAACATGAGAACCCTTTCTTCACCATAGCCACACACCAACACCTGTTTCCCACCAAACATTAAGTTCTTACCTCACCATAGCCACACACCAACACCTGTTTCCCACAAAACATTAAGCTCTTACCTCACCATAGCCACACACCAACACCTGTTTCCCACCAAACATTAAGTTCTTACCTCACCATAGCCACACACCAACACCTGTTTCCCACCAAACATTAAGCTCTTACCTCACCATAGCCACACACCAACACCTGTTTCCCACCAAACATTAAGCTCTTACCTCACCATAGCCACACACCAACACCTATTTCCCACCAAACATTAAGCCACCTCACCATAGCCACACACCAACACCTGTTTCCCACAAAACATTAAGCTCTTACCTCACCATAGCCACACACCAACACCTGTTTCCCACCAAACATGAAGCCCTTACCTCACCATAGCCACACACCAACACCTGTTTCCCATCAAACATTAAGCTCTCACCTCACCATAGCAACACACCAACACCTGTTTCCCACCAAAAATTAAGTTCTTACCTCACCATAGCCACACACCAACACCTGTTTCCCACCAAACATTAAGTTCTTACCTCACCATAGCCACACACCAACACCTGTTTCCCACCAAACATTAAGCTCTTACCTCACCATAGCCACACACCAACACCTGTTTCCCACCAAACATTAAGTTCTTACCTCACCATAGCCACACACCAACACCTGTTTCCCACCAAACATTAAGCTCTTACCTCACCATAGCCACACACCAACACCTGTTTCCCACCAAACATTACATCAGTTGTTCTCTTCAAGCTATCCAAAATGGACTCTCTACAGCAGTACAAGTTGTCAAATTTCGTCTAAAGAAGAAAGTGATAAAACTCTTCAATATTGTTACCAACTGCCATTAGGGAAGAGAAATCAACAGACTGAAAAAATTAACATATTCTCAAAATATTAATCTATTTGTGAATGCAATGCATACCTTTGTAACAGAATCGTTAACATTCATTGCTGGAACTGTGAGCTTGCCTTGTTTTGACAATTGAAACAACCTGGTAGGAAAATACACATGTCACAAAGAAAGCTCCAAAAATAGTGTTCAAAACATGTTTTTTCAACAAAGGTTTTTTCTTGAATTAATTTGGCATCAAATAAGAAAGAAACAGAAGTGAAAGTTGACGAAAAAAGTTTTAGGAATTTAATAATCTGCATAAAAAATGCAAATAATTGTCATTTTGATGACAGTCTATCACATATTCTTTCAGAAGACAGTCTTTGATGTCATTTACCTATGAAGAAAGTTTGTGACATCACTTACCAGTGATGACAGTATATATGACATCATTTACCTATATGACATGACAACGTATATGACATCAATATGATAATAATATATATGACATCATTTACCTATGATGACAATGCAAATAACATCATATACCTATGCCGATAGTATATATGATATCATTTACCTAAGATGTCACTATGTATGACATCATTTCTGATCAATGTATGTATTTGAATAATTTTCCAAAAGAAAAAAAATAATAAAAAATTCCATTTCTATCCAACCTGTGAACACCAGTAACACTTTCTTCAACAATTCCTTTCAAAACACTAAATCTCCCAGGAAACTTCTTATACATAAGATGAGTTGAATCACCGCCATCATCAAGTATCTAAACAATCACAACACAACAACTGAGCAAATAAGAAATTGATGCCAAAATGAAAACTGTCTGTTAGTTTCTGGTTGTTTTGAAATATAGCTTTTCAAGTAACTTTTCTCGACGATTCTTTTACCATTTAAAACCAATGAACTCAATCAAAGAGAGCTTGCAAATCAATCATGAATACAAGTTAGAGGAAAAATTAAACAGTTTTTTAAATTTACCTGTCTCACATTATTGTTATTTTTAAAAAGAAATAAAAGATATTTTCTGTGTTTGCACTGACTAATGCAAACATTGGAGACCTTTGTCAAAACTCTCGAGCAGAGTTTGGTCTTGGACTGTTCTGCTCTCGAGTTCTCCCAAAGGTCTCCTTGGTTTGTATAAGACCTGTGAAAACAAAGTAAACATCTTTTATTTCTTGATTGCTTGTACACAGTTATCCATAATCCCCATACATAACTATCCATATACGTACATTGCAGTTTAACTTTACCCTGAAACTTTACCATGTTAGGATTCCAACCAGGAGCATTTATACATTTTTCAATACACCACCAGAAGTCTTCTTCAGTTTCACCTTTCCATGCAAAGATAGGATAACCTAACACACATAAATGAAATCATGTCATTAGAATCACAAACAACTGGAGCATCAGAAGGAGATGCAAAATATTATAAAGTAATTGGTTTGAACCCGAGAGTATCATTGCATGTTTGTAAATGTGTATCGTCCAGGTTAATAGAGTCCTGAGAAGGCCTGTTTTTGTTGATGTTGACTGACGTTTTGACAACCAAGATGATTACTGCTAAGATTGTCGAAACATTAGTAAACATCAACAACAGTCCTTCTCAGGACTCTACTAACCTGGACGATCTACATCCACAAACATGTAGCAAAAAGTTATGTTAATTGTGTGGTGCTACACCAAGTATTTCAATTAAACTTTTCAGTAACGTTTGGTGAGAAATGTGAGAGAGTAATTTTTTGCATTCCACATTTCTGGTTGTTAGAACTTTTGTTTTAATGCCAGTTTCAGTCAACATGACAATTAAAGACTGGTCACGCAATAGTTTGGTCGAACATTGACTGTTGACTTGCCATTATTTTGCACCCAGCAGGGTATTGCTATTCTGATTAAAAAACAAGCAAGTGTTTAGACTACTGCTTCCAATGCCCTCAACAAAACAACCACTCAAATAAACAATTTAATGATGTCACCTTTTTCAGCCAAAGCTGCAGCAACTTCATTCTAGAAAAAAAGAAAAAAGTTTAGAAAAACTCAACTGCTGTAATAGTTATAGTTTCCAAGTTGAATTCTAAACTTTAAAAGTAATGAATCGTGCAAATGATGAAATGTTCAAAATCAACCTGAGTGGAATATATGTTACATGCACACCATCTCACTTGCGCACCAAGCATACACAAGCTCTCGATTAGCACCTAGAGAGAAAAAAATATTTGAAAATCTCACTACAACCAATTTTTGCTTGCACAACTAACACAAAGTGTTGTTAGACATCCATATACATGACAAGAAATCATGCCATCATCCGAAATATACAAAAATACTTTACCAAATTAAGAGTATACAAAGAGGATTGTAACTTACTGCTGATTGTGCAGTTACATGAGTACAACCAACAATTTTTGCTCCTTCGAGAGGTCGATCGTTTGCATTTCTTTTACGCAGCAAAATCAAACCAGGCATTTCTAAAACAAGATCGAACACATAAGTTTGCACTCACTTTCCACAATTCAGAAAACATTTCAAAAATAAATAACCTTGTTCTGCAATCTCTATCTCTCGCTGTCCAAAGTCAGCTCGGTTAATATTCTTGATACAAAAGTCAGAAAAACCATTGCTGTTTGACTTGAAAAACAAAAAAACCCTTTCAATGTCAAGGAGCATTTTTATCACGGAGTCACTAAAAACATAGCTTGCACAAGAGGGAAGCTCGTTAATTTAATTTTAATAGTTCTGCTAATGACTGCAATGCAAAATTTTCTTTGCTCACTGACTGTGACAAGAATTGATTTTAAAAGGAATAATGTGCTTATGAAATTCATACAGCAGCACAAAAATGTGTGGCTTTGCCACTGCAAAAAATATTTAAAAAGGCGCAAGTCTAACTAAATCGCGAAATTACTTGTGTTATGTAATTTAACAAGGATTTGTTCGGCATATGACATTACTGTTATGTAACTAAGTTTTGTAAAGATTTCGTTTAATTTCAAGGTAGAACGACAACATTAAAAGCTTGTCATTCTATTCAAATGTTCATTGAAATGAACGTTATAATGAATTTCGACCACCTCTATTTATATAGCTCTTCTAAATACGGTAATGAGGAAGTAGCGTTCAATGTAAATTTTTTCTTGCTGCAAACAATATACATTCCTATCTTTAGCAAGACCATTCTAAATACATACTTGGGGCTTTTCTCGAGGCGAGACACCATCATCTTCATCAGAAGAGATGCTGTTGTCTGAATAACTTGCTAAAACGTAAAACAGATTGAACAGCATCGAAACATGTTTCTCGTAAATCAGACGGAAATAGCCTAGATGCATACATTTCAAAACACATCTATACAGAACCGTGCATAAAGCTAGAACGATTGAAGAAGCGCAAAACTTTAAAACAGTCTTCAAAAGATTAGGCTAAATTTGATTTTTCGCACATATTGAACATGCTGAGAGTCCTTTCATCGTTCAAGCAGTGTTGAAGTCCATATTGACAAGAATGGTATGGGTTCCTACCGAAGAATTCAATGCCTGACCTGAGCTATAACTGTCCGTAGACGATACAGACATAGTCCGCTTTCTTGCACGAGGAAGCCTTCTCGAAGACATGCTTTCAGAAAAGCTGAGTCTCTGAACAACAACATTTTAATACAACAATTGCGTTGAATTACGAAATAAAACTAGATAGCAACGAAGCCTTAGAAGGAAGTTCGAACCTTGAGCTCCGCTAACAGTGGCGGTTTTTGAGCTGCAGCAGGAGACCTAGAAGAAACATCTCCTATTCCATGTCCCCCAGACGGGGACGAACCATTTTCTTCGGAAGCCATTAGTAACAAGTCATTTCACGTACATACAATGATGAACAGCACGTCGACACTTCTAGTTCAACCCACGGTTCAACTGCTGCAGCGTCATTATGTGTCAACCCGTAAAACCACAATGCGTAGCGCGGTACGAATTTTTAAGTATTGCTTCGCTTTGGTTTTGTTATGTAAACTGCTTTTCGCTAAAAGTGCTGTCGAAAACTTTAGTCGTTAGATTATTTCTGTATTTTTTGCGTTTTCAGGTAGTGTTTTTTCCACTATAAAGGTTTATACCACAAATGCATTTGACAAGTGCTTATTACCGCTTAAAGTCGAACTTTTTCACTATCAATACATTTGAAAGAAACAAGAGAATAGCGTAAATGAAAAGCTTTATCCAGCTTTAACGTGAAAAATATCTCCAATGTATAACTCTGTCCAAAAACAATTATTTAACCCCCCCTCCCACATGCTGGTTATCTGAAGTACATGGACACAATTTGACAGTCACTCCCCCCTTCAGTGGTACTGGCAGGTTTGATTTTTTGGGAGACAACCTCCAAATGCCTTTTCCATGCTATTCTTAATTTTTAGTTGTACAAAGGCCAAACTGCAATTGTGGAAAATATAATTGGGAGAAGTTACTCCAATACCTCCTCCCCTGTTTGGCAGCACCTATGACCCTCACTCAATTTTTCTGTTTTTCACTACGGTGATCAATTTGAAATTCAAATACCATATCAATCATGGTGCTGGTTAGAAATTTTTAAAGAAAATTTTTGAGCCAAAATTTTACAAATAGGATTGTTTGTTAAGTATTTTGAGTTTTAAGTAGATGAATTGTGATGCATTCTATCTTTCCTAGACCCGCACTCTTCAGTGGAGTGGCGGTGTCTTAAATCACAGTGAAATGTGTGAATGCTTTGAAATTCAAACAGAAATACTAAACCCACTGGGTACATCGCTGAATGTATTCCTATTTTGTGATCATGTTAAACATTACAAATTGCCTTCACGATGAAGGATGTTTGAAATTAAAATGGAAAGGGCGAATGCAAGAAAATAGTCAAATCAGATTATATTGGAGAATTTGTGAATAGTCAATAAAAGCATATATGTAGTTAGTATTTACAGATTATACAATGAATTTTTTTGTTCAATAAGCATTTTTGAGTCACTAATATATGAATTTAAAATTCACATATTATAACAAATAACTTCAATACAAACCCAGTATTGAAATGTTGCACAATTTTTCATAGTCACAACTGAGAATATCGAGGTTGACCACAATCAATTTAAACAATTGCACGAACTTCACACTCATGAATCATGATGTAAAAACAATAAATAATGGTCACCAAATTACCTGTGCTTTCACAAGAGCTGAAGGAAGATGATCTGCTCCTGGATTTTCTGAAGGGTGAATATGTTCTTGCTAAAGCCTAAAGGACACAATACAATACTGATTGGCAAGTGCGTGACATCAATTTTTGGGGTTAAGACTTTATAGAAACATTTGATTCATCTAATCACGACATGAAGCTAAACACTCCAATTTTTTCTATTCACAAGCCAGAACCTCATATCTCTTAATAATTTAGGGCATTATTTAACATCAACAAATAATCTTACGGGTATTAAGTCTTATATCATATCGTATGCTTTATTTTGATATTTACCCGTTTCGGAGTTTGACCCTGAAATTGCCCAATTTTTGGCGAAGCACCGGCTGATACAGAACTCACGGCAATTGAACCTTTTCGATTCCACAATTCTTTCTCCATTCTTGTCTAAAATCGACGATCTTGCGATAGAAAGTCGAACATAAGCAACGCGGCGGACATAGGCGATGTTTGGCACCCGTAGTGGAAAAAATATTACTTATGATAACCGGAAATGAACGACACAAAGAATTTTCGGTTACTGAAGTGATGTAGATTGCGCGATGATAATATAGTGATTCATTGCATAAGCGACGACAATATTGCTCAAATCTCCCATAGTGACATCTGTATATCGTCAATATCAAATGTTCGTAATTCGTTGAGACGATTCTTCCGTATTTTGCGTGTAATTCAAAACCGGATATCGTCTGCGTTGGTCTAAGCTATACATCCGGTGAAATAGATTTAAACGATTAAAATTTCGTGCATCTCATTAGCTAAAGGAGAATAAATTTTCAACTTGATTCGTCCTAGAGAAAAACCTTCCCACGTCAATCGGACTGATCATGAAGTTAAACGCACCCAATCAACAATCAGTTTAAGACTAAGAGGATATGCAAAAGTTCGGGGTTAATCCGCTTTTGAAACAGAAACATAGAAAGGTTTTGAATACATTATGTCCAATCACAAAAGATTGACCTTGGCAAAAACATATGGACCATATGGACTGCGTTTCCTATTCGTGTCTGTTTCGTGGTAGCGTGACAAGCTCGTGGTCTTTTGTCGCTTTCCTATGTGACCACAAAACAATAAATAATGTAATTATAACGCAAAGTTCACGTAATTTGCGGTGTACTTCTAACATTGACTATCACAATTATGATACATTCACTACAGAAGCCGTTTGTTGATTATGGATAGGTTATATAACATTGATATTTTTATTGTCTCATTTGTCAACGTCTGTTAAATTTGACGGACTAACTTTTTTGTATTTGGAATTACACATTGATCACAAACTGTTGCAAAAGACTTTAAAATAGTCTAAATTCTCAGCCTTCCTTGGTAAACTTTCGAAGTTGCTTTTTCCTCTCCTGAACAGAAAACAAGAAAGAAGTCAAGACAGAAAAATGCCAAAAAAATCTTTATTAGAAGTTCATGTACATTGTCTTTGAAATAGGAATACTCCACTTTCTCATAGTCTGAAAGCGTAGCGAGAAACTCTTGCTCAACTTCCAGATGAAGTTGCTGACTTGTATTAAGCGGAGCCACATCACTAGAGAGAGTAGCATTTAATATTAGTTTTTGTGAACTGAGAGAGCAACATGTCAAAATCTAGGCTTAACAATGAAACATACCTGATATCAAGTGGTTCGACTTTGTACATGTTTGCTAACATATCAACTGTCCACAATTTCGGGTCTAATTTTCGTAATGATCTTATCTCTGAAATCTATAGCATGAAAATGCATGACAAAATTATTGCTTCAAAAATTATCCACGACAAAAAATAAATTAGTTCAAAATTACCTGTGTGTCTGTAAGATGACTGGCCCTTTGGTCTTGTGACAAATCTTTGTGCAAAAGATCATTGGAGTTACGCTTAATTCAAAGATAGCAAAGTTGACAATTGGAGATCAGCTAGGTCAACACAATAAAATCCATGAATCTACAACAACATCAAGATAGATGCACCTCTATATCTTCTGAAGAATAATTCTTACGAGGATGATAAAATATTATCATGTTTCCATTGGATGTTGATATGGATTTTCTATAGAATTTTATCCATTAGAAGATGGCATTGCAATTGAAATTTTATCAATTTTAAAAATGAACATGTTTCAAACCCATTTTCCATCACATTAGATGCGTTTGGTTTGTGAACACCAACTCGACTTGTTGTGAAAAAATCAAACTTAGTTGATTTGTCATCAGCAAGCCGTATTTCTGCATCAAACTGAGCAGGAGTTTTCTCTTTATCCAACAGAATGACCTGCGCACGTCGCTTGTTTGCTGCTTTAGCCCAAGATGGTATACCAACAGTTCCTCTTCGGCCTTTCAAAGATGTAGAGGAAGTCGAAAACAGTTTTCGTCCAACTTTGAATCGGGCTTGAAAAAGTCATAAAGTTGACAAAACAGTATGAGTGTTGATATTGCTATGGATAGAAATGAAGAGCTGATTCTCTCATTTTTCTGTCACTTTAGGATAGTATTGACGTTAGAATTTTAGTATGGTAAAATCGTTATTTCTTAGGATGGTAAAATCGTTATCTTTCCTCAAACGCTTTCTTGAAAAGAAACTTCGCTAAACTACTTCAAATAATTGTTTTCATACTTACAAAAGTAGTTAAGAAGCAATTTATCAACCGAGAACAAAGCATTCCTTTTCCAAATATTGTGCAGGCCGTATTCCATGATAACTTTACTACTACTAGCACCACACACTCCACGTTAAAATAGATCCGTTAGCATTATTAAACATTTAATTTCAAACAAAATATAGTTAAAAAAAACTCTCCCTATGGCCTGTATGTAAACTTTCCACAACATTTCGATAGACTTTTCTCGTTTGTCAACGCAGGAAATCCTATTTGAACAAACTTATAAACGTGACATGTAAAATTAGGAGCTACAGTTCCAGAAAATTCGATTTGTGAATGATGGAATCTAGCCATACCGTGATCATATTTCAAATACCAAAATGTAATATTATTGTTTAAAAACAAGTCACTTCTCGTTTGTAATTTTGTTTTGAACTAGTTGAAAACTTATTACTTTGTGATTCGATGGTTTACAAATATTTTTCAGTAGAATGGGCCAATGTCTAGGATTTTGTAATCGTTGGGCGATCAAAAGAAATCAGGGTTTCGATCGATTTTCAAACTACGCTCCCAAACAAAGTCCCAGGTAAGACGGTTTATGACTAACACTCTTTATTCAGAGGTCAATATAAGATAATTGGATAAAAAATTTATGTACTTGTACTCGCTTGGTCGACCTGCTGGATTCCCACACAAACCACAAAATTTTCAATACACAATACCTAAAATTGGGTATGTCATAAGATGGTGTTACTATGAGAAATACTTAAAGTGAACTTTGCACGTAGAGTTAGCAAGGACTATATTTTATAGATGAAAGAATATGCTGGTGGCTTAGGATTACCTATGAAAGCTATACCCCTATTCACGTGAACAAACACTGACATTCACAAATACTGTTCTGTTTCAGCCGATTTGGTGATGATCATTTGCTGAATGAGTACCAAGACCAACAAGATGAGATCGATTTTTCAGGTAAAGTACATATAGCACCAATAAACACTGTATGATTTCTGAAACTTCCATGACTGTCTTGTGACCAACATAAAAGTTTTTGCTGTTTGATAAGTAAGAAGTGTCTCTTGCAATGTAAGTTGTGTTATACTATTTTAGTAACCTGCTGCTATAGTCTTGCATGCAGCCCCTGTAGTGTGTTGTCTTATTTAAAAACACTCTTTTTATGCCATGAAAAGGTGTAGGTAAAAGCATATATCGACCAGGCCCATCCGAAGTAGTTATTGACGTTTCAGAAAAGCCGTCAAGGTGAGCATTAGGTAGGCTGTTGAAACATATCGATTTTTCTGTATAGTGAAATATCAATATACCAAAAAAAATACCGAAATATTTGGTGTTAAGATTTATTAGTTAATTATACATAGTTTTTAAAGGTTTTTTAGTGGCAATATAGTGGTTTTTAAATGGTTTTGTATATTATTAGACAATCTGACCCAATCACATGAGCAAGGCAATTGTTGGCTAAGTTTCAATTTGATCTAGCTATTAGTCATCGCCAACAACACTATAAATAATGCAAAAATATTGATGCATCAATCAATATAGATTTTTTTGGTATATCGATATTGGTGTTTTATTAATACCACAACAGCCTAGCATTAGGTGCATGTAAGAAATAATTGTGCAGAATTATAAATAATTTTGGATTCTTTCTTTTAAAGATCAAATCCTGAGAAACAGTTAACAGCAACAACTTCTGCAAATCCAAATTACTCATCTGTTGCTTCAAGTGCATCTGCTGGAAGTATTTGAGTTGTAAATAATAAGTTTATATCATAATTCATCCATTCAAATGCACTGATTTTTTTACCCATTGCAAACAATGAAATCGAAATTGTCTTGATTTTACGAACAATAAAACTGGAGAAAACAAGTCAATCAAACTGGAGAAAACAAGTCAATCGAACTTGATCAATTGAAGAGACCACACATTCATGAAATGCACAAATAACTCCAGAAATTATTTAATAATATTTAGTGTATTTAAATTAAACCCAAGAAGTAAAATATTGTTATTTATGTAAAGTTTTTGAATGAATATAATGTGCAAACGTACAAATACACTTTGACTGGAGAAAATAGTTTCAAGTCCAAATATTATATATCTTTACACCAATAAATTGAACTTCTCACACACAACTGGGAGCTGCCGCAGCCAATCTAATGCAATAACAAAATGTGCTTAACATAACCTACACCACCCGCTATACAGATTCATAATCAGGCTCCCAAGGTGTGTGAAAAAATATTTTCCACTTTTTTGTTCCTCAGTCAGCAGAAAATAATATTTGTAACAATGTTTTGTCAGTGTAGTATGAAACTTAAAGTCAAAAATACAACTTTAAGCCAATTTTTACACTTATTTAATATTTGCTCATTGTTTAATACACGGAGAGATGAAAAAACTCTGAGGTACAGGTAATGAGCATTGCGTTTCCACTTTAAAAAGCACTTTGTACAACAATTTTGGGCTTAAGACAAAGTGAGAAGCAAAGCAAAAACAGGCCAAACAGCTTGCTTAATGCAACAACTACGCAAATCAAGACCAAGATTTTTCTTGTAAGATTTAATTACAATAAAAAATGTTAGAAATTTAAAGTTTCAAGCAATTTCATACACTATTCTTGCAATTTGTTTTTAGTTACAGTTGCAAACCACCAAACCAATAAGGCAGCAGTGACTGCAATGAATTCAGTCTGTACCCAAAGACCTTCACGACTTGCAGCCTAAATGTTTTCACATAAGCTTCAACCATATTGCAAAATTCTGTGTGTCATTGCATTCTTAACATAGAAAATATACATACCTTGTGATTCAAAGTCACTGTAAATAATGGCTTCTGTTCCAATTTTTCACCAGTACGCTGAGCCTGAAAAAACATACAGTTTATCATAAAGAATGAAGTAAATGATCACAAGATAACAAACACAATAAATATAAGTTGGTAGAAAGAAAAAAAATTCACCTTTCTTAGACTGGCATAGCCTTCTTCATCATAATATTTAATTTCATAAGATCCAGATTTTGCTTCTTTGTGAGATTTCACCCAACTGAACTAATTTCCAAAAGTATTTACAAATTTTAATGAACCGGAGTTGAACCATTGCCTTATCACAAAATAGTTTTCAGTAAATACAAATACATATTTCTCATATCATCCTTTATCATTCAATTGACAGATTAATATTATTGCAAGTCATCATCAAACATGTTGAAAATATGAACTAATTTTCTCCTGAAACAAACTCTTCACAAAATTAGCTCATTCAAATAAAAACACAATTCTCAATGTAATACATTGTCACTCCTCAACATCACATTTCTATCTCCAAGTTAACTTACACAAAATAAAATTCACATGCTTCAAAACAAATTTCAACTTAATAACATGAAGTTTCTCAAAGACCTTGAGCTAGAAAGAAATAGCCCCAAACCCCTGTCTGCAAGGCCTTGGGGTTGAAAATACCTGATGAACAGAGTTATCATCTGACTTCGGTACTGGATACAAATTTCCATCAATTTCAGCAAACAAGAAGACATTCTAAAACAACAAAAGTATGTTTAATTTCTTTTCTAAGATTTGTGGCCTAATTCTCTTCCTTCTCAGAACTTCTTAGAGGATAATTGATCATTGTTCATTTCACAATGAGAAATATTCATCACTGAAGGATTGGTTGAATATACAACTTTATCAAGCAGTTTTAAAAAAGCAAATAAATGTACATCATACCAAGGAGTAATTATATTATCATAGTTAAAAATAAAATAAAACAAATTCTGAAAATAGACATCTCGTTTTCTTGATATTCAAGATAATACAAGAGTATTAAAACAAAAGATGGTGTAATATTTCGTCTTTATTCCAAAGACATCTTTAGACTAATAGTTTACAATGCAGGCTGCGAAACTTTTATATAAAATATTTACAAATGGAAGTGACAGTTACATAATTAGAAAACTATAAGACTCAAATTCTCTAATTACGTAACTGTCACTTCCACTTATAAATATTTATATCAAAGTTTTGCAGCCTGCATTGTAAACTATTAGCCTGAAGATGTCTTTGGAATAAAGACGAAATATTACACCATCTTTTGTTTTAAAACTCTTGTATTACCTTGAATATCAAGAAAATAAGATGTCCATTTTTGGAATTTGTTTTATTTTGTTTTCCTTAAAATTGTCTGATTGTTCTGGTTATATTTACAAATAGAGGAGCATATGTGAAAATATACAACAAGTTAACTAGATGTAAAAAAAACCCAGCACAAGTCTTGGCAAGCTTTCTAGGTCTTAACCATGAGCTACATCAAATGTAAAACTAACCTTGGGGTTATTGCTACACTTCACTGTTGACTCAATCAGAAAAACAGATTCAGTTGACAACAACACATTTGATGTGGAATAAACTTTAGATGTTGCCTGAGCATTAATGCACGATTCAGCTGTAAACCAAGCAAACAAAAGATACATCATTATTGTTGATGAGGGTTAAATAAAGACTGTCGTGGAATAAAAATTTCAAAATTCAAATATTCTCTCATTCCTAATGAAATGGTTGAACACCACCTATTTCCATAACACTGCGAAAGAAAGAATAGTTTTGAAATATAAGAAGTTTGGCTTCCTTCAACCTCAGATTCATAATACATTTCTAATCATTATAAAACTCATTGGATTGACAGATTATGTATTAAAATCATCATTGGCATTTCAAAGCATTTCTTCTTAAATGGATCTCGTGCATATCCAAAATTCAAAAATTATACGTTATCTTTATTGGAATCTTCCCCTAGCGTTTGAATGTTATAACTCAGTTAGATTGACTGAAATGTTTGTTTTTCAATGAGCTGCGACACGAGCTTTTCAAACTTATCAGCAAAATTCAACAACCTTTGAAGCAACAGGGGCTGCTCGAGAACTTTCATTACAATTTTAACCAAATAAAAGCGGCCAACGAGAGGTCTTAACGGTAGCACACAAGCCTTAACTGTCAACAACAGGCGATCCGCAAGATCAGCATCGAACATTTCTTGCCTAAGATTCTTGCCAAATCAAGAAATTATAACCCTCAGTCGTTTTACGTATAAGTTTATCAGTCAGTTAAGAGTTTAGTAAGATAATATTTACCTGAGACAACAGCAAAAAACGATAAAAACAACGGCAATATCTTGCAAGGATGCCACGACATCTTTGCTATTGACGAGAGACCACGTGGCACGCGCTCACTCTCGTCGTCATTCCCACTAGCCAGAATCAATTACCATCGTTCAAAAGTAGACATGACGAAAATACAACGAAAGCAACTCAAGATAGTATTGGCAACACAGATGCTGTATACCTTACCATGATACCATCCATGTAGTAAGTAAGGTGATCACAGATACTCAATTTTAAAAACAGAAATCTGCAGCACCGTTAAACTAAAATTGACTAAAATAGATCTACTTCCGATCCGATGTTTTGCAGCCTAAATCCATTAAATCCATTGCGATCAGTGCAATATTTTGTTATTAGATTAGATAGATTTTAATAATCCGAGAGCTTTCACTGGTCACTGGCCTGTGAGTTCAGCTAATTGCTGAGTATTTGTGAAAACATTTACAGCGTTGTAAAATGCCCCAAGTTTAAAGGATGGAGAAGCCAAACACAGGCAACAAAGTAGTCACAAAGTTACTGCTGTCTGGTACATCGTCTATCACAGCGTCTTGCGGTACGTATCCGTCTAGAAGATTAACACTGTTATCAAAATGTCTAATGTTGCACATGAGATTACTAAACGCATGTGCAATCCTAGGAATAGTTTCTTGAACAATTGCTAATTCAATAGCTAATATTCACTTATAAACTGCCTTTAAAATTGTTATTTCATGACGGTTAATAACCCATTCAGTCCACCTGCAAATGGTGTTTGCTGAATGTTTGAATATAAACTAGCATCTATGTAACTTTAAAGTATTCATTTTATATCACTAAAGTTTTTGAATAACGTATTTAACAGTGACAAATCCCATTGATGTGACCAAGGTACGTTTACAGCTTGACAACGAGCTTGTAAAGAAACAGTATGGCTTCTCGCATGATAGACGATACTACAATGGATTTCTCCAAGGAGGGTCTCGTATTTTAAGAGAAGAAGGAATTAGAGGTCTTTACAAAGGGTACGCGATATTTTCGACAATTTATATTAAGTTTGAGTATATGTAATGAAGTTTTAAGCTAGAAATATGTAATATGTTTATATGTCTGTGGCTTATGTATTAATTGTATTTCAAATGTTATACAACACTTGATATGATTATTCTGTATAAATTTGAGAGAATTTTTTAGTTCTGGGAAAGGGCACCAAGGGGGGGGATTATCCCTTGCATTATTTTTGAGACTTAGGGCTCCATTTTTGGGTGCCCCTCTGTAAGCTTCACTGTTGGGCATCATGAATGTCCTATAAACAATACAGAAACACAAGGTTCTTTATGCTTATTTTCAGCCTTCTTGCATCCATTTTGAGAGATGCATCCTACAGTGCCATTAGAATTGGGGCTTATGAACCATTTAAAGAGCTGCTAGGTGCTGATAATCCATACAACACACCACTATGGAAAAAGATCACAGCTGGCATTATTTCTGGTGTTATTGGTAGCGTGGTAGCAAATCCTGCAGACCTGGTGAAGATACGGCTACAAGCAGAAGGACATTTAAAACCGGGTATATTTGTATTTGAGTCAAAGTAAAATATTTGAGTCAAAAATGATGGTCAACCAGATTTTTGTAGCTTACTTCTCAAAGACCATTCTCTCATGTAGGTGAAACATCACGTTATACTGGCACCTTGGTAGCCTTCAGGACAATTGCTTTGCATGAAGGTGTCAAAGGTTTATGGCGTGGTGCAGGTGCGACTGTTAAAAGGGCTGCTGTTGTTTCTGGTACACAAATACCATCATATGACCATATAAAACACAGTTTATTGAACTATGGTGTCATGTACGAAGGACTACAGTTACATATGGTGTCATCGATGGGTGCAGGTCTTGCTGTCGCCTTGATCAGCTCTCCTGTGGATGTTGTCAAGACAAGAGTAATGAATCAGAAAATATTAGACAAGCATGGTACTAAATACCGCAGTGCATTTGAATGCTTTTTTAAGACTTTAAGGACAGAAGGATTACCAGGCTTGTATAAAGGTTTTCTACCAAACTGGCTCAGACTTGGTCCCCATACAATGATTACGTTATGCATTTACGAACAACTAAGAAAAGCATTTCACATTGCACCTGTGTGAAAAGACTCAGAAAAATGTGTAAATTGTTGAGACTTGGTTCTCATATAATGATCATGTTCTGTGTGTATGTACAACTAAGAAAAGCATTTCACATTGCATGTGAGTGAAAATACTTAGAAGAATGTGTAAATTGTTGAGACTTGGTTCTCATATAATGATCATGTTCTGTGTGTATGTACAACTAAGAAAAGCATTTCACATTGCATGTGAGTGAAAATACTTAGAAGAATGAGTAAATTGTTAAGCAAATGATACCAACATTGCAATATTTATATCACGTGATACATTTATTATTATATTTCTGTGAATAGGTATTTTCAATCTTTATAGAATATCAACCAAAAATCTTACAAAGTGGTTTAAATATTTCATTCTTAGTTAATTTAGCTTTACATTGAAATATTCTTTAACATTGCCCATTGTCATACTGCTTAAGACATTAATAACCATATGACATGGATGTTTTGTGATTTCATCAATGGTAACGGCAAACTAAGGATGACGTCATGTTCAACCTTTAACTTTGATGATGTCACGTTCACGTACTGTATTTATTCCATTTGTTTAGTCTTGAAGCCCCCTTTTTCATTAAAATTTTTGATAAAATCTACATTTCAAATTTGTTATACCAGGCTTTTTCTCTTGTCATCTGGGACATTTTCTTTCACATTTGCTCTTGTTAGATGTCGATCCCATACCGTCCATTTAAATACTAAAGTAGAAATGTTTTGACGACGTTCATTGGTTGCTTTATGTCCCCTACGGTCTTTCAAATACTAAAGTAGAAATGCTTTGACGAAAATCATTGGTTGCTTTATGTCCCCTACGGTCTTTCAAATACCAAAGTAGAAATGCTTTGACGAAGATCATTGGTGCTTGATGTCCCCTACGGTCCTTCAAATACTAAAGTAGAAATGTTTTGACGAAGATCATAGGTGCTTGATGTCCCCTACGGTCCTTCAAATACTAAAGTAGAAATGCTTTGACGAAGATCATTGGTGCTTGATGTCCCCTACGGTCCTTCAAATACTAAAGTAGAAATGTTTTGACGAAGATCATAGGTGCTTGATGTCCCCTACGGTCCTTCAAATACTAAAGTAGAAATGTTTTGACGAAGATCATTGGTGCTTTATGTCCCCTACGGTCCTTCAAATACCAAAGTAGAAATGCTTTGACGACGTTCATTGGTGCTTAATGTCCCCTACGGTCCTTCAAATACTAAAGTAGAAATGTTTTGACGAAGATCATTGGTTGCTTCACGTCCCCTACGGTCTTTCAAATACTAAAGTAGAAATGTTTTGACGAAGATCATTGGTGCTTAATGTCCCCTACGGTCCTTCAAATACTAAAGTAGAAATGTTTTGACGAAGATCATTAGTGCTTGATGTCCCCTACGGTCCTTCAAATACTAAAGTAGAAATGTTTTGACGAAGGTCATTGGTTGCTTCACGTCCCCTACGGTCCTTCAAATACTAAAGTAGAAATGCTTTGACGAAGATCATAGGTGCTTGATGTCCCCTACGGTCCTTCAAATACTAAAGTAGAAATGCTTTGACGAAGGTCATTGGTTGCTTGATGTGGCCTACGGTTTTTCAAATACTAAAGTAGAAATGTTTTGATGAAGATCATTGGTTGCTTGATTTCCCTACGGTCCTTCAAATACTAAAGTAGAAATGCTTCAAAGAAGATGATTTGCTGCTTGAATCAGAATCATGAAAACTTTGCAAGAATCTTATTTCTCATAAAATCCCTAAACGAACTCCACGAGAGAGGAACTATGTGTTACAATGAAGCGTGGTTGCAACAAAATCTTTTTTTCAGGAATGATTGCGCAAGATAAAACATCATTTATAAACAACAATTACTTTCCGTTGAGCATGGTAGAATTACAAAATTTACTTACATCACAAGAGAAAAGTATCGTGTGTTACAATAAAGATGTCACGTATAAATGAAATGAGCATCGGCGACTGACAGTGAGTGTCTAATTTCTATACGCAAAATACTAGAGTATTTTTTTTACCGCCATTTTTGTGTGTACGACGTTGAGAGCCACATGGAAATTAGACTTAATCAATTAGATCATCGATATAGACTACAATAAATAGCACTTATTAAATTATTTCACTGCAGAACACTGCCAAATGCATGTCAACACTACACTCCAGTTACCACAATTGAAGTCAGCTTACGTACGATCCCATTTCTTAAGTACTTCGGGTCCAGTTTCCCCATTCTTCGCGTGTGATGCATAGATCATCAAAACTTTCCAGACTAGCCACTACGGCTGCGCCGATGAAAGAAGCATATTGACGGTCAGCGGACGCATTGACCTGGCAAAAGATTACGTAAAGTCGTTATCAATTCCGTTATCTTAAAGGACGCGAAAAAATCTTAAAACGTAAATCTTGAAATATAACTAAATATTTTCTATAAGATGGTACCTGAACAACACGAGACGATGGAAATTTCTGACTCAGTTCACGTTGTAATCTCTCGGCAAAGCCTATAATTAAAGAAGTAAAAACTCTGTAATCAAAACAAGAGGAATCAAAAACTCACAAATTGCAGTAAGTTTGTAGCAGTACAGATTTGATTTATTGATAACTTGCACGAAGCTGTTAAAAGTTATATCTTACGACAAATCCGAGGTTGTGAAAAACAGCGGTTACTACATCTATCTTGAGTTAAATGCAAAGCGCAAGGGACAACAGGTCATGTGTATGAGTACAATAAAATTAATAGTAACACACAAGAGGTCATCTTGATTGATTTTCGTAAAAACTACACATTATTAATTGTCACTGAACCAGTACAATGAATAGAGACATTTGCTCCCCCTGGAAAGACACAAAACTGCGATGATTTGTATGTGTGTGTGGGAGGGGGAGGAGCAATTGCCCCTGATTTCTGCACTGGATGTGCACCACACAAAAATCACAGAAGATAAACCATACACTCTAAAGCAAACAGTAGTCTTAAAACAAAGGCAAGCAGCTCGGTGACTCAGTCTTTCAACGTTTAATACCACTCTACATTATATACAAATCAATGATTGATCTACCTGGGGCCTTAGTTGTAGCTCCACTCAGAAAGATGTTTCTAAAAAAAAAATGTTTTCGGTCATAAAAGCCAAGATATGGCGTATATATACTCTCATACTGTAATATTATGATACCCAGGGATACAACAGGATATGATATTGGGATAGCTAGTGAGCACCGTTGATAACTTCATTCTCGAGACAGTTGCAGGAGCGAAGATCACTGACTTGTGTACAATTACCTCGTTTAAATATATCATTAGCGTACAATTCGTGAGTAAAAACCGCGAGTGCCAGATATGGAAATAACCAACTTTGGTAATATTGCTTATACCTGCATAGCTCCTTACGACTGTCGATACTGCAGGCCATGACTGCACTGCAAACCATATCCGTTATACTTGAAGTATCTTTACCAAAGAGCTGAGGACGAAATAGTCCTTCATATGCCATGAATCTTTGTTTACAAACTGTGACCATCCTGTAAACATCGTAAACAAATGACAATCATTGAACGTGATGTAGAGAATTGCCAAGTGTAAGTTTGTCATGTTTATGGAGGCTCCCTACAGTCCACCCGAGATTCGGGTGTTTCAGGTAACCTTCACTTACAACAATATTTTCATCAAATACACACAAACATTGGAAATATGAACTATGAGGGAATATTGAAGAATGCCTGTAAAGTCTGAAGATGCTTGAATAGGATAACTTTTGCGTTGTTATGGTCGCCAGGTCTTATTTTCTTTTACACTTTCACCTTCCAGTTTTTAATGAATCGTTCGTATTTTTTTTCGGTTTGGTGAGTTTTTCTGATTTTTTGCCTGACGATTTTTATTCATTCAAAAAGCATTATGTTTAACATTAAAGCAATTCTATTTGATAATTTTTTGAGGTATTTAAGAATTTCAGCTACATAAAAACCTAATGGTAGATTTTCTTCTATTTTGCGTATGTTATAATTTTTCTTATTATAAAACATCCACACGAACTTTTAACAAAATTTACCGAAGGAAAAACGAAAAATTTTTCAATAAAGTCAGAGCGGCCAGGCGTTTACGTAAAAAAAATCGACTCGACATAAGCACAATGTGCGCATGCTAATAGTCACCATTCCCCAGAGTAGTAACTGTAGGGAACCTTCTTAAGCTCATTCCATATTTGTCACTTTCAATGTACATTAACAGGGCATCTTTTAAGGATCGGGAACTGGGAGAGGAAGAGAAGGGGCAGGTTAGAAGCGTGAGTCTGAATGTAATCAGGCAAATGGGAAGCTACACATTCTCTACTTTACATTCTAAACTAGGCGATGATTTCATATCATTGTGATGAAAAGGGAAAAAACTCATCGTTTGTATAAAGGCTGTAAATAAGTACAATTACCTGTCGCCATTTGGAAGATGAAATTCACTCATGTCTACAGTGAGAGAATCGCTGTCAGAAAAATCTTTCATTTCTTGATCATAATCTTGCGATACATAACATGTCTGAAAGTATGAAAGAAAATGCAGTTATATTTCATCTTTTTAAGAGCCACCTACTCCTTCCTCGACCTTCCTCTCCTAAATGCGATCAGTGGAAAAGATCCCTTTCCTCCACCCTGTAACAGTCACTGTCCATACCAACTAAATCCTAGGCTATTTTTTGTCCAAACAAACTTAGCTCCCTACAGTTCCCCATGATTACACTAACATTGCCAATATCTATATCGATGTTTTCCTTAAGTGTTAAGTGCTGCAAACAATATTGAAAGTAAGGACTGCTTGCATGATTCCGCTAGTTTATTTTTGATGTACTTAATCTAAGTTGTAAGTCACATGAAGAACAGCATTTTTATTACTCACACTGACTTTCAAATACTCTGCGATGTAATTCTCCACCTCTGAAAAGTATCTTAAAACGGAACGATAAAAAATATCCTTCAAAACACGAATACATATGTAGCATCGAACAAATCCGTCCATCGTCAGTCTTACCTATAACCAGAGGCAGATAAAAGACGCATGAAATGATCGGTTACCAGGTGACCACCATAAGGAAGACTGCTCATACCAGACTCGATGACGTAGCCTACAGAGAAAATATATTTAAAGGAGAAGTAAAAACACGAATTGAACCATGGGTTGTCATGAACTTTCAGCCGTTCAACAATCAAAAATAATTCTTCATAAGTAGTGATAAAATCAACTACATTGAGTACTATTTGGCTTATTATAGTGAATGTTACAGGAAGATTTCAGCATTCATTTTGCAATACAAACAAACATAATTAGCACGCCAAGTTCACAAGCGCCAAAACTAAAAGGAACATGAACGATTCAAGCACATTTCTACAAACTCGTTTCTGCTCTGCTTCTAAAAGTTTTGAACTTAAAACAATTTACTTCAGTCGTCTCGATTGGTGGTTTTCTTCTCAGGACTAACCATCAACTAACCTGTACGATCTTCTTCTACAAATACCATGCCCATTTTATACTTTCGCCCCAGTACCTCCGCGTACAGAACGCGTCAGAACGGCCCCGCACTTAGCAAATGATCGTTAACACCTTTTCAGATGCCGATCAAATAAATGCTACAAATTGCCTCTAAAGCTATCCACAATCATCCACAGCTATGTACAGTCACCCACAGCTATCCACAATCATCCACAGCTTTGTACAGTCACCCACAGCTATCCACAATCATCCACAGCTATGTACGTACAATCATTCACAGCTATCCACAATCATCCACAGCTACGTACAGTCACCCACAGCTATCCACAATCTATATGTCAGTCTCGTAACCAGTCTTGAGAACTGTCCAATGAAATATCGTGTTGTTTTAGTGTTTGCAACGTCATATTACAAGCTGCTGTAGCTAATTGGCGAAGGCTGTAGCATGTTCCCTGTCATTTAGTATTTATGTATGTACCTTTGTGTTTATAGTATGTTGTTGGCATCTACAACTACAGTTATCTACCTCTACACAGCCGCGCCATAATAGCCTTGCGAGGTTTTCTCATTGACGCATGGCTCAAAGTATGATAAAATACAAAACATTAAAGAAAATACCTTCTTCGATTGGTACGACATCAATGTGATCGCCAATGTTTACTAAATGACAAAATTAATAAATTGACGAATAAGAATTTAACATACGTACGTTAAATTTAACATCTTTCTGAGATAACACAGAAGTTCAGCTCGTGTGCTATTTAATATACTTTGCAAAATATTTTTCCTTCAGCGGGCATGCTTAAGGTCTGAGACGTTTGTACCCAGGCAGCATAAATTAGTTTAATGAAGGCAGGGGAGAGAAACCAATGAGCCCACTGGACCCATGCCCAGGGGTCCAAAAATTTCTTGGGCCCCAGAATTTTTGAGCCCAAAAGTTTTTATGTTGACAATAAGATTCAATTTAAAAAACAACACAATAATATGAAAACAAATGCTTTTTGCTGTAGTTCATCGCCATCGCAAAGAATGCTTCATTTCATTGAAAAACTAAATCTGCATGCGTTGTCTCATAGATAAATGCAGCGGCCGGGAAAATATGGACCAAGAACAAAATTCACTAGCGTTCAACAACGATATGGTGGGCCCAGAAAACCCTAATGCAGACCTGCTTGCTAAGTACAAGACAGAGAGCTACATCATTAAGCTAGTGTTGTACAACACTGTAACATACAGCGGCTCACATCTTACCCACAATTCCAAAGGTAGAACTGTATGAGTACATGGACAATATTGCTTGAGACTTCATGTAAACAGCAGCAACTTGGAAATAATCAAAACAAATCGCCACTAATCGTTCCTGTTCAACGATATAAGAATCTCTCGTTTAAATTTCATTATGAGGAATAGTACAGTATGGAATACTAATGCAAGCTGCTTGGCTCAGGTCAGCGGACATCTTACATTAGAACACTAAGCACACTATACACAAGCCTACCTTATCTTGCCCCCTTAAATTGACAGGCGTCGACATGACAACCTATAAAATGTAGGGTAAATCGTCAGATTATTACAGCGGATTAAGTTTTCTATAACACTCCATGGTTTCAATATGAACGGATTAACCGTATAAAATATAGATTATCTGATTAGACGAACTTTACCTGATATTGGCTAATATCCACCTGCAGATCTCGAAACACAATCTCCAGAAAACCAAGCAAGTCCACCGGATCAAGCAAGGACTGAAAATAAAATCGAACCGCTGTCTCAAAAAAAGACATTGCCAGATAAAAAAACATCTAGTGTTACCAAACATACTTTTTCAACGGTCAAAGGAGAGCGAAGAGGATAAACAAGTTTGCACGAGTTGCGAACTGCTGGACTGAGTGCTTCAAAGCCATAGAACCTAGTTGTACTGAAATGAAAGACGTAGAGAAAGCAATGACATTGATATAAGGAAGATTAATGATACTTCACATATGTCACAAGAGCAAAACGCGTGAAAAACGAGTAATGTAACAAGTACTGTGCAGTCAATGCTCAATGTTTAATGCAGTACACTTCCAAATATATCTGCCCATCGTGAATTAAGAGCTACAGAATTCAACAAAAAACGCTGACGTGGCACAGTGACATCCACAAAGTGGCCATCGAAATCTAATCCAAACTAGCGTCCCCCCCTCCCTACATACACCCCCTCCCCCTAAATAAACACCCCCCCTCCCTACATAAACACCCCCCTCCCTAAATAAACACCCTTGCGCCATTCCTGAAAACGAGACTCAAAATTTTATCACAGTACAAAACAAAAAAAATTGCACAATCTCCACGACATGGAGAGACGACATCATGAAGTATACCTACCTATCTTCCTTATTTATTGCACAAACGGACGGTATTATGACTTGAGGCCAAGCTGAAAGGACAAACAATTAAAAAACATCGAGAAAAACACATTTAAAAGTAAAATAAAAGCTGTTCAAAGCATCCTTTGAAAGTAGTGGTAACCATACATCGGGTTCCGACCATTGAACATTATCACCATAAAGTAAATGGTTTGAACCCGGGAGTATCGTTACATGTTTGTAAATGTAGACCGTCCAGGTTAGTAGAGTCCTGAAAAAGACTGGTATTGTTGATGATGTTGACTGACGTTTCAAGTCAGTTAACTCTGAAGATGTCTACCACTAAAGTTGTCGAAACGTCGGTCTGCATTAACAAACAACAGCCCTTCTCAGGACTCTACTAACCTGGACAATCTACATCCACAAACATGGAACATTATTACTAAAGTAGGTTTGAGCATGCGCAAGAAACACATTCTCTTTAAGTGAACTGGCTATGTTACTCACACAAAGATAGTGCATGTTTGAAAGACTAATTAGAATACTACCACGCAAAAACTAATTTGAATGGCTTTCCATACATAATTTTCAAAATAACGCCATTGGACAAGAAAAGTTTTATAATTATATACAAGTTGTTTTTGAAAGCATTAATGGTAAAGCTAACTACAGGTGAAGGTTTTGCATTTCAGGACTTATTGCTTATCGCTATGGATTAAAAATAATTGCTATAACATTACTTTGTTCATCAAGAAATCCAGCTTTTATCGACGACGAACCCAAGTCCACAATAATGACCTTTTTCTAAAGTAACGCAAGAACAAGTCGATGAGATCAAATTTCAAATCTTGAGCACTTCGAGTTTCTCAAATACCTTCTCCTTTACCAGTTGAAAATGCTCTCGTTTCACTTTTGCTTTTGATTCCCTTTCCAAAGCTTTTCTCCAGTCTTGATGCTCTGGCCACGTTCCACAGCGTATGACAAGCGTTTTACCACCCTGATAAAAAGCAAGGAAAGCTAGGTTCAATACACAGGCTTTATTCAATGCACGCATGCTTAAAGGTCGATGTAGGATGGACGAAAAAACTCCAATAAACAAAGTAATGTTGCGAACTCAAGATATGAGTTATATGAAAATCGAGTTAGAAAATGACTTTTGTCTATCATCTTGTATTTTTTGAGATTGTCTGCTGGGAAAGGATTCTAAAGGTTAACTCTACAAGAAAAAGCTCTTCACTGGATACTAACCCTCACTATAGGATTACTGTTATTGCATTTCTAAGGTTTATACAACATTATTAATCAATTTTTCTTCGAGTGGCTAATGTGTTCGAATGAGAAAATTCTAAATCCCGAATTTGCTTTTCCACGAAACGTAGAATCTTTCAAGCACGAATGCTATATTTGGGTGGAATGGTTTTGTTGCCGTTTCTACGGCCGCAAATACCATGTATAATAATAGCCAGTCCCAACGTAAACATGCAAAGGATCAAAAACTATGCATTTACCACATCACTTTCCATAACTTGTAAACATTTTCCACCGATATCCGCGACCTACATAACAAACATCATCATTTACAGGTCATGTGATGTAAACATAACAAACATCATCATTTACAGGTCATGTGATGTAAACATAACAAACATCATCATTTACAGGTCATGTGATGTAAACATAACAAACATCATCATTTACAGGTCATGTGATGTAAACGTAACAAACATCATCATTTACAGGTCATGTGATGTAAACGTAACAAACATCATCATTTACAGGTCATGTGATGTAAACGTAACAAACATCATCATTTACAGGTCATGTGATGTAAACGTAACAAACATCATCATTTACAGGTCATGTGATGTAAACGTAACAAACATCATCATTTACAGGTCATGTGATGTAAACGTAACAAACATCATCATTTACAGGTCATGTGATGTAAACATAACAAACATCATCATTTACAGGTCATGTGATGTAAACATAACAAACATCATCATTTACAGGTCATGTGATGTAAACATAACAAACATCATCATTTACAGGTCATGTGATGTAAACATAACAAACATCATCATTTACAGGTCATGTGATGTAAACGTAACAAACATCATCATTTACAGGCCATGTGATGCAAACGTAACAAACATCATCATTTACAGGTCATGTGATGTAAACATAACAAACATCATCATTTACAGGTCATGTGATGTAAACGTAACAAACATCATCATTTACAGGTCATGTGATGTAAACGTAACAAACATCATCATTTACAGGTCATGTGATGTAAACATAACAAACATCATCATTTACAGGTCATGTGATGTAAACGTAACAAACATCATCATTTACAGGTCATGTGATGTAAACATAACAAACATCATCATTTACAGGTCATGTGATGTAAACGTAACAAACATCATCATTTACAGGTCATGTGATGTAAACGTAACAAACATCATCATTTACAGGTCATGTGATGTAAACGTAACAAACATCATCATTTACAGGTCATGTGATGTAAACGTAACAAACATCATCATTTACAGGTCATGTGATGTAAACGTAACAAACATCATCATTTACAGGTCATGTGATGTAAACGATGGAAAGAAAGTTCCAAAGCGTTGTTTTTTCTTATTCAGTTCATACATACCTCACATCCACCTAGATTGATGAAACTAATCGGTGCATCTGATCGATGATCCTATAAAGAAAAGTACATAATCAATACACAGTTTTCATAGATAGAAAGAAACAAAGAGAATAGGCACTTTGTATACGGATTTTCTAGCTATAAAAAGATGAAAAATAATTTCCAGATCGAACAAAAAGAAAAAATAGAGTTCGGCATAGCATTCCATAGTGGAAGAACAGAAAACGTGCAGCACAGTTTGTCTGAACAAAATAAATCAAGCCCTTCCTATAGCTAATCAAGAATGCGATGCAATTCACAACAAGTGGTCAAATGCACCTTCCGGGAGGAACAATGCTATTCAATATTCAACCAAAAAGCAGAACTGAAAATACAAACCTCAAAGTAATGTAACTTTCCATTTAATATTTTAAAATACCGTTTTCTCCAACTCTTCAGTAATGATGACTGTAAATTATAATGGTTAGTGTGAATGAAAACGTGTAACACACACGGGGTGATTATATACGGGGGCTTCTCAGTAATGATGACTGTAAATTATAATGGTTAGTGTGAATGAAAACGTGTAGCACACACGGGGTGATTACAAACGGGGACTTCTCAGTAATGATGACTGTAAATTATAATGGTTAGTGTGAATGAAAACGTGTAGCACACACGGGGTGATTACATACGGGGACTTCTCAGTAATGATGACTGTAAATTATAATGGTTAGTGTGAATGAAAACGTGTAGCACACACGGAGTGATTACATACGGGGGCTTCTCAGTAATGATGACTGTAAATTATAATGGTTAGTGTGAATGAAAACGTGTAGCACACACGGAGTGATTACATACGGGGGCTTCGTTGATGAAAGCGTCAAAGTGCGCGACTTTCAAATCTCATAAGGAAACTGCGAAATTATGTCGATGTTCAAAATCAAAATGGTGTGAAAACATTTAGTGAGTTCCTTGGTGGTAATAAAACTATTTCAGGTAATCTTCTCTATATTTAGTACACTATTATACATTTATTACTACATTAATTTAAAACTTCGCCATTTTTAGCTTTGATTTTCCTTCCTAAACACGAGTCATCCTACCTTACCCACTCTGGTCGCTCAAATTATCCCATAAGGATCCTCACTCACCTTCTTCGAGTTCACAGGAAGTTTTTCTAAATAACCAGCCATATGTACTTCACCGTCATTCCCGCTTTCAACCTACGCATAAGGAAATAGAGAACAAGTGGTAAAGACAACACAAATATGTTAAGATTGAGCTAAACGTAAATCTCAAACTTTAAATTCCGCGAACCTCTTCGATAGTAATCGGTTTCACTTTGCCAAATATCCTCTTTATGAGCAGACTCTAGGAACAAAATGATAAAGCAACGAATATTTAGTGGATGTTTTTTTGTTCAGAGATAAACTCACATATTTCCTGATGAAAGATTTCTCATACTCACCGGATCCCAATTCAAAGTGTTGACTCTGGTCTTAAACGACTTTTGATATGGCCTGTCGATGGAATTAGACACGCAAAAGTCATTCTCCGGAGCTACGGCACCGTTCTTTTAAAAGAAAACAACAAAAAAATCATTTTTACGACAAGAACTAGAAACGTTCACTTCTTATGTTTTGTTTCGGACATGGAATTTCACGCAGAAAGAAAAAAAGTAATTGAAAACAAGAGCACAATTGTAACTTGAAGATGTCTTCAACGAAGAAAGCAAGACACATATTCGAAACAACATGCATGTCATAAATATGGCGAAGACAGTACTTTCGATTGAAGCGTCTTCTAAAGAATGTTAGGGGGGGGGAACATGTAAGTCATAAATATGGCGAAGACAGTGCATTTACTTTCAATTGAAGCGTCTTCTAAAGAATGTTAGGGGGTGGGGGAGATCTTTTAAGAACAGAAAACTGTCCAAAACATCTCTGGGACATTAATCTGATGCTTTGAATGGGAAATTTTAAGAACAATACTAGCTTCAACAATATGACCGCTTCCTCATTGAACTATATATCCTAAGATGTTATAAATGATAACAGTACCAAAAATGACGACATTTAGGCAAAATAATGTTTACTATCTCAAGCAAAATAACGACGATGGCGTAAGCTTTTAGTCTGAGTAAGTTTAGATTATGGTGTTTCTTTCTCGTTTACACAAAGATTCCGGTTTATTAACAGCGAAAAATACTGAGAAAAAGTGATGGTAGGTCATAGCAAAATTTACCATTATTACTGACATAAATTAATCAAAATTCACACTCACGGTTATGTCATTCAAAGCAATTGGCTTTGAGTGTTCCACGTGATCCATCGAAACCCCAGCTTTATCCTCAGGTTTCCCTCCGTCAGACTCGTCATAAACATGCACAGTGACTTGTTCCTCTACAGGCTTAACAACATGTCGACTGTTTGCTCGTGTGACATGACTCTTCGTTCCCATTTTCGTGGGAAAATTTGAAACATTCAATATTAATTGCAATCCATTTGAATTTTGCTCTGGTAACAATTCCGTTTCTTCTCCACGTTGCAGGCCACTATCTTTTGATTCTTGCAACCTGAGCAAACTTCCATTATCCGTGGCATCAGTTTTATATGCCCGCGAAGTTTCTCTAACATCAACGTTATCACGAGAAAATTCTTGTTTCATTTCGACGTCATTACTGTTGGAGACGGTCCGTTGTCCATCACGATGAATGTTCCTTGCATCTGATTCACCGATCGCCTGACCGACTTCATTTGAGTACTTCCCGTATATCGTGTCCGAAGCTTCACTAACATTCTCCGACAGCAATACTTTGGTCGTGTTGTCAACATTGGGTAATTTTTCCTTCTGTGAAACCTGTTTGTGGTGTTTTGATTCACTTTCAGTGCTGGAAAATCTTCGTTCGTAGTCAATCTCGGAAGACCATTGGGGTAGTTGTATTTTGGAATCAGCAGATCTTAGTTGTACTTGCTGAGGAAAACAATCATGATGACGTCATGCAAAGTCAACATACTGATGACGTCACGTAAAGTCAACTCACTGATAACGTCAAGCAAAGTCAACATACTGATGAAGTAATGCGAAGTCAACATACTGATGAAGTCATACAAAGTCAACATACTGATGACGTCAAGCTAAGTCAACATACTGATGACGTCATGCAAAGCCAATTCAAGTATTTGTGGTCAGCATTGTGAGATAATGCACAGAGCTTTTCCACTGCGTAAATGAGTGAATTTGGGTTCATTGATATTAGAATGGGTTTTGACAAAACCAGTATTTCATACATCATGACCACGCAGTCATGACAACCACGTTACCTTCGTCATGACCATGCAGTCATGACAACCACGTTACCGTCGTCATGACCACGCAGTCGTGACAACCACTTTACCTTTGTCAAGCAGCGAACCGTTCGACTTCTTAACATCGCCAGTTTGTTCTGAGCTTCCAACAGCTTGTCAGTGATTTCATTATAATGCAAAGATTTCCCATCATCCCTAGGGAGTAAAACACGATAAAACTATAAGGCAAACACAAAAAAGTGTGTTTACTAACTACAAGGTGTAACTGCATGACTCAAAAGTAATTGATTCTAACGAAGACAAGAATGCATCGTCTTTTCATCGCGTAACTATATAAGGTTCACCATTGTAGGACTTCGTAACGCGTTCAGGCGTTATTTAGCACAATAAACACACGTTGTTTTATGGTAAGTTAAATTAGTTGTATAGTTCGCAATCAAATTGATCATTACTACATGATGTAAAAAAGGCACTGTATTGTTCTAATTTACTTAACGCACGGAATCAAAATGTATTTTAAAAATCCTGGAGTGTAAGAAGTTGCACAAGCAATGGTATGCCACAACTGCAAAGATACACCCTGCTACAGGCTATACTCCTGGGATTTCAAAATGCATTCAAAATTTCGTACGTGGAGTAAATAAGAATAATGCAGTGGTGTAAGCTGACAACGATTCTCAAACGAAGTGAGAAAACGTTTACTCAACTAACCACATGACAACGATTCTCAAACGAAGTGAGAAAACGTTTACTCAACTAACCACATGACAACGATTCTCAAACGAAGTGAGAAAACGTTTACTCAACTAACCACATGACAACGATTCTCAAACGAAGTGAGAAAACGTTTACTCAACTAACCACATGACAACGATTATCAAACGAAGTGAGAAAACGTTTACTCAACAAACCACATGACAACGATTCTCAAACGAAGTGAGAAAACGTTTACTCAACAAACCACATGACAACGATTATCAAACGAAGTGAGAAAACGTTTACTCAACAAACCACATGACAACGATTATCAAACGAAGTGAGAAAACGTTTACTCAACTAACCACATGACAACGATTCTCAAACGAAGTGAGAAAACGTTTACTCAACTAACCACATGACAACGATTCTCAAACGAAGTGAGAAAACGTTTCCTCAACCAACCACATGACAACGATTCTCAAACGAAGTGAGAAAACGTTTACTCAACCAATCACATGACAACGATTCTCAAACGAAGTGAGAAAACGTTTACTCAACTAACCACATGACAACGATTCTCAAACGAAGTGAGAAAACGTTTACTCAACTAACCACATGACAACGATTCTCAAACGAAGTGAGAAAACGTTTACTCAACAAACCACATGACAACGATTATCAAACGAAGTGAGAAAACGTTTCCTCAACCAACCACATGACAACGATTCTCAAACGAAGTGAGAAAACGTTTACTCAACTAACCACATGACAACGATTCTCAAACGAAGTGAGAAAACGTTTACTCAACTAACCACACGACAACGAGTATCAAACGAGTGAGAAAACGTTTACTCAACTAACCACATGACAACGAGTATAAAACGAAGTGAGAAAACGTTTACTCAACTAACCACATGACAACGAGTATCAAACGAGTGAGAAAACGTTTACTCAACTAACCACACGACAATGAGTGTAAAACGAAGTGAGAAAACGTTTACTCAACTAACCACATGACAACGAGTATCAAACGAAGTGAGAAAACGTTTACTCAACTAACCACATGACAACGAGTATCAAACGAAGTGAGAAAACGTTTACTCAACTAACCACATGACAACGATTCTCAAACGAAGTGAGAAAACGTTTACTCAACTAACCACATGACAACGAGTATCAAACGAAGTGAGAAAACGTTTACTCAACTAACCACATTAGTGTAGTTGTTGCATAAATATAAAGACAAATTTAACTAAACATGATAATGGACGTGTAAATTACTTGTGTAACTCTTGCATGTTGGTTAAACCAAGGATCATCTCTTGTTGCAAGTCAATATGTCTTTCCAGAAGATGAATACAAACTTGCAAATCCTAAACAAACACACAAAGTAGGTAAGTGTCAACATGGCAAAGGAACTTCTACACCAGTTGAAAGAACAGATTTAAATTAATGAAGATGTTAGACCCCAAGCAAACAAGAATAAGGGCTTTAGGGGGAATACTATTTTGTAACAGATGTAAATGAATTGGTAAAGGTCATCACTAGCAGTCAAATAAACTCTCAGACAGGAAATGTCAATATGAATATACCTAAGGACAATGGAACATCCAATGTGCTTTCAATATACCAAGGACCGTGGAGCATATTGTTTATGGGGAGATTATTGACCGGGAAGATGGGTGCAAGTAGGGGTCTTGGGAAAAATTTTAAAAATGGCAAACAAATTATTGAGGGAAGTGGGTACACCCCTCACCCCCTTGCTCTGTAATATATCTTTATACTTAAGTAACAATATAGCAAACAATAAAATATGACCAAAATAGCCCATGAAATTGTTGTGGATGTATTTTAGCATATAAATATAGTCATCGATGAGCTGCCAGCCTTAGCTTGCCACAACCTGAAGAATGTGAACATTTCCAAGTTTGAAAAATATCAAGTCAGCTCTAGTACATTAACACATTTAACTTTTTGTGTGAGGTGACATGAACATACGGCGTTGTAATTTCCATTGCTTATCAATATCTCTTGGCACATTTAACGAGAGAAAATTTCCCAAATTTGGTATCTATCAAATACAGCTTTACCTGAACCGAGTGCTTTTCCTCCAAAATATGGTTGAATTCACTATCACTACAATACACAATTGCCTCCTGCTCTGCCAGTGGGAACATGACATCTACATGGTAAAGGCGTCAATAATAACATTAAAAAATAAGACAGTCAACTTGATGGTAACTACTGATAAACACTGACGATGGCAGCACAACCTCACCAATTGATTGTCGATAAGTTTTTCTAAGTTTGTTCGTCAAGGTGCTAATGTCATCCATTATTATTATTTTCAAAATGAAACTTGGCTTTACTTCCCAAGCACCGAGACACTCTTGTTGCTAATTCTTAACGAGGAAGAATTCATGACAAATATCGCTACAAAAGACGGGAGATGGTGAAATGAATTCGGCAGGAAATGGATGGAATGTTTGATAATGCATTCGTTATTACAATAAGAGCGATATTACATGCTTGTATACTTGTAGTTGCAAATCAAATCTTTACCTATCGAATTAGACTCCTCGATAATTCTCGTTCTAATGAGAACATAAACTTACACTTAACTTGAAAATGAAGTGTTTACAATGTCGTTCACAATTCGGCAAATTGAGCGGAAACAAATAATGCGACTTATTTACAAATTCGCGAATATTTCAGCATTATTCATGATTAATTTTCACCATGAGTAACTCGATGGTCCGGAGCGCCAATATCAGATTACAATCATGCATGGGAAAATTTAATGACATGAAAAGTAGTCATTCATTAGATCAAAGATCTAAAATACTTTTCACAGAAGGGCGAACATTTCAAGAAAATTGAAAAGTCAAAAACTAATTTGGGTATACTATAATTTTTTCGAGCTATGTCGCGAGTAGAAAGTGTATGTTACTCATTAACTTAAATGCTTTTAATTGCGTGGAGCAATTTTTTGGGGGGAAGATAAACCCAAATGTCAAGAAAAACTTGAAGTCATCACAATAACTCGATCTTTTACAATGGGATCTTTTACTCCTACAATGCAAATTTTTTTATCAAAATTGTTCATTTCTTTAGAAAATTAATTCCATTCATTGCTTTTCCAGTGAATGGACACAAAAATATTTGCATTATGTTTTGTAGTAGTAAAAATGGGCTGACTGAACTCGATTAGGTTGTACTTTGAAAGACAGTCAAACTGGACAGTTGACTTGCAAATACATCGATCGCAAAGTTTTTTAAAATTTCAAAACTTCACGGCGAGTCATTAATCATAAGCAAGTACAAATAGCAAGAGAGCTAACACGGCAAAATTTCGCATGATTGGCACCATACAAAACCTGGTTTCCATTTGGTTATAACTGCAAGCTTTCCCAAAGCCCTAATCACACGACATAAACTTACCCGGGTTCAGCCCAGGTTTAAACTCAATCCATCTCAAGAGGTAGATTGAGTTTAACCTAGGTTGAACCTGGGTCAGTTTATGTCGTGTGAATAGAGCTCAAGACGAATAATTGGGGGAGGGGGGGGATTATTTATATATTCAGCTGCGTCCAACGCATTTCTTTAGAACGTAAATTTCATTACTCATTCACTGTATCCACCGTAAAGCGCATAGAAAATGACCATTTAAGAAGGGAAATTCTCAACCTCACAGAAAATTCCACAACATCATTTACGCGACACGAAATCATTTTAATGAAAACTTGAGATGACTCTAACTTCACATCATCAAAGATGGAACATAGCAAAGATTAAAACAACGAACAACAACCGTTTCATATTGCAACATTGCCTGGCAAAATGAGTGTGTGACGAGTCGAGCTCCATGGATGGATGGGGATAATGCGCGAATACGCATGCGTGATATTGGAAGGCCATCAACGTGGGACAAAAGGGCCGACTCAAGGTTGACTTCCTCTCCACTTTATCACAACAATCTCTAACGTCGTCTGAAATGAAAGCCCAATGTTCTTCAACCGATTTATTGTTGAAAAAAAATTTTACCATTGTGTTTTTTGATTGCATTGTAAAGACAATCTAAAATGACTTAATGACTTCTTTAAAGTGCCAATTAAACCAATGTTCTGCTATCTGAGTAATACTTTTATTGAAGAGATATTCTAAAATGACAATGGACATTCTAAACAAGTTTATGTACACCACTTTTATTTCTTGAGATATTGAGGTTTTTGCTTTGTCCGATTTATCTAACTTGTGACGTCACATTGCATAATGAGAACTAAAATTATTAGGTATATTTACTGATACTTTACTTCACTCATTGTGACGCGGTAAATGGTAAAAAATGTTGCGTATTTGAAGAATATTCGAAACATTGTGGGAACCATTATGCAACATGACGTCACAAGTTACATAAATTGGAAATAACAAAAACGTCAAAATCACAAGAATAAAAAGATATATGCATTAACTGTTTTAGAAAGTACGCTGTCATTTCAGAAGTTCTGATCATTGCAAACATAATTTAACTTGCAAAATTTACGTTTCATAGGCACTTTAATGAAATTGTGTTATTTTATTTCTTTTTGGAGTTATTTAAAGTTTTTTTCAATATGCAAATGATATCGTTATGACACCACATTGAACAATTAGTTTTAGGAAAAACTAGTTTTTGTCAACAGTTTGCATTGAAATATCAAACTTTGATATCTTTGCACAAAATCAAACTTTGACATCTTTGTACAAAATCAAACTTTGACATCTTTGCACAAAATCTAACTGTGACATCTTTGTACAAAATCTAACTTTGACATCTTTGCACAAAATCTAACTTTGACATCTTTGCACAAAATCAAACTTTGACATCTTTGCACAAAATCAAACTTTGACATCTTTGCACAAAATCGAACTTTGACATCTTTGCACAAAATCTAACTTTGACATCTTTGCACAAAATCAAACTTTGACATCTTTGCACAAAATCTAACTTTGACATCTTTGTACAAAATCTAACTTTGACATCTTTGCACAAAATCAAACTTTGACATCTTTGCACAAAATCAAACTTTGACACCTTTGCACAAAATCTAACTTTGACATCTTTGCACAAAATCAAACTTTGACATCTTTGCACAAAATCTAACTTTGACATCTTTGCACAAAATCTAACTTTGACATCTTTGCAAAAATCAAACTTTGACATCTTTGCACAAACAAACTTTGACATCTTTGCACAAAATCAAACTTTGACATCTTTGTACAAAATCTAACTTTGACATCTTTGCACAAAATCTAACTTTGACATCTTTGCACAAAATCAAACTTTGACATCTTTGTACAAAATCTAACTTTGACATCTTTGCACAAAATCTAACTTTGACATCTTTGCACAAAATCAAACTTTGACATCTTTGCACAAAATCAAACTTTGACATCTTTGCACAAAATTATCTACACATGAACTCATTAAACTGTTTGTATTTGTGCATAAAACGTTCTAACGATGTTGAAGATTGACAATCTTTACGAGGTAATTATGCTCTGTGATGTCATAACGATGTCATTTGCGTATTGAAAAAAGTACAATAAGGGAATTCAACTGCAGAAGTTATATAGTCAATTTATATTTTCTTATCAATGCAAACAAACAAATTTGTGATAAAATTTCGTATCATAAGCACTTAAAATAACAAAGGGAAAAAGAGAAAGACTGCTACTTTGTACTATGATATCAACAGCCTTTCCACTTACTTTTCATAAAAATCCCTGATCAGTTGCCGAACCAATCAGGTTTGACTGGTTTAAACTTGTCACGACGACCACGTGAACGGTTACCTGATACTTGCTGACGAGCTTTTGCCATTGATTCTAGAAGAAAATATATATAGCAACAGTTTATGTATAATCTCCTCTGCTCTAATAGCGTTCAGACTGAGTGCCCCGGGGCACGATGGTCAGGCACGGGCACCAATGTGAACGATGACAACTGAGTAACGTGTACAGAGAGGCACGTAATCAGCACACGATTTCAAAACTTGTTTACAATAAAAAAACATGAAATTATAAAAAGACGAAGCTAGTGGGTACTACGTAGTGTGAACGGCTTGCAGATTTGTGCCCGAACCAGGGTATCGTATCCGGCACTCAGTCTGAACGCGCTATAAAAGAGCATGTCCAGATTGGTTTAAGAAATATAACTTCAAATAGGAAATGTGCCATCTTTCAGATAAGTTCTTAAAACGAGCAGTCGTGATATCAACGATTAAGAGGTTCTTTAGTAATAGAGGGTTAAACTCCCATCTGAAGCGCAAATATACGAAAACTGATGACAAAAAATTTTGTAGGAACTTTAGATGCTTTCCCTTAGGAATATAATATTGTATGAAATTCTATTGATGGAGAGGAGACTGAGAAACGGACAAGTAAAGATATTGTTACAGCGTGGAGGGGTTTACACCCCGTCTAGCCATGGCATGATTTTAAACACATTTGGACAACGTCTACCTTCGACTGCAACCAATGTTTAAGTGAATGATCGTGCATGTGTCACTACTATATTTAGAAATAAGCATCATCTAATTTCTACTGAGAATCCAATTCCAATAGAATTTTTAGATTAACATTTTTCTTTTATAACGTCAACACTGTACTTTTCCGAATGATCAACCCAACTATCCGAATATGTTAATTTTAAAAAAATTCGTGGGGTTCAACGCCCTCGCAACGTCCCTGTCAGGGGGGCGCAATTTCCTCAGTAAAAACAAAAATACTAAATAACTAGTGATAAGTTTTTAAAGGAACGCACTTTCATCTCCCAATCATAATAAAAAGGCAATAGAATTTAATGAAAAAAGGTTTAACACGCCATGACAACAAGTAGCCAACGAAATCAAATCCTAACTAAAAAACCTTCAACGAGCCCCCTGAATTCATCCCTGATCATAGAACGAACTATTTACCGTTGTACGACTCCTCTTCTTGGCGTTGATTATAATCGAGTACCAGTCTTTTCACCTCCTCTTGTTCAGCTTGTTCCTCTTGCTGCTTCTCTCGTATATTCGCGGCAAGATCGGAAGTGATCGGAACTTTTAGATCTCGTAATTGCTGCCGGTTGCCCTTCTTCAACATTACCATGAAATTAATACCGGCTGCTCCATCCTCGTTCCCAGACTTCTTTTTGCCCAACTGTATTGGCACGGCCACGTCAAAAGAAGGCACTTTGAGATTTACTGTGCGCCTATTTTGAAAGTCGTCCGCGACGAGCTTCTGGAACTCGTTAAGAAATTCAGTGTCTTCTTCGCACGCCACTAATTTTGGGCCATCCATATGTTTGACCTGCGATCGGGTAAAATTGAACATTTACATTAAACAGGTTGCAAAGTGTATTTTTAATGCGTTCAGACCGTTTTCCATAACGCGATTGTATTACAAAAACGGATTGTTGAACACGCGCAATTTAAAGATCCCAGAAAGGTGATTTATATGTGCGAAAAAGAAAGTTCGTTTGAAGCCAGTTTTTAAGTGCAGAGTTGAAGATTTAACAAATAACAACCAGTCGAAATTTCTAAATCCTTTTTTAAACATGTCGGTATGTCAATTTGAATGATGAGAGAGGGCTTTTTGTCTGACTCAGAAAGATAAACTCAACGTTCAATACCATTTGCAAAAGGTCACCAGCTACTACCTGAGCATCTTCTTGTTCCGACTCCAGTTCAGATAGTTCATCTTCATCGAGGGTCAACGAATCTCCGCCACGTTTTCTTCTCTTCTCATAATTTCCAGGCATTCTCTCCTCCACTTCCATATCACTCTCCCCAGTCTCTGGCTCCTCCTCGTCACGTTCAGCGGAAGTCTGGGCGACAACATTCCTTTGATTTGCAAGTGACGCAGAATGGTTGTCGGTCGCCACAACTTTTACAGCTTCATCTGAAAAACACGAAGCCCGCCATTTCACCATTTTTAAGCCTGTTTTCCACTAGCAACGTATCGTAACGTATCGTAGCAAAACGTAACATGGCGCATGCGTGCTTATGAATTTGATGGTCAATAAACACAAGCACGCATGCGCCATGTTACGTTTTGCTACGATGCGTTACGATACGTGGCTAGTGGAAAACAGGCTTTATGTCCCTTCATGAGAAATAACCGGAACATAAGTAGAGAGGGACGGGGGGACAGTCATTAATACTGACCTGTTCAGCTCTACCCAAGTAAGTAGAGAGGGAGGGGACAGACATTAATAGTGACATGTTCAGCTCTACCCAAGTAAGTAGAGAGGGGGAACAAACATTAATACTGACATGTTCAGCTCTACCAAGTAAGTAGAGAGGGAGGGGGGAGACATTAATAGTGACATGTTCAGCTCTACCCAAGTAAGTAGAGAGGGGGAACAGACATTACTGACATGTTCAGCTCTACCCAAGTAAGTAGAGAGGGAGGGGGACAGACATTAATACTGACATGTTCAGCTCTACCCAAGTAAGTAGAGAGGGAGGGGGGAACAGACATTAATACTGACATGTTCAGCTCTACCCAAGTAAGTAGAGAGGGGAACAGACATTAATACTGACATGTTCAGCTCTACCCAAGTACTTACTGACATGTTCAGCTCTACCCAAGTAAGTAGAGAGAGACGGGGATTAATGTTTTCCATTGAAAACATAGTCACTTTTAAAATCTCTCCCAATGATGGCTGGATTACGGACAGCAATTCCAACACAACTAACATTCTACTTGCTCTCCTTTCACCTATTACACTGGATATACCGGTCACAGGCCGTGATTGGACAAAGTCAAGGACAGAGAGTAGAAAGAATATAGCAAATGGTTTCGTATGATCGTATGTTAAGCCCGCCGCACACTAGCGTACTTGCCGCGCGTACTTGTTATTCGTGACAAGTTGGATCGACAAAAATTCCTAGTGTGCGCGGAAGTTTTGAACAACATTTGTCATTCGTGACAGATATTCCAAATATCAAACATGTTTGATATTTTTTGTCACGAGTAACAAAAATCCGAAGTGTGCGGCCGACGAAAAGCAAGTCCTCCTACAATGATGACACTACGCATGCGCATATTAAATTAATGTAAACACAATGTGGCGGATAGCATTGACACGTTAAATCAGAACGAATTTAGTGAAATTGTTACGGAAGCTATCTTAGAAGACCAGTTGGTTGATATCTGGCCTGATTATCGGTGTTTATACGATGTGCGATCGTCCGACTTCAAGAACCGTGATGCACGCGAGAATAATCAACATTACAGTCTCCCATTCCAAAGACAGCACACTGGATTCCATCCAACTCTACAAGTTGCAGACAACACTAGGCAGTTTCAGTTTTCTTCTCCTTCTATTCAGTCTCCATCCAATGTACATGAACATTGAACAACACAACACTTGACAACCATTTGTAAACATATTTGTATCATGAAATTTTGTATTATCTAAACATAACTTGTCTAAAGTTTATTTCAAAGTGACATGTTCAATATATTGCCTATTAAAACTTTTATTACCTTCAAATATTGTTGTTTTAGAGATATACAGAGCTTGGCATGTCTCTTCCACAATTTCAGAAATTGTTCGTTCACCGATACGAAACTGGAATGACAAACTCCTGAATGTTTCTCCTAAGTTAAAATAACATAAATAATAAGTTGCTCATGTACAGGAATGAATTGAACAAAAGATAATATATTTCCTCAGTTCGAACCTGTGGCGAGGAAACGCAAAGTTACGGATAGACGCTCGCAAGGTTTCACTGCTGGTCTCAAGTGTATCCATCTTAGTAACGTAAGGCAGAACCAATTGTAAGATATTATCAAAGCAATCCCGATCAAGTCGATGGAATTGTCGAAATTTCTCTGGATCCTCTGCATTTAATTCTCGAACGAGATTGTTAAATACTCTTTGCGATTGTCTTCTTTGGATCCATCGCTTTGTCCACAACTTACGATGTACAGCTCTCAAACGTCTCCGTCGCTTTCTCAACAACAAAATCAATAGCAAAACTTTTTCGTCTTCTGAGGAACTATCATTATTGCTATCTGTGTTGGTGTCACTGATATTAGTGTCACTGCTATTAGTGTCACTGCCATCACTGCTATCCGCCATATTGTGTTTACATTAATTTAATATGCGCATGCGTAGTGTCATCATTGTAGGAGGGACTTGCTTTTCGTCGGCCGCACACTTGGGATTTTTGTTACTCGTGACAAAAAATATCAAACATGTTTGATATTTGGAATATCTGTCACGAATGACAAATGTTGTTCGAAACTTCCGCGCACACTAGGAATTTTGTCGATCCAACTTGCCACGAATAACAAGTACGCGCGGCAAGTACGCTAGTGTGCGGCGGGCTTTATAGTTTAGTTCACGCTTTGTAGAGTTTTTTAATCTAAATTGATTCAAACATATTGGCCACAAAAAGAATTGATTCATAAACTAGGTCAAGAAAAAGCAACCGCGTGAAACGAAACGAATTCCAGATTTTTGAAGGGGTCACATAATACATGACCGTTATTCTCCGCTAGGCCTAACACTTACCAATTTTCTGTTGATATTGCAAGTTTAAATCTTCAACTGCTTGTATGGCTTCCTCCAGTGTCGTGTGAAGTTTTAGTTTGGGTCGCAGTGCCTCCAAAGTGTCAGCGATCATGTATTCTACCTCCTTGGGAAATGGACATTGTTCGTTCCACGTGTTACCTGATTTCTTCTTCCAAATATACGCCTGTAGAAAAATAACATCAAGATGAAACGAACAAAAAGATTCTTTGGAGAAAGAGATCAGTCGGAGCGAATGGTCAGTCAAAGCAAAAGAATAGTGAAAGAATGAAGTCAGTCAAAGAAAGGGGTCAGTCAAAGCAAAAGAATAGTGAAAGAATGAAGTCAGTCAGAGAAAGAGGTCAGTCAAAATGATAGTTTATTAAGAGCTAAATGTGGGGCAGAATGTGACACATTAAATATGGAGCAGTAGGTGACAGAGTTTGTGTTGTCAAATCATCTGAGACAGTTTAAGCTAAGGCAGCATGTAAAAGAACTAGAGGTGAGGCGGGTTGTGAGAGATTTAGAGCTGACAGTGTATCAGACAGACTTTGAGCCGTGGCAATATGTGAGAGTTTGGATGATGACAGTACGGAAAGAATTAGAAGTGAGGCAGATTGTTGCAGAATTTAAAGAGCAACATATGTTGCAAAGAGGTTAGCTATGTGTCTCGGCAAACTTTATTATCAATTGACATGGATTTGACAAAATTGCTCTCATCAAGTTTCAAAACACATACCTGAAAATAAACCAGAAAGCAATCCAGTGTACGTTTCAAACTTCCGCGGTCAAAGTACTGACCGCAAGTATCCAGGAGTATGCACACCAAACGTATACGAAACAAGTGTTCGGGTGGATCCAAGACTGAGTGTGACCCTGCAGAAAGAAACCATAAAACTTTATTTACTTTTATTACTTTCCAAAAACTATATAACTCAAGATAAACCATTATTGACTGATTTCAAAGTGATGTTAATGCTTTTCTTGTTTTCTCAAAACTCCCTAAAATGACTTAGGTATAAAAGATAATAAAGTGATGTCATTTTCGCTAATATCTAAAAAAATTGATTCGTGTCTTTTCTCAGATGAACTTCAACAGCAATCAATAATCTTACCGTCTGTAGTGCTTCCAAAAGTGATGAACGAATACAGAATGGTGAAGATGACGTTGCACTCAATGAGCTGATAGTTATACAACTCGCCGAGGTATTTCACGCAACTTATACGACTTTGATTCATCTTGGGAACGTTGATCTAAAGAAAAAATATAAAGCGTTCTGGTGTACTTATGTGTATACGATAACACACCTAGGAACATCCATGATACTACACGACTGAATACCTCCATTCCAACTCGTATCTCCTCGAGTACACCATCAACCACTTCAACCCCCACGTGTTCCTGAAACGAAAGCGATAGCGTTGCTAACTATGGCTAAATCTGAATTCGAAACATACAGTTGACCATGTATGCATTACAAAAATCAGAGTATGTTTCAATTCACGTTTCTTAAAATCGTTGGCCAGGATCGGTCGCACAAAGCTTGAATAGCGTTATCTACTGGATAGCAAATTTTTCTGATCGTTCATAAAATCTCTTATTAAAAAATATACGATTTGAACTGTGCAATCACTGAAATAAAATATTGTTTCGAAGATTACAAAATTTCGTTGTAAGAAAAATATGAACACCTTTTTACAAGTTTGAAAATTCTCGCTATCCAGGCTTGGTGCGCAACGGCAAAGATTAGGAAGGATAAACTTACATGATACGAAGCGAGTCCGGCCAAAAGATTTGCTGCACAATGTATGTATTTTATGTTCCAGGATCTTATTAAACATCGGACGACAGAGAGATCTGTTTACAAAGTAAGCATTGCACAGTAAGAGATCAGTTAGAGTAAAATATCAGTTAGAATATGAGTCATTTACAGTAAGAGATCGCAAGTAGAGATCAGTTAAAGTAAGAGATCAGCAGAGTAAAATATCAGTTAGAATATGAGGTCATTTTACGTAAGAGATCAGTTACAGTGAGATCAGTTAAGTAAGAGATCAGTTAGAGTAAAATATCAGTTAGAATATGAGGTCATTTACAGTAAGAGATCAGTTACAGTAAGAGATGAGTTAGTAAAGAGATCGTTAAAGTAGAGATCAGTAAGAATATGAGGTCAAGTAAGAGATCAGTTACAGTAAGAGATGAGTTAAAGTAAAATATCAGTTAGAATATGAGGTCATTTACAGTAAGAGATCAGTTATGAGATGAGTTAAAATAAAATATGTTAGAATATGAGGTCATTTACAGTAAGAGATCAGTTACAGTAAGAGATCAGTTAAAGTAAGAGATCGGTTAAAGTAAGAGATCAGTTAGAGATCAGTTAGAGTAAAATATCAGTTAGAATATGAGGTCATTTACAGTAAGAGATCAGTTACAGTAAGAGATGAGCAAAAATATCAGTTAGAATATGAGGTCATTTACAGTAAGAGATCAGTTACAGTAAGAGATCAGTTAAAGTAAGAGATCGGTTAAAGTAAGAGATCAGTTACAGTAAGAGATCAGTTAGAGTAAAATATCAGTTAGAATATGAGGTCATTTACAGTAAGAGATCAGTTACAGTAAGAGATGAGTTAAAGTAAGAGATCGGTTAAAGTAAGAGATCAGTTAGAATATGAGGTCATTTACAGTAAGAGATCAGTTACAGTAAGAGATGAGTTAAAGTAAAATATCAGTTAGAATATGAGGTCATTTACAGTAAGAGATCAGTTACAGTAAGAGATCAGTTAAAGTAAGAGATCGGTTAAAGTAAGAGATCAGTTACAGTAAGAGATCAGTTAGAGTAAAATATCAGTTAGAATATGAGGTCATTTACAGTAAGAGATCAGTTACAGTAAGAGATGAGAAGTAAAATATCAGTTAGAATATGAGGTCATTTACAGTAAGAGATCAGTTACAGTAAGAGATCAGTTAAAGTAAGAGATCGGTTAAAGTAAGAGATCAGTTACAGTGACCAGTTAGAGTAAAATATCAGTTAGAATATGAGGTCATTTACAGTAAGAGATCAGTTACAGTAAGAGATCAGTTAAAGTAAGAGATCGGTTAAAGAGATCAAGAATATGAGGTCATTTAAAGTAAGAGATCAGTCAGAGTAAGTTGTCCGTTACGTTACGACTATTTCAATTTTAACTTCACATCTTACATCTTTGTCATCCCACGGCAACTTACGAAGCTGACGCAAAACCTAAAAATAAGGAACGATTTTGCATTGCTAAAATACATGAAAGATCAAGCCTTACGACACTTCTCTGTTGAAAATTAAAATGAGTAAAACATGTCTGACTGTCTAGCCGATGACAGTCAAGCACAAGTCGTCTCGACAAAACAATAATACATAAAATACTACAAGGAAACATTGCATTATTATGAGTAAGACTACTTGATTTGCTATATATTAGAAAAAATGGATGTATTTTTTATTAAATCGGGGCTGTACCTTTTCTGTGGTTGTTTTTGATAAATCTTTATATATCAACTTTCTTACGTATTCTTGCATTGAGGTCGCACTTTTTTGTTAACTGAAAAAATAGTAATATATATTTTCAGTTCAACGCATTTCTGGCCTGTGCCACTAGTGGCCCTCCCTCCTGTCACATAGTCTAAACGAGACTTGGTACTACTAATCAGCTCCAACAAAAAATATGACGAACCTTTTGTCTTTCAGGGGGGTTGGTATAGTAAAAAGCATTGTCGATCATCGTGTTCTGTCGAGAGTCGAGATTTTGTACTGCTTTTTTCCGCATCATTTGTTCCTGAAAAAGTAAAACAATTCATTTGTCCAGCGGTTTCACAGCTACCAAATGAACACTTAATGTGAAACGTTTGTTGTAAGGAGCTCTTGAAAACAGAATGAGAAATGACAAACCAGTATGTTCTTGGTCATAATATGCGAATCTTCAGATCTGAAGAGATAGCGACCACAGGTTTCCAACAAACTGCAAGCCATCTCGACATTGTGATGCGTGAAGTTCTCCAGCAAAGTCTGATGGAAAAATTGAACAGTTATGACAGTATTGTAAAAGCTGACTCATACTCAAGCTTGTCGAGTGCGACACGGAAATTGCTCTCCCATCAATTAAATAGTAAAAACTTTTCTTCGTCAATAACAAGATTTTTTCTAAAACGTTTTCAAAAATCCTGACACTTCCTGAAGTGTATCAATACGTTGTTATAAAGGAACACACGTAATACCTTCCTACGCAATCTTAACCGTATTTAGCCATACGTAGGAAACCTTAACCATACTTAGCCATACGTAGGACACCTTAGACATACTTAGCCATACGTAGGAAACCTTAACCATACTTAACCATACGTAGGACACCTTAACCATATTTAGCCATACGTAGGACACCTTAACCATATTTAGCCATACGTAGGACACCTTAGCCATACATAGCCATACGTAGAAACCTTAACCATACTTAACCATACGTAGGACACCTTAACCATACTTAGCCATACGTAGGACACTTAGCCATACTTAGCCATACGTAGGACACCTTAACCATACTTAGGACACCTAACCATACCTAACCATACGTAGGACACCTAACCATACTTAGCCATACGTAGGACACCTTAACCATACTTGGACACCTAACCATATAACCATACGTAGGAAACCTTAACCATACATAGCCATACGTAGGAAACCTTAACCATACTTAACCATATGTGGACACCTTAACCATACTTAGCCATACGTGGGACACTTTAGCCATACTTAGCCATACGTGGGACACCTTAACCATACTAACCATACGTAGGAAACCTTAACCATACTTAGCCATACGTAGGACACTTTAGCCATACTTAGCCATACGTAGAGCCTTAACCATACTTAGCCATAATGTGGGACACCTTAACCATACTAACCATACGTAGGACACCTTATCCATACTTAACCATACGTAGGACACCTTAACCGTACTTAACCATACGTAGGACATCTTAACCATACTTAGCCATACGTAGGACACTTTAGCCATACTTAGCCATACGTAGGACACCTTAACCATACTTAACCATACGTAGGACACCTTAGCCATACTTAACCATACGTAGGACACCTTAGCCATACAGCCATACGTAGGACACCTTAACCATACTTAGCCATACGTAGGACACCTTAACCATACTTAGCCATACGTGGACACTTTAACCATACTTAGCCATACGTAGGACACCTTAACCATACTTAACCATACGTAGGACACCTTAGCCATACTTAACCATACGTAGGACACCTTAGCCATACTTAACCATGCGTAGGACACCTTAGCCATACCAACCATACGTAGGACACCTTAACCATACTTAACCATACGTAGGACACCTTAACCATACTTAGCCATACGTAGGACACCTTAACCATACTTAGCCATACGTAGGACACTTTAACCGTACTAACCATACGTAGGACACCTTAGACATACTTAGCCATACGTAGGGACACTTAACCATACTTAGCCATACGTAGGACACCTTAACCATACTTAGCCATACGTAGGACACCTTAGACATACGTAGGACACTTTAACCATACTTAGCCATACGTAGGACATCTTAACCATACGTAGGACACCTTAGCCATACTTAGCCATACGTAGGACACCTTAACCATACTTAGCCATACGTATGACACCTTAACCATACTTAGCCATACGTAGGACACCTTAGACATACTTAGCCATACGTAGGACACTTTAACCATACTTAGCCATACGTAGGGACATCTTAACCATATTTAGCCATACGTAGGACACCTTAGCCATACTTAACCATACGTAGGACACCTTAACCATACTTAGCCATACGTAGGACACCTTAACCATACTTAACCATACGTAGGACACCTTAGCCATACTTAGCCATACGTAGGACACCTTAGCCATACTTAGCCATACGTAGGACACCTTAGCCATACTTAGCTCAACTTAAACCACGTTAGACACACTTAGTCCTCTTTAGAGAATCTATATAGATAACAACATATTAATACACTTCAGGAAGTCAGATAAAGTAACTACCGAAAATAAAATCGTTAAATGGTTATGAGGTGATTTTAAAGCCCCGCTCAGTGAGTGTTAATGTTTCTATTCTGTTTCTATTCTGGAAGCAAGCTACTCCATACTCTACAACAAACACAGGCAAGACTAATTATACAAAACTTGGAAATACCTTCAGACAATGAAGTGTTTCCTTTTTCGGTACCATTCCAAATTTTGTCAATTCACCTAGAACGAGAGGAATTTCAAACGCGAAAAGTTATGCATAACTAACGCCAAGACGTAAAATCAAACTCATTGACAGCCTGAGAGCGGAGGGAAGTCAAAAAATATGAAAGATAAAAACCAGATGAACATACGAGAATACATCAAGAATTTCCAGTAAACGCTAAAAATCTAGTTAAATGTCAAGATCTGGCATAAATTACGATTACATTTTAGTCGGTGACTAAAAAATAGTCAAAAATTACTAAGCTCCAGTTCTCCGGACGGCTCTGTTGAACTCACAGTAGCTCAGACAATACTATGTTACATTACTTTACTAACCAATGAAACGGACCGTCTTTACTTTCGACTCAACGTAAATCTGGTCGTTTTTTCGCACCTAAAAAGAAAGCCGACTACCATTAAAATGGTTCGATAAATATTCACCGCTAAAACAACAGTGATGATAAAAATCCGTGGGCTTATTAAGAGATATCATAAGCCACACTTCTTTGTGAAAAATATAAGCATTGCACCTCTCTTGAACATGAGTAAGGCATTGCGTGGAAAATGACTCGAAAAACCGCAATGAATTAGAGTATTATTATATCAAACAAACTAGAATATTGCACATGTTTAACCTACATGCCATTTGAATTCGGCTCGTAGCAAAGTGAAGATATCTTCAGCCAAACCAGGCATACAAGGATGTAGGGTGGCCACGAGTCGAGAATAGAAAGGCAGCAAATCAAACCTAAACAGGATATAGATGTGATCATGATGTGTCAAGAGGAGTGCATTGGGGTAAATTACTAGGGGTAATAATGTATAAAAAGGAGTACATTCGTATACATATGACATTATCAGGGGTGATAATGTATCAAAGGAAGTACAAAAAAGACGAACATGCGACATTATGGAAGGAAGATGACGTAACAAAAGAAATACATTTGTACACATATGACATTGTGAGGGATAATGATGTATGAAGGGGAGTACATAAAGACGCACAAATGACACTATGGAATGATGATATAGCAAAGGAAACCTTAAACATCAATTTTAGTTGGTTTCGCAGAGTCAGATCTTCGTAGATCTTCGTAGATCTTCGCATTGGACATTGCATGAATGCGGTAAACACAAAACTTAAAGAGTTAAAAAACGTACACTGACTTTTTCATAGACATATTCGCAGGCAAGGCTCAAGGTTGAAACATGTCGTAAGATCGAAATGAAATCTTACAATATTCACACCGACAAATTTTTTTCATTACCATACCTTGTTCGAGGTACACTGAATAATGCTTTGCAAAGCTTCCTGCGGTTTCCTTTCGTGTTGCAAGTCATGACAAAATCAGTTGCAAGCTACACAAAATAACGGACGTATCAATTGTAACTTAAATATAAGCACAAGGTTAAATAGTTGAATGTTATTAAAAAAAAAATGATAGCATAATGCTATAACCAACAACTACAAACTTATCTAACAACATTTGAGAAGTTAACCTTCCACCTCTTCCATGTAAAGGAGACAAGAAAAACAAAATGAGCAGGAATATTCAATTGATCAATTTGATGATAAACTCTGCTATACCGGTCACAAGCCCGGAGCTTGGCGCATAAGGCTCTCTGCTTTTCAGTAGACTTGTATCGTTTACAAAAAGGAGTGGAAGGTTAATTCTCAAATGTTGTAAGATAAGGTTTAGTTTGTTGGTTATAGCATTATGCTATCATTCTTTTGTTAAATATAAGCCTTGTGAACGCGTTGAATGATAATGCAAAACAGTTAGCGTAAATAAACTGCAAACCTTGTCAAGAAATTAGATGAAGATATGATGAAACTACTTGGTATGGTGGAACAGGATCTGATATTTAAATTTTTTTCAACTATCCACAGGGTCAGATACAACAACCCTTTGCTTATCTCATAATGTCATTAACGTGCAAGCTCCTTTCAGAATCTTAAGACTCCTAATGTATTGGCAATAGCAATATTGCTTAATAATATGTGTGATACAAGTAAAATAAACTTGTCACCGGAATACAAGTAATATAAACTTGTTATCCAAGGCAAAATTTTCCTGCCCGCATATTTCACACCCTGCTGGAAGTTATACATGTCGGTCTTCCAACACTACTTATCTAAAACCTAGTACTATATAGCTTATGACATCAAATGACTAACGTGAGAAGCCATGTCGTACCTCATCAATGAAGTCTCGATTTACGCAGGTTGGTAAGCGTTGAATGATCTGTTGAAGTTGACTGGAGTGAGAGCTTTTACCCAAGTCGAGAGCACCTACATTACTGCCGCTTTCGAGTGCCTCTCCTCCGTCCGATAGTTCTGCAAATATACCGAAACAAACGCTTTACGCAAATGGTCTTCGAATAAAAAGTCAAGTGTATGTTTTCAGGTTTCTCGTACGACAAAAAATATAATTGATTGATTCCTTATTACCAAAAATCAATTTAACAATCAATCTCACACTATCGGCTGCTAATTGATAATAGAAGCAGTTGGAAGGGAAATGTTTCGGAGTCCAAAAAAGTTTTCCTTGTGTTTCAAAGCTTAAGGTATACAAGTTTCATAGACGTGCCCATTAATGTACCCATATTACCTTCAGTGATCCTTGCCAAGTCTGCGTCATCGTCAGATGAAGCTACGTCACTGTCATCGTCAATGATGCCGTTGACTAACGGTTCTTTTGCCGACGAAGTTTTATCATCCTCCTCTTTCTTGCTGCTTTCCTTGTATAGAATCTAGAAAATTTATGGTGATGTTTAATGGTTGTCAACAATACAGATGAATCTGGTGTACAATAAATTTACTTCAAACGACATGCTGTCGGATGAAAGATGGATCAATGACTACTTGATAAAAATGACTTTGGATCTTTAAGATTCTCATAAAAAGCTCTATCTTCAATGTCTTCATCTTTCAATGAATTACTTACACTTGGTAGATGTCACTTTAGACCTTTAAGATGCTCATTAAAAATTCTGTTATTTTTATCTTCCTATGAATTACTTACACTGGGTAGATGTGAATTTAGACCTTTAAGATGCTCATTAAAAGTTCTGGTATTTTTATCTTCCTATGAATTACTTACACTTGGTAGATGTGACTTTAGACCTTTAAGATGCTCATTAAAAGTTCTGGTATTTTTATCTTCCTATGAATTACTTACACTGGGTAGATGTGACTTTAGACCTTTAAGATGCTCATTAAAAGTTCTGGTATTTTTATCTTCCTATGAATTACTTACACTTGGTAGATGTGAATTTAGACCTTTAAGATGCTCATTAAAAGTTCTGGTATTTTTATCTTCCTATGAATTACTTACACTGGGTAGATGTGACTTTAGACCTTTAAGATGCTCATTAAAAGTTCTGGTATTTTTATCTTCCTATGAATTACTTACACTGGGTAGATGTGACTTTAGACCTTTAAGATGCTCATTAAAAGTTCTGGTATTTTTATCTTCCTATGAATTACTTACACTGGGTAGATGTCACTTTAGATCTTTAAGATGCTCATTAAAAGTTCTGGTATTTTTATCTTCCTATGAATTACTTACACTTGGTAGATGTGACTTTAGACCTTTAAGATGCTCATTAAAAGTTCTGGTATTTTTATCTTCCTATGAATTACTTACACTGGGTAGATGTCACTTTAGATCTTTAAGATGCTCATTAAAAGTTCTGGTATTTTTATCTTCCTATGAATTACTTACACTGGGTAGATGTCACTTTAGATCTTTAAGATGCTCATTAAAAGTTCTGGTATTTTTATCTTCCTATGAATTACTTACACTGGGTACAAGGGATTTTAGATCTTTAAGATTCTCATAAAAAGTTCTAGTGTCTTCATCTTCCCAAAGGCCTGTATCGCCATCGTACTAAAACAAAGCAAAGAAACATTCGTCAAAAAACAAACACAAAAATTGAATAGAATTTCAGTATGATAAATAACTAAAAGAGAAATGTGTTCTAATGCTGACAATGAAAATACGTCGATAAAAATATAACCTCAGTTAATTGGAAAGGATTGAAAATATTTATTCCAACACTGCCGCCTTCCTCTGGTAAAGATTCTAAGAACATCAAACAAATATATTTTAATAGACTTAACATGTTTCTCTTATTACTGAGCCTACATTTTTACGAACTGACCCTACATTGTCACAACTGACACTACACTGTCACTAACCGACCCTACATTGTCCCTAACTGACCCTACATTGTTACAGACACTATATTGTCACTAACTGACCCTTCAGTGTACCTAACTGACCCAACATTGTTGCTAACTGACCCTAGATTGACACTAACGCTACATTGTCACTGACCCTACATTGTTACTAACTGACACTATATTGTCACTAACTGACCTTCATTGTACCTAACTGACCCAACATTGTCACTAACTGATCCTACATTTTCGCAAACTGACCCTACATTGTTACTAACTGACCCTACATTGTCACTAAGTGACCTCACATTGTCCCTAACTGACCCCACATAATCACTAACTGACCCCACATTGTCACTAACTGACCCTACATGATTGCAGAATAACCAAACATTACGTATACATTGAACACAAGACTCACCACCTTCAGGTAAATCAGGCATGTCCAAATCAAGAATTTCCTAACAACAATATAAAATAGATAAAACAACAAAAAATGTTCGTAAATTAAATAAAGATTACTTACAGCCAAAGCAGAAGTATTTGTTAGCAGTTTATCGTAGGATTTCTGACATTTATCGCATGCTTCCTTCCTGTCCTCCGGTATTTCACCTTTACTCTAAACGGCAAGGGGTGTTAATACTTTACATATTTTTTGTCACTCTAGGTATTTGATGGTCTTACCAAAAGGATACGCCTGTTTTGTCGCTCTTTTTTCTGTAAGTTGTTGTGTTCTCGGAGAAGATGATCGACCAACGAATCGAAGTACGCATTTAATATCGAGAGAATCGCTTTTTGATTATCACGTGAAATGACCTATACATATAAATGATGATATAATGGTTATCACGTGAAATAACCTATACTTATGAATGATGATATTAAGGTTATCACGCGAAATGACCAATACATATCAATGATGATATTATGGATGGTTTCGAGAGAAGTTTGCACATGCGCAATTCTTGGTCTTTGAAAAACCTTAGAGCTTGTGATTTTTCCCAATGAACAACAATCCACTCTTAGTTCATAATGATAGAGCAGGAAAAAAAGACACAATATAATAAAGCTTCCGATGATACTTTATTGAAGAAATTAGTGCTGTTGTCAGTGGCGTAACTTTAAACTGGCCTGCTTGAGGTCCTTCCATAACCCCACCCTCCCCTCCCTCATTTCTAAATTTCTGACAACATAAACATTTTACCAAATACTCGTTAAAATAGAGCACAATACCAACTGTTTTTTATCAATATACATATACAGAAAAAGAACAAATAGAGCTTTCAATTTACTTCCGGAAACACAATTTACGATAATTCCGTTTTATGTGCCACCTTGCAAGCTGATAGCTTGGTTGCCCGCAGCCCTGCGCACCCAGAGCTCATAGCAGTTACGCCACTGAGTCTGTTGTTAAGTTTCATGAGGAAAGCATCCATGGGCTTCATGATATATTATCTGCTTTCATTGTCACGTAGAATTTTGAAATAAATAATTGAATCCATGGCTTTGAAGTCTTTACAGTGAGAACAGTAAATCGAGCCCTACTTTCAACCCGTATGTTATGAAATATAAATTCTCATCAAAATTCAAATAGACTTACACACTCAATCAAAAAAATGCGAGAAACAAACGCAATTTAACAAATGACAAAATACACATGTCTGAAAGAAACAGAGTAATTATAAAGAAACGCCGACACCGAAAAAGTTAACGTTGCCTGACATGTATCTTTATACTTATGCTCTACATATGCTAAAAACTGATGACCCTTAAAGAGAATGTAGCTGACGGCTTACCTCAAACCGAGGTATGTTCACATCGTATTTCTGTAGTAGAAGTCTACAAAATAGTTAGCACTGAATCATAATACAGCATTGGATGATTAAATCGGGGAAAGAAGGGTAGGGTAGGGTAGGGTAGGATAGGGTAGGGTAGTGTAGGGTAAGGTAGAAACCAGCCATAGACAACGTTCCGCATTAAACTATATTTGGAACTTATATCCAATGCAATTTGCAAATTGATGAAAAGCAAAGTACTATCGCTATGGTTTAAGGTTTCATGAAGGACAATAATTGTTGTGAATGGACGGTTACTTCATGTTACACATACTGAATCACATTGAACGTCAAGGCGTTGGTGAGACGTGCAATGATCGACGTCGTTTCGAAAAGTTCAAAATATCGTGAAAATCAAATTCAAACTTTGAAATCGTGACGACATGAACCAACCTTTGTTTTCTTGACGTGATTCCAAGCACGTCCTCAGCACAATGACGACAAAACTCAAAACAACTGCCACGTAGAGATGGTTGTCCTTAAATACACAACAAAACTCAAAACAACTGCCACGTAGAGATGGTTGTCCTTAAATACACAACAAAACTCAAAACAACTGCCACGTAGAGATGGTTGTCCTTAAATACACAACAAAACTCAAAACAACTGCCACGTAGAGATGGTTGTCCTTAAATACACAACAAAAACTCAAAACAACTGCCACGTAGAGATGGTTGTCCTTAAATACACAACAAAAACTCAAAACAACTGCCACGTAGAGATGGTTGTCCTTAAATACACAACAAAACTCAAAACAACTGCCACGTAGAGATGGTTGTCCTTAAATACACAACAAAACTCAAAACAACTTCCACGTAGAGATGGTTGTCCTTAAATACACAACAAGACGTTTTAATGAAGATGCACTCTCGAAAATACAGATGGAAATGCAATGAATAATACAGAGCTCCCTCTTTCTCTCGGTTAAAATGTGCTTGCCACAGTGGTTTACACTAAGTACTACCTCTTGGTTTGAAACAAATATCTATGATTTTACAAAGGATGGATAAATGATTCGCTCCTGTTTGCTTAGCTATTAAGAAAGACACTTGACGAGATGACACTGTATTCATCTATGATGACTTCCTTCCTTCTCACCTGGCCAAAGAAATCATCTTGGGGAAAAACTGTTGAAATTCTGATCCCTCCACTTGCACTCACCTTATCACAAGTTGTTATATTGGTTAACGTTGAGCTGAGCATCTTGAATGCTTCATCCCTATTTCCAATAATACCATAGAGACCGAGTTCGGTAAGAACTCGTAATCCGACACGAAATTTGCTCACGTTGGAAGGCTAAAAACACACTAAGCATCATCAAAAAATTTTCACGGCGAAGCACGGCAAGCAGAGATTAACTATAATTATCACTAACAATTTAATACGAAAGAGTAACGTTGGGAGACCATGCCAAGCGCTGTAATTGGCGTAAAACATCAAATACACTTCCTCCTGCATAAAGTTCTTGCAATCAATCAGAAATGTGCATGGGATAGTGGAAGGTGTAAGCAAGCGCAATGTGCAGGTGAAAAAATATAGAAAAACGTGAGCACAACAAACGAGGGAGTTTTTAAATAGATTACTTGTACAAAACAAAGTGCAACATATCCAAATATTATCGCTTACAGGCGTGTATATTTTTCATAAGTTGATGCACGATATTTTAGGCCTTAATTACGGAATACTGGGGGATGCAAGTGCCTTTAAAAATAGGGTAACATTGACCATTTGATTTTTTTATCTACTTTTAGTCTCGCAGATAAAATTTTATGAATCGTCATTGCAAATGCTCGTTGTTTTTTTGAAGCAGATCTTGTTTGCAAAAACATTGTAATGTTATTGTTGGCAAACATGCAGTTTTTCCCACTGTTGCCTTGTTCAAAAAATAATCCGACTCGGTGCTCCGAGCCTTCTTCGGAATATAGAATATGTAGTCGAAAGCTCAATAAATCATTTTTAAAATTCCGGAGAAACTCTTACTGTTAACAATAAATATACCTGGGGCTGATCGCACAAAGGTCTAACAGCGCTATCCACTGGATAACAAATGTTTTTATACGTTTAAAAAAACTTCTTAAAAGGAAAAAGTATACGATTTAAACTGAGCAATCACTGAAATCAAAAATTGCTTCTAAGATAACGAAATTTCTTTGTTTTAATGAAAATATAAACATCTTTTTTACAAGTTTGAAAATTTTACCATCCGATGGATAACGCTATTAAGGCTTTGCGCAACTGACCCAAGGATTACAAATCTTCAAGCTTAATATAAAACATAGAACCACTCCTCTGTATCATACCTTATCAACATCTTTGCAGTTATAATTCTCAAACAACTTTAAAAGCTCAGGTATAAATAATCGAGTGAACTCAACATATCGTTGATGAAACAGACCACACATATGTGTGATAACGCTGACATCCGCAACCTTGAGTAGGCAAAACAAAAATGATAAACGATAAGAACTTGGTTAAGGTAACATGTTTGTAAAACTGTCTTCTAATACAGTAGAATATAATGACATTTTATAATACGCAAACACACGACTTAATTTGAAATCAGTATCGAAGCCAACCTGTTTTTTACTCGCACAATGCAAATATTTTTGTGTTCATTCGCAGAAAAAAAAACAATAAATAAACTAATTTTGCTGGAAAAAATTGCATGGTAGGAGTAAATGGCTTGATTCAACAATGTTTGGAAGCGTTATTTTCCACTGGCTGATCAACAAAAAAAGTACAAAATGTTTTCTCGCGTCTGCTGGCTGTCCAGGTGATGCAAGCATGTTTTTCACGTTGCTTTGCCGTGCTTGACATGCTAGTCCCACCCAGCATGTGTAAATAGCTAAATTATATAAGTGGAAGTGTTTCCTGAAATTTGGCTAGTAGTTATTTTACTTATCATATGGATAGCCTTACCAAGTTTGCAAGACATACGTATTTGTTAATAATTAATAAAGTCAAACTTGCATCATTTGCCAGTAGCAACTCCAGGTGATGTGTAGTAATACATGTTTGCTACTGACATACATATATACACAGTATCAGTGTGCGAATTAGTCCAGAAAAAATGATGTGCAATTTTTTTTGACAAAAGTGTTTCTTTAGATGCATAATCAAATCGATATTACGTTAATTATTATATAGCGCCAATTGCTAAATTAATATTTTTAAACGTTAACAAATTCATATGATTTACGACAGTGTTTTTCGTTAAAACCGCTGATTTTTGCACATCGTTTGAAAAGTGATGTGCAATTGTTTTCATTTTAGCTAAAACGATGTGCAAATTGCACATTGCACACCGTTAATTCGCCCACTGCACAGTATGCAAGTTTTGAAACATTTTCAGTTGAATACATACTTTGTTGTGTCAAGTATAGCAAATAAAAATTATTTTAGGTGAACAGCTTGATCATAAATTTCCACAAATAATAACTGGCAAGATATTTATCTCACAAACCTTCAATTTATGCAATCCTTCAACAACTGCTGTAACCTTGAGGAGAAATAAACAAAACAAAATCAAATCAAAATCATTGTTTTCAAGACATCTATAAGACGGTCTTCAAGTGTCTTTTCAAAACCAAAGTCTCATCATCAAACATTACATGCGGGTAAGCTTTAATATTCGAAATAACTGGCACACCATTTGGTTACACATTTGAAAGAAAAAAAGTGAAAGAAGTTTGCCATTTGACTTTGGACCAATGGACCAATAACCAACTACAGACCAATCAGCTCACACATTTTATTGTTTTTATTTTATAACAAGTTCTTAATTACTTACAGCTTCCTGAATGAACCTTGTGAGGTTCAAACCATTAAATTCCTGTGTCAGAGATGCCTTTTGTTGTTCTGTCATTGTTTTCTATAACAAAATCAAATCAAAATACAGCCCTATCAACAATATAACAGATGTACATAGAGAGTATCAGTATATAGAAATAATACAGCACAATCAACCAGATGTATGTAGAGCCTATATAGACATAGCTTAGGAAGATTTCACTTAAATTCAATTCACCAAAAGTGGTTTTACCAGTTTTTTTATGAACGAAGAGTTCTTCTTGATATTAGAGTCAAGTTTACGAAAGAATGACTCCTCAGGTCGATGATCTAGATGAAGAGACCAAAAACCATGACCAGCTGACAATTTAAAGAAATATAATATAAAACATATTCCGAAGAAGCAAGCCATCTCGAGATTGCAAAATATGAATTAAAACAAGACGAGAAGTGCTTCTTCAGAATTTGTTTTATATTAGATGAAGAGAGTTCACACTTTTCATTGTGCAAAGGAGAGTCCACACTCTTGGCATCAGTTCTCATATAACTAAGTGTTGGGCAACTAAAAAAATTTAACCCCCCCCCCCATCCCAAAACAATTTTTGCACTACTCCAAAGGAAGAAACTAAAGCACACCTGGCTATAGGAAAATTTGTCACCAGTCCCCACCAACTTATGGACCCCTCCACCAGCTCCATTCCCACCAACTTATAGACCCTCTCCACTAGCTCCATTCCCACCAACTTATAGACCCTCTCCACTAGCTCCATTCCCACCAACTTATAGACCCCTCTCCACTAGCTCCTTTTTACCAATTTATGGACCCTGTTCACTAGCTTCATTGCAAATTATTGAAATTTTTCTGTGCTGTAAACAATATTTAATCTGGGTGCAAATTAACATGTTGATTCACAAAATTGCAATGCACTAAACATGGTAAAATGTGATACACTTTTAACAAATTGCAATGCACGAAACACAGTAAAATGCAAAGCACAAAGCTAGATAAATTCACTTTCAAGTATATTCTTAAAATCTTATTAATGCTCTATAGTTGCAATTTCATTATTTTCATGTTAACAGTTAACTTCCTATTTAGATCTAATTGGGGGAAACTGAGAGAGGTTACAGGATGTTTGCTACAATACTTTTATGAGATTTTTGTGCTGGAAGAATTTTTCTCTATTTTAGTATCTACTTGTTTTGTATTAGATATAATTGTGATGAAATTTGTTTATAGCAAAGCAAATAGATATGTAAATAAATTGCATATTTACTCAAGTTAAAACATACTAGAAATTCTGGAGGAACATTTTCATTGACAAAAGATATATACATTTGTCAACTACAAGCATTCTACTTTGTCATATCTTTGTTTTTAGTTGTCAGCCTTTCATTATCCAATGAGACATGAAAGAAAGAAGATATGATTTTCATTTTTTGTGGGGAGAGAGTTTGAACATTTAGTTACGAAAATCACGATGCACTTTTTTCACCTCAATTTGCACCCAGATTTAATAGTTTTTAATCATAGTATAATAGCATAAGTACATAAAGTTTTATTATCACAGTTTGTACGTTGGTACATTTCAAAACAATAAGTAAAACTTATTTAACTCACTTGGCGCATCAATATTCAACTTTCTTGTTGCCATCTTGGCACTCACTCGGTCCTTTGCTTCAATTGCAATTTCTTCAGCTTGCTTCTAATAATCAAACAACATATTGATTCGACCCAAGCACAAAGCTTACAACTATACAAGTTAGGCAGAAACTTTATGAAAAGTATTGAAAAGATATTTACTTGTTCCTGAAGCATCCTCTCCTCTTCATCTTGTTGCAAGTCATGCTCATCTTTCTCAGTTTTGATTTCAAGACTTGCTGGCTACAAAAAAGGAATAGAAAATTAAAGCCCAGCCTTACTGCCTTAGATTGCCATATTGTACAAAGACAAGGTTATGCATGGAGGTTTGGAGAATGTATTTGCATCATAAAAGTATATTTATGCTTTTGCCCAAGTAAAACTGTTTTTGAACGGTACGTAGTCAACTTGCAAGTAAACGAGAACACACATTCCATGTGGCTTATGAACATGTCGTCCAAGTCACATGTTTTCATGTGCATATTAAAAACTGTGTTAGGATTAACAAATTATATATATACTCTGATGATGGCTTTGGACTCGCCTCCAATCCCTGTGGGCTTGGTAGCTCAACAGGTAGAGCGGACTAGTATCCCGGAAGTGCGAAGTTCAAATCTCGTCCAAGTCACATGTTTTTCATGTGCATATTAAAAAACCGTGTTAGGATTAATATATTATGTATAATAAAAAACAAGTCCACAACAATGAAAAAAGAGTATTGGTGAATTTGGGCAAACAGTATAGATGATACAAATCATAAATAAATTCTGCTTTCTGTTAGCTTGCCTTTTGTTCACTTTGAACAAGTTCTTGACGGCCACTTTTATCATGACTCACGTTTGGAATAGTTTTGCTTGAAGAGATGGATGTATTGCTAAAATTATAAAAAAGCAATAACCGAGAACCATAAGGCAATGAAACTCCCGAACTCAATTTAACTAGGGCACTTCTGAATAGAGTTTACGAAATACCTTTTACCCATTTCTTGCTTCGACATTTTGTCCTGGCTCTTGCATGAACGTGAAAATTTCAGGACGAAATGACACCGTAGCAATTGTACTCTGATCAAGGCACGAGGAAAATTTGTCGAAGTACAACCGCTATGACTCGTGTCTTTTGACTTTTAGCATAACTATGTTTTTCTCTTTCGTTTTAATACGGTGAAAGTATTTCTAGACATAATTTTCGGTCTATAACATCGTAAAACACCCATTGTTTTGCAAAAATACAATTAAATAAAGAAATATACAAAAATTCCTCTCAGTTTACAAGTATGAGCGAAAATTATAAAATGTCTTTCCCAGTCTTCTCGCGTTTATTCAAACTGACCTCCTTTTCACACTGGAGTTAGTAAAATTCTAGATGTTTAACTGATATCCACTACATTGATTCCAAAAGAAACCTCACAGTAGCCCCAGCCAGTTTAGCTCCATAAAATCCTTCCCAATATTTCGTATCTTTACCATAATCTTTAAATTGAATGTATCGAACACCTGACGGATAATCCCTAAATGTATATTCAAATTTGTCCCATTCATTCTGGTCATCACCTTTTTCACCATTAAATGAAATTTTGAAGCCAGGAATCTTGTTTCTCTTGCAGTCCATCAGTGCAACTTTCATGAAGTATTTGACACCACAATCATAGCGACTGTTGAACCTAAATAGGAAAAACAAATAAGAGAGACGACTTGGCAAAACAAAGTATGATGAAACAACAAACATTTACCATTCACAAACATAAATGGGAATCTTCACTTCATCCAGTATGTATTCATTCACTCCTTCGGCAAGAAGATCAATAACCTGACATCTCTTCATGGCACCAAATGACGTTGCCAAGCATCCTGCATCTACCAAAGTATACATAGCTAATGATCTCAAAAAACATTGATATGATTGCACTTATACAATTTACTTAGCATTGTGGTGAAGTAAAAAACAATACGTCTCAATCAAACACTTTGAAAGACGTTACACCAACCTCCATTTGGTACCGGGGGACACCCTATAGGTGGGAACTCCAGTTGTATACCACTACCACCAATGCTTTGCATTTCCCATGGTGCAAACTGGGTACGCCATTCCTCTTCACTTAGTTTAGAAAAAATGGGCGAACTCTGTAGAATTATTTTGGCATATTAATATTGGAAAAGCGTCGCTTAAATTTGGGTTCTTTATAAGATTTCTGGAGTATGGATTTTTGAAGTAATACTCTTTCCAGTCGTTCGGTTCATAGTTTCCCATATATTTCTTAACATAACGTTCGCTTCGTTCACATTTAAGACGCCAAGTCGTATAATCGTCGCTTATCTGTTTCCAATATTTGCACACTAGGACGCATTTTTTAACGAGATCTTCGACAGGAACAAAGGAAAATATGATACAGGAAACTTCGAAAGGCAGAGCTTGCGTGGGGTCTTGTAAAGAAGCCATTATCGTGATTTTAAGAAAGTTTTTATTTTCCTGTAAGACTTCACTGTAAAATCTCGTTTATTTCGTGATATCGCGACCAACGCTAGAAAGTAACTGAATGCAAAGATGAAAATTTATGAATCACCTTTTTTATTCCAGAAGGTGTACTTCAATTCTGGCAAAAACACGCATACCTCTGTGTTTTATTTGCGTAAATGACGCCGTTTTCACGCGACACAAAGAAAGGTCACGCGAGTAGAAAAACATAAACTGTCACAATACCATACAACAACAGCGATAACAAAGCATTGTCTGGTATTGTGTATTTTACAGCCCAGGGGTAGAGAAGAAGAAGAACAAAAGGAAGAAAGGGTACGATGAACGGTGTTTAACGCTGCATTTGTTCTGACGTGGGTGAACGTTTACAACGTTCAACAAATGAGATAATATATTATGGCTTTCACTTATAACAGACAAACAGTGTTTAAAATATTTACAATGAGTGTGTGAAGTAATGCATTTGATTTGTTGTCCAATCCAACCAAATCACTTTTTGACGTATCACATTATTCAATGATTAGATCTAGAAATTTGTCAAAACTTCTTCAAACGGGCATTTACATGCCAAACCGCTAACCTGCATCAGGCTTACACCTTCCTTTAACTCCCAATGCCACCATTAATCTAATACCAAATCATCAATAAGAAACACAATCTTTAGCCAAGTGACCAATTCCATTACATTTGTAACACTTTTGGAGTGGCATGGGGCAGTCCTTAATGTGACCTGGCTTCCCACAGTCATAACACACATCCACCTCCTTTAAGCAATCACGGGCTTGATGACCTCGCATACCACATCGAAAGCATGAAAACTGCTTCCTTCTACCACTGCTGCAATCCTTTGCAAGGTGCCCAATGCCACCACAATTGTAACATACATTCCCTACAGATTTAGAATATTTAAAATAGCGCCTTAAATGAATGACAACAAAAAAGTTTTAAGCTTGATTAGACATTGCAAACCTCGATTGTTAAATATTGATATTCTCTCTGGCTCAGAACTCTCATCTTCATTTTCTCAGGACAATTGCTCGATACGTGACCAATCCTGCCACATCTAAAACATGATGCCATAATTCTATGGCCATTAATGCCATTTACACAGTCTTTTGATATATGACCTGGTTTGCCACATTTGTAGCATTTGGCTAGAAAATTTCAAATGGACATCAGCTCTAGTAAGTTCTTTCAAAACATAACAGTTTAAAAACTTAGAAAATGATGAAGTACACTGAGCTTCAATACCGTTCTCTTCAGGGCAATCTTTAGCTAGATGACCTGGCTCACCGCACTTGTAACATGACTTGAAACCTAAAAGTGATTATTTAATCCTGAAGACTGTAAAAATTTACACCTACACATCAGTAACTTAAAAACCCAACTACCTCCTCGAGATATGTTTCTAGGTTCGGGACAATTCTGAGCTATGTGTCCCATCTTGTGACAATTATAACAGGAAATCATATTTTCAAAATAGTCCAACATAGCTGAGAAAGAAAAATGAAAAATCCACAAAACATTTCAATAAAGACAACAATTTCAGTTTTCACTCAAAACCTACAAATTAGCTATTTTTAATTCTTTTCTAGCCTTTGTTTAGCTTCGCAACAACCTGTCAAAAAATATTGCAGTGTCAAAAATGTAACAATAACCAGTAAAATAATTTGACGTAATTGCAACATTAAATTTGCTAGTAAAATAGACTCTGTGGGATAAAGTTCAAAACTGACTTTGTAATCAGTGAACATTACATTAAATCAAAGTTACGTAGATGAAAATTTATTTACTACAATCATTGCCCTAAACGAACAGTCTCAAGTGAATGACCAAAAAAAAATCGAAATAACTCAATAAATGGAAGCGAAAGACTTTTCGAAGATCAACTCACGCGAATAATGCACGTGAAATAAAATTCAGATGCAGAGATGCGTTTCCAAGGCTTCGCAAGCACTTCACAATTCGTTAAGTAAGAACGACATATTCCATCGAGCAAGGAGCTGATACTACGACACAAATTGTAATGTTTACAACTCATCGATTTCATGTGACATGTGGCACTTCCTCTTTTCAAAGGATTTGACAGCTGGTTACCACGGTCACTGATCTCATTGTCATTGGCGATACTGGCTATACAGAGCATGCGCTGTAGGAGTAAATTTGTTTTATACAAAATTTGTCGCAATTATCAGTCTTAATGAGGGAAATGTAACACATTACAATTTACCACAAATGAACCATAAGGCGATGGAGGTCAGTTGCAAAAACTTCTCATATCACTTGCCAAAGTATCATCTTACTAGTGCCACTATAGAAGATAGCTTTCATATAAGAATTTTTCATTATTTTAATTAATAGTTTACTAAATTTTATTTAGTGAATTCTAACCACAAAATGTCAAAATATTAATGTTAATTTATACTTTGTTTTACAAGATGACTAAAAAAAACTGGAACACTCAGACCCAGATTTTGGCATGCATATCGAAAACGTTCACTGCAAAAATTAGTTTCATGCACTGACATGTATAACTCCAATACAATGGAAGACAATGAACTGTCAATCTTAACTAGTTATCATCAATATTTTTGGAGGAGCCCAGTTTAAATAAGCCTATTGGTTTCTTCTGCACTATGTATTTTTTTGTCAATGGCAAAATACACAAATTGAATTAATCTGTCAATGTATGAAACTAATTTGCATTTCATCATAATACTGTTTAATTTATGCTGTAAACTAATTTCATATGCATGCATAAATCTATGTATCGTGTTATTTTTGAGACACATAGTAGTTCACCACCCCACCATACCAGTCAATACATGCAGTGTGCGAATTAGTTCAGAAAAGACGATGTGCAATTTTTTTGACAAAAGTATTTCTTTACAGGCATAATCAAATCGATATTACGTTAATTATTATATAGTGCTAATTGCTAAATTAATATTTTAAACGTGAACAAATTCATATGATTTACGACAGTGTTTTTCGTTAAAACTGCTGATTTTTGCACATCGTTTGAAAAAGTGATGTGCAATTGTTTTCATTTTAGCTAAAACGATGTGCAAATTGCACATTGCACACAGTTAATTGCACACTGATACATGCATGGTGTGCAGTCAGTGCTGTAGAAGTGGGGGGCGCTTGGGGGAGGAGCCCCCCTTCTAACTTTGAAGAGGGTAATTTTAAAAGGGCACTATTGACAAAAACATCGAGAGAGCCCACCATCTGATAAATTTAGTTCTATAGCATGGTGTATGGTGTGTAGTCTACAAAACATTCATTTAAAAAAGATAACTATTGACTAATAGACCACAACACAATACATGTGAAACATGGAAGTAAAAAGAGAAAAATCATGATTTCAAAAGTAATTGTGTTACAGTAAACTAATATTTTACTCTCATTACGATACAAACTTTCCCTAACAATAAACATGTGATGCTTGCAACATAAGCAACTAACCATCCACAGCTAATTGCTGACAATGCAATCATCAAAATTTATGCATTTTTTATGTATGAAAAAATAAAGATCAATTTAATAAGACAATTTAACACCACCAAATAATACATAACGTTCAACAATAACTAGAAGTATCCTACATATAAATTACAAGAATTACATCTTGTTTATTCCAGAAATTAATCATGCTTTTCAATTCTTCTATATATTAGTTAATGCCATAAAATTGAAAATCATCATGTAAATTGATTCAATATCGAATATTGGCTTCGTTTTCAGTGCACTCTCTGGCAAAATGTCCTTGCTTCCCACATTTGTAGCATTCGCCACCACCTCGGCGACGATTCTCTTGTGGGCAATCGCGGGCTATATGGCCTTCACAGTCACAATTGTAGCATTTTAGGACTTGAGAAATCAAAAATGAATACAAATGTAAATTTTGATACATGAAACAAAATGTTACCACAATGGCTTTCTTAAGAACTGTAATGTTATCATAAAATTGTTGTATAATGTGCTAGTTTAGAGGCCTGCACAATATTATTATAGCAAGGTATAATATTACCATAACTGCTTAAAATGTATGTTTCCAGAACTGGCTAAGAGGTATAATGTTACCATAACTGCTTTAAATATACAATATTACAATAATTGCTTAAGCGATATACTGTTATTGTAACTGCTTAATTGGTTTAACACTACCATGAATGGGTTGAATGTATAATATTGGCACGACTGCTTTGAATGTATGATATTACCATAGCTGCTTATGAAGCATAAAGTTATCATAACTACCTTAACTGCCAAAGATCTATACATTACCATAACTTCTCAAGAGGTATCATGTTACAATAACTGCTAAGCTATAACACTACTATATCAACTGCTAAAGAGTTATAAAATCACCATAACTTCCTGAGAGATATGTTACCATACGTAATTTCTAGAAGCCATACATACGCTATGTAAATGCTCGAGCATGTTAAAATAATTTTTAACATCACATGACGACATCTTCAGGGCAATTAGTATCACTATGAATTTTTCATGTTTTAAAGTGATGAAAGATAAGAGTTATCCAGGTTCAATTTTTTTCTTTACCTCTTTCCTTGGTGCAATCTCGAGAGAAATGCCCAACTTCACAGTTATAACAAGAGCTACCTAAAAGAGATCAAAAGTATTTGGTTTTAGTTTACAGAACCTAAGTATTCAATACCCCATCTTAAAATTCACAGACATTCTGACCATCCTATCATAAAAAACTGTAAGTTAATTCACTGAATTGCACAATGCAATTTCTGGCAAAACCATCAGGGCACATTGTAAAGTAGGTTCAAGGCCATCTCAATTTCACAACTAAACTCTGGAGTAGAAAAAATGCAATATTGCTAAACATTTTATAAAATATACCTCGTCCACCACTAGAACCGCGACGTGGTCCACGAGCTCCTCTTCCACCATCACCATCTGGGCATTCACGGGCAAAGTGTCCCGTTTTACCGCATTGATAGCATGTAGACATGTTCTCAAATTTAAAATTCCTGTAAAAAATAGTTTTTGGCTCTTTGAAATTCGTTTTGACAAGCAATACGATAAACTTTGCTGACTGAGAAAATAAGACGAAGGATACTTTGACAAAACACGCACACACATAAAGGTCTCACAGCACTCCTTAAGAATAAAAACATTTTCTTACCTTCAGAAGAACTTCGCTCGTGTGCTTCGTATTGCGTGCCAAAGCGGACAAGAAAAGTGATTGAAACTTGCACAATTCTTGAAATAACCACTCAAATATTAACACAAATGTCTGCAGCACGATGGCCGTGAAGTCTACAGTGGTTGCGTGTCGTTAAAAACCGAATATTCAAGCTGATTTCTTTCGTTGTTAGTTGGAAACCCAAAGACCATGTGCCTTTGCCTGTAAATGACTTTTCGTGGTAAACGCATTGTTTACCCAAAATGCTTCATGAGCTTTGGCATCGTATACAGAGGCAAACTTTTAGAATTTTTTCTTAATTGCAACTTTTCACACGTTTAATTAGCACTAATTAATAAATGTGCCCAATTAGCGCTGACACGTGTTTAAGAATCTCGCTGAAAGTGCTGAAAGGTACTTTGCAAGTAATAAATATTGGAAAGTTGAAATTTTTCGATACTTTGGTCAAAATCGAGAAAAACAGTTTAATATAACTTTTACTCAATCCCATGGAAAAATTAAGTTCCTCACAAGTCGTTAATTGGCAATAGTCAAATCATCACACACAAACTATGCAATTATTATTTGAAACTAAGTAGCGAGTAAGAGGCTAGGTTAAGGGAAATAAAAGTAAAACAGCTTTAGTAGAGTTTGGAGAGCAAATCCGGTTTCCTTGTTATGTTGAATTTGCCGCTATTTTTTATACTGTGAGCCCGCTGCAATTTCCTTTACCGGCCAAACACCGCGTGCAGTCACGGCAGTTAAACTGCAGTTGTAGAAGAGGGATTTTGCTACCAAATGCCATTTTAAGAACTAACTAGTTATCGTCAATATTACCGAGCAAAATTGAATTAGCAAAGCACTAATTTTCGCACAATCCACTTGCTAAAATGAAGCGTTTGCCCCCGCTGAGACATGTTATGTTATTTTGGTAACCATGGATATTTCCTTGCTCCGTTTCCCAAATAGTATTCGAAGAATCATGACGCAATAATATTGGCTCAAATATGGAATTAAGAATGACCAAATCTACTTCCAGTGCACAATTTTTCAGTCAAAGACGAAGATCCACTTGAATTTAGTTGTCTTTCAGAAAGCAAGGCGTTCGTGACTTCGAGAGCAGTTTATTTTACCAAAAAAATGCCTGCCCATGGACACACGAATTCTCAACGACATTGGTCGAAAAATGTCAGGGATGTCTGCTTGTCTCACGATAGTTTGCAATTGCAAATAGCAGGTGGCGCAGAAAGCGGAGAATTCCTTTATATCGCCGGTCCACCGAAGGAAAAAACACGTTACAAAATTGGACGGTTTTCCATCAACGATATTTTGATAGAAGTAAACGATGAAGTTGTGGCAGGTTTGACCCTGCGAGATTTAATGAATCGCATCAACTGCGCTGGAAAGAAAGTCAATTTTAAAGTTGTTCAACCAGGTAGGATTCGCTCTATTTGGGTACGCTGTGTAATTGTACGCAATCTTAATGTGAACGTGTCATTTCAAATCGTTTATATATGCTAAGCTAAATTATTAGGTGAAATATTTTACTTTTACTACGAAATAAATGATATATTTATGTTAAGGAATTCGAAAAATTTTTGCTTTAAGGAAGAAGAGATAACGTAAGCGAGTGAATTTGCCATTAATTATTTTATTAAATATGTTTAATTATGGAAACCACTGTACTGTCCTAAACTACAAACGAATCACGACACAACAACGGAATTACAAAAACACAAATGCATCCGCACTGTAAACGCTTCCTAGCCTTTCTTTGGTCAAGGAAAAGAACGAAGAATATAAACATAAAACATTAAGAAATATAGAAAAGTTTGCAATTTTAATTTCCCTATAAAGCTGAAGCTTTCAGGTTCTTTTTTTAGGAATGTGATAATATTGTAATATTGCCTTCTAAGCAAATTCAACGAGTGTTTTTGTACAGAAAGAGCTGAAGAGTCTTTTAATTTCATATTTATTAATGTCTTTATTGTGCCAATTAACACATCCTGTGTTTATCTATCGCCTAGGAGGTGGAATCACCAAAGATTTGCGAGATTTTTTGAGTCAAGATTTTCCTAACACGAGCGAAGTGGATCTTTATTTGCAGGACGAAACAAGAGAAAATTTGTACGCGAGGACGGTTCCTTGTAAGTTAATGAAACTCGTGGGTTTTTATTTAGGCATTTCTTTTCCGTGAGCGATCTGAGTTGGATTCCTATATTGGTTTCATACTCCAGTCTAGTATCCTCTCAAGAAACGATCCGATATTGAAACTCGAGATTTCAATACATGCAGTGTAGCATTTCTATCGGAAATGATATTATGTTGAAGCTGAAATTCTTTCATGACGTTTTGTTTCAGCTATTTGAATACTCATGAGTACTTTTCTTCATAAATTAATTCTAATTTCACTGAAAGCTTTGTAAAGAATGAGTGCGAATGGTGCGAATTTAAGTCTATTCTATTGTCTTCACTGCCCAGCAGTGATGTAATATCGAAACTTGAGTCATCTGCAGTCTTGTGTCAGTAATGAAATGTTGAAACTTGAGTTCTAACACACTTCCGTCTAGTGTCTTCATCATGTATATTCGTTGTAACATGTCTTGCTATTTTTCAATTACGTTAGATACTACACGACCACCTCGAAGTGGCGAAGAACCAGGAATTGACTACATGTTTATAAGCCGAGAAAAATTTCTGGAAATGCAAAAGCATGGTGATTTTCTAGAAAGTGGAAGCTACAAAGATCATTATTATGGAACGCCCAAGCCTCTACTTGGCCATTCTGTGGTAAAAGACAAATCAAAGCAGACGATCAAAGAAGAGTACAAAACAGACAGTAATTCAAGCGTCGTTGCTGAGAACGAATGAAATTGTCATTTGCAGGACCAATTAAATCAAAAAGACAACAATTGTTTAACTATTCGGCAGACTATGGGAATTGGTTCAACTATTGCTGTTGAATGACTGGCAACGAAATTTCAGTAAAATTTTACAACGTTTTTTTACGTTGTCCATGTTTAAAGAACTTGCGCATTCATTATAAAACATGTCAATTAAATTATGCATAAAATGCGTCATACATGCAAGTTACTGAACAGATCAACATTTTAATGTCATTTATGTTTGCGTTTTTTCTATTATGTAATTTATTTATATGAATAGAAACATTTTATTTAGTTTCACGCTAGAGTACATAAAAATTGATGTTAATGTTGAAAAATTACTGATAATGTCGTATATGGTTTCGCTTTGTGAGGAAAAGCTTTGATTGGTGGATAATTATTACAAAAATAAAGTTAAAATTGCAAAGACCAATGATGTTGTCTACTGCAAATTTTAACTAGACATCCAAGTATACTTTTTGACAAGTACTGCCATTTGCGTTCAACTGGTAGCCGTCCCGAATTTTCGCGTTTGTTTACGTTTCAAACGTCACGTTTGTCAGACGAAACGTCGGGTTTCAAATTAGAAACGTAACGTTTGCTCAGAAATGTGTAATGTTTGCTCAGAAATGTGTAATGTTTGCTCAGAAATGTGTAATGTTTGCTCAGGAATGTTTAACATTTTAAACAGGTTTCAGTCATGTGATTAACATGTTTATACGATTTTACAATGATAAAATGTCGTAGCAACTGAAAATTACATCTGTATACCTTAGGCGATTTGCAAAGTTTGATAATTGATCATATAATATTAGAAAGAGCTGTTATACAAATTTAGAAAGAGCGATTTGAACAAATGTAACGTTTACCAGTTGAAACCCCCGACGTTTCGTCTGACAAACGTGACGCTTGAAACGTAAACAAACGCGAAAAATTTACGACAGTTACCAGTTGAACGCAAATGGTAATATTTTAGAGATGAAGATTTTGTTTAGTCCCGAAGTTTAGCAATGTTGAGAAAACCCTTTGACAAATCTTTAAAAACTTTCGCAATCTTTACATGATATAAGTATACAAACCGCTGTCCGCTAATAATACGGAATGGGAAAAAAACATCTTTGGAAATTTTCCGTATGCGCCTCCTTTTGATGGATGCCATTTACTTAATCCCGATTCAAGATAATCATATCACAAAGAAGCAAAAATGGTGAGTAAAATGCTTGGTAAAATGTAAGCATGGTAAACTAAGTAATGATGATTACTTTCTTGTTTTGTATACTCTTCTCTGTTATAACTATAATATATATAATAAATATATAATGTACATATTCTCTTCTCCGTTGAACATGTATGTAACATATATCCTCTCTTCTCTGTTTACATAGCTACGCCGACAAGCAAGACAGAGAAGAGAGTATATATATAAGAAGTCTATAGAAGATCAAGAAAGGACAACATATGAGAGAAAGAAACGTCTAAAACACGCTCTACAAGGCAAGGTTTAATACTCTGCTGTTCTCTCTTCACGTTTGTTCTCTCTTCACGCCGCTTTAAATCATCTCTGCCGCTTTAAATCATCGTTAATAAATTTGATTGCTTAATGTAGAAGGAAAACCAATTCCTACTGAACTAAGAAATGACGAAGCCGAGCTACGGAAAGCCATTGAATTTGATGACGAAGCTCATGAGAGTAAGGACTCATTTGACATCATAGCAAACATTGGCAACTGATAAGATTGCATTAGAATTTAGAATTTTGATTTCAGTTGGACTGGACAGACTTCAAAGTTTTGAAGACACAGTTGTGTTTTTTGCTTATTGTAATTTTAGATGCTACGACACATGAGGATGATGAGTATGCCTGGGCAGGAGTTGAAGATCCAAAGATCATGATCACAACATCTCACTCACCTAGCTCTCGATTGAAGCAATTTGCCAAAGAGCTTCGACTGATCTTTCCAAACAGTCAACGTCTCAATCGTGGCAACTATGTTATGAGTCAGCTTGTTCAAGCTTGTCGAGCAAATGATGTTACGGACTTGATCATTGCCCATGAACATAGGGGAGAACCAGGTTTATGTTACTGAATAAGTTATCTACACACTTATAGGAAATTCTGATATTTTTGCTCCATGTTTCAACCTTACTTTCAAGTTATTTTTATTCCTTTCTTACTAATCTATAGCCAACCCTATATTACACACCTATTGCCAACTTCATATTACATAGCTGTTGCCAACTTCATATTACATAGCTATTGCCAACTTCATATTACATAGCTATTGCCAACTTCATATTACATAGCTATTGCCAACTTCATATTACATAGCTGTTGCCAACTTCATATTACATAGCTGTTGCCAACTTCATATTACATAGCTTATTGCCAACTTCATATTACATAGCTGTTGCCAACTTCATATTACATAGCTGTTGCCAACTTCATATCACACACTTATTGTCAAACTTCATTTTACACACCTATTGCCTACCTCCTAGCATTGAAGATCAGCATTTCCAAGTGCAATATCCTAACTATAAACTATTAAACCTTAAAACAATTACTTTTCAAGATGGTCTTGTTGTGTGTCATCTTCCCTATGGACCAACTGCCTACTTCACGTTGTCAAACACAGTTATGAGACATGACATCCCAAATATTGGAACCATGTCAGAAGTTTATCCGCACTTAATCTTTCACAAGTGCTCATCAAAACTTGGAGAAAGGGTAATCAATTTATCTGTGGTTTATTGATATTTATCTTTGGTTATCGGTGGTTATTTGTGGTTGCCCATGTATAACTGTGGATATGGTTATCTGTGGTTATCCATGAATAACTGTGGATATGGTTATCTGTGGTTATCCATGGATAACTGTAGTTATCCAATGATAAATGTGTTTATTTCTGATTTTCTGTCGTTATGGCTATATCTAAGGGCATCTTTGGTTATCCATATGGTTTTATGTGTTTACTGTTTTAGGGATATCTAAGGTTTTCTGTGGATATCCAATTCACAGATCCAAGTTATGATTAAAAACTTTAAGTTTTTTATGAATTCTATTTTCAGGTCAAAAACATTTTGAAATATTTATTTCCTGTTCCAAAGGACGAAAGCAAGAGAGTTGTAACCTTCGCCAATCAAGACGACTACATTTCATTCAGGTTGGCGAACACAACTTTTATAATATGCCCGCAAACAAAATTTCAAGCTTTATGCGAATAAGTAAGTTCTTTTTTTCAGACATCATAGTTATAAAAAAGTTGATGGAAACATCGAACTCTCCGAGATTGGACCAAGATTTGAAATGAAAGGTTACTCAATAGAATTCGTGATTGTCGCATTCTTTTTCGTGCAGTTCATAGTTGCATTGCTGGAACGTTTTAAGCATTGTGTTTATTTTGATGTTGCAGTTTACGAAATTCGCTTGGGAACAGTGGACCAATCAGAGGCCGACGTGGAATGGAGGCTAAAGCCTTACATGAACACGTCAAAGAAGCGAAAGTTCTTGGAGTAAACCAACAGCAATCGCTGTCATCATAAATTTAGTATTTATAGGCATTGAGTCGTGTTCTTTAATAAAAAATCTTCTAAGTAAGACATGTACACAAAGACATTGGCCTTTTTTGTTATAACGCGAATTTTAACAAGAAAAACTCGGAAGAACGATCGTACGCATAATATGTACAACTTAAAGCAAAATACATACTTTTGTTGAATTCTTCTTTTGACGCCCGTTTACCGATTCTATACTTTCGCCTTCATTGTTGTTCTTACCTTTAGAATCAAGCGATTCTTCGATCCTCTGCATCTGATTCTCAAGCTCTTTATACTCGCGTTCCATTTGTCGCATTTTCTGGTCTTTCGCCTCGTCATCCTTCGCAAACCTTTTCAAACGAAGTTGTAGATCTTTTACCTTCTGTTCCGCCAATTCACGATCTCTATTCGCTTCGGCTAACTTCTCTTCAAGATGCGTTTCGTTCTCACGTTTAGTTATCAGTTGACGAGTCAAGTAATCTGAATGTATTGTGAGTGAAAAAATTTGAGATTAGTTGCACTTTTCGACGATATCAAGCTACTTTTTTAAATCTATAAATTTGGCTGACTCGTGTCAATCATGTTAAATGTTTGTAGAAGTCGACTATTCAAGTTTAGAGGAGTTCTGACATGAGAAGAACTGTTGATGTTGATTGACGATTCAACATCCTGAACCGTAGTCATCATCGAAGCCACGTGACTCTGACGTCAGTACAAACACTAACAGTCCTTTTTTCGATTGCAAAAGCCAGGACTATCTACTTTTAAATACAAGTAACGGTACTCGTCACTCACATCGTTATTATGTAGAATTTATTAATACAGAACGATGATTGGCTAAAATACGCTTTAAAAATAGGCAACGTAAACACAAAACCTTCCCGCTCTTGAAATCTTAAGTATTGAGAATTTACTATGTCAGTGTCAAAAACATTTTTCTGTTGTCATTTACAGTTAGATCAACAATCGTTAATACAACGAATTTAGTTTGCAACCATACTACTAGCCTTGGGTGTATGAAAATCGATAATTGGGGGGGAGGTCATGCCACCATTGCACTAGAGTGATAGCCGGGGGGGGGCACATTGTTATACACGTTATATATGATTATATATTTCCATATGCACGATCCGTAGTATAAGTCTCTTTGAAATCCATTGTTTGCTACGCATTATAGCATATATATATAAATATGACCTACCCCCCAGATTATCGCTCTCCCTACATCTACCCTACCAGACTACCTCGACTGATGTAGGAAGATGAAAAGAAATCGGCACAATACAAATAAAACATGAAGTAAACGGGCATACCTGTTTGAACTCTATACACAGTAGAACCACTACCGATTCTTTCACTCTTTCCTTTCATTTCATTACCGGATGAAGAATTATTATCGTTACCAAACACCTCCACATGAGCCTTAACGTCATGACTGTTTTCACAGCTAATGATGTCCTTCTTGGTGCCGTTGTTCATCTCTTCTTTAGATAGTTCAATACCTTCATCAGAACCACTTCCCTTCACTTTTATTGATTTTCCATCTAATTCATCGTTTCTCTCTACTGAATTGTATTCATCCATTTCACTAGAACTCGCAACGCAACTATCAGAATTATCGAAATTAGAGGAAGACTTTAACTGAACATGGTTTTCCTCATCCATTGCGCCAGAACCATCGTTCCCTTTTTCAGAATTTTCGTCGTAAATAATCCGTTTGATTCCAGAAGTACTCTCCAAATATTTCTCTTCATTTCTACGTTCCTCCTTCGGCACTTCAATAAGTTGCTCCTTCGAGATGTCAACATTTTTATCTTTTGAAATGTCAACATGTACTCCGTTCAAGACGTCGGAACCTTTCTCAGAAACTCCCCGTTCATTTTCCTCGGGTTTAACGCTTTCATTATATTTTACAGAATTTCTATCTACTAACTCGACATCTTTTTTCTCACTATTCAAACCGAATTTCCTTTCGTTTACGTCATCTGTCACATCAGGAATGTCATTGAGAATACGGTGGATATTATCGTTGGTTTTAGCATCATTCAAATCTAAGGAATGTTGATCAGAGTTATCACATTCCACTTCCATTGTCCCATTTTCTCTATTCTTCACGTCTTTTTCTGAAAATTTAGCCAAAATTTCACACCCTTCTGTCTCACCTGTTTCATCAACACTATAATTTTTTTCACCTGAAACTTCAACATTATCAGCAACACCACTTTTCTCATCAGGAACTTCTACAACATTCTCAACAACATCACTTTTCTCATCAGGAACTTCCACAACATTATCAACAACATCACTTTTCTTATTAGGGACTTCCACAACATTTCCAACAGCATCACTTTTCTCACCAGGAACTTGCACAACATTATCAACAACATCACTTTTCATATCAGGAACTTCCACAACATTATCAGCAACATCACTTTTCTCATCAGTAACTTCCACAACATTATCAGCAACATCACTTTTCTCATCAAGAACTTCCGCAACATTATCAACAACATCACTTTTCTCACTAAGAACTTCCACAACATTCTCAACAACATCACTTTTCATATCAGGAACTTCCACAACATTATCCGCAACATCACTTTTCACATCAGGAGCTTCCACAACATTATCAACAACATCACTTTTCACATCAGGAACTTCCACAACATTATCAGCAACATCATTTTTCACTTCAGGATCTTCCACAACATTATCAGCAACACATTTTTGTTCGGCAGAAATTTCCACTTTGCTGTTGGCAATATTATTTTCTTCATCAGTAACAGTATCTTCCACTGGTAGGGTATCCTCCTCACCTTTGCCCTCGGTCTTTGCAATAGAAAGGCTACTTTCAGTCCCATTTTCTAGAGCTTTTCCATCTTTGCATTCACTAGTTCTGTCAACAGTCGACTCTTCCCTAATCCCCTGATTAACGACAGGATCGCTTTCACTTGTAGCATTTCTTTCTTCACGAGAAAATGACCCTGACGACATACTTTAGAGCGTCGCTACTAGGGCTGTAAATATGTAACTAGACAATTAAAGATATGAACATATATTTTAAGTGCAATTCTCAACACGTTACGCCGAAACATTAAATACATTTTTCCAGGCACATGATTATTTCATGTCCACAAAAAATTCACACCTGGAAAAATAAAGCGAACGAGGTACCAGAACTCGGTATTTTTTACTTCTTCAATCGACCCGATCGCTCAACTTTACTTCGCGACCGACACAGTTCAACATGGGTTCAATAACTTGTCCGTTTATGTCTTTGTATTGTTAAACAAATGTGCACGTCACAGTTCTACTTGAAATTTTCTTGAAGAGCTCGCTGTCAGGACAGCTGAAATCAAACAAAGAAGAGAATAGACAAAAATTTTGATTATGCCAAATGGTTCAGAGGCCTTGAAGAATAATTGAAAGCGTCATTATCCCGTATGTTCAGTTACATTAATTGATTATTTGACAGAATGTGAAGGATGTTTGGGATGTTTAATTGCAAGCGTCGTGCAGCGTTACTCGGGGTAGTATGTCTAATTCCATTTAGTATGTTGAGCTTTTATTTCGTCCATGAGTCGAAATGCAGCTAGGAATACAGAGTTTAATAGTACAATGTGATAGATGACATCTTTCGGACTTTTGTCCACATGTTAATGATTAGTAACTTGACAATGTTATTATTACATTGAAATATCCTGTTTTGGTCATAAGATGGATGCATAAAATGCAAAATCATTCAACATGGCTCTCTTGCTTCAGTTAAGAAGTAAACATCGAATACGACCATTGTATTGTTTTTGTCGTAAAATTCTGCTCGCAGTAACGAAGAATACTTCCAGACTGACCAATTTAACTATTCTGTTTTATCTTAGAGCTCGATGGTATGTCGCACAAAGAGGGTAGATTCTCTCATTGAAGACGGTGGTTTAAAAACAAGTAAGGTATACAGTTACCAATAAATTATTATTTTTTAAATTTAGGGGCTATCTAAGTTCCAATTTCAGCAGGAATTAAAAAACAATTAGCGACGTTAAAAAATTGTACTTACCAAAAGTATTCACTGAATACTGCTTTGAACCATCATCAGTACATGTAGTGCTATATCGCAGCGAAACACCAGTCTTTAGCTCACCACAGAGTTGGCAAAAACCAAAAAAAAACAAATACGAGATTTCACGCTTCCTGTCGACATGGAAACGTAAAAAGGAAAACATGCGTTTGGTGGGTGGTCTGCCATAGAAACAATTCAAACGATGGCTTGATAACGATCAAAAAGGATTATCGGAGATCACTAGATTGAATAAAGGGGAACTGAAATGTAAATAAAAGACGATTTGCGAGCTGTGATTGTTTGACTTCGGTTTTTTGTTAGCATGTAGAACAATGATGGCTTTAATTGCATCATATGCAGTAGTCAAACACAGATGACATGAAATGTTTTCACAAAAACAGTTTGCTATCACACGGACAATAAATGAGAATAAGCTGTCTAAGGCTGCATCCTTACCTGAAGATTAATATCGTTTGATTTCAATGTTTGTCTTGTTTCCGCCACTGAATTATATTTGTGTGAAAAAGCCAGTTCATTTTCAAAAGACTTCGGTCGGGCACAATAGAATATGTGAATATACACCATCACCAGCCCCCAAATTAACGTTCTGGCGACAGCCTTGTATAATGCTAAAACTTTTTGTTTTATATTTCCAAAGTTTTTACGATCATCCGCAAACACTGTAGTTTAGAGATATAATTTTAAGACAAGAAGACAAGTTCGTGGACGTACATCGTCCAGGTTAGTGGAGTCCTGAGAAGGACTGTTTTTGTTGATGTAGACTGACGTTTCGACAACCATAGCGGTAGTCTTCTTCAGAGTCAAGGAAAGTTGCAGAACGAAACTTACCATATAAAATATTATATTTATTTATAAACCTAAACTCCTGCGGCACATGGCCGACATCACGCCATCTTTGACTTCTGCATCCTCTTCATCTAAAAAAAAATCATACAGCAAGCTAGCGGCAAAACAAAGAACACCCATATTGTATATACGCAGCGTTTTCTTCTTCCTAACCTTAATGCTTAGTCATTTGTCCGTAAGTCAAATGAAAAAACAAGATACATCGTATCTTGAAGAAAAACAAAAGTTACTAGCAAGATAAAAGACACATAAACATGGCGTTGTTGTCTTCTTGAACTTCGTACTCGTGTCCTTAAAGAAAAATAGAAAAACAATTTAGTGATCGGATGAACCTGAGCGAAAAAGTGGCTGCATTTTTTTTAATATTCCTCTGATGCTTTCTTGCAAATAGTCTCGATACACACCTAGATTTCACTTTTCATACACAAGCATTTCAGAAGAGTGAAAAGAACCTGATGTAAATTCTACAGAAATAACAATTTTAAAACAATCAGGACTGTCGTAATCTTCACTAAAATAACTACAGAGCGCAAATAGAAAGGACCTATTCTCAGATCTTGTGTGGAGAAAAACAGTTAGTCAATCTAATTCTTTAAAAAAAGGAATAATTAATCACGAACAACGGCAAAAAACCTTATTCATTGTAATATGTTAGGCAGCCACGTTTTAGCGTAATGTTGCGCAGTGGAGCGAGTCTGCATGTTTGGTTGAACCATGCAAATTTCAGATCATTGGATATCTTGATTTCATTGTACGACCAAACATGCAGATGACTGTTCCAGAGTATTTTCGTCAAAACAAACTGCTTAGCCTTTGATAAGTACTTCTCACAATGAATATCAGTTTAGCTTGTTTTGAAAGGCCAAAGTTCGATACTAAGCATTCTTGAAACGAATTTTATTTGCCATGTTTTAGGAACATTTTTCTAAGAAACTTTGCACTATCCTTGGATCCCTGTTTTTAAGATAAAACGTTAGTCAGAGGGAAAAGAGGGGGGCATTTTTCCCTAAGAAGATTATGGTCAAGAAGAGACAAATTTCATAGCGTCATAGCTTGGCTCTCTGTATTTGGATACAGCCCATAAATTCATAAAGGTTGTTTTAACTTGGATCACACTTTAAGCCGTCATCTAGTTTACATTCATATTTCACTTACGTTTAAATTACGATCAAATTCGATCCAGAGTTCCATGACGAACAAGTCACAAGGTCCACCATCTTTTCAGACTGCACGCCACAATGACAGCTAAGATTAACTGAATTAATATCATGTTTTCGTGCTCTTGACCACTCCAAAAAGTAAAGTTCTTGCCCAATAGATATGCTATCGTTTATTAGCGCTTTATTTCAGCGTTAATCAGGTGAAGAAATGTTTGAAAAGTTTCTCAGATATCATAACGAACCACAACACAGCTCGATTAAAGTAAAAGTGTATGAAAGCAAAGCCACGCTGCCTCGGTATAGACAAAAACAGTAGTCCCACTGTATAGAATAGTTTTGCGTAGCTCATATCTTATTATGCATGTGATTAACATAGTGGCAGCCTTTAAAAAGCATTTTCTGACCAATAGGAGCGTTTAGGTGGCTAGTTACAGCCAGTAATCTAATTATGTACAGCAGCAAGTTGCACGGTTGAGTGAGACTACTGTTTGTTTCTATACTGTGGCAAAGCTATCATGAAATCGCCGGACAAGAAAAAAGTTGAAACCAAACACCAATGAGATTTATTATTATTTTATCATTTGTAGTTGATACACACAAATTTCAGCGCAAACTATAATAAACTTATTCCTTTGGGAAAACCTTTTCAATCACAAATCGTAAAATAAGTCTTTAGGTTTTAGCTTCAAGTTTTAATTCAAACGTCGAACGTTACTTGAACTTTACATAAACCGAACGCATTAAAAAAAAAAGATAATGAGAAAGTTCGTCCCATTTTCTTTTGTCTTTAATGCGTTCGTCGAAAGTAAAACTCGACGTTTGAAACAGGCCTAACTTGATAATAAATAATTTCTTAGTAGCAGCTAGTTTAAAAAACATTTCGAAGCATAGTATACATACATTGGAAGCATGTTTTCTTCATTACATATAGCGGAGGCATGTTATTGCCAAAAAAATAATGTATAAATTTGCTTAAATCTATGTATGATTGTTACAGGCTGATCCACTTTCAGCTCGAAAATTGTGGGTGTTTTATCAATGCATCGCCAACGAATGGTAAACAATTGCTAATTATTTTATTAAAACTTGCTCAAGCTCATGTCATTCATTCAAAGATGGGATTTCTAATGTTTGTAATGAAAAAAAGATTTTGTAATGAAAACAAATGGCTGCAATGTTTGCAATGAAAAAAAAACTCTAATGTTTGCAATGAAAAAACGTGCCTCCAATGCATGTAATGAAAAAATATTCCTCCAATGTATGGCATGAAAAAATATGCCTCCAATAGTGATTTTGGGCAGGCCAATGAGCTATCATCTTGTCCTTTTTTAAAATAAACATACATAGTCAAAGAAGTTTTTAGAATTCAAAAACTATATCATAGTTATAATTTAATTTTTACCCGATCAGTAAATAATATTCAAATTCAGTTTCATAAAAATCTATTGTATTGTTTATGGTAGAATTATTATCTGATGCAGCATCTAAAACTTGTGAAAAGTACCATATCACAGTCTCTCTCACCAGCAAAGCAATGAAGAAATCGTTGAACACCAGTTTTTCCATTAGCACACGTGCATCTCATTAATGTTTTACCTAAGAAATAATGTAATAATTCATTTATAATTTATCCTGCCTTGTTTCTTGCCAAAAGAAAATATAGCTACAATTTTTTTGCATCTATGTATGATTGTGTTTGGCAGGTCCCCCTTTCGCTCGAAAATTAGGGGTGTTCAATTCATCGCCAAACTTTGGCAAAAATTTGCTAAATATTTTATTTACGAAATAAAAGATGTTTACTGTGTTTGCACATGGTTTGCACAGGCTTATGCAAACTGAGGAGACCTTTGGGAAAACTCCAGAGCAGATCAATGCAAGCCCGAGACCAAAGGTCGAGGGTTGCACTTGCTCGAAAGTGCATGCTTGAGGGTTGCATAAGCCATTGAAAACACGAAAAAAATGTCTTATTTCTTTTATAAAATAACAATAATGAAATTATGGATAAGTAATCATTTACAATTCTCATCAATTATGGATAAATACAAGCTTAAATTAGTGCAAGTACGAATATTATTGATGAAGGTTTTAAGCACTGATTGTCAGCTCATTTTTCATTGTTTTAGAACAAGATGAACACTAGATAAATTAGCCTTGAAAATTTGTTTTCTTGTAACCTTTACTTATGCAGATTGCATGTCATTTTGCGTGAAAAATCTAAGACACATATGTTCATGATAACAAATTGTTTGACGTTTGTCTAAAATTCACTTCATACTTTCAAGTTCAGTCGTCATAAAACATATTAGATCACAAAGCTATATAACATATAGGCAAAACAACAAGCAATATTTTTATGCAGTTTTGATTATAACTTAAGCTCCTCTTCTACTTCAAAGAAAATTTACTTGGTTTTTCGACATCTTGAAAGAAATCGACAGGCGATGTTTTCGCACAGAGGACAAATGCCAAAAAAAGCATAATGTACTTCAAAGAATTCATTTCGTCCTTGCTACAACATAAAGGTAAAAACAGCTGAAAGAGATTAAACATCATATTAAGGCACTGAAAACATAGTATAAGAGTTAGTTGATAACTTAACATTGCAACAACAAACCATGAAGCATGAGATTTAGTTTCAAGTTACACATACGAAACTCAGCCGGATAATTTGATACAATAATTGATGATTTTGCTAATTGATCTTCATTGAGATTAAAATTAAAATATATAAACCAAAATCATTTAAAATACTTTCAAATCTTTGCGCAAAACTATAGATAGAACACAACTAAATTTCTTTTGACTTCAGTAGGTTTAAGAAACCTATAGCTGAATGGCTTGATAACTTAGCTGAATCAAATGGCAAACTCAAGTTTAGAAGAAAAACCTCATGATCATAAAAAAAGACATAAATCGTGAAAGCGTGATAAATTATATGTAAATAAAGTTTTAAAAGAATGCAAATAAGCTAGCACAAATACTAGTAAAATATCAAAATTTCAAGATGAATAAATAATGAAACAACTTTAAATTGATTTGTTCCTAGCTGACAAATTCAATCACAAAACACGTATGAACACTACTTACAAAGTCAAAAATCACGTCAAGTTTTATAAGTCAAATATTTCACATTTTCATATTGAATGCAAAGATACAAGACATTGAAATTAGTTAGTGACAACAATAAGAATGTAATAATAGTTGTTATGAGATATAAAATTTGCAGCAATCGACTGATTTACTTCAGATCAAAGTCATTAAATATTAAAAAGTTGCTTACCTTGGCCAACTGACTTAATCAACAAAACAGACAAGACTCTACGAAAATAAACTACCTGAGTGTAAATTTATGGATGATATAGACACGATGAAGTCTCGATGTAAATAAATTGCTCATGATTGGAGTTTTAGGTAATATAGCTAGCTGTGCATTGAAGGATTAAATTTTTTACATGACGCTCTCGTGTTTGGAAAACTCTCGTGATGAAATTATGCAAATCACAAGATACGCAAGTTTTCAAAACAAATTTTCTCTTCAACTCTATATGCTAACTTTAAACCGTTTTATTAGAAAACTGTTTTGAAACAAAACTATAGCAAATATGGTTTACAGAGAGAAGAAACATTTAAAAGTGGCGATAATTGTAAAGACGTCACCTTTGATGCGAGGCTTGTGAGCACAGTCACATGACATGCAATCTAAGCCAGAGCGTTCACAAATGCAGAAAGGGTTGAACAATTACTTGGTCAAATAACTAAAAACATTTTCAAATATTAAGTAAATTGACGTAAATAATGTCAAATTTTAATTTTATTTGAACTATCTTAATTCAATCTACTTCATTTGGTAACTATATGCTTGGCAGGCTACTCACATGTATGCATTGCATCGCTATTTTGTTGCCGCATGTCAACACTGCTCCATGTCAACACTGCTCCATAAAGGTTAATGAAGGTGATCGTTCAACAAAGGTGACTTGAACAGTTGTTGTTTTACAAAATTCTCGGTATCTCATGACAGCGTAACCAGCTCTACCGCTTTAATCTGCCTCGTTCAATGAAGGTGACTTAAAGGCCTGTTAAGATACTTAATTGGTACTTAATTGGTAAAGAATTAAGTCAAGTGTAACTAACTAAATGATTACTTTAATGAGATACTTAGGTGCAATAATCACAATATTTTTTATAGTTCCTAATAGCTTTCTGTTGATTGTAAATTAACCATATTTAGTAAAGAAACAAATATATCCATACGTAATATCTTGTATAAATAGAAGTAGTTTAACCATTGTAAGATAGATCGTAGACCATAGACATTGACGTTGAACATTAAATGTGATCATAATAGTTATCGTTGATATCTCTATTTGTTGGTGTAAGTCAATATATACTAAAGAAGGTAGATGGCACATCACAAATCCTAACAGGCCAGAGATGTGAATATATGAATATATACTGCCCCAATTAACGTTGTACTTTCGCCCCTGCTCGTGGTGCTTAGCACACGCAACTCACCTAAAGTGCAGGGTCATTTCTTGTGATTTTTGCGAGCGTGCCGCACCGTGTGCGCGCGAATGCTGTGAGCTATCAGCACATTGGTAACTTCATATTCGTATTCATTCATCTTGCCAAAAGAAATATGAATGAAGGCAGTCACCGTTTAGTCGTTTAGCTTTCTCTTATGATGAAGAGGTATTTCTCTTCGTACTTGTGTTACAAAGAAGACAAAGATGTTTAAGGGATTTTTAAGCTGTTTGCCTCGTTTGTGAGTTTCAGTTTTGCAACTTTATTAGCAGTTTTGTCATAAGTAACGCTTTAGCGGCAAAGAATCCAAGACTTCGTGTATGTTTGTTGATTTTCAGCTGCAAAAGATGTTTGTTTCCTTAGTAAAAAAGACTTCGTTATCAAATGAAGGCAGACTATATCACTTTCCTCTTCTCTTGCTTTAAAATGTTCGGTACGATAAACATTCATATGACGACACATGAAACTACGCATGCGTATATGAAGGAATTACTGAGGTCTTATAAAATCAGTTAATTAAACATGCATTCGCGATTACAGAAACTATACGAGCACGGGCACAGTTCAACATGGGTTCAATAACTTGTCCGTTTATGTCTGTGTATTGTTAAACAAATGTGCACGTCACAGTTCTACTTGAAATTTTCTTGAAGAGCTCGCTGTCAGGACAGCTCTAATCAAACAAAGAAGAGAATAGACAAAAATTTTGATTATGCCAAATGGATTCAGAGGTCTTGAAGAATAATTGAAAGCGTCATTATCCCGTATGTTCAGTTACATTAATTGATTATTTGACAGAATGTGAAGGATGTTTGGGATGTTTAATTGCAAGCGTCGTGCAGCGTTACTCGGGGTAGTATGTCTAATTCCATTTAGTATGTTGAGCTTTTATTTCGTCCATGAGTCGAAATGCAGCTAGGAATACAGAGTTTAATAGTACAATGTGATAGATGACATCTTTCGGACTTTTGTCCACATGTTAATGATTAGTAACTTGACAATGTTATTACTACATTGAAATATCCTGTTTTGGTCATAAGATGGATGCATAAAATGAAAAATCATTCAACATGGCTCTCTTGCTTCAGTTAAGACGTAAACATCGAATACGACCATTGTAATGTTTTTGTCGTAAAATTCTGCTCACAGTAGGGAAGAATACTTCCAGACTGACCAATTTAAATATTCTGATTTATCTTCGAGCTCGATGGTATGTCACACAGAGAGGGTAGATTCTCTCATTGAAGACGGTGGTTTAAAACAAGTAAGGTATACAGTTACCAATAAATTATTATTTTTAAAGTTAGGGGCTATTTAAGTTCCAATTTCAGCAGGAATTAAAAGACAATTAGCGACGTTAAAAAATTGTACTTACCAAAAGTGTTCACTGAATACTGCTTTGAACCATCATCAGTACATGTAGTGCTATATCGCAGCGAAACACCAGTCTTTAGGTCGCCACAGAGTTGGCGAAACCCATATATATCACAATGGCGAGATTTCCTGCACCCTGTCGACATGGAAATGTAGAAAGGAAAACATGCGTTTGGTGTGTGGTCTGCCATAGAAACGATTCAAACGATGGCTTGATAACGATCAAAAAGGATTATCGGAGATCACTAGATTGAATAAAGGGGAACTGAAATGTAAATAAAAGACGATTTGCGAGCTGTGATTGTTTGACTTCGGTTTTTTGTTAGCATGTAGAACAATGATGGCTTTAATTGCATCATATGCAGTAGTCAAACACAGATGACATGAAATGTTTTCTCACAAAAACAGTTTGCTATCACACGGACAATAAATGAGAATAAGCTGTCTAAGGCTGCATCCTTACCTGAAGATTAATATCGTTTGATTTCAATGTTTGTCTTGTTTCCGCCACTGAATTATATTTGTATGAAGAAAGCCAGTTCATTTTCAAAAGACTTCGGTCGGGCACAATAGAATATGTGAATATACACCATCACCAGCCCCCAAATTAACGTTCTGGCGACAGCCTTGTATAATGCTAAAACTTTTTGTTTTATATTTCCAAAGTTTTTACGATCATCCGCAAACACTGTAGTTTAGAGATATAATTTTAAGACAAGAAGACAAGTTCGTGGACGTACATCGTCCAGGTTAGTAGAGTCCTGAGAAGGACTGTTTTTGTTGATGTAGACTGACGTTTCGACAACCATAGCGGTAGTCGTCTTCAGAGTCAAGGAAAGTTGCAGAACGAAACTTACCATACAAAATATTTATATTTATTTATAAACCTAAACTCCTGCGGCACATGGCCGACATCACGCCATCTTTGACTTCTGCATCCTCTTCATCTAAAAAAAAATCATACAGCAAGCTAGCGGCAAAACAAAGAACACCCATATTGTATATACGCAGCGTTTTCTTCTTCCTAACCTTAATGCTTAGTCATTTGTCCGTAAGTCAAATGAAAAAACAAGATACATCGTATCTTGAAGAAAAACAAAAAGTTACTAGCAAGATAAAAAGACACATAAACATGGCGTTGTTGTCTTCTTGAACTTCGTACTCGTGTCCTTAAAGAAAAATAGAAAAACAATTTAGTGATCGGATGAACCTGAGCGAAAAAGTGGCTGCATTTTTTTTAATATTCCTCTGATGCTTTCTTGCAAATAGTCTCGATACACACCTAGATTTCACTTTTCATACACAAGCATTTCAGAAGAGTGAAAAGAACCTGATGTAAATTCTACAGAAATAACAATTTTAAAACAATCAGGACTGTCGTAATCTTCACTAAAATAACTACAGAGCGCAAATAGAAAGGACCTATTCTCAGATCTTGTGTGGAGAAAAACAGTTGGTCAATCTAATTCTTTAAAAAAAGGAATAATTAATCATGAACAACGGCAAAAAACCTTATTCATTGTAATATGTTAGGCAGAATGGTTTTAGCGTAATGTTGCGCAGTGGAGTGGCGAGTCTGCATGTTTGGTTGAACCATGCAAATTTCAGATCATTGGATATCTTGATTTCATTGTACGACCAAACATGCAGATGTCTGTTCCAGAGTATTTTCGTCAAAAGAAACTGCCTAGCCTTTGATAAGTACTTCTCACAATGAATATCAGTTTAGCATTTTTTGAAACGCCAAAGTTCGATACTAAGCATTCTTGAAACGAATTTTATTTGCCATGTTTTAGGAACATTTTTCTAAGAAACTTTGCACTATCCTTGGTTCCCAATTTTTAAGATGAAACGTTAGTCAGAGGGAAAAGAGGGGGGCATTTTTCCCTAAGAAGAATATGGTCAAGAAGAGACGAATTTCATAGCGTCATAGCTTGGCTCTCTGTATTTGGATACAGCCTACAAATTCATAAAGGTTGTTTTAACTTCGATCACACTTGGCGTCATCTAGTTTACATTCATATTTCACTTACGTTTAAATTACGATCAAATTCGATCCAGAGTTCCATGACGAACAATTCACAAAGTCCACCATCTTTTCAGTCTGCACGCCACAATGACAGCTAAGATTAACTGAATTAATATCATGTTTTTGTGCTCTTCACCACTCCAAAAAGTAAAGTTCTTGCCCAATAGATATGCTATCGTTTATTAGCGCTTTATTTCAGCGTTAATCAGGTGAAGAAATGTTTGAAAAGTTTCTCAGATATCATAACGAACCACAACACAGCTCGATTAAAGTACAAGTGTATGAAAGCAAAGCCACGCTGCCTCGGTATAGACAAAAACAGTAGTCCCACTGTATAGAATAGTTTTGCGTAGCTCATCTCTTATTATTCATGTGATTAACATAGTGGCAGCCTTTAAAAAGCATTTTCTCACCAATAGGAGCGTTTAGGTGGCTAGTTACAGCCAGCAATCTAATTATGTAAAGCAGCAAGTTGCACGGTTGAGTGAGACTACTGTTTGTTTCTATACTGTGGCAAAGCTATCATGAAATTGCCGGACAAAAAAAAAGTTGAAACCAAACATCAATGAGATTTATTACTATTTTACCATTTGTAGTTGATACACACAAATTTTAGCGCAAACTATAATGAGCTTATTCCTTTGGGTAAACCTTTTCAATCACAAATCGTAAAATAAGTCTTTAGGTTTTAGCTTCAAGTTTTAATTCAAACGTCGAACGTTACTTGAACTTTACATAAACCGAAGGCATTAAAAAAAAAGATAATGAGAAAGTTCGTCCCATTTTCTTTTGTCTTTAATGCGTTCGTCGAAAGTAAAACTCGACGTTTGAAACAGGCCTAACTTTATAATAAATAATTTCTTAGTAGCAGCTAGTTTAAAAAGCATTACGAAGCATAGTATACATACATTGGAAGCATGTTTTCTTCCTCACATATAGTGGAGGCATGTTATTGCCAAAAAATAATGCACAAATTTGCTTAAATCTATGTATAATGGTCACAGCTGATCCACTTTCAGCTCGAAAATTATGGGTGTTTTATCAATGCATCGCCAAAGAATGGTAAACAATTGCTAATTATTATATTAAAACTTGCTGAAGCTCATGTCATTCTTTCAAAGATGGGATTTCTAATGTTTGTAATGAAAAAAAGATTTTGTAATGAAAACAAATGTCTGCAATGTTTGCAATGAAAAAAAAACTCTAATGTTTGCAATGAAAAAAAAACTCTGATGTTTGCAATGAAAAAAAAACTCTAATGTTTGCAATGAAAAAACGTGCCTCCAACGTATGTAATGAAAAACATTCCTCAAATGTATGGCATGAAAAAATATGCCTCCAACAGTGATTTTGGGTAGGCCAATGAACTATCATCTTGTCCTTTTTTAAAATAAACATACATAGTCAAAGAAGTTTTTAGAATTCAAAAACTATATCATAGTTACAATTTAATTTTTACCCGATCAGTAAATAATATTCAAATTCATTTTCATAAAATCTATTGTATTGTTTATGATAGAATTATTATCTGATGCAGCATTTAAAAGTTGTGAAAATTACGATATCACAGTCTCTCTCACCAGCAAAGCATTGAAGAAATCGTTGAACACCAGTTTTTCCATTAGGACACTTGCAACTCATTAATGTTTTACCTAAGAAATAATGTAATAATTCATTTATAATTTATCCTGCCTTGTTTCTTGCCAAAAGAAAATATAGCTACAATTTTTTTGCATCTATGTATGATTGTGTTTGGCAGGTCCCCCTTTCGCTCGAAAATTAGGGGTGTTCAATTCATCGCCAAACTTTGGCAAAAATTTGCTAAATATTTTATTTACGAAATAAAAGATGTTTACTGTGTTTGCACATGGTTTGCACAGGCTTATGCAAACTGAGGAGACCTTTGGGAAAACTCCAGAGCAGATCAATGCAAGCCCGAGACCAAAGGTCGAGGGTTGCACTGCTCGAAAGTGCATGCTTGAGGGTTGCATAAGCCATTGAAAACACGAAAAAATGTCTTATTTCTTTTATAAAATAACAATAATGAAATTATGGATAAGTAATCATTTACAATTCTCATCAATTATGGATAAATACAAGCTTAAATTAGTGCAAGTACGAATATTATTGATGAAGGTTTTAAGCACTGATTGTCAGCTCATTTTTCATTGTTTTAGAACAAGATGAACACTAGATAAATTAGCCTTGAAAATTTGTTTTCTTGTAACCTTTACTTATGCAGATTGCATGTCATTTTGCGTGAAAAATCTAAGACACATATGTTCATGATAACAAATTGTTTGACGTTTGTCTAAAATTCACTTCATACTTTCAAGTTCAGTCGTCATAAAACATATTAGATCACAAAGCTATATAACATATAGGCAAAACAACAAGCAATATTTTTATGCAGTTTTGATTATAACTTAAGCTCCTCTTCTACTTCAAAGAAAATTTACTTGGTTTTTCGACATCTTGAAAGAAATCGACAGGCGATGTTTTCGCACAGAGGACAAATGCCAAAAAAAGCATAATGTACTTCAAAGAATTCATTTCGTCCTTGCTACAACATAAAGGTAAAAACAGCTGAAAGAGATTAAACATCATATTAAGGCACTGAAAACATAGTATAAGAGTTAGTTGATAACTTAACATTGCAACAACAAACCATGAAGCATGAGATTTAGTTTCAAGTTACACATACGAAACTCAGCCGGATAATTTGATACAATAATTGATGATTTTTGCTAATTGATCTTCATTGAGATTAAAATTAAAATATATAAACCAAAATCATTTAAAATACTTTCAAATCTTTGCGCAAAACTATAGATAGAACACAACTAAATTTCTTTTGACTTCAGTAGGTTTAAGAAACCTATAGCTGAATGGCTTGATAACTTAGCTGAATCAAATGGCAAACTCAAGTTTAGAAGAAAAACCTCATGATCATAAAAAAAGACATAAATCGTGAAAGCGTGATAAATTATATGTAAATAAAGTTTTAAAAGAATGCAAATAAGCTAGCACAAATACTAGTAAAATATCAAAATTTCAAGATGAATAAATAATGAAACAACTTTTAATTGATTTGTTCCTAGCTGACAAATTCAATCACAAAAACACGTATGAACACTACTTACAAAGTCAAAAATCACGTCAAGTTTTATAAGTCAAATATTTCACATTTTCATATTGAATGCAAAGATACAAGACATTGAAATTAGTTAGTGACAACAATAAGAATGTAATAATAGTTTTATGAGATATAAAATTTGCAGCAATCGACTGATTTACTTCAGATCAAAGTCATTAAATATTAAAAAGTTGCTTACCTTGGCCAACTGACTTAATCAACAAAACAGACAAGACTCTACGAAAATAAACTACCTGAGTGTAAATTTATGGATGATATAGACACGATGAAGTCTCGATGTAAATAAATTGCTCATGATTGGAGTTTTAGGTAATATAGCTAGCTGTGCATTGAAGGATTAAATTTTTACATGACGCCTCGTGTTTGGAAAACTATCGTGATGAAATTATGCAAATCACAAGATACGCAAGTTTTCAAAACAAATTTTCTCTTCAACTCTATATGCTAATTTTAAACCGTTTTATTAGAAAACTGTTTTGAAACAAAACTATAGCAAAATGGTTTACAGAGAGAAAAACATTTAAAAGTGGCGATAATTGTAAAGACGTCACCTTTGATGCGAGGCTTGTGAGCACAGTCACATGACATGCAATTTAAGCCAGGGCGTTCACAAATGCAAAAAAGGTTGAACAATTACTTGGTCGAATAACTAAAAACATTTTCAAATATTAAACAAATTGACGTAAATAATGTCAAATTTATAATTTTATTTGAACTATCTTAATTTAATCTACTTCATTTGGTAACTATATGCTTGGCAGGCTACTCACATGTATGCATTGCATCGCTATTTTGTTGCCGCATGTCAACACTGCTCCATGTCAACACTGCTCCATAAAGGTTAATGAAGGTGATCGTTCAATAAAGGTGACTTGAACAGTTGTTGTTTTACAAAATTCTCGGGTATCTCATGACAGCGTAACCAGCTCTACCGCTTTAATCTGCCTCGTTCAATGAAGGTGACTTAAAGGCCTGTTAAGATACTTAATTGGTACTTAATTGGTAAAGAATTAAGTCAAGTGTAACTAACTAAATGATTACTTTAATGAGATACTTAGGTGCAATAATCACAATATTTTTTATAGTTCCTAATAGCTTTCTGTTGATTGTAAATTAACCATATTTAATAAAGAAACAAATATATCCATACGTAATATCTTGTATAAATAGAAGTAGTTTAACCATTGTAAGATAGATCGTAGAACACAGACATTGACGTTGAACATTAAATGTGATCATAACAGTTATCTTTGATATCTCTATTTGTTGGTGTAAGTCAATATATACTAAAGAAGGTAGATGGCACATCACAAATCCTAACAAGCCAGAGATGTGAATATATGAATATATACTCCCCCAATTAACGTTGTAGTTTCGCCCCTGCTCGTGGCGCTTAGCATACGCTACTCACCCAAAGTGCAGGGTCATTTCTTGTGATTTTGGCGCGCGTGCTGCACCGTGTGCGCATGCTGTGAGCTATCAGCACATTCGTAACTTCATATTCGTATTCATTCATCTTGCCAAAAGAAATATGAATGAAGAGGCAGTCACCGTTTAGTCGTTTAGCTTTCTCTTATGATGAAGAGGTATTTCTCTTCGTACTTGTGTTACAAAGAAGACAAAGATGTTTAAGGGATTTTTAAGCTGTTTGCCTCGTTTGCGAGTTTCAGTTTTGCAACTTTATTAGCAGTTTTCTCATAAGTAACGCTTTAGCGGCAAAGAATCCAAGACTTCGTGCATGTTTGTTGATTTTCAGCTGCAAAAGATGTTTGTTTCCTTAGTAAAAAAGACTTCGTTATCAAATGAAGGCAGACTATATCACTTTCCTCTTCTCTTGCTTTAAAATGTTCGGTACGATAAACATTCATATGACGACACATGAAACTACGCATGCGTATATGAAGGAATTACTGAGGTCTTATAAAATCAGTTAATTAAACATGCATTCGCGATTACAGAAACTATACGAGCACGGGCACAGTTCAACATGGGTTCAATAACTTGTCCGTTTATGTCTGTGTATTGTTAAATAAATGTGCACGTCACAGTTCTACCGTAAATTTTCTTGAAGAACTCGCTGTCAGGACAGCTGAAATCAAACAAAGAAGAGAATAGGCAAAAATTTAGATTATGCCAAATGGATTCAGAGGTCTTGAAGAATAATTGAAAGCGTCATTATCCCGTATGTTCAGTTACATTAATTGATTATTTGACAGAATGTGAAGGATGTTTGGGATGTTTAATTGCAAGCGTCGTGCAGCGTTACTCGGGGTAGTATGTCTAATTCCATTTAGTATATTGAGCTTTTATTTCGTCCATGAGTCGAAATGCAGCTAGGAATACAGAGTTTAATAGTACAATGTGATAGATGACATCTTTCGGACTTTTGTCCACATGTTAATGATTAGTAACTAGACAATGTTATTCTTACATTGAAATATCCTGTTTTGGTCATAAGATGGATGCAGAAAATGCAAAATCATTCAACATGGCTCTCTTGCTTCAGTTAAGACGTAAACATCGAATACGACCATTGTAATGTTTTTGTCGTAAAATTCTGCTCACAGTAGGGAAGAATACTTCCAGACTGACCAATTTAAATATTCTGATTTATCTTCGAGCTCGATGGTATGTCACACAGAGAGGGTAGATTCTCTCATTGAAGACGGTGGTTTAAAACAAGTAAGGTATACAGTTACCAATAAATTATTATTTTTTAAATTTAGGGGCTATCTAAGTTCCAATTTCAGCAGGAATTAAAAAACAATTAGCGACGTTAAAAAATTGTACTTACCAAAAGTATTCACTGAATACTGCTTTGAACCATCATCAGTACATGTAGTGCTATATCGCAGCGAAACACCAGTCTTTAGGTCACCACAGAGTTGGCGAAACCCATATATATCACAATTGCGAGATTTCACGCTTCCTGTCGACATGGAAACGTAGAAAGGAAAACATGCGTTTGGTGGGTGGTCTGCCATAGAAACAATTCAAACGATGGCTTGATAACGATCAAAAAGGATTACGGAGATCACAAGATTGAATAAAGGGGAACTGAAATGTAAATAAAAGACGATTTACGAGCTGTGATTGTTTGACTTCGGTTTTTTGTTAGCATGTAGAACAATGATGGCTTTAATTGCATCATATGCAGTAGTCAAACACAGATGACATGAAATGTTTTCTCACAAAAACAGTTTGCTATCACACGGACAATAAATGAGAATAAGTTGTCTAAGGCTGCATCCTTACCTGAAGATTAATATCTTTTGATTTCAATGTTTGTCTTGTTTCCGCCACTGAATTATATTTGTATGAAGAAAGCCAGTTCATTTTCAAAAGACTTCGGTCGGGCACAACAGAATATGTGAATATACACCATCACCACCCCCCAGATTAACGTTCTGGCGACAGCCTTGTATAATGCTAAAACTTTCTGTTTCATATTTCCAAAGTTTTTACGATCATCCGCAAACACTGTAGTTTAGAGATATAATTTTAAGACAAGAAGACAAGTTCGTGGACGTACATCGTCCAGGTTAGTAGAGTCCTGAGAAGGACTGTTTTTGTTGATGTAGACAGACGTTTCGACAACCTTAGCGGTAGTCGTCTTCAGAGTCAAAGAAAGTTGCAGAACGAAACTTTCCATACAAAATATTTATATTTATTTAAAAACCTAAACTCCTGCGGCACATGGCCGACATCACGCCATCTTTGACTTCTGCATCCTCTGCATCTAAAAAGAATCATACAGCAAGCTAGCGGCAAAACAAAAAACACCCATATTGTATATACGCAGCGTTTTCTAACTTTAATGCTTAGTCATCTGTCTGTAAGTCAAATGAAAAAGCAAGATACATCGTATCTTGAAGAAAAACAAAAAAGTTACTAGGAAGATAAAAAGACACATAAACATGGCGTTGTTGTCTTCTTGAACTTCGTACTTCGTGTCCTTAAAGAAAAATAGAAAATTAATTTAGTGATCGGATGAAACTGAGCGAAAAAGTGGCTGCATTTTTTTTAATATTCCTCTGATGCTTTCTTGCAAATAGTCTCGATACACACTTAGATTTTACTTTTCATATACAAGCATTTCTGAAGAGTGAAGAGAACCTGATGTAAATTCTACAGAAATAACAATTTTAAAACAATCAGGACTGTCGTGAACTTCACTAAAATAACTACAGAGCGCAAATAGAAAGGACCTATTCTCAGATCTTGTGTGGAGAAAAACAGTTAGTCAATCTAATTCTTTAAAAAAAGGAATAATTAATCACGAACAACGGCAAAAAACCTTATTCATTGTAATATGTTAGGCAGCCACGTTTTAGCGTAATGTTGCGCAGTGGAGTGGCGAGTCTGCATGTTTGGTTGAACCATGCAAATTTCAGATCATTGGATATCTTGATTTCATTGTACGACCAAACATGCAGATGACTGTTCCAGAGTATTTTCGTCAAAACAAACTGCTTAGCCTTTGATAAGTACTTCTCACAATGAATATCAGTTTAGCTTGTTTTGAAAGGCCAAAGTTCGATACTAAGCATTCTTGAAACGAATTTTATTTGCCATGTTTTAGGAACATTTTTCTAAGAAACTTTGCACTATCCTTGGATCCCTGTTTTAAGATAAAACGTTAGTCAGAGGGAAAAGAGGGGGGCATTTTTCCCTAAGAAGATTATGGTCAAGAAGAGACAAATTTCATAGCGTCATAGCTTGGCTCTCTGTATTTGGATACAGCCCATAAATTCATAAAGGTTGTTTTAACTTGGATCACACTTTAAGCCGTCATCTAGTTTACATTCATATTTCACTTACGTTTAAATTACGATCAAATTCGATCCAGAGTTCCATGACGAACAAGTCACAAGGTCCACCATCTTTTCAGACTGCACGCCACAATGACAGCTAAGATTAACTGAATTAATATCATGTTTTCGTGCTCTTGACCACTCCAAAAAGTAAAGTTCTTGCCCAATAGATATGCTATCGTTTATTAGCGCTTTATTTCAGCGTTAATCAGGTGAAGAAATGTTTGAAAAGTTTCTCAGATATCATAACGAACCACAACACAGCTCGATTAAAGTAAAAGTGTATGAAAGCAAAGCCACGCTGCCTCGGTATAGACAAAAACAGTAGTCCCACTGTATAGAATAGTTTTGCGTAGCTCATATCTTATTATGCATGTGATTAACATAGTGGCAGCCTTTAAAAAGCATTTTCTGACCAATAGGAGCGTTTAGGTGGCTAGTTACAGCCAGTAATCTAATTATGTACAGCAGCAAGTTGCACGGTTGAGTGAGACTACTGTTTAATTCTATACTGTGGCAAAGCTATCATGAAATCGCCGGACAAGAAAAAAGTTGAAACCAAACACCAATGAGATTTATTATTATTTTATCATTTGTAGTTGATACACACAAATTTTAGCGCAAACTATAATAAACTTATTCCTTTGGGAAAACCTTTTCAATCACAAATCGTAAAATAAGTCTTTAGGTTTTAGCTTCAAGTTTTAATTCAAACGTCGAACGTTACTTGAACTTTACATAAACCGAACGCATTAAAAAAAAAAGATAATGAGAAAGTTCGTCCCATTTTCTTTTGTGTTTAATGCGTTCGTCGAAAGTAAAACTCGACGTTTGAAACAGGCCTAACTTGATAATAAATAATTTCTTAGTAGCAGCTAGTTTAAAAAACATTTCGAAGCATAGTATACATACATTGGAAGCATGTTTTCTTCATTACATATAGCGGAGGCATGTTATTGCCAAAAATAATGTATAAATTTGCTTAAATCTATGTATGATTGTTACAGGCTGATCCACTTTCAGCTCGAAAATTGTGGGTGTTTTATCAATGCATCGCCAACGAATGGTAAACAATTGCTAATTATTTTATTAAAACTTGCTCAAGCTCATGTCATTCATTCAAAGATGGGATTTCTAATGTTTGTAATGAAAAAAAGATTTTGTAATGAAAACAAATGGCTGCAATGTTTGCAATGAAAAAAAAACTCTAATGTTTGCAATGAAAAAACGTGCCTCCAATGCATGTAATGAAAAAATATTCCTCCAATGTATGGCATGAAAAAATATGCCTCCAATAGTGATTTTGGGCAGGCCAATGAGCTATCATCTTGTCCTTTTTTAAAATAAACATACATAGTCAAAGAAGTTTTTAGAATTCAAAAACTATATCATAGTTATAATTTAATTTTTACCCGATCAGTAAATAATATTCAAATTCAGTTTCATAAAAATCTATTGTATTGTTTATGGTAGAATTATTATCTGATGCAGCATCTAAAACTTGTGAAAAGTACCATATCACAGTCTCTCTCACCAGCAAAGCAATGAAGAAATCGTTGAACACCAGTTTTCCATTAGCACACGTGCATCTCATTAATGTTTTACCTAAGAAATAATGTAATAATTCATTTATAATTTATCCTGCCTTGTTTCTTGCCAAAAGAAAATATAGCTACAATTTTTTTGCATCTATGTATGATTGTGTTTGGCAGGTCCCCCTTTCGCTCGAAAATTAGGGGTGTTCAATTCATCGCCAAACTTTGGCAAAAATTTGCTAAATATTTTATTTACGAAATAAAAGATGTTTACTGTGTTTGCACATGGTTTGCACAGGCTTATGCAAACTGAGGAGACCTTTGGGAAAACTCCAGAGCAGATCAATGCAAGCCCGAGACCAAAGGTCGAGGGTTGCACTTGCTCGAAAGTGCATGCTTGAGGGTTGCATAAGCCATTGAAAACACGAAAAAAATGTCTTATTTCTTTTATAAAATAATAATGAAATTATGGATAAGTAATCATTTACAATTCTCATCAATTATGGATAAATACAAGCTTAAATTAGTGCCAGTACGAATATTATTGATGAAGGTTTTAAGCACTGATTGTCAGCTCATTTTTCATTGTTTTAGAACAAGATGAACACTAGATAAATTAGCCTTGAAAATTTGTTTTCTTGTAACCTTTACTTATGCAGATTGCATGTCATTTTGCGTGAAAAATCTAAGACACATATGTTCATGATAACAAATTGTTTGACGTTTGTCTAAAATTCACTTCATACTTTCAAGTTCAGTCGTCATAAAACATATTAGATCACAAAGCTATATAACATATAGGCAAAACAACAAGCAATATTTTTATGCAGTTTTGATTATAACTTAAGCTCCTCTTCTACTTCAAAGAAAATTTACTTGGTTTTTCGACATCTTGAAAGAAATCGACAGGCGATGTTTTCGCACAGAGGACAAATGCCAAAAAAAGCATAATGTACTTCAAAGAATTCATTTCGTCCTTGCTACAACATAAAGGTAAAAACAGCTGAAAGAGATTAAACATCATATTAAGGCACTGAAAACATAGTATAAGAGTTAGTTGATAACTTAACATTGCAACAACAAACCATGAAGCATGAGATTTAGTTTCAAGTTACACATACGAAACTCAGCCGGATAATTTGATACAATAATTGATGATTTTGCTAATTGATCTTCATTGAGATTAAAATTAAAATATATAAACCAAAATCATTTAAAATACTTTCAAATCTTTGCGCAAAACTATAGATAGAACACAACTAAATTTCTTTTGACTTCAGTAGGTTTAAGAAACCTATAGCTGAATGGCTTGATAACTTAGCTGAATCAAATGGCAAACTCAAGTTTAGAAGAAAAACCTCATGATCATAAAAAAAGACATAAATCGTGAAAGCGTGATAAATTATATGTAAATAAAGTTTTAAAAGAATGCAAATAAGCTAGCACAAATACTAGTAAAATATCAAAATTTCAAGATGAATAAATAATGAAACAACTTTAAATTGATTTGTTCCTAGCTGACAAATTCAATCACAAAACACGTATGAACACTACTTACAAAGTCAAAAATCACGTCAAGTTTTATAAGTCAAATATTTCACATTTTCATATTGAATGCAAAGATACAAGACATTGAAATTAGTTAGTGACAACAATAAGAATGTAATAATAGTTGTTATGAGATATAAAATTTGCAGCAATCGACTGATTTACTTCAGATCAAAGTCATTAAATATTAAAAAGTTGCTTACCTTGGCCAACTGACTTAATCAACAAAACAGACAAGACTCTACGAAAATAAACTACCTGAGTGTAAATTTATGGATGATATAGACACGATGAAGTCTCGATGTAAATAAATTGCTCATGATTGGAGTTTTAGGTAATATAGCTAGCTGTGCATTGAAGGATTAAATTTTTTACATGACGCTCTCGTGTTTGGAAAACTCTCGTGATGAAATTATGCAAATCACAAGATACGCAAGTTTTCAAAACAAATTTTCTCTTCAACTCTATATGCTAATTTTAAACCGTTTTATTAGAAAACTGAATTGAAACAAAACTATAGCAAATATGGTTTACAGAGAGAAGAAACATTTAAAAGTGGCGATAATTGTAAAGACGTCACCTTTGATGCGAGGCTTGTGAGCACAGTCACATGACATGCAATCTAAGCCAGGGCGTTCACAAATGCAGAAAGGATTGAACAATTACTTGGTCAAATAACTAAAAACATTTTCAAATATTAAAGAAATTGACATAAATAATGTCAAATTTATAATTTTATTTGAGCTATCATAATTTAATCTACTTCATTTGGTAACTATATGCTTGGCAGGCTACTCAATTGTATGCATTGCATCGCTATTTTGTTGCAGCATGTCAACACTGCTCCATAAAGGTTAATGGAGGTGATTGTTCAATGAAGGTGACTTGAACAGTTGTTGTTTTACAAAATTCTCGGGACAGTATCTCATGACAGCGTAACCAGCTCTAGCGCTTTAATCTGCCCCTGACTTGTTCGATAGTGTTTGACTAAATTTACATAAATAAATAATTTGTGATATCATGGTCGCCTTGATTTGTAAAGTTACAATAAGATGAATTATTAATAAAGTAAATGGTTTGAACCCGAGAGTATCGTTACATGTTTGTGAATGATGATCGTCCAGGTTAATAAAGTCCTGAGAAGGACTGTTTTTGTTGTTGTTGACTGACGTTTCGACAACCTTAGCGGTAGTCATCTTCAGAGTCAAATGAGGAGTAAACGTCAGATTAGCCGTATTTGTTATCTGGTTCTTACGTCATTGTATTGTGTGTACAGGAAATGTGTATTGTCATTGTGGATTAGTGTGAAGTGAAATATTTGATTTTTAGTTGTGATGTGTGATTTAGGTGTGATGGTTTTAGTTGTAATGTGTGGGTGTCAATTGTGTATTGTCATTGTGAATTAGTGTGAAATAATATAATTTTCCTCGTCGTCAGTAAATTCTTGAATTTTGAGCTTGAATTTATGAAAATCACCACAAAGTATTCCAAAAACACAAAAAGATTTGATTTAAACCATCGTTGACAGTGTGTGAAGCACTTACTAATGCCTGCATGGCGCAAACGAGCGCTATCAGCAGTGTTGAAATTGAATTTGAATTTGAATTTTATTTATCATAAATTGTTTTTGTAACCGAAATGGTTAAATTAGAAAAGTTCTTATTAGTAAATTTTAAGTAATTAATTATTATACCTATATTTACAACCAATGAACTATTAAAAACTAATATCTAGTTACTGTTTCTCCTTATAATACTTTATGGTAAAAAAGAATTCTTAAAACGTTCGGTCATGCAACAAAAATGTCGGTAAGATCCACGGCTTCTTAGGTTGTAATTAGGAATTGTTCTTTTTGGCAAAAAAGAACAATGAGTCACTCATAGCTAGAGACGAAACTAGACTGAGGGGAGAGCAAATATTCATACATTTAGCTCTGCCTTGCTGACTTCTTTTGAAATTAGCATCGCACACAAAGGTAATCAGCAGGGCATTTTAAGATATGCTCTGTTGATTATGAAAAAACATGCCTCTAATTTATGTAAAGCAAAAACATGCCTCCAATGTATGGAATGAAAAAACATGCCTACAACAGTGATTTTTGGGCAGGCCAATGAGCTATCCCCTTGTCCTTTTTTAAAATAAACGTGAATAGTCACAGAAGATTTTAGAATTCAAAAACTATATGATAGTTATAATTTAACTTTTAATCGATCAGCAAATAATATTCAAATTCAGTTTTATATAAATTTACTGTATTGTTCATGATAGAATTATTTTCTGATGCAGCATTTAAAATTTGTGATGATAAAATCATCACAGGCTTTCTCACCAGCAAAGCAGAAACTAAATCGTTCAACACCAGTTTTTCCATTTGAACAGATGCACCTAGATAATGTTTTACCTAAAAAAGTAATAATTCATTTATAATTTAGCCTGCCTTGTTTATTGCCAAAAGGAAATATAGCTACTATTTTTTTGCATCTATGTATGATTGTGTTTGGCAGGTCTCCCTTTCGCTCGAAAATTAGGGGTGTTCAATTCATCGCCAAAGTATGGCAAAAATTTGCTAAATAGTTTATTTACGAAATAAAAGATGTTTACTGTGTTTGCACATGGTTTGCACAGGCTTATGCAAACTGAGGAGACCCTTGGGAGAACTCCAGAGCAGATGAATGCAAGCCCGAGACCGAAGGTCGAGGGTTGCACCTGCTCAAGAGTTCTCACAAACGTCTCCAAGGTTTGCATAAACCAGTGAAAACACGAAAAACATGTTTTATTTCTTTTATAAAATAACAATAATGCAATTATGGATAATTAATCATTTACAATTTCATCAATTATGGATAAATGCAAGCTTAAATTAGTGCAAATACGAATACTATTGATGAAGGTTTTAAGCACTGATTGTCAGCTCATTTTTCAGTGTTTTAGAACAAGATGAACACTAGATAAATTAGCCTTGAAAATTTGTTTTCTTTTAACTTTTACTTATGTAGATTGCATGTCATTTTGCGTGAAAAATCCGAGACACATACGTTCATTACAAATTGTTTAACCATAAATTTCACTTCATACTTTCAAGTTCAGTCGTCATAAAACATATTAGATCACAAAGCTATATATAACATAAAGCCAAAACAGCAAGCAATATCTCCATGCAGTTTTGATTATAACTTAAGCTCCTCTTCTTCTTCAAAGAAAATTTACCTGGTTTTTCGACATCTTGAAAGAAATCGACAGGCGATGTTTTCGCACAGAGGACAAATGCCAAAAAAAGCATAATGTACTTCAAAGAATTCATTTCGTCCTTGCTACAACATAAAGGTGAAAACAGCTGAAAGAGATTAAACATCATATTAAGGCACTGAAAACATAGTATAAGAGTTAGTTGATAACTTAACATTGCAATAACAAACCATGAAGCATGAGATTTAGTTTCAAGTTACACATACGAAACTCAGCCGGATAATTTGATTCAATAATTGATGATTTTTGCTAATTGATCTTCATTGAGATTAAAATTAAAATATATAAACCAAAATCATTTAAAATACTTTCAAATCTTTACCAAAAAGATGTTTGAAAAGAACGCGCAAAACTATAGATAGAACACAACTGAATTTCTTTTGACTTCAGTAGGTTTAAGAAGCCTATAGCTGAATGGCTTGATAACTTAGCTGAATCAAATGGCAAACTCATGTTTAGAAGAAAAATATCATGATCATAAAAAAAGACATAAATCGTGATTGCGCTCTTTACAAGATACACGGAATTTATGAAACGATATATGTCAGTTAAACCTATTAATTATATGGAAATAAAGTTTTAAAAGAATGCAAATAAGCTAGCACAAATACTAGTAAATATCAAAATTTCAAGATGAATAAATAATGAAACAACTTTTAATTGATTTGTTCCTAGCTGACAAATTCAATCACAAAAACACGTATGAACACTACTTACAAAGTCGAAAATCACGTCAAGTTTTATAAGTCAAATATTTCACATTTTCATATTGAATGCAAAGATGCAAGACATTGAAATTAGTTAGTGACAACAATAAGAATGATAATAATTTTTATGAAATATAAAATTTGCAGCAGTCGACTGATTTACTTCAGATCAAAATCAATAAATAGTAAAAAGTTGCTTACCTTGGCCAACTGACTTGATCAACAAAACAGACAAGACTCTACGAAAATAAACTGCCTGAGTGTAAATTTATGGATGATGTAGACACGATGAACTCTCGATGTAAATAAATTGCTCATGATTGGAGTTTTAGGTAATATAGCTAGCTGTGCATTGAAGGATTAAATTTTTTACTTGACGGCCTAGTGTTTGGAAAACTATCGTGATGAAATTAGGCAAATCACAAGATACGCAAGTTTTCAAAACAAATTTTCTCTTCAACTCTATGTGCTAATTTCAAACCGTTTTATTAGAAAACTGTATTGAAACAAAACTATAGCAAAAATGGTTTACAGAGAGAAAAAACATTTAAAAGTGGTGATAATTGTAAAGACGTCACCTCTGATGCGAGGCTTGTGAGCACAGTCATATGACATGCAATCTAAGCCAGGGCGTTCACAAATGCAGAAAGGGTTGAACAATTACTTGGTCAAATAACTAAAAACATTTTCAAATATTAAACAAATTGACGTAAATAATGTCAAATTTATAATTTTATTTGAGCTATCTTAATTTAATCTACTTCATTTGGTAACTATATGCTTGGCAGGCTACTCACTTGTATGCATTGCATCGCTATTTTGTTGCCGCATGTCAACACTGCTCCATGTCAACACTGCTCCATAAAGGTTAATGAAGGTGATCGTTCAATAAAGGTGACTTGAACAGTTGTTGTTTTACAAAATTCTCGGGACAGTATCTCATGACAGCGTAACCAGCTCTACCGCTTTAATCTGCCTCGTTCAATGAAGGTGACTTAAAGGCCTGTTAAGATACTTAATTGGTACTTAATTGGTAAAGAATTAAGTCAAGTGTAACTAACTAAATGATTACTTTAATGAGATACTTAGGTGCAATAATCACAATATTTTTTATAGTTCCTAATAGCTTTCTGTTGATTGTAAATTAACCATATTTAGTAAAGAAACAAATATATCCATACGTAATATCTTGTATAAATAGAAGTAGTTTAACCATTGTAAGATAGATCGTAGACAATAGACATTGACGTTGAACATTAAATGTGATCATAATAGTTATCTGTAATATCTCTATTTGTTGGTGTAAGTCAATATATACTAAAGAAGGTAGATGGCACATCACAAATCCTAACAGGCCAGAGATGTGAATATATGAATATATACTCCCCCAATAGACCTTTTCAAGGTTATCGCAGCCATATTGCAGGGGGTGCAAAAACATTGGGCCGAGCGCGCGGTCACGCATAGCGTCCATATATAATATAATAAATGCACAAAAATTACCCTTATACATATTGGCCATTTCTTTCAAAAATATTTCTCAAACTCGTATATTTTAATAGTCGAATTATTATTTGCGATTTTTTATACATGTGAGTCCAATTTTGTGGTAATCAAAAAGCGGAAAGTTAAAGAAAACATTTGTTTTCTTTGAACAACTTGACCGTCGTTTGAGCGATGTTCTTGAGTTCGCAACACACGCACATGTCTTCAGCAAAGTCATCAAGTATCACGAGGAACTATTCTACGACAAACTCTTATTAGTATTTCCAATTATTTGTAAAGTGACATTGCTATTTTTATTATTATGTATGGCGTCTTAACAGCCAGAAGAAGAAACAGCCAAGTATTAAAATACACACTTAAAACTGTTAGTCGATGGCAGGCCGGTGTGAAACTTTACATCGTACACTCTCGTCAACTCTTTAAATTCCAAAGGGACAGGAAGTAAAGATGCCTCAGATTTTGCTGGATTTCCATCAAAACTTGAATCAGAATACTCGGTGTCATAGGATTGATGAGGACGCTTTGATGTCGTCCATGTTTCTCCTCCTTTACGTTTAAGCGGAGTCCTCGATTGCTCGTACTCTGATAGCGTAATTAAAACAGAAGGATAATCCGTTCCGCAGTTATTTGGGGTTCTTCTTCCCAAGGGAAAATAATTTGAGCAAACGAAAGTACCTTGTGCACCAGGCTTTGGGTTAAAGTCATCGGCTTTGCTGTTTGCAATTTGTTTTCGCCAAATTTCAGCAAGTGCTTGATCTTTGGGCCACTTATGAAAAAGTAACTTTTCAACGTGAGACTTCTTAACTTGATAATCAGGATAGCGTTTATCACTATCGCAATATCCAACTGCACAACGCGCATTTTTTACCATTTCGGCTATGACTGCTCACAGCTATTCGGCTAGTTTAGGGTTTAGTTCGTTTGACTTGCCTTATGAGTTCCGCACATTTGCGAACTCAAGAACATCGCTCAAACGACGGTCAAGTTGTTCAAAGAAAACAAATGTTTTCTTTAACTTTCCGCTTTATGATTACCACAAAATTGGACTCACGTATATAAAAAATCGCAAATAATAATTCGACTATTAAAATGGACGAGTTTGAGAAATAATTTTGAAAGAAATGGCCAATATGTATAAGGGTAATATTTGCGCATGTATTAGTAATTCATATGGACGCCATGCGTGACCGCGCTCGGCCCAATGTTTTTGCACCCCCTGCAATATGGCTGCGATAACCTTGGAAAGGTCTATTAACGTTGTAGTTTCGCCCCTGCTCGTGGCGCTTAGCATACGCTACTCACCCAAAGTGCAGGGTCATTTCTTGTGATTTTGGCGCGCATGCTGTGAGCTATCAGCACATTCGTAATTTCATATTCGTATTCATTCATCTTGCCAAAAGAAATATGAATGAAGAGGCAGTCACCGTTTAGTCGTTTAGCTTTCTCTTATGATGAAGAGGTATTTCTCTTCGTACTTATGTTACAAAGAAGACAAAGATGTTTAAGGGATTTTTAAGCTGTTTGCCTCGTTTGTGAGTTTCAGTTTTGCAACTTTGTTAGCAGTTTTGTCATAAGTAACGCTTTAGCGGCAAAGAATCTAAGACTTCGTGTATGTTTGTTGATTTTCAGCTGCAAAAGATGTTTGTTTCCTTAGTAAAAAAAGACTTCGTTATCAAATGAAGGCAGACTATATCACTTTCCTCTTCTCTTGCTTTAAAATGTTCGGTACGATAAACATTCATATGACGATACATGAAACTACTCATGCGTATATGAAGGAATTACTGAGGTCTTACAAAATCAGTTAATTAAATATGCATTCGTGATTACAGAAACTATACGAGAATATTAAGCAGACCAAACTTAATGCAAGTAGTAATTTGCGAAACACCTAAATCCTGTTTTTCTTACACTAAAGCAGTCATAAAATAGTAAGTAAAATCCTTCCACTACTCCTCCTGGCAAAGGAGACAAGTCTGCTCAAAAGCAGAGAGCCTTACGCTACAAGTCCCGGGCTTGTGACCAGTATAGCGGAGTTAAAAGGTGAATGGGACACTTGCTTCAATTATAGAACTCAATGAATCACCCACTGCCCGCAATCATAGAACATCGTACAGTTGAATTACTCTACATAAAGTTCTCCGTTGAAATTTGTTAACCGTCCGCGTCTACGTAAAATCGCGTGCGCAAGTAGCTTCCATTTTTCTTCCAAAAATTCATTTTCGCCATATTCGATAAAAACATAAACATCAGTAGCGGACAAAATGACCAAACTTATGCAATGGCTTTGCTTCTTTGGCCTCGTTTTTACTATATGGATGACCCTGTTGGCAGATATTTTACCACTTTCAATAAGCAAGGACCTAAAAGATGTAGTTTTGCCCGTAAGTATAAAATTACAAGGCTTTCTCATTTCTGTTTATACCTTAACCTTGCATTTGGAATTCACACGATGTCAAACATTGTCTGCGTGGCAATTTTTTGCAGGGCAAAGTTTTTTAATATTTTGATGTTGTTATAAACACTGAATATTGTAAACACTTGTATTCATTTTTTGTCTAGTTCCCTATCTACATGGTGTTAGTTTTTGGGGTAAGATTAAGTACCAGAACAAAATTGCAACCGAACATAATTTCATATTGAAGCTGTAAGTACTTTTTAGTGTTATTCACTTATGGTAATTGGTTATCGTGTTCTCACTTTTAACGACTGTGAAGACGCAGCTGAAAGTCTTAAAAAGGTGCCAAAAGTTGTCGAGCTTGAGAAAAACTTCACAAAATCTACTGACATTGACTTTATAAAACTTTGATTGTTTAGGAGATACAAGAGGCTCGGAAAGATTTAACAATGAAAGGCTTTAGGTTTGACTAGGTCAAATACTTGTTGCATGGTGTATTGGGGCTCACAACATATGTATTTATACATTGGCAAGGGCTTTAAGATTCCATTAAATATACTATATAAACTATTGAAATAATTTATTGTTAGCCAGGCTCATACCAGCATACAGAAATATAAAATGAAAATCTATTTCTAAATTGGTGTATTACTTTTGAACCATAATATAAATACGATAATAATTTATTAAGCTTCTCCATTTGATGAATTGATATGTGTTGGTTAAATTATTGTGATGATCGATTAGTGCAATGAAGATTATTTTAGTGAAGAATGATCAGAACAAACCAGGAAATTTTTGAAGTATTTCTTTAACAACAAGATGATCTTTTTCCACATCTGCAGCTTCCTCCTTGCTAATTCTTCTCAGGCATTTACCAAGCTCTTCATGACGATATTTGTAGTCCCCATAATTTGTTGTCATCATGATGGAGTGTAGTAATGATAGATACTCTGTTCTCAACTGTCAACATTTAAAGTGTACATGCTTGTAAAGCTTTTAAGTTGCTATTTTCATTGTTTTAAATTTTGCCTTGAACAACATATATGCAATGACAAATATGGCCTAGGTAGTTGTTCCAGCATAGATGTAGTACTCTACATTTCTGTTCTGGCCTAGGTAGTTGTTCCAGCATAGATGTAGTACTCTACATTGCTGTTCTGGCCTAGGTAGTTGTTCTAGCCAAGAGTTAACTTTCTTGGTAACTGTTATAGCCTAGAGGTAGTTCTCTGTACAGTTCTTCAAGCCTAGCAAGTTATTTGCTCTAGCCAAGTAGTTGTTCTAGCCTAGAGTTAACTCTCTTTGTAACTGTTATAGCCTAGAGTTAGTTCTCTGTGCAGTTCTTCAAGCCTAGCAATTTATTTGCTCTAGCCAAGTAGTTGTTCTAGCCTAGAGTTAACTCTCTTGGTAACTGTTATAGCCTAGAGGTAGTTCTCTTTGCACGTCTTCAAGCCTAGCAAGTTATTTGCTCGGGCCAGGTAGTTGTTCTAGCCTAGAGTTAACTCTCGGTAACTGTTATAGCCTAGAGGTAGTTCTCTGTGCACGTCTTCAAGCCTAGCAAGTTATTTGCTCTAGCCAAGTAGTTGTTCTAGCCTAGAGTTAACTCTCTTTGTAACTGTTATAGCCTAGAGTTAGTTCTCTGTGCAGTTCTTCAAGCCTAGCAATTTATTTGCTCTAGCCAAGTAGTTGTTCTAGCCTAGAGTTAACTCTCTTGGTAACTGTTATAGCCTAGAGGTAGTTCTCTTTGCACGTCTTCAAGCCTAGCAAGTTATTTGCTCGGCCAGGTAGTTGTTCTAGCCTAGAGTTAACTCTCTTGGTAACTGTTCTAGCCTAGAGTTAGTTCTCTGTGCAGTTCTTCAAGCCTAGCAAGTTATTTGCTCTAGCCAGGTAGTTGTTCTAGCCTAGAGTTAATTCTCTTGGTAACTTTAATAGCCTAGGGGTAGCTCTCTGTGCACGTCTTCAAGCCTAGCAAGTTATTTGCTCGGGCCAGGTAGTTGTTCTAGCCTAGAGTTAACTCTCTTGGTAACTGTTATAAGCTAGAGGTAGTTCTCTGTGCACGTCTTCAAGCCTAGCAAGTTATTTGCTCGGGCCAGGTAGTTGTTCTAGCCTAGAGTTAACTCTCGTGGCAACTGTTCTAGCCTAGAGTTAATTCTCTTGGTAACTTTTATAGCCTAGAGGTAGTTCTCTGTGCACGTCTTCAAGCCTAGCAAGTTATTTGCTCGGGCCAGGTAGTTGTTCTAGCCTAGAGTTAACTCTCTTGGTAACTGTTATAGCCTAGAGGTAGTTCTCTGTGCAGTTCTTCAAACCTAGCAAGGTATTTGCTCTAGCCAAGTAGTTGTTCTAGCCTAGAGTTAACTCTCTTGGTAATTGTTATAGCCTGGAGGTAGTTCTCTGTGCAGTTCTTCAAGCCTAGCAAGTTATTTGCTCTAGCCAAGTAGTTGTTCTAGCCTAGAGTTAACTCTCCTGGTAACTGTTATAGCCTAGAGGTAGTTCTCTGTGCAGTTCTTCAAGCCTAGCAAGTTATTTGCTCTAGCCAGGTAGTTGTTCTAGCCTAGAGTTAACTCTCAAGGTAACTGTTATAGCCTAGAGGTAGTTCTCTGTGCAGTTCTTCAAGCCTAGCAAGTTATTTGCTCTAGCCAAGTAGTTGTTCTAGCCTAGAGTTAATTCTCTTGGTAACTGTTATAGCCTAGAGGTAGTTCTCTGTGCAGTTCTTCAAGCCTAGCAAGTTATTTGCTCTAGCCAAGTAGTTCAAGAAATAGTGTTTAACAAACAAATAACATCTACTTTAACAAAAAAATACCTCTTCACCAGGCGAAAGGTCAGATACTTTACGTAATACAATGTCAATCAACACCATAAGGTCCGTAGTGAAGAAAAGCCCTGAAGTACTTTCACTGGAGAAGATATCTTCATAGAACTTTAACAAGGAGTTTTGAATTGGGTTCAAGTTGCCAAATATATTCACGGGATCATCTAAAGATGATACACACAAAAAATTGTGTTACAACAACTTGTCTTTGTTCCGATGAATCTTATTGGCTAAAAGATCGAATTTCCCAATACACCATTCTTATTCTTAGTTATGCAAAGAGTTACATATGAAAGCTACTTATCGTCTATTTTCCCAAAAATTTATTGGTAGGCATTCTAAATGCAAAGCAAGGAAGAGAGGAACCTCTCTGAAGAGAGGAATCTCAGAGGAAGTACTACTCAGTTAAAAAATTATAATTACATTTTGATATTTTGCATTGTACAGTTGAAGTTCAGAGTTTAGAAAATATTGGGTGGTGAATGCCCCTGAAAGAGCATTTGCTCAAAAACATGAATGGGAAAGAGTTTTGTTTACAAAGCAACTACGTACCTTCCCTGTTGACAAGTAACATAAGTTTTTCCGTTAAAACTTTCGAAGTTCCTTTATCTGACAATATCTTCATCACTGTGTTGCTTTTCACATCTAAGCATATGATGGAAGATTTTAACTACAAGTGATTATTTTGAAAAGAACAAAAAAGAAAGAAAACTCATCTTACCTTGAAAATGCTGGTTGAACGAGAGGATCAACGTAACAAATGTGTTCACAAATATTTCTTCATCATCACTTTCACAAGGAGGATTTTCAATCATTGCCACCAAATACTTTACAAATTCCTCATTCAAATATTCTTTACACAACAAAAATATAACAAAGTAAATGGTTTGAACCCGGGAGTATCGTAAAAATATAACAGGTATTTTAATGTCAACACTTAAACTACCCACACTAACGTTCTGAGTTAATTACTTATGTTAACCCTCAGTGTCAATTACTCTTGTTCACCCTTAGTGCTAATTACTCACATTGACTCTCAGTGCCAATTACTAATGTTAATGACTCTCAGTGTCAATTACTAATGTTAATGATTCTCAATGGCAATTACTTATGTTAATGACTCTCTGCATCAATTACTAATGTTAATGACTTTCTGTGTCAATTACCAATGTTAATGACTCTCTCAGTGTCAATTACTTATGTTAATGACTCTCTGCATCAATTACTAATGTTAATGACTCTCAGTGTCAATTACTTATGTTAATGACTCTCTGCATCAATTACTAATGCTAATGACTCTCAGTATCAATTACTAATGTTAATGACTCTCTGTATCAATTACTGATGTTAATGATTCTCAGTGTCAATTAGTAATGTTAATGACTCTCTGTGTTAATTACTAATGCTGATTCTTTGTGTCATTTACTCATGTTTACCTCATGTGTTGAAAACTCAAATTGATTCAAAAGTATTTTACCATAATGGTGATAAGGTAGTGCTTCTCCAGTTGAATATATCATGGTGCACAACTGAGCTGATTTCAAGAGTTTGTCAATATCTAAAAATCAAAACATAATTCATTTTCATATCTAATTGCCAATATAACGAGGTCTGTCAAACATTTGGAAAATATGTCAGTAAGAGCAAAATAATGCTCTTATACCTACATATATTTAACTCATAAACTAACCTTTGCAATTAGTTTGCATATCACGTGCAAGCTCCACAGGAAGGACTGTGCAAAGTAACTGTGAAGAAACCTCGGCACCAAGACTGCAACAACCACAAAGCACTTGAAGCAAAAGGATACGTAATGTTCTCCTGGTTTCCTCAAAAATGACAACAAGTCATGCACTTCAATACTTTTAATGCTCAGATGGTTGTCAATCCAACACATTTGTTTGGTTTCACTTTCTCTTGCTTTATTCAATGAACTTACCATTTGATAGTATTCAACCATTGCATTTAGTGCATAGTATGAGTCATGTCTTATTGCGGCCAAGCAAACATTGGGATTAGCATCATTCTGAATAATTTAACAACAATAAAATCATTGTCAGTTAATATAAGAAAACAGCACATTTCCACAGTTCATCATCTTAAAAAGCAGTCTTACACATTCCAACATACCAATATTGATATGATGTCAGTCAAAAATTGTGATATAGTGTCTTCATCTTCGTGTAAAGCCCAGCTACGTTGCTGTGAGTCATCCTTACATTTTACCAGCTCATCAAATAGAGCCCTTAGGCATATACCATCATGTGTATTTAGCAGTTCTTCATCAGAAACACTGCAAGAATTATCCTAGAAAAAATAATTTACAAAATTCATCTCAATAAAGCCATTTAAGACTTCCTGCTTCGCCAAAGTGAACACAATAAATGGCCAGATGTATTGCTAGCAAACACATTATCATATATGCTCATTTTCCCAATCTTGAGAGCAACACCTAACTGGGAACAACACCTAACTGGGAGCAACACCTAACTGGGAGCAACACCTAACTGGGAGCAACACCTAACTGGGAGCAACACCTAACTGGGAGCAACACCTAACTGGGTGCAACACCTAACTGGGAACAAAACATAAACAAGAGAGATGCTCATAAGATTATCTTCAACTAATGCTCCCACTGAATAATTTTATTGCCAGAAAAATTAATGAGTTAATAAAACTATTTGATACCCATGGGCATGCCAGCAAATTTTCTTTGAGGGGAGGAATCAGTACAATTTCGATCTTGAATGACTTAATTTACTGAATTTCCCACAAATATTCCTCGACTGATTTTGCTGGCACCCCTACCTAATATGCTAATGCCATTACCTTGAAATAGTATAATGACTCTAAAATGTAGTCAACTTCTTTAGAAAGAGATGGAACACGATTTGTGATATGGGATAACAATGTTTCCACAGCCGTTATGCTTTTGGTGTAAGGGAGTTGAGTGCTAAAAGATAAAACCATTCGATAAATGCCTGCCCATCTTTGCAAGGCTTGGACACTAAACTAAAACAATATGCACAAAAACCTTATTCGAATTTGTTCTACAAGTTCACTACCAATTGATAATGGAATGTTACAATTGTTTGGAGGCATGGGTGCTTTTCTCTTCTTACCAACCATTGGGGGATCGGGAGCAGGTCTGTTAGGTTGCAGTGGGAAACCAAGATCAGAAGATACTGTTCCCATTCCTGATTGTTGCTTGTTTTGGGCAAGATTTTTCTCTTTTAAATATTCAGAAGATACTTGTTCACGTTGTTTGATCAATTTCCTGGTAAAAAATTGTCATGAAATTTAAAACTTTGCAACAAACATTAACAGCAAGTTTTGTTTCCTAAGAAATCTTTTGTTTTTGCAGTAAGTGAACATAGAAAAATTTGCATAGCTATAGCAAAGTACATGAAAAATACACTAGGTCCAATTTGCTGTGCCACTTGGGCAGTATATTTAATTAGATTACTGGCTTTGGTTGGCTGTTTCATTCAATACATTGTTCCCATTGGCGAGAAATGCAATTGACAGGCCGCAGGAATAAATGATAACCACATGCAAGTGTGGGACTAAAACATTTTAAAAACGTGGTTATGTTGTTTGTTCCCTATTTACTGAGGTTGCACTAAATAAGCAGTTTGACTACATTACTAAATGCAAACATTTCACAACGCTCACTGTAACTTCGCTTGTTCTTTCTTGTCAAGTTTGCCAGGCTTTTTAGAGTTTCGGCGAACGGCTTCGATTGCTCGATCGATTGAGTCAAGCTCGGAACTTTTCTCTTCCTAAAATGCCAAAGTGGAGAAGAAAGTTTAGTGGACATTTCTCACTATTCAAGCAACTGTGACGTTCACAATTAGGCGTTAATCGTTTAATTAAAGTGACGTACTTTAAACTAAGTGGTCGGATGTTGCAAACTGTAAAGTAAATAAAACTTTTTGACATAAAAAGTATATCGAGATAAAACATACCAAGGTAGTTTTTTGCTTAAGTTCAGTTAAAAAACTGCTGGGGACAAGACCTGTTTTGCCATTCTCCTGACATGTCATCAACCACCAGTGTTCATCGTGTGCTTTGACAAATTCAAAAGTTTGTCCTGTCCGTACTTTGAGTTGAGTCTTATCTCCGGTCTTGTAGTCGTATAACGATTTGTACATTACGTTAAAGAGCTCAATAGAACGTAAAAGCTTTCAATTTCAGCGAGCACCGATGAAAATAATCGTTGAACTTACAATTTCAATTTAATAAACTCATAAATATAAATAGCTGAATTTAAGTTTCGCGACCCTCCTGTAAAACGTCAGTGGTACCCCCCTGAAACATATATTTATGAAATGTATACACCATTAACAGGAGTATTTTGTGTTTGGCAACTTTGTGTGCGATGGTTTTGAATTGATTAAATTAGTATACAAATACATTTGTCTGATGTTTTGTGACAAATAAAAACTATTCTTGCGAACGGAACCTAATTTTTGGTTAATTTTCCATGCTGCGCGCAAATAGTCTTACTACGATCTTGATGTCTTAACTTAACGTCTGATAATGTAGAATAACGTCTGACAAAGTTGAACAAAGTCTTACAATGTGGATCAAGCTCTGACAATGTAGAACAAGGTCTGACAAAGTTGAACTAAGTCTTACAATGTACATCAAGGTCTGACAATGTAGGACAAGGTCTGACAAAGTTGAACAACGTCTGACAATGTTGAACAACGTCTGACAAAGTTGAACAACGTCTGACAAAGTTGAACAAAGTCTTACAATGTACATCAAGGTCTGACAATGTAGAACAACGTCTGAAAAAGTTGAACATCGTCTGACAATGTTGAACAACGTCTGACAATGTTGAACAACGTCTGACAATGTGGAACAACGTCTGACAATGTTGAACAACGTCTGACAATGTTGAACAACGTCTGACAATGTTGAACAACGTCTGACAATGTTGAACAACGTCTGACAATGTTGAACAACGTCTGACAATGTTGAACAACGTCTGACAATGTTGAACAACGTCTGACAATGTTGAACAAAGTCTTACAATGTACATCAAGGTCTGACAATGTAGAACAACGTCTGAAAAAGTTGAACATCGTCTGACAATGTTGAACAACGTCTGACAATGTTGAACAACGTCTGACAATGTGGAACAACGTCTGACAATGTTGAACAACGTCTGACAATGTTGAACAACGTCTGACAATGTTGAACAACGTCTGACAATGTTGAACAACGTCTGACAATGTTGAACAACGTCTGACAATGTTGAACAACGTCTGACAATGTGGAACAACGTCTGACAATGTTGAACAACGTCTGACAATGTTGAGCAACGTCCAACAATGTTGAACAACGTCTGACAATGTTGAACAACGTCTGACAATGTTGAACAACGTCTGACAATGTTGAACATCGTCTGACAATGTTGAACAACGTCTGACAATGTTGAACAACGTCTGACAATGTTGAACAAAGTCTTACAATGTACATCAAGGTCTGACAATGTTGAACAACGTCTGACAATGTTGAACAACGTCTGACAATGTTGAACAACGTCTGACAAAGTTGAACAAAGTCTTACAATGTACATCAAGGTCTGACAATGTAGAACAACGTCTGACAATGTTGAACATCGTCTGACAATGTTGAACATCGTCTGACAACGTTGAACAACGTCTGACAATGTTGAACAACGTCTGACAATGTTGAACAACGTCTGACAATGTTGAACAACGTCTGACAATGTTGAACAACGTCTGACAATGTTGAACAACGTCTGACAATGTTGAACAACGTCTGACAATGTTGAACAACGGTTACCAAGAGAATTAGGCTATAACAGTTAACCTCTAGGCTATAACAGTTACCAAGAGAATTAACTCTAGGCTGGAACAACTACGTGGCTAGAGCAAATAACTTGCTAGGCTTGAAGACGTGCACAGAGAACTACCTCTAGGCTATAACAGTTACCGAGAGAGTTAACTCTAGGCTAGAACAACTACCTGGCCCGAGCAAATAACTTGCTAGGCTTGAAGACGTGCAAAGAGAACTACCTCTAGGCTATAACAGTTACCAAGAGAGTTAACTCTAGGCTAGAACAACTACTTGGCTAGAGCAAATAAATTGCTAGGCTTGAAGAACTGCACAGAGAACTAACTCTAGGCTATAACAGTTACAAAGAGAGTTAACTCTAGGCTAGAACAACTACTTGGCTAGAGCAAATAACTTGCTAGGCTTGAAGAACTGTACAGAGAACTACCTCTAGGCTATAACAGTTACCAAGAAAGTTAACTCTTGGCTAGAACAACTACCTAGGCCAGAACAGCAATGTAGAGTACTACATCTATGCTGGAACAACTACCTAGGCCAGAACAGAAATGTAGAGTACTACATCTATGCTGGAACAACTACCTAGGCCATATTTGTCATTGCATATATGTTGTTCAAGGCAAAATTTAAAACAATGAAAATAGCAACTTAAAAGCTTTACAAGCATGTACACTTTAAATGTTGACAGTTGAGAACAGAGTATCTATCATTACTACACTCCATCATGATGACAACAAATTATGGGGACTACAAATATCGTCATGAAGAGCTTGGTAAATGCCTGAGAAGAATTAGCAAGGAGGAAGCTGCAGATGTGGAAAAAGATCATCTTGTTGTTAAAGAAATACTTCAAAAATTTCCTGGTTTGTTCTGATCATTCTTCACCAAAATAATCTTCATTGCACTAATCGATCATCACAATAATTTAACCAACACATATCAATTCATCAAATGAAGAAGCTTAATAAATTATTATCGTATTTATATTATGGTTCAAAAGTAATACACCAATTTAGAAATAGATTTTCATTTTATATTTCTGTATGCTGGTATGAGCCTAGCTAACAATAAATTATTTCAATAGTTTATATAGTATATTTAATGGAATCTTAAAGCCCTTGCCAATGTATAAATACACATGTTGTGAGCCCCAATACACCATGCAACAAGTATTTGACCTAGTCAAACCTAAAGCCTTTCATTGTTAAATCTTTCCGAGCCTCTTGTATCTCCTAAACAATCAAAGTTTTATAAAGTCAATGTCAGTAGATTTTGTGAAGTTTTTCTCAAGCTCGACAACTTTTGGCACCTTTTTAAGACTTTCAGCTGCGTCTTCACAGTCGTTAAAAGTGAGAACACGATAACCAATTACCATAAGTGAATAACACTAAAAAGTACTTACAGCTTCAATATGAAATTATGTTCGATTGCAATTTTGTTCTGGTACTTAATCTTACCCCAAAAACTAACACCATGTAGATAGGGAACTAGACGAAAAATGAATACAAGTGTTCACAATATTCAGTGTTTATAACAACATCGAAATATTAAAAACTGAGAAATATAAAAAATTGACTCAAAATACTTTTGAGTCAATTTGAGTTTTCAACACATGAGGTAAACATGAGTAAATGACACAAAGAATCAGCATTAGTAATTAACACAGAGAGTCATTAACATTACTAATTGACACTGAGAATCATTAACATCAGTAATTGATACAGAGAGTCATTAACATTAGTAATTGATACTGAGAGTCATTAGCATTAGTAATTGATGCAGAGAGTCATTAACATAAGTAATCGACACTGAGAGTCATTAACATTAGTAATTGATGCAGAGAGTCATTAACATAAGTAATTGACACAGAGAGTCATTAACATTAGTAATTGACACAGATAGTCATTAACATTAGTAATTGATGCAGAGAGTCATTAACATAAGTAATTGCCATTGAGAATCATTAACATTAGTAATTGACACTGAGAGTCATTAACATTAGTAATTGGCACTGAGAGTCAATGTGAGTAATTAGCACTAAGGGTGAACAAGAGTAATTGACACTGAGGGTTAACATAAGAAATTAACTCAGAACGTTAGTGTGGGTAGTTTAAGTGTTGACATTAAAATACCTGTTATATTTTTACGATACTCCCGGGTTCAAACCATTTACTTTGTTATATTTTTGTTGTGTAAAGAATATTTGAATGAGGAATTTGTAAAGTATTTGGTGGCAATGATTGAAAATCCTCCTTGTGAAAGTGATGATGAAGAAATATTTGTGAACACATTTGTTACGTTGATCCTCTCGTTCAACCAGCATTTTCAAGGTTGAACAACGTCTGACAATGTGGAACAACGTCTGACAATGTTGAACAACGTCTGACAATGTTGAACAACGTCTGACAATGTTGAACAACGTCTGACAAAGTTGAACAACGTCTGACAATGTCGAACAACGTCTGACAATGATGAACAACGTCTGACAATGTTGAACAACGTCTGACAATGTTGAACAACGTCTGACAATGTTTAACAACGTCTGACAATGTTGAACAACGTCTGACAATGTTGAACAACGTCTGACAATGTTGAACAACGTCTGACAATGTGGAACAACGTCTGACAATGTTGAACAACGTCTGACAATGTTGAGCAACGTCTGACAATGTTGAACAATGTCTGACAATGTTGAACAACGTCTGACAATGTGGAACAACGTCTGACAATGTTGAACAACGTCTGACAATGTTGAACAACGTCTGACAAAGTTGAACAACGTCTGACAAAGTTGAACAACGTCTGACAATGTTGAACAACGTCTGACAATGTTGAACAACGTCTGACAATATTGAGCAACGTCTGACAATGTTGAACAACGTCTGACAATGTTGAACAACGTCTGACAATGTGGAACAACGTCTGACAATGTTGAACAACGTCTGAAAATATTGAGCAACGTCTGACAATGTGGAGCAACGTCTGACAATATTGAACAACATCTGACAATGTTGAACAATGTCTGACAATGTTGAATAACGTCTGACAAAGTTGAACAACGTCTGACAATGTTGAACAACGTCTGACAAAGTTGAACAACATCTGACAATGTTGAACAACGTCTGACAATGTTGAACAACGTCTGACAATGTTCAACAATGTCTGACAATGTTGAGCAACGTCTGACAATGCTGAACAACATCTGACAATGTTGAACAACGTCTGACAATGTTGAACAAAGTCTTACAATGTTGAACAACGTCTGACAAAGTTGAACAACATCTGACAATGTGGAGCAACGTCTGACAATATTGAGCAACGTCTGACAATGTTGAGCAACGTCTGACAATGTTGAACAAGGTCTGACAATGTGGAACAAGGTCTGACAAAGTTGAACAACGTCTGACAATGTTGAACAACGTCTGACAAAGTTGAACAACATCTGACAATGTTGAACAACGTCTGACAATGTTGAGCAACGTCTGACAATGTTGAACAACGTCTGACAAAGTTGAACAACATCTGGCAATGTTGAACAACGTCTGACAATATTGAGCAACGTCTGACAATGTTGAACAACGTCTGACAATGTTGAACAACGTCTGACAATGTTGAGCAACGTCTGACAAAGTTGAACAACGTCTGACAATGTTGAACAACGTCTGACAATGTTGAACAACGTCTGACAATGTTGAGCAACGTCTGACAATGTTGAACAACGTCTGACAAAGTTGAACAACATCTGGCAATGTTGAACAACGTCTGACAATATTGAGCAACGTCTGACAATGTTGAGCAACGTCTGACATTACAAAATAACAATGTTCAAGAAGGTATGAAAATGTTAAACAACATCATTTCGAGTATCTGATCATGAAACTACAAACTGTATTGGTGCTCGTGACATGAAAAACTATTATTTTACTATTTCTTTAGTTTGCTTGGATGAAATAAACAATTTAAACATGGGTGATTAAGCTGTGGATGTGTTTTCAAAATCTTCCATATGCGTCTCTGAGAGCCGTCCATTTTCCTTAATTGACAAATCTCCTCGTTTTGCCTTTTTCCTTGCGGCCAATCTCTCTTTAAGCTTCTTTTCTTTGCCTTTCTCATCGAGACGAACGGATTTTCTGCGATTCAAATCTGCTGCCTCATCCTCCTGAACTTCCGAGTACAACGGTATGATGGGAGGAGACTGGATCTAGACGATAAACCAATAGGACAACAACAATTAAGTAATATAATGGGAGGAGACTGGATCTAGACGATAAACCAATAGGACAACAACAATTAAGTGATATAATGGGAGGAGACTGGATCTAGACGATAAACCAATAGGACAACAACAATTAAGTGATATAATAGGAGACTGGATCTAGACGATAAACCAATAGGACAACAATTAAGTGATATAATAGGAGGAGACTGGATCTAGACGATAAACCAATAGGACAACAACAATTAAGTGATATGATGGGAGGAGACTGGATCTAGACGATAAACCAATAGGACAACAACAATTAAGTGATATAATGGGAGGAGACTGGATCTAGACGATAAACCAATAGGACAACAACAATTAAGTGATATAATGGGAGGAGACTGGATCTAGACGATAAACCAATAGGACAACAACAATTAAGTGATATAATGGGAGGAGACTGGATCTAGACGATAAACCAATAGGACAACAACAATTAAGTGATATAATAGGAGACTGGATCTAGACGATAAACCAATAGGACAACAATTAAGTGATATAATAGGAGGAGACTGGATCTAGACGATAAACCAATAGGACAACAACAATTAAGTGATATAATAGGAGGAGACTGGATCTAGACGATAAACCAATAGGACAACAACAATTAAGTGATATAATGGGAGGAGACTGGATCTAGACGATAAACCAATAGGACAACAACAATTAAGTAATATAATGGGAGGAGACTGGATCTAGACGATAAACCAATAGGACAACAACAATTAAGTGATATAATGGGAGGAGACTGGATCTAGACGATAAACCAATAGGACAACAACAATTAAGTGATATAATAGGAGACTGGATCTAGACGATAAACCAATAGGACAACAATTAAGTGATATAATAGGAGGAGACTGGATCTAGACGATAAACCAATAGGACAACAACAATTAAGTGATATAATAGGAGGAGACTGGATCTAGACGATAAACCAATAGGACAACAACAATTAAGTGATATGATGGGAGGAGACTGGATCTAGACGATAAACCAATAGGACAACAACAATTAAGTAATATAATGGGAGGAGAATGGACCTAGACAACGAGCCAATGGGACAACAACAATAAAGTAATTGTTAGAGCTAATCGTGTTATGATTTTTAAAGCGTTTACGACACGAAATTTTATCACGAATTTTTGTATTAATTGAACATATATAAAATGACTTTACAATCTCTTCAGTAGAAACTGACTTATTTTACTTATATTTGACTTTATTCATTATGCAAACAAACATCGTTAAGACATCATAGAAACTAGTAACAAGTTAAAGATCATCAATTTTCAACATCGTTAAAACGTTTTATGCACAAATACAAAATTTCATGAATACATGTGTAGATGAATACTTGTAGAGATTCCAAAGTTAGATATTTTAATGCTGAAGGTGGACAAAACTATTGCTAATTATGCAATGTGACGTCATAACGATCTCATTCGTATGAAGAAGAAAAATTACATTTCTCCAAAAAGATATAAAATAACACAATTCTATTGAAGAAGATTGAGTTATGTTAAATTTCTTCACAATGCAGTCTGAAAACATTATGGTAAAATTTGCTGTTACCGTCGAGCTAACGCGTCTTTCGACAACTTTGAACTTTTCTTCCATTTTTGCAGCTATCAATTTCATTTTTTCTTCTGGACCCAGTCCCTCGGCTTCCTCCTGTGTCAGTATGTGATCGAATCCTTTGGACGTGGACTTCGGCTCTTTCATTGTCATCGTGCGTTCGTAACGCACGCGCGTAATTCTATCGCGAACCATCGTGAGCTGCCGGTCACGCTCTTCCTGTGCACAAGAAACAGGAATTTTTAGTGTGAAAAGTTGAAGACAGGCGCGTAGACAACTTAACTATTTAAGCCGACAAGCATAACGTTCACCAACGTGTACAACGTGAAGGCGTTCATAACTTTGTTTAACCCACGAGTATAACGTTGACCAACGTGTACAAAAATGAACTAAAACATGCATTTAGGCGTTCATAACTTTGTTTAACCCACGAGTATTACGTTGACCAACGTGTACAAAAATGAAGTAAAACATGCATTTAGGCGTTCATAACTTTGTTTAACCCACGAGTATAACGTTGACCAACGTGTACAAAAATGAAGTAAGATGAATTTAGGCGTTCATAACCTTGTTTAACCCACGAGTATAACGTTGACCAACGTGTACAAAAATGAAGTAAAACATGCATTTAGGCGTTCATAACCTTGTTTAACCCACGAGTATAACGTTGACCAACGTGTACAAAAATGAACTAAAACATGCATTTAGGCGTTCATAACCTTGTTTAACCCACGAGTATAACGTTGACCAACGTGTACAAAAATGAAGTAAAACATGCATTTAGGCGTTCATAACCTTGTTTAACCCACGAGTATAACGTTGACCAACGTGTACAAAAATGAAGTAAAACATGCATTTAGGCGTTCATAACATTGTTTAACCCACAAGTATAACGTTGACCAACGTGTACAAAAATGAAGTAAAACATGCATTTAGGCGTTCATAACCTTGTTTAACCCACGAGTATAACGTTGACCAACGTGTACAAAAATGAAGTAAAACATGCATCACAAAACCTTGTGCTTCAGTTCAACCATCGTCTTTTGTCGTTCTCCCAAACCAATGATAGTTGCGGCAGCAGCAACGACGTTTGATTTTTTCCGCAATCTTCGTTCATTCAACTGTTAAAAGATGAAAGATTTCCATTGTGAAACTAAAGAACACATTTTTATTGAGTTTTTACTTCTTCCACTCGATAGAGACGTGAATTAGTCTAAGATTCACTGCGATCTCTGTGAATCTATTGTAAACTGCCAGACAACAACAGCTTTATCCTTAACTAATCAAACCAGTGTACTCGTGTCTCTTTTTTACCTCTCACTAATCCATCGTTCATATTCAAAAATTTTAACAATATTCTCCTGTATCTCTCTTTCCCTCTCAGCTCCCACACAGATATAACTACAACATCTTCCAGTCTCTTTCTTTCCCTCTCAACCCCCGTAAAGAGATACTTGTATACAATAGCCCCATGTCTCTTTCTTTCCCTCTCTATCACCATACAAAGATACCTACAACATCCACCTATCTCTTTCTTTCCCTCTATATCACCATACAAAGATACCTACAACATGCACCTATCTCTTTCTTTCCCTCTCTATCACCATACAAAGATACCTACAACATCCACCTATCCCTTTCTTTCCCTCTCTATCACCACAAAAAGATACTTACTCTATCCTCCTGTCTCTTTCTTTCCCTCTCAATCCCCATACAAAGATACTTACCCTATCCTCCTGTCTCTTTCTTTCCCTCTCAATCCCCATAAAGATACTTACCCTATCCTCCTGTCTCTTTCTTTCCCTCTCAATCCCCATACAAAGATACTTACTCTATCCTCCTGTCTCTTTCTTTCCCTCTCAATCCCCATACAAAGATACTTACTCTATCCTCCTGTCTCTTTCTTTCCCTCTCAATCCCCATACCAAACGTTGTATGCTCACGAAGCAATGAACCAAAGATTTCTTTTTTTTTATCATCGGAAACTTTAACATCAACGACAGTTTTCTCTCTCTTCATGGTGAAGCCATCCTACAATCAAGAATACAAAGACAGATTTAGACAAATTCCGGAGACCAGTGGTCCTAAGTTTGGATAGTCAAGTCCATCAGAATGTCCGCTGATCAGTAGCACCGTCAGCAGAACATATCGCCACAGTGCAGTGAAGAGGTGACCATATCTTTTTTAGGAAAGACGTTGTCATCTTTGAATTAACATTTTTATTCATTTGATTCTCCAGTTTGAACGATACATTTCAACCTTTTAGAAAGCAATCAAATTATATACTACCAAGTTAAGCGTTGTATAGGTTTCGTTCAACAGTTTCTAACATTCAATCAAATGGTAGGTGTTTTATCGTATTTGATGAAACGAAACAAAATGTAGAAGCAAAATTCGCTTGAAGGGGTTTTTTAAAGGCGAATATGGGGTCAAATAAACATATCTAATTCACGCCAGCAGTAACTTGTTCAACGAGTTTCAACGTCTGTGTGATTACGCTGGGATAAAGAATTACATAAACACATACAGGCAAACTAGACTTGTAATCTCCATTCAACTTCTCAAGTCTTTTAGCAACTTGATTGGTACTCGCTGTTTCCGGTGTGTGGTTCTCTTCTTGCTCCAACTTATCCGTTGTTTTCATGTCTTCCTTCGCGGCTCGTTCCAGTTCTTCCTGAGCTTTTCGTCTGGCGCGGTCCTCGCGACGTCTGGCCAGTCGGTCTCGAAGCTGTGGCAGAAAAACAATTAGATAACTGTACTTGATATAGACGAAGTAAAAGAACATAGCTCCGTATAAAGTGACTAATAAAAAAGCTAGGAACTGGTAACATTAAAGAAGTCTGTTGAGCTTAAAGTAATGAAATTTTTTTCTTCTTTACTTATGAAACCAGTTGAGTTCTATGAAATTGTTTAACTTGAAGTTCATTAGCATCAAAAAATTATCCTGTTATTAGAAAATATAAATGAATTTTTACATTATCTTTAGTACCGTTCCCTGTTCACCATACACCCAGGTTGTTTTCAATTAAAAGTCGAACACAGATATATAGTCTATAACTTTTACTTCTCGGAACTGTAGACGTTTTTTTCGTGAACAAATGCGCTAATTGAACATGGTCCTAACTACCAGTAAGTGGACACAAAAATTTTTAAGGTTCTCTATCACAACAAACTATACCTCTCCTACTATACGCATGGACTTATGAAATGCCGATTTTTTAACTCTGAAGAGTCAGAACTATAGCTGCAAGCCTGCAACTATCATCCATATGGGTAAAAATTTATATATCATTCTATGCAGTTTCTTTGTTTACTTATATAAAAATTGCATATCAATAAAATATGGCTGTACGATATAAATTAGTACCAACAGAGATGTTTCAAAATATTTGCTCGGTATATGTCACAATAATTTCAAAAAGATCGGTTTTACGACTTGTTCACAGAGCAGTTTAGTAAATATACAGTCACTCCGTATAAAACTTCCCTAAAAGTATTTTGCGCTTGCTAACAAACCCTACGAATTCGCATTAGTAAAATATTGTTTTGACTAAATACCACAAGGCAATGCGTCGTCGCCAAAATATTCTACAACTATTTCTGTACAAATTGCTGCCCCCGCGTGCTTGCTCTACCCTGACACAGTTCATAAGAACATTTCTGTACAAATTAAGCTGCTGCCCCGCGTGCTTGCTCTACCCTGACACAGTTCATAAGAACATTTCTGTACAAATTAAGCTGCTGCCCGCGTGCTTGCTCTACCCTGACACAGTTCATAAGAACATTTCTGTACAAATTAAGCTGCTGCCCGCGTGCTTGCTCTACCCTGACAAAGTTCATAAGAACATTTCTGTACAAATTAAGCTGCTGCCCCGCGTGTTACCTTTACCCTGACACAGTTCATAAAAACATTTCTGTACAAATTAAGCTGCTGCCCCGCGTGCTTGCTCTACCTTGACACAGTTCAAAAGAACATTTCTGTATAAATTGCTGCTGCCCCGCGTGCTTGCTCTACCCTGACACAGTTCATAAGAACATTTCTGTACAAATTAAGCTGCTGCCCCGCGTGCTTGCTCCACCCTGACACAGTTCATAAGAACATTTCTGTACAAATTGCTGCTGCCGCATGTGTTACCTTTACCCTGACACAGTTCATAAAAACATTTCTGTACAAATTGCTGCTGCCCCGCGTGATTGTTTCTACCCTGACACAGTTCATAAGAAACTGATTCGCCTTGTTTTGATCTTTGTAACATGTTTTTCGTTAACAATCGATGATTCCCTTTCTACCAACATCAACAGAGACTGCTATATCGTCTTCGTATTGTTTATCCTCGCGACGTTCGCGCTGCCAATCGTTTTTTCTGACCTCCACTAAAATGACAATCACATGTATAGGCAAAGCTTTTGTTATTTTTGTAAAAGAACAATTAACAGCAATTTGATACGATGCAAGTTGCAGACTAATATTAACAACGGTTAACATTTTGACGTCTTATTTTCGACCAGTTACATATAAGAACCAAACGTTACATGATATATTTAATAACATTAGAATGATAAGATTTTCACATTTTACAAGTCAATATACTACTGTATTAAGCTACGCCATAGTGATCCTTGTGGTGTCAGGATTACTTCCACCAAGCATTTGATTTCGCCTTCCCCAAACTTTCTCGAAAATAATCTATTTTCATTCATGCAGCTATCAATTTTATCACGATAAAAAAGAAATATATTTGTGCACAAGTATTGTTTCTTTATTTTCAAACTTTACCAAACAAAATTAACTCGCTGATAGCCAGGACCGAAAGTCTCAGGATTTTTTTTTGTATGAGAATAGTCTTCAAAGTTCAAACGAAAGTGAGAAATAAGACCTTCACATTTTCTGTTGAAAATCATGTATATACTATACAAGTGAACCATATGCGTAAACATATCGTGATAAATGTTGCTAAATATAAATGAAACATATTTATTCATCTACCGTTTAGTCAAAGGAACAAAAACCGTGTACTTTCTACTATAGCAAACCTTTCTCTTCGCTTCCTGTTGTCTTCTCAATTCATTCATTGCCACGTCAACTTCAGCTTCACTCGCCCCAGTTAGGAGTCTACGCTTTCGCTCGTCTTCTAGCTCTGCATCCATTTTCGCGAGTTGCTCATCGCTTTCATCAATGGTCTGACTCACGTCATCGTTTTCCTCAAACAACTCCTGCAAAAATACAAAGATTAAAAATGTTTATCATTAACCTTAAAATGGGGAGAAAATGCACAAGATCATTGCACACAAACATATTCATATTTGTGAAATTGGTCATAAAGTCGTTTTATTTGTTCTTTGCATTACACACTTGATCATTTTGAAGAATAACAGCGGCCAGGTTGTCGACCACAAATTCTTGTCTGAGACGACGTTGTTCATCCCTTATAACGATCAATGCTTCTTCCTCCTAGTCAATAAAACAATCGTTTTGAAAGGTACAAAACTAGAATATATAGAGAAGAAAGGATAAAAGAAGGGGTAAGATATGTTAGGGAGGGATAGAATGTGAGTATCTTAGGGGTGAGATATGGTGGAAGTAGGTGAGATAAGGTATGTTTAGGATGTTGTGGTAGGGAAATGTAGCGATTTAGCCATGGAGTCGCAAGCTTTATGAAAACGTCATGCATCCCTCGATGCATTCCGAAATGCGATTCCTTGTAAAAAATGCCTTTAAAATAAGAGTTAAATGAATCGTGGACATAGTGACTCGCCCCAGATCCTATCTTTATGCTCATCACCTAATTTTGGTTGGTAAAGCTTTTGATTGAAATACGCAGAATCACGAGCAATGAAGCGTGTTTTCAAACAATGAACATTTCCTGTGTTTTTGTTACTGCAGTGGGGAGGGGAGGGAGGGGGGATACGCGACACACAGTTCCGTGTACGTGAAAAAATGCAACGTCAGTAAACCGAAAGGAAATACATTGAACAAACGGAGACGCAGTAAGGTTGTTCATAAGAAAAGAATCACTTCCCTCTCGACAAGAACGATACATCTGTCATTGAAAGTAATCAATTGATTCTATGAACAGAGGTTTGTCAATTCTAATTTTAAAATATTGACTCGAAAGAAATATGAATAAATACTTAAAATATTTTGTTTTAATCGTCAGAGCGTCACCATGTCAGTAAATCAAGTTTTCATCGCCTTTTTATTGTCCTCTATACTGATGTTTTCTCTTATTCCGACTTCTGTTAATGCGAATGGCCTTGAGAAATGCTTGAAGGCTTGCGACATGGGAGAGAAAGCCATGGAAAGATTTTGTGGAGGTCTACCTTCACCGAAACTGAGAGCTCTGTGTTGGAGAGTGGTGTTGTTGGAACCGGTAGTTTGCAAAGGTTTTTGTTATAATAATTTTCCACGACGTCAACAAAAAAAGAGTTTCAAATCTCATGATTCATTATAAGTAATTAACAAGTGGAAGCAATTATGTGAAGAATTCTTCGATAATAAAACAATTGATTTTATCTTTGTTCGAGACAATTTTTTTGACCGAGTGAATAATGTCATCAATAAATGTTAATATACGTATTTTCACAGTAAAATGACAACTTTTATAGTAAAAATACACAACTTTTAAACGCAAAAATTTTGCTTGTATGATTTACATCCGCTTCCGTACAATCAAACTCAAATCACATTGTAGGAAACAAACAGCAGGGACACACAATCCATGAATTTTTTTGTGTGATAGCATATCTTATGATGCATGTGATGCCTTAATGGCAGTTAGTCAATTGACTCTTATGAACAATACTAAAGATGCCTTAGAAATAAGGAAAAACACAAGTAATTTGAATTGTGACTAGTCCTCATTTCCACTTTTCATTTTTGGCTGGCAAAGGCTCAAATTTAATATTAGTACTTAAAGGAGTTGGAAGCTGTTTTGCCGTTTTGCTTCTTTGGCGTGTGCTGCGTTCGGTTTGGATTGAAAAACGGCGCGTGAAGTAAGCCTTGAAAATTTATAAAAGTTCAAAACTGAGCACTTGCTTTTTCGAATAAAAAGAACACAACGAGTCCATAAGCCTCTTTTTCTTTGACAACTTACTTTGCCACTTGACAGAGCTCACAAAATAAAACACATACAGGACACATAATAAAACATGAATAATTTACCATACCCTTTCCTCGAGAATATTTTCCACAGCTCTGCTCTCTGTGGTTTGCTTTTCCTGAAGGTCTGCCAAAAGCAAAATGCTCATTTCATCCTTCACAGATGATTCAGGAACACTCTTTTTGCTTAACTCGTCTTTAACGTTGAGCACTTTGAGAACGATGCCATCTTTCAATAATGCAGTCAGTTTTATCTGACGTTCGGTTGAGCGCAAAATATTCTCGTCATTTTCTTCCTGGAAAGCAAAAAATCAACATCAAATGATTCTCATAATTATTTCCCATACAGCAAAAAATTACACAAAAATATTCTTATCGTTAGCTTCCTAGAAAGCAAACGCGATTTAAAAACTTTATATAACATACTGAATTTGCTTGCAAAATACTCGCATAATAAAACCATTAACTTGCCAACAGATGGATGAGCTTTCCATTATATGCACGACGACTAAAAAGTCGACTATTTTTTAAATATAGTAAAAATATGAAAATTCGTCAATGCATAGGCGTATTACGTAGGGGAGTGGGGAGGCTCCAGCCTCACTAAAAATGTTGAGAAGACAACGATAGCAAGGCATTATTCGCTGGACGGTTGTATGTACCAACCGCCCCCCCTTAAAAATGTGGGCCGTGTGCGCATGCGTCCATGGCCGTTTCTCTAATATCTCCAAGTATGAAACTTAATTAACTATGTAATAGTTACTATTTTCTTGTACTATCTTGATGGCATCAATCCATACACTAAATCCAGTCAATCTTACTTCATTTCCATATACATATATTGCTAACATAGCATGTGAACTTTCACACCCCTTGATGGCATCAATCCATACACTAAATCCAGTTAATCTTACTTCACTTCCATATACATATATTGCTAACATAGCATGTGAACTTTCACACCCCTTGATGGCATCAATCCATACACTAAATCCAGTCAATCTTACTTCACTTCCATATACATATATTGCTAACATAGCATGTGAACTTTCACACCCCCCCCTTGATGGCATCAATCCATACACTAAATCCAGTCAATCTTACTTCACTTCCATATACATATATTGCTAACATAGCATGTGAACTTTCACATCCCCCACCAGTTTAATATGTTATCGAATAAAATAGCAAAATCATGATCAAAGTTAGTTGTATTTTACCCGTCATTTTGTGGAATTGACTGTAAAATATCAAAGCACAAAATAAGACTGCAGAGCATTAGTATAACTATGAATTAACGATTGGTGAGATAATTGCTGCCATTAAAGTAAACGTAAAAACAGTAAAGCCTTGATATTTGACTAGTGATTGCAAAAAAAACCTAACCTCGGACAATTGACCCGAGTTGGCATTCTTTGACGCTCTGATGGATGAAATCTTCCAATCTTTATAACTGCGATAAAGATCCTTCAATTTCTCATCACGTTGCTTCTTTGTAAGACAACTAGCTGCTGCAACAGCATCGACTTCACTCTCGCTTACATCAAGTAATTCAATCAACATCTGAAGAGCGAAAAGCAAAATATTTACAAATTAAGGTTGTTGCAAATACCTTTCGTTGAAGCAAGAAAGATAATTCTAAATTATAAGTATAAAATACATACTAAACGTATATGAATATAATGTATTGGTTAAATACGCTAATAAAAAATGCACGATTTTGTTGTAACTTCTAAATGGCTTAAAGCATCATTAAATTAGGAGAATCGCGCTGCTTCTAGTAGAGCAGATTTGGGAAACGCTCTCAACGTATCACGGATTTATTTTGTAATCTAGATGGGTAAAATACCCTATACTATGACAGCAATCCACAAAGCACATCTATTTCGATAGATTAGAGAACTATAAAACATATTATACCTATAAAATACATGGTTCACGAACAACAACATGAACTTTGACTAACGACAGCAATGGTCAGGTAAATTCAACCTTACATCAATAAATGATCCATCGTTAGTCAAAACAAGCAATGCCAAAATTCAAAATGCCTTCAAAACAATATCAATTACTAATAGATTCTGTACAACAAATTTATACACACATCCAACTTAATTTAAAGTATTTCGAACTGTAAATACATTCTAAGAATAACATGCTGTAATTTATTTTTCCCAACGCTGGGTCCATCATCACCCAAAAAGACATTACTAATATATAACAGAGTGGTTAATGAGAATGAGAACATTGTTGTGTGTTACACGCCAATGTGTTGCTCGTGTTCCTACGTTGATGGGTCAGTAATGAATCATTGCAATCTAACATATTTCACCTAAAAGGTTACTTCGACGTATATGAGAGCATTTTTTGAAAAATCGTCCATATATATTGCTAGCAGACAAAACTATGAACAAATGAAGCTTCGTGAATGAAATTTCCATGCACGATGTTTAGACAGCAAAACATACAAAGAGTAGCACGCTTTGATAGTAGCTAGAGCTGTGCTTATGCTTTTGTGTTCGCGATTCGAAGAATGGTTTGTTTTTTTCATTTCCACGCAGCAGATTGTCCGGCCAACTTCGGAAATGCTCACATAGCTATATGACCGAATAGTCCTTTAAGGCTATATTTATTGTAAATGAAAATGTTTAACTTTCTTCATTATGTCCACATATGAAAAAGAAAGGTAATACTTTATGTTAACCAAACTGTCAAAAACTAACCTTAACTTCAATGGAATGTTTGTCTTCCACCTCTTTCAAAATTGCCTCGTCTAGAGCAACGATACCTTTATTCTGGATCTCTAGAGTTTCTTGTGATAAAATCTTCTTATCGCGCTCCTGTTGTTCTCTGAGTAAAGTCAATATGGCGACTCGTTGCTCCTCTTCACCAGAACGAAGGAAAGAATTTTCTTTATTCGAAGTTTTTGCTTTCAACGCTGCCAACCGATCTTTCGCAAGCTTCTCGTGACGTGCTCGATCTTTACGATAGCTGAAAGGTTGAGCGATGATAGATTTAGTTTTATGTTGGAATTGTTAGTACTCCATATTTTAAATGCATCGCAAAAATCACTGGAGATGATCCACTGTATGTTAGTACTCTGCGCAGTCCCGTTAACGAATTTCATGCACTCTCCTCCATGAATCACATGGATCAACAATTTAGGGGAAGAAGACTGGGACTAGGGGAGGCTCGGGCTCCGGTTCGGATTTCGGTTGCTACTTTTGCTGTACCATGTCGGACTTTTTTTGGTTTAATTAGTTTACCGTTTTTATAATGATTGGGAAATCTTTGGAAATGCGCTCCATCAAACATCGCCAATTTTGGAAATGCGCTCCATCAAACATCGCTCACGATTATTTTTGCCCATTTGTTTGGTATTTTAGCATTTCGAAATGAAATTGACACCCCTCCTGCACCCGAACTAATCAAGGCTAGGAGAGGTGCGCACCCCCCGTACCCCTTTTCTAACTCCATACCTGCAGGTGGGTGAATTTTTTATTTCTCACAAGCTTAATTGAAAACTAACGGGGAAAGTTAAAACACTGAGACGGCACCACGACTCCTTAAGAACTGAACTTCCGTGTTACTGTTGCGTCATACCTGGCCTCACGCGCTGTCTCCTGTTGCCTAGCAACTCCAAGGACTAATGCAGCTACATCGAATTTGTCTTCCTTGGAAATTTTCATTTGCTGTCGTCGAAGCTTCGCCATTTCAAGTTGCCGATGTCTTTCACTGCCGAAGCGTTCATCTTGAATCCTCAACGAGGCCAAAAGCGCCTTCTTCTCGTCCTCGTAACGTGACTGATGAAAAACAAAGACACGGTTTGATAAGCACATAAGAATGGTACAATTTAGCGGTAATAAGAAGGAAAAAATTTTAGAATGGTAGTTTTGATTGTATAATTTGATAGTAGGCACTCGTATGATGATTGCAGACACATTGAGATTCTCGATATCTTAATCCCAGATTATCCAATCCGTGCTAGTTCTTATCACCTGTAAATCTTGCATCATGTCCACAGTGGTGACTTCTTCTTCGATCGCTTCAGCATCGATGTCATCCTCCATGAGTTGAGCCTCTTCCGTGTTCATCTCAATACCAGCCGCCTTTAGTTCTCGAAGTTTTAGCAAACGTCGTCTCAATGCATCCTTTTGTTGAGCTTTCGTTTCCCCCATTAAATTTGAAAGGCTTGCAGCGTGCTGAAGACCTTCGCCAAACAATCTGTTGAAAATAACGATGCGGATATCATCTCAAACAATAACTGCACTGGAGTTGATTTGCAACAGTGTGAAAGATGAATAAAGTGGAAATTTCAACCGACCTGTTTGCCTCGTCAAAACGTCCTTCCTTTCGAAGTTTCTTATCCTGAAGTCGTATTTTTAGTATCTCTGCCTGTCTTTCTTTTTTCGAAAGTCTTTCCCAGACTGAAGCACCGAGTTCGTTCATCAAACTTTGCGCGATCAATTTATCTTTCAACGCATCATATTTTCCTTCGAGTGCGTTCAGAAGTTCTTCCTCCGATGGGACTTTGTGCTCGGAATGTTTATGAGCCGCAGTTTCCTGTCCGAAGAACGTCATTGCTATGTTGTCATACCAACGGTTGCGTCTTGCTTGATGCTGAACAGCGCGAAGTTGCATCAAAGTCGTGGGAGACTGGAACAGAAGATACTTTGGTGCATGAATAATATAGTACAAAATTGACCGTTATAACTAATGTTGACTGTATAGAACTGTTTACACATTCCATGCGTGCTTCAAGGTTGAAAACGCAAAGAGAAGTTTTATTATTGAGCAGTTATATTCATGTATTTATAGAATGAATGAACGATAAAAACAATTTGACCATCGATCAATTACCCAATTTTCTCAATCAATAAATACATATAATACAATATCGCTGTACGAAATGATAAAACATGTATTTTAAGACATGCTTTTAAACACAAGAAGAGCATTTTTTTGGAACCGATTTATCCACTGGATAACATAGAATATTGAAAGTAATAACTTGTTTTTTCGCTCTCTAACTTATCGATTTCCTTGAAATAAGCCAACGACAAAGACATGCGCGTTAAAAACAAGAAAAACATCTTGGTAGAATACCGTTTTATTCACAGGAATCCAATAACATGATCTTTGAATATATTCCTACCTTCTCGTGCAAGTCCCTCAACAATATCTCGGCTTCTTGATCCTGTATCTGCTGGAGATTCGCCAATATAGTCACGTGAACATTATCATCATCATTTACTTCTTTTCCGCTTTCACGCATTTCTTCAGCTATATTTGTCACGTTCAAACACACTGCCTCTCGTAAAATGGCATTTTGCTCTTCTATAGATTCTGCTGAACCATCTGCGCCCTCATCTCTCCACTGTTCACGTAGACACTACGAATGAGAAGGTAATATATTAATGCACAATGTCTATAGTGAAGTAGTTTCTATGCAATAAGCGCATTCAGATATAAGACCGTCATTTCAAGATCTTTTTTATCCAGAGCCAAGTCCGTCCCGGTTGTTTTCTTCACAGACTGTATCGCTGACCGTTTCGCCTAGCGGTCTTGATTAGTGAAGCAATTTCTTTCGAGAGCGTTAGTGAATCATAATGTAAAAAAATTTCCTGTTCTTGATTCGAAAGAACTCTTAAAACTGATTTTTAATGTGATATTTTGAATATCGAGACAGCAAAAAAATCTCAAAAACAAAATATGGAATAGGCGATCTTCTGAAGGAATGTCTTGTGTTTCTTAGTTTATAAAGCTACTGCTAGATGCTGGAATAATAATGTTGAACAGGAATATATGTGAATGACGTCTGGATACTTAAAAGGAGCGTTTTAGAAACCATAAAAAAATCATTCCCTTATTTCTTACATGGTAATGAAACAAAGTATGCTTTAAAATTTTAGCATTTCCTTACAGTTAACCATTATCCGCCAGTTAAAGTAATGAGTTTTTTCAGTAGGTGATATAAATATACATAGTGAAAGCAGTGCTGTAGAACTAAAGTTATCAGAGGGAGGGGGGGGGGCTCTCTTGACGTTTTTGTCAATAATGCCCTTTTAAAATTACCCATTTCAAAGGTAGAAGCGGGGCTCCTCCCCCAAGCGCCCCCCCACTTCTACAGCACTGAGTGAAAGTTAATCTCGTAGAGCAAACATACTTGTTGTGTTTTACACAGGGAAAACCGCACCTACAATGTGCTTATTTTAGAAAACCAATCATGAGGATTATTTAAAAAATGGATGTGTTTTTCCAACCTTTAACGCTTTAAGCCGATCATTTCTGTTTTCTTTACTTTTTTCTTTCGTTTGCTTTCGAAGTTCAATGGTTTCCTCTTGTTGCAGAAGTTTTTCAAGAAACTCTCGTTCACACTCTTGCTTTTTTTCCAACTCCTTCAGAACTCCCTCCTAAAAACATCATTGTTCATGTCAACCTAATTCCCAGGGCCTTTCTTCACCACACACCTATCATAGGAAGGCCCTGGGAACCAGTTTGCCTTCAACTTGTGCCTGACGAACCTGCAACGCGACAATGTTGTCTTTATCGATGATTTCCTCCAACTTTTCATCTTCTTTCTGGCGCAACTCCGTGTTTCCCAGTTTCTTTTCCCGTCGAGCCGCAAGTCGATTCCGTGCTAGCTGCTCCTGTCTAAGTCTGTCTTTCTTTTGACTAAAGAAACGCAAAGTTACAAAGAAAAACTTTCAAAAAATGAAACTTTAATAAGATCAAAAGATGTATCCTTACACTTCTTCAAGATTCGCTTTCTGCGCCCGCGCCAGGCAGAGAACTAAAGCAGCGGTATCAAACTTGTCCTCGTGTCTCGCCTTCCTTTCCTCTCGTCTCAGTCTCACCAGCTGGGCCTGACGATGTCTTTCGCTGGCGTATCGATCATCATCGTTTTTAATGCCCATATTAATTCTTCCCTTTCCTTCTCGTGGTTTTGCTTTGGAAAATAAAGTTTAAGCCTTCGCAACTTACGACTCTTTCAATTTGCACGTAAAATCGTGCGATAACGTATAAGAGAGTATGAGTACTTTGAAAACTTTATGGCTATTTTTGATATCAAAATAGGAAGTTCGTATCAATTTAGCTGTCTGATGTACTACGAAAGTGTAAACCTATAAATATATATACGGAAATTTGTAAATTTAAATTCAGTTTTGATACGATTCGATTTACATGTTTGTAAATGTAGATCGTCCAGGTTGGTATAGTCCTGAGAAGGACTGTTTTTGTTGTTGTTGACTGACGTTTCGACAACCTTAGCGATAGTCATCTTCAGAGTCAACAACAACAAAAACAGTCCTTCTCAGGACTATACCAACCTGGACGATCTACATCTACAAACATGTAACGATACTCCCGGGTTCAAACCATTTACTCTATTACGCATCGATTTGTTACACAAGAAATGGAAGTCAGTCTTTATACGGAGGTAATTTTTAATAAAAAAATAAAAAATATAAATTCTTATATCATGATCCACTACATGATAATGTCCTATACCAACTAAACCTTCACCTAAAACAAACATAATTTCATGCATCAGGATCGGGTACAAGAAGACCCTAACATTGTTGTCCATTTATGGATCAAGTTGACAGTGAATCTTTCAGAGAGTAATAAAAGGTACCTTTATTTTCTACGAAAAAAATGAATTTTTTTTATACATGAAGCAAACCTTTCATTCCATTGAATGAGCATTTTAAAACATATAGCTTTTCCCTTTTAAGAGATTTTTAAAATAATCGAAATCATATTTACGACATACATAAATGTGGCTAGCCGTCTTTAGTACAACCGACTACGGACAAACCAACAGTTCATCTCAAGGAAAACACGAAAAAAATTTATAAAAAAATGTTGACTAAATAGCACATACAACCAAAATCATTCCACTAAGAGAAATTCAACGATAACATACCATCAGCTTGATCAAAGGATTCACACTGGCTTCTTCTTTCAATTCATTTTCAAACTGTTCATCCTCTTCAGCTTCCATCTTCTCGACATCTTCCTTACTCATTCCTTCCTTTAATCGCTGTCGACGTTTTTGAAGTTTTTCTTTCAATCTCTTCTTGTGCGTCACCTTGTTCTTACCCAGAATATCTTGAAAACCTGCTTCCACATCTATAGCGTCACCTAGTAAAGCCTGAAGCTCATCCAGTTTGCCTAAAATATCATGAAATGTATGTAATAAAATTTCATAATCCTCATTATTTAGGGATAGTGCCCATCAGGTAAGCGGTTATAGTCGAAAGCAATTTGGATTCTAAACCGGCAAATGCATTCGGCTACACTGCTTTTTATCCTTAATTCTAAGATCCCAATCCGATTAATGGTTCGCTCGAATTCATTCAAATCCACTGCCATACCTTCTTTTCTGAGCCGACGTTCTTCAAGTTTTATCTGAACAAGTCTCGTTTGTCGTTCGTGCTCACTTAAAGCCTGCCATTCTGCTGCCCCCATCTCTTTCATCAATGCCTCCGACAATAGTTTGTCTCGAAGGGTTTCGTATTTTGAATCTAAAGCATCGAGCAATAACTGTTCGTCAACGTTTGTGACATGCTCAGGGGCAGAAAATACTGTCATTATATTTGCCAGGATGCAACTTTCAGCTTCGGCTAGAAATTGGGTTTGCAATGATATCAACTCTGCTTTTCCTGTAAAGAAAGAAATTTAGATAAAATATTGCAGTGAAGGTATTAATATAGAAGTATAGGTAAAAATATAGAAGTATAGGTAAAAATATAAAGTATAGGTAACAATATAAAAGTATAGGTAACAATATAGAAGTATATAGAAATATAGAACAATATAAAGTATAGGTAACAAATATAGAAGTATAGGTAAAAATATAGAAGTATAGGTAAAATATAGAAGGATAGGTAACAATAGAATATAGGTAAGTATAGGTAAATATAGAAGTATAATATAGAAGTAAAAATATAGAAGTATAGGTAATAAATAGTAGTAGGTAACAATATAGAAATATAAAATATAGGTAACAATATAGAAGTATAGGTAACAATATAGAAGTATAGGTAACAATATAGAAGTAATATAGAAGTATAGGTAACAATATAGAAGTATAGGTAACAATATAAAAGTATAGGTAACAATATAGAAGTATAGGTAACAATATAGAAGTATAGGTAACAATATAAAAGTATAGGTAACAATATAGAAGTATAGGTAAAAATATAAAAGTATAGGTAACAATATAGAAGTATAGGTAAAAATATAGAAGTATAGGTAAAAATATAGAAGTATTTTTTTATCGCAACCTCACCCTAATTTCAACCCATGGACTACTTGCAACGCTGAACATCATGATAAAACAATATAAAAGTAGAGAAACAGTTTTATTGTACCTTATCAGGCAAACTCGCCATTAAGATCTCGCACTCCTTATCCTGCTCTTGTTGCAAGTCGGCTAACAACGACACAGTTACATGTTGTTTTAAAATCTCTTCCCCGGTACTTTGGTTGTAGAGTGTTCGCCGACGTGAAGTTTGTTTCATAATGGCCGCTTCTTGTAAGATGTCGCGCTGCTCATCAGTGTCATCTGAACATGGAGAAAGTAGAAATTATGACACGGACGGTACACTGTCTGGGAACTTTTTATCCAAGATTATAAGTGTTTTTAAGCATTGCATTTAAAAACAAACCTTTGTTCAAACTCTCTTTTTTCTCTTTAAGTTGACGCAAGTGATCGCCTCTTTGTTCGGACGTCATCGATTGAGCGAGGTTCTCCAAATCATTGTCTTCGTACTCGAGCAAGTTCAACATCGCTTCTCTTTCCTCGTAATGTTTATTCTCGAGGAATTTGATGACAGCCTCTTGTAGTAGAACGTTGTCGCCGTTTTCGATGATATTTTCTTTACTTAAAGTCGTTCGTTTTACTCTATTTTTACGTTCTTCCAAACGTTGTCTGGCCAGTTGCTCGTGACGCCTTTGATCCGACAACATCCTGGTAAGTAAACGCAAAAACTTTAGAAAAGTTGTTGTGTATAAACAATAATACCAACTATACATAACAAACTAATGATGGGCGGATGATCGATTACAATTGAAAGTTGATCAAAAAGTTCAAGTCAACGCAACAATTGATCGCGCTACCTCAAAAGCGCGCTAGTAGCAAAAAAAAAATTAAAATCATATCAAAATCAATGATGCAAATTTAATAACTGTATATGTGGTCTTGGGCTCCTAATTTCTAAGTCATAACTGCGCTTATAGCATGATGACATAACAAACATTGACTTCTGTACTGTGAAAATGCTTATTGGTGGATTTGTACGATTATAATCGATTATTGATTGCTAGGGCATTACCCGACATTCCGATGATCTATAGTGAAATATCAACTGATTCTCGCCACTATAACAAAACATTTTCCAACTAAAGACTTACCTTTCTTCAACTTCCTTGCGTTGACGTTCGGCCAGGCCTAGTACAAGAGCAGCAGAGTCGAAGTTCTCTTCCAATTTCGCTTTTAACCGTTCGCGTTTCAGCCGAGCTAGTAAAGCCTGTCGTTCACGTTCGCTAAGGAACTGATTATCTGCATCGAGCAATTTTGAAATTAAAGCGTCCCTCTCTTCTTCGAGCCTAATACAAGAACGCAAGATTTAGGGTGATTTTGTAGAGGAACAGGGGGGGTGGTAGAAAGTGGAAAGATGTATGAAAAGCGAAGATAGAAATTTAAGGATGAACATCGTTATAACCGTTTCAAATGAAAATACAGGAAAATGTTTTCAATTCTTGATTCATTGTCGGTTACTTAATTTCAAGGTAACATATTCACGCAAGTTTTGTAAGAAACTGAAAAATTGTTTATAGAAATGTCAATGACGACGAAACCAATACAGCATATTGGTATCAAATGAAAGAAGCCATTTAATGGCCAAAATATCATACAAGTAAAAACAGCAAAGCACCTTTCGTCCAGAGATTCAAATAAACTTTTCTCATCACTTGATTCCATATCCTTCGATTTCTCCTCGTCATCCTCAGGTGGTAGACCTTGTGCAAGCCGTTCACGACGACGTGCGAGTCTTTCCCTTAGCCGTTGCTCGTATTCCTCTCGGTTCACCCCGAGCAGCTTTCGGAGATTGCCGTCAGTTGCAAAGCCGTCACCGAGAAGTTTAGCGAGCTCATCGAGTTTGTTCTCTCGTTTTAAACGCTTCGTTTCAAGTTTCAATTTCATCAAACGATGCTGACGCTCTCTTTCTGATAAACGCTGCCATTCATCTTCACCTGAAATAACCAACATCAGCATGATAAGGACATGAGAACTTAAACATAGTTTACTGTTTAACGTCTGGAAGATTGGGATTTTCTTTAGAAAAAAGATTAACATAAAAATTTTACGGCATTATAAAGTCACCATTCAATTAAAAAGGCGAGAGAAGCGAGAGAAGCACGAGGAATGGATTAGGGGTGGTGTGCAGGGGCTATCTCTGGCAAAAAAAAGGACGCAGAAGGGCTGCCAATTCCGCTACAAAATACCAATATACCAAACAATTAAACAAAAGCAATTGTGATTAGAATTTGAATTTCACACCAATTTCCAAAATTCTCCCTATTATAATGAAAAAATTACAGAATTTAAATAAAAATTAATAAAACAGTCTGACATGCTACGGCAACAAAAAGCTACCAATATTTAACCCAAACTTGAGCCCCACATTCCCCCTGCATAAAAACCAATGTCGATCAATTTCTGCACTTGAAAGGGGTTCAAATAAAGTTCGCGCGTACGCTGATTTGAGTAAAACGCAGGCTCAGATATATGTGTATCTGAAGAATTGAATTGACAGCTTGATGAAACGTCATGTAATGAAGATATCCCTACCAAGTTGTTTTCTCAACGCTTCCAATAATAGTTTGTCTTTCAATGCGTCATACTTGTCCTCGAGAGCTTGCAAGATTTCATCATTCGTTCCCAGGCCATCGTAGCGCAGCAAGATTACGGATACATTTTCCATATGTTCCGACCTAAAAGCTCTGATTTGATTTGACCTTGTTGATTTGAGTTCATCTTTAGACTGTAAAGAAATAAAGGCGAGCCTCTTTAGTCTTTAGGTTAGGATATTTGGACAGTTGTAACACGGAACTGGATCTGCGAACCTTAACGCTACACCAAAATGAAAAACGTCCGAAAGACATTTCTTCCATGCAGAGGTAATGCGATTTTCAGCTTTTCTCTCAATTTTGGATTTTCCACAGGGGGTTAATAGACCTCAATATCGAGTGAACATCATGCACATGTGAAGTTAGAAAATTAGGTACTCCGGGATAAATTGGGCTTTTACGATGCGAATACGAGGCAAGTAATCCATCCAGAGGAGTTCGAGATCACCGTCATCTCAATGAAATCATCAAATAACATATCACAAGCCATCCTAATCATAAAAACATAACCAATTACCATATCAAGAATTTTCTCCAGTAGCTCCTCGCACTCGTCACTGTGACGCTCGAGCAGGTCTGCTACTATGGAAACGAAGATCACGTCATCGGTAATTCTTCCCTCCTTCTGCGTGTACTTGAGGCGGAAGCGACGACTTTCAATTTTATATGCACACGCCATCTCAAGGATTGTATGATTCATGTCTTGATCACCTGAAGTTGAAAAACAATTATTCTTTGAGTATAGGTAAGTAATACTATGCTACTCGTGAAGTGATACTTGCACAAGAAAACATGCCTAAGCATAAATTTCAAACACTCAAAATTAACTAAAGTCCTGAGGACAAGTGATTCAAAAGCAGCAATCAACCGCTTGCGCTTGAAATGATGTGAAAGAGACTGGAAACAAACGTAAAAAATTCGGGTAAGATCTCAATAAGCAACCACACCATTACATGGAGAGTTACAATCTTTCATGTTTTTCAATAAGTATCTTCTATTTAAGTTTTATCATCTCGACAAATAAAGTCTCTTTCATATCTCAAGTAGTAAAAAGTTTTATACGAGATCAGAAAACACATAGAAGATCAATAGTAAATTGTTTAGTAGAGTTGAATAAGATCATGTCACAATTAAGAAATGCTTTGAATTTTCGTCAAACATATGTCCATGGTCGATTTGCAAATTCTCTTTGATTGATTTAATTTATTGAGCTCAGGGTTAGGTTGCACGAAACCTGGATAGCGTTATGCATTGGATAGCTAGTTTTTTTAAACTTTTTAAAACACAAAAAGTATAAGATTTGAGCTGAACAATCACTGAAATAAAATATTGTTTCGAATATTACGAAATTTCTTTGTCGTAAGAAAAATGTAAACACCTTTTTTACAAGTTTGAGGATTCTTGCGATCCAAAGGACAACGTTATCCAGGCTTCGTGCAACCGGCCCCAGATCGGTTCGTACAGGCTTATGAAAACACAGTTATTGAACAATCAGCGCACGCGTTTTATTTTTCTTATTCTATAAAATGAAATAGTACGACCGAACCTTTTTCATCTAGATCCAGAACGTCTCTTTCATTTTTCAATTCAACCGATCTCTTCTGGCGTTCGTCCTCGGTGATCTCTCTAGCTTCGTCGCGTAGATCACTCAAGGCATTATCAAGAAGAAGAGAAAAAAGGAACTGCCTCTCCAGTCTTTGTTTACGTTCAAGTTCAATCAACGCAGCATTCATCCAGTCAATGGAAGCATCTAAAAGTCGACGTACATCTTAAACTACACGAAAGCATGGACCGCGGAGGTTCAATAATAAAGGAGGCGCAAAGTCGTATACGCATGTCATAATCCGTGGAAAACAAATGATTTAAAGGAACTTTATACAGTATATAATGCACAAATGAATATTTCCTGCCACAGTCATCGATCTTTCTATATCCATACACAAAAGAGATTCAGTGGAAACGCAAGAGAGAAAATTTTCATTGAGTGACAAATACATAATAAACGTAAAGATAAAAATAACAGAGCTCACCTTGGCTTGGTTCAATATCTTCCACTTCATTTACTTGTCTATTGCCATTCAGACGAGCCAAGATTAAACGTTCTTCAGCCAGTGAAGTACGTCGTCTCTCATCTTGTATAAGACGGTCGTTCACAGTCCTCCTATGTCTTTCGCAGAGGCCCAGAACGAGAAGAGCGCAAAGCATGTTGGGTTCTTGTTCTGTCATTCGCTTATGTTGTTTTAGTCGTATGGTGGTATTATTTATGTCACGTGTTCCACTATCTCCCCCCTCCTGAAGAAAAAATCAAGTTACGTTGAGTACAAATTACCACTGTTATCTATTATCACTTAACTTTCACACAACCATCAACTAACCGCTATCCTAACCACCAGTTAAAATCTACAGTCAAATTACCATTGAACCACCCACTAACCACCGTCCAACTACCATCCAAACCATCACCCAACAATCACTAACCAACTACTCAACCAACATTAAAATTACCATTCAACCACCAACCAATTACCATCCAAACCATCACCCAACAAGCACTAACCTACCATTTGACCAACAATCAAATTACCATCCAGCCACCAACCACCATCCAAACCATCACTCAACAACCACTAATCTACCATAAAACCAACATTCAAATTACCATTAAACCACCACCTAACCACTGTCCAAACTACCACTTAACAGTCACTAACCTAACATTTAACAAACACTAAAATTACCAGCCAACCACCAACTAACTACCATCGAAACCACCATCCAACCACCACTTATCAACTATCTAATCAATGTTCAAACAACCATACAACCACCATTTATTAATTATTTAACCAATGTTCAAACAACCATACAACTACCACCCAACATCTATAACTGCATGAAGAACTAACCTGTAACCAAGTGATGATGAGTTGTTTCTCATTTTTAAACCGTTCATCGAGATCTTTCCAAATATTTCCAGAGATTTTGAAAGAACCATTTTCGTGAATACTGAGATCCTCAACGCCAAAATTCTCTTGCCAACTAGTATTTCGCCTTTCGAGAACTGATTTCAATTTCTCCATGAACGCCTCGCGATTCTCGCCCAAATGCGAGATAAGTGTAAAGCCGTCCGTGAAACCATCTCCCAAAAGACTTAGAGCATCGTCGAATCTCTTTTGAAGACGTAATTGTTTTTCACTAGCTTTCGCTCTCGTTACGAGGTTGTAGCGTTCGACCAAAGACGTGTTTTTCCAGTCACTAGAACCTAATATCCAAAGGTCATAAAATGGTATTGTAAATAATCTTGCTTAGAATGTGGTGAAATTCGTTCATATTGTCATAATCTGTGTATGTACAACTGTAAACTTGCTCTAAGTCTTCTTCTTTTTACTTAATTTAAATATTTAAACTAATCTGAAATCTGTTAAAGAGAATCACACCTTGTCCATATCGTATTCACAAATAGCTAGACAAGTTTCAGATAGCGCTAATAACAATAAGAAATGCCGCGTAAAAGGAATTTGGCCGTTTACAAGTGATAATCGGATTGGTCATACAAATTTCATATGTCTTAATTGATAATCAGAAATGTCCAAATATTTTCTGAAATTCATCTAAAGTTTTCTGATATCCCACTGCAACATCTGAAATTCACTGGGACATTTCTGATGTTGAGCTGGACAATCAGAAAATCATTTGAAAGCTTCTAAATTTAATCAGGAAAAGGTGTAGTTGACTACAAAGTTCTGCAAAATGGCAGAGAAGAAGAAGGCATAGAGAAAGTCCTTTTATGTAACAAAAGAAACATTCAAACTTACCAATTTGATTTTTTATAGACTCTTCGATAATCTTATGTCTCACACAATCGTATTTCTCTTCGAGCAGTTTGATGATGTCAACTTCAAGGCGTGTGACGTCACTAGTGCCCAGGACAACGGCGGAGAGGTTATCTAACCATTCTTCGTGATACATTCGCTCTTGCTTGCGATGAACGCTCAGGACTTCCTCGTATGTCTAAAGATATGTAATCATGAGTTAAGATATGTAATCATGCGTTAAGATATGTAACCATGCATTAAGATATGTAACCATGCATTAAGATATGTAACAATATATCAAGAGACAAACAAAACGCAAGATATGTTCCATGCGTTAAGATATGTAACCATGATTAAAGATATGTAACCATGCGTTAAGATATGTAACCATGCATTAAGATATGTAACCATGCATTAAGATATGTAACCATGCGTTAAGATATGTAATCATGAGTAAATATATGTAATCATGAATAAAGATATGTAACCATGCGTTAAGATATGTAATCATGAGTAAATATATGTAACCATGCGTTAAGATATGTAAGTGAAAAAGGATAAAACCAGCTTTGTCACAAACATACGTCACTGATGTCACTGATGAAGAAAAACCTGAACTTCCTATTACGCAAACTCTTTTATAAACATTTCCCTCCCCCCAGATGCCTATCGTTACATGTTATAAAAGTACAAGTCACGTGATCACACCTGGTCTTCGCTCGCCAATATTACATCAGCATCTAATTCCTGTTGATGAAGCAGTTGAGCCAACAATTTTAGGGCAGCATCTTCATTTGTTCCAGACTCCTTTATTTCCAAATGTTGCTCGACGTAAGCAATGCTTACGGCTTCCTGTAGCAGTTGTATATTAATCCGTCTGTTGGAGACTTTCTCCTCCGAGTTTTGACTACGCCAGCCTTTGCGTTGAGTTTTTAGTACCACACGCTGGTTCGCTCGTTCCTCTAAAAACCAGAGATGGATTTGATGTGGGATGTAAGGGATGAGATGTGGGATGCAAGAGGTGAGATGTGAGATGCAAGGGGTGAGATGTGGGATGCAAGGGTGAGATGTGGGATGCAAGGGAGATGTGAGATGCAAGGGGTGAGATGTGGGATGGAAGGATGAGATGTGGGATGCAAGGGGTGAGATGTCAGATGGAAGGATGAGATGTGGGATGCAAGGGTTGAGATGTGGGATGCAAGGGTGAGATGTGGGATGCAAGGGGTGAGATGTGGGATTCAAGGGGTGAGATGTAGAATGCAAGGGTGAGATGTGGGATGCAAGGGGTAGGAGTGTTCATATTTCTTACTAAATATTTTGTGCCCAAAAGCATTGGTGGACACTTAAAAAATAACTTAAATGATTTCAAGTCAATGTATGCGATGTAAAAATGTCTTTACGTTTCTACTTTTTTTATTGACAAAAACTTCCTGAGAAATGTCTCCTTTTCAGCCCTCCATTTCCTCTACGGACCTATTACTTCTTCGACTTTGAAAACTTTTTGTTGAATGATTCATGATTTGCACGTGACTGACAACGTAGCACGCATATGTCTGAGACACACGTAGAACAACCGAGCAAAATCTATTTCAAACTAAAGAACATTTTAATCCCCCGTCTTTCGTTCTACAAAATCATGCTGGATCCAATTCTAGGATAAGCACCTTTAGAGAATGAAGTACAAAACAAATAAAGCTACTTTCGACAATCTGAAAGACAGCCATTACAAAATTGCATTTGCTGTGATAATGTTTGAAGTCAATTTCGAACCCAATATTAAAAACTGCGTTCGTTGTGGCAATTGGGAAATACTTATTTGTAAAAATCATTTCATACCGTTGGTCATTTTTCGCACAGCGGTTCTATTTTGAACAGCTTCCTTTCCTTGCAGCATGGAAATCATGATTTCCATCTCAGCACGATGCTTTCTTTCTAAAGCCTTGATTAAATTTTCGTACAAGTCAACGACATCACTCCCAGCATTCTCGTGATATTCCAGGTTGCCATGTTTTATATCCTTGGGTGATCTGTGCCCGCAGCGACGTTCCGACAAGTGACGATCAGCCAGTAAATACTGCGCATGTCTTGCAAAATGAAACCTAATAAAAATGAAGGATGTCGTAAACAAATTTCGTAAAACGAACAGCAAAACGCAAAAAAACGAAACAAAAAACGACTTGCGAATGTGAGCAGAAGGAAAAACCCGCAGAAAACAGTTAAACGATGCAGACAATACAATTTGAAACGATTTCTTTTTTACTGACGAAAACTAGAAAAGTGAAAGTCAACCCGTACAAAACAGCAAATACGAGAAAGAAAGCAAGCTTCGTTTCAGGTTTAATAATGCGATATAATAAACCTTTTAAAAACCTCGCTTTCTCGGTCTTGACTTAGAAATATCGCCCTACGGGTTCGGTCCATACAAAAAGACCTCGGTCCAATAATTCCCTTAAAGACCTCATTTAATAACTCAAGTCTAATGCTTTCCTCGGCATTGATTTGATGTTGAAACTTATTATACACTCAAATCTAATGTCTTCCTCAGAAATGATCTGATGTTGAAACTTGAGTCTACGTAATTTCATCAGCAGTGATCTCATGTTGAAACTCAAGTCTAAAGTTTTTATCAGGAATAATGTGATGTTGAAAACCTCACCATGACATAAATAATATCGCTCAACATCTCTACCTGTCTATCTCACAGCCATTGGCGGAGGACTCACAAACAGCAACAGCGAGACAAGCCGATTCATAACTTGCTTCGATTGATGCCTTCAGATGTTGCCGATACATAAACTTATACTCCTGCAACCTTTGCAATCCTGTCATACCCCCTCGTTCACCACGAAGCTTACACTTCAACGTTCCCTTCTCACTTTGATAACGTGAACAGAGGTCATTTAACATATGATGAATATCCACTTCACCAAGAAGTTTACTCTGCCACTCTTGCACAATGATGTTGTGGATCTCAGAATCTGTTTTACCTAAAAACATGTGGGGGTATAGAAAATGTAGAAACAACTCAATATTGAAAGCTGACTGCCTACCGAGATTTACGTGAGCAGCTTCATTCGCTAAAAGAGTTGATTTTTTATTGACTAGGCAAAACAAATATTTAGCTGCAAGAAAAGTTGATGACAGGTGTGTTTGACTCTCTTCGTTTGCTGTATCCTTGATAGTGAATGGAGTTTTGCTTAGTGATCGGATGAAACTTAACATTACGGGCATTGACAAAGTGATTGTTATTGCGAGTTTTTAGAACCAAAGGGAGTGAGTAAGAAACGGTGGAACATTTACATGGTATAAATAATTGGATGTCTCTCTATGGAAATTATACTGTTGCATCTAGTTTGAGTCTAGGGATAAAGAGTTAAGAAACCACACAATTGAAAGAATGAATGAATAACTCTTTAAAATCTTTATTGCATCAAGAATGAAGGGACGAAAACATACGACTAAGAATCATACTTCACGATGACTAGCTATAAAAACGAAGGCGAATATCAGCAGGTCAAACACAACGTCAATTAAACATGCTACGCGACTGACTTCACGGCATAGAAATATAGCTAGGTACCTTCATTTTCTAGGATTTCTTTACGTCTGTTCTCTTCGTGCAACTCATTTTCGTGATTAACCCTACTGGGTCCGAGCAAAGCCGGCAAGTTTCTTTTGTAATTCTTTCCGATCTTACTACTGTGAGAGCGTGATTTGTTTTCATAAGTCTGGCTCAAACGTCTCTCTTGCATTTTGGCATGAAGAAGCTTCTCTTCTTTATCAGATTTAGACATTGCTAGCCAAATACCTTCGCCTGCATCATATTCAATTAGCTCCAAAAGCAATTTTTCTCTCAGTGTTTCATACCTAAAATACAATAACGAGCCCCGTTTCTTTAGACATTCGCATAATAGACCAAGATTACCATAAGCAATGCAGGATGGGGAGAGGCAGGCAGCAAGAAAGGGAGTTACAAGGGACAGCTGATCACAGGGATCTTCACAGAAATGGGAGAAGATCAAATTTGAATGAAATTTAGACGGGTAACTTTAAACAAACATAGCAGATTTTGGCAATTTAAGCGAACATCGCAAAAACGAAGAAAATTTTGCAAAAAGTTGGGTATTTACGAAGTTTAGGTAGCGTGGTTTCGTGACTTGAGTGTTTCCTATAATTTTAATTAACCCATATAGATATGCATCTAACTATACCCTGTCATCATACACCATGTGTTACTTTATCATTACAGAGTTGTGACAAATTTTCACTTGAATTCTCAAAAACTAAGACAGTAAACAAACTTTGTCTTCAAAAGAGCGACCACATCTGATGCTCCAACTTGTTCTCGCGCCTTTCTGTGATCATAGTCATCTTCATGGGAGTGTGCTTCAATTAATATCGCATCAATTCCTTCCTTGTCTAAGCGTCTCAGTCTTTGCTTCGACTTCTGTTTCAACAGAGACGACTCCATATTGCGATTTGCTTCCAACCTTGCCAATGTTGAACTATCTGCCTAAAGTACAATATGAAAATCAGAAAAGTGCAAGTATGTATGGTTTTTTGTTGGATATGTGGTTCAATGAATAGAAAATGCATGTTGAACTATTATTGAAACAAGCATTGCTGTGTTGCATATTGGAAGGCATGAACTAGGGGAGTGGGGTGAGTGAGATATTGAAGCCCCAGTGCACCTTTCCATGATTCCAACTATCCCAAGCATACCACCATAAAATTTTTGAAGGAATCTGCTGCTGCAAACATCAACAAAAGAAACATCACTCCACCTGAAGTTGCTCATAAAGAGACCAATCTTCGTAGCATTTTTCTCCACGTTCATTTTCTAACTTTCCTCTCTCATCATCATATTCAAAACTCTCAGATAAGTTGCCTTCAACTGGAAGTTCACAAAGCCACAGCTTCAACTCATCATATGAAACATCTTCATAATGTTTTGGTCGTGAAGACATGAATGCATTCCAGATATCAAGAGAAAATCTTTCCCCATGAACACATTGGAATAAAAACAACGCAGAACTGGGTGGGATTCGACCATTACCTAAAATAGGAGAAATCCAAGAGATAATGCATTTAATGATGTAAGTGAAAGTCAACCAGGGTGGAGGGGCAATTTGGCAAGAGAAATTTTGCTCAGTTTGCTAATTGAGATAATTACAAGACTGTGGTGACTAGTCGTAAACTTTAAACATACATGTATTTTCCTGTTACTATAAAGATATTATAAACTATTTTTTTATTCATGCATGCAAAGAAAAAAAATTTTATTTCCAGCAATTGGATTGGGTCAGTGAACAGCTTTTAGTGATATCTTGTGAAATTGAAATTTTTAAAATCAATTTAAAAGCATTGTAAATTGTTCAACGAGAAAGCAAAGTGTATTCAGATGGTGGTTATCATTGATTTGATGATGGTGTAGAACACAATTCCAGTTCTGTCTCAATCAAGCCACATTGGCCATTTAACAAAGTGAATTTCTTCATAATAAAAATAAAAAATAAATGTTATTTACCATTTATGTCAGTTGATACTTAAAAAATGTTTTCACTTGGTCTCAAAAGCGTTCCTTGACCTTTGGCCTCAGGCTGCTTTTGAAACCTTGAGAAAATACTTTTTCTGTACAAACCAACAAGCCAGTAAATAACATATTTATCACATTCTTTATATTCAAGCATGTCAAAACTGTTCAATTTTTATCTGCAAAATTTTGATGAATTTTGTGAATAATACAGCAAATAAACTTTCAGCGAATGAGCAGGACAGTGTACCACCAATAATGAAACAATATTGAGAAGTTTTCTTTAATAAAAACTCTTCATTCTCCACTAGCAATGAATTATAAAGGACGTGTTAACACAATAGGAGAATCTTCATGAAGAAGTTAATAGCATTTTTTTTGGTTATCCAAATTTTCACATTTTGAGTTTCAACACAGTGTATTAACCAACCTAAGACATCCAAGCACTTGAAATCCCAATATATACTTTCTTCCAACGAAACTCGCCGACTAATCTCTTCTACAACTCCACCAAAGTACTCTTTCGTACATTTCAACTGCGAGTTTCTACCGCAAACAAAGTTCACGGCTGCTTCTATCTGTCTTCGGTCCAACGAGGCAAAGAGGACTTCGTTTTGAAAGTGTTGTAGTTGTTCTATCGTTAAATAACCTTTCATTTGTATGTCTAAGATATCAAAAATCGTATCATAATCTGGCACTACCATTTTAAAGCGGTTTATACTTTTAACACGAACACTCGAGTTGTGTGTTAGTAACCATGTCTGAAACTCGAAAACATGACAACTGGGGAATGCCAAAAACATCAACGGTCGAAAGGCGCTTATTAAGCCACCACAAAGGTTTGAAAGATTCTATTAAGCATTATAAAAGAAAGCTGATAAAATTCTAACCAAAATCCATTGCTTAATGCTGGAATTTAAGTTCTTTTTAAGAATTTTACCGAAAGAAATACCAATGCTGTCCCAAACGCGAATGGCAACCTCACTGTTGTTATACAAAATGTAAACAGAATTTCCACTTTTGAAAGTACACTTCCTTTCTAATATCAACTTCATTCCAACAATTCTATTTGAAAAATTTCATTAGTTTTTATTCTAGTACATTTTTGTACATTTTCATCACGCATTGAGTCTTAAACATACAAGTATTTCCTATAATTCATAGAATGGGCTTGTATCCAAATACAAAAATGAGTTCTACTTGTATACTTTCATGATTGTCAAATTCATAAGTCACTTTTTCCCAGATTTCTTTATACCGCTACCACCTGAAAGAATGTAGAATTAAAGTGGAACTTATACCATGGAAACTGGTAAAGTGGTAGAATTTCAGTTTAAGAGTAGAGTACGTCAACATGGGCAATGTCATCGTGAATGATGAAAACATGTTTTCATACCCATAGGTCCCTTTCCTGCAGCCTTTGCTTTTGCTTCTTGTAATTTTTTTTGCTCTTCTCTCATCTTCTGCTTTTGCGCTACGTCATCCTGGAATATGCATAAATACATTCAAATGAAGGCTTCGTGTATCTTTCAGTGATGAGTGGACATGTTCAATGGCGATTTAACCATGTCACAGCTACAAGATATTGCAGCAGTTTTCTTTTAACCTCATCTAATTCCTGCGTCTTCTTTTTTGGTTGCTTTAACGGTTTCTTTTTGCCTCCTAAATTAGAGAGAGACAAATTCTCGTGGATTCGTGGTCTTGCAGACTTGTAGTGCTGTAACCTCCAGTACAAATCAAAGAGTGTTTTTTTGTTTGAATAATGGAGAAATGATCAAAACAGGAAAGATTATATACGTGAATAAATCAGCTCAACTCACCTTCTCTACCAGACATAGTTAAACTTAAATAGAAAGCAACTCAAACGGCTAAAATATCAACAAAAAGCTTTCTGCACTCAACTCTTCGTTCGAAGTTGCTTATTATAGTAGATACATCGAAAGCAGGTGTGTAGAGTCGGCCACACTCCGTCCATGTCCGGGACATTATAAAAGTAGTGATAACATTACGCAAGAAGACATTCATTTAACCTAAATTATTTGAATGCAACTATCTTTTCAAATAATTAATCCTGTGAATGCTGCTGGTGTTACTATTTCATGAATTTAATTAAACTTTGCAGAAAACAATAAGAATTCTTAGTACCGCTTGTTTCCGAAGATTAAAGCTACCCGAGCACTTCAAAGAACCAAAGTGAACTTTGAATTTCAAGATGGCGGCCAGAGCAATTGCATATCGAGCCAATATTTTTCACCCAGCATCATGGTAAGATAGCCTTAATTTCTATAAAATATATTGCACGTATTCAAAATAAACATTTTCTAATAAACTGCGATTTTTTTTTGATTGTAGCGGTTCTGTAAGGAATATGGCGACTTTAAAAGAAAGTAGGTGAATTTTAGGACTAGCCGGTCTATCTTCCTGTTGTTCAATAATTTTCGTTTTTCTTAGTTTCAATCCGATTGAAAAGTGTGAAAAATATTCAAAAAATCACCAAGTCCATGAAAATGGTGTCAGCAGCCAAGTATGCTAAAGCTGAGAGAGAACTAAAACCAGCCAGAGCCTATGGTGAAGGCGCTTATGGTAACATAGATTCGTCAACATGCCGTTTAAGATCGGTGCAGTTATGAACTTTCCAATATTTGTGTGTGTGTGTTTAGCTCTTCCAGATAAAGTTGAGTTGGATGTCGATGAGCAAAAGCCGAACCACTTGATGGTCTTGCTGTCATCAGATCGTGGTTTGTGCGGTGGTGTTCACTCCAGCTTAGCAAAGGCTGCCAAAGCAGCAATTGCTGAACTGCCAAGTAATGTGAACACCATGCTTGTGCCATGTGGTGATAAAGCCAGGGCCATCTTGCAGAAAAGCCATGGTAGGTTAAAAGATACACACACTTGATATTAAATGCAAATTTTGATGGCTTTAGTAGTTTTGCAGTTTCTATGAATCACAGAACACTATTCCTCAATTATACATTTCTTCCTACACTTTGTCTTTTGGTGAAACTAAAACAGTTTGTTTAATGGCGAAAATGAAAAAGTTCTTAGCACAAGTTTGTCAACTGTTTACCTCCATCTTACTTACACAATGAAATATTTTTTAAACTTACTACATCAGGAGAATGATGCCATTTTAGGTGACAACATCCTGTTCCATGTGTCTGAGTTGGGCAAGAAACCACCAACTTTGCTGATTCTTCTGCAATAGCCCAAGAAATTCTTGACAGTGGCTATGAGTTTGATGTGGGGAAAATTATCTACAACAAGTTCTTGTGAGTAATTGATTGGTTTGATTCTGTGTCAACTACGATATCATCATGCTCTTCAGTTCGACTGTGGAATTTGGGTTTCAATTAAGGAATAAAAGATGTTTACTGTGTTTGTACAGGTTTATGCAAACCAGGAGACCTTCGAGAGAACTTGAAAGTATATCAGTATAAGCCAGAGACCAAAGGTCGAGGGTTGCAACTGCTTGAGAGTTCTCACAAACATCTCCGAGGTTTGCATAAGCCAGTTCAAACATGAAAAACATCTTTTATTTCTTTTATAAAATAACAATAATGCAAAACAGACAAATTTAAAGTAAATGTTTTAATTTTTCCTCAAAAATATATTCATGATTGATTTGCAAATTCTCTTTGACTGATTGATTGTTCTGATTGATTTGATTGGTTGAGCTCAGATGTGTTTTGCACTGGCTAATGCAAACACAGCTCTAGACCAATCAGCGCATGCATCTCATTGCATTTATTTCATAATACATCTCATCATTTTAGATCTGTTGTTTCATATCAAACTGAAATGAAACCAATGTTCTCCTTTGAAACATTGAACGGTGCAGGTCGGTCATTTTCGTCATTATTCGTGACCCCCCCTGAGTTGATTGATGTAGCACTCGTTTCCGGAGGGTTGATCTTAATTTACTTTCATCGCCGTGCGCTCTCTTTCTCTTGCAGAGTCATTAAACGTCTACGATGACGTGGACGCCGACATCATGCGAAATTATCAAGAATTTTCTCTTGCATCCATGCTGTTCTTTGGCATGAAGGAGCAATCGTGTAGTGAACAGAGCGCAAGAATGACGGCTATGGATGGTGCGAGCAAAAATGCCGGTTTGTATTGTATCACTCGACTGTTATAACAATCATAGCGTTAACACCTGTGAACTGAGTATTCTATTTGTGAAAACGTAGAAAAATATGAAAAGTACCTGTGCCCTTGAAATTTCAACCGTCATTTAAACAAACAACTCCCTTACCTCGCTTCCCTGTCTTCATTTTTAACGTATTTAATACATTCATTTTCAGAGAGCACAGTATAACTGTCAATTTGATAAACATAATGTCCTTCTAATCTTTTTCTCCCCCCCCCACTTATAACCTTCTTCTGCCCCCTCTACCCCGATGCTAATTAGTTTGGAATCGAAGACGTTCCTTTTTTCTACTAGGGGAAATGATTGACAAGTTAACGTTGACCTTTAACCGCACCCGTCAAGCCGTTATTACCAGAGAGTTGATTGAAATCATGTCGGGAGCTGCCGCTTTAGAGTAGAGACGTTCCTGTCATCATTGTGAAATAATTTACCAAAGTCTTTACTAGTTCTTATGTTATTGTTTCATGAATAAAATTTTTCAAAATGTAATTTTTTTTGTGGTTTATATTTGATCCAAATCGCAGAAAAATTGTGGTTGGATTTCTTGGATGGGAAAAGTGAAAGCGTTTGCTTTGCTTTCAATGCACAAAGGTAGAAAGATATTTCTTCGCGTTTTTAGGGAAAGGTCTACGAAGGAAAGCCTCTTCGAGAAATACGAAACCTTTGAGCATTTTCTCTGAACTATATGCTGAGATATCAAAAATTTAATGTTGGAATTCTTGTTGCAATAACAACGCTTATAATCAATTTTTAATCCATCTAAGAAATGTTTGGTTGGTTGCTTTTAACGTATTTTAAGTCTTAAATTCTCGTGAATGTATAACTATAAACTCTACCATAAGAAATGTCTTTCTGATGTTAGATTGGTGCGTAAAAATTAATAAAGGATACTGAGCTTGCGTAGTATTTCAACATCGAAAGGCAACGCGTGCAGTTGGAATGTTCACTCCCGTGGTTCACTCGTGCCCCGAATTACGTATGCAATGAATGAAGGTGTGACTTACTGTTGCGCAGATGGTAGGAATGTAAATCGCTGAAAATTCCACAGCATACGGGAGAAAACAAGCCGACAGTTAAGAAAAAATTTGCAAAGGTGATAGGCGTAGTTTAGGTCGAGAGCTTACGCTCAAAGTCTTCGTAAAACAGAAACGCTTTTTAAAGTAATTTTTAGGAAAATGAGTGTATAATAACTTTAAATCACCAATAAATAATATTCCCAAAATTTTAGAAACATTCCCAAAATGTATCAAACCAGAAAGCATGATAACTCCTGAAAACTGCTAAATCAACTCAACTCTATGATATCAACAATCTTCGCGTTCACTCGTAATAAAAACAGGCAACAATGGCTTTCACAAGCTTAACAAATATTTTGTTGGAAGATGCGCTAAAAAGCAATTATTTTTTAAATAAATAATCAAATCAATTTAAGCAATCATAGCCCGTCCCTAGTTGAGGTTAATTCCACTAAAGACTAAATATTTTTTTTATAATTTCATCGTGATCGATTTCCACTTTTTTTTACTAAACGCCTTTTTGAAACGCTTTCGCCAATCAAGCCTCTGATGCAACCAGGCTGAGGCACGCGGATTATATAACATTCAGCATTTACTCTCAAAAACCGCAATATCGTCATTAGTCTTGTTGACAAAATTTCTCGTTCGCAGTTGAATGAAAGTTTTCAAAGCAATATGCCTCAATAATGCGTAGTCAAAGGAGGAAGACTATCCCAAAATAAATCAACAACCTTTTTAGGTAACGATTAAGCGAAAGAACGTGTGTCAGCGTAAAAACTAAAACGAAGATAACAAGCTGCTAAAACTTAATTAACCACTTGAGGTGAGGCAATTACAGATTTTTTGCATCGGTGAAATGGAAAACAACAAAAGCGAAAACTTTTAATAATATATGAGTTTCGCGTTTTTTTTTTCATCAGTTCATGGGAAGTATTTAAACCATTGTAAACGTAGGAGTAACAGCAGTGTTCTATGACCGTTAGATATTTCAGGAAGAGATCGATTGAAGCAATTGCTTACTTGCGATTTTAGTTGATTGAGAAGACGGTGGCAATAAATATAGGTGGAAAAGAAAATACTCATCATGAATGAAAATTGGAACTATATTCACAAATTGAGCAAGAAAATAAAGAAATCCACGACCGGTAAAGTCGCGAACGCAGCCAAAAAGAAACAATCAAAAAATGCCGAAGACTCGACTTATCCCAACTTGGCTCAAATATGGAGTAAGTTCAACATCTATTAGCTATGAAGCTGCGAATATTTAGAGTTTGTAGCTAATTGAGTGTCATGATTCAATTTCTTTCAACAGCGCTGCAACAATTTTTAAATCCTATATATACATGTTCACTAAACTATGTCCTGAGCTTCTTGCCAGAAATTTTTGAAGGAAGATGTAACTTTTTGATCACTAGTCGTATGTGAAATATCATAGCCTTTTGGGACAGCATTTAATCGTCTCAATAGCTCCCGTTTTACTTAGTGTATAGAATTGGCCTCTGTTGAATATGGCAAAACATAAGATTTCCTCCGATGAGGTCAATATAAAGGTTTCACTCCTTTAGAACCTCCTTTCAAAATAACAACGTGTTTACAAACTTCGCTCATGTTTTTCTCGTTTGTCGCTTGTTGAGGAAAGTAAAAATTAACCACAACCATCTTATCTTTGTGAACATTGATAATTTTCGTTTGCCGATGCATAATGCATACATCTTTGATCAAGATCAGGTTGTTTTCAACGAGTCCCGCCAGGCGCCTGTTGATCTGACATTAAGAGCCATTAAATTGCTTTTCGCAACCACACACGGAAAAAAAATTTACGAAGGAAATGAAAAAGCAAAGCTCGGATTTATATCTTTAAAAAAATTCTTGTCGCTGAACTAAGCTGAACAAAATTTTGCGTTCCTATTAAACCCCTAATTTCTGTCTTCGAAGAAGACGCAGCTACACTCTTGTTAATCAATTCTCTTGGTCAACAATATATTTATATTCATTTAAGATGACACGAGCTTTTACTTGTCTATTCCAGCTCCAGAGAGTGTCATACAAGAGTATGATGTGATTGCAAATATTTCTACGGGAGGAAATGCAACTATATACTCCGCTAACAGAAGATGTGATGGCACTTCGGTAAGAGAAATTAGAAATTTTCTTTGAAAGTACAGATTCTACTGATGCCTTTTGAAAGATGAGTGTTAAGGACAGAATTTGCATGTGCATTGCCTTTAAGAAACCAGCATCCATTATCTTTAAGAAACCAGCATCCATTATCTTTAAGAAACCAGCATCCATTATCTTTCATTTTTTTTGCCAAAGGTTGCTCTCAAAGTTGTCGAAAAGTGTAAATTGAGACTTGTCGAGGTAGGTACTGAAAGATGATGAGCTAATTTTAAATCAAAGGTCAAAGCTCGAAACTCTAAATAAAACGAAACTTCTATTTTGAAATCGAAGTTCATACCTTAAAGTGAAGTAATTCTAACTTTAAATCGAAGTTCTAATTTCAATTAAGTCGGAGTAGAACTTTAATTAACGTTCTAAATTTAAATGGACTTCTAATTTTAAATCAAAATTCTAAATTTAACACTTTTAATTTTAAATCGAAATTCTAAATTTAAATAGAGCTTCTAATTTTAAATCGAAGTTCTAAGTTTGAATCAAACTTCTAACCCCCAATCGAAGTTATTATTTTAAAAATCGAAGAATCGAGATATTGTTAATATTTTTAGGAAAATGGCAAAGAGATCCCGGTTGAAGTTTCTCTACATAGGCGTGTAAAACACAACAACATAATCCAGCTGCTTGATTATTTCGAATGTGGGCCATCCTTAATATTAGTGTTGGAAAGACCAGAAGCTCATATGGATTTGTTTGACTACATCAGTAAACAGGAATTTCTAACGGAAAAAATTGCAAAAAGAATATTTCGCCAGGTACTTGACGCCACGCTCCACTGCGAAGAGAAAGGCGTTTTCCATCGCGACATAAAAGACGAAAATATAATATTGGATCTGAAGAACAAAGTGGCAAAACTGGCTGACTTTGGATCGGGCACACAGTTGCATAACTTCCAATACACTGAATACGAAGGTAAAGGAAGAATTAGCTTTTCGTTCTAGATGGAGTATTCATACATTTACTGAGATGGCGAGATAACATACTATTGTCAGTGAAACACAATGACAAGCATAAAATACGGCAAACCAAACACTTTCTCACAAAAACATGAATACATTTAATCTCTTCACAAGTTAAAACATCAATACACCCACTCTTCCCTTAATAAAAAACATCAATAATAGTCACGTTTACCCTTCAATATCAACACCTGCCAATCGGGTTCACATAATAGAGAATCCGTTTTTGAATCGATACAGGAACGCGTTCTCACTGTCCACCAGAATGGTTTACAAACCAACGATACTTAGCACGTCCAGCGACGATATGGTCGCTTGGTATTCTACTCTACGATATGGTGTCCGGAGATGTACCGTTTGCAAACGAAAGTGAGATCAAAGATATGGAACCATGTTTCAACATGGCGCTCTCGCAAGGTACGCATCCTTTATTATTTTTTAAAGTCAGGAGAACATAAGCGCTTTACTGAAGAGCAACTCTCTAAATCCTTACATCGAGTTGCTAAACATCTCATTATACACGAGGATCGACGATATTTCTTATGAAGTCAAGCTTAAAACAAAGTGAAAACAGCTCTGCTAGTACTTCATGTTAAGCTGAGAAAAATAAAGAAATAAAATACCACAATTCTATACCGAAGAACTTCTAAAGTCATTTTAAATGGCCTTTCCAATGCAATCAGAAAAGTCTACGGTAAAATTTGATGTCAAACACTTTAATAATTTTGAATTAAGTTTCCATGTTACGAAGCAAAGCAAGTCCAGGATGTTTAACGAAACACGATAGTGAAAAGGAAAGAAAGGAAAGAAAGAACATACAGTCAAATCTAAACAAGGCTAACGCCAAAATGCATTCCAATGTTAGCATTTGTTACAAAAAAGTGATCTCAACGTTACAAAATGTTTTTATTTTTTTAATTCTTAGATGTCATTAGTCTGATCACAACGATGCTTAATAAAGACCCCCGACGAAGAGCAACTTTGGAAGACATCCTAAATCACCAATGGCTTAAAGATAGCAATACGAAACTGGATTGAGAGAAGACAGTTCCATATGACAATCACGTGACAACTACGGCCATAACAGTGAAAAAAAATCATTGCATAATCGCGAATTGAATAATAAATTTCGGAATTATCTTTTTCACGCAACGAACTCGCATACGAGGTTGAAAAAATGTAAATACAATTTATAACTTCTTAAAGCAAGATACTCACTCACTCGCATGCCTTCCATTTGTTCAATAGGGAACAAGCTTTTCCGAATTTTCAAACGTTAAACATAAAACACGATTTGTGCATAATCTTCAAAAGAAATTAGCTAAAATCTACGATATTTATAAATACATATAGATATATACATTTATTGAACTACTAACTCAACATAGCTGTGCGGTGCAATTACTGCGGTTGAGACTCGTTAATTACCAATCTACGCAACTTCGTTCTTATCGCAATAACCGCAATGATAAAACACAACAAAGCCGTAAAACATTTGAATGAAACGAATTCCCAGAGTAATACAAAGGTTGGGTTCCTGTGGAGCTAAGTGGGACGTTTTTCTCGTTACTTTCAAGTAAGTATAAAATACAAGAGGAATACACCAACTAGGTACACGTGATATGATTGGATAAATACTTCAACCAATCATATGAAGATACCTCAGTTCACAGTACACTTGCTAATAGTATGGCGGTAAGTTACTTTGTTAATCGGGATATAAAAAAATGCCACGTCATAGCAAATGTACTTACACGAGGCATTGGTTGCATCTATCTACTGGATTCCGTGTAAAAAAAATAACAATACCGGTTAATGAAGTGGTTAAGCCGGTTTATAGAAGACGACCCTTTGAAGTACTCTGTTGTCCGATTCTAATGATTCTAATCGGTGTTCACCGAACCCAGTCACCGCTCACAAGTCACAACCAGATCTTATCTATTTGATCTCATAGTGTTTGTCTGATTTTCATAATTATTAAAAGCTAACGGGAGGGAGGACTGGAACTGAGCCAATCCTAACAATCCACTATACATCACAAATAAACTATGCTTATGGCATTCCATTTGTAACGTTTTACATTACCGGAACTTTGTCTTTCAACGTGTATATGTACGTACCAGGAGCGACAGTGTTCTCTGATGGATAACTGTGTACACTTTCGACATTACTTCACTTACATGGACGGAAAATGAAGCGACTGTTGAAGCTAAAGAGTACATGAAAATTTTAAAGAACGAAAATCAATTTCGTGATCACGTTGACCATACCTGAGAAGCGACCTGCGTTGGATAGGCTGTATTGTATAAAGCGTTGGTTTGTTCTTGAGTAATCATTGTCGGATGTATGGGACCTGTTGGTACAGATGGATACAACAATATTTACCAAATTGACATTTGAAAGGACATGGAATAGTAACAAAGTAATACAACAACATCAAGTGCGGACTCAGATTGTTATTGAGGTTATGGTCAGCAGTCAACAAACATCAAAGAAAATTGATTTGTACGTGAAAACATGGAGAAAAACAAGTTATCGGCATTGAGAGGCAATATACTATCTTGTGTTTCAATCAAAAAATAAAAAAATTCATGCTGGGTGCATTAATAATTGAATAATACGCATAATATTAAGATGAATTGATATTTATATTATTATTTATTTAAAGTGCTACTGAAGTGAAATTTTGGGTTTCGATTTTTTTTTCTTTCACTGTGTTTGCACAGGCTTATGCAAACTGAGGAAACCTTTAGGAGAACTCGAGAGCAGATCAGTACAAGCCCAAGACTGAAGGTTGCCTCTGCTCAATAGTTTTAACAAACGTCTCCGAGGTTTGCATAAGCCATTGCAAACACAAAAAACATCTTTTATTTCTTTTATAAAATAACAATAATGCGAAAAAGAAAAAACATTTCATTTTTTCCTATAAAATGTATTCATGATCGATTTGGAAATTCTCTTTGACAGATTGACTGTTTTGATTGATTTGATTGGTTGAGCTCAGATGTGTTTTTACAGGCTAATACAAACACAGCTCTAGACTAATCAGCGCACGCGTTTCATTGTGTTTATTTTGTAAATTGGATTAATGCATCAATAGATTAGACTATAAAGAAGACTAGATTAGATTATATAGATTATGAAACCCCAAATTCTACTTAAGCTGCAAGATTTAGATTGAAATTGAATGGTAATTTTAACAACACATAAAGTTGCAAACTCATTCTTGTTTAGGAGTGGTGTACACGTTACAAGGATAGGAAGAGGGAGAATAATAGAACAAGTTTTGATGTAAACGTCAAGATAAAGAGTGAAATGCAAGTAAGGATAGGAATGTATGTTGGAGGGTAAGGAGTGGAGTGTAAGATAAGATAAGGATAGGAGTGTATATTGGGGGGAAAAGAGTGGAGTACAAGATAAGGATAGGAATGTATGTAGGGGGTAAGGAGTGGAGTACAAGATAAGATAAGGATACAAGTGTATGTTGGAGGGTAAGGAGTAGAGTGCAAGATAAGATACATAAGGACAGGAGTGTATGTTGGAGGGCAGGGAGTGGAGTATAAGATAAGATAAGGATACAAGTGTATGTTGGAGGGTATGGAGTGGAGAACAAGATAAGATAAGGATACAAGTGTTTGTTGGTAGAGTAAATCAGTCAGTGTTTTGGAATATGATACCATCAAAAATGATGTGCAATTGCAATGAATCTAATTGACTCGACTGAATGAAAACTTACCACTACTAAAATGGGTGATATTTTGACCATTATCTTCAATCTCAGAGACTTCTGTCACACCGGTAATGTTTCCCTTTTCCCCTTTCATTGACTAAGAAAAAAGAAACAGCTTCCTTTAGAAAGTTAGAACACAAACTTTAATGTTCCTCAACTTGTAAATATCAAAGGACAGTAGGACACAAGGGTAGATTCTAGAGGGATGCAAACTCATCCTAGCCTTTCTTAAAGAAGGTCTAGGAGGGGTGGTAATTTTTAGTTGATGCAAAAAAAACTTAAAAAAATGTCTCTCAATCTTGGTATAGAAGTATCACAATCAAACAAGGCATGGCAATACTCCCAAAATCTAATGTAAACTGGAGCAACACTCCCATATACAAACAAAATCCTCCTGGATCTATCCTGAAAGGACAACAAAGTGAAAAAACACGCCTCACTAGTCACAGTCATATGAAACCCAAAGTAATAATTACATCACGGTATTTCTGCAGGAACATTTTGAGAGGTTCCACATATTGATCGAAGCCTAGATTGGTCATGGCAAAAAGAATATCTTCCCCATTTATGGTCTTTCTCTTTTCCTGATGACACCTTTCACTTGCTCTTGATCCGTTGTTAAAGTAAATTAAATTTGTAATTCTTAAAAAATCCTCATATGTATGGAATTTGGCATGAATACAATGAATAACTCTTGCAATTTTACATCATTGTCCCTATTTTACAAATGCTAAATATTGCTTAAGAAAGACGGCACATTACTTTCTTCAGAATTGAAATCATCTTCCCCTTCTGAACACAAGGCACACTAGAAGAGGAGAATGATTTCAATATTTGAGGCTACACATTTTACCCATGATATATGAGCAATGATAACTGTTTGCTTGTTTGCACAAAGTTTGCTCTTCACCATGTGCAATTCACAATGACAAAATAGACAAAAAATCTTCTATTGAAGGATACTCGCTGGTTATGAAACTGATGAATTCAGAAACACATTCTTGTACACATTCCTTTGCATCTTAGCAATCTAAGTTTAATAAGGCAAATCTTTCGTCATACGTAACTCCTATACAGTAATTAAGCGGAGAAGATCCATAGTTATTTACCTTCCCAGTTTTTGGAATGGACTTCTTCATTATTCTTGCAACATTTGCAATTGGAAGAAATCGGTCCTAAAAAATTTGGAAATTAAGAACTCAATGGCTTGACCATTAAGATCAAGTAACACCATGTGTGAATTGGCTGAGAAAAAATGATGAGGAATTTTTTCCAAGAAAAATGTGTACATTTTAAAGTCACAGTCAAATCAATATTAGTTTTACATGCAGCTACTTGGACATACATTGAAACAAATACATACCCCATTAAGCAAATATGATGTAGCACTAAACTAAAATCTTTAAAATGTGTGTTCATTACACCATATAGTGCACTATAACTCTAATCTGTCAACAGTCTTTTGTTCTTATGTTTTGTTGATGTTTTAACCATAGTATAAAACATCATATTGATATAATGTTACAAGTATTGGCAATTTGCATGCTATCAATCAATGCATAACACTTCCTTTCTTTGAAAATCATTGAAATTTATTTTGTATTTTAAACAAAACAATGTGCAAATTGCACACTGTTAATTCACACATGGACAGAACATAACTAAACTTGAAAACAACAAAATAGACATGTATAAAAAGCCATAGGTAAATTACTTGTTCCCTGAGAACTTCATCACGTTCTTTATCGTCCTGATCCATGTCTTCCACGGTAAGTGCAACATTGTCTATAAATGCATACACATTTTGAGCTAATACCAGAGGAAAACATGCAATTCCTATGTAATCATGCAGGGTTTTATAGGATCTTTGCATGAACAGGAAATCTCTTTCTAGAAATCTCTACACTGCATATTCCGCTAAGATCTAGAAAAGAGATGCTGCTACAATCCCAAAAGGACCACATTTCAAAAGGATTTTTACTGCAAATGAAATCAAAATAAGCAATTGGAAAAAGTATTCAGAAGTCAATCAATGTTTTGATTTTTGCCATAAATTCAAGATCAAATTTATCTGGAATTAATAAATAGTGCACAATAATCTTGAATACTGGGTTTTATTTTTCAACTCAAATTTTGATTTAAGTTGGATACATTTGTTTGGGAAAAAAATTTTTTCTTCAAATTCACAAGTTTACTCACCATTGTGTGTATCCTGTGTCACAAAACTGGGAGCACTTTGAGTTACAGTCAGATAGTCTTGTGGAATGACAACTGGCACATTGCCAGCATTTGAATCCACAGAGACGACACCTCTGTTATCCTCACTGGTGGTACTGCTGACAGAGTGGGTTATACCCGCGCTGACATCAGAGATAACAAGACGAACATTTGGTGTCTGAACTCCGTCATCGCCTGCCTGTCCATTTGATGCATCTCGTCTAGCATCTTGACCTAAGATTGGCGGCGATGATTGTAACTGGTTTGAAGTGCTTGCAATCTGGGCTTGAGTGTGAAATGTCGCTAGACTAGGAGTTTGCTGATCGAGTCTGTATGTAGCATCACCAGATACCATTGTCAGACTTTCGTTCCGGGTTGATCTCGTCTCACCGTTGCTGGGATCCATAAAATTTCAAGAGCAGGCTCTACACAATGTTACGAGATTAGACTTTGTTAGGTCAAGCGACGAGTCAAGCGAAGTCAACACACTGTTTTTACATGTTCGAAATACTGAGAATCGACTCGAATTATATATTTTCATGTTAACGTCTCCTCTATACTTAAGGCGATCAAAACTTTGGTTAAAGAAGTATTTGAGTCTACAGAACTCGAGCGTACACGACAGGAGACCAATACGAAAATTTCAATAAAAACCAAATACGTGACGTGCCACACACAGGGATGTGAAAGTGAAACATCTGTACCAAACAAAACTCGATGAATATGAGCAAAAAAATAACATATTTCGGAAGAATGTGCGCTCAAACCAGCAATATAAATATGCAGATGGTAAGAGGAGATATTTGAAAGAGAATAGCCTCGATAAATCCAAGGAAAACATGAAGTAAACTTCGATAAACTTTCGCCCACATCGAAGGAAAGCACGATGCACAACACGAAACAAGGCGCCATATTTCGCGAAAATTTATCAACAAAATAGGAAGACTAAACAACGAATCATATTTCGGTATTTAGTTTGTGAACAACTAACCTTAATGGTCGATTCTCTGCTGGAAGAACCAGTAACGAAGCGTCTTTTTCTCTGGATTGCGAGTGGCTGATGGCAACCACTCATAAGCTTTGAACACGTTCTCACAACAAAGGGACCATATGTTATTCGAGTAAGAAAATAAGACGAACCGCTCCACCAATCAAATGTCCGGACGTTATGACAGGAGTTGGGCCGACAACCAATCATATTCAAGTGAAACTAATTAGTGTAGCAAATTCGTAAAAACAATAGGAAGAATAATTTAATATCGCAAATCTACAAAGCTTCGGAGGTAATCAATCTTATTAACTTATCAATCAGTAATAAACGAAGAAAACGGGTATTACAAAAATGGATTTAGTTGAAACCTCGAAGTATGTTTATAAAAATTGTATATCTGTCTTAGGCTTATGATTAAAGCTTTACATTGTCATTTGTCAAGAAGTGTCATTTACCGACTTGGAGGTCCGAACAGACAAAAATTTCACGTGACCTTTTAGGGGCCAAAGGTAAAGGCCGAGGACGTTTCAGAGTTCGTGAAGAGTCCGTGTTAAAATTTTACACCTTACCCCGACGGCTCATATTCGCATTTTTTGCTATTTTGCTAACATTCTTCACTTTAGTCTGCGGTCAGACGTAGCGGCTGCACAGCGTCAAACGGACCGCTCGTATAGCCAATCAGATTGCAGGAAATGCTGAAATATGAAGTCGGACAACTTACCTAAACAGAATTTTATTGAAGAACATTATTTCAGAGTGAACGTGCAAATCAAAATAATGTAGCAAATCATAAAATACAAATAATACACAAAAGTTATCATGTTTTGCATAATTCTATGAAAGTATTCACAGTTTTTCCAAAAAGTTTATTCATACACTATATGCATTAATATTACATGTTATTTCTCCACCTTATCAGACACAGTTTTTTCTAGATGATATTTTCCCAGTCTTTCTAAATCATCCAAGCTGAGTTTATTTAATGTTGCTCTGAAATCCTAATTCAAAACAAATACATATAAAAACACTACCCCAAATACTTTTTACCCTGTGAATTCTATCATGCTGTATTGAAAACATACCTCCTTGAAGTTGCACAGAACTTTTAAAGCATCTTCTTCAGAGAAATGCTTGTCTAAAAACGTTTTTAGTTCGGTCCACAATGCATCCGTTTGCTTTTCATCTTGCTGTTGTTGCACAGGTTCGCTTTTGCGAAACAAATGGATCTTTGAGTTTTTGGAAATTTTACTTTCCCTTATAGTTGACGAATCTGCAATGGCATCAAAACTGTTAAGTGAAGATTGCAAGGCACAACACTGGCTCAAACTTATACAATTACCGCAATAATAATTATGAAAAAAAAACAAAACGACAAGTTATACCAGCTAACGAGCGACCTTTAAATACAAGTCTTTGTGCATTGCATGGTATACACATCTCTGCCTCCACTTTCTTCTTAACAGATGCTATAGTCTCTTCTGGTCAACCTAACATATTTTAAACCAAAAAGTTACAAAAACCCTTTTGTTTGGAAGGAGAGAAAGCTTTAAAATTGCAAATCATTTTTCCAAAATATAAAGTGCTGCATGTACATCATTGCAAAAAAACTCTGATCAACAATTAGCAAGGCAGATTGGTTGTCTCATGCAATTCTGGTGATTCGAACAACAAGATGCTCATAAAAGTGAGGAAGTGTATGTGATGCTCTATCTCTGGTCTATCTTGCTTTCATCAAAGTTATTTTGCTATTGCTATGTGCAACATGTTACTAATTATCAATTTTTGGGTATTTTTTTGTCAGTTAATTACTACATACAAAAATATATAAAACAATCCATTACTTTCTTGTAGGTAAACCAGTAAGTCAGTTGCAACATTTCATAACTCAAGTTCAATAATGATTTATTCATTTCTTTAGACACATTGGTGAATATTCATTCATATATGGATAAAAAATTAAACTTGGTTAACTGAGCCAGCACTAACTTGCTGCAATTAACTTCCAAAATATTAACGTAGCATAAATTTTAACTTTCAATTCTGCTACTACCTATAAAATAAACATTTTTTGTTGCTGTTGTAAAAGGCCACTTGACCATTTCATATTTTAAAGTAATTCCAAAATAACTACTAAAATATTCAACCATTTTTTAAAAACGTAATTAACAATTACTTGGCTTTCAATGACAGGAACAAATAGTCTGTTTTATCGTAAATTTTGTTATAAGTAATGATAATTTCACTCCTCTCAAATCAATGAGTATAAGAATGAAGTGCCACTGTGCCAACGTTACCAAAATTAAACATCATCAACGTTTTGACAACAAATCCTGTTTAAACTCCATTTTAATTGTGCAATACAACACAGTAACTTGTCCTCATTCGAATCGAGTTACCTCAATGCTCTTTTCCTCATTTCCAATTAATTTCACTTGAATTATCATCATAAAAAGAAAGGCAAATAAACTATCTCTTTATCAAATGCGCTAAACCATAATTTTTGATTGCCAAGTTTACAGCTGACCACTTGAACCGAAGGCTCAATTTACGCATTACGCAAATCTACGCCACTGTTCTCTCACATGGCTTTTGGCGTCAAGATTAATTTAAGCATGGGATTTTTTGTTCAAGTGTCATAAATTGGCAAGGCCACAGCCACCCCAGTACGTACTTTTCATGAAAAACATTTTGTGCAGTAAATCTCAAACGTGTCGAATGTTCGTAAAGAGAAAATCAATGCTCAACACAGTACTGACAGCAGCTCAACATAGTAAGGCATTTTATAAATAAATGTAATTTTATTCGATGCAAAGTAACGTTTTCTAGCGTCTACTTGACAAATAAAACTTTTTAGTCAATTCTCGGAAATGAAAGTATTCACCTAACAAATCAATGCTACAAGATTCTCAACAAAATTTCGGAAAATGTTTATTTCCTATGTGGAACTATCATTCAATTCAACAGATCGTGACAAATGATCACACAGCACAAACACACAAACGAACAAACACACACACACACACTACAGAATACTATCTACACAGCTTGAAATTCTATTTACACTTTGGCGCATAAAAACATTCATGGTCAGACAAAATTCTTAAACACGAAAGTTTCGCTGACAAATTATGAATATATCTGGAGATGATTCGTTCGATGATCGATGCATTCGGGGAACTCAAACTTTCAATTCGGCAGGTATTTACCAGCTTTCCCAACCTAAAATTCCCTTCAGATTGTCGGACCATGTCATAGAGTACAAAGCATATTAGCACAAATGCAATATAATTCAATAATCCTCTTCAATTTCTTCATTATTTTTGACATCTTCATCGTCGCTTTCCTCTGACGCATAACCATTCACCTCCTCATCATCATCCGGCTGCGTAGAGATCTGCTGCTTGTAAGAGAGTGCGCGCGCAAATGCTTGCTGGACTGACTTGCGCAATGACGGCTTCTTGCCCTCGTAGAGTTTCGTCTTATCAACGCTATTGTTCTGACCAAGAAGAGAGAGCTTTGACGTGGTAGCCATTGCCTGAAAGACGAAACATCCCATCTTAGTATATTTTTCATTGATTAAAGAAAGAAATCATCGATTTTAACTTTTTTATTATAAGAAAAACCTGGACCCAACATCGCGGCAAAACCAACGCGATTGTTTACTACTGCTATGCAAACAGTCAGGCGTTCATCTTGTTTTCATTACTTTTCATCAAAAACAATAAATGTCACCTACCACGTACGACGAGCATCAAAGAAAAGTACGAGGTACAGATGTTCGTCAGTCGCTTTACGCTCTTTTAATACATTATCAGGAGGTACAGGTATGGGTACGCCTTTATGAACAAAACCACGCTTCGTTTTTGGATTGATTATCTAAAATACATCGCGTATTGTAATTGTGAAAGGTTTTTATACCGCCTAATAATTTTTCTAAAGTCATATTGGAGGGTGGTTGAAATTTGAGCAGCCTTTTCTTTGGCACTAATTTCGGAGTTGACTAAAAAATGGAAGTCAATCGTATCTATTACTTTAATATGGGAGGTAGCAAGTTCTGTTGTGCTAGGTGAATGTATGTTTCGAAATTTGGTGTTCACTCAATGTAAAAATAATTGATTTCTATAAAAAATAAATAATGCTAACGACCTGAAATTTTCATAGCACAACCAAACATGAAGGTTTGCTGCGTGCGCTCCTGAACTAGATATACAAGCATATCAATGCTCTAGAACACAGCCCCATGAATGTCAAACTACCGTGCCGAGGTGAAGCAAAGAAAACAAAACTCAAAATGAAAAATAGCTAAAAGAAGGTTTAAAACCAATCCTACCAAATATTCTAAAAACTCAAAGCTAGACTATCAACTCTGCAAATGTATATATCCACTCAGGAAAAGTAGGTATCGTCAGTTCTGATACCTTTCAAGACGGCGGCTTGTATTATTTGCCTCAAGTATAGAATTTCGGCCGAGTCCAACATCTAGTGGACTGGGTTCTAAGTCATTGATGCATATACATCCTACCCCCTTGTGAAAACATTCGAGCTCGATGCACTCACACTTACCAGTGCAGGATAAGAAGGATAACCGCGGCATTTTGCCCACACGAGATCAAGATAATCAAACATATCTGGCTCGGTGTCTGAGTTTTGAGGAGAATAAAGACCACCATTACACTCGCTGTCGGTCGTGTTAAAATCTTCTTCTGAGTTACATCTGCTTCGAGACTTACGATCTAGATTTTTTCCATACGTTACGACATCACCATTACTCCTCTCCGTTCCGTCTTCGGAAGTCGTACTGCTCCGAGAATTTCTCGACTTTGGCTGCGCGTTCTCTTTATAGTGATTGCGTTGCGTGGCAGCGTCCTGCGCAGCTAACTCCTTGATATCTGGGGCATCTTGGGGATAACTATTTAGACGGCTAGTCTTGCGTCCAGGATATACTTCGTTACTTAAAGTGTCTTCGGAATACACTAATCTATTCAAGTTACTCCAATTGTTTTCGTCATTCGAATCGAGACCAGTCGACTTTCGGCGTACTTCACCGTTCTTTCCGATCAAATCTGCGACGTTGCCGTTTTCAAATATAGAAACACCAAGGTCTTTGTCGTTATTTTTTACATGGGCATTATGCTGGGCGCGAAATTTATTCTTATTGAATAGAATGCCACTACGGCGGTTTGTGCCCGGTCGCGGGTTAGTCATGCTAGGAGTTCCGGCTGTATTCCCAACAGGTTCTACGTCTCTTGCATTTTGCTCAAGGCTGTTTTCGAAAACATCTGACGAAACTTCTTGTTTCGGTGTGTCGATAGATTCCAACGACACGTCAGAAGATAGTTTGGCTCTTTTTGCCGGAGTGCCTCCATCCAAATTGTCGTTTACTGAAACATAAAATATATTTTAGTAGAGGCTGACATCAACTTTGTGGTTCGACAAACGAAAGACGTCCTAAATAATATTGCTGTGAATGCTGTCTCTACATTTCGATTTCACACGTTTCTTAATCTTCTTATAACCAATTACATTAACATTCGGCCGATAATAAAAATATGCAGCCGATTTTGGTGTTTAACACAATAAAGTTATTATATAATAACACCAAATAGTTATTTCAATTGAAATTTATAATTTTTGAATGCATGACCTGACCTAAACTCTACCCTCTCGTTCAACCACTAACAATTCTAACAATTGTTTCCTAACGGAAAAAAAACAAACTTAATGGTCATGACATTTGGATCGAGTGAAGAGTTTTCCCCCATCGTTCCATAAGTCCATTTGGTTTTAGAATCGGAAGTTTAACACAAAATTTTACAGCAGAGAAAACAAATTAGGAAAGAATTGAATGCATAAAAATGGAACGGTGTTTCTATGAAGTCTTTAAAACAGTAAAATCCCACCCCAATTACTATTCCTTAAAAGCTGTGGTCTTACCAACTACCCTGCCCCATATATTTCAAAAACGCAGTGGTCTTACCACTAGAATGAGACGCATTGTGCTCTCTATGTTGTTGGTTAATTTTCCGACGAAGACAAGCTATATCCTTCCGGATCTGGCGATTTCGTTGAGCTCTAGCGCCTGGAAATTTTTCATCAAAGGAAACGTTTTAAAATTAGCTAAAAGACGAGCAAATTCGCCAAGTTGAAAGAACAGAGAGATGCGCGAAGCAAAACTTTCAAAATCACGCATGAAAAAAATAATCACAGAAATTAATAAATTTCATAATAGGCACGGTTTAAAGGCCACACTATTATAACCATATAATCGTTATATGTTTCACACACAAAAAATCAAATCAAACTGTTTGTTCACGATGGACTGTATCACGGCAGAAAGAAAACAATTTAGCATCGACTTACTTCCAGATCTTATACCTTGCGTCAACGTCAGTTTCTCTCGCAAGTCCTCCAATTGTTCTTTCAAACTCATTTCTTTACGTTGCTCTTCAGTCAAGATGAAATCTATGACAACAATGCACGCTACTTTAAAAAACCAAGTCAAAAGCAACAAGCCAACTGGCTATCTCTTACTCGAGATAAGTACGCATGTCCAATGGCAATACAACAGTTAGATGTACATGCTAATAACCAATTGGTATTTACCTACTATCACCTGTACTATTAAGACTATTAATGTACCTAATTTATGTCATTTGACAAAAAAATGCAAAGAACAGTTACACGAGCGATTTTTGTAATTATTTATGCTACCCACGCTCGATTCATCAAGTGAATTTATCACGGTGTGCCTGGATATGGCAAAAAGAAACATAAAAATAAAATAACACACTATCTATCCTATAGCTACCTTCTTGAGTCAGCTCTCTGTCTTTTGCTGAAGGAGCATCAGGTGTAAGCAGGCCACTCTCTGGGTCCATCCCAGTCCTCTCGACCATTCTACGCGCACTACGTATTACCGTCTTGCCCTGGTCCCTAAGTCGTACAGCAGCTCGATAATAAATCGTGTCTTCAGCATTGTACGACATGCAGTTCTTCCAAATAAGATTAAAATCCTTCTCGAATTCATCGAAAGTCTTGTAGACGTTGCCATCAATTTTCTCGCGCATCGTCCTGAAGTCCATTGGCTCCGAGATTACATCGCAATAGTCCGTGACCTGACGGAAAACAATCGGCGTGAGCAATGGGCTCAGTTATTACGTCAATAGACAACGACAAACAGTTGATTTGGAAAATGATGAAATCAGTAATTATTGAAACTAAACAAAGCAATACAATTGCAGTAGTCGTCAACGTAGTGCTTATGAAGAAAAACCGACATCAAACAAGGTTGTTTTCACTTCACTCAGCCATGTGACTCCAAATGAATGCTGATGTAGATGCAGTTAACAGAGAAAAGTAGAGAGAAAAGGTAAAGGAAGAGACAAAAACAAGAGGGGCGACAGAAGAAATAGGCGACATTTTTATTGTCTTAACTATAACAAGCCACAGATGAAAATCACCTTGGAATGGGAAATTACTCCATTATAATTATTTTTATGTAGAATTATGTAACCGTTTTAATGACGGTTGAAGAAGGAAACTTCATGTAACTGTTTTGATGACGGTTAAAGAAGGAAACGTCATGTAACCGTTTTGATGACGGTTGAAGAAGGAAACTTCATGTAACTGTTTTGATGACGGTTGAAGAAGGAAACGTCATGTGACCGTTTTGATGACGGTTGAAAGTGGAGACTTCATGTAGCCGTTTTGATGACGGTTGAAGAAGGAAACGTCATGTAACAGTTTTGATGACGGTTGAAGAAGGAGACTTCGTGTAACCGTTTTGATGACGGCTGAAGGTGCGGACTTCATGTTACATAGTAAAGAATGTGTCAGTCTAATCTGCAAGAACTGTGTGACTTTACCTCCTACCAAAAGTCAAAACTAGATTGCATAAACTCAACTCAACTGTAATTTGTCTGCAGGTAATTACATGTAATTTCCTATAGTATATAATAGTTTAGACCTGCATGTATTCATGTAATATAAGCTGTAACAATTTTTCAGTACATTGAAATTTGTAAGTAGAATAAGTAAACGGCCTCTTGAAAAACATGTGCCTGAGAGCCCCGAAGAGTTACCGTTCTTAAACATTTTAAAATAATATAATAATAATAATAAAAAGTCATCCAAGGTTAAATGAAGTCGTGATGTTTCTATATAATGTAACCGCGAACATACCTCATTTGTGTCCACGGGCTCAAGAAAGATCTCGCCGGGATCTTTGGCGAGTAACTGCGTCCATGTTCTTGACAACAACGTAGACAATGGCTTCAATTTTAAATCCAAAACATTTATATGCGATTTCAGCTGTTAAATATGAGCGCAATCGATCAAAACAAAAAAGGTTAGAGAATCGCGAACGCATACAAAAATGAAACATGTTAAATCTTACGTGTTCTCTCTTTAACTTTTCCCTCTTCCTTATTAACTCGACCAGCAAGCGCGCCCTCTCCAGATCGTGACGTAATCTCTGCCAGAAATGCAGTTGTTCCTTCATCGCTGCTATTTGTTCACGTCTTTGTTGCTGTTGATGAATAACCAGAAAATTTCGAAAATTGCATTAGTGTTTGAAGTAGAGGCCATTACGTGAAGTCAAAAATCAATTGTTAATTGCTTTATCGATTAACACGCAGTTAGCATTTAATGGCTTTCTTTAATGGCCCATTGATGTGACGATCAAACACGCCAAGCGTAACCTTATTTTCTATCACACATTTTGAATGTCTAGAAATTTTAACTTTTCAAAAGTCAACCCAGCTATCGTGGCGGTTCTTATCCTTCTTAAAGACGTATAATTAAAGCAGTTTCCCACTTCAAACGATTCCAACCACATCGTATAAACAATTTCAAATCAAAAATTTTCAAATACGCTTGTAGCACGCAGCTATTTATTTCTTTGATGCGAGTATCGCCCAAAAGTGCACACAAAACCAAAATCAATTATCGTACAGCGCATGTTCAACACTACGGATTCACTAAGTTAACGGCTTGAAGTAAAAAAGAATTTGAAAGGTGGAGACTTCAGAGTCAATGGCTGTGACAAAAACTCCGACGGCTACAAATGTTACAACACACGTGGGATATATGAAATGTACTGCAACCACTCAAGCAAAACAAACACAAAGTCATAGCTTACATCTTCTGGTCCGTTTGTCTTGTTCTGATGTGCGGCCTGTAGACGACGTAGAAGAGGAACACCGTTTCTAGACTGTCGTTTCAGCATCCAATAAGATTGTAGTGACTCTATAAATTGCGATTTCTTTTGAATGGCCACACGACTTACGATTTTGCTCAATCTGAAATTGGACAATTTAATTAAGTTAATTTCACGCCATAAAAAAAAAGCGAAGAATGCGTATTTCAATCATTTTCGGCAAACATGTTTTTACCGTCGACGATTATCTGCAATGAAAATCCTACCATAAAGATAAATAGCATTAATTAATTACAACAACAATATGAACAACGTCCACACATCACATGCGCAAAACTTTTGCAATTGTCATATGGCGTCACACAAGCCTATAATTCTACAACAATATGACGGGTCGAAGATAAGGATTGACGTAAATCACGAAATAAGTTCAGGCAGGAATCAAAAATAACAAAAAAAACTGCCACCAAGAATTTAACGACCATGACTTAAAAACACATCCCAAAGAAACACAGACAGAAAAGTTCGAACTGATTTTATGACTCAACAGAAATGAACAAAAAGCAGCTTAAATACGCAGACGGACAACAGGTGAAAAAAAAAACATAACAAACGCGAGTACTAACTAATTCTACATGTCAATAAGCTGACGAGCACGCGCAGGGGAAAACCCTCATTTTGTATTATGGTAATTAAAAGGTGTCGCAAAAACCCACAATTATATTTGACAGAACCTAAATAAAAAATGAAGCATCATAAATTTTTCTAACCTGTGAGCAGGGACAAATGGTATGTTCACTATTGGCACTGTTGGATGTTTCTCGGAGAGACGCTTACGTATCTCCTTCAAGTCTTTTGGAGATCTTTGGTTTAATGGGGTAATTGCGGATGGTGTTTCCTTTTCATCATCACTACCCTTCGTACTTCCATTTACAGACAGACTGCCCTTGCCTAGACCTGGACTGTGAATGTCACAGAATGCGGATTTCTTGACCGATGGCTGTCCACCATCCAGTCGTGTAGGTTCTATTTTTAAATGCAGGCCAGCTTGTTGTGCACAAGTCACATGGAATGCTGTATAGCAATTGGTTTTAGAGCATTGTATGCAAGCTCCTTGCGTTTTACGACATATGTAACATCTTAACTTCCATCGAGCAGACGGAATGTTCTGTAGTGAATCAATTGGCTCTAGGAAGACAGTGTTGGCAAAGCAAACCTCGGGAATCCATAAGGCGCAAACAACATGAGCCCAGCGATTATCATCAGTCTGTTTAAATGCCCCTGTTTTGTTTGGACACAGAACACAATCAACTGGTTTGGAAGGTGAGTTTAGGCAACGCCGACACAGCCATTGTCCTTCGGGTATATAGGGCACACCATAGCATTCTTGGTGCACAGCAAGATTACACATGTCACAAAAAAGGATTACATTACTATTGGCACACTCGCCATCATTACATATACAACAAACAGCATCCTCATCAATGTATTGGTTAGGATCACAAGTATTCTGACTTTCGAAATGGCTTTCTTTCTCCAAGCGATCCATAAGCAATTCAAAAACATCTTGCGACACAGTAGAAAGACCTTCAGCTTTTCTTTTTTCATTCACTATCTTCAACCATTTTGTGTCCTCGTCGTCGGCGCTGTACTCAATTTCCTCATCAAGCTCCTCTGATGTTTTCTCAATAAATCTGAAATAAGTTTTTGGTCGAGGGGGAGCATCAAGCTCGTTGAAATCAACTTCAAGGTGGAACTCTGCTTTAGGTAAACCAAGAACCTGGGCCTGGCTTTCATTTCCAGATTTGGATTTATTCTTGGATCGCGCTTTACCTTTTGTTTTGGTAGTGGATTTAGGAGTCAGCCCATCCGTGTTGTCAACTGATGTATTTTGGCTCTTTATGGGATCTTCCACGATACCAAGCATATCGTCGATATTAAACCGTTGCAGAAGCCCGTCGAAATCAAACTCGACCATTTTTTGAGCTTGTGCGTAAGTAAGAGTTTCACGAACCAGGGCTGGTTGAGGTGGAGGAGAGCTTACTCGCTTATTTTTGGACCGACCACGTCCGCGCTTAGATTTCGTACGCTTTGAAGAAGGCGAAACCTTTGAGCTTCCCCTTTCGACGCCATCATGAGGATAGCGAAGCAAGTGATATTCAATTCCACACCAACTCTTGTAAACCTTTTCGCACACAGGACACGTATATGGCGACGGCGTTCCTTTTAAACTGTTAACTAGTTCGCGAGCACTGACCATATTTTAAGCAAGAAATACATTTAAAATGTTTGTCGGGAGAGCATGGTAAACCATGGGAAAATCGACGAAAATCTATAATTAAAAGCAAACGTCATTTAAAATTTCTTATGCCTTCTCCCTCAAACAGCAAATCGCTCGCGCATTTGTCTTGCATTAAGATCTCCCTATTCTTTCCAAGCTCATCCTGTTTTAAAGACATGTGAAATTTCGTAAAAAGACTAATTGAAAAGTTGTTTTCACACGTTCAAATCGTCAACATGACGCCGTAAAATTACTAAATACAAAGCATATTATGCAAGTAGATCTGCTTCCCGCTCATGGCGGCTTAGTTTTCTGTTTACAATATGGCTTTGTGATTCTCTATTGAACATTTACATGAATACAGGCGATACAATTGCTTCAAATTGTAAATAACCACATTTATTTTTGAGTTTACTAAACACTGACCCTGAATCCAGACAGAAATAGCCTGTTCGGTGGATAAAAACGTTATTTAGCTGACGACATACCTTGTTCAGTGCGATGCTTCTTTCTCCGTTGAAGTTCACCGAGCAGCACAAATTTCACGCGCTATTTTCAGTCTTTTCGCTATTTGAGTTTGATAAGTCTCAATCCTATAAACCAGTTCTGTCGCCGCAAGCTTTGTAAAGTTAAAATTCTGAAACATACACCGAAACGGCGACGAGTACAACAATGCCAAGTCGTATACGAGGCAAACGGCTTCGAAGACAAGTCACGCCACCGCTGACGAGCTGTAAAACAATAGCCAAGATTTAAACAACAAAACCGCTCAAACAGCTTTCCCTATGCAGGTTCTTCCGTTATATGTTTATTGTATAAGATAATGCTTTTGTTTTGCGTTTCTCTTCAAGCTCTTGCCATCAACAAAAAGCTTGTAAATTCAATCCAAAGAGACGCTAATTTGAAAATGGGCGAATAGTAAACGCGGCTTCGTGTACAGTCGTGAGTGACGTACCCGAGTGCCCTCCCCGTGGCGGGTTTTACAAGAAAATAGCAAAATAAGAAAACCATTTCCTTCTTACTCCCTATTCAAGTAAAATAGTTTTTCATTGTTCCCTAAACATGTGAAAAGGCGAGTGTGAAGTTGAGATTCCTAAAGCCAAAATCGGTAGCACATGACAGAGAAATGAATACAACCCCCCTGAACACGAGAGTTCAATTTTTCCTACATATTTCTCTGCGAGGATATTGGTACAGGAATATGAGTGTACCAAGAAACAGCAGCTTGTCGTTGCGTTAAGCCATGTTCTCACAAAAAAAAACAACAAAAAATATCCGGAGGAAAGCAGTCAAAATTTTGTAATATTTTTAAAACTAAGCTTGATTAGCAGGATAGCATAACAATATAACTGTTTTCCCGCGCTGAAGATACCTGTAATTGTAGACATTAGACTATTGTCTTTCAAACTTCAACAAAGAAAACGATGGTGGAAAAGTTATAGCTTCGTTTTTCGAGGCCAAAAAAAATGTTGAAATTATCAAAGTTACAACAACTATACAATTGTCGCAAATTTGAGCTCAGGGAAAGCCCCGCACCGGTTTTCGCTTCTTGTTTCACTTTCAAAAATCGGTTCACCCCCCTGATTTTTACTTGCTGTTGAAGCTTGAAGCCCACTTCAATCGTTGGTAAACTTAAGTTCATTTAAGTGTCCCCGTGTTAATCTCTGCTCTTTAAAACGAATATTTCAATTATTTTAATACCCAAAAGTTAAATCAAGGAAGTAGAGCAGAAAATTACACGTAATATTACTAGATCTATTTTGGCACTATCTCGTTAATCTAGTGCTCAACAACGAAATATTCAATTCGCCAAACAGTAAAAATCTCGGTGAAAATTAAATCTGCCGCCAATCAATTTTTTCCGTCGGACTAGCCCCAGATCTCTGTGTGACGTCATGTCTTTACGTCATGGAAAGGAGCACGCACCGATAAAACAAAAAATAAAACAAAAAAAAAAAATAAAACAGCGGTCTTAAAAGAGCCAGGAAAGTAGACAGTATTCCACGCGTCAGAAAAAGGGCTCCGAATCCTATTCATGCGCACAAAAAAAAACAACCAGAAATTTAACACATACAAAAATGTTTCATAGTAATCTTTCACATATAATTTGCCATGATGAGCTTTCTACAAAAATGAACATCGGCAAAAATTTCATCAACCAAAAATGACATCCTCAACCGACTGCCGAGAGAACGACTTCGGAAACGGTCGCCTCAGAACTTCGGACAGTGATCTGCATGGTAACGCCATCGCTGAACGCCAGTTTTGTTTGAACAAGAACATCGTGCCCGCCTCGATAGCAACCGGCCAATAACAGAACGTGGGATTTCTTGTCTGAAGGGACTCGGTCCGATCGCTCGCATGGCTGCATGCCCATGTATTCGATGATCTGTTTCACCGCATCTACAATAATCGTCAAAAAAAAAAGGAAAAATCACGATAAGTTAGAGAAAGAGCTTGAAATCGAAGAAAAATATGGCCTGATAATTGAAGTTCTTTTCCTGGAAAACCGAGTAAATTTTCGCTCGTCATTTTTATTTGTGAACTGCCGAGATTCTACAACAAGTTACCAGGTTATTGAGGTTAATCTGACTACATACTGATTACTGACTGAGAACGAGGTCGTTTGTTATTTATCTACCTCGCAGGAACTTAGCGCGATGGGTTTATAAATAAAATATGGAGTTGATTATACTGACCATGTAAACTTAGATATAAACCTTAAAATAAGTTCATTTCGGATATTTGAGAAACATTCTGAAACGTCCAGCTTGTTCGTTTGTAGACCTTCACTAGACATAAATTATACTTTTAAGGTAATTCAAAATTGCTGATGTTTTGGCAAATGAAACAAAACAATGAAATGCTAGCGTGTTTGGAAAAACATCACACTCAATTCCCAAACAATTCCTGGTTGCACGCACAAAAAAATCAGTAATTTCAAGTCGGCATTTGATGAGACATGGGGCACAAAAAAACAGCGCACGAATTCTTATAAAATGCACATTTTCAGAGAAAAATCCATGTCATTAGCAATTAGCAGCATCGCGCGTTAAATCTTTACATCTTACCTTCCAAGCTTTTCATTTGAGACAAGGCATAAGTATCTTTCATTTCGTGACTATCCCCAATCTCCTCCCACGACGCAGCGAAGTTCGTTTTGAACACTTTCTGCACGTGATCAGCGACCACAACGTCCACGTCTTCCAACTAAAACAAAAGAAGCAATGTCAGAATTATGAGCGGAACAATGGGAATTTACTGCTTTGAATCATATTCTCTTCAGGGATAGATTTAGAGCCTTTGAGGTGGAGAAAGGATGTCCATTTCCTCGCAAAATACTAATACACCAAACTATTTAAGCAAAAGCAATCGTGATTAGCAATAGAGCACACTTCCGAAAATCATCCAGTCAGAAAAAAGTAACAGAAATTAGCAGAAAAAGTCTGACACGCTACGGCAACAAGTAGCCATCGAAATCTAACATGAACTAAAGCACCCCATCCCCTCTCAAACAAAACCATCCGCGTATACATCTCAGTATTATTCATAGTGTACCTACCACATATTCATCATCATATCCTTCATCATCAGCTTCGCCAGTGTTGGGATCACAATCTTTTACAACGAACTTCATTGTGTTGGAAAAGGTACACGTGACTAAACGTATTTAAATATCGACAGTTAGCAACGCCGTTGAAAATCCAACACAAAACCTACACAAAACCTGCTTTCTAATGGCAATACAAGTACAAGAACTAAACGCATTGCAAAAGTTGCAGGTAGAACATCAACTAGAATCTCTTTTAATTGTCCCATAACGAGAAGCTTCAGCTTCCATAATGAATTGTAATCGAAGCGATAGCTCTCTCTTTATGTTGACTGAGGGTACATTTACGACGTTTTACGACGCTTCACTGCATTATTTTTAAAATTAACAAGAAAAGTATATGCAAAGGGGGGAGTGGATAAGAAATAAAGATTGTGGGGGTGCAGAAAAATGACCAGCTAGTAACAGTGATATGAAACAACTCTTGCCAAAATTTTCTATGCAAAAAAAAACAAAGCTAATTGCTATAAAAACGACTTTTGAGCAACAATTAAAATCAATGATGAATGGCAATGAAAAAATATCATTCGTACGTACAATAATTTAAAATTATTTGACTAATTATAACTTAGAACATGCATATTCAGCAATTTTGACCAACTATACTTAAATTAAAATTAATCGAGAAGTGCAACATTCTCGACACGCCTTGTTGCCACGTCCCTATACACCACTAGTTACCACGCCCTCTACACCACTGGTTGCGACGTCCTCTACACCACTAGTTACCACACCCTTTACACTCTTGGTTGTTATGCCCTCTACATCACTAGTTACCACGCCCCGGTCGCCATGTCCCAATATATGTGCAGTTACAGGGTAATTTAAAAATTTACGACATGAAAACAATTCTTCTTCCTGTGTATCTCTCATACCTTCAGTTTGATCTTCGGGTATTTTGACAAGGACATAGGTGATACCAGGTGTATTGTAGGGTAAACTAGGACACGGGATTGTCATCACGACCTCGTATTCACCTTCGGATACCTCCATATCCACGGTTACATTTTCGAGTATTTGATCGTTCAGCGTATTCGTACAGTCGTACTGAAGAAAGTGGAAGAGAATGCATTGCAATTATAGTAGAGTCATACAACGAAGCATCAACTTACACACACTAAAAGCTCACGAGTACTCACACTCACTGAGTGCAACATAAAAATAGCGCCCTCCCTAATCAATGACAAACTCATAATTCCATCGATGGCTGGATTTTTTCAAAAGTATTTCAGATGAAACATTTAATGGAGTGAAAATGCCGTCTTGAGTGAAAGTGTAAGGTGATGTTGAAGTCACGTTCAACGAATGTGAGTGAGCTCTAAAAACACATGCGAGAGGCCTTCCATTTAAATTCAATGCGGCCGACAATGCTGTAGTCTCATATTATTGTGGATGAACTGTTTTCAACTGCAATATCGAAATTTGCTCCCATCAATGGTACTAGGTCCACAGTAGTGTATGAAGCTAGCAAATTTAACTAGTCCCAATCCTCCCATGAAAGGCTACAAAACGTCCACAACACCATCAAGTTAAAATTAGGGACTGTACCCCAAGACCATTGGTTTAACCAGCTCGATAGTCCGGGGGGGCGGACATTCATACATTCATGTTCCGCCGTATTAATTTCCTTTGAAATGAATTGCTTTCTGCGGACTATAAAATGTATATATGAATATCCCCCTCCAAATTATTGAGGCTACGTACGCCACTGAACCTGTACGTATGTATTACCTGGAATACGATGTGATCATTAAACACGTGTTTTACACAGTTCACCACGTACTCTGTCTCTGACTCCGTCAACTCAAGTGGCTTAGCAGAAGACTTGAACAGCGGACCAAGGTTGGCGAACTCGGGAATCGCGGCAAGCTGTTCCGCATAGACTTCTTGTCTCGAAGTGACCACAGTTGGCTGATTTGAAGGCGCTTCTGTTTTGCCTGAAACGTTCAATTGGTTTTATCTGAATGATAGCGATTTTCAATAAAAGAGGTTTGCTGGGATTATAAAGCTTCATCGCCGAAACAACAGGAATAAGTTACATATTCTGCAAAACAGTGCAGTCCGTTTTTTTACATAGCGTGGTCAAGACCATAGGCAAGTTAATGCACTTAATAAGCTAAAGATACAAAATTTGCGTGTTGAAAGAAACAACAACTATTTGTTAGAATTTATCAAGTAAAATAAGGCCTTGTTCCTGTCTGGTTTTTTTTGAAACTAAGTGCATGATTAACAAACGAGAAACGCCGATTATAATTTTATGCAACCAATATAGTAGAAACTTTTCGTTTAGATGCAGTAGCTTGGAATATTTTGACGCCTATTCAAAAAGTTCCAAATTCTTAAAGTGTTTTGAAAATAGTTTAAAAAATAATGTATTGAATATTATATAATAAGGTTTTTAAAGAACAATGCAGAATTATTTAAAGGCATTTTTTATTCTATTTCCTGAGAAAACCACTTTCCCTTTTTTTAATTATTCGTAACTGTAGAAAATATTATCGAGGATTAATATAATTGTTATTACTATTGCTGTTATTATGAATAGATGGTTGGGAGATTTCAAATTTTTCATCGCAAAAACATTTCATATTACTCACTAAACTAAAGGTCTATCGCCAAATCTTCGCCATTTTACTTAGCCGTATAATACACAGGCAGTCGAGAAGAACTGCACATGATTTGTCAGGTAATGTTGGGCAGTGATGATTATCATCCACGCCAAAGATTGATTAGTTTAATAAAATGCATGTATAACAAATGCAAAGCTGTGACTGAAGCAAAATCCATTTGTTATTATCTATACTATTTTTTGTTGCATAACTTACATATGTAAAATTTCGCTACATTGTCCTAATTTTAACCTATTAAATATATTTTGCTAATTAGAAGTTCTTTTTCATGGTCTGTGTATGTGTATTTTCACTGTAATTGTCACTATCAAAACATAAACAAACGCCATCGACAGTAAACGAAGGTTAGCTTTCTCGCCAACAACAAACAGCCTCGGCACAAAACCTTCTCAAACCACAAATCCTGATTTCATACTTACTGCTTTTGCTCGTCTTCACCATTTGCTCTTGCATCGACGCCGTTGCCAAGGGAACGGTCTTGATGTCAAACGGTGCATCTGGAGCTTCTTTGACGTAAGCATTCAAAGCTCGCTCCAGGCCTACCACGGACACCTGTAAGCCTGAAAAATAAATAACGTAGAAACTGATTTTGGGAATCTATGCCACATTAATTTTCTAGCCGTTCGTCCTGTCGCCGGTAAAAGGATCAAACCGTTCATCAACTTTTTTGCTGTCAAAATTCCGTCTCATGCAAGCCAGGTTAAACTCATTCCGTGGGTAAGGAAAGGAGATAATTCTTTTAAGAGTGTTCATTTCCATACCGTTCAAAATATAAGCTGAAGATAAAGCCTTGTCTTGTTGTCTCAACACATTCAGATAGAACGTGGCTCGATCACGAACTTCGTCATCAGTATCAAGCAAACACCTAAATATCCATACATATCCAATCATATCCCGAGGGCATGTCAAGAAATACTTCTATTTTGATTTATGAATGGTGTATGTTTCACAGTGTAAGATAGGAAATGGGTCAAACTTGTATTAAGCGGATACACTCGTGAAATGAAGCTGTCCGCCAGATGGAGGTTTATCCATGGACATTATATATAAAACTGTATTATTTATAATCTCTAAGTGTTTATCATCACGATTAAGTAATATGGGATTAAATTTAGGACTTTACCACAGTATAGAGAACATACAGTAGGGCCACTCCATTGAATTTTTTCGTGCCACACATATCTTATTACGCATGTGATTACCATATTGGCAGCCAGTAAATTGCATTGTGTGACCAATAGGACTGACGAAATGGCAAACGGCAGCCAGTAATCAAATTAAATATACAGCAGCCAGTTGAACAGCGAAGTGGCCCTACTGTATATTCCTATACTGTGACTTTACTAAGTGTCCGCTTAATAGAGGGTCGCTTAATTCAGGTTTGACTGTATTATGCACATCCTCATTTGTATTGAACTGTGCTGAGTTTAAACTGTATCAATTATGGAGAGAACTATAGCTTACGAGGTTCACGAGAAACTTCAATTCATCAATTTCAGAGAAATACGACTTCTCAAAGGAAAGAAGCTCAGCTTGTACATAAGAAAAATTGCGTATGTACTTCGCTTAGATCATGACCAAGTATGGTAAGTAACGGGTAATTCATATTTTGTTTAATAAGAGTATGAAGATCCACCGACAAAAATTGATGGTAAATTAAAAAAACTTGGATAAACAGACATGCCTTCGTGAACATAGTTTCTAACGAAAGGGCTCGTGCACATATTCAACCCATCTCTTATGGCGCTTGCAAACTTACCTAGATAACAATACTTCGATACTCGGTAGCAGAGATTCACAGTGAGCACCAAACTTGGCAAGGGTTGTGACAGCAGCTGGAAAATACAAACTTCATATACAACATTGAAAAATGCAACTGATACATTATCAATGTTTTAAGTTTAATGAGGAGGAAGATGTATACCATAGTTAAATGTTGTTTATGAAGAGGGAGATGTATACCATAGTTAAATGTTGTTTATGAAGAGGAGATGTATACCATAGTTAAATGTTGTTTATGAAGAGGGAGATGTATACCATAGTTAAATGTTGTTTATGAAGAGAAAGATGTATACCATAGTTAAATGTTGTTTATAAAGAGAGAGATGTATACCATAGTTAAATGTTGTTTATGAAGAGAGACGTGTATACCATAGTTAAATTTAGTTTATAAAGAGAGACATGTATACCATAGTTAAATGTTATTTATGAAGAGAGACATGTATACCATAGTTAAATTTAGTTTATAAAGAGAGACATGTATACCATAGTTAAATGTTGTTTATAAAGAGAGACATGTATACCATAGTTAAATGTTGTTTATGAAGAGAGATGTATACCATAGTTAAATGTTGTTTATAAAGAGAGAATGTATACCATAGTTAAATGTTGTTTATGAAGAGAGAAATGTATACCATAGTTCAAACTGTTTATGAAGAGAGATATTTGTACCATAGTTAAATGTTGCTTATGAAGTGAGAGATGTATAAGATAATTTTTAAGAATAAACCAGGATAAAATCGACAAAAAATACACATTGAAATCGTAACGTGCGTCAATTGGTAGTAGAAGGGGCTTGCAAAGAATGGCTGATACTTTTAAAGTCTGCACGTTCATATAAGATACAACAGCACTGTGACCAAATGGACAAACCATTCCCTAAACTAACCTGACCTAACTGCAGCATTCTCCAAAATCACTCGGTTGTATATGAACCGTATGTACTTCGATGGTTTCTGGGTCCTAGGTCCCTCTCGGCCAAGCAAATGAAGAATTCGTGTCGCAAGGACGGTGTGCTCACAATCTTCGATGAACTCACAAAGATGAGAGAGACCTTATTGAAAAAATCAATCAAACATATAACCATTTGTTACCGTGTAAATATATTACCAAATTTACATTACCCAATGGACAATACACAAGATGTACTAACTGGGAAGCTAGTATGGGGAGCTGGTAAGTGAAGCTGGTAAGTGAAGCTAGTAAGTGAAGCTTGTAAGTGAAGCTTGTAAGTGAAGCTGGAAGTGAAGCTTGTAAGTGAAGCTTGTAAGTGAAGCTGGTAAGTGAAGCTTGTAAGGAAGTGAAGCTTGTAAGTGAAGCTTGTAAGTGAAGCTGTGAAGTGGTGTGAAGCTTGAAGTGAAGCTTGTAAGTGAAGCTAGTAAGTGAAGCTAGAAAGTGAAGCTTGTAAGTGAAGCTAGTAAGTGAAGCTAATAGGTGAAGCTAGTAAGTGAAGCTAGAAAGTGAAGCTTAAAGTGAAGCTAGTAAGTGAAATAGAAAGTGAAACTTGTAAGTAAAGCTAAGTAAGTGAAGCTAATAGGTGAAGCTAGTAAGGTGAAAGTAAGTGAAGGTGAAATGAAGCTAGTAAGAAGCTAGAAGTAAAGAGTTAAGAAAGTGAAGTTAGTAAGTGAAGGTAGAAAGTGAAGTTAGTAAGTGAAGGTAGAAAGTAAAGTTAGAAAGTGAAGTTAGTAAGTGAAGGTAGAAAGTGAAGTTAGTAAGTGAAGCTAGTAAGTGAAACCAATAGAGGCGGCTTATGACGAACTGCATGAACGTCATATTCAGCCTTTTCAACTTTGACTTCGATGCAATGTTAGGTAAATTACGCGCTCGATAAAATATCGCTTTTTCATTTTTTCACAAGAGCAGAGCTCTTTGAATGAAGTTCAATAAGATACAGAGCCAAATTGTATGTACTCACCGGACTCTTTTGCCTCAGAATTTTCTTCCACGATATGAATAATGGTGTTCACGATCGCTTTCTTGTATTCAAATCCTCCCTAGTTTTGAAACAACTTTTGGCATTAACATCGTTCACCAAGAACTTTCAGCGGACTTCACTACATAATGAATTCTTACGTCATCACGCAGCATGGACGAGAGGAAAGTCATCATCACCAAATGCTTCTTGGGAAATTTCATACACAATGACCTAAAAAATGACGGGCTCGAGTTACATCGATCATCCTTTGAAAGAGGAGTGGACGATTTTACGATCAGTAAAAGAAAACGACCTTGAAGTGCCTATGTCACCCTCGGGGAAATTATCTATTTAGATAGAGTTTACGATTTTAAGAACATTTGCAATATATTTTATAAGACGAAAATTTGATCTTCCTTGATTTTTTGGAGGTCAAAGTTGGCTTTTTTCGTGTTTGACCGTGAGGTGCTGTGACTGGGTCTAGTTAACCGGACGTGACGTATATTGGAGAACACACTGCTTTTTAAGGCTGTAGAATTAGTGTGATTCAAAAACAAACTACACACTATAACTCAAGTTTAATAAAAAATAAACTTCTTGATTTTGCTACAAATTACACTAAAAAACTACTGCGTTTAAAAGCAGCGTGTTCTCCAATGTACGTCACGTCCGGTTAACTAGACCCAGTCACAGCACCTCACGGTCACACACGAAAAAAGCCAACTTTGAGGCCCAAAAAGTCAAGTAAAATTAAATTTTCGTCTTATAAAATATATTGCAAATGTTCTTAAAATGGTCAACTCTATCGAAATAGATAATAGGGAATGAAGCTGAGTCGCTAATGAAAATGAAGGGGAATGGGGCTGAGTCGCTAGTGAAAATGTCGAAATTCCTCGTGAGTTCCCGGATCACAAAAACAACATACTTGATTGCATCCACTACCACAATCTTGAACTCATCGGAAATCTCCGACATAAAAGACGAGATCTGTTTCATCAGGCGGTCGATGCTTGACTCACTTCCGGTCTAAAAAGGGAAAGGATGCACTGTTTTACGAAGTTGAAATGACAAATCCTCCACAAATCAACTCTAAATAAAATTCACAACAATAAATCTTTTACCGCAAGGAAGCATTCTACTAATAATCTTAGTTAATCACCCTCAAACTCTTAATCTATGTCAAATGAACCTTTTTTATCAACGATTTCCGTGATTAGCTACCTAAAGCCCCGCTCACAGGATCGATTTATCGGATCCGACTGTTTCGGTTCCGACTTTTGCTTGCTTGTTCACATGGTCAGATAGTTTTGTCGATATTTTATATTTGTTTAGATATTTATAGTCTTGAAACAACCATTTGTGTTATCAAGAACATTTATCGATATATTTGCGCATTTCTATACTTGTTTTCAAGTGTTTTTCAAATGTAATTTCTTGTGTTAGCTCAAATTTGGGAAGTATAGAGAGTAAAATGCTTCAGTCAAGTCGGCTTCCTTCGATGTTGTCGGATGAAAATAGAGCAAGTTCTATTTGGATCCCATTTTGAGATTGACGGATCCGACTGTCGGAAGCTCACTTTATATTTCGGATCCGACGAAATCGGATCGTGTGAACGGGCCTTAAGGAAGAGTAGTTACGTAATAATTAAGCTCTGCTACAATTCAAGTTCCGATTTGGATCCCATTTTTGAGACTGACGGAAGCTCACTTTATATGTGTTCACACGATCTATTTTTAGGATCCGGGCCTTAAGGCAGATTAGTTACGTAATAATTAAGCTCTGCTACGATTCTCCTCATATTTACCTTAAGCAGCGTAGTTATTGCCAAAGTCGCGATACTACGGTTTACATCGGTAATAAGATTTTCAAGATCCAGATTACAGCTTGCAACAGACGCCGGCTGAGACATTGCTACTTTGTTCAATGTCCTCACCGCGGCAAACCTCAACGTTGGCCGAGGAGAACTGAGAAACAGCTGAAGCACTGTAAGACAATTCCATAGCAAGGGTAAAGAATATCAGGATCGAACATGAAGATTGCAGGCGCAACATTTACTCACCGGAAATAGCCGGACACAGGTCACGTGTTTCAACATTCTTCAAGTTAACCAAAGCTCTGGCAGCTTCGTATATCACCATCTATGTAAAGTACAAATACAATGACATTTATTTAAATAAAGTATTGAAAGTTTGCTTTGAAAGCAACCATCGGTTAACCACGTGATCCAAGCACACTGAAAAGAGCTGAAATTCACAATCCCTAATAAATCTTACGCTTTCCAAATTTTTAAATTTCTCACAAATTTATTTCCTTTTCACAGAAAATTTTGAGAAAACTGCGCTTCGCTAAGTTTCAAGTTTTACAAAGAATGGTTTTTTATAACGTAAGCCATTGAATACGACGCAATCGCACATTATATAGCGGGGTTCTATGACCAGTTCCAGGCCCTTTTCCCAATATTCAATCATCTGGCACTAAGAGCCCTAACTATACGGTAAACCCATCAGAATTTAAATGTTAAAAATAATTTTAAACTGGAAAACTCAAGGTCAATTTACCAAAAATACGCTTCTCCTATACACATCAGAAACATTGACTTAATGACTGACCAAAAGCTATTTAACGCATATTTCCGGGCATGCGCATTAAGTTTAAATACCTCGCTTTTATGTCGCAGACAGTTCTCAAGGAAATCATAATAGCCACTGGAGGATCTGCGTACGCATAAAGAATAATATAAAAAACAACGCACAAATTATGATCATTATACTATAGAGTTGATAACAAGTAGCAAGAAAGAGAAGATATGACACACAAGAAATGAAGTTTATATGTAAATGCAAAATAACACAATTTTATTGCCGTAATGTCTTTTACCCTTCATCCTCCTCGTTTACATACTTCGCCGCGATACGAATCTACATAGAAAACACGCATCGTTAATAAACGCCGTATCCCTTGGAAACACGGTCATAACCAGGCCGTTCACGGTAACTAGAGGCCTGGGAAACAATTAAACTTTGGCGCCTTTTCTCCGTTACTCATGCAACTTTCCTTCCGTATCCCATGGAAACACAGTCATAACCAGGGCCGTTCACGGTAACTAGAGGCCTGGGAAACAATTAAAGTTTGGCGCCTTTTCTCCGTTACTCAAGCAACTTTCCTTCGCCTTCCGTTGTTTCTTTTTCCATTTCCCACCTACAAAGCTGAATTTACTCTTTTCCCCCTATGGAAGCTCCCTGGTCATAGTCAAAAAGGATGTTTGAGAACACAAAGTGAGCACTTTTTCGTTATGTAGCACCAGCAGAAAAAGTAAAAAAGCTCTATGGAGATGCTGATGTACACCTATGTGGTAAAATAACACACTAATGTTCGATCACCTGGCACTAGTAGCCCTAACAATACAGTAAAGTAACGTACCATCATACACATTGCCTAGCCCTAACAATACAGTAAAGTAACGTACCATCATACACATTGCCTAGCCCTAACAATACAGTAAAGTAACGTACCATCATACACATTGCGTAGCCCTAACAATACAGTAAAGTAACGCACCATCATACATATTGCCTAGCCCTAACAATACAGTAAAGTAACGTACCATCATACACATTGCGTAGCCCTAACAATACAGTAAAGTAACGTACCATCATACATATTGCCTAGCCCTAACAATACAGTAAAGTAACGTACCATCATACACATTGCCTAGCCCTAACAATACAGTAAAGTAACGTACCATCATACACATTGCCTAGCCCTAGCATCACAGTAAAGTAACGTACCATCATACACATTGCCTAGCCCTAACAATACAGTAAAGTAACGTACCATCATACATTGCCTAGCCCTAACAATACAGTAAAGTAACGTACCATCATACACATTGCCTAGCCCTAACAATACAGTAAAGTAACGTACCATCATACACATTGCCTAGCCCTAACATCACAGTAAAGTAACGTACCATCATACACATTGCCTAGCCCTAACATCACAGTACAATCATACACATTGTAGCCCTAACATCACAGTAAAGTAACGTACCATCATACACATTGCCCTAACATCACAGTAAAGTAACGTACCATCATACACATTGCCTAGCCCTAACATCACAGTACAGTAACGTACCATATACACATTTACCTAGCCCTAACATCACAGTAAAGTAACGTACCATCATACACATTGCCTAGCCCTAACATCGCAGTAGTAACGTACCATCATACACATTGGCCCTAACATCACAGTAAAGTAACGTACCATCATACACATTGCCTAGCCCTAACAATACAGTAAAGTAACGTACCATCATACATATTGCCTGGCCCTAACATCACAGTAAAGTAACGTACCATCATACACATTGCGTAGCCCTAACATCACAGTAAAGTAACGTACCATCATACACATTGCCTAGCCCTAACATCACAGTAAAGTAACGTACCATCATACACATTGCCTAGCCCTAACATCACAGTAAAGTAACGTACCATCATACACATTGCCTAGCCCTAACATCACAGTAAAGTAACGTACCATCATACACATTGCCTAGCCCTAACATCACAGTAAAGTAACGTACCATCATACACATTGCCTAGCCCTAACAATACAGTAAAGTAACGTACCATCATACACATTGCCTAGCCCTAACAATACAGTAAAGTAACGTACCATCATACACATTGCTTAGCCCTAACAATACAGTAAAGTAACGTACCATCATACACATTGCGTAAGGTGATCTCATGGATGATTTAGTGAACTTGTTGAGAAGTTTCGAGATGGCAAGACGATCTTGTTTCTTGATGTGATATAGCAATCCAAGACCATGATACTAAGATAAAATAATGTAAAAGAATGCTTTATTATTGCCATTGCAAGCAGGCCCCAGCCAACTAAGACTGTGCAAACTACGGTTTTTCAACTCCGGCCTCTTGTCAAATCTGAACTCGGGCTTCAAACTCCGGCTATTTTATAACTCGAGTATATGCTTGTGGCTGGTTAATTTTGCAAGAAACTGTTTAACAGTCCAAGGTGAATTATTAGTAAAATTGTTATATGTAAAGTTGAATTTCCACAGTCCGACTGAATCATAAATTAGCATGTGTGAACGCAATCTAGCGTCATGTTGTTTCATGCATAAAATGTTTTATTTTCATGCAAGTTTTTCAATTTTAGCCAATAGTTATCGTTCGTTGATACAAAAATGTTTTGATCAGACACGTTCACCAAAGTTTCACAATATTTTGCAGCACAAACGACTGCTGCCGGAGTTTTGCCGGATATGAACAAACTCTTGCTCCGGCTCCGGTAGGCAAAAATAGCCGGAGCTCCAGCCTAACTCCGACCTCCGGTACTCCGGTGCAAAACACTACAGCCAACATGTTGATAATACTGATGGTTGATTGCAAGCCGAGAATTTCAATGCTTTCAAAGAACACATAAAACTGTTGTTTTGGCGAACTTATGTACTGTTGAAAAGCAGGGAAAAGGGACACGTGACAATGGCTTAGGGACAATTTTTTCCAGCTATTCTCACAAAATGAATCGCCGTTGTATTGCATGTAGCAGACATCTTCACCATTTAATAATGCCACACTCGCTATTCAGGTATATCATGTTAATAATTAGTTGACTAAGCGCTTATTGCAAGTAATATTTTTAGTGAAACACCTTAATTATGTTTTTCATTTCTCAACTTAAGCATATCACATAAAACAATATCTGTAAACATTCACTCACTGTCCTCCAAAATGCCGTGCCGTTTCAGTTAGGAGGGCAGTGAGTGGAAGGTTTACAGATATTGTTATATATTGGTAATCCAGGCATATTTAATTTATAAAAATAAAGTTTCTCCAGATTGTATGAAATGATTTTATCGAGCTTTCAACTCGGTGCTTCGAGCCTTCATCAGAAAGATAAAGGAAGTTAGATACAGTTGTTTTTAATTTGTAGATGTTTAGAGCGTCTAATTGGATTAGAGAGTGGATTAATGTGATTGGATTAGCAGGTGGATTAATGTGATTGGATTAGGGGGTGGATTAATGTGATTGGATTGTGCACAATGTGTTGTTATGGGTTCTGGCATATTGTGAATATGATCGATGTTAATATTATTAGAGTGTAATGTTGTAGTTTTGATGTTGTTTGTAGTTTTTTTGTCCTTTTTCTTTAGTTGTATAACTTCCTGCATAATTCTGATGAAGGCTCGAAGCACCGAGTCGAAAGCTCAATAAAATCATTTTATAACAATCCGGAGAAACTTTCATTTTATACATTAGATATTGTTTTATATGATATGCTGATTAAATTGTGAAATGAAACACATGATAAGGTGTTTGACTAACAACATTCGCAATAAGCTTAGTGAACTTATTATTAACATAACATTTTCACCATATGAATTTTAAAAGTAAAGTGCTCAAGACATGTAAAACAACACAACTCTTGACAAGTCAACATCTTAGAGATTACAAACAATGAGGCTTGACCACATTGGTTAATACAAACAACAGCATTGATGTAGTATTACAGCAAATATACTCTTTTTTGTCAGATTGATAACATAACTCATCTCCTGCATTTAACAAAATACCTGAACCATGATAGAATCACTGGAAATCATCTCTTGTGCCTCATTAACCCATCGCTTTACCACATCATAACTGCCATTGAGAAGATGCTGTTAAAAACAAAAGAATTTCATCAGCATATTACTGAGATAAAATCAATGCAACATGTTCCATAGTTAAACAGGCTTGTGGATATTGACTAATAACGTGACACATCACGTGAATTCAAGAAAACCTACTGACTGACAAATAATGAACTTAAGCTGACATGTATGTAATTTGCCACTAAAAGTTGTGTATGATCTAAAAGAGCTCAAGATTACTTTTTGAAAGATTTTAGAAAGTTCAAACAAACATATGCTGATTCTCTAAGCATTACAATAAGCAAAGATTTTGTGCCAGATGGAACAATCAATCTTCATTTAATGTTGGGTCATTGAAAACTTGAAATAATTTTCATCTAAGCTAACTGTCAGGTTAGTGTATCAAATTTCTACAAAGCACCAACAGACACTCAACTCATCAACTTGATAAAGCTCATACTCACCAATGATGACACTAGTGCGTTGCTTGATATGCTATTATTCTTATCAACTATGGCTTGTTTCATGTAACGTTCAATAGCCTGTAGCATTGTCGCATCCGTGATTTTACATAAAGCACGAATCGCATTAGCACAATATGCTTCCTCTCGACCAGTCATGTCCTTGGTCAGACTGCTTGTGACAATGATAACATCCTCCGCAACATTGGCAAGTTCTTTTATGGAAAGGTAAACCATGCGCCTTAGCATTGGCTATGATATAAATGAAAAAAATCAACAATATAGGGCATTATATGAATGCATTCCTACTTCAGCCATCTACTAAGAACTCACGTCTTTTGATTGAAAAAGCTTTGTCATGGCAAAAAAAGCTTCGGTAGCCTCAGTTGTACCAAATTGCTGACCCTACACGAGGCAGAGAATAAATTTTACTAAAGTCAAAATGGCAGCCAGGTTTTCAATTGTCAGTGTTCTGTGTGTCTAATCATATAGTCTAAAACCTTTTCTAGAGTGGCATGATTTTTTAAGAGCCTAGATGATACACATGGAATGATTTTCATATTTAAGGTTATTTTACATGTCATAACATACTTGGTTCAAGAGATACAATATTTTGGTCAGTATGTGGATGCATCTTTTTGGGTTGACAGGGCTTTCATTAAAAGTTCTCGCCTGAAAAAAAATAGTGGCAGAATATGGTACAAATCTTAAAATCTTGAAACTGAATGGAAACAAGACCATCATATTGTTCAATACACTTTTGTGAGTAAGCTTTTGTGAATGGATAATATAAGTCTCGTAACCCAAAGCAAAATGAAGAATGAAGAAATTAGTGAATTTACTTCTTGAAGTGCAGTTGCCTTGTCCAGTCCTTGAAATGGATTTGATCCTCTGCCTATTGGGATGGGAAACGGTACAATTATATTTCAAATCAAACTACAATGTTTTCAGCAATTTCACACTTTTTAAAAAACATGCAACATACCATCTTCCTCGTCTTTCTTATCTTGACGAAGATATTGCATTTTAAAAGACAAATATTCCAAAAGATTCGATTTTTTCTCCAAAAATTGATTTCTCTTTTGCCACGCAATGTTAGTGCTAGTCTTTTCTCTCTCTGACGCGCAAATAATTTTGCCCGCAAAATTCGGGCAAAATAAAGCGAACCTTACAATCGGGCTAGTTCTTCGTGTTATCTATCCACTGTATCGCACAATAAAGTAAATGGTTTGAACCCGGGAGTATTGTTACATGTTTGTAAATGTAGATCGTCCAGGTTGGTATAGTCCTGAGAAGGACTGTTTTTGTTGTTGTTTACTCTGAAGATGACTACCGCTAAGGTTGTCGAAACGTCAGTCAACAACAACAAAAACAGTAATTTTAAAAAACACTTGAGAAAAACGACGATTTTTTTGAAAGCAAACATGTTTCGACATTATCAGAATGCCATCTTCAGTGCAGAATGGTTAGTGTTAAGTAATATGATACGTAATATGATATGAATAAATTAATTACAATGAATAGGAATATGATTAAGTTACAAAATTATAAAATATTTACAAAAAAGGAGAAAAAAAAAAAAAAATTAAGTATTAAGAACTTATAACAAAAAATATTATTATAAAGTAAATATAGTGTTGTAGTGGTGAACTTGGATATTTAAATCGGGATTAGTTTTATTTACTTTATAATAATATTTTTTGTTATAAGTTCTTAATACTTTTTTTTTTCTCCTTTTGTAAATATTTTATAATTTTAACTTAATCATATTCCTATTCATTGTAATTATTTATTCATATCATATTATATATTACTTAACACTAACCATTCTGCACTGAAGATGGCATTCTGATAATGTCGAAACATGTTTGCTTTCAAAAAAATCGTCGTTTTTCTCAAGTGTTTTTTAACAAAAACAGTCCTTCTCAGGACTATACCAACCTGGACGATCTACATTTACAAACATGTAACGATACTCCCGGGTTCAAATCATTTACTTTGTTAATACATTCCTTGATTTATGTGCAATGTTTGCCAGGCATGCGATCTCGCGTGACTTCCACGTGACTTGCACATCAATCAAGGAACGTATTTACAGTTTTAGTAAATGGATTGCATAAAAAACCCAAACAGATTTCTCGGCCGTCTGTGGTTTTTAGTCCTTTACATTCACATTTCTGATACAGACAAAAATGTCTATTCGTTATTAACCAGTGTCTCAACCCAGCCCCGAGACAGACCCTCTCTAACAATTAAAACATTAATCAACATTATCAAACGATAACATAAATATGATTCATAAAGTTTTTATATGAGCAGTCAAGTTTTATCAGACAATTTTGAAAATAATGTTGTGTGCTAAGAAGCTCATCTTCATTTATTGAAGTGTAATGATTTGCCACCCCCACAGAGCAGGAAATAGATACGACAACACCTCGATCCCCCCTGGATGAGCTGAATTTCGTTCCGGGGGAGCAATTGGGGTTCTCTGATGGAAAATGCAATCGATACATGCTTTTTCTTAGGACTTTCACTAAATGGATTGGAGCATATCGCCACCTCCAAATGACATCCTCTGTAGACAATTTAATTTTTCTTTGTTATAGCAAGGAAAAGTTCACGTGCAGTTGTGACGTTTGCAAAAATATTTCCTCAAAAGCGTTTTCTGCAAAGGGTATTTTTTTACGATGATTTTGTTTGTAGCGCTTCTAACGACGTTTTATTTTACAAACGTGAAATTTGATCCCAATCTTGTTTATAACAAAACTTCAAGTTAGCGTGTAATGGGAGCACTTTTTCAGTAATATGAATTTGCATGTAATAACCAAAATACAAAGGATTGCATCACACATTATTAATATATTAATGCTTTATAATTTGACAAAATAAAGTTTCTTTATGATCACAAGTTCAATGTCAATCCAATTTGACGAAAAAACGAGTTCTTATTCAAACCTCTTGAACGGTGTTACCATGGTAATATTGACAAAAAGGAGATAATTACATTGAAATTCAAAGGAAAAATGGAATACTTTTCTATGCTTCGAGGGCAGACTTCGCAAGGTCCTGCTTCATCAACTCAGGAATATATCAACCAACCGGCCAATTAGCTATATAATTCGTTATTAAAGCCACATCATGCACTACAGTTTCACAATCATCGACAGAGAGAGCTTGGTGTTGCAACAAGCATCAAAATTATCAAGAAAGTCGGAGCTCAACAGAAAAAAAGGTACAGGAAAAAAATCGATAAATAGATTGTTGATTTCATCAACAAATGCCATAAAAAGGCGTTGTATTGATATGAACATGTTCATATGACGATCGTGGCTCGGTCGAAGTTATCATAAGATCATTTTAGATAAATGTGTTCAATGATAAAATGAGAAAAGTGCATGTGTTAAAGTACAAAACTTGACTGTAATATTTTCGCTATCGTCGAATGAAAATTTTCAAACAGTTATGATAAGATTATAATCACCACAAGCTGGTAAACCTCCTTATCACTGACTTTTTTTATAGAGTCAGTTAATAATATTTCTCTTGTATTCTTCTTTCTGTCGCCGTTTTTTTGCAAATGAAGATTTCATGATGAAATTTTTGGTAGGCATCTTTTACAGCACTGTATATGCATTGGCCAAATCGAAAGAAGTAAAAGAACTTTTATTCATTATGCACTACTGCAAGTTATCAGAACACGTCGGCAAGCGCGTCACGCAGCATTTGATGTTAAGAAAGTACAATATCTTTTTGTATAATTCCATATAGCGACATTTTCTATCCTTTGATGGCCGTTACTAGATACATTTAATTTTTCTTTTCACCTCATCTCACAGTCGTGACTGTACCGAATGCACACAATTTTATTACTTTGTCGCTGATAAAATAATGAAATTGTGTGCATTCAGTACAATCTAGAAAGTCGCCCGTGACATGTAGTAACAGTAAAATGGACAGCATTTATCTACAAACATGTATAACGACAATCCAAGATTGAAACCATTCACTTTTATACAGTAGCTTAACAGTATGACTAACTTGCAAGTGATGAATCAGAGTGCATACCTTGATAAAATTTTCATCAAGTATTTTTGATGACTATTGAACAGCGTATTTATCAATGGAATTGTGTTTTTGTGTTGTGCTTGTGGAAAAACTTTGTTCGTGCGTTATAGGAGAAGAAAGATTATGGCAAGGATAAAAGTTCTTTATGGAGTTATTTTGATGCAGATAATGATTGCATGTACTTGCCATGGTCTGGTCTCTATTAGACTTACACGTGTACACAAATACATCCCCATTTTCACAAGAAAACCATCAATGAAAGAACCGCCCACGACATTACCGCCCGGAAAGCCACTCGTAATTAGCCCTGTCAAAAACTCAAGTTACTGCAATGAATCAGAAATTATAGCTGCCATTTCGGAAGATGGTCGCAATAAACGTTCGGTAAGTCAACAACGACTATATGATTGCATTGCTCTATCGAAAACAGTTGCGTAGCTAGAACGTTAGTAAAGGGGGGGGGTGTGAATTATATTATATTCAGTTGTGTTCGACTGAATTCTTAAGAAAGCCAAATCACTTTCAAAAGACGTCAGTCGGGCACAACTGAATACATGAATAAACACCCTCCCGTCCCCGATTGTCGTTCTAGTTATGGCCGTAGCAACAGAATGCTAATTCAAGGGGGGGGAGGGTACATTCATATATTATTCAGTTGTGCTCGACTGACTTCTTTCGAAAGTGGTTTGGCTTTCTAAAAAAATCAATCGGGCACAATTGACTATCCCTCCCCTTCAATTAGCGTTCTAGTTATACGGCCCCAGCAACAACGAACAGGGATACAGTAGGATAAATGCTGAACAGAGCAGGGATACAGATAATACAGCAGGGAAAGGGGTAATCAATATTTTTGTAAAAGAAATGCCTTGGGGGATACATTTGAAAAGATTACATCCTTTTATCTTGAATAAAGACATCTGTATTCACATTGCATGACAAGCGTGTTTGCCAGATCCGAAGCAAAAAATTCTTCCTATTTTATGTGTAGATGGAACAATGGCCGTATCGATGCACATATCCAAGTTTTGTCAACCAACAGGGCAGCTATGTATTTTTGTATGATATTTTCAAGTGTTGTCAGCGATGTGAATTTCCAGCGTACGACAATTGCATCAAAAACAACCAACGTGCACCATCATGGCGATGCCCCAGTGAAGGAATTCATTGCATTTTCAAATGCGTCACAACGCATGGACCACAGAAAGTTGATTTAAGGGCTCGCATTGGCCGCATTGGTCGCATTGGCCGCATACAATTCCCCAGGTTGAAATGTGAAAGACTCGAAAAACGACCAAATGGAGAGACTTGTATACGTAGATTATGCATCAAGATGATAGTCTAAAATAGCAGTAAGGTATATATAGAGCATGCGCAAACAGGAATTCTCTAGAAGGAAAATAAAAGTCACGTGTCAACTTAATCATGACTATCGGTGAGAGCAAAATGTACTCGTAAGCCATCTAGATAAAAAGATTATTTCTTTGTTTGGTAAGAAAATACTGCATCAGTTTGCCTACCGAACAGAATGAAACAACAAATGTTGCAAGCGAATGTAAGCCCCATATTCATTTAAAACTTTTATAAGAAACAGCAAGTGCTATTCAAACCGAGTCTTCAATAATGCCGGGCAAAGTTAAGAAAAAACACAAAGGATGAACCAAAAATTGCATGTCGCTATGTCTAAATATGCGACGGCTAAAGGTGGCAAAACCATCGCATTTTATTTGAAGGTTTTCAATCGGGTGAAGGGAATTCTTTATCTGATCTTAATTGAAGATCTGCGTTTCTCTAAATTAAAGCATCTTACAGTTACTTTATGAAATTGGCATCTTTGCCACAGACTTAACCTTCAGTGTATGACGTGCAGTATGCATTGAAAGTGCAGAAGCTGTTCGCCCTGACTATATAAGCCTAGTTCACATATAGTCGTCAGAGTCGTTTCAGTCGTGCCAAAATTTCACAGACGACCCTTGCCACGGTATGAGAACATTACAGAGGAGACTGGGATGACCTCAAATGACTCACACGACTTAAACGACCTGGGTCACTTGGATAGAACTTTGCTCTATCAGGCAAACGAAACGACCGTTGAAAAATGCAAGCGACCTTTTTATGGCGCAAAACAATTTGAAGCAGCAAATAACTATAGCCAAAAGACTTTGTCTTTGACAAACAACAACCGCCATTTTTAAATGTTTCGCATAAAAATTACGAAGTCTCTCTGCAGCGCTAGTACGAATATTTGAGAAGTACAATAGCTTGAGTCGTCCCAGCAAGTCGTTTTGAAAAACAACATGAAACAACACGAAACGACTCGAATGTCTCAAACGACTTAATGAGAACCAGGCTTTAGGAGACCTGTTTCAAAAATGCAATAAAGACTTTATTTTCGAAATCAAAATCGAGAAATTAGGCGTTCCTTTAAAAATTAACGTCGATGAAAGGCCTGTCAAAGGCAATGTAGCCCTAAACATCCAGAAACGTACATCCTCGATGGTAGATTGAAAATCTTACAAGCTTATGATATTATATATACGTTGTAATCAACTTTTGTTTTGAAGCAAGCTTTCTTTTTGAAAGCTCGATTTTCATTCTTCGCTTTGCTATTGGATTGGATTCAGTTTCCCTTTGAGTTACGGTGCCCTGCTTCCATTCCAACAAACAAAATATTGGCTATTTGTTGCAATAAGATCTTTTCGCTTTGTTTTTTTGCAAGTACAATATTGACTTGCATGCATGAAGTCACTAATAGATAAATTGTGCGTCAAATTGTAAACAAGTAGCCGGTTGAAAGAAATATATGGATCGAGAGCTCGTAGTTTCTTTTTAGAGCTTGAATTTAATGTTTTCTGCATTTGTCTCTCCCTTTTGTCTACGCAAAAGATGTCTCTTTCTTTTGTCAATGCAAAAGGGCAGGTTTGTTCGTTTGAAGTCTAAATGTTTTTGTAACTGCAAGCACATTGAATATCGCCACTGACCGTGCTGTTTACTGTTAGCTGTTAGCCAACCAGCGAATTTCGTTGACGTGTTTTGATCACGTGACAGAGAGTTTATTTCAGAGGCAGCTACATTATAAAAGTTATTTTTCTTCTATCGATTTAGCTAATGGATACTGAAAGGTAGCGTGCTCACGTAAATGAAATACCTATTGAAAATTTCATAATGGAAATTATACTTCATCATGATGAAATTTTCTGTAGATATTTTTACAGCAACTTCAGCACGTCAACTGTATACATTAGCTAAATCGAGAGACAATAAAGAAGTTTTTATCTATGGTTTTTATAATGTATTTGTAAAAAAATCTCAGCAAGTAATCACAATTCATTAACGAGCCACGTCGCACATTTTATGCTGAGAAATTCGAAATTTATACTTTTTTAGGGAAACATATCAGGCCGGTTCGGAACAGAAGCCGAATGATTACTGCAAAGTGGAATGAATATACTTTTGACTTAGATACAAGTTTGCCTTCTAAGATCGCAGAGGAGCGAAGGTCTTGCTTCACCACTTCAACTGTATCAATTTTGTCCATTTTATCATACGTATTTGGCAAACCGGATGCCGAAGAAGGACTTAACAATGACTAATTTTTGACATGCATAGTGCAACTGATGAAGGTATTGAAATTCATTTAAACTCATGCAGTGAAAGCCACGTCATGCAATAAAGTTTTAATGATCAAACACAGAAGTCCACAGCTTTACTGCTGATATGAAAATTATCAAGACAATCGCCTGATGAGAACGAGAGCAAGAGTACAAAACACCAACATCGGTAAAGAAAAGTAATTAAATTAACTATAAGAATGTCAAAACTAACGCTTTTTTGACACGAGATTGTTCATTTGACAATCGTGACTTGTTATGTTCATATTAGTCTCAAAATGAGGAAAATGCATGCATTACACTACAAAAGTTTATTGCAACATGTTGGCGTTTGAGATGATTTTTAACTAGTTATGATTCGATTGGTCGCTACAAGTCAACCTAATTATCAATGATTCATTGTCAAGTTAATCATATTTCTGTTGGATCTTCTTTCTATCACTGTTTTTTAGTGAAGATTTCGAGATGATATTTTCAACAGGTATTTTTAAAGTTACTTGAGCACGCTAAATGTGTGCCCTTTAGCAAAAATCATAAGAAGAAAAATAAGTTTCGTAGAATGTTTCTAGAAAAATCTGAGCGTGATCAGAACCCGTTAATGCGAGCCACGTCACATGTAAAATTGGTGATAAAAAAGTGCATTTTTGTATAAGTTTATGTCTACTTGGAAGCGAAATTCTCTCACCTCTGACGGTCGTGACTACATATAATCACTTTGCACGACTTTATCTCATGAAGAAAAAATGAAATTGCATGTCTAACAGTACAAAGTTGGCAGTGAACAAAGCGCTAGTTGTTGAGTTATCATTAGATTGCAATCATGCACCACAAGTTAAACATCCTTATAGCAATGACTCAAGGCGAGTCTATGATATTTCCGTTGTGTCTTCTTTCTATCACTGTTTTTTTTTGTTTCATGAAGATTGTACGATGAAATTTTCATTATAGGTATTTTTTATAATAGCTGTGCTTGAACACTTCTGGCTTGACACTGTTCAGCCATTTTATATCAATGCAGTTTGTGTTATGGTGTTATGTTTCTTTTAGAAAAACTTTATTCATACGTTAAAAGATTACAGACAGCATGGAATGGATGAAAATCCTTTGCGGAGTTATTTTGATGCAGATAATGATGACGCATGCTTGGCTTGGCATGTGGCGAAAAATTCGTAGACATGTACACAAGCATATCTTGACAATAAAACCACAGCCAAGGCTAATTTACCCCGTCAAAAACTCAAGTTACTGCAGTGAATCAGAAATTATAGCTGTCATTTCAAAATACAGTCGCAACAAGCGCAAGGTATTGGTTATAAATGACATTGTGAGTTTGCTTTGCTCATTTGCAATAAAACCGACGTGTTTTTGTACAGACCGAGCCCGTAGGGCGAGGTAAGACGGAGGTTAGATATTTCTCAGTAAAGACCGAGAAAGCGAGGTTATTAAAAGGATTATTACGTAGCATTATTTGACCCGGCCAACCGGGCTGAAATTGCTCCATGTAATTGGCCCCTTTGGAAAATTTATGAAATGATAGTGTGGTTTATGAAGACATGTATATTGAAATCCAATGACAACCATTTTTTCTCAATCTAAAGCAGACAATTTTTCGTATTTTTATGTGTAGATGAAACAATGGCCGTATCAATGCTCGTATCCAAGCATTGTCAACCAAAAGGGCAGCTATGTATTTATGTATGATATTTACAAATGTTGTCAGCGATGTGAATTTCCAGCGTACGACAGTTGCATTAAAAAGAACCGGCGCTCTCCGTCATGGCGATGCCCCAGTGACGGAATTCATTGCATTGTTGAATGCATCATAACGTATGGACCACAGAAAACACGCATCATTAAAAAACCTCATTTCAGTTTCCGCCGTAGCAACAGAAAGGGTAGGAGGCACACAAGAAGAAAAGTCCCCAAGTTGAAATGTGAAAGACTTGAAAGACGACCAAATGGAAAACCTGTATACGTAGATTATGCATCAAGTTGATTGTGTAAGATACAAGTAAGGTTCATATAGAGCATGCGCAAGTCCTGAACCTTATGAAATTATATTACATATCAATTCGGTAAGCATCATACAAAATAATCAGCGATAGCCAAACCTTTAATAAATCTAACAGCACACTGTACCTTATGAAAATTTCAACATAACCAGTCATTACGCTGTGAAGTATTAAAGTAAAAGTTAAATACACTTTGAAACTTACAGAAAGATTCAAAAGGTATACAAGTCATTTAATACATGTTTGAACACTCCCTGACGTGTACAATTTGGTTAATTTTGACACTAATTTTATATTTGCCTCCTGGCGTATAACAATAATAATTATGATGGCTGAACTGTTCATACACTGAAGTTAATGAACAAACAGTTCTGTTTTCTTTCAAAACAAAGGCTCGTGCATAAATTCTTTTCCACATTGCTCTAAAAACCATGCTTTTGCGTATGGAACATGTGTTCATTTTATAATGAAATTTTACGATTAGCTGCTTGGAAATTTGAATATTGCCTAAGAAAATTTTCAATCATAAAATGTGTTGGTTATGTTACCCATACGGTGACAAAGTCGAGGGTTAACGCATTCATAACCAATAGAACAGCAACGTCCATTGTGGCTTCATACGTCATCTTCATACGTCATTTTCATACGTCATCCAGTAAAGTTTCAAATTCATTGTACAAACGACTGCATTTTTCTGAATTTTTTGCAATGTCTTGGTACTCCATTTATAAATCCACAAGTTTTTTTAGAAACACTAGAAAAAGTTTAATCAGTTTAAAATAAAAAACAATCCATATTTGTTTGAAATTTTCTCTTTTCATTTTGTCTGTCTATAAGAGCTAGTTTTTACGGCATGTTCTCAACGCAATAATAATATTAATCATAAATATCGATTTTATAAATACAGGTAAACTTCATTAGAATCTATTTCTAGATAAAGTGCATGTTGTTTGTATCTAAATAAACGCCGGTCTAGTCTTCGTTAAACTCTTTTAACTTTTCCTCATGTTCGAAATTTGGAATAATTCGGCCATTTCATAAAAGCAAAAGAAAAATGAACTGCATGATCAAAAATCCTCACCGAAGCATCATTTCAATTCATACGATTACATGTTACCTATATAATGATTTGTTCATCCTCCCTCCCCTAGTCTCAGTTTGTTCCTAGCAACTGTTTATGTTTGAAAAATACTAAGTTGACTAACCACTTTGTCTGTTAGTTCCATTAATGAATTTATTTGTCGTCTTTTCATTACTTGGTATTGTTCCATGTCAGCAGATTCATAAAAAATGAGTACACTCAACAGAATGGAAAAATAGTTTGATAGCTTAAGAAAAATGATAAAATATATTTCATTCTGGTCATAAAAAGTCAAAAATTTCGTTTTGCTTTCTTTCATACTTATATATATATTCATATAGAAATACAGAATTCGATTGTTGTCATAAGGAAACATGCACCTATTCCATTTTCAGAACAGATTTCGGTCTTTTCGCAAAGGAAATTGCCAAACTACTAGTTAACAAATAACAGCATAAAAAATGGCAACGTAAAAAAGCTTGGATGGTGTGTTTAGTATTTGCGATTTGACGCATTATTGTCGCGTGCCTGCATTGAAAAAAGATGGAAACACCCAAAAAAAGTATAGTCGTCAAATATACGTAATTGATGGCTTAAATCACGTAATACTTATAACATTATATTTGTTTTACTTTCACTTTTGTAATGGCTATGCCTATCACAAGCACAGGAAGTGACTAAGTGAAAACAGTAAATGGAAGGAGTATATAGCAAAGGATTTTGTATGATTGTTTAATACACGCCTTGTTACTCTTAATATTTGTAATCTAATTAAGTTTATACAACGTAGTTCTATACTTAAAGATGTATTATAGCATGGATTTTGTTCACGGACTAATCTGGAAATAGGAATATCGCTCAATTCTTAAACTAACTTTCTCAATTTTATATTTATGTAGGAATCAGTGGAGAATTTTATTGCTCTTTTTAGGATATTATTGTTAATGCAAAGAAAGATTTTGTATATGCATTATCAATCAATTAAAAATTTCAAGCAGATGGTTTCGCTTATTTTTGTATTTATAATTATCAGCAAAATAAACAACGCAAAATATTTGTCTGTTCCATCATGTTAACTTGCATAAACTATTAAATTTCATAGACTATTGAATTTCCTTTTTTAGTAAAAGATAACCAGACTATTGTAGTAATATATTTTTTCCTATATCTTCCTTCAAAGCTCTTCCGACCTACAATGATGCGTCTACTGAAAGATCGTATTTAAATAAGAATTTATCATATGAAAGACATACGTCATTCATGTGCATGTTGGTTTGTGATTAACCCTTTTTGAAGTAACTTGTGTTTGGCCTTTTTCATATGATGACGTCATGTTCTCGTCACATGGTATGATTATATGACATAAACAAATTTATTTACATAAAGAATAGTAAATTTCGGAAATATGTACACGAACATTCAGCTTATAAACCAAAGATGAAAATGTTTTTTTAGTTTTTCAATTTTGGTACCATTTTAAGCCCTCAAGAATAATTCGTTAGACGTAATTGACAAAAGTTATAAAATAAGGCATAGATAGAAATGGCGAAAACACGGCACAAAAACTTTGGTTTTGGAAGCTTAGCAGTTAGCATTGTCGAAGGCATTAGCTTAATGTCATGAAACTTCTTCAATTTCAAAAGCAAATGCCATATGTGAAAGCTATTTCAAATAAGCTTCGAAGCAACATAATTCTCATCATAATTTTATTTATTATTTCTTTGGTTATCCTGTTGTATTAAATACTGGATGTAAAACAACGTATTTCACTTTATGCAGGCCTCGTGCGTTAAGGAATTTAAAGCGATGAACATTTTTCAACTGCTCGGTTTTTTTAAATACACCTTGTATATATTTCTGCACATATTTTTATCACAATTTATACATATGACAGATATGAAACTGTGCACGTTTTAATAAATGCCATTCATGGTCAAAAAAGAATGTGTTTTAACAACATGCGTGACACGAGGTAATCAGTAATTTTTCTTCATGCTCAAAATTGGTACAATGTTGCTTAAGATATTTCATCGGATTTTTTATCTAATATATGCATTGGTTAAATGTGCAATGAACGTTTTTGTTTTCTTGCTCCTTTCATATGAAAGACTGTTTTCAAGTTAAATGTCAGATTTCAAAGTGTTCTAATTAACATTTCTGACGTGTTCACATAAAGATATTTTTTAAATTAGAAGTACAGGACTACAGGATGAGGAAGTTCTTTGTTTTCTTTCCGTAAACATAACAAGTATTACTTTTTTGTGCCAGTTGTCGTCTGAAAGGTCACATTGACATCGAATTGTAGTGTTCTAGTAATATTCCCACCATGCATCGTAATTTCTTGAAATGTTTATGTCTATATGTATATTTGTTAGGGTTCTATTACAAAACGATGAAATATCTTGTTCGGGCAATATCTGTAAATTATAAAAGAAAGACTTGGTTATGGTTACTAACTTACACATAGCTCTGAACAGCGTATTTGTCATGCATGGTGAATGACGATTGAATAGTTCTTAAAATTAATTCAACTGATTTTATGGTTATCTTTATTTGTACAGCTATGATTTCAAGTCAACAGTTCTTTTACGTGTTGCATATAAAGACAGTTAAAGACTGATCATACGTCAAAGATACATATATAAATGTGTTAAAAAATACAATGAAGTGCAATGCATGTGAACAAAAACCTTTGACACTACAACTAGCCTGTTGTCACCAGCTGTCACTGATGGCTTTCTTTCTTTATTTTTATTTAGTAACCGAAACTCTAGATAATCTATAGAAGCCCATTTGCAGATCTGCTTCTGCCTTCCCAACAAAGGCTTACACTCTCTTCAAATACGCACCAAAACTTAACCGTCTTCGCTACACATTTCCTCCTTTCCATTCAAGGGCAAGACTTTCTAAATCTTGAGTCTTTTATTATTTATCATTTCTAGTGTCTTAGAACACTTGAGATCAGGTATTTATCACTTCAAGAGTCTTAGAACACTTTGAAATCTGACATTTAACTTGAAAACAGTCTTGGAAATAGCAAGAAAACAAAAACGTTAATTGCACATTAACCAATGCATATATTATGTCCATTTATTGTGTTTGCTAAACCGGATGCCAAAGCTGACTTTTTTTATATATGTATATGTGCAAATAAGGGAGCTTCGAGTATATTCAACATCCCCTTGTCAAAGCCAAGTCGCAATTATCGACGCACACAAGTTTTCCTACTGTTGTATTTAACTGTAGCGTTATCAAGAAAGTCAACTTATCAGAACGTGAGCCTGGAAACGCGAAATTAATCAGAATCGGAAAAAAGGTAGCTAATACCACCTCGTGTTGAACTAGCATGTTTCAGTATAAAGTTAAAGGTAGTGAATCGAAATAACCATCTTGGATAACATTATTTTACAAAGAAATGAAGCAATTGCGTGCATCACAGTATAAATTTGATGGCAACACGTGTAGTTCGTCCAATTTAAAGTTTTTAAGCAGTTATGATTAGATTAATCAGCGCAAGTAAAATTAGTCCGTTATCAATGACTCATGTCGAGTTAATGATATTTCTGTTGGGTCTTCTTTTTATCACTATTACCTTTTTGCAAGTGAAGATTTTAAACACCACAAGCACAACTGTATTCATAACCGGATGCCAAAGCTGACTTTTACAAGATTTCAAACACCACAAGCACAACTATACTCGTCAAACATTCAGGCAAATTTGTGTTATTGTGCCGTGCCGATTAAGAAACACTTTTTTTATTTGTTACAGAAAGCTTAGAAACCATGAGAGGGATGAAAGTTCTTGGATTTTCGTTGATGCTGACAACATTAACACATGCCTCACCTCGAAAGCCATTCATAATTTCCCCCGTCAAAGATTCAAGATACTGCAGTGAGTCAAAGATAATAGCTGCCATTTCGAAACAAGGTCGAAAGAAACGCGCGGTAGGTTCTTGTAATGGCACGGTGATTGTGGGATATTGCATTCTTTATAGCATAGCAATGAAATCTTCGTAGCTAGGTTAGTTTCCTTTTTTAAGGTCTTTGTTTGTTTAGTTAATTCTTTTCTTTTGTTGTAACGTACGAGAACTTGAAACGAGGTTCAAATTAACGAAGAGTATTAGTGAACCAGCTGAGGAGCGGTTCCTCGATAGTGATTTGCTTTGCTTTTTCTAAATCTAACAGTCATATCTTAGAAATATATAAGTGCATTTGGCTTATATATATTATCTCAACTCATCTATTCGAGCATTAACTGTCGAGGAATTCGCTACTCAGCTGGTTCACTAACACTCTATGTTTTTAACCTTTTATTTATTTTACAAACAACAGGTACAATACACACTGGAGTATTTTTACGCTCTCTGAGTTAGACTTAATTATTCACATTTATTTACATTAACGGAACTTATTTAACTTAATTATAGATAAAAAATTTACAACTACTGCAAAACATAAGTCGAGCTTTACTTTTACGTCATTTGCTGTTTTCATTCTTTCATCGCGTTTCAAGTTCTTACTCGTTGCAACAAAAAAGAATTAAATAAGAAAAGAAAGACCTTACAAAACGTACTTAAGACAAAGAAATGTTAACTATTAACAGGGAACTACCTAGTTGCGATATTTTCATTGCTATGCTTAAAAGAATGCAATATTCCACACTAACAGTAACCACTACATACGTTTCTCATATACTTACTAATCAAGTCAATTTTTTTCAATCGCGAGAGGGTTTAGAGTTGCGTATGACGTAATAACGTGCATACAATATTCCAGCTAGGATCCTTCAACTAAGATCAGAGAATAGCCAATCCTAGTTGTGCGTCATTAAAACCTAAGCACTTAATTGACATATTGCATCTTATAGAACTTAGAACAGTATGCTCACAGTTCACAAATGTTGTGAAAACTGCCATAAGAAATTTTAGTCGTGCATGATTTATATGGCAATAAAATATCAGATTGGCGATTAATGAAAAAAAGTACCGTTTCACATTGAACAATTAATAAAGGCATCTTTAATTATATCCAATGATTCAATGATAACCATATTTGCTCAATCGAAACAGAAAATTCTTTCTATTATGACGCAGACAAATCGATGGCCATACGATTGCGCACATCCAAGCATTGTCAACCAAAAGGGCAGCTATGTATTTATGTATGATATTTACACCTGTTGCAAGCGGTGTGAATTTCCAGCGTACAACAATTGCATGAAAAAGAACCTCCGCTCTTCGTCATGGCGATGCCCCAGTGAAGGCATCCATTGCATAGTTCGATGCATCAAAAAATATGGACCACAGGAAACTAAGATCATAAGAAATAACTGTAGCAGAAGACGTCGCACATTTAGGTCCCGGCGTCGCAAACTCTTTTTCCGACGTCGCAAATTCTTTTTCCGACGTCGCAGATCCTTTGTCCGGCCCCCTGCGTCAAAATGTGAAAGAGTTGAAAGACGACCAAATGGCAAAACCTGTATACGTAGATTGTGCATCAAGTTGATAGTGTAACTGTTTAAGATAAATGTGAGGAATCGAGCATAGGCAAGTAGCAGTTTTCTTGAAAGAAAATAAAAATCAAATCTCGACTTTAAACTATGTGCTTATCAAAAGTCTTTGCCTGGTTGCACGCCAATATAAGCCCTATTATGTTGCAAAACCTTGAAATAAAGATTTCACGAAGGCTATAGGCTGACTGAGTTATCAATGAGCCAGCTAGGTTGTCAAAATAGACAAAAGTACTTAAAGTAACAACGTCGATATTGGCGGATTTTAGGTGCTTATAATCATCCTGAGATTCGCACTCTGACAAGCAGAGACGAATCGTCGCAATTCGTCTTTTGCAAAAACCCAGTACTTTTTTCCACATATTTTTATATACTTCCCGATAGTTGTCAGAAAAATTTTCGAAAAAAGGAACTTTTGTTTTTCTTCGCAAAATCCCTCTGAAATTTTTTTTAAGAAATTTCTCTCGAATTGAATTTCCATCAAACTCCTTCCAGTATGGTCGGAATTTTCATCTGGGTGATGGTTTTAGGCTTTTAGCGACGATGGCGAGAAACAATGATAGAAACACCAAACATTATTTCACCATTGTGTGGCATCATTTTACTTACAGTTCTAAACTTCACAAACTACTTTGCAAAATCAACTTCTGCAATTAAATCGAAGTGAAGCGATTGTAATGGGCGCAACGATTCTTGGGAAGGTTTTGAATCGTGTGCAATGAAGAGTTGAAGACGCATACTTATACTTGTGAAAATCACCGTTGTAGAAGTGAAATTAATATATTATATAAAGTCATGGATTTTCCCCATCTTATTGAAAGTCGAACCTTTTGCGACTAAACTATAGATGAGATAGCAATCTTCGTTCGAGATTCAATATAAAACAATATCCAATTTTAAGATGGTGTGGGTCCCCCAGTAAGGCAGTGATACACATTATTAATATATTAATGCTTCATAATCTGACAAACTAAAGTTTCTTTATCATCACAAGTTTAATTTCTATACAATTTGAAGAAAAAAAATTAAGTCAAGATGCAGCCCACCTTCTCCGCATATTGCATACATTGACGTAGTTTCTTCGCAGGAAACTCCGTTGATATCAAGTTTTATCAACGGTTTAAAGCTGGGAGTCCAATGACGTTCGAGTATTATGAATAATCACACGAGTGAAAACTGTATAAGTCGTTATTAATAACATCATAATAACATTGCAAAGAGGACAACGTTCGAGGCAAGTTAGAGTGGTTTTAACGGGAGTGATGCTTTCGTTTCGACGTAAAACGCGGAAATTTTCAATTTCCTCTCAAAGAGCAGAGAGACTTGTTCCTGAATGGGACGGAGTGAAATTCGAAACAGGTACACAAAATGTTATTTTACGCAAATTCATAATAATTTTGTACATAATGTATTGTTTTATCAAAACATGGGCTTAATTTGTATAAATGCAGAAATTCAACCAAAAGCCGTTCAACAAATATTGCTATATTTTTTACAAGGGCAAAAACGACATACGACATAAGCAAAATGCTACTTATATGTTTAACTTTGTTTTCGACGCTTTTACCAAGTTTGCATTGTTCATTTGTATAACATGGAAGAGTGTGAATATGAATTATTTCAGTATTAAAGAAAACGAGATTTTCAAAGTGTGTTCACACAAACGAACGTTTCCGTAAAAAAACTTGTACAATTTAGGCCGTTTCAATTCAGGAAATCAAACTCTTAATCCAGTTCACATTCGTCTCTGACTCTATTTCTCAAAAATACACATGTCGCTCGTTTTTTTTATCATAGCTATGTTTTATCCAATGTTTTGTTAATGATACATGCAGGAAAGTGATGATAAAATCGTTGCAGGACAACACATCCTTTAATTTAAAGTGGGCGTGGTTTTTATCGATTCAAGCGGTGAATTTCATTCGAAGATTAGAGTGTAGAACGAGTTTCGGAAATTGACGTTCGCACTTCATCGTTATCTCCGACAAAAAACAACAATCAATACGAAAGGTGATTGGCCCATTCCCGAATGTTATAAAATTAGCAATTATAAAGCAATAAGACCGAATCCAAAATATAGCATCATGCGCGCGCAAGTACATGCTGTCAACGAGGTGATGCACTGATACTCAGGCGGCGTGTAATCAACTGCCTTACATTTGAAGAACCAGCAACACGGTGGCCAAACCGGGAGTTTTGGTCCTGTAATACATTGTTTTTGCGGCAAGTTAACACAGAAAAATTTCTATAGCAGGACCAGACTGGCTATACCCGGATTGTCTGTAATAGGTTTTAATTAGCTGCACATGTCAAAGCTGTGAGTTATCTTTTTACTTACGGCTTTGCGAGAGTCTTAGCTACTGCGTCGTTAATAATTTAACGTTAGCGGGTTCCTCGTCGCCGAACTCGTGCGACTAAATAAACAAAGGATTGATTGTTTATCTGACCGATTCAATGCAACTCGACATTATATACTTTCTAACTTGGAGTTGAAAAATCGAGCCCCGCTTACAGACTTGTCACTGAGCTACCCAACCACTTTCATTAATGAATGAGCCTTCGAACGAGCCCACAAAGCCATAAAATGGCATAATCAAGCCCAGCGTCCTTTTGAGCCAACATATTTAAAAGCGCATTATGCTGAGAATTTTATTCTCGCATTAGTACCTATGCGCTACGGGTTGTGAATGATTTTGAAATTTTAAAAGTGAACATCTGTCCTCTTTTGTGTAATTGTTTTTTTCGTCACCAAGATACAGCATCGGCAATTTAGCAACGTATATCAGTGGCAACATTGTTAAGACAACCAGACGGAGTCATAATTAGGCCACAAATTCGAAATTTTCCCTGTAGCATTAATTTTCAACTGCTTTCGAGCTACACAAAAAAACAACGAGCGGCAAAATGGCCTGTTGCCGAGTGCTCAAGAAGCGAGTCAAAGTGAAAGTTGTCACAGAGGACAACATTGAGGAATCAGAAGCGGCAGGTTTGTGGATGTCTAAGAATCATATTTAAAAAGAAAATGAAGACGTCTTGAATTTAGCATAAGCAGATTACTGTTTCAAGAAGTTTTTATAAGAAACTTTAAGTCTTAGAACATTCATTTGAGCTACTTACAAACGTAATTTATTATCACAACGATCGTAGCTAAGTCTTATATGAGAGCACAAATACAGCTGCGCGCATGTGGGAGGATGTTCACAAGCGCATACGTACGAGGAAATCAATTTCGAACACAATACGTTAATCGATTCTTTCCTTGATGTTGTGACATTGTGCAATAAAATGTAATTGATATTAAATAATCTGCTTGTCACACATCGAATGATGGGGAAGAGTAAGTAAGCTCAAGAGTTTCCTCCGCAAGTGTGTTCCTTCTCGAAACATTTCTAACAAACTAGCTTTTCGCAGCAGGACATTAGCAAATGTTCTTGCTTTGATTAGCGCTAACTTGTTTGCTCTAAATAATTTAAAGTGTCCTTTCTGTCGGAAATAATACTTCTGTTTGATCATTTTCAAAGTCGATACCATGTGTCTCGACTTAAGTATAGAAAATGAAAAATTTCTGGCCTTTCATCAATGACTTTAAAAATCCTTCTGCAACTAATATTTTTTAAAACTTTCAACACATCATTAATGAAAATTTGCATCATGACAAATTGCTTGTCTACACAAATCCACATATCAAGAAGAAAGTCGTCATGGTGGTAATTCCTGCAAGGGAAGCATGCAGTTACCTTGAATAGAAAAGCAAACATTTGACACCTCTACCATCGAGTTCTCGTCTAATGTATGGAGATCAGTCGTATCCAAGATGGTCTCTTGCATCTGTGTTCTGTGTTTTGAGCTTTGAATCCATGATTTTAGCAATCAGTCGGACCTCACTCGTAAGTGTTTAACAACGGAGTTGGACCTCCTTAAATTTTAAATTAATATCTCTTATTATACTGGTTTCCCAACAAAACGAAAAACTTTTCATCCAAGTGGCCACGTTGCACGGTCGTTTGGCTGTACACAGCTTCTTTACGATACGATAAAGCTCAATATTAAAATATTGTACAATAACCAATCATGAAAGTGGATTGGATATCATGGTTGATACCATTACTAGGGATCGTCCATTCATGTAGTGGACATGCAGAGAAAGGGGTCCTGCGAATGATATTTTGGAAACTAATTTTGGCTCCCTAAGATAGGACTATGCACGTTTATAGTTTACCTAGGCAGGCTAAGATAACAGAAATCAGTAAGCTTAGCTCAATTAATTAAACATTGGTTTCTATTATATATTAAAGATGCCTTTCGCCTAAGTTGAAAGGCTACAAGATGTGCTGACTTGAAGGCTGAAGCAGCTAATAACATTTCCACGAAGGAGAAAGGGGGGGTATCCAAATATTGTACTTGTGTATGTAAATTCGCAAAATTTCGAGTACGCAACAAACACATGAACCCGGGGACGTACATTGCGAGATAATTTATGTAAATATTTATATAATCAAATATGCAGAACGTGCATGCCGGAGTGCCACATAGGGCGCAACTATTTCAACGTCGAACTTTGAATTGTTTTACATATATTATTCTCTGCCCATCAGGATCAGAACTTTTGATTTGGCGGTGGGCATTGGTAGAATCCTTATTTCCTTATAGGAATAATCTTTATGTTAGACAAAACAAGAGATTACGGACTTCCTATACCTTGCACAAATCAACATGGCTGAACGATTTAAAAGATTAAAAAAATGGTTTGCCAGAAGTATTCTCGGCCAACCTATCGACGAAGATGAGTTTGATGTTGAACCAGGTTTGCTATTATGCAACTTAATAATAATCGAAGCGATTATACGTTTACATTCTAGTTGGAAATGTTTCGTTTCTATTTCCAAATGATGAATTGCTGTGTATTATTATGCTTTTATCTGTAATATGAGATAGTTATTGTCACGGAATGCAGATATTCGGGGCGTGTAGATATCATCAAAGATCTATAATTTGGCTTTCCTCTGAAGGAAATCGTACTTGTGCTTAAGCTATTGCTCTATTTCATGACTAGTTATAGCGTATGCAGCAATATTTTTTATGTATATGATACACACAGGTTTTAAAATATTGCACAGATGCTTTAAAGTTCAAGCTAGGCGACCGAAAGCATCAACTCATCAATATTTCTCAAACAAATGGCGTTTCAATCCAAAGTACTTCTATTGTGTGAAAGTGAAATGTTGTTTTAGAATTAATCATAGCGCCAGTAATTTTGAATGTATTTTGATGTAAAATATCGCAGTTATGTGTACAAAATTCGTATACTTTAAGTGTACTAAACGCCAATGATCGGCATAGTGCAATAGCTCAAGACAATACCGTGCATCCAGCACTTGTGAGAGTGATATGATGTTTGAATGTTGTATACTTTCAATATGACCAATTTTCCTAGCGAATTGGTTGGAATCTATGCAATATACGATTTTAATATACTTTTGAAGGCTAGGAGAGCTGCATTTTTAACGACAAACAGTTTTTCTTGTATCCATATGGTGTAAATTGCCCGCCGTGTTTCACTAACGAGTATTCCTTTTCGCCGCTAATCAGCTAATGATTTATGTATGTGCATAAATTTACAAATAGGCATCGCATTTGATTGGTCAGTCGCACCGAGAAGCGACAAATGCGCTTGTCTGATTGGCCATTGCGTATTCGACTCTTTGACCTCTGCTCGTTATCAAATATTAACTACAAATCGGAAGTCGTTTCGTTTTATTAGTTACTGTCGTTTACAAAGTTTTTCCGTTGCGGTTGTCGTCTGTAAACAACTACACAAAAGACCCAAAGAAGCTCTGAAATAATGTTATAGTTGTTGCGAATAATAAACATATTATTTTGCGTATACAATGGAGCTGCAAATACCGACGGGACTCACGGACATGTTGCAAGAATTTACGGTAGTCGTCCTTCGTGAAAGACCCGAGGACATTGTTGATTTTGCCGCAAATTATTTCAAGCAGTTAAAGTTAAAAAATCAGAAAAGTAGAAATGTTAGTAGAGGGGTGACTTTCGGCTCAGAGGAAAAAGAGTCTGACCAAGAAGACGAAGAGGAACCATTCGGTAAACTTTCTTACAAATGAACATCGAACTGGCACTTACATCAAATGTGGTTTTGAGGCGCTCTCGTTTTACCTTTTTTTTCTGAGGATATAAACCACCAACAGCCCCTTTTTTGTACGAATCATACATACAAGCATTAGCATTACAAATATTGCAGCAATCTTATAAACACCTTTTCTATACACTTTGAATTTTTCATTTATGTTAACTTTTATTCTTACAGAACCACCAGCAAATAGATATGCAAGAAGGCAATCAGGTGCGTGAAACCTGTTGGAAAAAATTATTTGTGGGAGTAGTTTCCTAATTTGCATTCACTAAATGAGGGCAAAATGCCATTTTTATTATTTATGAGAAAAATAAATGACTTTCTACGCTTGCCTAGTTTCTGCCGAACCCCTTGCTCCATCGGATGATGAAGATGATGAAGAAGACAAGGTATGCACATCAAATGACTAGGAAAAAATAAAAAGAAGCATCATTGGTTTTTGAAAAAATTTAATTTTCTTGCATTAGGTTGTTTATCCCAAGAGCGATGATCAGAGACAAAGGCTCAACGAAGCAGTTAAGAACATTTTACTGTTTAAAAATCTTGAAAAGGTATGACCTTGGTATGGAATTTTCACTTTATCGAGTGTCTCCTACAACATAGACTCCTATTTTTTAACAATGCAGGAAGAGCTGACAAGAGTTTTGGATGCTATGTTCGAAAAAAGAGTCACTTCTGGTGATCATGTAATTGATCAGGGTGATGATGGAGATAACTTCTATGTCGTTGATAGGTATGTTATCGTAAATGCTGTGTTATTTTTCAATGAGATGTGTTAAAAGCATCACTCTCCCCCATAGCCTTAGGTTAACACAAATTTTACAATTTACATACTCATCAGTTTTACTATACTTTAAAGCTTGGACTATAGTTGATATTATCTAATTGGAAAAGGCAATTAGTATTCAGAATTGTTAATATTTTACTTGCTACACGATGATTGTGTTTTTCCATTGAAAATGCGCCCTTAGATATTCATCATCAATTTTGCCAGCATCTTTAATTATGGAATTGGAAATTTTTAAACCTGCTCACGATGAAATGAACCAATTGAAATGATTGTGTGCTCTTATTTGTTTTTATTAGCGGTACATATGATATATTCGTAAAAATAGATGGAGCAGACAAACATGTAAGTATGAAAATGCAAACTGATCATTTAAAAGCAAAAAAAGAAAATTTTTGTAAACAGATTTCTTAATGGGTATCAGCCAGACTGAGACCATAGCATGTTTTCCTTGGCCATTTTTTGGTATTTTGTTAATCTTTAAGGATTAATAAATGCTTTTGTTTAAAAAGTTTTTATTGCCCTGTGATCAAAAAGTCTGGCAAGTAGATAATGGATAGAACTACATTTAAACATGACTCTGACAACCTATACTGATCTTCACCTTGAGGGTGAGGTGGGGTGGCATGCTAAAATCATTTACAAAAACTATTTACAAAATTTGAGAAACATACTGTTTTCAGTAAGTGTGGCTTTTGTCCTAAGGGTTTAGCAACATGAATTTTTGCGGGTGATGTACCATTTTTTCTCTGAGAAGAACAGTGATACACTTGAAGAGCATATGTTTTCAGATAAGGTTACCCCAAAGCATGGTAACTATCCGACAGTTTGTAAGGTTTTAATTAATGCATGTGTCTTTGCAGCTTAGTACATAAACAGAATTACAGTGTTAATGTCACAAATGACTAGAAGAGAATCACCATTCAGTGTTTATTCGTCTCTGAAATATTAAGATTTTTTAACACGTATATGCAACCCATAATCTCCTCGCTTTTGTTATATAGGTTGGCAGTTATAATGACAAAGGAAGTTTTGGTGAATTAGCTCTCATGTACAATACTCCAAGGTATTCTAGCCCTAGCAATTGGATGTTCTTATTTCACTTGTGAATATGTTCTGAAACTTGCATAATTTCCCAGGGGTTTCAAAATAAACTGCTGATTGTGTTTATTACAGTCAAACCGGAGGTTGTGTTCCCATGAACATTGCAACATACCTGTCAATTTAGCAATATTCATTGGTTGATTCCAAACGCAATTTGCAGTTTGAAAATTCAATAAAAATAAAGTTTTTCCCCTGTGCTACTGTTGGTATCCCTCTCATCAGCATAGTTTGTAATTTTGCAGTAGACGTACTCGACTTTTGAAGCTTTTGATATTCGATGTGTTTGACTACATTAAGGTTGGCAATTAGCCTATCCTTTTCTCCAGGTTGTAATGCCAGTAAATGACCTCTTTCAGTTACATTTGTTATATTTTCAATGATGCTCTACTTGAAATTCCCAATTTGGAAGCAATGCTTTTGAATGTTTCGCTCTGCCCCCATAAAGCTACAGCACATTCTCGATTTGGTAAAGAAATTGTTTTATTTTTTGTGTGAATGACATAATGAGAGGGGTACCAACAGTAGCGCATGAGAAAAACTTTAAATTGCAATTTGAATTTTCAAACTGCAAATTGTGTTTGGAATCAACCAATGAATATTGCTAAATTGACAGGTATGTTGCAATGTTCATGTGAACACAACATCCGGTTTGATTGTAAACACTTTTTATTATTAATACTATTTAATATTATTTATTTATTATTATTACTATTTAATTGTTATTGATACTTCTTATTATTAATACTATTATTAATGTCATTAACACTATTCCTTACCTTGATTTAATGTAGAGCAGCAACAATTGTAGCAACATCTGAAGGCATCCTCTGGGCCTTGGTTAGTAGACAATCTCAAATTAACATGAAAGATTTAGATGTGCCATTCATACAAAAATTATCATGGCGAAGACCATCACACATTATAAAATAACACAATGAAACGCATGTGCTGATTGGTCTAGAACTGTGTTTGCATAAGCCTGTGCAAAACACATCTGAGCTCAACCAATCAAATCAATAAAAACAATCAGTCAAAGAGAACTTGCAAATCGATCATGAATACATTTTAGAGGAAAAATTAAAATGTTTGTCTTTTTGCATTATTGTTATTTTATAAAAGAAATAAAAGATGTTTTTTGTGTTTGCACTGGCTTATGCAAACCTCGGAGACGTTTGTGAGAACTCTCGAGCAGGTGCAACCCTCCACCTTTGGTCTAGGGCTTGCACAGATCTGCTCTTGAGTTCTCCCAAAGGTCTCCTCAGTTTGCATAAGCCTGTACAAACACAGTAAACATCTTTATCTCTTAAATCTTGTTGGTATTTGGTGCCTCAACGTAATTCTCTTAAAAACCTCCTGGTTGTATTTCAGGATCGTGAGACTTTCAGAAAGATTGTTTAAGAGCAGCTTCGAAGAAGGTATTTTGGTAGATTTTAAATTTGTAAATCAAATTCATTTTGACATGGTCATGATCTGATATTTTTCAGAGGAAAGTGTATGAAGCTCTGATTGAAAAAGTTCCAATGCTGTCCGAAATCAACGTAAATATCATTTCTATTCATATTATACTATGGTGTTTATTTCACACATTAACATACACGAGAATAAAGTCCAAAATGTAACCTTGCGATAAAACTTACCATGCGTTTGGTCGTCTCATTTTACGAACTATATTGTCTGCAGTCTTGTTAGATATTCACAGCTTTGATATATAATTATCTGCTGACTGGAAATTTAACAACGCGTCACTTAATCATTATCGTCATCATTTTAGATGAACGAAAAAATGAATTTAGCTGATGCTTTAGAATCAAAAACCTACGAAGATGGCGAATGTATCATCAAACAGGTGAATTTTTTCTTAGTTTTGACAGGTTATTAGCTAATACACGGTATGTATAAAGAAAGGAAGACTTAAGCAATTGACCTATTGTGATACTTTAATCCTTCGTCATCCATAGTAAATAAATTTGATGAATTCATTTACACATGATTCTTACGTATCATGGAGAATATGGAGTTAATAACTATACAGTACATGGAGTTACTAACTATACAGTACATGGAGTTAATAACTATACAGTACATGGAGTTAATAACTATACAGTACATGGAGTTAATAACTATACAGTACATGGAGTTAATAACTATACAGTACATGGAGTTAATAACTATACAGTACATGGAGCTAATAACTATACAGTACATGGATTTAATAACTATACAGTATATGGAGTTAATAACTATACAGTACATGGAGTTAATAACTATACAGTACATGGAGTTAATAACTATACAGTACATGGAGTTAATAACTATACAGTATATGGAGTTAATAAATAATTTATCGAAAAACTTCCCACACTTTTACAGGGCGATGAGGCCGAGTACATGTACTTTGTTGAACGAGGCGACACCTCTATACGAATACACCAGACGGTTAGTAATTGACGTCATTGACGTCATATACCTTTCGCTGTTTTTTTTCTTTATCACGCGCAATGTTTAATAAAACTACAACCGTTTTTCTCTCTCCCACCGTTGCCATGTGGCAACGGTAACGAAGTGATATGATATTTAAAGTAAAAAAAAATCAACTTCTGAAGTAAAGGGTTAATGGTAAAGCGTTGAACGATATCCTTTAATAATCTCACTCCCCAAACGTTTTACCACTGAAAAATTAGGGTGAAGATAACGAAGTTGAGATCGCAAAGTGTAAAGAGGGAGATTACTTTGGAGGTTTGTTGTGGTAGCATATTTATTTTCATTTCGTCTTTGGTGTGCACTAACGTTTCAAAGATGGCGTATATTTTATATTCGTCAAGAAGTTACGTGTTCTGTATATCAAATGATGTGTTGTATTAAGCAAGTGATGTGTTGTATTCATCAAATGATGCGTTATATTCATCAATTGCTGTGTTACATTCATCAAGTGTTGTGTTACATTCATCAAGTGATGTGTTACATTCATCAAGTGATATGTTACATTCATCAAGTAATGTGTTACATTCATCAAGTAATGTGTTAGATTCATCAAGTGATGTGTTACATTCATCAAGTGATGTGTTACATTCATCAAGTGATGTGTTACATTCATCAATTGATGTGTTACATTCATCAAGTGTTGTGTTACATTCATCAAGTGTTGTGTTACATTCATCAAGTGATGTGTTACATTCATCAAGTAATGTGTTACATTCAACAAGTAATGTGTTACATTCATCTAGTGATGTGTTACATTCATCTAGTGATGTGTTACATTCATCAATTGATGTGTTACATTCATCAAGTGTTGTGTTACATTCATCAAGTGTTGTGTTACATTCATCAAGTGATGTGTTACATTCATCAAGTGTTGTGTTACATTCATCAAGTGTTGTGTTACATTCATCAAGTGATGTGTTACATTCATCAAGTGATGTGTTACATTCATCAATTGATGTGTTACATTCATCAAGTGTTGTGTTACATTCATCAAGTGTTGTGTTACATTCATCAAGTGTTGTGTTACATTCATCAAGTGATGTGTTACATTCATCAAGTAATGTGTTACATTCAACAAGTAATGTGTTACATTCAACAAGTACTGTGTTACATTCATCTAGTGATGTGTTACATTCATCTAGTGATGTGTTACATTCATCAATTGATGTGTTACATTCATCAAGTGTTGTGTGACATTCATCAAGTGTTGTGTTACATTCATCAAGTGATGTGTTACATTCATCAAGTGATGTGTTACATTCATCAATTGATGTGTTACATTCATCAAGTGTTGTGTTACATTCATCAAGTGATGTGTTACATTCATCAAGTAATGTGTTACATTCATCAAGTGATGTGTTACATTCATCAATTGATGTGTTACATTCATCAAGTGTTGTGTTACATTCATCAAGTGTTGTGTTACATTCATCAAGTGATGTGTTACATTCAACAAGTAATGTGTTACATTCAACAAGTAATGTGTTACATTCATCTAGTGATGTGTTACATTCATCTAGTGATGTGTTACATTCATCAATTGATGTGTTAAATTCATCAAGTGTTGTGTGACATTCATCAAGTGTTGTGTTACATTCATCAAGTGATGTGTTACATTCATCAATTGATGTGTTACATTCATCAAGTGTTGTGTTACATTCATCAAGTGTTGTGTTACATTCAACAAGTAATGTGTTACATTCAACAAGTAATGTGTTACATTCATCTAGTGATGTGTTACATTCATCTAGTGATGTGTTACATTCATGCAGTAATGTGTTAAAATTCCGTTTTAGAACTAGCATTGGTTACACATAAACCACGTGCGGCATCTGTGTACGCTGTTGGTGAAGTGAGATGTGCTGGTAGGTTTAGAGCTATCTTTATTTATGCTTCACGTTCATTTTGTTAGGACGTTAACGTTTTGAATCTGCTTCGATAGTTTATTGTACACGTAGAATTTATCTGTTATAGAACGGGTGTGAATTTGTTCTACCCCGATTGCTTATCTATGTTGTGTTGTCACTAACTTCTTTTCTTATTTTTCGTTACAGTCTTGGAAATCCACGCGTTCGAACGGCTTCTTGGTCCATGCATGGACATCATGAAGAGAAACATCTCAAACTACGAAGAGACTTTGAACAAACTGGGTATTGAACACGACGATTTGCGATAAATATTGCGCAACATCTATAACCAACGCAAAATTATTGGTTAGCATCGTCATTGACACATTGCCTACGGGGTGAAAGTTTTGTAACAAAAAAATTGTTTTCAGTTTCAAAACTCGCTGCGTTTTGCGAGAGTTAGCAGTTGATATTTTAGAAATTCGACGTTCGGCTAGCAATTCTTGGTGCATATACAAGACGTTTTCGAAACTTACCAATAGTTTCCATTGAAATTTTTAATGTTTTAAAAGATTTTAAGCCATAGCTTTATTTATTATAGTCCAGAGACAGTTGTCGTGTTTGGTATAGGTCTCTAAATAAAATCTCACAAAGGTTTCAAAATGTCAGTTTTAGTTTATTTGAGCTGCAATACAGCTATCCTTACGGCATTAACAGTTCATGTTGATCGTCCAGTTTAGTCTAGTCCTAAGAAGGACTGTTGGTGTTTTGCTGAGACATTTGCCGTTGTAGGACCCTTACTTGAAAGAGATATGATTGTATTTTTACCGAAGTATTGTTCATTTGGGTTTTCTATGTAAATGGCGTCATTTGGATAAAGCTATGGTTGATTTCGATGTTGATGAGTCAGATTTTTAAAGGCATCAATGGGGATGTGGTACTGTGAGACATTGATTTGAAGAGGCTTATTCAAAATGCGACACAAATGTTTAACCATTGTTACATGAAAATGCCACCTTGGTTGTCTTGTTCATGAAACATGCTACAAAGCTTTCGTTTGTTCTTTTTTCGAAAGAAAGCTAAACTAATAATCCTATAAGTTCCTATGCAATGGAAATTCCCGAAATTTAATAAGTAAATCATTATTAGTTTTTTCACTGGAAGAAGAGTTCAGCAATTTTGTAGACAATGTCAAAAGATTTTAAGTATCAAATACTACTTACCTATGTTTAACTTTCCACATAATTATTGGGATCTAATGTGATTGGTTATCTTTGCTTTCCCATCGTGCAGCTTCATACAAATGTTGATTACAATTGGACAAACCACCATTTATGAAACTATGAGTGTATTTTTAACAGTCATATTGTGGTGTGGCACAATGTCTAATTGATTCTGAGGTCAAACAGCAAACAAGGACATCAGATCGACGTCGACGTCTTCATTATTTGATTATGGTAAGTGAACTTGTGGTTCTTGAAGCGACCTCTTCCACATGATATTAACTCCTGGGTGGTTTTCGTTTCTGGTCTGGATGTTTTGTAGAGGACATTTTTTATTAATTCTTGAACGTTTTGTTTCACGAAGATACTTACTACAATACTTTTACTTAATAAGGGAATGGTAGGCAAATGAAGACTCCAAGGATTACCCAAGGAAGCGTTTCCCAATCCATAGGTTCCCTTTCGGCTCTGAGGTTACTTAATGCTGGTGTCTCATCGTTCAAAGGTTTGTTCTAATCAGTTTTGTGCAGAATAAGTCGTTAGGAGATGTTCAAATCGTTTATTTCATGCCACCGATAAACAGGGTTAGGTAAAGATGCACATAGGCAAAAAATGGCGTTCGTCAAATTAAAGAAATTTTTTGCAGCATTGCTTCGTTTAAAAGTGGAAGCACGAGTTGACGAGTCTGAAGCTGGTCGGAAGTGGTCGGAGCGTAATCAATATCCAATGTTTGGAGTCCCTGTCGAAATAAGTACCAATGATGCATTTTTGTAAATACCAATTCACTGTGTAATTTGCATAAGGTGTTTGGTTTTCCTCACTTACAAGATGGCCCAATACAAAGGGGCTGCTAGAGAAGGGCAAAGAGCTGCTCATTTAATGAAAAAAAGAGAGAAACAGAAGGAAGAATTGGAATTGCTCAAAAAGAAGATTGCAGATGTAATTTGCCTGTTGTTTAGAGTCTTACTATAATTACATTGTCGTAGCTTGTTGATGGTGGTTAATTGAAAACTGTGTTTGTGCAGGAATCTAAGTCTGGCACTATTGGGTTTGGAAGCAAATTTGAAACTCAGTATGATGTTGTTGAACAGCAGCTCAAGTCTAGCACAATTGGTAAGAAGTTAAATCAGTAATAAGATGCAGTTCTTTAGCACATTATCTACATACTAATACACACTAGTATCACATTAACCTATTTCACAGCAACCCTGCTTTTCTACAAATCATGTCAACGAGTAAGTAGTTTATTTAGTTTCTCTTCATGTTAGGTTTGGTCACACTTGATGAGATGAAAGCAAAAAGGGAAGATTTGGTTAGAGAACATGAAAAGAAATTGGCTGCTCAGTTGAAGCAAGATGAGAAAGACAAGTTAGCTTGATTTCAGCGTCATGTTTTGATTGAAATATAAACTATCAATTGCATAGCTTTTCTTGACTTTTTTCAAACATTTGAAGAAAATTTCCTTAGGAAAATGAAGAAGAAGAAAAAACTTGAGAAAATTTCTTCAGGATTGTCATTTGACATCGATGGTGAAGATGATGAAGACGATTTCGAACCAGAAGGTTTGTGTGCAAGAATCAGTCGGCTGCTTTGACTTTTATTTTTAGATTTTACAACTTTTTATTTTAAACAAAATATAAGATGCTGCAAGTTTCTTGCTCAGATGGGGAAAAGTGCAGTGACAGTACTAGGTCAATTTTTGTATCGGGTACTAATCAAATTTTGGACTTGCAGTTTGTCAGATAATCCTTTCTCAGTTTCTTACCATCATGTGTGAGATGGATCATCTGGGGGTAGAGGGTGGGGTGGGGCAAACAATATAATTTTGGGGATGATCTGTCTCCAAGGCCCCTGCAAAAGTGAAGAAATTAATTCAGGGAACCTTGTCAAAAGAAGATTTCCCGATCCATGAGAGTGTTAGTTTGAATATTACAAGGAGCTCTTGAATTTGGTTTATATCATATAACAGATGTTGCCAGAGGTTAAAAGTTGCACAGTGCCATAGCTAGTCTTGATAATTGATGGTGGGGGTGGGGTAATATTGCATATCATTATTTGCAAAAAACCAATGATTTCAAAGGAACTTAATAAGGCGAATCATGAATATGTGAATATTTCTCCCCCCCTCCCCCCTATTTATGAAGCTGGTTATGGCACTGAAGTTGTAGAATATCTATATCATTGGTAATGCATGAAAAACATAGTTATTTCTGGACTGTTCAGTGTAAATAAAGTTCCAACTTACTTTTTCCTATGTATTTAAAAAATAGTCAAGGACAACCTGGTTTTCAAAATCCTTTGTGTAAAATATCAAAATCAATCCTAATAATTGCTAGTAATGAATAAAGAATCCCACCTACATCATGTTCGAAAATTCAAATCATCTGACTTTTTTCAACAGTTAAGAAGAGAAAGCCAGGAAAGAATCCAGATGTTGATACTTCATTTTTGCCCGATAAGGATAGAGAGGTACATATATTGTTATATGGGTACATATAGGGGTACATTTGCACATATATTAAGTTTCTCCAATTTGTACATTCTCTTGTTCGGTTTGAGTCGACAGGAGGAAGAAAGAAAGGAGCGCGAGAGATTGAGACAAGAATGGGTGGACATGCAAGATAAGATAAAAAGTGAGTTGTTTAAAATGTTTTTACCACATATTGACCACTCAATATATGAATCAGAACGTAATTCAGGGACTACCGCAGTTTAGCGGATACCTTAGACGCTGACCCAAACCCTAACCCTAACCCTTACCAAAAACGAGCCTGCGCTCCGCATATAAGCGCTTCGGGTGTCCGCTAAACTTCAGTCTAGCCGTAATTCATTTCAACATTTTCCAATAAAATTGTGCTATATAATACTTACTTCTGTACAGGATGTCTCAAAAAAACTGCTCATTTCTGTGTTCAGAGATTTCAATAGTAAAATTATATGAACACAATGTGTAAAAAAAGACAACATTTCTTGAAGACAATGTAATTACAATTCACGAAATGTACTCGGAGAAACTACGAAACTCTTAAAAATTGTACAAACGAAACTCCTACAGAGAATTTTATGTCGGAAATTCTTAAACAGAACGAATAAACGAAACTTTTGAAAACTGCACAAAAAGAACTTTTTCAAACAATGTGTAAACGATATATTAAAAGAATGTCAAATTGCCTCAGTAAAATATTTATTAAATAAATGGTTGTTTATATAAATTCTAGAGGAAGACATAGAAATCACGTACAGCTACTGGGATGGCTCTGGCCATAGACGTCGACTTATAGTCAGTATTTAACTTTTATGTTTTCTTTTTTAACTCATAAAACCGATGTTGTGATTGCTTTCTTTTTAGATGAAAAAAGGCAACTCAATTCAACAGTTTTTACAAAAATGTCTTGAGCAGCTTCGTAAAGATTTCACCGAACTCAAGTGAGATGAACCGTCATTTATGATACTGAAGTAAATCATGTGTTTGCATAGTTGTCAAAAGAGCCGCTTGCGAGAGAAATGTCCCTTTGTCCTCTCTCTTTTAGCTGTCCTGGTTGTCTATAATTTGATGATAATAAGTGTATGTATATATATATTTCAGGCCAGTTACAACAGAGCAACTCATGTATGTAAAGGAAGATTTAATAATTCCACAGGTATCTCAATTGGACTGTTACTTTATATGTAGATCATATTACTCTAGTCATTGGTCCATGACGTGGCCGTTGGTCCATGACGTGGCCGTTGAAAATATTCCCTATCCACTGATCGCTTATTACGTTAGAAATTTGAAATGATATTGTTTGGAACGCCATTTAAGTTTAGGGTTTGCTCCTCCTTTAATTTTAGCTGGGGGTGTGCGGGATCCGGAAGCCGGTATCTGATATCCGGTGATGTGTGTTTATCCGGCAAATTCTTGCCGGATATTTACCGGGTAGTGGGGAACATTGTGCATTTATTACATTCATTCTCAGTCGGAGGCTGCTTGCTAAGTGAAATAGCCATAAAATATTTGCTAGCTTGCAAAATTATTTATCTATGTATGTTTTGTTAGAAATATTTGTAATGAAATATTTTATATGACGTTAACAAATTGCATCATTAACGTTTACATGACCTATATGCATCATGGGAAGCAATGGAGGTCACTTTTTTTAGGTCAAACGTTCAGAACTTTATCAGCTGATAAGCCTAATATCTGGTATCCGGCACAAACCTAATATCACCCTCTTTGCTTAGTTGCTTTTATCAGCCGTTTTGTTCGGCCAACAATACTTAAGAGGATGATTGAAGGTTGCAGTAGTCCTTATTCTCTGTTTCATTATTTCTTAAGTTTTTAAATGTTTTATGCAGTGCGGTGTTTGAAATTAAATGAAGATATGATCTTCGCACTTTGCTGGACAATTTAAGCAATCGTCTCAGGAACCTGAAAAAATCAGGTGACTCAACGGGATTCGAACCCATGACCTCTGCGGTGCCGGTGCAGTGCTCTGACCAACTGAGCTATGAAGTCACACAGTGGTGAGCAGGTCAATATTGTTGGGCTCATGTTTTCTCGTGAAAGGAATGTCGTATGAATGTTTTATGCAGTGCGGTGTTTGAAATTAAATGAAGATAGCCTCAACATGAGCCCAACAATATTGACCTGCTCACCACTGTGTGACTTCATAGCTCAGTTGGTCAGAGCACTGCACCGGCACCGCAGAGATCATGGGTTCGAATCCCGTTGAGTCACCTGATTTTTTCAGGTTCCTGAGACGATTGCTTAAATTGTCCAGCAAAGTGCGAAGATCATATCTTCATTTAATCTTAAGTTTTTGTTGTGCGTCTTCGAGGTAAACTCGGAATATGAATTAGCTACAAGAAAAAATTGATAAAACTTTCAGTTTATAGTGTTGCCAGCAACCAGAATTTTCAATGGACATTACACATATGTTTGTCTACATATGCTGTTATTTTATATGCATATAATCTCATGAGGGTTCAACAAAATTCTTTTTAAGCCCCACTTTAGCTTTGCAAATTCATGCCAGCAACAAAGTTGTAAAAATCGCAAAATTTTAATGGCATATTTTCCCATATTTATTTTTTAAGCACTACACATTTTACGATTTTATCGTCAATAAAGCTCGTGGAAAGAGTGGACCATTGTTCAATTTTGACGTGCACGAGGATGTCAGATTGACGAATGATGCAACAATTGAAAAAGACGAGGTGACGTATGTGGTTTGTGAAATAAAATGGCGGGAGGAGGGGCGGTTGCACAGTAACGTTTTGTAATTATTATTTTGGAACAATGTGAAAATTAGACTTTACTATACATACAAAGAAATGCTTCTTCCCAAATGCTAAAGTATTCTTCTTGTGAAGTAAACTAAACAATTGCTTTAATCAGTTTTGAAAAGTTATTATTCGGGACAGCGCCATCTGTAGTCCATCTACCCAGCCCCATGTCTTTTATGTGAGAGCGCCATTCGTGCTTCTCGTGATCATCCCAGGCCTTTTTATAATAGGTGTTATCGGGATATTAAAGATTGCAAAAACTCCAAGTTTTTTGTCGTCTGTCAAATGCAATGATTTATATTTTATGAAAGATTATCATTTTTGGAACTTCTTTTGTAGTCCCACGCTGGCAAAGTTTGTTTGAGAACTTGGTACGAAAGAAATAAACATATTTTTCCTGCGAGCAGGTGGGAGCCTTACGATCCAGAAAAAAAATGGAGTAAATATACGGTATGTATGTGTTAAACTTGAAATTTTAACAAACTGTTTTTGATTATGGTTAAGGCATCTCGGTAAAAGTTCAGAGTTAGGGGACATGAGATGCGGTTGGGTGGTATGAGATATGATTGTGGGATGGGGATAGAGCTAGTGTTTAGGGACAGGTAATGATACGTTATTTGTGTTTGCTGTACAGGTAAAACCCGTGTAATAGTGCTAGATTTTTCAAGTTAGCATAAACAGGCTCTTCTGTGAACGGAAGTGCTTGCGATGTTAGCCTGAACAGATTCTTTTATGAATTGTGCTCATTGTGATGTTAGGCTAAACAGGCTCTTGTTTTGTAAAAAAGTGACTTAGTTTTAGTTTGTGTATTATGTTAATGATGACTTATTTGGAAGTCTGACTTCGAGGTCATTTTCATTACTTTGTGAAGAATTTTTTTTTTGAGTTATATGCGTATTTTACTTTCAAATCTTTCGTAATGATAAAAATAGAATAAGAACCTGTTTGAAATCGCAGCCTGAACGGGTTCATAATATGAAGGGTGTACAAATCAAAAATTTTAGCCTGACAAGTTGTTAAAATCCAGGTTCATATGCGCGCGGCTGATTACATGAACCGGTGTAGTCGGGATTCAGTCAAGCGATAAATGATTTTGGAAAATGGAAACGATTCAACACTCATCATTAGATATATCTTCTCTGGCATTTTCACAATATTCTGGTTTGATAGACAATTTCAACATTTATTTGAATTATTTAAACAATTTGGCCTAATTTGAGAATTACAACAGGAAGGACTTGTTGCGCTTAATAAATAGCTGTAATTTTTACGCTTAAAGTTTTGCCTTTTCTCAATATCTCGAAATCATTTCACGCCTCACTGAAACTCGGCTAGCCGGGATCATGTGAACAGACCCTAACTGTATTGAATTTCAACGAGAATTGTTAGGCAAAATTTTCAAGTTGTTCTGACGATTGTAATTTTGTGTAGATCTCTGAGAAAAAGTGAACTTGGTGAACGCAGACAGTTTGATGCAATGCATGTGACGTGAGAAAGGGCAAGAGATTTTATACACGCTGCACGCTAACTCGAGAACATGAAATTGAATCTCTTAGGTTTGAAACATGTCATGTCTTTGAAGCAACTAAAATTATGGCAATTGCATAATTCACTTTGTAAATATACATCTTAGGTTTGAAAAATCCTGGACTGGAATATTTTACTTTGATACACGATTGGAAAAACCGCATGTGAACTAAATTCAATCACAGAAAAAAGATATTTACTGTTATAAGGCTATAGTAATTTTGCTATTTAGTCTTTATACGTTTTATTTAACCGCATCTCTTTAATCCACTGATACATCCTTCTATACATACATTTCATTTAAAAAGATCTCTTTAATCCACTGATACACCGTTCCTTTCATACATTTCATTCAGAAACATCCTGATCCATTGGTACGCCCTTCTATACATACATTTCAATTAAAAAGATCTCTAATCCATTAATACACCCTTCCTTTCATACATTTCATTCAAAAATATCTCTATGATCCACTGGTATACCTTTTCATACATACATTGTAAGAAGTTAGATCACTACAATCCACTGACACAATTTACCTGAAAGGAAAACAAGTTCTTCTCTGATCTTAGTTATTTAATATTTCAACTTTACACATTCTTCAAAGTTGCAGTTTTAAATTCATTCTTATCGTTGGTTGACAATTGCCTGTTTTATATCTCTGTTCATTGAACATTCTACTTTAGGTCTTTGACATTTTAATGTTAAATTAAATCGTGTGAACAACTGAGGACTTGATCCACAAATTCTACAGCTCCGTTTGCTTAACTTATCGCTTTTGTAAACGGAAAACGTGTTTGGTTTCATTATGAATTAATCGCAAATTCGAGGAGTTTTCATTCAAATTTTTTTCATCCGGATTAAATAAAATAAACAAGTAAATGTGTTTTGACAGGTTATGCCAATGAGATTGCTCATATGGAATATTATTAAGCGTGTACTCACCTAATGTCTTTTTTGTTTAGCGTCGCTAACGACAGCGCTAATTATATTCACGTTCATCTCAAAGTGCATTTAAGTAATGAATGAATTTGAATGTGTATAAAAGACAATTTCACTGCTTCTCGGTGAAGTGAATTCGTGATTTGTTGAAAGATTAAAGCTGTTTATCGAAGATCACGTAAGAAGTTGGGATAATTTTCCTGTCTTTCGGTGCGTAGCTAAACTGCAGCTGTCCTTTGTTGTCTTAGGATATTTCGAAACTTGCATGAAAATTTTCATTGAAGATTCGCACTCATTTTCTTCTTTGAGCTTTTTATAAAACTCCTCGTTCCCTTATGGAGAATATACGGACGAAGAAATTTGAGAAGGTAGATAGCTTCCTTAGAAGAATCCTTCCCCGCCATCTTTATTCAACCGTTCGGCTCATCGAGCCGTGTATCGCTGTATCGAATGTGTACAACAGAAAGTTGAAGTTTGTCATATTGACCGATGAACAACTTTATGTGGTAGAAAATTCTCCCAAACAAAGCAAGGATATCGAGGAAGTCTCGCGAATTTTGGATATAATATCTGTCGAGCTCGTAAGTTGAATATTTATTCCTGTTTACTTATTTGAACAGTATAAGTTTATTCATATCTCGACACATAGTCATGTCTTGAGATGTCTAGTTAAAGACGAAACATTTGCTACTGTATATGCATGTAAATCCTATCAAATATTTTCTGCCTTTTTTGCTTTCTCTTGAAATAAAGTTCTCGTCAAACTCTACATCATTCCACATAGCTTTCTGTGCAATGAGTAATCGTGTTTTTCTCCTATATAGATAAACGACGTCCCGAACTTTCTCGGAGGCGATCTAAAATACAGAACACATCATATTTTAGTAAATTTTAGAAGTCACTCTGAATCCTCGAAAGCAAAACTTTCTAAACTCTCGCAAAACACTTCCTCAGGGCTATTAAAGAAATCACTTCTCGAGAGTAATATAAAAAATATCACAGACGATGAAATAACAAAAAGTCTTCAGTATGATGATTTTCGACTGAAATTCAAAGGTAAACAATCACATAGAACTCGTTTATCTAAGAGTGTGCAAGAGGATAAATTGACCACATCTTTGTACGAGAAAGATGCAGTACAAGGTTTGGAATATAATATATCTCCTGTGTTGTCGAAAAGAGTTCGGAAATCCCAACGAAGAAATACTAACGACAATGATGAAAGCCAACAGTTGTGTCATAATTTGTCGCTAGTGAATCGAAGACCATACCAGGAACAACTGACTTCGAAGAAACGACATTTGACTGAACACTTGCAAGATAATTCCAGGTTTGAATTAAACTCTGCCCGGAATCCCACGAGACAGTCGAACGACCGGAACCTATCGAATACTAGACCGTATGAGTCCAAAACTTTGCAATATAAATCTTATGGAGAATTTTCCTCCGAAGATAAGTTGTTATGCGAAGACAAGCATTACAATGATGAAACAACGCGGAGCCGTGAACACCCTCAGCAAAAGCATTTAAAACAAGAAAAGCGCGAGCTTCTCGTTTCAAAGCAAGAATCTAGGAAAAGTTTAAATTCAAGTAGTCAGTCATGCGGTGAGAGTTTGCACTCCATTGACCGTGAAAACGAAAGCAATTCATCAAATTCTGTTCGTTTGAATCATTCATTTTCAACCATCGAATGCGAAGGCATCGCGCGGGCTCACGTCTCGTCATCTCCTAATTTTGGCAAATACTCGAAATTTACGTCGACACAGAAAAGGATAGTCGAAACTAGATTGCGGGAATGGAAAAGCTCGGAATTCGTGGAAAAGATGTTTACTCCCAGTGAAAATGCGGATGGGGCTTCTGGCACAACTGACTACAGATCTGTCGAAGAAATTCATCTTTACATGATAATGGATGATACAATCATGCTATCCTATCTAAATAGTGTATGGAATAATTGTCTTTTGGTAAGTTGAAGTTTAAATGATCACTTCTGTACTAATCCACTTGAGATTATATATTAAATGGTTACGCTTTGTGGTGTTGTACTTCAACTGTCTTTTGATCATTCATCTAACGATTTTAAGTTTACAATGTCGTATTTCAACTTTCTATTGGTCATCGATTTAACGATGTTGACTTTTCGGTGTTGTATTTTTACCATAACGCTACATTCATACTCTGATATATGTTTCAACATATTTAAATTGTTATGTATATTCTGCACCTGAAATTACTATCCCAAGAAGTTAGAGTTGATTAAAACCGTCATCTGCCTGTGTTTAGAATTCTGCCGTTCGATATGCAAGAGAAGTAAGGTGCCTGAACCCAAAACGAGAGGCAATCCAACTAGGTATGACGTTTTAGTAGCTCACGTATTTTTACACGATAACTTGTCTGTAGGTCTTCAATATATAGGCAACAGATTATCTTACTTTATAATCAATTGGAGAAAGAAATCCTGACTGAGAACGACTTTCAAGTAACATTTGAGTTGGTCGATGAGTTGCTGACAGCTTGCCGAAAGCATTTGTTGATAAAGAAATTATTTTGGCAGGTGAGCATCTATCTTACTTTGGAGAAACTGCTGTGGTTTGATGGGAGTTGAGACGAAGCCAAAGAGCTCTATTTTGTTTTGTTGACGTCATTTGTCGTTTTTAGTCTCCAGATATTATTGTCTACTTTGTGGAAAAGATAAAAAATTACATCCATCAAGATTCAACGAAAGTGGAGAAGGAAAACAGGGCAGATGAACTGGAGTAAGTTTGTCAGTCATTAATTTCTCGCTTTAAACTAAGTGTTTCTCGATAGAAGAATATAGACCCTTTGCTTCGCTGGAAAGCAGATGTAGACCTTCCAGGATAGTAGAATCCTGAGAAGGACTGTTGGTATTGGTGTTGGCTGACTTTTCAACAAACTTAGCAGTAGTCATCTTCAGAATCAGAGTGAAGATGGCTACCGCGTTAAGGTTATCGAAACCATTGAGTTCTATAATAACTGGAGCGGCTATCTCAAGCGCGCCTTAGATATCTGATGTAAAAAAATGGCGGATTTTGTCCGTTGGCCGCCATTGACCTCGCCCAGTACAGTTAGCCGCTCCAGTTATTATAGAACTCAATGGTCGAAACATCAACATCAATAGTCGTTCTCTGGACTCCTAATCTGGACGATATGCATCTGTAAAAATGTAATTTTGTGTTGTTGGCAAACAGTTTCTGACATTTTGAAGGTCCACCATCTTATATACACAATAAGTTTGTCTTCTGAAGCACACACAACCAACTTCTTTGTCTTTTTAGGTTTGCTGCACTTCTTGTTGAGTGTCTTGTTGAAATGTGTCGAGAAACAGATTTGCTTTCCTCACGGATGAGTCGTCTAAAGACCAAAAAGTATAACCTTTTGTATCAGTTATAAGGATGCATGAAGTGACTGTCTTTGAACATAATTTGATGTCTTTTTCAATTTTATTTGAGTTGTTTAATTTTCTCATTCATTTCATTATGTTTGTCTTTCAGTTTTTCGACCATATAGAGACCTCCTTAACAATCTATATATATTTTGCATTGTAGACTACAATTTCGTTTTTATCAATCCTTACTCGTTAAATCAAAACATTTTTCTTTCGAGGTGTTCCATTGTGTACGATTTGATATCAACAAGTGTCGCACTTTTCGCGCATAAAAGAAAAAGCATATACGCTGAAAATATGTATCATTCAGAGGCACAAACTTTGTTGTATGTTGGGTCCCGTGACAGGAGAGACGAGATGCTAAAAAGTGCGGACGAGTTTGAGGTTGGTTTTCACAGTTTTCACAAGTATTTCCCGCCAAAATCCCCAAAAACTCATGCTGTCATGTACTAGTTTTATGCAGACTTTTGTAAGATCTTATATTTATCTTGTTTTTATTTCTAGTTCTACATAAACTCTTTTCACAGTGAAATAAATTTCATATAAAGTCGTAAATCTATCGTTCATCACTATGTTGGACGCTATTGAGCAATCTGTTTTTATGTTTCATTCATTAAAACCATACTGGGAGACAACTGTTATTTAAATTTTCCTCCTGTTTGTTTCTTTTGCATCACTTTCTAAGCGTGTACGATATCATTGAAATGTTTTCTGCTCGTAGTATCTTTGTTTTTTTTCATCAGTTGAATCAACTATACGGAGAACTCGTGCAGCAACAAGTTGCTTTGTTACATGAAGTATTACTCATGGCTAATCAGGTATTGAAACCATTGATTGAAACCCTTTGTTTAACTATGCAGACATGAAGGGAATGATATGTATTCGAGAGGTGTAATATGTACATGAGAGATGTGATATGTACATGAGAGATGTGATATGTACATGAAAGGTGCGATATGTAAATAAGAGGTATGATATGTACATGAATGGAATGATATGTACATGAGAGGTGTGATATGTACACGAGAGGTGTGATATGTACATGAGAGATGTGATATGTACATGAATGGAATGATATGTACATGAAATTTAAACATGAACGATATTATTTTATCAGAATTCATGGATTTCACGTGAAGACAAGATCTTGAGCACCTCTTTGATACTCAAATCAATCGAATCTTCGCCAAGGATAGTAAGTATTTTGTTCCTATACTTTACGTTAACATATGTATCTCTAAACGATTATTTCTCGTTACCATACATTTTGTAACAATGACGTGCAGGAATGTCTTCCGTTTGATTCTGGAAACGACTGTATTTTTCTCTCCTTGTTTACTTTTCAGTATGACTTTCTCGAAGCATTCATGAAACAGTTGATGGCAATTGTGAGAAAAGTTGAGAATGGCGTTTTGACCACAGGTCATTCGATATTTCTGTACAGGTTCCTTTCTGTCCTGAAAACATTACTGCAGCAAAGCGAGACAATACGTCAATATATTTGTGATTACTACACGGAGGAATTCAGGTGAATGTTTTAATCGATGAGAATGACTGAGTTCGAATTCCTTAAGCTTTCTCTTTAAGTCGCTTGAGTCATCTGAGTCGTTCCGACTTGTTTCGTTGTTTTTCAAAACGACTAGCTGGGACGACTCAAGCTATCGTACTTCTCATATATTCGTACTAGCGCTGCCGAGAGACTGCTTAAGTATTTTTTACGCGAAACATTTAAAAATGGCGGCTATTGTTTATCAAAGACAAATTTTGTCTAGTTATTTGCTTCTTCAAATCGTTTTGCGCCATAAAAAGATCGCTTGCATTTCTTAACGGTCGTTTCGGTCGTCCGGATAGAGCAAAGTTCTATCAAAGCGACCTCGGTCGTTTCAGTCGTGTGAGTCATTTGAGGTCATCTCGGTCGCCTTTGAAATGTTCTCATACAGTCGCAAGGGTCGTCTGTGAAATTTTGGCTCGACTAAAACGACTCTGAAGTCTATATGTGAACCAGGCTTAATGAAACATTGGAATTTTTCAGCAGATGGTTTTGAATGAATAAGAATAAAGTATAAGCACGGGTAGTGTGCACCACAATTTTTACGGCCACGACTAACTGGAAATTTTTTTCGGTGACCTGCCAAAAAGCAGATATTCAAGCATGTGAGATCTATGTTGCGTGAACACCTCGAAAAAACAGCTATTGATGATCACGTGATAACTGCATGCCTGTGTGTGACGTCAGGTGCAATTCATCACTCTTTCCTAGTCTCCGAAATCATCAATCGACTTGGTTCATTTTCATATAGATACTACATCAAACCTCACTCAATATCGGAATCTCTATCACAAGATTGGCCTTTGACATTGTCAACTAGAAGACTTATGAATGAGGTCTGTCGTTTGGTTACCATTCCTCTGACGTATTCTGGGCCATCTTTAAGATGACGTCATACTGACATACTCTCATTACTGGAGCATGCGTGTTTTATTCTCGTCCATTTATGGAATCCCGGTAGCTTAATTTTCGCAAATTCATGAACCTGTGAAGGAAATTCTTAAGGAAAAAGATGTGACGATGAAAAAAAGTATTGCAGCCCATCAAATTGTTTTCAAAGAGTCTTAAGCGTGTTGGTTTTACTATAGTTATTAAAGAAAGTCCCTTCTAAGTCTTCTTGACTCGAGACATTTTCAGACTAATTCCATATAATATATTTATGCGTGAGCTAGTTGGATGAAGTTCATTGTAAGCTCGTTGGTCGATTGAACATGTTTTCTTGAGTTGTTTTTTATAAATTCTGGTATATGTTATGGAGTTAGTCTGAAGATGTCTTTAGTCAAGACGAAACATCACTCGCTTTCTTTAATGAATGTTATAAAATCAACCGCTTGTATAACATTTTTAAAACGACCTGTTGGGTTGTAATCTTTATCATGAGAGTTCGATTCTCGCCTGGCACCTCATTGACATATGGTGTATTATGTCTGTCCCTTTAAGGTAAGTTGAAAGGGCGGAAATGTGTACAAAGTGCACGTCGTTCAGTCAATATTACCTTGATAGTCACCCATACTACCGCCTCTAGAACTCTCTGTCAGTATGTGTACTCAAATGTTTATGAAATGATGTTGTTAAGAGCTGGTTTTCTCCAAAACGTTTCAAGAGTTTTCATTCGATTCGTTTATAGTCAAAATTAAATTGCAAGTGTAAATGCGTGGAGACTCTGCCCCCTTCTACTGAGCATGCGCTAGCGATGCTTGTGTATAATTTGAATTCCCTACGTTGTCTGTTTCAGTATAGTCGTGCAGTTTGTTAGATTTCATTAAAGGAACATTCATATTGAAAGAAAGTCTGCGCATGTCAGTTATCGTTTTTCATACTATGCATAAAAATTCTTGTGGTGCTTAGCGATATTTATTTTAGTCTAGGTTGTAATCAAATATCTCTGGCTTATCTATCACTTTTCACTGGTCCCACGTCCTTCGTCTCAATATATATGATATGGAATGATGAATTTAAAAAATTTAAGACCTTGGGCACAGAATAGGAAATGAACAGAAGGCCAACTTAGTGTCGGAGCCTTTGAAGTCAGTGTCCTCGCGCATGTCTCATTGCGCATGCTAGAAATTCGACGGCCGCCATTACTCTGGCAAGTACTGGCTAAGGCCCGGTTCAAACGTCGCATTTTACATGCGCCGAATCAAATCTGAGTTTTAGTCGACTAAAATAGTTTTATGCGTAGTTTGATTCAGACGTCGAATTTAATAGTCGCATTTATTATAATTATGCTTCCACTTTTTCATAGTTTATTCATTTTCTTGTACTAATTTCCTAAAATGGCGAACAGAAAAATGTTGAGTTTATGCATTTCAAATATGATTCGTGTTAATAGGAAAAGACGAATATTGATGCATGTTACAGCAAATAAACTATTAGAAACGAGACGGCAGCTTCTGCAAATTTCCCATGTTTTTCTACCGTTAATTGGTCAAAAAAAAGCCTTCATACGTAGCCCTCCTTATCGATCATGTCGAAGACAAGATAGAAATTCCGGCTGGTGGAAGAAAGTTTGGAGTATTTATTCTGATTCAAAAAAACATTTCGTGTATCTCGAGGAAACTTTCCTTGTACATATAAATTTTTTGCACTTTAAACAAGTGTATTTTGTTAAACTTGTGCACGAAATACAAGGGCCATTACCATCACTCGCCGCCGCCATGTTTTTACAACTTTGCGCATGGCATTTAGCATGGAAATAATTGATTTTTGCTTAGAAATATCTTAAAATAAATTATGCATTAAATTCGGGTCATATAAAATGCGACGTTTGAATCAACATCGAATTTCCGTCGAATATTCGACTAACTCAGTCGAATATGCGACTTAAGTCGCATTAAATTAAAATCCGTCGAATTTAATTGATTCAAACGTCGCATTTTACATGCACATAATTCTCGCATTTGATTCGGCGCATGTAAAATGCGACGTTTGAACCGGGCCTAAGGAAATTGTATATAATTTTATTGTGCGAGAATTTTAAATTAGACATTGTGGAGGTTTACTTTTGAAATCTACGTTCTAATTATCAAAACATCAAAATACAATGTAAATACTGCCAATTTGTCTTTAAAAGCGCGATTTTCTTACAGAAATATTCTATTTTACTGTATAACTTATAGTAGCCAGCAACCACAGTACTTGCCAGAAGAATGGCGGATCTGACGTAAGCGCATAAAAAATCTGGGACACATTGCACCCCTTAGTTGGCCTTCTGTTTATTTCCTATTCTGCGCCTTGAGAGATCTTGAGACTGCGCAGTGCTGTAGAACTATATTTATCAGATGGGGGGGCTCTCTTGACGAAGCTTAAGCCATGAAATTATGAAAAATTACCCATTTCAAAGGTAGAAGAGGGGGGCTCCTCCCCCAAGCGCCCCCCACTTCCACAGCTGAGACTACGACACCTGAGCTACTGATTTGTGACGTAAAACAATAACCTTACTCATCAAAAGGCAAAAGTGAGCTGACACGAAAGTACGAAACATGAAAGACTAGATTGTGTTGATGGTGATAATGTTACAGTACAGAAACAAACAGTTGTCTCAATTGAAAAATTTTGTGTAGCGCATATCTTATTATGGGCGAGTGGCTGAATGGTTAATGGCGTGAGCTGTAAGCCAGACGGCGCGGGTTCAAATCCCAGCTCGTGGCACATTTGGCAATGTGTCTGTAAACCTAGCCCGGGTTGACCAAAGCCATGTGAGGGAAATTTGGTAGAGGAAACTATGTCCTCGGATGGACTGTACCTGTATCTGCAATGTTGCAGCCTTGTCACAATGTGTCACGCTGATATCAGCGTTGTGGTTGCGTGAAGGGTACGAGTGATGGTAGTCTGGTCAGCTGCCTTCACTATAATTTAAGTAACCAGGATGTTCCACTTCGTGGAACCCTCATATGTCGAAATCGACGGAGTCCATTATGCAATGTCGTTACTTTTGTGACAGCCAGTGAATTGGATTTCTTGAGCAATAGAGAGCGATGAGCTGGCTAACTGCAGCCAGTAATCTAAGTAAATATATAGCAGCCAGTTGTACAGCAAAGTGAGACTACTGTTTGTTTCCTATACTGTGATAATCTAGGAAGATACTTAACCATTGATTTACCAATATCAATATTAAAATGCAAGCTGCCAAACAATTATCCTAAAATGCAATACAAATAACACTTACATTCGTCTTTTGCATGCCCTAAAGATGTTTCTTTTTAGTTGTACCAGAGGATATATTATTCTATTGATACTCTTCGTTCGTAAAATAAAAGTATTGGGTGGAACAATCCGTCAAATACCAGTAAACTGTTACTCCCTTTATTAGTGGTACCAGAGGATACGTTATTGTCTTGGTTTTCCCTTTATTAGTGGTACCAGAGGATACGTTATTGTCTTGGTTTACCCTTTATTAGTGGTACCAGAGGATACGTTATTGTCTTGGTTTTCCCTTTATTAGTGGTACCAGAGGATACGTTATTGTCTTGGTATTCCAAGTTCGTAAAGTAAATGTATTAAGCGAAACAAATTTTTGCGATAAATTTCTAAACAAAGTAACCCTAATTCATCAAATTTAATTAGCTAGCTATTACAGCACGATTGTATCAAGAATACACGCACCTGAGTTTTTAATGCTTTGAAAAATAACACCAATATGATCACTGCGCACGTGATCAATGAGTGTGTGTTCACGTGGATCGTTTTATACATATATCAAGACGATTTGTTTGCGTCAAATGTGTTTTGTTGCGCATGCGCTAAATATTTCACTTTTGTTTTACAAAAAGCGCATTTCATTTGAACGATGAAATAGTATCAACTACGCACATCGACAAAGAAAACTATTTATATTCAATGTAAAATAGCCCATAAAATTTATTAAATGTTTTTACATATCAATGCATTTCTCTTTGATTTACTTTACTCGGTAAACAATTCCCAAAAAAACATGAAAAGAAAACGAATACAAAAAGATAAAAAAGTCATATGTTAAGCTCGTTAAGTTAAACTGTTCAACAATTCACCACCACATTTTTGTCGATGATCGCGACTTCATTGATGTGCGTCACCCAGAAGCAATCACCCGGTTGATCACTACAACCTTGGTGGCTAAACAACAAACAAGGAAAAACGTATCCAGATTCTGTTTCCCTCACCATGCTGTACAGCAATCGAGTTGCGTGGTGCGTGTTGGTCAACCTGTGGCAAAATGCTGGCGTTTGTTTGTAGCTATGACACACGAGCTTGACTTTCTCGAAAGAAATGGGTTTGATGGTTAGGATTTCTAGGTATTTTCCCTCTAAGGCTTCGGGATCGGTACTGAGAAGGAGATCGTCTTCTTTAAGGACGGCTTTCATATATTTATGCATCGCGGTTATATTTGGGAAGATTTCACTGGGAAGTATGAAATCCGAAAGCATATCTTTTCTACCCTTGCTGGAGTATTTGTACCTATGATGAAGACCGTCTTTGGTGACAGTCAATTTTCCTGCATGAATAATTACTGGTCCCCAGATTTTTCCCGGTGCCAAGTCGCCTTCGGTTGTAACTTCGTTGCTGATAGACGGCTTTGCCGCGACAACAGCAAAAAGGCAAAACAGAAGAGGCATAACTGCAAAAAAATGTGTATGTAAAATTATCTGAAGTTCTACATCGGGATGGTTCAGCATTTATTTAGCACTGTAGCCATTTTGGTCATTATGTTTCGCGAATTTGTATTCACTCTAGGAAAATTGAAAAATGTCTATTTCATGTTTGGCTACATATAGCAAGACTCTGTATCAGATTTTTTAGAAACTTTATCGCTTGAAAAATTCCTCGATACATTTCTTCGTTGCATTTAACATTGACCATCTTACCTTCCATTATCTTGGTGAGAAATTGGATTGTATGTTATTCGCGTTGTCTTTAACTCTGCTGTTCTTCCTCGGTAGTCTTCGTCTTTTGCAGACCTAACGTGATTGGATTGACCTTAGACGATAGTCTCTATTTAATGTCTTTTGCGCTTTTTAAAATATCACGTGACATGTCAAAAATTCTGTGATACGCTAAATGTCATTTTTACTATCTTTAGTTTAAACCTTTCACTCTTTCACATACATTTGCCTCTTCGAAACATAACAGATTTTACCAACGGGAAGAGGATCCATCTATTGCATTTTATTGTTTTTCATAAAAATCATTTGAGAAATTACACATTCTACATGTGACAAAATATGATGCCTATAGTTTATACAATTCAGATGCCGACGAAGGATATGAAACAGCCGCAACCATATAGAAATTTGCGTAATACTCATATTCGCTTAGTTTCATGCACTTTAGTTGCTCTGTGTTTTTTTTTACTATGGGTAAATTATGTAGTTTACTTTTTGTTATTACATAGTTAAAGTAGTATAGCACAGAATATGTCTGAACCTAAAATAAACATTCAACCGGCATTACGTTTGCAGTGGCATTTGAATAAACATTCAAATTACGCTTGCAGTGGCATATGAATAAACATTCAAATGCCATTAAGCTTTATAATAACATTTTGCATTACGTTGTGCCATTCTATATGCTAGAGTTGACAAAGATTATGTAGAACCTCTTCTTGTGGAATATATTTGGTGCAGTATTAAATTTCACACAAACACGTTTACCAAAAGATAACCTGCTGCTATGGATGTCATTTTAATGTAATGGATTAAAGACGTGTCTAAACTTAGTTTTGTCATTTAAAAACGCAACGTTTTCTATCCTTTTCAAAATGATTTACCACAATTTCGTACCGCTTTACTTACACACTGGTGACGATAGATCAAAATGATTGTTTTGCTTGATTGTGCTCAGCATATGCGCGACTGAGGCCGCTCAACAGAGCACATTTGGACTGTATTAAATCAATCAATCGATCAATCAACCATTTATTTAAACAAGTATGATGTCTAGCAGCGCAAATACTCGTAAAAATGCCTACGGCACCAATACAGAATCTAAAAATATACATAAATACATATACTTCGAATATTTCGATATTGTTCGAAACAGTTTCTAAACTTTCTGCTTTACCAACCTCATTCGTGAAGCGATTCCATAGAACAGAATGAGTTATTCATACATTTGGTTAAGATTATATACTCTTGTTAACTTAAAATACTCTCTAAGTTAACCCATGCCTAATCCTCTAAGCAAAACATGCAGCAAGGCGTACCCTCATTGAAAACGAGATTTCATACAAGCATAATTCTGCATATATTAATATCAATCACATGTGATTGATTTTAGCGTTTTGTCTGCTTCACATGAATACGACAACGCTGGCATGTGTTTTGGAAAGGCTCCACTTTGGAAGACGTTTTCAAAAATGTCGTTTTCATTAATCAAAAAGGAGTGCAAGGGAAAAAGGATTGAAAAACCGAAATAAAGTGGCATTTTCTAATGAAGGCGTTGATGTCTTCTAAAATTACCTAGGATTATGAGCACAGGAATCTTTTAATTACTGAATGTGTAGATGGCAAGGTCAACCGTACCAGTAGATGACAATTCCTTAAAAGAGCTACTGGTGTTAGTGTTGACTGACGTTTTGACACTCTTATGGATAGTCAAATTCAGGGTGTTTAGGTAAACAGTAAAGATGTTAGGCTATATTGTACATAAGACATATACAAAAACTATGAAGATAAGCTTCAATTGACATCTGTTCAAAAAACAAAGTCAGATGCAAAAGAACGGAATATTACGCGTGCTGTAATTTTGATAAACTGTAAAAATATATTAATCAAATTGACGAGTGTATTTTTAAAGTAACGACAGGGCCGTCAGAAGCAAATTTTGGAAATCAAACATCTTTGCAGACGACAAATATTGATTTGAGAGCAATCCGGGAAAAGATATCCCTTACGTAACTAATTGCTTATATTTTCTCCACCACACGAAACATTGCAAGATCTTTTACCTAGAAAAGTGTCAGTCAACACCGAAAACACTTGCTAAAAAATACCAACGAACTGGCAAGTTTGTCTTCCACTAATTAGTAATCACTGGAGTAATAAAGGAAACGTTTGAGCTAGGAATAAGTGATGAACTTTGGACTAGTTGCTGACCGTGCTGGTCACACTTGAAATATAGTCTTGTAATCCTCAATATCAAGCAATCTTTCCATCGTAAAGATCAACCAGTCTCTCCATCATGAATGAAGATCCACAAATCTTTTCATCAATATGATCAACCAATCTATTCATAACTTGTTGCGCAGCGATAGTTAAAGTTCTCTTTGGCGAACTCGCTTTGAAAAGGTATGTTGAGATCATTCATGTACTGTGTATCGAACCACATGCTTCGGTCTTGTTATGTAAATTTCAGAAATTGTCATTATTTTTTTTATCAATCTATATTTCTTTACTAACAGTCAGGTCACTGGCGTTCATCACGGTAAAGATATTGGAACGGATTTAGAATTTATTATGAGATATCATGGTAGCGAGAGACTTGCAGAGCAGAAATCGAAATCGTGTAATAAAATTAATGCCCAACATAAAGTTCTGACTAGAGCCATAGAATTGTAAAATTGAACTTATTGTAACGTTTCGTCTTTACTCAAGACATTTTCAGACAAATAATAAATAGGCGTTTCTCTTTTTCAAATTTTAAACAATTTTGGCATTGTAATTCACATTGCACAGCTATTTCCTAAATTAGGAACAACAGCAATACATATACAAAACAATAATTTACGTTAACCTTTACAGCAGTGGCGTAACAATCATATAAGTTTACCTTCTCTAATACAGGCTCATAACAAGTTGTTTCTTCTATTTGCTCTTGAGGTTCGCTACTTGTACTTGGATTATTTTCTGATTCAACCTCTCTTTTATAATCAGACATCCACTTTCTTTTCATCTAAAATGGCATATATTTATGAAATATACTCTCACACAGATTCCAGGTAAAATGTAGATATGCATATGTATAATTTTTAACGTATTCACCATTCTGCGATCTCTTGTTGTAAGTTGATTATCATCTTTTCGAGGATAAATGCTCAGGTAAGCAACGATTCCGAATTCGTCTCGAATGAGTCGAGGTGCAAAATTACTTTCTGATTCAGAAAGCGAGCCGAATTGCCGAGAAAACGAATCTTTTGTGAAGTGTTCCGAGCAAACTGCGGAATTCTTTGTGGGGACCCACTTATCGCGAGTAGCTTTCACAAAGTTGACCCATCGCTTTCTCCTACGCTTAGCTTCGCTTCTTTCGTCGTTAAAAAATGGTATGTGATGAAGTGAAATGCCTTTCTCCGAACTGGCTACGTTAGAACAACCAAAAACTACACATCGATCTGGCATTTTTGTGTTTGTTTACATGTATAAACAGTGTAAGTTGTTTTGGCAGTCACTTTGTGTTCCTTAAATGACGTCACAAGTAAGTCCCATGCCACGGATTAGAGCTCTCGACATTTTTTACAAAACGTTGAAATTCAGGTTTTATTCGCATCTTTGCCGAAAGATAACTCAAAAACGAAAAAAGTTATTCAAATTCTGTAAACGGCATTTGTATTATTTATCCAAAATCTATTTGAGAATGAAAAACTAAAAATAGCTGTATGTGCACTTTAAGACAAGATATTATATTTACAAAAAGGTGTTAAATTACTACTAAAGGAGGCGGTGTCAAATGGATTATATGATAAGGAAGTTGGGAAGTAAAATAAAGAGAAATTAAAAGAGGTTAAGTGGAATGGAGTTTCCTTGCACGTTAAGTGAAGGCTTGTATTTATTGATTAGAAGGCTCTCATGAATGGAGAGTTAGAAGAGTCATAAGAATTGTTAGAAGAGGAGATTATTTTAAAGTCGTCTAAGTTGGGGGTGTGTCCAGTTGCGTTAATGTGAGCAAAAATGCTTGGTTGCCTGTAAGGGGTGGGAAACTTGGTTGCCTGTAAGGGGGGATATTCCCAAGTGCTCCGAAAATCTGGTGTGTTGATGACGTGTGGTTTGACCCACATACGAGGCGTTGCAGCTTCGACACTTGAATAAATAGACTACACCTTATCTCAGAGGCTTGGGAATTTTGTCCTTAAAGGGGAAGAAAGAAGAGATACGAATGTGTGCGAATTTGATGGGAGTGTATGCCGGTGAAAGGAAGACAAAAATAGATGGGCATTTTGTGAGCAGTCAAGACAGGTGGTTTGGGGGCAAACGTGTTGTTAAGGAAGCGACGTGTGATTTGGTAAATTATACGTAAAGGAAAACCGTTTTTGGTGAGTGACTTTCTGGTAAATTCGAGTTGTGTATGAAAATTTTCGTAAGTAGAACAAAGATTGAAGATGCGGTGAAGTAAGCAGGAGACTAGTGAAAGTATTGTCATTAGAATACACAATTGACACCCTAACACTACAACTAAAAACGTCACACCTAAATCACACATCACAACTAAAAATAAAATATTTCACTTCACACTAATCCACAATGACAATACACATTTCCTGCACATTTCCTGTACACACAATACAATGACGTAAGAACCAGACAACAAATACGGCTAACCTGACGTTTACTCCTCATTTGACTCTGAAGATGACTACCGCTAAGGTTGTCGAAACGTCAGTCAACAACATCAAAAACAGTCCTTCTCAGGACTTTATTAACCTGGACGATCATCATTTACAAACAGAATTCCATTATTAATAACTACTAAACTGCCTGCATTACGAATTTCAATCGCCAGGTATAGTGGAATATTTCGAAATTTTACAAATAACGAAAAACCTAATTGTACAGAGAAGCTCATACAGAAGGTAAAAGTTTTAACGGAACATTGAATCATTTGAATGTGTGGTAGCTTTGTTATTAAATGTTTCTTCCCTCAAGGTGCGACGGGAGGGCAAAAATGTTCACAAAGTGTGCGTCATCTAATGAAACTCAACTGAAACAATTCATCCATTTAAGATTCAGCATCATGCACAACAACTCTTGTAAAACTTAGGCCCATTTCAAACGTCCAAACTTTACATATGCTGAATGCATTATGAACAAAAGATAGCTAATGAGGAATTTAGTCCCATTTTTGATATTTATTTTCGTCTTGTATGTAATCAGCTGTCTTGGATGCCTTCCACTTGTCGACTGACGTTCTTTGTCTCAATATATAATACAGTGAAATAAAAATTTAGAGAATTTTGGGACCTTGAAAAATCTTGGAATCTTGAACACCTTAACTACTGATTTGTGACACAAAACGACAACCGAATTCAGAAAGAGGCAAAAGTGAGCTGACCTGACGAGATTGAGGTAACTTTGCTTACCAATGAAAGATTAGATAGTGTTGATGGTGTACTCCAAGTTCGTAGAATAAATGTATTAAGCGGAACAAATTTTTGCGATAAATTTCTAAACAAAGTAATCCATCAATTCATCAATTTCACTTGCTAGCTATAACAGCACGATTGTATTAAGAATACAGGAACCTGAATTTTTAAAAATAACACCAATGACCACTGCGCACGTGATCAATGAGTGTGTTTTCACGTGGATCGTTTTATATATCTATCAAGACGATTTGTTTGCGTCAATGTTTGTTGCAAAGATTCCAAATGTGTTTTGTTGCGCATGCGCTATATATTTCACTTTTGTTTACAAAAAGCGCATTTCATTTAAGCGATGAAGTAGTATCAATTACGCACATCGACAAAGAAAACTATTTATATTCAATGTAAAATACCCCATAAAATTTATTAAATGTTTTTACACACATCACCAATCAATGCATTTTTCTTTGATTTACTTAACAATTCCCCAGAAAACACGAAAACAAGACGAATACAAAAAGATAAAAAAATCATATGTTCAGCTCGTTAAGTTAAACTGTTCAACAATTCAGCACCACATCTTTGTCGACGATCGCGACTTCATTGATGTGCGTCACCCAGAAGCAATCACCCGGTTGATCACTGCAACCTTGGTGGCTAAAAAACAAACAAGGAAAAACGTATCCAGATTCTGTTTCCCTCACCATGCTGTACAGCAATCGAGTTGCGTGGTGCGTGTTGGTCAACTTGTGGCAAAATGCAGGCGTTTGTTTGTAGCTATGACACACGAGCTTGACTTTCTCGAAAGAAATTTGTTTGATGGTTAGGATTTCTAGGTATTTTCCCTCTAAGGCTTCGGGATCGGTACTGAGAAGGAGATCGTCTTCTTTAAGGACGGCTTTCATATGTTTATGCATCGCGGTTATATTTTGGAAGATTTCACTAGTAAGTATGAAATCCGAAAGCATATCTTTTCTACCCTTGCTGGAGTATTTGTACTTATGAAGAAGACCGTCTTTGGTGACAGTCATTTTTCCTGCATGAGTAATTACTGGTCCCCAGATTTTTCCCGGTGCCAAGTCGCTTTCGGTTGTAACTTCGTTGCTGATAGACGGCTTTGCCGCGACAACAGCAAAAAGGCAAAACAGAAGGGGCATAACTGCAAAAAAATGTGTATATGAAATTATCTGAAGTTCTACATCGGGATGGTTCAAAAGTTATTTAGCACTGTAGCTATTTTGGTCAATATGTTTCGCGAATTTGTATTCACTCTATGGAAATTGCAAAATGTCTATTTCCTGTTTGGCTACATATAGCAAGACTCTGTATCAGATTTTTTAGAAACTTTATCGCTTGCCAAATTCCTCGATACATTTCTTCGTTGCATTTAACATTGACCATCTTACCTTCCATTATCTTGGTGAGAAATTGGATTGTATGTTATTCGCGTTGTCTTTAACTCTGCTGTTCTTCCTCGGTAGTCTTCGTCTTTTGCAGACCTAACGTGATTGGATTGACCTTAGACGATAGTCTCTATTTTATGTCTTTTGCGCTATTTGGAAATATCACGTGACATGTCAAAAATTCTATAATACGCTAAATGTCATTTTTCCTATCTTTAGTATAAACCTTTCACTCTTTCACATACATTTGCCTCTTTGAAACATAACAGATTTTACCAACGATGAGCACCCATCTATTGCATTTTATTGTTTTTCATAAAAATCATTTGACAAATTACACATTCTAAATGTGGCGAAATATGATGCCGATAGTTTGTACAATTAAGATGCCGACGAGAGATATGAAACAGCCGCAACCATATTGAAATTTGCGTAATACTCATTTTCGCTTAGTTTCATGCACTTTAGTTGTTCTGCGTTTTTTTTACTATGGGTAAATTATGTAGTTTACTTTTTTGTTATTACATAGTTAAAGTAGTATAGCACAGAATTTGCCTGAACCTAAAATAAACATTCAACCGCCTATACTATGCTGGCGCTCTTTACAGTGGCATTTTGAATTACGTTGTGCCATTCTATATGCTATAGAGTTGACAAAGATTATGTAGAACCTCTTCTTGTGGAATATATTTGACGCAGTATTAAATTTCACACAAACACGTTTACCAAAAGATAACCTGCTGCTATGGATGTCATTTTAATGTAATGGATTAAAGACGTGTCTAAACTTAGTTTTGTCATTTAAAAACGCAACGTTTTCTATCCTTTTCAAAATGATTTACAACAATTTCGTACAGCTTTACTTACACATTGGCGACGATACATCAAAATGATTGTTTTGCCTGATTGTGCTCAGCATATGCGTGACTGAGGCCGTTCAACAGAGCACATTTGGACTGTATTAAATCAATCAATCATTCAATCAATCAATCAATCATTTATTTAAACAAGTATGATATCTAGCTGCGCAAATAGGGTGTAGATAAAAAGCGGACCCGGACGACGGACGCGGACGGCGGACGGCGGACGGCGGACGCAAAACGCGCAAATAAAATGCTTTTAGTCCGTTCGTAAAATACTCTTATTCTACGTCGAAAAATAAACATTGAAAAAGCTAAAATAAAAACGAAACTAAATGATGCTTTTAAGAGACATAGGTATAGGCAAACAGTGGAAACAGTTTCGTGCAGCTCTGCTTTTAATGATTGTACGAACGTCTGTTTGTACCAGCTTTATCTTTCAGGATATATTTTTTGACCTCATTATTTAAAGCAATTAAACATGCATACTTCAATTTTCAGTCAGTCATATAGAGTGTAACGCAATGAAACCTCATTGTATTTTTTTCGTGTTTTGTCAATGGCATTTCACTCATGTTGGCCTTATGTGGGTTAGCCTGTTCATATTTACTGCACTGATAATGATTTCCGTCAACTTGTCATTTGGCAAAGCAGTACGTCTATTGCAGTTTTCAACATGAACTTGCTTTTGAAAGCTGAGGTTAGAAGCAGTTGCAAGTTAGTCAGTGCGTCAGTTACAGCTTGAAAGTATACTTTAATCACATCAGCGAAGATGAAATAGGATGTCGTGCACAGGTACCTAAATTTAATATAGGAGCAACGATTTTTCGGCGTACAATAAGAGTATTTTACGAACGGACTAAAAGCATTTTATTTGCGCGTTTTGCGTCCGCCGTCCGTCGTCCGGGTCCGCTTTTTATCTACACCCGCGCAAAATACTCGTAAAAATGCAAACTGCACCAATACAGAATCTAAAAATATACATAAATACATATACTTCGATTTTGTTCGAAACAGTTTCTAAACTTTCTGCTTTACCAACCTCATTCGTGAAACGATTCCATAGAACAGAATGAGTTATTCATGCATTTGGTTAAAATTATATATTCTTGTTTTTTATGGGTCTAACTTAAAATACTCTCTAAGGTAACCCTTGCCTAATCCTCTAAGCAAAACATGCAGCAAGACGTACCCTCATTGAAAAAGAGATTTCAAACAAGCATAATTCTGCATATATTCATATCAATCATATTTGTTTGATTTTAGCGTTTTGTCTGCTTCACATGAATACGACAACGCTGGCATGCGTTTTGGAAAGGCTCCATTTTGGAAGACGTTTTTAGAAAATGTCATTTTCATTGATCGTAAACGAGTGCGAGGGAAAAGGAATTGAAAAACGGAAATAAAGTGGCATTTTCTAATGAAAAAGTAGATGTCTTCTAAAATTACCTAGGATTATGAACACAGGAATCTTTTAATTACTGAATGTGTAGATGGCAAGGTCAACCGTACCAGTAGATGACAATTCCTTAAAAGAATTACTGGTGTTAGTGTTGACTGACGTTTTGACACATTCAGGGTGTTTAGGTAAACAATAAAGATTTTAGGCTATATTGTACATAAGACATGTACAAACACTATGAAGATAAGCTTCAATGGACATCTGTTCAAAAAACAAAGTCAGATACAAAAGAACGGAAATATTACGTGCTGTAATTTTGATAAACTGTAAAAATACATTAATCAAATTGACGAGTGTTTTTTTATAGTAACGACAGGGCCGTCAGGAGCAAATTTTGTAAATCAAACATCTTTGCAGACGACAAATATTGATTTGAGAGGAATCCGGGAAAAGATATCACCTTACGTAACTAATTGCTTATTTTTTCTCCACCACACGAAACATTGCAAGATCTTTTACCTAGAAAAGTGTCAGTCAACACCGAAAACACTTGCTAAAAAATACCAACGAACTGGCAAGTTTGTCTTGCACTAATTAGTAATCACTGGAGTAATAAAGGAAACGTTTGAGCTAGGAAAAAGTGATGAACTTTGGACTAGTTGCTGACCGTGCTGGTCACACTTGAAATATAGTCTTGTAATCCTCAATATCAAGCAATCTTTCCATCGTAAAGATCAACCAGTCTCTCCATCATGAATGAAGATTTACCAATCTTTTCATCATAAAAATCAACCAATTATTCCATCATTAAGATCAACCAATCCTTTCATCATGGAGATCATCCAATCTTTCTATCTTGGGCTACTGGGCTCCTGAACAAAAAATTGTCGGGCCCCAGAAATTTTTGGCCCCTTGGCGCGGGCCCATTGAGTCCATTGTTTAATGCAGCACTGTTTCTATCGTAAACGTAAACCAATCTTTCCACCACGAAGATCAACTAATCTTTTCATCAATAAGATCAACTAATCTTTTGATCATGAAGATCAAACAATGCGTCATGAATATCAACTAATCTTTCCATCAATAAGATCAACTAATCTTTTGATCATGAAGATCAAACAATGCGTCATGATAATCAACCATTAATTCCGGGTGTAGATAAAAAGCGGACCCGGACGACGGACGCGGACGACGGACGGCGGACGCAAAACGCGCAAATAATATGCTTTTAGTCCGTTCGTAAAATACTCTTATTGTACGCCGAAAAATCGTGCTCCTATATTAAATTTAGGTACCTGTGCACGACATCCTATTTCATCTTCGCTGATGTGATTAAAGTATACTTTCAAGCTGTAACTGACGCACTGACTAACTTGCAACTGCTTCTAACCTCAGCTTTCAAAAGCAAGTTCATGTTGAAAACTGCAATAGACGTACTGCTTTGCCAAATGACAAGTTGACGGAAATCATTATCAGTGCAGTAAATATGAACAGGCTAACCCACATAAGGCCAACATGAGTGAAATGCCATTGACAAAACACGAAAAAAATACAATGAGGTTTCATTGCGTTACACTCTATATGACTGACTGAAAATTGAAGTATGCATGTTTAATTGCTTTAAATAATGAGGTCAAAAAATATATCCTGAAAGATAAAGCTGGTACAAACAGACGTTCGTACAATCATTAAAAACAGAGCTGCACGAAACTGTTTCCACTGTTTGCCTATACCTATGTCTCTTAAAAGCATCATTTAGTTTCGTTTTTATTTTAGCTTTTTCAATGTTTATTTTTCGACGTAGAATAAGAGTATTTTACGAACGGACTAAAAGCATTTTATTTGCGCGTTTTGCGTCCGCCGTCCGCGTCCGTCGTCCGGGTCCGCTTTTTATCTACACCCCATTAATTCCATCGTGAAGATCAACCAATCTTTTCATCATTAAGATCCACAAATCTTTTCATTAATATGATCAACCAATCTATTCATAACTTTGTTGCGCGGCGATAGTTAAAGTTCTCTTTCGCGAACTCGCTTTGAAAAGGTATGTTGAGATCATTCATGTACTGTGTATCGAACCACATGCTTCGGTCTTGAAATTGTCATTATTTTTTTTAATAAATCTATATTTTTCTTTACTAACAGTCAGGTCACTGGCGTTCATCACGGTAAAGATATTGGAACGGATGTAGAATTTATAATGAGATATAATGGTGCATATAGTCACGTGACCCTGCCACACAAACATCATACTCATTTCATGCACAGATACATGCCACGTGATACAGACAATGGTGCTTTGAATGTGCAAAGCGAAAATACTTCGAATAACATCGCTCTGCTTCCGATTTGAATTACTTTATGATTAATTATTCATGATAATTATGCAAGATTATGTGATTTCGTAATGCATCTGGGATTCTGGGGAAGAAAAGGAGACCTCCTGAGTCATGATTCATTGGCATTGCCATGATTTAGTAAATTTTGCTTTCGACGAAACTCGTTCATCTTATCATTTTTCATGTTCGCTATACCAGCATAGAGAGAAACAGGGATACATTCCACTTTGGCAAATTAAATGTAAGTGTGCAATCATTAAACGGTCTTGTGTTTGACAAATTTTCTTTCTACGAAATGTTCGATGCGAAATATTATATAACAGGCGTACCAACATCAGCTGTTGAACAACAGTTGTTGAGAGGGAAAGGTGATGTGCTTCGTGCATCAATATTAGTTAAAATTGATTTACGTGTATAGGAAATAAAACGGCGAAGAGGGACAAGTTCAGGGAAAGAAGTGTCGAAGAAAATGCCGCCTTTATCTAAGCCTTCGAAAGAAGATATGAAGAAATTCATTGAGGATGCCATCAACTCGCACACTGTCACTATGTTCGCTTTCACATCTTGTCCTTTTTGCAAACAGGTACTTTGAAATGAGTACTTTGAAATGTTTCGTCTTGAATTTCGGTGATGTTACATAATTATGCTGAGCTATGAATAATTCATTAGTAATCATGTGATGCACATGATTATGACCCAGAGGTGAACAGAAATAGAAATCAGTGACCCAAATTTTCCCAATAAAATTGAGGGATCTTTCGATTTCTTGTATTTGATAGAAAAGAAGAAGCATTGCTGTGAAAGATGATAAGATTTTGATGACATGAAAAATGATAATGCTTTGAAGTTTATGCGGCACCACTAAAACTTGTTGAATGACTTTGCTAATGTTGAAAAGCCCACAATTTTAGCTGAATGGACTCTTTTGTCCTATATCAGTTTCTGGACCAATTTTTCTACATATTTTTCAAAGCAGGAGGTGTCACAAATACTTGCGCTCTCCTAACTCCTCCCCTGTTTCAAATACTGAATTAAACATTTGAATGTTGAAGTCATAGATTTGGTTTTCTGTCAAATTTTTTTCATTTGAGTGTTCAAAAATTGCAAAGTATATTTCAAATTTTTTTTAAAAAACAATAAGTGGACTGTGACAGCTTATGTGCTTCTGTGCTGCACAATTTGCTGCTTTGTATTTTTTCTTAAATCTTGAGGTAGGAGGATTAATTGTTGTAAGAGACATATATGTCGCCACCAGAAGAGTTAAAAAACTTCACTTTTCTTTTTTTTGTCAGGCTAATGAACTTTTTTCATCCATTGGAATCACAATTCATTCAGTAAATCTTGATAAAATGGGTAGGTAGTTTTCGAATGAGATCTTTTGCCAGATTTAACTCCAGGGTGATTTTAATCAACATTCAACACATTTAGATAATGGTGAGGCCATCAAAGATGTTCTACAAGAAAAAACAGGCCAATTGTTTCTTCCAATTATATTCATTCGCCAAAAACTTGTTGGCGGATGGACGGACTTGAGCAAGCTGATGGAGGAGAAAAAACTTAAGTCATTTATCAACCCTAGAGCAGAACAGTACGATTATGATCTTGTTGTTATTGGAGGTGGCTCAGGTGGATTAGCATGCAGCAAGGTGTGATATTTTATGCCTTTTTCACTCACCATTTAACATTTCAAAACATGCCCATTGTATGAAATTTGCAGTATTCCAATATGCACAGGATAGTGAAATTTTGTTTTCAATATCGATTTTATTTTACTTGTTGTATTCCAATGGGGATACAAAATTGTCCTAAAAAGAGGCACCTATTCATGTCTGTACCGGTCTTATATTTTCATTTGTTAAATAGCGCTGTAACATTGTACGTAAGTATCCACAATAAACTGACATGGCGTTAAATTTTTCTTATTAAACAATATTTTACTTGTCCATAAATTTTGCAGTAGAAGATTCTGAAATGAACTTCCACATTCATCATAAAATGAGAGTAATCGATAGCCTTTGTTGTATATGACTCTGAGATAAGAAAAGTCAACTAATAAATTGTGTGTGTGCACATTTGGGATAATAGGCTATCAGAGGGGATGCCAAATTCCAAACCGCTGGTATTCTTGATAACTTGAAGAAAGTTCAATTTCAGACTCTAATGTCAACACTTGCTTAAAATTGAAAATTTCAGCTAGTGGTTACTGGGATTGCTGGTCCATACACCCAAAAAAGCCGATTTGAGACAAACTTGATTTTGAGGCATGACTCACTTTGATAGTTTAGAAAATAGAAATTTTCTAACTGAGCATGCTCAGTTTTGCTCGCTGATTCATGATCCACTTGTGTTACAGTTACCCATGCATAAAAGTAAATGTTTTTTTTTGTTGGTGTTGACAAGGAAGCAAGCAAGTATGGTGTTAAAGTTGCTGTGCTGGATTTCATCAAACCAACACCTTCTGGAACAACATGGGGTAATTATGGTTTTCAATTGTTGTGTAGGAATTATGTATCTTCAGTTATGTAATTTGTACACGTGGTCCTCAAACTAGGTCTTGGTGGAACATGTGTGAATGTTGGTTGTATTCCTAAGAAATTGATGCACCAAGCAGCATTGCTTGGCGGAGCCATCAAAGACTCCACAAAGTTTGGCTGGCAATTGGACCCAGAGAAAGGTATGATGTCATCAACTAGGTTCATAGGCATATTTGTGCCAAGCTATGCTAATTTTTCTGTGTTCACTCCTTGTGAATACAGTTTATAAAAGGAAACAATTATGATAATGTTCAGAAATTTACATAGCACGACGAACACTTGCAGGCTGGCTATGCCACTGAGTGTAGGACCTAACCCCTGAATATACAAATATGACTATGGCCATCACTAAGGGGGGCTGGATATGTTTCGGAGTGTAGGACTATACCATGGATGGATTGAAGCTTTAGATCTTTTGATGATAATGGTCATCACTAAGGGGAGGCCATGTTACTGACTGTAGGACTATACATACCATGGATGGATTGGAGCTTTAGATCTTTTGATGACAATGGTCATCACTAAGGGGAGGCCATGTTACTGACTGTAGGACTATACATACCATGGGTGGATTGAAGCTTTATATCTTTTGATGACAATGGTCATCACTAAGGGGAGGCCTTGTTACTGACTGTAGGACTATACATACCATGGGTGGATTGAAGCTTTAGATCTTTTGATGACAATGGTCATCACTAAGGGGAGGCCTTGTTACTGACTGTAGGACTATACATACCATGGATGGATTGAAGCTTTAGATCTTTTGATGACAATGGTCATCACTAAGGGGAGGCCATGTTACTGACTGTAGGACTATACATACCATGGATGGATTGGAGCTTTAGATCTTTTGATGACAATGGTCATCACTAAGGGGGGGAGGCCATGTTACTGACTGTAGGACTATACATACCATGGATGGATTGAAGCTTTAGATCTTTTGATGATAATGGTCATCACTATGAGGAGAAGGGTTCTAAAAAGTTTCTGATTTAGAATATTTTAAAATTTTTATGTGTCATGGAAAGCTTCTTCAGCTTTAACATGCGTCTTAGTAGCGCAACCAATTTTATTTTCGAAGATGAAAGACTTTTTCAACCCTCAAACTGTCTCCACTTGTCAATCAATAGCAGAGTAGAACGGAGATAAACCCGGAATTCGATTCATACCCTACCATTCAACCGGTCAACATATGCATCAATTACAAGATGACGAGGTCTGCATGCTTGCTCGCTGTAAAAACAATAGATTTCTATGAAAATGAATTATTATAACTAAAGATATGAGATTTATATACATGGCAAGACTAAAAACCTGCGGGCTTTCTTTTTAATGATCACTAGTTACCTTAGGGCCTGTTTATATGGAGCCGAGTTACCCGGCTGAGCGAGTTACTCGCCTAGCCGGGTTTGACAAAGTGATCTGTTTATATTGCACAGGGTAACTGGGCTAGCACTTCCGTTTATTAATCTTAAATGAAGTTTGCTATGCTAACTTCAAGTTAAGGCGCGAGATTTTAAAAAGCCTCACAGTTTCGAAGCAAAAATGGAATGGGTGAATATAAAATTGAAAATTATGACATGTGTATGTTTTTGTATTATAATACTGCAAGTACAAGGCTTAGTACGCATGCGTACCAACAGAGCCAATTTTCTCGCCTCGCCGAGTTACCCGGCAAATGCGTTTATATGGAAAAATTCATCCCGCCTAGCCGGGTAACTCGCTTACACAAACCGAGTTACCCGGCAAGGCGAGTTACTCGGATGTGTCATATAAGGGCCGAGTAACTCGGCTAGGCGAGTAACTCGCTCAGCCGGGTAACTCAGCTCCATATAAACAGGCGCTTAGAATATTTTTCTTCAGTTCAACACGACTGGACAACGATGAAGGACGCTATTCAAAGTTATATTGGCGGTCTGAATTTTGGCTACCGCGTCGCTCTACGTGACAAGGGAGTGAAGTATCTCAACGCTTATGGAGAATTGATGGATGCCCATCGAATTAAAGTATGTAAAATGTGAATTGAAAAAAAATCGCTCGGAGCAATTTGTAATTGATTGGTTTCAAAGCAATTCAAAAGAAATGTAGCTACGTGGTACGATTGAATTTTGCGTTGTTAAAATTTTGAAAATTATGTTCGTATTTACATCGTAAAACAAGGACTTGGCTGCGTTTACATCCTGAAATATTGCTCTGAACAGCGTGTTTGTCATGGTGAACGACAGTTGAGTAGTTCTTAAGGGAACTGTTGAAAACCAAAATACAGATGGCCATAAACTTAAATTACCTGATACATCTCCGCATGAATATTTGTCATGGTAAATGACAATTGAGTTGTTCTTAAAAAAACTATTGAAAACTTAAGTAAAGATAGCTATAAAATTATATTACCCGATGCTTGACACAATGAAGCGTAGAATCATTAAGCAGTCTTAAAGTGTAAAATTATAAATTACAATTTAAGAAAAACGTTATAGTGATAATCAGGTTCGTCTCCCGAATAATTGGTGAGATTTAGCAGAAAGGTTCGTTCTGTAGAAAGCACAATATCGTTTCTTAAGACTGGCGGTATTTCTAATGATGTGATGACCAGCTACTAGAGATAGCAAGGAGCACTTGACAAGCAGCCTAGTAACTTGCCCCTGTTTTAAACGTCACCCCCCCCGCTTGAGGGTGATGTCATTCTTCCTTGTCTTTATAATAAATAGAAGTCAATTTTTGATTTTCAGCTAAGCGGACGTGTAGCACCCGATAAGAAGTCGGCCGAAATACATCTTGTCATTTAATTTTATAACTATCTTTGTTTTTGTTCACAACAGTTCTTTTAAAAATTGTCACCATAACAAATACGCTATTCAGAGCAATATTTGAACTATATTATAGACAATGGACCTTTAGGTGATTTGCATGTTACGTCACGGCCGCCATCTTGGTTGAATTTATAAAAGGATATTTCTTGTTTACAATTCAAATTTCAACGAACTTGGCAAATATCTCTTTCTCCTTTGACTCCTTTGGAGATGGTTCTAATCCACCTTTATGTACTAATGTACAATTTTATGGTATTAGGAAGTTGTGATTTTGTTCATTTCAAAGAGTGTCAGCTATCATTTCTACTGTATAGACGACAAACAACCGTGGAAAAGTTACTGAAATTACCACTGAGAGGATTGTTCTTGCCATGGGCGAACGTCCGCGTTATCCAGATATTCCTGGGGCGAGGGAACTAGCAATAACAAGGTCAGTTAAAATACATGAGACGATTAATGTAGAAAGACGACGAAAAGGACTTTTCTCGTGTAATTACGTAGTATAGTTGCAAAAATGCATACCAGCAAAGCGAGCAGGAATTTTACTCTTGCTATGCGCAATTTTTAGCAAAATTATTGCTCATTTCTTCGGAAAACTAGCTTTGATCCGTTGTTATTCCAGTAAGAACATACAGGAAAAAGTTAACATGATTGTAATTTCATAAAACTATTGCTTTGACCCTAAAATAGAAGACATTCATCAGTTTTTTCTATTTCTCCAAGTCAGGAAACTCGGAAGATTTCGTAATGTAGCTAAATAAGTTGTCACGTGTCGGCTGGGCCTTAGCCAGGACTCCAACTTTAACTGTCCACTCGTGGACAAGTGTGAAGTTACGAACCGCCTTCCAGGGGGAGATGTGTCATGGCTGCTAGTAAAATTTTGAAATGAATTACCCTAGAAGCCCAGAAATTCAGTCAATTTTTGCTCGTTGCTTTAAACAAGTTTTTGTTCAAACTTTCAATTTTCAGACTTGATGAAAAAACATTTAATTTTGGAGCAATTCTTTTTTTGCATAAATCAATTTACAATTTACGAGTATAATAACAAGTAAAAAGCAACTCAAAATGTTTAAAATACTGCACGTATTACAGCCAATGGTCTTTTTCGAAATACTGTTCGAGTGACTTTTCTTTTTTTATTTTGTATTTGTTAACAAGGTGAAAAGCTGAAAACGAGCAAACTTTACAGGTTGATTGTTTTAGAATATTTTTGCCAGTCTACTTTCTAAAATCCTTGTCCAAAAGATGGGTGGACAGGCCTCCGGGTAAGGCCTTGTGTGTCCGTGAACAGGTAGATATGAATGAAAAACGGAAAACAAGCAAAGAATGAGAGGACATCAATATAGATAGCAGTGGCGTAGGAAGCAAATGAAAGTTGGGGGTCGAGATTTTTGGAGCCAATTTTTCGTTTAAAAAGACACTTTTCTTGTGAAAAAAAGGGCACTTTTTCATATTAAATTTGAAAGTTTGGGGCATGTGCCCCATGCCCTCCCGTTCCTACGTCACTGATAAACAGTGACGTACGTAGCCAGCCTGCATTGCCATCATCATGAATTAAGTTCTTCAGAAGTCTATTATTTAACGTCAAAAAATATTACGTAGCCTGGAGTAGGAAGACTGACTGGCCTCTCCGCTAGTTTCTGTATGATACTGGGGCGACTCCAGCGTTGTAGTCAAAATAAATGACTACTGCTCATTCATTGGTATGATTTTACTTTTTTAAAATGCATGGCAAACCAATGGCAATTTATGAAGGTATTTTAAGTTTAAAAGTTGACGGGCAAAAACTGTTTTACCGAACTCTGGATTCTCGGCTGTACTGAAATATAATTTTGAATGAGAAAGTCGTTGTGTCTGTAAAAATGAATTTACGCAAACTGCCTTGTTTAGCGATGATCTTTTCTCTTTGCCGTACTGTCCTGGTAAAACACTCGTCGTTGGAGCTTCCTACGTCGCCCTTGAGTGTGCTGGTTTCCTGGCGGGTATTGGTCTTGACGTCACCGTCATGGTGCGATCCATCTTCTTACGTGGATTCGATCAGGTGGGAATATAAAACTATTCCATCAACTTATTCAATTTTTAAAATATTTAATGATTGTATTTCATCGTGATGACATCTTCATGTTAATGTATTTGACCTGCCGTGCATTTAGAAAAATTATCGTTGTTTTTTTTTTCAGCAAATGGCCGAGAAAGTTGGTGAATACATGGAAAAAGAACACATTACATTTTTAAAGAAGTGTGTGCCGACTAAGGTGATGAAAATCATCCCAATGTAACTCAGTCAATTGAAGGATACGAATTTGCTCATAACCCTGTAGGAACTGATCTGTAGTTGAAGTGTTAATTCGGGGGGTGACAACTGGAATGATAAGTCAGGAGGTGACAACTGGAATGATAAGTCAGGAGGGTGACAACTGGAATGATAAGTCAGGAGGGTGACAACTGAAATAATAAGTCATGGGGTGACAACTGGAATGATAAGTCAGGAGGGTGACAACTGGAATGATAAGTGGAATGGAATAAGGATGGAAGGAGGGATGGAATGGAGGAAAGGAGGAAGGAAAATGGAATGATAAATCAGGAGGGATAATGGAATGAAGGAGGAATGGAATGATAAATGGAGGGTGGACAACTGGAATGAAGGGAGGAATGGAATGATAAATGGAATGGAAAATGGAATGGATAAGAGGGTGGACAACTGGAATGATAAATGGAATGGAAATGGAAAATGGAATGGAATGGACAACTGGAATGGATAAAGGTGGACAACTGGAATGATAAGTCAGGGGTGACAACTGGAATGAATGGAGGGTGACAACTGGAATGATAAGTCAGGATGGAACTGGAATGATAAACAACTGGAATGATAAGTGGAATGGAATGGAATCAGGGGTGACAACTGGAATGATAAGTCAGGGGTGACAACTGGAATGATAAGTCAGGGGGTGACAACTGGAATGATAAGTCAGGAGGTGACAACTGGAATGATACTTGTTCTATTGATGATAGATTTTGAAAGCCAAGCGCTTGCCAACATGTTTTTTGCACGAATCTGTTCTTCGTTTTGTAGATTGAAATGGTCGAAGATGGTCAACCAAAAAAACTTAAAGTTTATTACAAATCCTTGGAAAGCGGTGAAGAGCTTCACGGCGAGTACAACACAGTAAGTAGAGCAAGACTAAATCTTCGAAATTCTAAAATGCCGTTTTCCACTTTTCATGTATCGCAGATTCATAAATAATTTTCATCTTGTGAATTGTGTGACCTGCAATTTTGATCGTGCTACGTTGATTTCAGGTTATTAGCACAAGTATTGAACATCGGCATTGCGCATTTTAACTAAATGTTGATGTTGTTTTTACAATATAATCTTAAGTATTTAACTCGTAGTCGGAAATTTTACATGGTAGTTCAACTGTAGGCCTAAACTTAGAAGTAGTTAAACTTTATACTTAAAACTGTAGTAGTTAAATGTAATTCACATTTTAACTTTGTATAAATTAGACTATTAAATTTGTAATCAGAATGCCTTAAGAAGTTGAAGAGGAAGGTCGTATTTTGCTGCTTATTAAAACGTTGATACAAAACTTTAATACAACGTTCCATTACACACTTAAAACGTCTATACTCTATACGTATTAAATATTATCTGGAGAAAATTTCAATTTGGCAAAACTACTATTTATGCAATCTGGAAGAATTATGAAAAGAGGCGGAGCCACCGTACCTTCCGACCCCCACCCCAATTTGACATTGGATGAGCATCCAAAAGATGCAATTCCGTTACACCTCTCTCGAGGCTACATAATTTTTACATGAGTAGATAGATAATAACCTCTTTGACCATAATCCGTTGCTCCCCAAGCGAAACTGGTGCACAATTGAGAGATATCGTCTTTCAAAGTTTGCGATTTACGCGCTTCCATAAATTTACTTGCCATCATTTTGTGCAATCCACGCATGCGCACACCTGAATAACACGCACGCGCAGTTAGGATAGATGGGGTTTCCCTGAGGGTTTTCCGTATTGTTTTCCCTTTATTTCTCACGTAGAACAAAGAGAAACGATATAAAATTCTTTATTAAAAACTGTCAGTTGTTGGGTTAAAATACTGTTTTATTAACTGCTAATTTTCAGGCAGTACAATAAAACTTATCTTAGTATCTCAGTATCTTTAACTCGCGATTTTTCATGTTCTTCTAGGTTCTACTTGCTATTGGACGCGATTCTTGCACTCAAGGGATTGGACTAGAAAATGTTGGGGTAGCATTGAATCCAAAGTATGACGTCATCATACTAATGTATTGGGCATTCAAAGTGGCTAGATAGGAATTGTTTGGGATATTAATTGCCCTCTTAATTATAAAACTTTTTGCACATCGCTTTTTTCACAAGTTGTTTCTCTCGGCTAGGACGAGAAAAGTCGTCGTTGACGAAAAAGAACAAACGAACGTCCCAAATATTTATGCTCTTGGCGACATACTTGAAAACAGACTTGAGCTGACGCCAGTTGCTATAGAAGCGGGTGTCTTGTTAGCGCGAAGACTTTACGCAGGAAGCAGCACTTTGGTATGTTTATCGAGCGGTGTTGTTAACGTTTTTCGCACCGGCTTTGTACTCTGAATTTGTATTCGTTGCATGAGGTACTGGCTTCTTAAATTAAATGGTTTGCACCCGAGATTATTGCTAGCAGATGTTGATAGTTGACCGTTCATGTTGGTATGACTCTGAGAAGTATTATTGGTGTTGGTGTTGACTGACGTTGGACTTTCTTTGTGGATGACAAATATAGCCGACGTTTACTCTTCTTGACACCCGTCATGATTACAGCTAAGGATGCGGAAACGTCGTCAGTCAACACTGACACAGCCTTACAGTTCTTCACGGGACTGCACTAACCTGGACGATCTACATCTAGAAACATGTATTTCGATTACTTGTTTGTTGTCTAACTTGTAACTAGTTATATGCAACTTTTCTGGCGTTTTCTTGCTGTTTTTTTTGGATTCACAATAAACTTTATCCAAATTGACAAAATAGAAAATATGTGTATTGGAGTGTTTTACACCACGGAACCGTGATGTTGCCAAGACCCATCAAGTTCCATGACAATAAATCGTGTTTGTTAATTTTCAGTGTGATTATATCAACGTTGCAACCACAGTGTTCACACCATTGGAATATAGTTGCTGTGGTTACTCAGAGGAAGACGCCATTGCAAAATTTGGAATAGACAACCTCGAGACATACCACACGAATATTTGGCCTCTCGAGTGGACCGTAGCTCAGAAAGACAACAATATTTGTTACGCCAAATTGATCTGTAACAAATTAGAAAATGTAAGATCTTAACTAGGCCGTGTTCTCGAGATGGTGGTTTTTTTTTCACTTTTGACATCAAAGATGTTTATGGTCAACTTCTATTTATTGGGACTAACACCCGTATTCCAAAAGCTCACTCACACTCATACTCGATGAGTGGAGCTTCAAAATCACTTCAGAATTAATCGAAGAATCCAATTTCACTCAACTGATTGCTTAGTTTGAATTATCTAGAAGAAAATCTTGTCATACATGGAGAATTGACTTTCTCAATGATTCGACAAAGTGTGATATTTACGTCGCACTCAATGAGTGTGAGTTTGCTTTTAGAATACGGGCAAAAGACAACGTCACTTTCCCGTTCGAGAGTGATGTCAATTTTTTTGTCTTCTTTATAAACATAAGTAGATCTTTATTTGATTTCTATCTTTATTTTTGGCTTTCAACGTTTTTTTTAAAACCACCCATTTGTCATTTGCCATGGCAAATACGCTATTCTAAGCAACATTTAAATTTCTTTGGTATTTGCTTAAATTTGCATGGGAGGCAGAGTCTCGTCTCTCCAATTGTGGAAATCCCGTTGGTCCTGAAGTATTGATTTACTGCAACATTTCATTGATACGGCTAGTTTTTGTATTCGCTATGTTGGTGTACTTTTAACTAAGGAATGCTGTTTTATTGTTCTCGGCCAACACAGCGGTTATTTTTCCTTGTTGATTATCCTCTTGAACATTGCTTAAAAACGTGGTATTGCTTTTACAGGAACGTGTTGTCGGATTACATATTGCCTGCCCGAACGCAGGCGAGGTGATGCAAGGATACGCTTGCGCTATCAAGTGCGGAGCCACGAAAGCCGATTTTGATCGAACAATCGGAATACACCCGACGGTTTCCGAGGTGAGGGAAACTATAGGTCTATTACGTGTTTGTTTACGTCAACTATACCGATGTCTGTATTTATTTTCACGCCACAGGTATTCACGACAATGAACATAACGAAAAGTTCGGGCGAAGACATCAGTCAAAAAGGATGCTGAGGTTAGATCCTGCTGCGGCGAATTTTGGGTTGAGAAAAAACAGTTCTCTGTCCCAAAACACTGCAGCTTGGAAGAGTTCGACGAGCTTATTACCAATTACATGGGAAACCATGATTTATGACGGTTCTTTCCGAAGTCTTTAATTAAGGAGGATGGAACTTGATTCGGTGTATCTCGTTGGACACAAACACACACAAATGATTTCATTACAATGTATATTATATAGCTAGTTACATTTGTCTGTTCCAACAGACTATAATACCGCAAAGCAATCGTATTTGTTTCTACACCGATTGCATCTTTCTATTGTTACAAACAATACAAACATTGGTCTCTCGAAAGTCAAAACATATTTTTAAAAAACACCGTATAAAGTGTTACACCGTGTAATACATAATATCTCAGTAGAGCCGTGTGTTAGATTTGGTCAAGACATAATTTGCTCCACCTGAGCCACAATTGGAATATAACTGGGATACTGTCAGACTCGTTCTCAGTCCTTTCACGATTTCGTGGGTTTTATAAGCACTTCAGGGGATGAATAAAGGGAGAGGAGTGCAAGAAAGTACTTGGGAACGAGGCTAGGAAACAGTGTTTCTACTCCGTGAAGCTTCAAAAGTGATCTTATTTGTTGAAAAATTGCTGTTTCGACTACAGTGGAGCGAGAAGTTGTTACTGCGAGAAAGTGGTACAATCAGCGAAAAATAGTCGTGTGAAAACGAGGTGAAATCGACTATAAGTTTTTAATAGAGTCATTTTCACTTTTCTAACATAAAGAAATTAAAACAAGGCGTATTTGTTTAATGTTGACGCGTGTATTTGGAGAGAAATACGTTCATTTCATTGTGATAAGAAACGAAACCGAGGTAACCACGCTATTTAATTAAACTATGGTGTACTTAGCTATAAGTTGGTGAGTACTTCTCTAAATAAACTATGGTATATGTAACTACACATTGGTGGATACTTCTAAGTAAACTATGGTATATGTAAATATACATTGGTGGGTATTTCTCTAAATAAACTATGGTATATGTAACTATACATTGGTGGGTACTTCTCTAAATAAACTATGGTATATGTAACTATACATTGGTGGGTACGTCTCTAAGTAAACTGTGGCATATGTAACTATACATTGGTGGGTACTTCTCTAAATAAACTATGATATATGTAACTATACATTGGTGAGTACTTCTCTAAATAAACTATGGTATATGTAACTACACATTGGTGGATACTTCTCTAAGTAAACTATGGTATATGTAACTATACATTGGTGGGTATTTCTCTAAATAAACTATGGTATATGTAACTATACATTGGTGGGTACTTCTCTAAATAAACTATGGTATATGTAACTATACATTGGTGGATATTTCTCTAAATAAACTATGGTATATGTAACTATACATTGGTGGGTACTTCTCTAAATAAACTGTCGCATATGTAACTATACATTGGTGGGTATTTCTCTAAATAAACTATGGTATATGTAACTATACATTGGTGGGTACTTCTCTAAATAAACTATGGTATATGTAACTATACATTGGTGGGTACTTCTCTAAATAAACTATGGTATATGTAACTATACATTGGTGGGTATTTCTCTAAATAAACTATGGTATATGTAACTATACATTGGTGGATATTTCTAAATAAACTATGGTATATGTAACTATACATTGGTGGATATTTCTAAATAAACTATGGTATATGTAACTATACATTGGTGGGTACTTCTCTAAATAAACTATGGTATATGTAACTATACATTGGTGGGTACTTCTCTAAATAAACTATGGTATATGTAACTATACAATGGTGGGTATTTCTCTAAATAAACTATGGTATATGTAACTATACATTGGTGGATATTTCTCTAAATAAACTATGGTATATGTAACTATACATTGGTGGGTACTTCTCTAAATAAACTATGGTATATGTAACTATACATTGGTGGGTACTTCTCTAAATAAACTATGGTATATGTAACTATACATTGGTGGGTACTTCTCTAAATAAACTATGGTATATGTAACTATACATTGGTGGGTATTTCTCTAAATAAACTATGGTATATGTAACTATACATTGGTGGATATTTCTCTAAATAAACTATGGTATATGTAACTATACATTGGTGGGTACTTCTCTAAATAAACTATGGTATATGTAACTATACATTGGTGGGTACTTCTCTAAATAAACTATGGTATATGTAACTATACATTGGTGGGTACTTCTCTAAATAAACTATTGTATATGTAACTATACATTGGAGGGTATTTCTCTAAATAAACTATGGCATATGTAACTATACATTGGGGGTACTTCTCTAAATAAACTATAAACTATAGTCTTTACAATATCACACACTTTCATACAAAAGGCTATAGTCTTTGCATTTTTACACATTTTCATGCCAAAGACTGTAGTCATTGCATTGTCACACAGTTTCACGCTAAAGACTATAGTCTTTGTTTTTTTTACACACTTTCACGCCAAAGACTATAGTCTTTTGATTTTCACACATTTTCATGCCAAAGACTTATAATCTTTGCATTTTCACACATTTTCATGCCAAAGACTATAGTCCTAGCATTTTCACACATTTCGATGCCAAAGATTATAGTCTTTGCATTTCACGCATTTTGATGACAAACTATAGTCTATGTATTTTCACATTTTCATGCAAAACTTTATATGTAACTTGCATTTTCACATATTTTATGCAAAAGATTATAGTCTTTAGCATTTTCACATATTTTATGTCAAGACTATAGTCCTTGTATTTTCACATTATTTTGCTGAGAAAGACTATAGTCTTTGCATTTTCATTTTCATGCTAAATACTATGGTATCTTTGTATTTCATTATATTTTGACGATTAAAGACTATAGTCTTTCCATTTACACTTTTTATGCCAAAGACTATAGTCTTTGCATTACATATGCCAAAGACTATGGTCTTGTATTTCACATTTTTTGACAACAAAGACTATAGTCTTTCCATTTTCACACTTTTTCATGCCAAAGACTATAGTCTTTGCATTTTCACACATTTTCATGCCAAAGACTATGGTCTTTGCATTTTCACACATTTTCATGCAAAAGACTATAGTCTTTGCATTTTACACATTTTGATGACAAAGACTATAGTCTTTGTATTTTACACATTTTGATGACAAAGACTATAGTCTTTGTATTTTCACATATTTTTATGCCAAAGACTATAGTCTTTGCATTTGCACACCTTTTCATGCAAAAGACTATAGTCTTTGCATTTTCACACATTTTCATGCCAAAACTATAGTCTTTGCATTTTCACACATTTTTATGCCAAAGGCTATAGTCTTTGCATTTTTATACATTTTCTCACCAAAGACTATAGTCTGCAATTTCTTACACTTTCACACCAAGGACTATGGTATTTGCATTTTCGCATTTTACAACAAAGACTATAGTCTTTGAATTTTTACACACTTTCACACAAAACCCTATAATCTTTGCATATTTACACATTTTCACACCAAAGACTATAGTCTTTGCATTTTCACACATTTTCATGCCAAAGACTATGGTCTTTGCATTTTCACACTTTTTCATGCCAAAGACTATAGTCTTTGCATTTTCACACATTTTCATGCCAAAGACTATGGTCTTTGCATTTCACACATTTTGACGACAAAGACTATAGTCTTTCCATTTTCACACTTTTTCATGCCAAAGACTATAGTCTTTGCATTTTCACACATTTTCATGCCAAAGACTATGGTCTTTGCATTTCACACATTTTGACGACAAAGACTATAGTCTTTCCATTTTCACTTTTTTCATGCCAAAGACTATAGTCTCTTTGATTTTCATTATTTTCATGCCAAAGACTACGGTCTTTGCATTTTCACACATTTTTATGCCAAAGGCTATAGTCTTTGCATTTTTATACATTTTCTCACCAAAGACTATAGTCTGCAATTTCTTACACTTTCACACCAAGGACTATGGTATTTGCATTGTCGCACAGTTTCACAACAAAGACTATAGTCTTTGAATTTTTACACACTTTCACACAAAACCCTATAATCTTTGCATATTTACACATTTTCACACCAAAGACTATAGTCTTTGCATTTTCACACATTTTCATGCAAAAGTTTATAGTTTTGCATTTTCACATATTTTTATGCAAAAGACTATAGTCTCTGCATTTTCACACATTTTTATGCCGAAGATTATAGTCTTTGCATTTTCACACATTTTCATGCCAAAACTATAGTCTTTGCATTTTCACACGTTTTCATGCCAAACACTAAAGTCTTTGCACGTTTACAGATTTTCATGCAAAAGACTATAGCTCATGCACTTTCACACATTTTCATGCGAAAGTCTTTAATTCGTGCATTTTCCCACATTTCTCTTGGATTATTTTTGTTCAATTGAATATTTTCCTTAAAATATCGAGATCTTGTAGACTTAATCAACTTAACAACTTCGTTATGCTTAGCTTCATAAGCTCGGTACACATTTTCTGAGTTTAACGGCTCGCTTTTTCAACTAGTCACGCTAATTATTCATCTCACATCTAATCCGACTTGTTAGCCAAGGAGCATAAGTGCTTCTGACTTTCCTTGTTTTTATTGGAGCATAAATATCTGATACAAAATTAAAAATGTCTTTAAATTATGCTCCTTAGGTTTTTCCCGCTATAAAGATATTTTAAGACATGCAGACTGTGATCGCTAATTCCCAAATGTAATAGACCACTTTCATTATTTTTTTCGGGACGATTTGCTGCTATTATATGAAGTAACGAGGATTGTATTATTTGTTTCATTTGGAATAGGTCCAGTATATCAAAGAGTCTACGAGAATAAGACTGTAATACTGTGAGTATCATAATTTAGAGAGATTAGAGACTTATTTTCCTCTTCAATATTCTTAAAAGTGCGCATCCGAGCTCCATCATCTTGTCATTTGACGGTTGAGAGTGATTTTGATTTCGAGATGTTGTACATGATTCTGTTACTTTACGAACTTTTTGGAGTTTGCCTTGTTTATCTGATGATTTTATTTGTTTATCTATTGATTTTGTTTCTACCACTAAGGTAGACATTAAGGTAGACATAAAAGTAGACATAAAGGTAGACATAAGGGTAGACATTAAAGTAGACATAAAGGTAGACATAAGGGTAGACATAAAAGTAGACCTAAAGGTAGACATAAAGGTAGACATAAAAGTAGACATAAAGCAGACATAAGGTAGACATTTACATAAAGTAGACATAAAGTAGACATAAAGGTAGACATAAAGGAGTAAAGGTAGACATAAGGACCTAAAGGTAGACATAAAGGTAGACCTAAAGGTAGACATAAAGGTAGAAGGTAGACATAATAGTAAAAGACATAAAGGTAGACATAAGGTAGACATAAAGGAAGACATAAAAGGTAGACATAAAGTAGAATAAAGGTAGACATAAAGGTAGACATAAAGTAGATACAAAGAGAAAGGTAGACATAAGACATAAAGGTAGACATAAAGTAGACATAAAGGTAGACATAAAATAGACATAAAAGGACATAACACATAAAGGTAGACATAGGTAGACATTAAGGTAGACATAAAGGTAGACATAAAAGATACAAAGGTAGACATAAAGGACATAAAAGTAGACATAAAGTAGAGTATATAGAAAAGGTAGACATAAAGGTAGACATAAAAGTAGACATAAAGGACATAAAGTAGACATAAAGGAGATAAAAGGACATAAAGGTAGACATAAAGGTAGACATAGACATAGACATAGTAGACATAAGGTAGACATAACATGCATTATAAAGGCAGACATAAAGGTAGACATAAAGGTAGACATAAAGGTAGACATAAAGGTAGACATAAAGGTAGACATAAAAGTGGACATAAAGGTAGACATAAGGGTAGACATTAAGGTAGAGATAAAGGTAGATATAGAAGGATAAAGGTAGATATAGGAAGTAGAGTAGGATAGACGAAGGGAAGGTAGACATAAAAGACATAAAGGAGAAGGATAGACAGTAGATGAAATATAAAGGTAGATGGTAGACATAAAGGAGATAAAGGAAGACATAAGGTGACATGGTAGACATAAAAACATAAAGGCTGACATAAAGGTAGACATAAAGGTAGACATAAAAGTAGACATAAAGGTGACATTAAAGGTGCAGGTAGACATAAAAGTAGACATAAAGGTAGACATAAAGGTAGACATAAAGACATAAAAAGTAGACATAAAGGTAGACATAAAGGTAGACATTAAAGACATAAAGACATAAAGGTAGACATAAAGGTAGACATAAAGGTAGACAGACAAAGGTAGACAAGGTAGATAAAGTAGAGGTAGATAAGGTAGATAAAGGAGTGCATAAGGTAGACATAAAGGTAGACATAAAGGTAGATAAAAAGTAGACATAAAGGTAGACATAAAGGTGACATTAAATATAAAGGCATAAAGGTAGATTAAACAGACATAAAGTAGACATAAAAGTAGACATAAAGGTAGACATAAGGGTAGACATAAGGTAGACATAAAGGCAGGTAGACATAAAGGTAGACATAAGGTAGACATAAGGTAGACATAGGTAGACATAAAGGAGACATAAAGGTAGACATAAAGTAGACCATAAAGGTAGACATAAAGGTAGACATAAGGTAGACATAAAAGTAGACATAAAGGTAGACATAAAGCAGAAGTAGACAGTAGACATATAAAGTAGACCTAAAGGTAGACATAAAGGTAGACATAAAGGTAGACATAAGGGTAGACATAAAGGTAGACATAAAGGTAGACCTAAAGGTAGACATAAAGGTAGAAATAAAGATAGACATAAAGGTAGATACAAAGGTAGACACAAAGATAGACACGAAGGTAGACACAAAGGTAAACACAAAGGTAGACACAAAGATAGACACAAAGGTAGACATAAAGGTAGACACTAAGGTAGACACTAACGTAGATACGAAAGTAGACACAAAAGTAGAAAGGTACACATAAAGGTAGACACAAAGGTAGACACAAAGATAGATACAAAGGTAGACATAAGGGTAGACATAAAGGTAAACATAAAGGTTAACTCTGTCACTCTGCCACATTGACAGAGGATTATAGAACGCGTATTAATGCATTTAAAAACAAAAAATCTCTAAAACACTGCTTCTATACCAAAGGTCACAAGAAAATTATTATGAAATGTTCAATTGTCAATTTCATTCCTGAAAGCGAATTTTTGTGAAAAAACACAAGAAGAAGTCACATACAATCGACGATTATTGATCTTAAGAAAAATTTCAATGATAAAAACTAGAAATATTTTTTATTTTCAATCTCGTATGTACGAACACTAGAATTAGAATAATTTTCGGCATTTTACACAAATTCTACGTTCTGTGAAACTAATGATGGAGAATTGATCAAAAAATTATATTTTCCGTGAATGCAATCTCTAAAAATGCTCAGTTTATAAAACAATCACTGAATTGCCCGATAACAAGTCAAACAACGGGCGACAGAATTTTGAGAATAACAAACTATCTTCAATCGAATACACTAATTTCTTCACAAGTATTCACAAGAACGTGTCTTGCTTTCCAACAGGTGATCGCGGTGGAGGGGAAACCCCACCAATAATCTCGCGCTGATATGGAGGTGGTGGGGGGAGATCGTCCACTTCACTCATCTCATCTTGACTGTCATGGCGGGCACTGCGCGCCGCTGTGCCTGCTTGCAGGCTTGCTATGAGATCAGTCGAAGGATTAGAAAGGCGTTTTGGCACTTTGGGTTTGGGCTTAGGTTTAGGTGGAGGAGGGCGGGCAGTTTGTGACTTATGACTTGCGGGTTCACCACCTGAACTCCCTTCTGCAACACCTCGTAGTCCCACTGGTATGGGTGATTCATTGTTAGTCTCCAAAGGCGCACTCGACCTCGGCAACGACGCTGTCCGATTCCTATCTTCTGGTGTCACAGATCTTTTCTCGGTAAGACTTCGCGAACGGTCGAGAGAGTTCGACGGCGATTGAGTAGGAGACATGGTTTGCTGTGGCAGCTTGAAGGAGCCTCTTTTGAAGGAAGAAAAATGAGAAATCCCAGGACTACTATCAGAAGATGTCTTTGGGTGAAGTTGAAACGACATCTGATTTTGCGTTTGTGTCATTCCATAGACAGGTTTGGCATCGGGCGTTGAAGGGGATCGTGGGGTGGGGGAAGATAGAGGGTCTGCTACAGGTGGTATGTCATGGTTAAAGGTCAAACTTGGTGAGCTAATGGAGTCAGGCGAGTAACCATCAACATGATCTTCTTCCAGAAGCTGTACATACGCACATGGTACAAAACCATCGAGACCATCTAGAGATCCATCCCACCAGTCATCATTAGATCGTTTAAATACTTGTATGATGTCACCTTTCTTGAACGACAGTTCTCTGTCTGATCTGGCACGATAGTCGTACAAAGCTTTTGCATCTCGTGGTTCAACCTCTGTCATGAAATGTGTTATAAATTAACAATAATTCAACGCGTGCGCTGATTGGTCTATTGCTGAGTTTGCATCATCCAGTGCAAAATAGATCTGAGTTCAACAAATTAAATACATCAACGAGAATTTGCTAATTAATCACGAATACATGTTAAAGGAATAATTAATAAAACGTTTGTTTTAACTTTATCTGTTTTACTTTAGTGTTTTTATATAAAGAAACAGAAGATGTCTTTCGTGTTCGCACTGGCTTATTAAAAACTTGGAGACGTTTGTGAGAACTCTCGAGCAGGTGCAACCCTCGACCTTTGGTCTCGGGCTTGCACTGATCTGCTCTCGAGTTCTCCCAAAGGTCTCCTCGGTTTGCATCAGCCTGTGAAAACACAGTAAAAATCTTTTGTTTTATAAATGAACATCATTTCAAATAGTAATATAAGCATTATTAGTCTCAAGTTTCTGATGATGAACTGAATTATTTTACGTGAACAAAATGTGACGTCACGATATTTCAGAGAACTAAAGTTGCCACAAAATGTGACGTCACGATATTTCAGAGAACTAAAGTTGCCACAAAATGTGACGTTACGATATTTCAGAGAACTAAAGTTGCCAAAAACGTTACGATATTTCAGAGAACTAAAGTTGCCACAAAATGTGACGTTACGATATTTCAGAGAACTAAAGTTGCCACAAAATGTGACGTTACGATATTTCAGAGAACTAAAGTTGCCACAAAATGTGACGCTACGATATTTCAGAGAACTAAAGTTGCCACAAAATGTGACGTTACGATATTTCAGAGAACTAAAGTTGCCACAAAATGTGACGTTACGATATTTCAGAGAACTAAACTTGCCACAAAATGTGACGCTACGATAATTCAACGAACTAAAGTTGCTACAAAATGTGACGTTACGATATTTCAGAGAACTAAACTTGCCACAAAATGTGACGTTACGATATTTCAGAGAAAAGGGTGTCACAAAATGTGGCGTTTCAAATACATTACTCCCCCTTCATCAACTATCGCCTCACAGATAGTAATTTTGCCAAATATAAGGTGATACTGGTAATATTGTCAAATATATGGTGATACTAGTAACATTGTTAAATATATGGTGATACTAGTAATATTTATGAATTGTTCATTTTATTGTTGTATTTAGTTGATGTAACGCCCTCCACCCTAACCCCCAGCATTTATGCTGAAGTACTGCCGTTATTTAAAATGTCGAAAGAATAATGATAAATATAAAAGTATTATAAACCTACCTTCGTCACTATCCGTTTCATATCGGCTGATTTCGTCCTCAGTTTGACGTGATTCTTCCTCATCATTATCGACGGCATCAACTCCCTCTCCGTCAAAAACGACGTCAAAGCATTTTATTATGGTTTCGATGACTTTGTTAAAGTGCCCCTGAAGCGATATCATGTCGTCTTCCTCGGACACACGAATCAACGTGGGCCCAAATACAACAGCCAGGTTATGAGCGTCCATTTTGTTCCTTTCTTTATACCTTGGGATTCTATGGAAGGGAATAGAATGCTGTTAATGAGTTAAATTCTTCAACAAAATACTGACCGCGCCAAAACATTGGTTTTAATCGTTAAGATACTGTTGGTTTGGCTACGATACGCTACAATATGTGGCTAGTGGAAAACAGGCTTTACACGTTAAGAAAATCATTCACTCCAGAAAATAACACTTTTATGTCATAAGCACTTTAGAACCGAAGATTTAATAATACACTAGATAGTGCAACTGACATACAAGTTGAAGCCGGGCAAATCTTTCAAATTGTTATCTCCAACTCGTTTTACTTAACAATAAATATCGGAAGATAATTCTACGACGTTCGATTGAACATTTTGTGGCAGATTGTGCTGTGATACGATATTTAGATGTGCAAATTCCAGTATCTTAAGCCTTCGTCGCTGCTGATGCTTTCAAATCGAGCTACACTTAAAATCCATTTTACGGCGATGTATTGGCGTATTCTGCTATCTTTTTCTTGAAAAACTATGGTCACATTGATTTTTTTCATTAATAGAGTAAACCAGTTTATGTACCGTCGTGACTTGCAAGTAATTGCAAGATATCAGCTTTGACCAGATATTTTCTAATACAACGCCATATTGATTTTCACTACTTTGGGGCTCCGGAAGTAAATTTGCCCGGCTTCAACCACTACTTATGAAATGTAAGCCGTTGCACTATCTAGTGTATTATTAGATCTGTGTTTAGAACCCTAAGAGCTGCTAAGTATTAGAGTGTTCTACAATTAACATTCATCAGGACATGCAACTATAGATTTATAATATTTCCTTAAAGAAAATATGTAACATGTAACTTCCACTCACTGGGACAAAAAGTTGAACAAGAATCTCATGACATGAACGACAGCATCGGGTAATTTCTTTATCAAGTGGTTCAATTGACGAGCTTGTTCATCTATGTCGTAAATTCCTAAAGAGAGCATGAACATGATTCATCACATAAATTCAAAAAATTTTCCATTTTCATCGTTTGATCAGCAATCAATGGAACGCTCTATACCGATAGTGCTACAATGTTTTCTGACATACAAACCCGTTTCTCGATTCTTCGTTGCCAAGACACGGCAGCAAAGTGATGATAATTAGAAGGGAAAGGCTGTTATTCATACATGCATGGTCTACTTTATTAAATTCTATTGAAATCAATTGTGATTACGGATTCTATTATATGAATTTACGAATATGAGCTCCACAAATCATCAACTTGGCGTCGTCCCTGGTTGCTCACAGTATTCACCCTCCCTAGTCTATTACATCAACGTTTGCTCACAGTATTCCCCCTAGTCTGTATTTCACACTATCAACGTTTGCTCACAGTATTCACCCCCCCTAGTCTGTATTTCACACTATCAACGGTTGCTCACAGTATTCACCCTCCCCAGTCTGTATTTCACATTATCAACGGTTGCTCACAGTATTCACCCTCCCCCTAGTCTGTATTTCACACAATTTGTTGCTTGCATTCAACCCTCCCTAGTCTGTATTTCACACTATCAACGTTGCTCACAGTATTCACCTCCCCAGTCTGTATTTCACACTATCAACGGTTGTTCACAGTATTCACCCTCCCCTAGTCTGTATTTCACACTATCAACGGTTGCTCACAGTATTCACCCCTCCCCAGTCTGTATTTCACACTATCAACGGTTGCTCACAGTATTCACCCTCCCCAGTCTGTATTTTCACACTATCAACGGTTGCTCACAGTATTACCCTCCCCAGTCTGTATTTCACACTATCGTTGCTCAGTATTCAACCTCCCCAGTCTGTATTTCCATTATCAACGGTTGCTCACAGTATTCACCCTCCCCAGTCTGTATTTCACACTATCAACGTTGTTCACAGTATTCACCTCCCCCAGTCTGCCACACTATCAACGGTTGCTCATATTCACCCTCAGTCTGTATTTCACTATCAACGTTTGTTCCATTCACCCTCCCCAGTCTGCATTTCACACTATCAACGGTTGTTCACAGTATTCACCCTCCCCAGTCTGCATTTCACACTATCAACGGTTGCTCACAGTATTCACCCTCCCCCTAGTCTGTATTTCACACTATCAACGGTTGCTCAGTATTCACTCCCCAGTCTGTATTTCACACTATCAACGGTTGCTCCAGTATTCACCCCCCCAGTCTGTATTTCACACTATCAACGTTGCTCACAGTATTCACCTCCCCAGTCTGTATTTCACACTATCAACGGTTGCTCACAGTATTCACCCTCCCCCAGTCTGTATTTCACACTATCTCTCAGTATTCAACCTCCCCAGTCTGTATTTCACACTATCAACGGTTGCTCACAGTATTCACCCTCCCCAGTCTGTATTTCCACTATCAACGTTTGCTCACAGTATTCACCCCTCCCCCCCCTAGTCTGTATTTCACACTATCAACGTTTGTCAGTATTCACCCTCCCCAGTCTGTATTTCACACTATCAACGTTTGCTCACAGTATTCACCCCCTAGTCTGTTTCACACTATCAACGGTTGCTCACAGTATTCACCCCCCCAGTCTGTATTTCTCACATTTCAACGGCCTCAGTGTTCACCCTCCCCTAGTCTGTATTTCACACTATCAACGGTTGCTCACAGTATTCCACCCTCCCCTAGTCTGTATTTCACACCATCAACGTTTGCTCACAGTATTCACCCTCCCCTAGTCTGTATTTCACACTATCAACGTTTGCTCAGTATTCACCCTCCCCAGTCTGTATTTCACACTATCAACGTTTGCTCACAGTATTCACCCTCCCCAGTCTGTATTTCACACTATCAAGCCGTCACAGTATTCACCCCTCCCCAGTCTGTATTTCACACTATCAACGGTTGATTCATTCTCCCCAGTCTGTATTTCATTATCAACGGTTGCTCACAGTATTCACCCTCCCAGTCTGTATTTCATTATCAACGGTTGCTCACAGTATTCACCCTCCCCTAGTCTGTATTTCACACTATCAACGGTTGCTCACAGTATTCACCCTCCCCCAGTCTGTATTTCACACTATCAACGTTTGCTCACAGTATTCACCCTCCCCAGTCTGTATTTCACACTATCAACGGTTGTTCACAGTATTCACCCTCCCCTAGTCTGTATTTCACACTATCAACGTTTGCTCACAGTATTCACCCCCTAGTCTGTATTTCACACTATCAACGGTTGTCACAGTATTCACCTCCCCAGTCTGTATTTCACACTATCAACGGTTGCATGTATTCACCCTCCCCAGTCTGTATTTCACACATCAACGGTTGCTCACAGTATTCACCCTCCCCCATTTCACACTATCAACGTTTGTTCAGTATTCACCCCCCCAGTCAGATCATGTTGCTCACAGTATTCCTTCTCCCCAGTCTCACACTATCAACGGTTGCAAGTATTCACCCTCCCTCTGTATTTCACACTCAACGGCTCACAGTATTCACCTCTCCTAGTCTGTATTCACACTATCAACGGTTGCTCACAGTATTCACCTCCCCCTAGTCTTCACACTCCACGGTTGCTCACAGTATTCACCCTCCCTAGTCTGTATTTCACACTATCAACGGTTGCTGTATTCACCCTCCCTAGTCTGTATTTCACCATACGGTTGCCACAGTATTCACCCTCCCCTAGTCTGTATTTCACACTATCAACGGTTGCTCACAGTATCCACCTCCCTAGTCTGTATTTCACACTATCAACGGTTGCTCACAGTATTCACCCTCCCCAGTCTGTATTTCACACTATCAACGGTTGCTCACAGTATTCACCCTCCCCAGTCTGTATTTCACACTATCAACGGTCGCTCACAGTATTCACACCTACCCATTGATCTTAGCATTTAAACAAATAACTTAACCATTCAATATATAACTATTAGCCATGTAATAAGTTGCTGAAACAGTTGACAAGTAACACAGGCATTAAGATTTTTGCTGACTTAGCCTTACTCGTTTTTTAGTTTGACTAATGAAAGGTAGAATGTCAAAAACATATATTTTAAACAGGCAACTTACGGCTAGCTTCAATAAATTCTTGGTAATGTACTCTTGGGAAAAGAGGTTCTTCTAATTCTCGGAAATAACAGCGTAGAACACCAGCAACTGCGTTGATATCTTTCCAATGATTTAATCCGGCCAAAGGATCACGACCTATATATTTTAAAATATGCAACACAGACTGTGATCGTACCGAATTTAAAATTTTCTTTGTCTGAATTCCTTTATAGAAGACGTCATACCATTTTCAAATGCCTCCTTTAGATCATTGATTTCTGTGCTAGAGCCAGGCACGCGAAATATTCCCTGATGCTCCATGCCTGAAGAACGCAAATGTATTTTTAGTTAGAATATCATCTTCTACGTGATCGAGTTTTTTAAACAGATCTTGTACAGATGGAAAAATTCTTTAGCAAGAAGTCTTTTGTCGTCCTTCATAACTCTCATTTGCCTTCAAAACACAAACTTACCAAATTTCTTAATGAATCGAACACAGCTTTCAACGATTTCGGGAACATCGCGACCCGTTACCTGAGGTTAGATACAGATGGTGTAATAAAGTTTCGCGATACAAGGCATCTCTACCTTACTCCACTACCTGGATGTGATCCTCCAATTTGCTGCCAAACAGCTGATATTTCTTATGCGCGCTTTGTATCATCTTTTGAGTCTTGGCCGTAGGTTTCATCGGTAGCTGAGGTAGCCTATAGAGTCAAAAATACACCGTAAAAATTCATTGGTTGCGAAAGACTGCGGTGAAAACACGGATTCGGCGTATAGGGACTGGTAAGCAGTTGGTTTCTGGTGAATGGTTTGAATCGGGGAGTTTCGTTACACGTTTGTAGATATTGATAGGCCATAAAATAATACATAATCCGAAAAAGGACATCTTGTAAACTTAAATTCAAGTTATTAAACAAAACAATTAAAGTGTAATATTTCGGTTTTATTTCAAAACCATCATCAGACAAAATGGTACATTTACAATTTCATCATACTGATGATGGTTTGAAATAAATCGAATATTACACTCGAATTACTTCCAATTCCAAATCTCTTTTCGAATTGTTTTATTTTATACCATACGAAATTGTCGCCTGGTCAAGGATTGATACTTCATGTTAGTATAGTCCTGAAGACTGTTGGTATCCGCATTTGTTGACTGACATTTCGACATCCTTAACGGCAGTCCATGTTAGAGTCTCATCTTCGGCAAGTCATTTCCTCTTGACTTTAAAGATGACTACCGCTAAGGTTGTTGAAACGTCAGTCAACACTAACACCAACATCTCCTTTACAGGACTGCACTAACTTGGACGATCTACGTCTACAAACATAATTTCTTCAACGAAAAGATAGATAATTTTGTTATTTCTGATGATTAAAATAAAAGTATAAATGTCAGATGCAGAACTTTTAAAATAACCTTAAATGTCCAGTGTTTTCACCTGAATATGAAAATAATGATAAAATTAGATTAGACATGCTTGAAGAGTGTTCATTATTTATAACCGGAAGTTGGTTGCAAAGAGAAACGGCTTAAGTACTGCGATATAATGGACTTATTAATATAATTTTTGCATCGGATTAAGTCGGATCAAAATTTAAGTTACAATTGCTGGGCGAGAAAAATAGTTAATTGAAAGACTGGATGGCTGTTTTTTTCTTTTTTTCAGTTTGCTTCTCCTCTGTACCAACCAAGGTATAAATAATGAGCACTTCATAATAAACAACAAAATGGCTTAGTATAAGGAGTTAAAATAAAAGTATAAATGTCCAGTGTTTTCTGTATAAGAAGAAGTTAAAATAAAAGTATAAATACCCAGTGTTTTCTGTAGTACGGTATACTTCGCTTGTAGTCTTGTTCTAACGGAGCTAGTCATGATCAATTCTTTAAATTTCTAAATAAAAAAACACAGAGAATCGAAAGGGACACTATGACCTACCAACCCCTCGGGTTGTTTCACGTTTATAAGTTCACCCCCGGTGACATACAGATCTGATACTTACAGATAAATAATAATCTTCGGAGTCTTCGCGGTTAATTTTGCTGGCGGATGTTTCAACACCAGCGTTGGCACCTTTCTCGTTGCTAAAACTAGCGCTCAGTTCTTTATCTAATTTGTCGTAAGTATTTCGCAATGTTTCCTTCGCCACTTCAAGATTTTTATTTATCTAAGGAAGACAAAGTTTGTATGTTGGTTGATTTACTCCTACAGAGTTAATTTAATCACCACGTGAAAAAGAGAGGTCAGTTCATATGGAGTAAATTTAATCACAATGTGAAAAGAGAGAGTAACACAGTAGGTCAGTTATAAGGAGAATATTTTTTTAACTCAAGCAGAAAGTTCATACAAAATAGATACAAATGATGAACAACAAAACATGTTTTGCTAGAAAAAAATCATCACAGAAACGAAAAAAGCGACCTTCCCGGCGCCCAGCTTTAAATAACAAATAAACACAGCAAAAACAAAATATGAACAAGAGGGGGAAATAACACATTGACTTTACCTCTTCCGTTTCTGATTTTGCGGTTTTCAATCTTTCTTCGACATCAGCATGAAGTTCATCTAAAGTGTCGTCTTGAATAGTGATCTGACATACCTAAAGTATAAACAGAAAAACTCTCTCACAAACCCACTTACGAATAACCAATAAGACATTCGTGTCTTCAAAAGATTGGTTTTCTGAAAACACATTTTGTTGCTATATAGTTTTCATTACGGCAAACTTTTCCGAAGAGTTGAAAAAGCTGCACGAATTAGCAAAGAGTGCCACCAAGATTTTCGGTCAGATAGAACTTGTTCTAGAACATGGATTATAGCTACATGTCTAGATTTTGAACTTCGATAAATAAACAAAAAAAAAACTACAGTTACAGGTGACAGTTAATACTACCTTAGTGAGAGGAAACAGTCGATAACACTGATGTTATATCCTTTGAAAACTGCACAGCGCAATCAAACCGAGAAAGTTTTTCTCTGACGAAGATTTGCATAACCACAGAATACTAAGGTCATATCATCAAACACAGAAGATCAACTCCAACGATTTTTGAACGACAGTGTGTGTCAAAAAAGTGCATCGAACTTTTTCTGGGAATCGTGTATTTCACGTTTGTTCGTGTAGCTTTATTTGAACATACGTGCCTAGAAAGATGAGCTCTTTACCTTTCTAATTGATGTGTTTATTAATTCACAACAAGAAGAAATGATCGAGTAATCTTAAGCTAAAAATTTCAAGTCGAAAGTGCATTTTTGTGGGAATTTAATACAATTATTTAAGATTCTCTACAGTGTATGCATACACTACAATTAACAGTACTCGATTCGCAACGGTGAACAAATGGAATTTCAACTTGAAATTTATATTTATGAAGTTTCTGTTGTGAAATCAAAAAAATATCAATGGCAACCTAAGGAGTTCCTTTCTTTAGCTATATGAGAAACGTAAAACAGAACACCAAATTCACGATGGCATATTAAAGTTCGATACACATTCTTTTGATACACACTGTATATTTCATTGTTTGCCACTCATTCACTCTCAGGAAACAAAGATAATTTTATGCTGGACATGTACATTAAAAAATGGCGAACAGAAAGCACGGCGTACACTGCATACGCAAAAATTACAGGAGATGATCTTTTGTAAGTGTTAGTATTCTGTGGCATTCTACGGAACAAAGACAAGTAGAGCGGCGGACTAGTATCCCGAAGGTGCGAGATCAAAACTCGTCCAAGTCACATGTTTCTCATGTGCATATAAAAACCGTGTTTGGATTAATATTACTGTATGTATGTCTCACTTGAGGAATGTAGAAAATTTTTATAGTTTATATAGACAACGATAGTCAATCTGCGTTATACATAATTTAAATAAGACATTTAACCAGAAGCGCGTGCAGGAAGGACTGTTTGGCTAAGATTGTGGGTTAAAAAATTGAAAGACCGTTGTAGAGGTACTTCACCAACTATAACACCAAGTATAGCATTACTGGGTAGGAGTAGATTCCTTTTTTTGGTAGCTTTGACGAGAGGGTGTGCAAGCTTCCCCACAAAATATCTATTTGAACAGACAGTAATCAATGTCTGGCGACAAAAATTCGACATAACGACACCAACACCCAAATATAAAATCCCATGCCACGAGCCAAATGAAGTTTGATCCATTCCTGGATAAATCATCAACACTTATACTAAATTTTAACAAACATTAGCCAACGTTATAGACCGTACTACGAAGCGACTATAAAATATTGAAGTAAATTCCCCCCCTGCTTACGTCACATCTGTGTAAGCTTGTGCTAGTTATCTTGCCGCTGATATCAAACAATGCAAAACATTGAAGACCGTGTGTACTCAATAATGTATAAATAATACAAGCCCGATCACTTTTTCGGTTAGACAAAAAGGCGTAAAACTTTTCAGTTTCACTTTATTCAGAATCACACTCCTTGTGTTCGCCAGTTTGAAATTACAAAGTGAATTGAATTTTGTAAATGCAATTAATTTATTCAAAAGTTCACACACATTTGATGTAAGCGGCGGGGCACGCGCTTTTCATCAATGATGAATAGACCCTACTGCGCATGGTCTATAGCATAGGCGAGATAAATTTGCAATTACCTCATCCTCTGAATGGTTAATGAATTCAAACTTTGCTGCGTATTGAAATGCGTTTGGATTATCCAACGCGATCCTTGTTCTCTCCTTCCCAGTATCCATCGCTTTCACGTTATCCTTCAAAGTCACCAAATCCTTCTGCAAGAGTTTCGCGGTTTGGATCTCCATGGAGGTGTAATAGTCCATGGCCCGTTGGAACGCTTGTTGATAGTTGTGATCATAGCACTAAAAATGAACAATTTTGTACAGGTGATTATTAAGCAAAGGGACAATTTAGTGATATGAAATAATAATAATAATAATAATAATAAGACATTTGCACGAATGCACATATGTCTGAGTTCAGGTAATAAGGAGTTTTAGACTTGAGACGTCGGATTGCAAGATTTAATTCCGTCAAACGCAATTTGCAGCTCAAATATTTTTTCTTACAATGTATTCGTGGCAGCAATCGGGCAAAAAGGTAATTTTCATTTGCCGTACACTACAACTGGTGAAGAAGAGAGCAGTATAAATATAGAAATGCGGTTTGTTTACCTCCAAAACATCATAAATATCTTGATCAAAGTATTTCTTCACAAAAGCGTTTGTTGCTTCAAGACAGAGAATGTACTCGTTTCGGGCACGCATGGCTTTCTTTTTGGCTTCTGTGTAACGTGTATGATACTACATAGAAAAAATCGATAGCGTCGTTAATTTAACAAAGTGAACGGTTTGAGCCCGGGAGTATCGTTACATGTTTATAGATGTAGATGGTCCAAGTTAGTAGAGTCCTCAGAAGGACTATAGGTGTTGATGTTGACTGATGTTTCAACTTCAGAGGCAAGCGGCTATCTGCTAAGGTTGTCAAAATATCAATGAACACCAACACGAAGTAAACACTATTGTAACTTGTTGTCATTTTCATATTTCACAGTTTCATCAGAAGAAAGACAGACCTTTTCTCTCTGTTTGTCTGCATTTTTAGCTCTTTTCACGCTTGCTTTCTTTCTCGGGGCCTGTAGCTTCTTTTGAGCTACTTCGGCCGCTTTTAACTTGGTTTCAGCTTGCTTACTGTCGGTCTGCATCACGTGATACCGGCGTTGTTTCTGCGTGAGAAAAATGTGGAAAAAAGTGAAACTTGTAAAAAATAACAACACGATGTACGTAGTTCACTATCGTGGTCTGACACGTCGCTATTGTTCATTAAACAACTGTGGTCAACGAATGATAGTTTACGATTTATTTTGACCACGATACTAAAGTACAATGGTCCGCCATGATAGTAAACTACAATGGTCTACCAAGATATCTATAACTATGGTAAAAGCTACGGTCTGCTACTATGATGTACTAAGATATCTAATATTATGGTAAGAAACGACGATGGTCTACTACCATAGGTCTGCCATGATACAACTACTATGGTAAGAAACTACGATGGTCTACTACCATGGTCTACCACGATATCTACTGTTATGGTAAGAAACGACGATGGTCTACTACCATGGTCTACCAAGGCATATACTACTATGGTAAGAAACTACAATGGTCTACTACCATGGTCAACCAAAATATCTATTGCTATGGTAAGAACTACGATGGTCTACTATGATGGTCTACTATGATAGCAAACTACAATGGTCTACTACCATGATTATAAGTAAACATTTAATCATTTTTAAACATTTTTTTAGAATTTTGTAGGGAAATTGATACTCCTCCTGCATCCCTTGAGACAAGGTTGGGTGCACATCACTCCTTGAGAAAATATATTTGAAGATTTACACAAAATGATAACATTTATCCATTAACTTCGATACTTACATTACTTAGTTCATTTAGTTGCTTTGTGAACTCTTCCTGTAGCGTGAGAGAAGTTTCTCGGCACTGGCAAATGTTATAATTACAAATGTCAACACATGGACAGAAAAGTGATGGGAAAAAAACAAAATGGCTGCTTAGAAATGAGCATTATTTTGCACTGCTTGTTTGAAAAAATTTTGTTATAATATTTGTCTGTACCGTAAATAACCAAATAAAACCTCCCAATCAAATAAACACCTCGTATCAATCAAATGCTCCCCTGTCCCTTGGAGCATGAGTTTTTGCAAGATGCCCTTCTTTAATAAACCCTCCTCACCTATTACAGTAATAACTATATCATTACAATAAGGTTGTTGATTGCACATAGAAATCATATGAGATGGGGCAGATCAAGTTTTGCTGGGCCCATGGCTGGCGGTCTAAAACCTACCCAACCCCCAACTGATATGCTTTATAAACAAAAACTCTAAAAAATACATAAAAATACAATATCTTCCATTTTGGGATTTTTGTACTGCTCTGGCAAAAAAAGGCAATATTTTCTTTGGGTCCCCTGGCTGGTAATGCCCCCTTGCATATAAGGTGATGAAAATGATATAAATGCCTCTACCTAGTAAATTCTTCTTATCTCCTTAACACCCACCCTAGAGCCAGTAGAATTTACTAAACACCCTAACTACATCATGTATGTACATATGTATATATCCACATAGTAATTCAAAAAACAAGTAGTTAATTGAGTATTCACCAAAGTAAATACTTATATTCTCAAGTTAAAATGCAAAATAGCATCAGAACAAAGTTATTGGTTTTGAGTCTCTTAAGAATAAAATTGAAAAATTTAGTCACCTTGAAGATATTTGGAAAGAGAGACCATTGTCAGATGATGTCTTGAGAGTCAAGACGAAACATTACACTTTTAAATAAATATTTCTTTCTATGCATTAAATGGCTCTTTTAAAAGCACTTTGCTGGGCTTTGATATTTATATTTAAACTTCACTATATCCCTGGTCACAATATTTGGAAATGTTAATATAACTAAAAGGAACTACAGCAATATATTTTGGCAAACCCTAGATCTGCCCACTCTTGCAATTTTATCATTTTACATTGATTCTTTGCAACCTCTTTCAAAAAGTTATAAAGCTTTCGAAAGTATAAACAGCTTCAGTGTGCATGTTTGGAGCGAGAAAATGATTTTAGTTTTATTAAAAGCCATTTCTGTAAATACACAGACATTACCATGCATAAATTTTATAGGATTTAGCTTATATTGACCAACATACCTAATTAACCATTATATCTGTTTCTTTATTTATATATTTAAAGTGCAACACAGCTGTATTATCTTTTTATAACTCATCAAGGCTGTAGACAGATAGTGAAAAGCTTGTTTTTATTAAAATTAAAATATCAGTGAACATTTGACTGCATTACTTTGATTCTTAATTCTAAATACTTCATTTGCTAATCAAGAATTACTAATTATTTTATTCATGATGATTACTTTAATTCTTCATTTATGAATGACTAATTATTTGTTACTTAATTCATGAATGACTAATTATTTTACTTGGATTCATAAATCACTAATTACTTGATTTTATGACTAATTATTATTTAAAACCTTCAACCCTATAGACCAAGTACATAACAAATAGCAGAAATGTAGGCTGCTCACAAGTTTAAGTCTTATGTCAACTTTAAGATCATTTTTCATTATTTTAGAAATGTATTGTTTTCAAAACAAGTATAGAAAATTTACATAGCAGAACCAAAGTCGTACTGAGTTTCAAAAACATGCTTCATGTGCTCCCAACAAAATAAAAAGTGAAAAAATAGCAGCAAATTAATGTTGCTGTGCTGAGCAATAGATAAATGCCGTTTTGTTACCCTCTTATTAACTCTTTGAACATCGTCGATGAGATTTGCAAATCGATTCACCATATTCTCTGTCACTCTTGTCGCAATAAATAATCTGTTTTTTGTTCGTTGCTTGAAGTCTTGTATCATCCTTCCAAAAATGTCCACTGTGTTCATTTTCTCCTTTCTGCAACAAAGGTGAAATGAATTTTTACCACTCACATATGCAAGTACAATATAATATCTACTTGTGGTTTCAAAAAACTCATTGAATAAAATAGGCTCAGTAATAAACATCTCTTACTTTGCCAACTTTTGCTTCACACGGTCATAAAATCTTTCAGAAGTCTTTTCCAAGTTTCTTGCATACTCCAACTCAACTTCGCCAAGACGTTTGTAAAAATCCTGGTAGTCAGTCAATATTGATAATTTGCTCTCGGTTCTTGCATCAAAAAACTTCAGTTGGTCCCCAAGTTGCTTGTTCAATTCTGTAAAAATAACCCCCGACAAGATGGATAGTAATTTTTAACAAAAGTGAACTAGTGAAACCTAGGCCTGCTTTTAAAAGGCATGGCAAAATTCACCAATATATTAAGGACCTTCAACAAAAATCATAGCATAATATATACAAAATGCAACAAATAACACGAAGCATATGTCAAGCTTTGATCATTAAGGAAGGCTAAATCGTTCGTTGAATAGCAATTAGTCATTATAAAAAATATAAAACCACAGAGCAATTTATTATCTTAAGCCAATAATCCATAAAAACAACAATCAGAACGGCAAGTTGACGGTGGGAAAAACGAAGGAAATCGAATAGCATTTTTTAATACATCAAATTAATATCAAAAGATGCTACGTACAGTTCAAATATTAAAGTTCCGACACAACCGAAATCGATATGTATACAAAAGCACATTGCCGTTAATTCGCAATTATAATATTGCTATTGTTTAATACTTTGAGGGCATTAATAAAATTTGATCTCGAGAATTTGAGTCCTGTTTGAAAAATAGCAAAACAGTTCAGTAGAAAAGGTGAATTTGAAGTATCATGTTGATTTACACTTGTCGCCAAAGGCAAGCTAAGTTTTCGATTTATAAGACAGCCGATAACAAGTTGTCTAGACGGCTTGACCGTAATGTTTAAATAATGGTGAAAACGTGCAGATACAAGCACGTTTCAATAATTAACAACGTTGGAAATGTGTAGAAAATCTGGCAATCGAGAACAGCCCTCTAGCACGAAGCCACGAATATAAACAACACAGACTGATATCGAGAAGAAACAGCAAGCAATCCTTCTTCGGTGTTTACCTTTGAGGAACATCGGTATTCATAATATAGAAAACATGAAGGCATTGCAACTTATGAATTACTAGCATACATGCATAACAATTAAGCAGTTTATGAGCTTCGCATTGAAATTTTTTTGTTGTCAAATATAAATGTATTCTGACATTACCCGGAAATCTATTTAAGAATTTGTGTAGCTATTGTCTTTCTAGAATAACAAATAATCCATTTTACGAATAAGTTAGATACATCGAGTCGTGCTGACTTTTTAACGTACAAGTCCACGAGAAATTGTTACCTCTATGTTGATTATCGAAGTCTTGCACGGCTTTGTCTTTTGTCCTTGCTGCCATTTTATAAAGTTCGGAAGTAATAAAATTTCACTATTGTGACTTCAGTTTTATCCTTACAATACGTGGAACATGTTTCATCCAGTTGTAGCAAGAGAGCTTGGACCCTTAAATCTTTGCTTACCATGAGATAATTGAAGATGAAGTTAAAGAAAAACGGCTAAATTTGACTCAACAATAAATCCCAATTTCCATGTTGTTCACCGGAAACAAACGTAACATCTTATTATCGAATTTAATGCGCATGCGTCGTACACGACCACGTACATAACGGTGCGCAATGGCTTCATTTCTGAAGATGACATGGCATGTTTGATAGAAAAATAAAATTAGAAAAGTGATGTAAATAATTGAGCAAAAATTGTCTATGTTTTATTCTTGACGAGGCTTACACCACAACGTTGACAAAAATATGAGCGCTCACTATTGCGGTGATGGTTTTTCCTAGCAACCCTTAACGATGCTTCTCGAGATTAGACATGATGACTTCGGTTACAATTAAATCAAATTGCTTTCTAATTACTGGGCGCAGCACTTAGCAAGAATTAACGAGCATACGTGATCTGTCTTTTAATAATTCACTAGAGCAACTATAGTTCTAAATAATTCATTTGTTATATTTGCTCTTTCTTGACGACGAGAACATAATCCCGAGTTTCATTAAATTGAACAAAAATAAAACTATGGCATAAATAGGATTTCCCTACAGCACACAAACACATATTTCGGTACAACATGATTGGCTTAGCATATTCTGGTCATTGTAGCATATCCAATATTTGGACCATTTCTCCCATGTGATGTAAAGCCTAACGAATATAAAAACTATAGGTTAAGAATGTTCGTTTTTTGACGTTCCATTTTTCATACTTTCCCTAATTCTTTCCACCACATTGCGTGATAAAATCCACTATGCTTTCTATGTTTCAATAAAGTGTTCAGAAATTTATAAGCAATACAAAAGCTGGCTTTACTACAGTAAGTATGATATTTAATCTCTGTGAAAAGCTTACGTTATTTACCTTTTCTCATGAACCTCAAACTTTTCAACAAATACCTGTGACAACTACTTTATCCTCTGAATATATAGGTAATTATAGGTACATATAAGTCATAGATATAATAAAACTAGATCGCTGACGAGTGTGACGTATTTTAAGACTTATTAAGACGGCAGCGTGACATTCATGATAAATCCAAGATGGCGCGGGAATCGGGCAAAAAACTTCGGGCTACTATTAGGCAATTGATGTTTTTCGCAGTTGACTTTGTTTTAATGTTTTCAGACTCCTCCAATCAAGTTCTATTGGAAACAAAGCGTTATAAATAATGTTTTGAAGTCACATTGGACAATTATTATTAAAATACGGGCGAAAAATATCGCTTGCGAAGTGTTGCGTAAATTGGTCGTTTGTTTGTCTCGAGGCGTTTGTCCACCAAAATAAACGAAGAAGTAAATTGAAAAAACATCAATTGCCCTATAGTAACTCTATGTCCGGTTCCCACGCCATCTTGGATTTATCATGGATGTCACGCAATATGGCGGATCATCAGCAATCTAGACCTACTATATCTATGGTATAAATATAAACAAATGAGCACAGATACATATATCGGTACTTAAGTTCGAAATTATTCATCGGTTTTATTTGGTCTTTATTGAGAACACAACTCCAAATCGCCAGGAAACGATTTTCACTGCATCGAAAAATAACTGACATAAAAACTATTGCGCAAATAGAATTTCCTTAGAGCCCACAACCACGTTATTTATTTGAGTTTGCATTAAATATATTTCGGTACAACACCATTGGTTTGGGGTGTTGCTAAAGAATTTAAGAACTTAGCATATTCCGGTCCTCGTAACATCAAAGTATCGCGTCCGATCTTTGGACCGTTTCTCTCCTATAAAGCAAAGGAATATAAAAACTATGTAACTACGAAGACTAAGTAACAATAAACTATGAAAAATTACATCGTCGGAGGAACAGAATCAATAATATTCGTTCGCTTACCTTCCACATTCCACACTTTTCCCAATTCTTACCGCCACATTGTCTGAAAAAAACAACAACAACACAATTTCATTATCTATTATGTGACTGAAAAAGTCATTGAACTGAACATATAACTGGAAGACTACATCTTGCCAAAAAAGTCCCAATCGTGCAAAATATAATGGTTTGACAAGGCAATGATAAAATGAATTTAGTGGCTCTTCCTTCAACTCGTTGAATCATCAAGATGTTTTTCACTGTTTGTAAAGCCCATATTTGACTACCATAATCAAACACACTTCAGAAAAAAGTGTGGTAAAGAGCTTTATGTTTCAATAGATTTGACTGAGCGTAGCCAATGTCCTAGAACAAGTCTCTTTTCTTCAACTATTAAAGATGGCGTCTTCGCCTCACCTTGACAACGGTGTTACATATCTAGAGGACTGGATTATACATCATTGATATTAGCAAAAATTTTTACCTGCAATCTCGAGTGGGATACCGCTGACCATATGTAACAGTACGCTGCTTACAGTCTTTGCATGCGAAAAACTTCTTGAAAACTTGCACAGAAGTAAGGACGTGCTTTTCTTCATTACATTTTGAAGCTGGCTTCTCCGCCATGTATTTACACTAAATCACGAGAAAACATATCATGAAAGAAGAACAACACTATAACATCAAAGACCAAAGCATGTTTATCATGAAAGAAGAGCAGCATTACAACACCCAAGACTAAAGCAAATTCATCATGAATGAAGAACAACACTACAACACCCAAGACTAAAGCAAATTCATCATGAATGAAGAACAACACTACAACATCCAAGACTAAAGCAAATTCATCATGAATGAAGAACAACACTACAACATCCAAGACTAAAGCAAATTCATCATGAATGAAGAACAACACTACAACATCCAAGACTAAAGCAAATTCATCATGAATGAAAACAACACTACAACATCCAAGACTAAAGCAAATTCATCATGAATGAAGAACAACACTACAACATCCAAGACTAAAGCATGTTCATCATGAATGAAGAACAACACTACAACATCCAAGACTAAAGCATGTTCATCATTAATGAAGAACAACACTACAACATCCAAGACTAAAGCAAATTCATCATGAATGAAGAACAACACTACAACATCCAAGACTAAAGCATGTTCATCATGAATGAAGAACAACACTACAACATCCAAGACTAAAGCATGTTCATCATTAATGAAAACAACACTACAACATCCAAGACTAAAGCATGTTCATCATTAATGAAAAACAACACTACAACATCCAAGACTAAAGCATGTTCATCATGAATGAAAAACAACACTACAACATCCAAGACTAAAGCATGTTCATCATTAATGAAAAACAGCACTACAACATCCAAGACTAAAGCATGTTCATCATGAATGAAAAACAACACTACAACATCCAAGACTAAAGCATGTTCATCATTAATGAAAAACAGCACTACAACATCCAAGACTAAAGCATGTTCATCATGAATGAAGAACAACACTACAACATCCAAGACTAAAGCAAATTCATCATGAATGAAGAACAACACTACAACATCCAAGACTAAAGCATGTTCATCATTAATGAAAAACAACACTACAACATCCAAGACTAAAGCATGTTCATCATGAATGAAAAACAACACTACAACATCCAAGACTAAAGCATGTTCATCATTAATGAAAAACAGCACTACAACATCCAAGACTAAAGCATGTTCATCATGAATGAAGAACAACACTACAACATCCAAGACTAAAGCAAATTCATCATGAATGAAGAACAACACTACAACATCCAAGACTAAAGCAAATTCATCATGAATGAAGAACAACACTACAACATCCAAGACTAAAGCATGTTCATCATGAATGAAGAACAACACTCCAACATTCAAGACTAAAGCAAATTCATCATGAATGAAGAACAACACTACAACATCCAAGACTAAAGCATGTTCATCATTAATGAAAAACAACACTACAACATCCAAGACTAAAGCAAATTCATCATGAATGAAAAACAACACTACAACATCCAAGACTAAAACATGTTCATCATTACTGGAAAACAACACTACAACATTCAAAACTAAAGCATTTTCATCATGAATGAAGAACAACACTACAACATCCAAGACTAAAGCAAATTCATCATGAATGAAAAACAACACTACAACATCCAAGACTAAAACATGTTCATCATTACTGGTAAAAAAAACTATACAACATTCAAGACTAAAGCATTTTCATCATTAATGAAAAACAACACTACAACATCCAAGACTAAAGCATGTTCATCATTAATGAAAAACAACACTACAACATCCAAGACTAAAGCATGTTCATCATTACTGGAAAACAACACTACAACATCCAAGACTAAAGCATGTTCATCATTAATGAAAAACAACACTACAACATTCAAGTCCAAAGCATTTTCATCATGAATGAAAAACAACACTACAACATCCAAGACTAAAGCATGTTCATCATTAATGAAAAACAGCACTACAACATCCAAGACTAAAGCATGTTCATCATGAATGAAGAACAACACTACAACATCCAAGACTAAAGCAAATTCATCATGAATGAAGAACAACACTACAACATCCAAGACTAAAGCATGTTCATCATTAATGAAAAACAACACTACAACATCCAAGACTAAAGCATGTTCATCATGAATGAAAACAACACTACAACATCCAAGACTAAAGCATGTTCATCATTAATGAAAAACAGCACTACAACATCCAAGACTAAAGCATGTTCATCATGAATGAAGAACAACACTACAACATCCAAGACTAAAGCAAATTCATCATGAATGAAGAACAACACTACAACATCCAAGACTAAAGCAAATTCATCATGAATGAAGAACAACACTACAACATCCAAGACTAAAGCATGTTCATCATGAATGAAGAACAACACTCCAACATTCAAGACTAAAGCAAATTCATCATGAATGAAGAACAACACTACAACATCCAAGACTAAAGCATGTTCATCATTAATGAAAAACAACACTACAACATCCAAGACTAAAGCAAATTCATCATGAATGAAAAACAACACTACAACATCCAAGACTAAAACATGTTCATCATTACTGGAAAACAACACTACAACATTCAAAACTAAAGCATTTTCATCATGAATGAAGAACAACACTACAACATCCAAGACTAAAGCAAATTCATCATGAATGAAAAACAACACTACAACATCCAAGACTAAAACATGTTCATCATTACTGGTAAAAAAAACTATACAACATTCAAGACTAAAGCATTTTCATCATTAATGAAAAACAACACTACAACATCCAAGACTAAAGCATGTTCATCATTAATGAAAAACAACACTACAACATCCAAGACTAAAGCATGTTCATCATTACTGGAAAACAACACTACAACATCCAAGACTAAAGCATGTTCATCATTAATGAAAAACAACACTACAACATTCAAGTCCAAAGCATTTTCATCATGAATGAAAAACAACACTACAACATTCAAGACTAAAGCATTTTCATCATTAATGAAAAACAATACTACAACATTCAATACTAAAGCATTTTCATCATTAATGAAAAACAACACTACAACATTCAAGACTAAAGGAAATTCATCATTAAAGAAGAACAACACTACAACATCCAAGACTAAAGCATTTTCATCATTAATGAAAAACAACGATACAACATCCAAGACAAGTTTGTCCTTTTATCATGGCAATAATTACTAGTATAATGTGCTATAAGATGTTAATATTTCTATTTCAGTAAATGGTTTGAACCCGGGAGTATCGTTACATGTTTGTAAATGTAGATCGTCCAGGTTGGTATAGTCCTGAGAAGGATTGTTTTTGTTGTTGTTGACTGACGTTTCGACAACCTTAGCGGTAGTCATCTTCAGAGTCAAATGAGGAGTAAACGTCAGGTTAGCCGTATTTGTTATCTGGTTCTTACATAATCTGGTACTGACCCTTCAACGAGTGTAATATGTTTTACATGTATAGAAAAGTATTTGTGGCAAATCAATCACGTTGCATGCTCCTATGCCAGAACTTTGACCCCCCTGAAAAGGCAACAATTTCATATAAATAAGGCTGGTTGGCCTCCTCTCAAGTCTCAAGGCACTTCCTAACAACATGGCGGCATGTCAGATACTCAGATAATCTTTTTTTTATAACATTCGTCAGCTTTGACATGGCGGGAAAAATGCCTTGAACATTACAATGCGTTCACGGCATCGAGATTACCTGAGCACAATGAACAGCTTTCACTTTGATTTCTTGGGTGAGGAGCATTTTCGTTTCCATTTCTTCTTTCCTTTCACGATGGTTGAAATAATCCTGTTCACGTCGAACGTCAGCCTAAATACGCAATACAAAGGTAATAATCAAGTAGAAAAGGTGAAATGATTACAACGGAGAGATTTCTAACCCAGACCTCCAAAGTTTTAGCATGTAGAAATAAAACATGAAATATGAAATTTATACACTAACCAACGTGAGCTAGCTACCTTTTCTATATCGGAGGTCAAGGATTCGGGATAACGTAAAAAAAATTCTTTGCCAAGTGTGACTAGATGTACATGCTCGTGGATATGTATGTGTGGGTCTTGTAATCTATCCGATGAAATATCATAGTCATAGTAGTGAAGACTGTGGCACGTTTCCTGTCATTTGTCAATACATATACATGCCTTTTGTCAATGGCATCTTATCGGCGAAGTTAGATAAATAAATGCAATCTTAATTCGAAAAAGTCTGACAAATGATTTAATGACTCGAGAGTTATTGTGCTAAACATCATCAAGTAGTAAAAACATGTCAATTGTAAAATAACTTACAAGTCTCACTTCGCCAGCATGTTTCGATTTGGCATTCAGAATTCTTCTTCCTTCGTTTGAATTTAAGCTGAAACCATCAGCCAAAGAAAATTTTCCTCCACATTTGGGAACTTGGGAGAAAATTGAAAAATAAAACAGTTAATTAACTCGTACGAGTGGTGATTTATGCGACACACTATCTAAACATTCAAAGAATCATTAAGGATTCTCAATATCAAAATTCTTGGAACGATCTATTTTCATTATCTGATAGAGCCGCATGGAAATCTCATTACACGAAAGGATTAAGTAATTATAATATAGACCCGGTATATAACCACAAATAATCTTGCCCTTCATTCAATAAAACTTCCAAGAAACTGCATTAACAAGTATTTCTAATTCTTAGAGTTGCGATTACTGGAATGGTCACTCTACGTATAAAAGCGCGGACGACGATCTTCAAAGAAAAGGAGGTTTCGTATCAAAGATGGTGGGTTTTAACAGGAGGAGTTTAATTTTTTTGTTAAAAAGGAACAGTCACGAAAGGCGAGCGGATGAAGGAATTAGACTCGATAAAAAAATGATGTTTAAGCGCCCCCCTGCAAATTCAGCGGTAGATTCAAACATTATTGGAAGATAAGCGGTAGTATTCGATGTTTTTATGAAAACAACGAGTGAGTAAGGATATACGTATTTGGTTCAAATGAAGCTTGGACGACCTGGTCTTTGTATTTTGTGCTTTGACCAATCAGGATGTAAGCAAGAGGACTTTAAAGGTATGGAGCAACTTTTGGTCTTTCAGTACAATAGAGAAGAGCCTTACGTATCTAGTACTTTACGTAAAGATACTTCAAATTCGGTTAATTTTTCGATGAAAGGAGCATAAAATCTCCCTAGGATGCACAACACTCTCAGCACAAAGAGATGGCACCACAGAAAAATAATCAAAATTTTTAAAATTATGAACATACGGGATAAAATTAAGATTTTCCAGATATGAAAGATCAGATGATTCGTCAAATACCCAACAAACATTTACGAGCGAGGATAAAGTCCAAAAACTCTTTAATTTAAAGCTTGTTATACAAAACGAACAATGCACAAAAGACCCCCTATACTTAGTCTCTACAAAATAGCCATTATACAAAGATATATAAATATATGTTACAACTCTTGCTTACAAATATACCTATGTTCTGTGTTATACCCAATGTTTTACAAAATGTTTACAACATCTTATGACATACATGTATCATGAACAAATCTAGAAAGATTCCCTAATGTTATGAAAGAAATGCTATGAATAATATTTCTACGATAAACTGAAACCTTTCTGAAACTATTGTCACCTTAGCATTTCTATTATCATGTTGACAAATTGAGAAAGGCAAATGATGTACTCCAAATTGAGGCCCCATTTCAACAACAAATCCTGTTCGCCTTTAAACGGCGGCACATGAAGTCGAACGTGTTTATCTTTCAGAAACACTTTGATAAGAGCTTCCATTCTTATGCGAAACTCTTTCTGGGCGTCATCAAACTTGATTTTGGGCACGGTGAAGTGAAATTGAACGAGCTGAACGTATATATCGGCAAGAAGACAGAGCAGAGCAAATTTCACGTAGAAAAGACGTTTCTTTTCGAGCGGCGAAGTGGCCTTCTCTCTCATAACACTAGTGCCCAAAAACAGAGCGTATGTGCCATTAAATGAAACGGTGAGAAATTGTCGCACATCTTTCGTGATAACGTGGGCCTTACCAAAATTTCGAAAATGGAAAGATTCTCCGAGATTAAGAGACAGTAAAGATGTCCTGACGTTGTGATATTTAAGATCGTTGGTGTATAGTTGACGCAGCTTATATGAGTAAGTCAGTGCATACGAAGCATCACAGTACAAGTACTTGAGAAACATCACAGACAGAGTAGCGTTCAAGGCCATTTTCCAATAGATTGATGCAACTCTTTCTTGTCTTGTTTGCTTTTTATAAACCTAACTCTCTCATTACTACCGTGGTTGCCTGTACGGGCTTGTTTAGAAAAATATTATTGAAAATGTTTCATATAACGTGACGATATTAGTGATGTGATGTATGTCCGCGTCGGAGGGGAGTGGAATCGAGTTGCTATATTAACATAAGATCGAGTGGATAACTGCATCATAGGGGAGACTAACAAGTGGAATGAAAGACAATATCCACCCTTTATCTTCTTGATGGTCTATATAATCACGAAATTCATCGTGAATCTCTCATATCACCTATTTGTACATGTAGATGGTCTAGGTTGATACAGTACTGAATACTAATGGTGTTGGTGTTACCTGACGCGTTTTGACGACCTTAGCGGTAGTCTATCGCAAGCCTGAACACCAACAGTTTCTTCTCGAGACGACATTAACCTGACGATCAACATCCACAAACATGGTACAATGCTCCAGGATTCAAACTTACAAATCTCGTATATTCTCGTACATATTGGTTTCCATGACTTTCATCATAGAAAATTATGGTAAATATAGGTACATTCGGGTAAATATATGTTCATATTAGTAAATATAGGTACATATAGCTGTAGGTATATAGAAGTGAGTAGGTACGTATGGGTACACATGTGTATGAATAGCTATACAATAGCTCGTCTTTGCATTGGAAATATATAATAATTTTCCATTTCGTTGGAATAAACATTGCGGTAAAACCACTTAACGTGGATTTCAAAGACGATTGCCATGTTCTCAAAGCAAAAAGAAAAGGTTTCAACTTTTGTTGTTGGTTTGTTAACACTTTTGAGTTTGTACACTCACCGCATGTGTCGCCAAAGACTTTGAAAGACCACCCTCATTCAAATGGTCTGATTGAGATTCTAGGCCTTTAGTTGTCACAAGAGTGTTTTTATGAGGCACATTTGGATTGTAAACAGTATATGGGTACATGATAAGTGTATACGTGAGGCACATTAGGATTGTAAACAGTATGTGTGCACATGATAAGTATATTCGTGAGGCACAATTGGGCACAATAGGATTGTAAACAGTATGTGCGTGTTCTCACAAGAGTGTATTCGTGCGACAAAATAAGACAATAAAGAGTATGTATGTACATGATAAGTTGTCCCAAGAGTGTGTTCATAAGGCACAATAGGATAGTAAGCAGTCATTGTGTACATGTTAAGCACATCTTCGAGCAGAAATAAGTTAGAAGAAAGAAATTGTTTTATCTCTTAAAGGTTAAAGGTGGACATTTACAAATAAATATTACGAGTATTTATCTATGCATATTATACCTACGGATGAAACGTTAGAACTATAAACAAATTTTCCAGTCACAGCCATACATGGTAAAAAATCTTCAAAGACTGCAATGGCAAATAGTCCACGATGTTTTCTATAGCAAAATATACTAAATATATAACTGAACTCTAAGAACTCCATTTAATTATTGCATGCTAAACAGCGATACAAAGGCGACATGAAACTATGTCCTCATTTGATCAAGAGACCGAAATTCCGTCTGCATGCGTACGTCAGTAACGCATTTCAAGAACTTTCGTTTCTAACTTACACATAACTTCATTCAAGCGAGACAAAGTGAAGTCGACCTCGCTGACAATTTCATAATTAATAATTAACTGCTTTTGATATGATGACAACTCAAGCTCAGACAACTCGCCCGAGTCCCTGCTCCCATCGCATTTGAGATACTCATCCATGAGATGAGGAAGACTGGCGACAAAACGCTTCACAGAATCTTGTGTTGTTTGCAATTCTGGTACAGGCCATTGATTTAATTCAATAGCTCTCTTCACCACCATAAAGACGTTTTGCAACTGTGCGCGGCCATTGTGTAGTAAAGCCTTGGTGTCTCTGTTTACAGTGTGTTGATCGACATAGGCAAGGAATCGCAGCGCCTTGTAATAAGCGAGCAGGCTTTTCCGGAACACCTTTTCGACTAAAACATCTAATGTGCCGGTGTTTCCGTCGAAAAGGGAGCGACACATTTCGTTTTCTTTCGTCATACAGCCAAGGTTGAGATCGCCAAATGATATTCGGTCGATTTGCAATGACAACAGCTCCTCTTCGATGTTTTCTTTTATTTGAAAGTTTTTCAAAGATTGAAGAACGTACAATATTTCGTCGAGTTTATACCCGTCTGCTTTTCCCAAATCATCGATATCGTCGATTATCGTAACTTCAATCCAACTTTCACGCATTTCGGTGACCTTTTCAAATGTTTTGCAACGATTCACAACGCTTTTCGTAAGAGGATAGCATTCTTTTAATGTAGCAACAGCGGTGAAGTCAAGTTCTGCACCATCAATGCCATCATCATATTCAACTGAAGTCCGCGAGCCAAGAGTATTTACTTCAATAGTTGATGCTTGTCCTTCCCTTACGTCATCTAATCTGCTTTTGGAAATATAATCATCTTCGATGGACATTTCAGTAAAGGTTCCAGCCTCACATTTACCTCTGTTATAGTTCGTTGCATCAGGACAAAGTGTTGCCATACATACTGTTTCGCCAGTCACGACATCTTTCATTGGTTTAGAGTTGCTCTGAACTGTGTCGTCACGATAAGGTTGAAGGCTGTGAGGTAAATCATTGCTATCCATCATTTTTCCAGTTTTACTCGACTGTGCGAGGTCTGACATGAATCTATCATCAAAACACACGTCTATGGTGTACAGTTCATAAATCAAATCTTATCATCCAGAACAAGCAATTTTATAATATTGTTATAACGAAAGCAAAAACGTAGCGAAATCTTTCACTTTCAAAATCCGATCACAGACGCAATATAAGGGGGGAGACCTATTGCAGCCTGTTGACTACGTATCCAACGCGTGAACCACGCGTGAAGAACACTTGAACACATTGGCGTCAACCATCAAATCAAACACGTTATAAAAATTTAAAACATTTTTAATTCCTTTCATAACTACAAAAGAGCACTTCCACTATTCACAGATTGAAATAAAAATATTTACAGAAACTGTAAAATATAATAAAACTTTGATTTAGAGAGGAGAAAAAATCGCAAATCATTTGTACATATGTTACAATTAAAAAATAAACTTTGGAAAATGGTCAAAACTAAATATACACTAAAAAATAACCTAGTAATGAGGCCGAGGAGAAAGCGTTCTGTATGATATCAATGATCCTTAATCAGATCATCTCAGTTGATTGGATTATCCTTGTAACATAAATCATTTTCATGAGCTTTCACTTTTCCATAGGTCTATAAATAGATCGGCTCCATTAACTTCGGAACACTTTCAAGACGTGCAGGAAGTATCGAGGAGTTGATACATCCATAGTTCCTAAGTGTCGATGCGTCCATTGGCTACTTACTATTTAATGGGTTTTCTCTGACTAAACAGCTAATTTGTTGGAACGTTTTATAACAATATTTCTGATCTAACAACACGGAAACGAAAATAGTTCTCCTAATCATAACTAGAACAATAAAACATTTCACCATATCGTTCTCTAAGCGAACCCTGAGAAGTCAAAAAGGCCATTGCAGTAGTTGCTTGAGAACATGGCGTGATGTGAATGCCTGACAATTACCATATCCTGCAGAGCGTGAATTTTGTAAGCAAAACTGTCAATGGCGGACTGGATTTCGGACACGATCTGGTAATCCATGATCAAAACAAGGAATATCTTCATAAAACGGTAATCCCTACATATATGACGATTCACACATCCATGCAAATACTCGTCCGTCCAGCTTTCAAGTTTATTCAATGTCATCTGTTTGTATTTTTTCCTTTCCTTTTCTTCATCCACGACTACAAAGCCCAGCTCCAACATTCCATGACGTATAATTGCTACGACGTTCTTCAACGTGCCTATCAATCTTACTGAAGATTGGGAAAGATTCTCGTCCTTTTGTAGAATCCAGATGCATTGATAAAGGCCGATGTACGCTTCCGAGAAGAACTTATTCCAGTTCATATCTGTAAAGAAGAATAGGCAATACAGACTTCATTCTGATAAAGTAATTTTCAAATAAAATTAATGACGTAATTGATTGAATTACTAGTAAATATAAAGGGAATTCCCCGTGTAAAAATACACTATCAGCAAGTTTGCTGTTTTTATTAGATAAAAAGATAAATTTTATGGCTTCAATTATAAATTCAGAGTGTTCTAACGAATTGTGAAAAAGGCCTAGGTAGACGAAAGACGATATCTTCATATCCTCAATAAAAAAAGTGTATTCATCGCCGTCTTCTTAATTTGACCTTTAACCTACGATAGTTTACTATACATACTTTGACTGATGGCATTCAGTTTGACCATCGTGTTCAAATTAAGATCGCCAATATCGTTTAGGGAAATTTGCTGGTAATGCAATTCATCGATGAATTGCTGTTTAATTTCATCTGTATCTCGGAACCTCGGAAGTGAAGTTTCTATATCAGTTAACAATTTCTTTATTAAATCACCATGTTCAGTCAGGTTGGCGTTCAAAACGTCTTCATGAAAACGTTCAACACGCTCTTCATGGAACAAGGACGGAAAACCAAATGCATTTTTGCAACTCGATTCTTTGCTATAAAACGTTCCAGTGATCGATCTAAAGGCTTCACAGTCAAAAGTCGTTTCGCCAAATGCTGCGCCCATTTGTTGTTTCTGCCTCAAGCGAGCAGCTTCGGTTTTCTTGGCTTTTCGTTTCTTGAAGAAAGCTTTGATTCCATCAGTGGAATCGAATGAGGGCAACTCATCTTCGTAAAACTTCACTTCATAACCGTCTTCGCAAAACGTATTATCCATCGATGTAAATTTGTCTCTATCAAAATTAACTCACAAAGCCAAGCGTTTTGGAACAAAGTTGAACTATTGAGGCCGCATGTTTGCAGACTTATATAGACACAAGAGGGGAATCCCGGGTGTAGCAATGAGGGTATTTTCTAAACTACGTCATCCATAGAAGAAACCAAAACAGTACTTCGTGTACAAAATAGCAATTCTCATTAACTACATAAAGCTATTGTAAGCAAAGGTAATTCCCCAAAGGTTGTCGATATGAATGAAGCAAATCAAAATTTACACGAGAATATTCTCAACAATCATTCCTTTCTCTAAAAGCAGAAGTATTTCGCACGACATATTAAAAATTGAAATGTAAACGCCTACGAATATATCTTCGAGGAAATCAATTTAAAATCGGATTTATTGAAACGAAAACATCTGCTTCCGCGAAGCGATGCAAATGACGTCACCATACTGGGAATTGGTGTTGATTAGTAAGAATAACTCTTAGTATCTAATAAACAATAAAGAATACACAGTGATGCAACGTACTGGTTTCTTATTGATACAATAATCGATTCTTAGTGAATATAGTATTTAATATAAACCATTTAATATAGCATTAATAATATATTAACACAAAGTTTCAGCGCATAGGTGAATCAGATATAATTGCTCTTTGGTTTAAATAACAAGACATTCATATAATTATATATGGTTTCAATTATGTACATAGTATTAATTTGACATGGAATCAATAACATGTAAAAGCTACTTTTTTCTCATTGATATAATCAAGTCATATGAATTGATAACGCACACTATATGTACTAATGCCTATGATAAGACTGTCCTTGACGAGGAGAGACAATCGATACAATAATGTCATCAAACTATATATTCCAGCGGCGAAAGACATTTCTGACAGGGAAATTGTTAAATCGGAGTCCAAACGCATAAAAAAATAAGCATGATTTAAAAAGACGAACTCGAAAGCTAGGACTGAGCACAGCAGGAGCAATATCAAAAATGATTTTCCAAATTTTGGACAACCATTGCAGTCACATGTGAATTTCCATTTAGTACACGCTAAATTGAAACTGGCTGGAGAACACTTGAAAAAAATTTGAAAAATCCTTCCACATGTCGAATATCAAGGAATGAAAGGCCGTTAGGGGAATTACTTATGAAATAATATCCACTTGTTGAACGGATGTTGTGACAAGCCCAACCCGTGACCGAACTCAGAAGCTCAGGTGATTGAATCGAAACTAAACTAATACTTAAACGTCTACACGTTGCTGAAAGTCTGAGAAATCGTCGAAAGGTCGCTTTTATTTCTTCCTGTATAGACCTTAGACTTCATAACATTTGCGATAGTGAGTATTTCGTTCATATCATGTACAGCCGTGATTTCGCGGGGCAGCAGCCAGTAGTGGACTTTAGTGTATAAATCGTCAACTTGTGATTCATATAATAAGTTGTCAACCTTGTACTTTTCCGCCAATGAATTTTTCTTAGAGCAAAATTTATGCATCTTTATGCATCGACTTCAAATAGCATTGCCGTGGTCTGATTTTAACGATGTATTCAAGCACTTATTCAGTTGAACAGCGTGTTTGTGCGAGTGCAAAATACTTTTCGTTTTTGCAACCAGATCGACTTTTAATGTAAAATGTTCATTTTAAAGCGAATGATTTGAACCCGGGAATCTGGGAATGTCGACTGCTTTTCCCAAATCATCGATATGGTCAATTATCATAACTTTAATTCAACTTTCACATGAGCCCGGGTAACCGGGACTCAGCGAGGCGTGAACGGATTTTGAGTCAATGAAAAGAGTAAAAATGTTAAGCGCAAAACTTACAACCTATTCTAAAGCGTCATAAGTCATTTTAGTTATAATTTTAAAATCAGACTAAAATATTTGTTTTCATTTTTAAAGGTTTTGTGAAATTGCAAAGTCAGAGCATAGAGAAATTGCTCAAATAAGTTTTTTTGTTGTGAAATATTTAATCTTTCCATTTGCTAAAATGATTTAACGCTTTGCTGAATCCCGGCTACCCGGACTCATGTGAACAGCCCCTAAATATAGACGTTGACACATAATTAAGAACTTTTGATGAAATGATAGTTTTTTAGACGTTTTTACATTGTTTAACTTTTTTTTGACACACCCTGTAGTTCGTTGCATCAGGACAAGGTGTTGCTATACATAATGTTTCGTCAGTCACGACATCTTTCATTGGGTTGGAGTTACTCTGAATTGTGTTGTCACGATAAGGCTGAAATGTTGTGAGGTTGATCATTGTTATCCACCATTTTTCATGTTTTACTCGACCACAGACTAGATATCTTAAAAGAAGGTACACTCGTGTGATGTTCCTGTCCCCCTTTCTGAAGCAAATTTTAAGCAGATACGCCTTTCAGCAAGATAATTCAGCAAGATCGTAATAGAAAATATAGATGTTTTTACAAATACCGTTTTGCACTACAAAAGCTTCGTACGCTATTTCTTTCCCAAGATAGCCCCTAGTAAAAATTTCGGCAAACTTTTGCTTTAAACGTGAAATATTAGTAAAATAGCATTCTTGTGCAATACTATACCGTATGTATTTCGTGAAAGTATCTCGACGATTTTAGCTGAGTGGGCCTTCTGTTAAGTGTTTATTCTGTGACTCGATTGTGTGATGGCTGACATGAATCTATCATCGAAACACACGCCTATGGTGTACAGTTCATAAATTAAATCGTTTCATGCAGATCAAGCAATTTTATAATATTGTTATAACGAAAGTAAAAACGTAACGAAATCTTTCACTTTCAAAATACTGGAAAATTTTAACACATTCGCGTCAAAGATAGAGTTAAACATGCTATGAAAATTTTAAACATTTAATTTCTTTCATAAATACAAAAGAGCACTTTCACTATTCACAGATAAAAATAAAAATATTTACAAAAACTGAAAATTATGAAGGAACTATGATATACAGAAAAATAAACACGATTTATTTGTACATATGCGGGAATTAAAAAATAAAGTTTGGAAAATGAAAAAATGTTCAGAACTAAATAAATACTTAAAAAATAACCTACTAATGACCCCGAGGAGAAATCATTCTGTATGATATCAATGACCCTTAATTGGATTATCTCAGTTGATTGGATTATTCTTGTAACATAAATCAATGTAATAATTTATTAAAATATCAAAAGGCGGAAATCAAGTCGTGACGACACGCCTGTTGTGATCACATGAGCCTTAACCTTTCTTTAGTCTATAAATAGGTCGGGTCTATTAATTTCCGAAAGCTTTCGAGACGGGGAGGAAATATCGATAAGTTCACACATCGATAGTTCCTCGTCAACGAGGCCAGTGGCTAAAAATAAGTTAATTTGCTTTTTCTCTAACTAAACAGCTAATTTGTTGTAGCATTTTATCAAAATAGTTCTAATCGAACAATAAAGAAACGATAATAGTTTTAATCATGACAAACTTCGGTTGATTCTTTCACCATCGTTCTCTAAGCGGACCCTGAACAGTCAAGTTACAATTAGCATATCCTGAATTTTGTTGACAAGACTGCTAATGGCGGACTGGATTTCGGATACGATCTGGTAATCCATGATCAAAACAAGGAATATCTTCAAGAAACGATAATCCCTACATATATGACGATTCACACATCCATGCAAATACTCGTCCGTCCAGCTTTCAAGATGATTTAATATCAACTTTTTGTATTTTGTTCTTTCTTTTTCTCCATCCGGGACTACAAAGCCCTGCTTCAACATCCCATGACGTATAATTGCTACGACGTTTTTCAACGTGCCTATCAATCTTACTGAAGATTTGGCAAGATTCTCGTTCTTTTGTAGACACCAGATGCATTGATAAAGGCCGATGTACACTTCCGAGAACAATTTATTCCATTTCATATCTGAAAAGAAGAATAGACAATACAGACTTCTTTCTGATAAAGCAATTTTCAATTAAAATTCATGACTTAATTGATAGAATTACTAGGAAATATAAAGGAATTCCCCGTGTAAAAAAAAACATTATCAGCAAGTTTGCTGTTTCTATCAGATACAAAGATAAATTTTATGCCTTTAATTAAAATGCAGAGTGTTTGAACGAATTGTGAAAATAGCCTAGGTAGATGAGACGCTATCATCAATAGATGATGATAGATGATTGAGACGCTAATCCTCAATAAAACAAGTGTATTCATCGCTTTTTGACTTGATTTGATGGTTTCTTGTGCTTTGATACTGTAATTAGCTCCCCATTCGAGCTGATATATATAGTGCTATTAAGAAATTATCATACATACTTTGACTGATGGCATTCAGTTTCACCATCGTGTTCAAATTAAGATCACCAATATCGTTTAGGGAAATTTGCTCGAAATGCAATTTATCGATGAATTGCTGTTTAATTTCATCTGTATCTCGGAACCTCGGAAGTGAAGTTTCTATATCAGTTAACAATTTCTTTATTAAATCACCATGTTCAGTCAGGTTGGCGTTCAAATCTTCTTCGTAAAAACGTTCCACACACTCGGACGGAAAACGTCCATTTTTGTAACTTGATTCTTTGCCATAAAACGTTTCTCTCGAAATCGTCTTCTTCTCATGTATGTCAAACATGATTGATCCAAAGGCTTCATAGTCAAAACTTGTATGGCCAAATGCTGGACCCTTTTGTTGCTGCTTGGTTTCTTTAGATTTTCGCTTCTTAAAGAAACTCATGATTCCATCATTGCAATCGAATGAGGGCAACTCATCTTTGCAAAATTTCACTTCATCATGGTCTTCGTAAAAGCTCCCTTCAACACCGTCTTCCCAAAACATAGTATCCATCAATGTAAATTTGTCTCTTATAAAGTTATCTGACACGCGTTCTCTAACAGATTTGCTAATGCAGATCTTCAACGCTTCCACAATTTATACACGAAAAGAGAGGAAGTCCGGGCATATTAATGAGGCTATTTTCGAAACTACGTCATCCATAGAAGAAACCAAAACAGTACTTCGTGTACAAAATAACGATTCTCATTAAATAAAGTGATCGTTAGCAAAGGTAATTCCCCAAAGGTTATCGCCATGACGAAGCAAATCACAATTCAGACGAGAATATTGACAATCATTCCTTTCTCTAAAAGCAGAAGTATTTCGCACGATGTAATGAAAATTGAAATGTAAACGCCTACGAATATATCCTCGAGGAAATCAATTTAAAATCGGATTTGTTGAAACGAAAACATCTGCTTCCGCGAAGCGATGCAAATGACGTCACCATACTGGGAATTGGTGTTAATTGGTAAGAATACCACTTAGTATCTAATAAACAGTAAAGAATACACAGTGATGCAACGTACTGGTTTCTTATTGATACAATAATCGATTATTTGTGAGTGTAGTATTTAATATATACCATTTAATGCAGCATTAATAGTAAATTAACACAATGTTTTAGCACATAATTAAAAAAGACATAAAACGAAACAAGCTTCGAAGACAATCATTATGCAAACATAATACTCGGGTACTCCAACAAGACACAAAATTCGGATAATATTTTGACCGTATTGCAAAGTCGGAGTTAAGCTAACGATTTACAAGCGTGTTTGGATCAATTGAGAATGGGGGTGAAAATAACTAGTTATAAATGTGCTTGGACGTATACAGAAAATAGGAGAACTACGTTAGCGATAAGATGTGAGGAAATGTGATATTTCCGAAGCCTCTGCAGTCATAAGGAAAAACTACAAGCTCGCTACCACGCTTTAGAACAATTATTGAGAGCTGGTGTTTGGTATTTTATGTGATATACCACAAGGAATATAGCGAAGAAATGACTGTTGCAGTGTTTCAATGATTGCAGTATTTTTATATGGTTCTTAGTTCGTGATACAAAATTCATTCTTATAATGATTTGTAATTAATTCATACGATTAAAAAAAATATGAACAACATATTGATGTTACGTACTTTGCTTTTTTTATTTATATAACAAGCCATTCATATATTATTACGGTGTCAATTATGCACGCAGTATTGATTGGATAAAGCATTAAATTATACTCTGATTCTCTGATGGCTTTGACTTGATTTAGACATTGCATTAATAATATGAATTGATAACGCACTATCAAACAGCATTAAAAATGTATAGTAATGCTGTGATAAGACTTCCTTCGACGGAAGAGAGAAAATCGATACAATAATGACATCAAACTATATATTCAAAGCTGTGAAGAACATTGCTGGCAGGGAAATTGCAAAGGAGAAGTAGAAACGGATAAAAAATAACAATGATTTAAAAAGACGAAGTCGAAAGCTAGGACTCGGAACAGCTGGAGCAATATCAATAATGATTTTCCAAATTTTGGGCAACCATTGCAGTCACATGTGAGTTTCCAGCATTTATTATGTGCTAATTGAAACTTGCTGGAAAAGTTTTAAGATTTGAAAAATCCTTCCACACACGGAATATAAGGATAAGAAAGGCCGGTATAGATGAATTAATTATAAAATAATATCCACTTGTTGAACGGATGTTGTGACAAGCCCAACCCGTGACCGAACCCAGCATCACAGTGGGTTAAATTGAAACTAATACTTTAACGTCTACTTGTTGCTGAAACATTGCTGAAAGGCGCCGTTATTTCTTCCTGTATAGACCTTAGACTTCCTATAACATTTGCGATTGTGAATAGTTTGTTCATAACATGTTCTGTCGTGATTTCCGACTAGTTAACCGTGCAGCAGCAGCAGCCTGTAGTGGACGTTTGGGCTGAAATCGCCGATTTGTGATTCATAATGAGTACTTAGCCTTGTTCTTTTCTGCCAAGGCATTTTTCTTAGAGCGAAAATTATGCATCTTTATGCATCGACTGCAAGCAGCATTACCGTGGTCTGATTTTCACCATGTATACAAAAACTTTTTAGTTCATGTTTGCGCAAAAGCAAAATATTTCATCCGTTTTTTCAACCAGATCGAATTTAATGCAAAATGTTCATTTTAAAGTGAATGGTTTAAACCCGGAAATATCGCTACATGCTTGTAAATGTAGATCGATCAAGGCTAGAGAGGACCAGAGAAGGACTTCGTTCAAAGCTTCCGTATTATGAGTTGAAAGTTGCATATACTAACTAAACATTAACGCAATAATACCATGGTTGTCTCAATTTCTATTGTTCTTGTGAGACAAATTACTAAAGTATTTACCTAATCAGAATTCACCGATTCAAATTCAAAGGTCGCGACCTTGCGCGTTGTCTGTGCTGGTAGTGTTACTAAAAATTCCGAATTTTGAGCTTGAAATAATAAAAATCACGACAACAACATTTCGGCAATCATAGTATTAAAAAACAACAACCAAGGTAGTGAGATTGCTTAGTGATGAAATGTACACGAAAGCCTTGGGAAGTTGGTAGAAGTCCTTCTGCGCCAGCAGCGCTACTCATCCTCCCTCGGCTTTCGAGTATATTTAATCACTAACCTCACTAGTCACTTCCATGGTCTCACTTATAAGTAGCTGGCAAAGTTGAGTTTTGTCAACTAACCTGATTGGTCGCCACCGGTCAACTCAGAGTCCAATTTTCTGTTTATGATAGTTTGAAGTTTTGGCGATGGCTTTTTCACCTTTATGTCATTTGGATTATTTGCCGCGATCGGCCCAATCCTGCGTATCAATGACCTCGCACGTTCCTGTTGAGAAAAAGTTAAAACGACGAGTTACTACCAAAAGAAACCATTACCGGCCTCTATACTTCCTACAAAAAACATTTTGGATAACAATGTCAATAACAAAAGTCTCATTATACTCATCGCTAATCAAGATCTTAAATAGATCTCCATAGAGCAAGAACGAGTTTAGACTCTAATGCGGCAAAAGAAAAGTTCAATGTTTCACATGGGCTTGAGTAAGATAACACGGTAATAAAACATGATGCAAAGACATCAAATTATCGCTTTTTCAAATTGTTAGAGCGGTCTCAATGTATGAAGGCAGAAATTGAAGTTGGTTTTTCTGAGTTTTCAGCAGTGGCGTAGCCATTCTGCACAAATTTACTTCTGCTATGCAAATTCTAATGTGTTCACTTACTGGCAAAAAATATAAAATAAACGATGAGCACGCTCTGACATTTACACAGAAGAAACAAATTTGCAGGATGGCTACGCTGCTGGCTTTTAAAGATTCCAAAGTATCATTTTGGAAAATTAACGAAATACAAAAATCACAGTGGCATAAATTGCCACGATACGTTACACCACACAAACTGTGGTAATTGACAGAAAAACTCAAATACAAATGCATCCCAGCAGGCTTCAAAATAGCCAATACTCAGACATGCGTGTGTAGATAATCAATTTTCATAATCTCGAAACACTACACGCGCGTGTCTGCAAGTAATCTCGCGTGTCTGGGTGTAAGATTTGGATTCAATTATTTGCTTCATGTAGCGTTCCATGTATTTTAGTTCAGTGCCAAAACTTCAAGCAGCCGCTGCGAACTGCTTGAATTTGACGACTCTGAACTAGGATCTAAATTTTCTTTTTCGAACACGAAGCATACGTGAGCAAACTTTCATAACCAAATCAGGAATTAATGGTAAAAAAATAACCAGTGAATACAATACCTTCGCTCTATCAGGGTCGTTGGATACTTTTGGAAATATACTCAAAGGGATATTCTCATCGAAAACCAAATCCCCGTTTGAAGTTAAACCTCGTCCCAGGACAGGCATTGTAACGGATTTTTTATCAGACGACAAATCACTAGTGGAATTGGTCGTCCGGCTTCGAGTATTGTTGGCCTTGAGAAATTGGGAGACTGACATTGATCGCCTAGGCTCGTTCGCCTCTGAAAAAGAGGGCGGAGATAATGAAGGTTTTGTAGTTTTTTCAGTTTGAAACAGATAATGATACAGTTGAAACTTTGTTCTCAGTCAAGTGCCTTCATCAATAGTGATCTGATGTTGATACTTAAATCTATATTTACTCCAGTCTAGTGCCTTCATCAGGAATGATCTGATGTTGAAACTTGAGTCTATATATACTCAGTCAAGTGTCGTCACCAGGAATGATCTGATGTTGAAACTTAAGTCCATATATACTCCAGTCAAGTGTCTTCATCAGTAGTAATCTGATGTTGAAACTTAACTCCTTATATAGTCCATTCTAGCGATGTCTTCAACAGAAGTGATCACATGACTTCTTAGCTATATTCTCCAGTCTAGTGTCTTCATCAAAAGCTGGGGGGGAATCCAGCAATATGACCACAGCCCATTGATTGTTTAGATTTCATTCTTTAGAAATTGATAACCAATGGCACTGTTCAAGTGGTATTTTAAATTACAACTTAGCACCAAGAATCAATGTTTCCTCACTCCGGATACGCAACCGATCAGAAGTGATCACGTCCCAAACTAAAACAGCCTCAAATACCTTTTTCTTGCTCATCTTCTTTATGAAGATGAAGCTTGAGATTTCTCGATCCAATAGAAGGAACGTTTAACAAGTTGAGACTGAAGAACAGATGAAAAAAAAAAGGTTAAAACGCCTCGTTTATCTTATTCAATTCTCACATAAAAGCAACGCGGTTAAATCCTGGCTCACACGAAGATCACAAGACACGCTTATCACAAATACGTGAAGTTGAAAATCATCATTTTACTTCATTCAAGCGCTGTTCTTATCTTGCCGTTGTTAAATTCAATTTAAACAATGTACCGGAAACGATCGTGACCGACATATGAGAACCAGGCTTCATGTGCGGGGGTAACATTACTCACAATTCTGAGGAAGGGCCACCTTTGTCTTCGTTTTCTGCAGATGATTTTCCCGCTGCGTAAAAAGATAAAATATTCCAGTGTTAACATATTACACGGACGGGTTTTTATGCTTGGAGTGCTTGATAAATTTTTCATTTGTAAAGATTTATTTGGAGAAAAATGAGCGGGAATAAGAAGGACAAAACTTTGCAAGTACTTTCGTAGACATCAATTCTACCGTATTATTAATTGTACACCAGAAATATTAAATCTATTTTCAAATTGCGCATGCTTCCGACAATTTAAGGCATGATACGAGCGAAGTAGATGGAAAACGTCCTAAAGTTTATTAAAAACTGACGATAATTTCAAATTCCTACTTTTTCAGAGCAACGTGGCACTAACTTGCTATTGATGAAGGTTGTTCAAAAGGCAAAACCCTCCGAGACGACAAAGCAATTATGTCCGAAACCTTTTCTATTTTTCATAAAAAACAAAAGAACTACCTGCAGCTTTTATTAAATTCTGTCTTTTCTTCCAAGAAAACAGGTAGTCCTTTCCCTCACTGCTAGCGTTAAGTGACTTCAAAGTGACTTTTTCCTTTAAAGAACGACCGGTTGCATTTGTCGACACAATTCTATCTCCGTACAAATATGACTCGCCAGCAACTTTTTTCTTAGTTTTACTTCCTGGAAGAGTAGACGGCGCACCATAGCTGTACGGGAAGAATTAACGAAAAAAAATCTTGTTGACTGGAGCATCATTAAATATATGTTAATGGAGTTAATATCAGATGATTAGTACTGATAATTGAGCAAAACTGCTATATCGTTTATCTGCACTCTCAAGCCAGCTCCCTCCAAATGCGCCACGTTCTCCTCCCCAATACATGTATATTCCCTCTCGTGAATAAACTAACCAACTTCGTGATACTGAACTCACTCCACTGAAAACCCCACCCGCCCGCGTATAAGCTTATCTGCATACAAACCCATGTAGTTATTAATTACAACCTCCACCCGCATACAACACACATCCTCCATAATTATAAGCTCATGAAACAAGACTAAGGCATATAAGTAGAATTCAGGTTTCGAAACACTTCTTTTAAACACAGTTTTAGCCTACGAAACTCGAACATTAGGATTCAAATTCTACTACTGCATCTACGATAAACCTTGGGCATATTTCAATGCACTTACGTACCCTTGCTGACATTCCATTCTATGTGATCGCCGTTTTTTGTATTCGCGCTGTACGTGATATTGGCAATAATCACCTTGCGATCTACGGAAACAAGAGAAAGATATTCATCATATGATAACTTTATGGAACATGAGATATGATTGGGCGAATCATATGATAACTTTATAGAACATGAGATATGATTGGGCGAATCATATGATTACTTTATAGAACATGAGATATGATTGGGTGGATCCTTTGATAACTTTATAGAGCATGAGATATGACTGGGTTAAAGGACAAGCCAGAAAAAAGTTTCAAATTCACTCCTCTCTTAAGGTTATAACAATAATGCGTCAATATTTACACTGTCCCAAAGTCCCTTATAAAAAAGATGCCTGTTGCAGACAGGCTGACTCTGTTTAACATTGGTTTAATACTCAATTAATTATTCTGATAAACACTTAATCCAATTGAATGAGTTGCATGCAGGAAATTGTGATTGATTGTAAGGATAGTATATAGAAATACGCTCTCAGCGTCTACAAATAAAAATAGTCATAGCAAAGACTAACTAGATCCACTTGCACTACTTTCGAGGCAATTACCTCACTTAGTCGCAAATTATTAAAAAAATCATCTGGGCATGCGCAGTAGTGACTTTATTAATACTACAACTTTCGTAAGCCTATGAACTTTTGTATATATATATAAAGCCAATACTAGGTATAGTAGATGTAAACTAGCAGTGGAAGCTGGGTGCGAATAGGTATGCAGTTGCTTAGGTGCCCAGACTTCGGTCGCGACCGCACTCTCCCTGCGTACCCCAAGCAAAGCCTATCGCAGGTGATCTCGGGGTCTGATGGGCGGAAGCTTGCTACGTATTGGCATCCCCAAGTAGGATAGCGTGGAGGCAGCCGAAATCTCCTACCGACACGTTAACATGCGGCGTTCTAGTGCCTTACACTTAAGAGGGTATCGGGAAGCATGGACCGAAAACGGGGTTTTTGCTTTCGAATTTTATCTTTTAACAAGAGTTCTTCTCATAAAATAAACCAAGCAATGTTTCAATTAACTACTTTTTCTGACAATTCTAATTTAAGACAATCTTAAACATGTTTTATACAATTTTTATTGGTTTATATCTTTTTGATTTAACTCTCTCATTTACTGTTTCTCATGTATCACGAGCAAACCATCCACGGGCTTCATCGCAGACAGGATTATCTGGTTCCCTTAATAAACATGAGACGCTCTAGTGCTCAACTATCTCGGAGTATCGGGAGCCATGGACCGAAAACTGCATTTTTTGTCTTGAAAATTTGTCTACTGCAAAGCTTCAAACAACTTCTGCCTTTTTGACTTATAATTTAAACCAACTCTAAGCATTTTTATATGTTTTTATTTGTTACCTTTTACAATGTTACTTTCTCATAACTCTCTCGTGATGAACGAGAGCCTCCTTATACAATATGACTCTCTCATTATGAACGAAAGCATCCATGGGCTTCATGGAAAAAAGGGATTATCTACTTTGTTTTAACAGTTTCTGCAAAGATAACATTTAATGAGGGAAGCAATTTGTATCATCTAAGTTGAACCTCGCTTTGAACCATTATGTTATAAAATTTTGATTTATTTTGGTTAGTAAATTTCTTTTTACCTTAAATTATTTTTATGATTCAGTCTAGAAAGTAACTTCTCTTCTCGAGTAATTTTGCGATTAAACAGCACACTTTTTGGATTCCAAGGAATACTTATGATCGCATAGAGACAGCCGTCCAATTTATTACGTAAATGCATGTAGTATGCATTTCGTTATAAGAAACCACCCTACCAAAGAATATTCAGATCCGATTTTAGCTGCATCGAGCGATGAAAATTTCAAGACATAGAAAATTGCAAGACATAGAAAATTGCAAGACATAGAATTTTTTTACTGTTATTTTTATAATATTTATGATTCGATGTATCACGAGATTCCAGATGAGATTCATGTCTGCCTTTGAATACAATGAACACATATTCATAATAAGGCAATGTTTTATGTTATCATTTACCATCATCGTAATTTCATACTTTTAAATTCATAGCTTTAATTTAAAATTCCATTTTTACGTATATAACTTGTAAAGAATCTGCAAAGCCAGTTTTGGGGAGATTTCATCCATCAATAATAGTGATTAGTGTTATAAAAAACGACATATGTAATAAAAATAACAGTTTAAAAATTTGTACGACTTGCTTTTTTGCGCTTTCTGCACCTGGAATCCGTTCTGAATATTCTCAAGTCACGCCGTAAAAGCTCATAAAGAAAGCTCAGTATTCAAGCTTTCTTTCGATCGTTATGCTTTTTTCTAACCCAAAATGGTTAATATTTACTGTTATGGCTCCTGCCTTTATAAATAATCGCTCTGAATAGCTAGAATAGGATTCACAAACGCCCCAAAATTCAAGAGCATCTCCTAACCATTTTATTGCCACTATTCTAAAATGTTTAAACAATACTATGTCCGACCATTTGATTGTCCGAATTTTGTAATTTGATCTCGTATTTCTGACAAGTGTGTCTACCATCGGAAAGGTGGATTAGAACAATATAAGACATTCACCATTGTACCAAACTTACTTGTTTATAAAATTGGAGCACCTCTTCCCATCTGATTTCCTACTTGACTTACAAACGCCAAAGTCTTGCGAAATCCCCAGTAACATGATTTTCTTTGGATTATCAAGCGTCAAAGCAACATCGCTTGATTTCTTCTAATGAAAACAAAACAAAACAAAAAGTGTAAAGCTGAAATCTGTGAAGTCTTGCATGCAAAAACCATGGTACCTAACTGTAAACAGTGCACACAAAAGAACATTCGGTATAATACGAGAGGCCTCTCTGGTAGAGAGTAGCTAAGTGTAACCAGTATACGTACAATAGCTAAAAGACATTCAGGGTACTAGGGGTACCTCTCTTGATAGGAGTCAGTGTACCCAGTGTACATTAAAAACCATTTAGTGTACTAGGACTACCCAATGACCTAGACCCTAATCTACAAGATATCTGAATCCGCCAAAATTATGAAGTAACGAGTAAAGCAAGCCACCATCTTGAAAGTTGGCACAAAACATACGACGTTTGCGACTAGTATCTGCTTTGTATGGATTAGTATCTGAGTTGATATGCAGTCGCAAAGTTGGTAGTCTAAGATTGATTATATAAATGTTTGATAGGATTGGCTCTTTAAAGTTTCTTATTTTTCATTTTAAGTTTAACTTTTTTCTACCTTTCAAGATGGCGTCCTTGACTCACTTTGACTTGGTACTTAGACATCTAGGAGATTGGGTTCTAAATCATTGGGAGTACCTCTATCGATGGGAGTAAGTGTAACCAGTGTAACTAGTTAAATTACGGGGCATTTCGGTGTACGTACAGGTGTACTACAGATGTACCTACAGGTGTACGTACCTCTCTTGATGGGAGTAAAGAGGGATTCAGAAGGGCCACAACACTTCCTTCCGCCGTCTTCCAATGTTGTTTATGATTCTCTCCAAAGAGAAACAATACTATGATGGAAGTTTGAAGATGGAAGGCCAGATCAGACAGCTTCCATACACTGTAGGTTTCTCCCTAGTTTTGAAAGAATACCTAAGTTTTACTAAAGGAAGTTGTGTTTTTCCTAAAAGCGCAGTCACAGTATAGTTGAGCATGTGATGGATTGAAAGTTTTATTGCCTAAAAGATTCAGTATTTCATGGGCAACACAGCAAGTATATATTTTGAAATAAACGTATTCGTTGCAGTCATTGGACAAATAACTTGAAATAGCGATATCGCAGAGTAAATTCGGATTGAAAAAGCGGGTGAGCCTTTGAAGCTGGTTTATCAACATTTTGCAGTTTTACTCTTTCTATCTTGGTTAAGTATGCTGGACGAGGGTGAAAATCCCCCACCTCATTTACTATTGGTAAGTATGCTAAAGGATGGTGAAAATCCACCATCTCAATTACTATTCGTTTTCATTATGAATATGCTAACACAACATAAAACTTTTATAAAGCCATAACGACAATGAAAATTCGCATTCTGCCAAGCAAATCTCAGGCCAATACTTATTTTAATTAGGTTAATGAAGTAAATGCCTTAAAATAACGTCATTTTGAAACTCAGTATTAGAATTGTACAAAGGAAACGCCATACAGGACACCTCCCATCTCTGGTTGGAAAAATAGATCGAGACGTAGGATTTTGCAGTGAATTTCGGCCAAAATGGCGAGATAATGCTAGCCATTCATCATACTTGCTAAATGGATAGCTATCGTTTTCTTAGACACGGAACTTTGCTTCTCGGTAAACAATAATGAAAGCAAATAAAATACCTTTGAAGTGGTTTTAGGAAATTTTTGAATGACCACACCAATTGTAATCCAGTCACCCTCAATGTCATTATTGACAATCTTGGATTGAATTGATGAAATTTTGATGATTTTCCTTCCCTCCGTTCTTCTTTTCATTACAGTAGAGGATATCAGAGGATTCCTGCGAATGAAGAAGTACACAAGAAATGGCATCAATGCAAAAAAAAGTTCTAAGTAAACAGTTCATAACAGAGATAAAGTTGTGGTATCAATCACGTAACTCTCACGTTATTGTCTTGTAACTTTCATATTATAGGCAGGTAACTCACAGGTTATACTAACGTAACAATCACGTCAGAGTCATGTAACTTTCATGCTATAGGCAGGTAACTCACAGGTTATACTAACGTAACTCTCACGTCAGAGTCATGTAACTTTCATACTATAGGCAGGTAACTCACAGGTTATACTAACGTAACTCTCACGTCAGAGTCATGTAACTTTCATACTATAGGCAGGTAACTCACAGGTTATACTAACGTAACAATCACGTCAGAGTCATGTAACTTTCATACTATAGGCAGGTAACTCACAGGTTATACTAACGTAACAATCACGTCAGAGTCATGTAACTTTCATACTATAGGCAGGTAACTCACAGGTTGTACTAACGTAACTCTCACGTCAGAGTCATGTAACTTTCATACTATAGGCAGGTAACTCACAGGTTATACTAACGTAACAATCACGTCAGAGTCATGTAACTTTCATACTACAGTTACGTAGCTCTGTTATCGTCACCTAACTCTCAGGTTCTAGTCACGTAGCTCTCCGGCTATAGCCACGTAACAATCAAGTCAGAGTCACGTTACTCCAATGTTATAGTCATTTAACCCTCATGATATAGTCATGTAACTGTCACGTTATAGTCACGTAATTCACAGGTTATAGTCACGTAACAATTAGGTCAGAGTCATGTAACTTTCATAATATCAGAGTGGTTTTTTAAGTACAATGCCATTTCCCTTGTCAGGCTTAAGAATGGCGAAAGTTTCGGTTAATTTGTGCATTGTAAGAAAAATAAACATGCTGCGGCAACAAGTAGCCATTAAAATCTAACCCAAACAGTAGAGACTCCCCCCTTCCCCCAAAACCATCGTGGATCAATCCCTGTAGTAGTGGCACAGATTTATCTGGGAATTTCATCTCAGCCAGAGAACAAGAAATAGAAAAGACATACAAAATCCTTAATCCTGAGTATCCATCCGTCACACCATTATCATCTGGACTTGGTTTCTTTGCCAAGGAAGGATTGCATGCTGCGTCGTCAGCTTTACGTTTTGTTCCGGACGTTTTTAATCGTGCAGCTGTTAAAAATAAAAACAAAAACTCTCAAACATGGCGAATGAAAAAAAAACACAAACAAAAATGAAAACGCCTTTTGCTATCGTTATGAATTCAAGATTGTTTGGAGAGACAATGGCTGTGTACAACAAGGTCTTAGCATGAGTCATTGTGATGATTTCTCCATACCATAAAAATCTAAACTTTCATCATATAGTTATTTGAACTTGTGATTACAATTTGCTGTGGTAAATATAATGTGATATGCCATGCATGGGGTTCAAAAATAAAATCTTATATATATATAGTATCTACCACGCGTCATGTTCAGGCATGTCTACCTCTACTGTAAAAAACTCAGACCTTTTCTTCTATGGCTGTTGAACGTTAACGCACCTGCATGAGCAACTCTTGGTTTTCTAGTTAAACTCATATCGAGGCTAGAGTCTGAGATACTTGGTGCTCTTTCTGTATCTTTCTTTTCAAAAAATTTCTCCTTGACTGTCTTATTTTCAGAGTGGTTGCAACCAGAGGTTTCGGGTGCATTGAGTTTCCTTAGGTCACGTGGATTTTCACTATCGACTTTGTTTTTAGGTGAATTATTTACTATTCGAGATTGAAGTAAAGGAAAAGTCTACTGTACTACTTTTCAACAACTGCGTTGTCCAAGACTTAGTTTGTTAGTAAGCTTTAAGACAAATTTTACGAGATTTTTGCTCGTATCTTTCTTTCATTTGTCCATTATTTAAACTTCATGTGAGGTCGCAAATGTCTGTGGAGCGGTCACAAGAATCTCTTTGAAATTATTTTTTATGAAAAGTTAACTATTGTCATATCGATTTATCAATATTGTTGCCAATGAAGTGCCAGGCGGGAAACGGATTCTCAATATAAATATTACAGCCCAACAAATAATTTTAAACAGTCATAAACAATTTGGTTTTATGAAATTTATTAAAAGAGTGACGTTTCGTCTTTACTGAAGACATCTTCAGACTAATTAGGAAGTTAACAAGAATATAGATATATCTAGAGCTATTTACATAGTTTGAGGCATCAGACTACTGTGAATGTCTAAGTGTGATGTGATGTATTGTGTGATGTAAGTGTGATGTAAGTGTGATGTATTGTTAGGGTGAGGTGTTGTGACTAGAAAAGCTTAAGTGGGATGGAGCTGCCTTGGGTGTTAAGTGAAGGTTTTAGTTTGGAGATGAGGAGGCTTTCGTGGATAATGAGGTCGAATGTGTCGGAGCAAGATGAGATGATTTTAAAGTCGTCTGGCGAAGCAGGGTGGTTGGAGGAGTTACTATGAGAAAGAATACTTGACGTTAATGGGTTAGTATAGCGTTTTCCAGTCAAAGGAGAGATCCCCAAGTGTTCCGAGAATCTGGTGTGTAAGTGGCGTGTGGTTTGACCCACATACGACGCGGAACAGCATCGACACGTGTATAAATAAACAACACCAGATCTCAGAGACTTGGGAATTTTATCCTTAACGGGAAAAAATGAAGAGATTCGTGTGGGGGTACGGAAGACGAATCTGACATTGAGATGAGGGAAAGCAGCATTGTAGAGACGATTGATTTGTGTGCGGATTTGTAACGAGTGACAAATCCGATTCCTCAAAATTTAAACTCATAAACGAAGACCCTGTGAAAGTCACCGTACAACGTGAAACCCAGGTGAAATCATTACTCAAACAACACAAGAAAACGAAATCAATTGATGAACAAACTGACAATAAACTCTATTCGACTGGCTCACGCATAGGTATACTATACGGACTTCCAAAAATTCACAAACCAACCGTTCCCTTACGACCCATTCTGTTTTCTATAAATCACTACTCATATAAACTAGCTAAATTTTTCATTCCGCTGCTTACACCCATCTGTACAAACTCTTTCATGATAAAGGACTCATTCTCCTTCGTACAAGAAATACTTAACACCAACATCAACTCTAACAAAGTTGTTATGGCTAGTTTTGACGTAACTTCTCTTTTCTCCAACATTCCCCTACATGAAACAATCAATATCATCTGTGATCTTCATTTTACTAACCATAAACAATTTCATAGACTCACCCGCACCGAATTCAGTAATCTACTAACGCTATCTGTTAAAATTGCCACTTTATGTTTAACGACCGCTTATACCCCCCTTTTGCCAACAAATTCATGTCTTTCCATGAACAAAACTGGCTGAAAACCGTCCCCAGAAATTGAAACCTGTTCTCTATAGACGATATGTCGATGATTGCTTCCTCCTTTTTAAATCACTTGATCACGTTCCTCTCTTTTTAGACTACATCAACCATCAACACCCCAACATTACTTTTACCTCTGAGACGGAAAATAATGGACGACTACCGTTTTATACATTGACATTTACCGCTCAAACGACAAATTCACCACCTCTGTATATCGTAAACCCACATTCACCGGTCTTTTCACAAACTTTCACAGCTTTTTCCCACTTTCTTACAAACGCAACTTAATCTCTGGCCTATTACACCGCTTTTTCAAACTCTGCTCTAGTTATGAGAGTTTTCATGCCCAAATTGAAACCACCAGAAAACTACTCAAACTCAATTGCTGTCCAACAAATTCGACCACATTGTCCGTCGTTTCCTTGACACAAAATTGGAACAGAAACCACCTGTCCTTAGTGTCCCAAAGAAAATAGTGCATTTCTGTCTCCCATTCACCGGCTGTCACTCGTTACAAATTCGCACACAAATAAATCGTCTCTACAACGCTGCTTTCCCTCATCTCAATGTCAGATTCGTCTTCCGTACCCCCACACAAATCTCTTCATTTTTTCCCGTTGAGGATAAAATTCCCAAGTCTCTGAGATCTGATGTTGTTTATTTATACACGTGTCGATGCTGTTCCGCGTCGTATGTGGGTAAAACCGCACGCCACTTACACACCAGAATCTCGGAACACTTGGGGATCTCTCCTTTGACTGGAAAACGCTATACTAACCCAATGATGTCAAGTATTCTTTCGCATAGTAACTCCTCCAACCACCCTGCTTCGTCAGACGACTTTAAAATCATCTTATCCTGCTCCGACACATTCGACCTCAAGATTCACGAAAGCCTCCTCATCTCCAAACTAAAACCTTCACTTAACACCCAAGGCAGCTCCATCCCACTTAAGCTTTTCTAGTCTCAACACCTCACCCTAACAAAACATCACACTTACATCACACAATACATCACATCACACTTACACATTCACAGTAACCTGATGCCTCAAACTATGTAAATAGCTCTATATATATCTATATTCTTGTTAACTTCCTAATTAGTCTGAAGATGTCTTGAGTAAAGACGAAACGTCACTCTTTTAATAAATTTCATAAAACCAAATTGTTTATGACTATGTTTAAAATTATTTGTTGGGCTCTAATATTCATATTGAGAATCTGTTTCCTGCCTGGCATCTCATTGGCAACAATATTGATAAATTGATATGACAATAAAACGCTTAAAGAATTCAGAAAGTATTAACGCCTTAAGCTCAAACTTGGTAAAGCTAAATTGGACTTAAAATTCTTTACAAAAGTTAACTATATTGGTGGGGCCACCCGATGATTGGAAGGGGGAGGGGTACTGCGTGTAAGTAAGAGCCTGAGACCTAGGCACCTTCGAGCCTACCTAACAACCAAATACTATTTAGGTTATTGATATGGGCTCTGATCCTTTACTAAGGGTTAAATTTGATGTCAACACCTGACCCAACTTGTGCTGTAGCAACTTCTGAACAAAATGAGCAACATCCACAGCTATCTTCAAAATATCTCAAGGCTTTATGGTATAAGAAAACTAAGCTAATTTTTTTAGAAAAGGATACTCTCTTGATTCTTTGATTTCAACTGTTCTTCAAGAAACTTGATATATTTTTCCATCTCTGACATTTTTCCTACAGAAATCATGAGTGGCACATACTAAACTTTCAAATTAAAATTATTAAATCATTATTTGGTAACGGGGTGCAGAGTAACAATATAGAAGTATAAGTAACAATATAGAAGTATAGGTAACTATATAGAAGTATAGGTAACTATATAGAAGTATAGGTAACTATATAGAAGTATAGGTAACAATATAGAAGTATAGGTAAAAATATAGAAGTATAGGTAACTATATAGAAGTATAGGTAACAATATAGAAGTATAGGTAACAATACAGAAGTATAGGTAACAATATAGAAGTATAGGTAAAAATATAGAAGTATAGGTAACAATATAGAAGTATAGGTAGGTGACAATAGAGAAATACAGGTAACAACATTTAAGTTAAGGAAAAAGAATAGAAAAGTACATATATGTAAAAACTATCACAAATTGTATACTCACGGGAAATGTTTTCAGTTGGTAAAGCAACAGGAACATTTTCATCATGCTTTTCATCTGCACCTTTTTCAATGATAAACTTTTCATATTCAGCCATGTCAGGTAATTGATCAATGAATTCCTCATCACTGTCTTCATCCATGAGCTTTGCAAGCTGATGCAACTCATCATCTGTGAATGATATAATTGATAAAAAATCAACTCAAAACTTAAGTATCACCAGACATACAAATGTTGAAGGATACACAAATTAGATTTTCAATTCTGACACGGTTGTACACACAAGATAAACATGTGGCTTCAACAAGATTTGAAGATTTATAATACTGATAAGAATTGGTTGGAAGAATTGGTTACTAAGATAAATAAATCCCAAGTTCAAATTTCCTGTAACAATTTCAAATCTTGTTTCCCAAGCCACATGTTTGTCACATGTGTATATATAACCTTGTTAAAATTCATTGATGTCAGAAACTGATCTACAAGTACAAACATTCAAAGACATGTCGACTACTACGCTAATGTTGAAACTTTAAAATTTTAGATTTGGCCTAAAGCAAAGCTTTGTAACAAATTAGTAACACTTTTGTAACAAAATGTCTTTCAAAAATGTCTGTAGACTATTTTTGCTAGTTATTTTTGTTTGCACGCTCACCTTCATTTGGTACTCCTAGACGATCTTTGCCATTAACCAAATGTTCATCAATAAATTCATCATCACTATCTTCACACATGACATTTACAAGCTCTTCCAGTTCATTATCTTCAAAAAGAAATGTTCCAGTCGAATTATTCTACTTATAACAAGCTGCAAATACCACATGAGGTTTTATGCTAGACAATGTGATGCTGATTTTTATAAGACAGCCAAGACTACTTGAGATTTATATTCATATATCTGCTACAATTTCACTCTCATGGAGTCTTTCCTCATGCTCTTTAACTTTTGATGGGCTTTGTCAAAGACAAGGGCAGTACAGATGTGACTAGATTTTGGGAGAAAGTGGGGCATTTTAAATTTTTATAACAATTTTGGTAATTATAAGAGGGTGCAGCCTGTCGAATACTCATATTTATTTTCCCTAAACCTACATACGCTACTGCCAATAAGACAAGTGGAAAGCCAGTTTTCATGAATTTGTAGAAAACATGGAGCAGGTTCAGATACACACTTGTGAGTGTTAATTTTACAAAAACAATATCTTGAAATGAGTTCATAGTATTCTGGCCAGAGCACCAAAATTTTATTTCTCTGCACACATATTCCATAAGTCATATATTTTGGAGAAGAAATTTCAATTTGCTGTAGAATTTTTCATTATTATGCCATTTGATGTAAGCTCGGACAACACTACATATAACATTAATTTGGCACGTTTGGGTATAGATGTGTGACAGTCAGTGGACCGACAAAAAAATTGATGCAGTCTTATCCTTTAGAATCTTCGTCATAAGTTACAAATGTACAGTAATACGGCTAATACCGTGTTCGAATTTTGAAATATGATTTGAAATATATATGTACTATTTTATGTATTGTGAATGTCTACATTTAAATCTTGAAAGCGAAGTCACCTTACCTTCCATTGGTAACGAAGATGTTGAAAAATCTAAGAGGTCAAACTAAGCACAAAGAAAATATAAAATGTCTATTTTTTCAGCATTTTCATTTCACTTTGTGACTGAAATTTAGGAAATGAAAGAAGCCTCGACCTTTCTATTTTATTTTCCCGCGAACATTTTCATCGACTACATACACTGACCTATGTTTAACTGGAGCTTGTTAAACCCAGCATGCGTGAGTGGATACACCAGAAGAATGTCCCGTAACAATACGAGTTCATTTTCGAAACAAAAACAAATAAAGAAATAAACATTCCTTTTGTAATTGTTTTACGATCAGGAAGTCAATAAGCAATGAGTTGTGACCAAACTCCGGGCTGTTAAGGGTTAAAAAAGTGTTTCTGAAGTGACTTTTTCGTACTATTTATTATTGACTTGATTCAAGGTGAACTTGCTTTCAAAATATTTTTTTTCAAATGGATATAAATCTTTTGGGACCGATTGTATAGTCGGTAGAACTCAGAAGCTGTGATTTTTAGTACTTCTTGACTTCCTGTACATCTTTCTCGACATTTTTGCCGCCATGTTTGCTCTATCCGACGTCATAACGAGTATACTTTCTGAAAATGGCAAAGAAGTTAATACAAACATCGCAAAACTTTAGTGTTCGTAAGCACGTCAGATTGAGAAAACATGGTTCGCATATGAGGACAACCCTTGGAGTTGACATTTGGCGACATCCAATCAACGTTTAGTGGTCAAAAATATATCTTAGTGCTTGCAAAAGCTTCCTCAAGGCAAAAAAAAGATACGAAAATTTCACTTCATAAGCACTTTTACCACAGCTAAAGACGTGGATTATTTTTGGCATTTTTTCAACAAATGCATACCACTGTCATCTTTGATGTTTGATGATTATTGATAAAACTTATTAATAAACACCACTGATTTTCGTGACATTTGCGTGAAAAGAGGTTTAAGCTCATTATGCTTTGACCTTCTAACTTGACTTTTTCATTTGACTTTCGCTCTTGATTTTCATAATTGATCTTTATACCTCGCATTAGATTTTATCTAAAGTCTTTGCTCAATATTTGTGTTATTTTGTGAAAAATGATGCAAGAAAAGCAACGAAATAATTCCCTGTACGTCAATCACTATTACAATATTCAGACATAGGGTAATTAATTTACATTTAATGATTCAATAAACGTTCACAGTTGAATAAGTATTTGCAGTTCAAATGTTAAACTGTTTTAGAAATGACACCTTAATAAATCGGTGAAACAACAGCAACAGGATATTCTCGTTTCATTGACATGGAAGATAGTTCTCTCCAAACGTTTGCACTCATATCAAGACATTCAACAGAATCAAGAAATGATTCACCATCATGTCCACCAACCACTACTATAATATTTCCAAGGATAACTGCTGAACATCCACATCTCTTATGATTAAGTGAAGGAAGCATTTTAGTTTGTCCTGTTTTCACATTATACATCAAAACTTTATCTAGTCTTTCATCATTATCATTTAAACCCCCAATCAAAATTGCATTACCTTTATAGCTGACTATACCCATGGCACTTACAGCATATGGAAGTGGAGCCAAGGTTTTACATTCCTTATCACTGAGACTGTATGAGTGAACAGTGTTTTTGGAATTCTTACCTTGATCAGATGTTCCTCCACCAAAAACTAAAACCTTGTCGTCGATCACAAGTGAGCTATGGTAAAATCTCGGCTCTGGCATGTGTGTCATTAGATTTCTCGTGTATGGAGGATTTAGTTGAATACTGTAGATCGCATTAGACGCTAGAAAAGGGTTGTGACTTCTACTTCCACCAGTCATAATAATATAATCATTGCAATAAACAACACTGTGACCATAACACTGTATTGGCAACGTGACATCAGTCGTTTCCCATGATGTTGACTCATCCACATTTAAACTCTCGATATCTCTTAAGCATTTGCGCCCATTCCAACCACCGCTCACGAATATTTGTCGATCATGAACGAACGCAGCTCCTGCAAATCGTTTTTTCTTCATTTTTGCTTCTTCTTCCCAGCAATCCAAATACCAGTTAAAAGACTCAACAGAATTAAGATGAGTGGTGCCATCATAACCTCCACAAACAAAAATCTTTGTTTTTCCAGTAAGAAAATTGCATCTTTCCGACGTTTCTGTTGTAAGAAACATCATTTCATTACGACTCAACTTCACTTGTTCTTCAACATGCTTTACCCTGTCATCTTGACTCATTTGAAACATCTCCAATCGTTTCGTCAACTCGTCAATCTCGTGCCGCATGAAACATGGATGAGAACGCTTAAAGCTAAAGACTATAGTCTTTTTACATTGTCCACATTCGATGATACGAAACTCGCATCTGTTTTTTTCATGTTCTTCAATCTCTTTTCTTTTGACGATTTCGTTGCACCCTTCATTTCTACAAAGTGTAGGTGAATAACCACAGTTCTCCTCATGAAATTTGAGATTATGAAGCTTGATCACATCAGGACAACCACGATTAACATTCACACAGCGAATATCAAAGTCGTTCAACATTTCCCTAACGAACCGCGATATCCTCAATGTTTCCCTCGTGAGAAGACACCGGCATTGAGGACATCTTTTAGAAGCTAATAAATATCTTTCAATACAAGTATGACAGAAATAATGCTCGTTTGGACATTGAACAGGATCTTTAAAGACTTTAAGGCATATGGAACATACAAATCTTTGATGAATTTCATCAACGAATCGCCTCCGTTCGTATCCACCGTACGAGTGATCTGAAGCCATTGTCGAGTGAATTTACATTTCGTCTTCGTGTTTCTGTCGCACTTTATGAAGTTTCAGTTCCTTCTAGGACATCTTCCATCTTTAAACTGATTTTCGAACCAGTTTAAGGCCCGTTTCAAACGTCGAACTTCATATGTGTCGAATGCATTAAAGACAAAAGGTAATGAGAAGAAATCCCTCATTATCTTTTGTTTCAACGTTTGAAACCGGCCTAACTACAAGTGACTGTCCGTTGGCAATTTGGTAGTCTCCTTTGACTTGAAAGGATTTATCGTCATCAGTAGCGCAGTCAGGTATGAGCATTACATTATACAATTCTTTAGAAATCTATTGTTTTTACAGTCAATGAACACTAAAATATTTACAAAGCGGAAGAAAAACTAAGGCTAGTTAAGACACTGATCGTCATCGTTGTTACAGCATTGGTCAGAAAATTGTTGGTCAGTAATGACGTAAGATGTGATCAGTTTCCAATCACTGATGGATAAGCAGAAAATGGAGATTTTCCAAAAAGAAAGCTGCTGCTCTTTAGTTAAAATCAGAAATTTTCCAAAACCAAAATTCTATGGAAATTTTACTAAATTTATATTGACAAGTGGAAGGCAGAGACTGCCTTTTTTCCTTGTTAGCCCAGTGGTATAGCCAGCGTGCAAGTCATAGTCTTCTTATGTAAATTTAAAATCATTAAAATTATTTGTTTTCTCGAGAATCTATTGTTTTTACTGTTAGTGAAAACAAAAATAACTTGTTATGCGGGCTGGGAAAACACAGTCATAATATAGGAACATAAAATAGGTTAACTCCATGGTAATCTTTTGTGCCACGCATATCTTACTGCGCATGTGATTACCATAGTAGCAGCCATTGCAATTTTGACCAATAGGAACGCTGAGATATCTAATCGCAGCCAATGAGAAATGACAATATACAGCAGCAAATTGCACAGCAAAGACGACCAGCTGTTTGTTACATTATACTGCGCCTCAATCTTTAGCTCTTCTAGAGCTCAACAGAAACGTGGCCAGCCCGCTTACTTAGACCAGTTATGCTGAATTTTACGAGTTGAGTCACGACAAAAATAATAGTTTTAAAAATAAAATATGAATAAAGTTGTCCTTAAATTCATAAAGCACGACTAAAACTAAAAAACAATAAAACAACAACAGTAAAAAACAAAATATGCTGTGTGCAACAATCGATAAATCCCTGAGAAGAGTTTCCACTTTGATAGTCGAAACTCAGGAGGATGTATTTTGTCGAACATTGGTTTCAATGAAACTCTGTGCAATTTTTTTCACATCAAGGTGATCAACTTTTTTAAAGTAAATTTGCATTGGCTAAAATATATGATTTAGCTTCTTTTGTGCCATGCTTGACAGAAAATAGTTGTTTAAATTCGGGGCACAGAAAAAGTTCTTTCCACCATTGCTGAATACATGAGAACATCAGGATGCTTAAGTTAGCATTCTAGCACGATTTGAAAGCTTTCTAGTTTGAGTATTTTAATTATTAAAGCTCTTCCACTTTCGCATTACTTGTGCAGTTTTGGTAGGGCTTAAGCCCGACTCTCTCTCAGTTTCACAGCCACTTGTTTATGTTTGATGTTCGTGATAAGTAATGAAAAAATGATGCAGGTGAAGACGTAAAGAGGAGCAACATAGTACTTTATTTAATAAATATTTACAGATCAATAAATGTTTAAAGTTCAAATGTTAAACTGTTTTAGTTTTATTGAAAAATTAATAAATTGGAGAAACAACTGCGGCAGGACAACTTCGTTTGGTCAACATAGGAGGCAGTTCTCTCCAGACGTTTGTAGTCATATCAAGACATTCAACAGAATCGAGAAATGATTCATCGTCACACCCACCAACCACAACAATAACATTTCCAACGATGACTGCTGAACATGCACATCTTTTATGATTAAGTGAAGGAAGCATTTTAGTTTGTCCTGTTTTCACATCATACATCGAAACTTTATCCAATATTTCACCTTTATCATTTAAACCTCCAATCAAGACTGCATTACCTCTATAACTTACTATACCCATGTTACTCAAAGGATATGGAAGTGGAGCCAAGGTTTTACATTCCTTTTCACTAAGACTGAATGAATAAACAGTGTTTTTGATGTCCGTCACGAGACTTGATGTTCTCCCACCAATAACCAAAACCTCGTTGTCAATGATTAGTGTTCCATGGTTACATCTCGGTTCTGGCATGTGCACCAATAATTTTGTAGTATGTGGAGGATTTAGTTGAAGACTGTAGATCGCATCAGAAACATGGACAGGGTCGTAACTAACTACTCCACCACTCGTAATTGCACTGTTATCATGATAAACAATACTATGTCCTCGACATTGTATTTCCATGATAATATTACACATTTTCCATTCTGATTTTCCATCCACATTTAAACTTTCCATATTTGCTAAGAATCGCTCGCCATTCCAACCACCACTGACGAATATATCTCGACCATGAACAAATGCAGCTCCTGCAAATCGTTTTCCTTTCATTTTTGGTTCCTGTTGCCAGCAATTTAGATCCCAGTTGAAAGACTCGACAGTATCAAGATTGCTCTCACCATCAAAACCTCCACAAACAAAAATCTTTGTTTTTCCAGTAAGAAAATTGCACCTTTTAGACGTTTCTACAGCAAGAAATACCATTTCATTTCGAGTCAACTTCACTTGCATTTCGTTGTTTATGACATGATCTTTAGTGATGTTTAATTGATTTTGAATCATATTCAATTTTTTCGTCAACTCGTCAATTTCCTGCCGCATGAAACATGGATGTGAACGCATTGAATTGACGTCAAAAGTCATTTGGCACTTTTCACAGGTGATGACACGGAATTTGCATCGTTCTCTTTCATGTTCTTCAATCTCGTTTTTATTAAGGACTTCGTCACAACCTTCATTTCTACAAGGTGTAGGTGAATAACCACAGTTCTCCTCATGACGTTGGAGAAATTGAAGCTTCACCACTTCAGGACAACCACGGTTAGCATTCTTACAGCGAATATCAAGATCTTCTAACATTTCGGTGACAATTCTCGGTATATCTGTAAACGTCTCCGATACGAGATCACATTGACATTGAGGACATTTGTTAGAAGAAAGCAAACATCTTTCGATACAAGAACGACAGAAATAATGCTCGTATGGACATTGAACAGGATCTTTAAATATTTTAAAACATATAGGACATTCAAATCTTGAATGAACTTCATCAACAAATCTTTCCTGTTCATATCCACCATACGTGTGATCTGTAGCCATAGTTTCTTTGCTGACTGAGCTTACAATTTGCGAGACTGTCTTCAAGGATAATGTGTTTTGATCTACAACGGTGAATCGAGTAGTGAATCCCTAACAAATTGAAATCTTAGTTTTATTACTTACAATGGTTTTTTTCCTTTTAAAACGACTGATTTATGTTCCGTTCATGAAAGAAAATCAGTTCATCGATATAGATGCGCAATAAACCAACCCAAAATCATTACGTTGTTTTCAAGTTGATGTTTGGTGTAGTTCGACACATGAATAATCAAAGAAATATTTAGTAGAAGAAGTTATGCATAAAATTAAATTTTAATGACAAAAAATTGTTTGTTTGGAGTTAAATTTAGTCCTCAATAACATCTTATGACTCTCAAATTTGCACATATAAATTGAAAAGAATGAATCCATCTTTAACATAAAGTCACAAAATACATCATTAACTACGACACTTTTACAAATCAACGTATCCGCCCAATAATACGTAAGCAACTGAACAAATTCAACGATGAAGACCGATTCAAATGTTCTTTGTTCAGAGTATGGAGGCATTGTCAGGATATAGGGCAACTAAAACAGTTGAAGCTCCTTGTTGGTGGGATGCAGTGTCTAATATAAAATGTGTGAAATCAATCCCTACATATAATCTTTAACCATTATATCTTTGCCACAGCCATATAGGCCAAAGCGATGAGATTAAGAGTAAAGGTAAATGTTCGGGATCAATTGACGGATTTACCCTGTAGGCTTTTTGTTATTATTCAACATTCAGTTGAGTATCTTAGATGCGTAATGCTTCGTAGTACAAAATGTTTTTAAGTATGAATGTTCTATCAGTTTCACCAATGAAAGTTATGAAGCCGTTTTTACAATTAAAGAAGCGTTGCATGAATTCAGACACAATATGTTGAACTTGCTTTGTTTAGAGCCTTAGTCTTTGCGTTGAAAGACATGGTCGAAGCTATCAACGTATAAAAGATTCTGAAATCAATGCTAGGCGACTGTCTTATAACACCTAATTGTTCTGCAAAGATGAATTTTAGAAAAAATATCTATTTAAGAAATATATTGACATTGTTCAATGCTCGTAGTCAATTAATTTGTGTTGTTGGGGGTCCATTCAAATTAGATAAGACCCCAATCACGCAATACTTGTAGAGTTTGAAAACGATCGGTAACTCTTACGACTTGAGGTCATCATGCCCTTATACACAATGAACATTTCACCAAGTTAGTCTTTTGAATCATTTAACGTATTCAATATTTCATCGAAATAATAATGAACGTTTATTTAGAGACAACTATGAATAAAATGTCTTCTTTAATCATTACCGAGAATTCGCATTCAATGAAAAGCTTGATATAGATACCGGAGAGCGAACATCCGCTTTTCTTATCATCGCTGGATATTTTCAGACAAACATTGTTAGCGAGGAATTTATTCACATTCAGTATATAACCTCACATTCGTATACGCAAAGGATTGTGTTGCTTAGTTTTAAAGGAAGTGCCGTCTGAAAATGATAATCGATGAACATGATTCGATAGAGGCGGAGGATCATTACTCATATCATCCGTTGTAAACATTTAAAATATCTATCCAAAAGAAACTTTCTTTTCTCCTTTCGACCTGCCGACAAAGATATGTCTTTATTAGCAGCGCAACCCGCCTGACTGAATTAAGTCCTGCTGTCTTAAAATGAAACATCTCTGTTGTTCAGTTTTTTAGAAATCTCTTGTTGGTAAAATTAGTGAGCGCCAGCCATGACAAGGTGTAAAAATTATACCCTAAAGAAATGGAGTAATTCGCAACTTTATACTAGTGAGAATATTAGCTACACATTGATATAAAAAAATTAGAAATATAAAAGCTAGTTGTTGCCACACTGATTTTAATGTAGAGTTCTGTGATTGTAATTAATACCACAATTTGTGGGGGCGGGGACTAATTGTGCCGATAAAAATGCAAAGAACGATAATTGCCCAAAAGATATGTTGATGGATCAAGACTTTAGTTACTTGTCGAGCAAGTGTTTAATGACTTATGAGAATTGATTTTTTCCAAAAATTTAAACGTAAAATATTACTTTTTGCCAAATTTTAGACGAAATCCTTAAGAAAAATTTAGCAAGTAATAACATACAAAGTTATGCCACGCTCTTTTGTCGCGCAAATCAAACACTTTAACCTTCCTTTCGGGCAAATAAAATGCCACGACCTTTCATCGGCCAGGTTAAGCGTCATCCTCTTCAAAAATTGTCATTAATGTTTAGCGAGTCATGGTAACATCTCTGCTTTGACATGTGCATCAACAATTTCACCAGGTGTGGAAGATTTTGACGACGATTGTAGATATCAACATGCAAATGTAGATGCTACAGATCGTTTTTTATCATTTCCGGTTCTCTTTTCCAGGAATTTAAATGGCCAGTTAAAAGAATCGACAGAATTGAGACGAGCTTTTGCTATCATACCACACAAAAAGCTTTCATCTCCTTGAATTTGCTTCAAGTTTTCGCAATAGGCTTTGTCGTGAACAAAGTAAAACTTTCATAAAAGCGTAAATGATTAAAATAAATGTAAAAGCAATACTAACCACATGTTTAGCTTGACTTCACGTAATTCGTAATGCAGCATCTTATCAGCGATTGTCCTAGTGTAGCAGTTTATAAGCGATGCTATATCAGAAATCTCTCTCTCATTACCTGAGTAAATTAAAAGCACACTATGAAAGATTTTACTGATTGCCAAATTTCTAATTTCTTGGCTATTTATAAGCAATTGATACACAAATGTTTTCTGATGCTAAACGGTCGGCAATAACTAAGCAGTTTTAACCGATGGTTAAAGAAAATATAAGAAATGTGAAAGTCAACTGCAATTTGAAGGTAAGAAAATTGGACACTGTATTTTTCCAATTGTACATTTCAGAACTTTTTTGAAAGTGAAGAGTATGAAATTTAATATGAAGATTACAAGAGCATTCCCCACTTCACATACCATCATGAAGCACTGCACCAAGACACGTAACAACACGCTTTGCTAAGAAAGTTCAACATCAGGTTTGAAAAAAAAGAAGAAAAACTAAAGCAGTTTCTTAAACTTATTTTTTGATATGCATTGTTATTAATTCACAACCAAAAATTTCGTCGCAATCAATGAAAAATTGGCTTCGTTTAAAGCTTGCCCGAGTAATTGTTAAGAGTGTATGTTACCTATTCTTTAGGATTATTTTTTTAAAATTTAGTAAATGCAACAAGAATTCTTTAGAAAGTCAAATAACTTTCTAAGCCTGTCGAGCACAACTGATTGTATAAATGTGCAAACCCTAATTATAGTTTTAAACATCGTTCATAAAAACACTGACTATTTAGCAATTAGTGAGTTTCTAGAGAGTTGTATAGAAACATATGAGAAAGTTTGGGAAACAAACTGCACATTCAGTAGATATTTACTGATTGTATAAATTTTTGTGACGCCGATGTTTTTGATATGAAATGCTAATATATTGGTGAAACTGCAACAGGAGAATCTCGCTTAGTTTTCATGGAAGGTAGTTCTCTCCACATGTTTGCACCCATATCAAGACTTTCAACAGACTTAAGAAATAGTTTACCATCGTTCCTACCAACCACAACAATAACATCTCCAACAGTGACTGCTGAACACGAAGATCTTTTATGATTAAGTGAAGGAAGCATTTTAGTTTGTCCTGTTTTCACATCATACAACAAAACTTTATCTAGTCTTTCACCTTTATCATTTGAACCTCCAATCAAGATTGCACTGCCTTTATAACTGACTATACCCATGTTACTTACAGGATATGGAAGTGGAGCCACGGTTTTACATTCTTTTTTGCTGAGACTGAATGAGTAAACAGTGTTTTTTATATGCTTCATTGACTTGACGTTCTTCCACCAAAAATCAAAACTTCAGCATCGATCACAAGTGATCCATGGTAACATCTTGGCTCTGGCATTAGCTTTAACAATTTCGTCGTATATGGATGATTTAGTTGAGTAATGTAGATCTCATTAGACGCTTGGAAAGAGCCAAAACTACGTCCACCTGTCATAATCACACTATCTGTGTGATATACAATTCTGTGTCGGCGAAACTTTTTTGGCATCTTTGCATTAGCGATTTTCCATTGTGAAAAATCATCCACCTTTAATCTCTCGATAGTATCTAAGATTTGACGTCTGTTTTTACCACCACTAATGAATACCTCTTGACCATAAAGAAATGCAACTGCTGAAGATCGTTCTTCTTTCATGCTTGGTTCTGGTTGCCAACAATTTAAATCCCAGTTGAAAGACTCGACAGAGTTGAGTAGTGCCATCATGACCTCCACAAACAGTTCTGTCACAATTCTCAGTATATTTGTTAACGTCTCCGATGCGAAATCACATTAACATTAAATACATTTGTTACAAGGAAATAAGTATCTTTCGATAAAAGAACGAGAGAAATAATGCTAATTTGGACATTGAACAGGATCATTAAACTGTTTCAAACATATAGGACATTCAAATCTTTGATAAACTTCATCCATAAGAACTATCGTGCATTAATATAAATACGGTAAATTTGTAACAGAGTAAAAGGTCTTACAGTATTACTATGATTACGTTGTGTTTTGCAAATTACTTTCAACAATATTTTTGGCCAAATTCTAATTCTAAATATTATTTCATATTTTTGATATGCATGTAAAAATTCTTTACTTATATCCAAACAAACAAGTGTTCATGGTACTTTGGTAGTCAATTGAATCATGGTACTTTGGTGGTCAATTGAATCATGGTAGTTGGGAGGTCAATTGAATCATGGTAGTTGGGAGGTCAATTGAATCATGGTAGTTGGGAGGTCAATTGAATCATGGTACTTTGGTGGTCAATTGAATCATGGTAGTTGGAAGGTCAATTGACTCTCGCTGATTACCTTATTTGAATTAAAATTCGTGTGGAACTCATTTTCATAAAGGACATTTCTCTTTTCTCATTTTTACTATTGTTAAATAATTTTTTTTAACCTTATTGTCATTACATAGCCAATGTATAGCACAGAATTTGCGTAGACCTAAAGCAAGATTTTCACCGGCTGCTAGTGGCGCATTTTAATACACTTTTTCTTGTTGATTTGACCAACAAAAAATGTATGAATTAGAGAACAGCGACAAAAAATGTATTTGTTTCCGTTAAAACAGACGGCATAACTAACATAATGACTATTAAAATAATTGCAATGATTTATAATAGTATTTCGTGATACGTTGTGAAATTCAAAATTCTAAAGTTGGTGTAGGCTATTGCATTCTTTTAAGCATGGCAATAAAAACATCGTACCTGAGTTAGTTGCCCGTTCCCTCATCTTTGTTTTAAGTATACGTTTTGTAAGTTCTTTGTTTGTTTAGTTAATTCTTCTTTTTTGTTGTAACGCGTGAGAACTTGAAAAGCAATGAAAGAGTGAGTAGTGCAACCGACGTAACAGGAAAACTCGACTTATGTTTTGCAGTAATTTATTACCGTTAGAATAAATGGGGATGTAAATAATTAACTCTAACTTAGAGAGCGAAGAAATACTTCCGTGATTTATTGTACTTGTAGTTTTTAAAATACATAAAAGGTTAAAAACAAAGAGCGTTAGTGAACCAGCTGAGGAGCGGAATCCTTAACGGTTGGCAATAAAGTATATTAGCAGCCTAAAATCTTTTAGTGTAGAATATATATATTACGCAATATTATATTTTGTACTTTATTTATCTGCGAATTCTATTACAACCCGAATTTCAACACAAGTTAGGTAATGTTTTAGTGACAGAATATTAGTATATTGGTGAAACAACTGCAACAGGAGAGCTTCGTTTAGTCATCATAGGAGGTAGTTCTCTCCAGATGTTTGTACTCATATCAAGACATTCAACAGAATCAAGAGCTGACCTATCACTACCACCACCAAGCACAACAATAATATTTCCAATGATAACTGCGGAACACGCAAGCCTTTTATGATTAAGTGAAGGAAGCATTTTAGTTTTTCCTGTTTTCACATCATACATCAAAACTTTATCCAATATTTCACCTTCATCATTTTGACCTCCAATCAAGATGGCATTACCTTTATAACTGACTATAGCCATGTCGTTCACAGGATATGGAAGTGGAGCCAAGGTTTTACATTTTCTATCATTCATATTAAATGAAAAAACAGAGTTTTTTGTATGTCCAACGTAAAATGATGTTCTCCCACCAAAAACAAAAACCTCGTCGTCAATGATAAGGGAACCATGGTGATAAATCGGCTCTGGCATGTGCTTCAATAATTTTGTCTCGTGTGGAGGAAACAGTTGAAGACTGTAGATCCTATCAGAGAGTTGAAAAGGATTGTGACTGGTACGTCCACCAGTCATAATAATATAATCGTTGTATTGTACTATACTGTGTCCTAAACATTGAATTGGCATCACCAAATGAGACATTTTCCATTGTGATATTCCATCTACATTTAAACTCTCGATGTTTCCAAAGTATTGGTTTCCGTTGGAACCACCACTGACAAATATTTCTTCTCTGTGAACAAATGCAGCTGCTGCAGCTCGTTTTTCTTTCATTTCTGGTTCCTGTTGCCAACAATTTAAACGCCAGTTGTAAGACTCCACAGTATTAAACCGAGTATTCTCATTAAAACCTCCCAAAACAAAAATTTTAATTTTTCCTGCGAGAAAATTGCATCTTTCTGTTGCTTCTGATGCAAGAAACGCCATTTCATTACGACTTAATCTCACTTGCTCTTCAACATGAGTCGCCATTTCATTACGAGCCAACTTCACTTGCTCATTAACAACATTCGCCATTTTATTGCGAGACAATCTCACTTGCTCTTCAACATGATTCGCCATTTCAAAACGAGCCAGTTTCCCTTGCTCTTCTACGTGATTGATCATTTCATTACGAGTCAGCTTCACTTGCTCTTCAATATGAGTCACCATTTCATTGCGAGCCAACTTCACTTTTTCTTCAACATGAGTCGCCGTTTCAGTACGAGTCTAATTCACTCGCTCTTCAACATTCTTTACCCTGTCATCTTGACTCCTTTGAAACATCTCCAATCTTTTGGTTAACTCGTCAATTTCCTTCCTCATGAAACATGGATGAGAACGCCTATACTTAAATACGAGAATTATTTTGCATTCTTCACAATCGATGAGGCGGACCTCACATCGTTCTCTTTCATGTTCTTCAATCTCGTTTCTATTAACGACTTCGTCACAACCTTCATTTCTACAAGGTGTAGGTGAATAACCACAGTTCTCCTCATGACGTTGGAGAAATTGAAGCTTCACTATTTCCGAACAACCACGGTTAACATTCCTACAGCGAATATCAAGATCTTCCAACATTTCGGTGACGATTCTCGGTACATCCTGTAATGTCTCCGAAGTGATATGACAATTACATTGAGGACATTTATTAGACGTATGTAAACATCTTTCGATGCAAGAACGACAGAAATAATGCTGATTTGTACATTGAACAGGATCCTTAAATATTTTGAAACATATGGAACATTCGAATCTTCGATTTACTTCATTCACAAATCTCTCCTGTTCATATCCACCATATGAGTGAACTGTAGACATTGTTGAAGAGTGTCTTTTAGCTGACTGAGTTTACATTTTATTTCCGTCTTACTTTCGAACAATATAAAATTTTACTTCCTCTTTAGGTATATTTCATTTTTAAAAATCGTGAATTTCTTAACCAAGATGAATTCATGAGATGCTTATTTACTCAAAACAAATTTCGCTTTCAAAACGATAAATTCGTGTGACCTTTTGTCAAAGAAAGCAGATAAATAGATGATTTGTCGTATAACGAAAACAAAATTGTAGCCTTGTTTTGAAGGTGTGATTATCCGGTGGTTTGAGAGTAATAAGATGTATAGCACCCGAGATATTGATGCTCGAAATTTTAAAATCCTCCATATAAGGTTAAATATATGCATCATATGAGCACGCTGACTGGCGAGAAAGAAAGCTCTTAAGATGGCGATTCTTTTAGTCTTTACATAGTGAAATTGGGGTAAATTTTGAGCAACATACAACGAAATAAAACTTGTAAACAATTAAATGGACGCGTTATTTGTGTTTACGTAAATTCAGAGCTAAATATCTCGTGTAAAATGTAATCAAAACGAATGAAATTCACACTAATTGAAAGGTCAATCATCGAGCTATAATTTGGTGGCGAGTTTGTTATTTTACGTCGTGTATATCCGAAGTTATGAGACAAAAAAAATAAAAAAATACGTAGGTAATGCGTTACCTAAAATTGCGCTGACCGTCGCCAAAGAGTCAATCATTACCTAGAATATGTATTGAAGGAAGTAAAATGTTCAATAAATGTCGTATAGCGACGAATATCCTTTGATGACTTGGAGTCTGACTGAGATCTCGAGTCTCTAGTTGACTGGGACATATATATATATAAGTAATATTAAATGCAACATCTTTTTACTACAAAGATCTAAGTAGATAAAAAGCAATTTATAATAAAGATGACTGCCGCTAAGGTTGTCAAAATGTCAGTCAACACCAACAATCTTCCTCAGCACTCTAACTTGGACGTTCTACATCTACAAAGATGTAACGATAAACGCAGGTTCAACTATGACCATATGTGGCTGTTTTTCGATAAGCGTAGCTCACTCGATCTTAAGCGCACTCAAGAGTGGAAGGGAAAAGTACATTATGACATAGATTTGCGTAAACTTTTAGCACAAATACTTGTTTTATGCAATTTGAACTACATAACAAACCCCATCAATGTGAAACAGCATACAATGCGAAGAGTTTAGATAACACACGAACCACTTATAAATTAACCACATTGCAAATAAACAGTATGGTTTCATTATGGTTGCATCTCTAACCAATATACACAACACATTAGAATCAATAGATTTCTTATTATAATTACTCATTATTAAAACATTCGCAACATTTTTATTCGTGCAACCTTTCCTCAATAAATATCATTAAAAGCGACTTAAACTGAACAAGACTATCGTTTTGCTTTCTCTAAAGTCGATGACAAGAAGCTCAACATGCAAATAGTCTCATCAGGACAATAAATGTTTGCAAACGTATGTATCGATGCAAGATAAGACATAAATAATGCTCGTTTACAGTTTGAACTGGATTTCTAAAAACTTTCACACAAATGCAAAATTCAATCTTCAAAGAGCTTCATCAATAAATTGCTCCTGTTCTTATTCAACATGCTTACATGCATACGAATGATATTAAGCCAATGTTAAGGTTTTTCATTTACCAAGTTTAGATTTGCGTTTGTGCTTTTATAGTTTTGATATGAAGCAAGATAAATTTGTGACGGTAAAATACATATTATACTTAAAACAAAAGCAAAAAGCTTGGTTTAATTTATTTGTACAGTTGTGCAGTTGTAAAACATTTTGATACATACTATACAATGATGTACTTCAACATAAAGCTATTTAACAGTTACTTCTCGTGTTTTCTGAGAATCAGTGTTTATAGCTCAAAGATATTACAACATTAACGGCGTGCAACGCATCACCAACTTTACTTTGTCAAAGTACACTGTAATTGGACAGTCATTTAACATTATTTGACTATTATATAAAAGTGACAAAATATTAATATATTGGTGAAACAACAGCAACAGGGTAGTTTCGTTTGATTAACATAGGGGGTAGTTCTCTCCAGACGTTTGTACTCATATCAAGACATTCAACAGAATCAAGATCTGATTCACCATCAAAGCCACCAACCACAACAATAATATTTCCAATGATAACTGCTGAACATCCAGATCTTTTATGATTAAGTGAAGGAAGCATTATAGTTTGTCCTGTTTTCACATCATACATCAAAACTTTATCTAGTCTTTCACCTTTATCATTTAAACCTCCAATCAAGATAGCATAACCTTTATTACTTACAATACCCATTTCACCCACAGGAAACGGTAGTGGAGTCAGGGTTTTACATTCATTACTAGTAAGACTGTATGAGTAAACCGTATCTTTAAAATCCTTTGGTTCTTTTAATGTTCCCCCACCAAAAATCAAAACTTCGTCGTCAATGATAATCGAGCCATGAAAACACCGGGGCTCTGGCATCTGCGTCAAAACATTTGTCGTCGGTGGAGAATTCAGTAGAATATTGTAGACCTTATCAGACGTTCCAAAGGCCCAAATGATACGTCCACCAGTCATAATCACATTATCATCGTGATAGACCATACTGTGTCCGCGACACTCTACTGGCATCACCACATTAGACATTTTCCATTGAGAATCTTCATCGACAGTTAAACTCTCAACACTTTTCAAGGATTGATGCCTCACACCACCACATACAAATATTTCTCGACAATGAACAAATGCAGATGCTGCCGATCTTTTTTCAATAAGTTCCGGTTCCCGTTGCCAGCAACTTGAATTCCAGTTGAAAGATTCAACAGAATTATAATCATTTTCGTTTTCCGAGCCTCCACAAACAAAGATCTTTATTTTTCCTGTAAAAAAATTGCATCTATCTGTTGTTTCGACTGCAAGAAACATCATTTCATTGCGAGACAACTTCACTTGTTCTTTAACATTCGTTATTTCGTCACGAGCCAACTTCACTTGTACGTCAACATGACTCTCAATTCTATTACGAGCCAACTTCACTTGCTCTTCAACAAGATTCACCATTTCATTACGAGCCGACTCTGCTTGCTTTTCAACACAACTTGCCACTTCACTACGAGTCAACTTCACTTTTCCTTCAATATGATTCACCATTTCATTACGATTCAACTTCGCTTGCTCTGTAACATGTTTTTCCATTTCAGTACGAGTCAACTTCAGTTTCTCTTCAACTTGACTCGCCATTTCATTAAGATTCAACTTCCCTTGCTCTTCAACGTGATTCGCCATTTTATTGCGAGTTGACTTTACTTGCTCTTCAACATGATTCGTCATTGCATTACGAGTCAACTTCACTTTTTCTTCCACATGACTCGCCATTTCATTACGGGACAACTTTACTTGCTCTTCAACATGATTCGCCATTTCATCACGAGTCAACTTCACTTTTTCATCAACATCACTCGCCATTTCATTACGAGACAACTTTACTTGCGTTTGAACATGACTCTCCATTTTATTAACAGCCAACTTCACTTGCTCTTTCATAAGATCCGTCATTTTATCAAAATTCAACTTCATTTCCTCTTCAACATGATTTGCCATTTCCTCACGAATCATCTTTATTTGCTCATCAACATGATTTGCCATTTCATTACGAATCAACTTCACTAGCTCTTCAAAATGATTCGCCATTTCATTGCGAGTCAACTTCAATTGCTCATCAACATGACTCGCCATTTTATTGAAATCTTTTATGAAGTTTATCAATAACTTGCTCCAGCTTCGTATACAGCGTACGAGTGACCTGTAGTCATTGCTAAACACCTAATATCGTTGAATTGATTTGTGAAAATTTGCATTAATGAATGTGTTATCAAGACCAACGCAAAGTTCGTGCATTGTTGCAATGCAGCCTTTTCTAAATTTTCAAGAATGATCCCAGCAAGACAGATTATTTGATAAAGTTATAGTGTTATCGCTACACTATATGTTAAAGTTATCACACTTTTCATGGGGGCTATTTGATGAAAATGGTAGTTTTGATTTACGATTGTTTTATTCATTTATTATCATTTCATACAACCGACGTCGAATTGCTATTAAATCAGGTTTAAACTGTAATCTTTTGCAACCCCTTATTGCATGCATTACTTTGTCAAAATAATAACAGTTATATATATGTATTATGAATAAAATGTGTTTTTAATCATTACCGAGAATTCCCATATTTATAGGAATTCAAATATTGTAGGAATATCGTAAAGTTACGCTTGTCCTTTGATGTGTTGGAATCAAACTGGGGCACAGTCTAGTTTTGATACAGTTATGCATAATATCGCACAACAATATGTTAAAGTTATCACACTTTTTATGGGGCTGGTTGAAGAAAATGGTAGCTTTGATTTACGATTGTTTTATTTTTTTATTATCATTTCATACAACCGACGTCGAATTGTTATTAAATCAGGTTTAAACTGCTATCTTTTGCAACCTTATTGTATGCATTACTTTGTCAAAATAATAACAGCTATATATATATATATGCAATTATGAATAAAATGTGTTTTTAATCATTACCGAGAATTCCCATATTTATAGGAATTCAAATATTGTAAGAATGTCGTAAAGTTACGCTTATCCTTTTATGTGTTGTAGTCAAACTGGGGCACAGTCTAGTTTTGATACAGTTATGCATAATATCACACAATAATGATAATAATTGGTTAAGCCCAACTCATGGAAAAAGTGCTGTTTCATAACTCATTCTAAACAATACAGTTTGTGCTATTTTATTTTGTTATCATTTACGAAAAACAATTTGGCCAACTTCAGGTAAAAACGCCACTATGATTCCCATAAAAACAAGGCAAGCTTTAAATTTAAATTAACTTAAACATGATCTTCATCTATAGATAAGTCATTTGATAGATGAAAAATTGCGGTGTAACAATGGTTAAATGGAAGAAATAATACTTTCTATTAATGTAGTCGTTATTCAATTTCATAATACAACCGACGCTAAATTGTAATTGAATTAAGTTCAAACAGTATATTCCTGGATAAACATGAATAAAATGATTATTGTTAATCATAACAATTTATTTTCAAAGAATTAGAGTGTCTCACTGATGCGGCACTTTGAAATTCACGTATTGATTTGTTGGTTCTCCGTAAAGTAAGAGATGTTCTGGGAAACACAAATTTTACTAGAAATATATTTATCTTCAGCTAAAACCTAATTTAATGATCTGACTTATAAGGTGAACTAGTTTAAATGTGGCTATTAAGAATAAACCGACGCTATCAGTGAACATAGTAAATATATTTACACATTAAAGCTTAATAAAATAACAGCACATACACATTTCTTACAATGTGAAATGCAGAATAAACCATGCCAATATCAAGCATCGCGGGATGCAAAAAATTCACTTTAAACTTGGACTGCCGATATTAACATATATATTGAATCAAACAGTTTGGTTGTATCATGGTTGTATCGTCAAACGATTTCCAGCACAATTTGGAATCATTGGTTTTTCAATATTTATGATTACGAATAACCAGAGACCTGACAATACGTACGAAGTCCCCGGACAATCCCGCTGGACACAATTTCCCATGCACCAAGATACGCATAAATAATCCACAAGATACGTCAAGGAAACAAGTAAGGTATTTTATAGTTTGGTAAGAAATATGGTGATGATTAATCTTGAGTCTTGCCATCACGAACAAAATCTTCGTTTTTTTATTTTCCCATCTCGACAAGAAAACAACATTACGAAGCTTTTTCATTCTCCTTCGTGTTCCTTAGTATAGTTTCTATTGACGACTTGGTTGCGAAATGAGAGCTAGCTACTTCAAACAATTTCAAACCGTTTGTAACCGTTTCATATTGTGGATTTTACGCCTGCATTCTCACATCGAGTTTCACATGAGCGATGTATACGCAAAATAAGCACAAGTATCGCTAATCAAAAACTGTGGAACAGCTATCAACCTGATACAACAGACAACGAAAGTGGCCCAGCTAGGAGTGTGTTAGAGGTGTTTGGTAGTAAAGACGAATTGTGACACTCCATCACTTTTTCAGTACTCGCTGATAAGTTTAATCGATATATATCAATTTATCGGGGTGCGCTGATTGGTCTCGAGCAAGTGCAAACACAAGCCCTATTCACACGACATAAACTAACCCGGGTTCAACCCAGGTTAAGTTTTTTGCGTGTAAACCCTGGGTTAGTAGTGTCCACACGCAAAAAATTAACCTGGGTTGAACCCGGTTTAGTTTATGTCGCGTGAATAGGGCTATAGCTATCAACTTTAAGAATTAAATTTCTCACAAGAACGGACTACGTCACAGAAATTAGCTATCTCCTTCCTCCTCCCCCCAGGTCAAGAAGATTAAGCCAAACCAGAGATAACAAGAATTTTTCCTAATTAGAGCTTGTCCTTTTCCATTTGTTAAATTGTTCTAAATACTGCAGAATCGTATCACATGGTTTAAACTTGCTTTCAGGTTTCTTGATTGGCAAAGCGGGCATTGTGACGGCAATTCCTGTGATACCTTCAAGAAATTCTTGAAGAAGGTCCCAACATTGTGAGGCTACCAGACAAGGAAGGTATTCAACCTGTGAACGGAATTTAGCTTTGCAGTAAGCTACGTATTGCATCATCAAGCTGAATTTGGAGTTTAGAAAATCCCATCAGTGCGTTATTTTAGCGTTGCATGGCGATCTTGGCGAAAACGTATTGCATTATCGAGCTGATTTAAGAATTGGTAAAATTCTTAAATCAGCTCGATAATGCATTCATCAGTAATACTAATGTTGCATAAATTTAATTTTTTGGTGAACTGTTGCATTATCAAAGCTAACTTTTGACTGGAGAAAATCCCATCAGTAGTGCTAACGTTGCATAATTACGAATTCAAATTTGCAATGAACTAAATTGCATCATCAAGCTAACTTTAGAATTGGGAAAATCCCATTAATTGTTACATAGAACTATTGCATCATCAAGCTAACTTTTGACGTGGCAATAGTCCATCAGTAAGGTTTATGTGACATGGCAATGAGTTTAACTTTGCAATGAGCAATTGCATCATCACGCTAACGTTAAAATTGGGAAAATCCCATCAAGTCATGTTAATCATACTAAGCTATAAAGTTAGCTTTGCAATAAACTATTGATTAAGTAAATGTTTGACTTGGGAAAATCCCATCAATAAAGTTAATGTAACAAGGCTTTGAATTTAGCTTTGCTTTGGTAAAGTTAGCAAGGCATCATTAAAAGGTAACTTCAGAATTGGAAAATTCCAATCATTAACACTCCTGTAAAATGATTATAAATTTGGCTTTCCAATGAACTAAACTGTATTGTAATAAAACATTTGCATAGGGAAAATCCTATGAATTATGCTAGTATTACGTGGTAATGATTCTAGCTTTGCAATAAATAATTGCATTATGAAGCTGACTTTTGATAAGGGAAAATCCTATCAGTTAGGTTAATGTTGCATCAAAATTACAATGTTGCGAAATTCTGCAATAGAGCAGAATTCTGAATCAACATATTAAATTTCTAAGGCAAATCATTAACAGAAATTGTCACATTTTTTTTCCTTCATTTCTTTCTGTATTGTCTATTGACTCTATTTAATGCTACGGCATCTTGTCCGTTTGTGAGCTTGAGTGGTTTTTCAAAACGCAAAATATTATGAGTCTTTAAAACACTCACTTGTGCATGTTTTTTGTTCCAAAAATGCATTCAAAACCATGTCATTAACTGCAATAAAAAGTATAATCATACCTCAATGAGGATCCCTTTGAAACTGACACCAACAGTTACCTGCCCAATTTTAATCACAAAGTCACCAAGTTCATAACGTTGGCCTTTAGCCTTAAAGGGAAAAGTAGAAAAATATGACATACAAGAGCAAGAAAATGAGCTTTATTTACGATAAAAGCATTTAATATGAATATGACAGCTCAACTTGAAATTTTTAATACAGCCATAACTAATAATTGTAGGAAAAGTTTAAGACTCTTTATATTTAATGGCTGTTATTAAACATTTTATGTCAAGCTGCAATATTCATATTGAAAATTTGCTTTGAGCCTCGCAAATCTCTGGCCACAGTTTTTAATATGAATTAAATGAAGAACTATGTAATTCTGCTAGTTTCTGCTGGGTTGAGTTTAGGTAAATTTCAAGAGAAATACAGTTTTTCTTCACAATATACTAGAAATTTTCATATATATCATGGTGATTTCCTATATACAGTCACTTTTCGTAAATATTTAAACAAAGAACTTGAATTTTGGAATCTGGTGATCTTTACGCTGTATTGCCTGGCAGTGGAAAATGTGGCACAAGCACAAAGGCAAGTACAAGTCAATTCATAAAAAAGTTCAGCATTATATGTGAAGCAAACAAACTTGCTCTATAGTGGAAAGTTGTTGAACATTTCCAGCCAACAGAATCACAAAGGAAAGCACATAAACTCTCTTTTCAGTCTTTTAGTTAAATGGAGAAAATCTGAACCCAATGAAATTCTTTGTCTTTTCAACAAAAACATTTGAATGTCTTTTCAACAAACCTCAATTTTTGCCCCTTTGCGTTCATAGCAAGATTTCATCTTTGACAATATACTATCAAAACCTCGATCAGAAATCAGACAACATCCATTTTCCACACATGAAAATGTCGAAAGTGGAAACTCGGTGTTGTGAAGAATATGGAGCATTTTTGCTGGACTTCCTAAAGTTGATAAAGAATAAGTCAAGGAGAAGGAAAACATTACAGAGTTTAAGCCAACCAAAAGTTCCTTGCTTACCCATTGATGCAACAGACTGATAAGTTTCACAGTCCACACACCAACCATCAGACCAAATTGCACCAGCTAATTCAACATTTTTCTGCAATGTGTCAACAACTTGTTGACCATTCTTTCCACTAGCCAAAGGCCAAGGGTAGATGCTAAAGTAAATTACACATTACTGCTTCATACGATATCAAAAAAGTAAAACTCTATCGTTGAATACTTTAAAACTACTAACCATGTGACTCCCATTACAGAAAAGATAAAACTTATCTTTTGGATTTGGCGGGAACAATTTTTTATTCGTTTTCTTAAACTTGGAAAAACTTCATGTAAGTATCCATGAATCGAGTTAACCTAATAAAATTTGCGTGTAGTACGCGTGGATGACGACGAGTCACAGCCAATCACAGAGCGCCAAATACGAGTAAAACATTGGCACACGATTCTTACCGGTGTATAGGTAAAAGTTGTCAGAACTTACTTTACACGTTTGTACACTTTTTAAGACGCTTTTTCATCGATTTTAGAAGCTTTCTGCTTGCGTATTTTTAATAGCAATGTATATAATATCGTGTACTTTAGCGGTGTTCATTCTTGGCGTCTTATCTGCAACAGAAGCTAAGCTGAGGGAAGGCGACTGTGATGGTAAGAGAATAATTATATTTGAGATGTTAGAAGTTTTTGACCACGAAAAGTTAAAACCAATGTTAAGTTGGACAAGGTAACTACAATTTCGATGAACTTTGTGTTGTCATCGCTTCAATCTTTCATGAAAAATTGAAATGTACTAAATTTTTATTATGTAAATAATTATACCTAAGTGAATAGCATTTTTCACCGAAAAGGGTTGTTAAAAAACTTTCATAAAATGATTTTAAGACCTTAAATGGGGCAACATAAATGATAAATGTGTTTTTATATTTTGGCAGTGTGTATCAAGTTCCTGACAAAATTTTCCAAAGAAGAGTTGGATGGTAGTGAAAAGGGCCCTGATGATGTTAGGAAAAAACTTAAAGCTGTCTGTAAAAAGTCCAAAGGAAAAGACCAAAGATTTGTAAGTCCTAAATGAGCACCACAATGACAAAACTACTGTGAAAATTTGGAATAGCAGTTGTGAAGATTTGTAGTCATGATTAGTGAACAAGGCTTCCCATTGAAATGGCATAGTTCAGTTATGTGACTACAACAAGAAATACACCCCTTTTGCTCAAAACCTATAATTACCACATAATCATAGTCTGAAAAATCTCTCCGAAAAACCGGCTATTTGCCACAGCTTTACCGCGAACACCTGGGGTTAATACAAATTACAAATGCTTCAACATATATATATATATATATAGGAAGTTTATAATTTATGATTTTCCGTATAAAACAGTGCTCGATGCCCGAGAGCAGAGCGTAAATATTGGTAAGGAGAAGATTTAATCCCCTGAAGATTTAATCCCCTGAAGAGTGAGCAATCACGAAACAGGCTTGTCGGGATGAAATTGTAGTTTTTGTGTATTTTCTTCTCCTTACCAATATATATATATATATATATATATATATGTCCATGGATGCTGATTTATCACAAAGAGGACATATATATTTATAGACATCGCTGAACGTCATAGGGATAAAGGGATCACATTTGTGAAGTCAACAGCACAGTAGCCACTGAATTCACAATGTGCCTTATCATATGCCATCAACGTAGCAGTCTATGATTTTTGAAATGATATTTCTCACATATAGTGTTACTATATTGGTGGTACAGATGATGCAGCCACCAGTATACTGAACGAGATCACAAAGCCAATGTCTTATCATGTTCCTCCTGAAAAGATCTGTGAAAAGTTGAAGGACAAGGATGCACAAATATGTGAATTACAATATGGCAAGTATCTTTAATAACTTCTTTGTGAACCTTTTCACCTGGTAACTGCAGGACTTCTCATAGTCACTATAGTTTCAAAATATTGTTGCATGCATTAATTCAATTTGCAAATGTGAAATCCAGGCCTCTCTGAAATTTTCGGATGAAAATTTGAACTGGTTTTAGAAATATTACCAAATTTCCAAAGAACTTCGATCAGCATGCACCCTATCAACATTTATGACAAAACATGATATATAAATTCAATATTCTGCTGCAGCAAGATTCTCAATAAGAATTTGCCAGAAATTTCGTTATGAGAACATTTGCTTCTACATTTTTATTTATGTTTGTATCAGGAACTTTTCCTTCCTCTAAAATGCACAACACCTTAAAAAGTCATAGTTACATTTACTGAGCACATTATGTATGGTGATGTACACAAACCATAATTACCATAAAGAGAATATCATCATCAAACAACGACAAACACGTATTTAAACGTAAGTAAGTCCCATATTATTCATGCTCTAGAAAGCTTACAATTTCTATTGTGGTTTGTGTTATTGTCATGTCATCTGAAAGGTGGCTCCACATCTGTGTTTTAACTATCTTCACTTAAATATTGTTATTGTTACACATACCATGAACTTGGTTGTTGTTTAAAATTGAAATTCTTGTCATTTCAGAGCAAAAAATAGATGTTCGTAATGTGGATCTTAAGAAAATGAGAGTAAAACAATTACGTAAAATCCTTCAAAGTTGGGAAGAGGAATGCAATGGTTGCATTGAGAAATCAGACTTTATACAACGAATTGAAGAACTCAAAGACAAACACATTGAATTATGAATGTAATTAATTGTGAATGGTAGTATTATATATACATTTGATATATGGTGGAAATTGTTATTTAAAAAGCATTTTGTTACAAAAAATGGTGTTATCTTTGAAACAGTGTACAGCTAATATATTTTAATTGTGGGAAATATCCGAGGCCTTACCATTCAACAACAAGAAAATCTAATGGTTAAAAAGAGCATGTTGGATAGCTTGCTTCAAAAAATCAAATTTAGTAAATTTGTTAGTCAGTAAAATTAGGCTACACTTTGTATCATTCCCCTTGTTTTATTTGTTAGTGTTTTTTGTTAGTAAAAGACTGAAGTTCTTATCAACATTTTGGTAAAATTTTATACACAATGACTTGGCAAATGTTGACATCCCGAGCAAATCAGTAAAATGATGCATTATGGAATATCAATGTAATCTATCTATCACATGTTGTACAATCACCTTATTGGATAATGTCGTCTATGTTTCTTCTTTATCTGATTCAACATCATCATCCGATTGGGACACCTTGCTTTTATCATTCAACAGAACATATTCCCTGGTACTATAACCGAACTTTAAAACATCTTTCTCCTTCAGTTCATAGTATCTTCTTGCTTCAATTTTTTGATTGTTAAGAAATGTACCGTTTGCAGACTCAAGATCAATGATGTATGGCTTGCATCTCCTTCCTGCCGTGCCATCCTCTCTTTCATAATTTACCAATCGATACTGCAACACTGCATGTTGTTTAGAGCAAGATGGATGGTCAACTGCCATGTCAACTATCTGTAATAACAAACAATGAATTTTAACATCCACTGCACTATTTCAATGACCTAAATGTATATCCCAAGGAATATAACTTTAATGGCATAATTAGTTTCCACGTAAGTAATGAGACAAGTGTAGTCTTGCCACATAAAGATTTTGGTTGCAAACTTCAAAAGAAATTTGCTAACATACAATTTTACTTATTTGAAATACTTTTAATTCGCAATACTTTCATGCTACCACATATGAGATGCATATTTTTTGCTTCAAGCCAGAAAATAACAATAACACAGTGATTTGGCATGTGTAGAGGTAGGTGATTTGTTAGCTTACATGTCTTTCTCTTCCAATAAGATAGGCACTTTGGCGATGAATATACATGACAGCTGAAACAAAGAAATCAATTGGGCTTATGTAGTGACAAAGCGAGTTGAAACAGCAGTTATGACACCCTTCATTTTTGAATGGCCTCCCTTCACAAACATTCTTGGTATGCTACTGGGCTAGCTCTGTTTTTGTATAACACATATAACATTATAGCACTGTACAACACAACATGTGCAAACTATACCCAAAAAATACCACAACGCAGTCAAACAAAACTTTGAATGACAATTGATACAGCTGAAAAAATGACCAACCACAGGTGCAGCTGGCATATTCTCCAAAAAAATACATTTGAAAACTTCATGAGGCAATTTCCAAATGTGTAAATTTATGAATTTCTTGCATGCAACATATTTTTTCCTACAAATTTAGCATTTTATAATTTCAAGATGTTTACAATTACAAAACTTTACTAGACTGGCACAAAATTCAAAAGAATGATCCTCTTTCCTCATCGAAATGTTCATTTGGATTGTGTTTGAGTCAGGTTTTATAAGAAAATGATCCATTGGCATTGATGTTACCTCAATGAATATTAAGATTAACATGCAATATTGATGTGAAGCTACATGCAAAAGGCAATACTAGTTTACTAAATATGAAATGCTTTGCAATTAAAATACATTGCTTTCACGCAGGGTTTTTACTACTTTGATAAAATGAATATGAAATACATAATGACTCAGTAAGGAAATAGATTGTTAAAGGAAAAGTTACTGACATGAATGTTAAACAACTGAGACACTCATACATGGAAAGTCAAAAACAAATGGATGGAGATAATCAGTCGGTACAGCCTAAATACTTGTATCACAAAACATTTTCTAAAGAAAGGCAACTTACGCATTGACTGGTCTCCTTTGAATGGATAGAGCCGCCATCTTGTCTTTGGTTTTAAGGCTTCAGGCGGTTCATTGTATTTGATCACAACACCCTGTGTAAAAATAACAAAAAATCTCCAATCTCCAGTTGATGTATGCCTCTTCACTTATGAAGACAGAGCAGTACTAAGCATGTTAACCTACCTTATAAGTGTTTGTATATTCGGTAAGCTTTCCTGAAAGCTTGAAATTGGGCTGTTCTTTATTGGTACCAGCTTGTTCTTCACTGTCATTTAAATTCAAACTGCAAAAAAAATATCAATGAAAATGTATAATAAATAATACAAATCATTGAATGAAACCAATTTCATCAGTTGATGTTAAAAATGGAATTAAGCAATGCATTGGAATTGTACTAAAATATTATCAATAACATACTTGTGATTTCGATGTTTCGTTTCACGTTGCTTTTCATACTCCTGTCTATTCCTCTCATGACTTTTGGTATTTCTTCTTGTCTCCTTTCGTCTATCATCCTCTCTCCTAGACCCAGGCCTTCTGTCTTCACCACCATCACGTTCAAGATATCTTTTTGCCCTGTCTTTTTGATCAGAAATTGGTGATCTTGAACGACTTCGACGCTTTTTGCGTCGGTCCGTACGTCGAGATGACATGGCCTATAAAAATTATTTACTTTCTACATCATTCGTCACTTTCCAGCATCCGAAATAAGCAAAAACTTTCAAATTTAATCAATTTAAAGATGTCGAACTTATAAACTTTGGGAGATTGGTGAAGGACAGTGAACTCTACAACAACTGGAAGGCTAACTCATAAACAAACCTAGACTTGTTTGAAGCAATGACTTATACCCAATCCTCTAGATATCTAACTGCCGTTGTCACGGTGAGGCAAATTTTATTCGCGGGCGCCATCTTGAAAGGTGGCAAAAAACATAACACGCAATATACGGTAGTATAGTTTACATGTCAAACTGACTCAAATATATGGTTGAAAAACGTTGAAAGCAATCAATCTTAAAAACAAACACAGGTATAACATCCTCAACTCTAAAACAATGTTCAAGAAGCACATTTTAGCTGCAAAGCGCGTAATTTTCGATTTTTCATGGTCAAATCGTGCGCCGCGTATGGATGTACAAATCGCTTTTTGAAAGAGAGTAACATAGCTTTTCACAAATTTCCAATTGAAAATAAGGACCTCTGTAAAAGATGGGTCATTGCTATGAAACGAAAAAACTTTACCCCAAACGCAAACAGCTTTCTTTGCAGCGATCATTTTTTGCACGATGATTATAACACTGAAAATGCCTGAGTAGTTATGGTGCAGGTATGGTCCCGGAAGTAAACGGAGCTCTTACCCGTGTCAATTAGTTTCCAGTCCTAGGAAGTAAACAGGGCGCGCGCGTGTAAACCGGAAACGAACTTAGCGGGGGAATGTTGAATGTGATAGGTTATCATAATAAAGGGAAATGAAACAATTGACAAGAAATATTATCTAATTTATTAAAGCATCCAATAAAATGTCTTAAAGCCCTCATTGTATTTCATTACACGATTCACTATATAGTCGAACTATCGTCTTAAAAAATGTTATTTGCGTTGTTCATTATTGCATTGCTTTTGGACGTTTTGAAAAAGACAAAAATATGGCACACATGTTTAATCAGATATATGCAGACACTGTTGAGTTTGAAGAAGTTAGTCACAGCGATCTTATCAATTTGATTTTCGTCGATTTTATAAGTAAAAAGATTCAAGAGCTACGAAGAGCTGAAAAGGATGAAAGTAAAGCAGATCCTTGGGTAGAGTATCAAAACGTTTTAGAAATGATGACTGAGGAAGATCGTTGGTTCAATTTTGCAGCTCGAGCAGTCGAAACAATTAATCGCGAACATGTCTGGAATGGAATATGTGAAGCCTTTAAGTTTCTAAAGAACTGTGGACCTTCGAACTCTCACAAGACATATTTTGACAAACTGTTTAGTGCTACTTGGGTAGAACTAATGTTAATTTACACGGAGACAAAACGTCCTCCTTTTTTTCAACATCTCTTTGACTATGCTGATTGTAGTTGTAAACTGAAATACAAATCAACTATGTAATTGCTTTGACAAAAGAAAAAAATAAAATATAAATTTCAATGTTATTGCATTTTGACTTCAGTTGTTTTATGACCATGTCATTGTGAAAATGGGAATCGGTAGCAGCAAACGTGAAAATAGAAATGCAAAAGGGATAAAAATCATAATCGTCAGAAAATGTTTCGCTTGGGTATAAGTTTCGGACGCAACGATCTCAATCTTGAGGGTCATTTGCAAGCAGGATACACAAGTAAAACTGTTAAAATTATGGACCCGCCGCAGTTAAACTTCCAACAGATAATGCGATAGAAGAAACACTGCCTGTAACTGAAAACATTGAACCCATCGATAATGAGTAGTTAAAAGAAATTGACATCTAATTGCAAAATTATTATCACGAGAACATTGTCATGAGTAACGTTGACCAGTACTTAGCCGGTGTATACTTCAATCCAAAACGTCCTGGAAGCTACGGAGGTGTTGAACGTTTGTACCGCGATGTAAAGGCAGAAGGAATATATGACATTAGTCGTGAAAGAATTAAAGAATGGCTCATGCAACAAGACGCATACTCTTTGCATAAACCTATTCGAAGAAAGTTTGAAAGAAATCGTGTCGTAGTGAGTGGTATTGACGACCAGTGGCAATTGGATCTTGCAGACATGCAATCTTTGCAAAAGTATAATGATGGTTATCGCTATCTTCTTATCTGTATTGATGTTTTTTCCAAATATGCATGGGCTGTTCCATTAAAAAAGAAAACAGGATCGTCGTTGGTAGAAGCTTTTAAAAAGATATTGTCATCAGGGCGTAAACCGACACACATTCAAACGGATCAAGGCTCGGAGTTTTTAATCGAGACTTTAAGAAACTTTGGCAGAAGAAAACGTTACCTTATTTAATACATTTAACGAGACGAAGGCATCCATCGTTGAACGTTTGATACGTACACTGAAAACTAAAATGTGGCGCTACTTCACAGCAAACAAAACCATGAGATACATTGACATGCTTCCTGATCTACTGTATTCTTATAATCATAGCATGCATCGCAGCATTAAGGAAAAACCGATCAACGTTACAAGTGAAAATGAAGATAGAATTCGGCAAAATCTATACGAGGATAGCAAATTAAATAAACCTATGCATGTAAAATATAAGTTTGATATAGGTAACCAAGTACGAATAAGTAAAATAAAACGAAGGTTTGAGAAGGGGTATTTACCGAATTTTTCAAAAGAAATTTTCACTGTAAGTCAAAAAATACCGCGCAATCCTCCTGTATACAGACTGAAAGATCATGAAGGGGACGAACTTCAAGGAACATTTTATGAAAAAGAACTTCAAAAGTCATCAAGAAAGACGATGTTTATGAGATTGAAAAAATACTTAAGAAACGTGGTAGAGGGGGCAATGTACAATATTTTGTAAAGTGGTCTGGCTACCCTAACAAATTTAATTCATGGGTACCAGCATCGGAAATACAAATATAAAACGTAACCGTTTTCATGATTTTTTCATTTCACATTATACCTTAAAGATGAGCGGGACACACTTCTATCTGACATTACCTAGTAATGCATCTCTCTCTGTATTTCCTGAGAATAAGATTTCAGGTTATCGCGTAAAACTACCTCACGTTGTGCATTTAAATGGTAATTGGGAAGTAGGATTGTATTCAATTACATATCTTCATACATGGTACACGTTGAAAAAAGGTTTGGATACACATATATATGTAACTCATAAAACAGGTCTACCTACTCCGGTATTTGTCGACTATGGCTTGTATGAAAAACCTTGGACCTAGTAAAATCAGTTAACGAGACTCTTGACAAAGAAGTAAAAGACAGTATCAAATTGAGCTTTGACCCGCGAACAGAAAAAATTAAAGTGCATGTAAGACAGGGTTACAAAATATCATTTAATCAACGAATGTCGGTCTTACTCGGCTTTGGCGGAAAAGACGTAGAGATTTTAAAACAACCGAAAGTCCTTATGCTTGTGATTTGCACGGATCCGTCATGATGTATGTATATTGCAACATTGTACAACCGCAAGTTGTTGGAGACGTCAATGTAAAATTACTAAAGGCAGTTGCTATTCAAGGAAAATATGGAGACATTGTTTCAAGAACATTCACTAATATCCAATACTTACCCGTGCAAACAAAATCTTTGAGGACATCGAAATTCTCTTAAGGGACGAGTTAGGAAATCCCATCGCATTTGAACGAGGGAAGTCGATAGTGACACTTCATTTCAGAAAACAATCCTTATCTTATTTTACATAAGAAAAAATATGAGTAGAACAAACCGTTATGTTCAATATTATCTCGATCAGCAAAAAGGATACGGATCACAACCTGTCTTTAGAGGAGCATCCTGGCAAAAAGGTTATGGGCAGATGGGTTATGGTCTTGGTGGTTTATTTCGTAGATTGGCTAGAGCTGCAATACCTTTGGCAAAAACCGGCGCAAAAGCTCTAGGTAAAATTGCCCTCGATACAGGTGCAAACGTTTTGGGTGATGTTATCTCAGGGAAAAGTTTTAAAAAGTCTGCAAAATCTCGTGTTAATCAAGCAGCAAAGAAACAGGGAAAAAGCTGTAAATCGTATACAACAGTTTGCTCAAACAGGAAGAGGAAAACCCCAGAAGAAACAGGCAAAAAAAACAGCTAAAAAGAGAAAAGCATCGTCTTCTCATGTCATTTACCATTCAGCCAAGAGACATAAAGCAGCTAAAGAAGCAGAAGATATTTTCGGTTAAATATGGAGTTCGTTCATCCAAAATCAGCAGAATGTACAAAAAGTGAACTTGACATATTTTTCGTACCCCCAACGCAAACCAGTTTGGAAAAGGGGCGATGGATAGACCATCCACCTGTCTCTAGTGTATCTGAAAGCGGTCCGATTACCTTTTTAGCGCCAGGTACAGAAGATTATGTTGACTTGTCTAACACAATGTTGATGGTCAGAGCAAAAGTAACGAAAGCTGACGGTGGAAATCTCGACGATGGCGCTAAAGTAGGACCGGTGAACAATTTCTTGCATAGTTTGTTTAAGCAAGTTGATGTGTTTTGAAAGGGAAGCTAGTAACCCAAGCGACAGGAACTTATCCTTATCGTGCATATATCGATACACTTTTGAATTATGGTCCATCAGCTAAACAATCCCAGCTGACAGCTGCGTTGTTTTACAAGGACGAAGCTTCAAAAATGGAGGTTGCCGACCCAGCAAACGCCAGTCCAAACAATGGCTTGAAAACACGAAGTAAGTTTAGTGCGAGAAGTGCAATTGTCGAAATGGGAGGCCCTATATTTTGTGATGTTTTCTTTGGTGAACGCCTGCTGCTTAGCTATGTTGATTTGAAAGTGGTATTGAACCGTACCAGTGACGAGTTTGCCCTAATGGCATCCGAGGACGATGCAGCATTTAAAGTGAAACTGGTGGATGTTTATCTAAAAGTTCGCAAAGTTAAAGTGAATCCTAGTAGAGCTATGTCTCACGAAGTTGCACTGAAAAAAAGCCCAGCCGTTTACCCTGTAAGGCGTGTGGACTGCAAAAGTTTCATCATTCCATCAGGAAACCCATCGTTGCAAAAAGATAATCTTTTCAACGGTTTGGTACCGAAATCACTTGTCGTCGGACTTGTTGCAAGTGCTGCATTCAATGGTGCTTATAAATTAAACCCATTCAATTTCCAGCATTTCAACGTTTCATCCTTAGGCATTTCTGTAAACGGCGAATCTCTACCATCTAAACCTTTCAAGCTGTCGTTTGGTAACAATCCTAGATACATAGAAGCATTTCTATCACAATTTGCTGGCACTGGAAAAATGTTTTGAACGCCGGAAATGGAATTGATCGTGACGAGTTTCTAAAGGGTTTTGCTTTGTACTGTTTTGATTTGACGCCTGATATGTGTGGTACGGGAGAACATTTTAATACAGTGCAAAAAGGAAATCTTGCCATTGACATACAATTCTCAACAGCACCAACTAATGCTGTTAGTCTTGTGTGCTATGGCGAGTTTGAAAACGTGATCTTTATCGATTCTGAGAGGAATGTTGTCTATGACTACATTGGTTAAATGAACACCTCACAAATATCGTCTGCTTTGAGATCGGATCCTGTTACAAGCAAGAAATTTCTT